AACCCCTAACCCCCTAACCCCCTAACCCCCTAACCCCCTAACCCCCTAACCCCCTAACCCCCTAACCCCCTAACCCCCTAACCCCCTAACCCCCTAACCCCCTAACCCCCTAACCCCCTAACCCCTAACCCCCTAACCCCTAACCCCCTAACCCCCTAACCCCCTAACCCCCTAACCCCCTAACCCCCTAACCAGCATGCCCTGCTTCTCCTACTCCAAGCAGTCCAGCAGGACCTTAGACACCTCCAGAGGACTCTCAAGTCTGAGGATCTAATGGAACTCTGGGAAGACTTGGACATGGCCCTATGGGACAAGGCAAGAAGTATCAGAGGGGCTGCACGTGTAATGGACCCAGAGAAGGACAACACCCTCTTGTCTCTCCCAGTCAAGCTGGGTGGCCTTGGCCTTCTCTCCCATTCCACCTGTGCCCCCCTGGCTTATGTGGCCTCCACTGGAGCTGCATCTGTCATACTTCACCCCCTCCTTGGTGATCCTGGTCCAGACCCTCCTGAGCCCCCCTCCCAGCACAGTCTCTGTCTGGATGCCTTCAAGTCCGCCCAGGCAGACTTGACACTTGCTCTGCCTCCCCTCCAACAACAAGCACTGGTTGAGAATTCCTCAGCACTTGGCAGGCAGTGGCTCTCAGCCATCCCCTCCAGTGCAATCCTGAGGCTCACCAACTTTGAGGTGGCAGCAGCTCTGCAGCTGAGGACAATGGTGCCCAGCACCTCGCCCAGCTGCAGACATTGTGGACATGGAAACTTCCATGGACATGATGAAGTGTGCCCACACAAGTCCAAGTGGACTGTGGCTAGGCATGAGCAGGTGAAGAAGGTGATAGCTGGCACCCTCAATATCATCCCAGACATTGAGGTCCACCTTGAACCCTTCATCAGTGACACTACACACAGGAGGAATGACATAAGAATCTCTGGCTCCCATGCCTCTGGGCTGGCCAACCATGAGTATGACATCTCCATTGTGTCACTGGGCTCTGTCCAGGCCAGGACCACTGTCTCCCCACCTGGGTTCACTGGATCCACCCTGGAGAGGGCTTCTGCCACTGTCCACAAATTCCTTGACTCTGTATCTAGGGAGAAATTCAGAAATCTCCCTAGCTCTGCTGCCACCCCCTTCACTCCCCTCATCTTTTCTTTGGGTGGTGTCATGGAACACAGGACTGCCCAAGCCCTCCACACCTGGGGTGAGGTCCTACCTCCCCATTCCCACAGGATGCTTTGTATCAGACTCAGTCTCACCCTCCTTCGCGCCAGAGTGAGAAACTTTGATCTCTGGTCCCATTGAGCCAAGAAACTGCCACGTCTACTATAGTATCCTCCTCCCATAGTTCTTAGTAGTCAAAACCGATGCAGCCCCCTACCCCCTAACCCTTGAGGTGGCAGCAGCTCTGCAGCTGAGGACAATGGTGCCCAGCACCTCGCCCAGCTGCAGACATTGTGGACATGGAAACTTCCATGGACATGATGAAGTGTGCCCACACAAGTCCAAGTGGACTGTGGCTAGGCATGAGCAGGTGAAGAAGGTGATAGCTGGCACCCTCAATATCATCCCAGACATTGAGGTCCACCTTGAACCCTTCATCAGTGACACTACACACAGGAGGAATGACATAAGAATCTCTGGCTCCCATGCCTCTGGGCTGGCCAACCATGAGTATGACATCTCCATTGTGTCACTGGGCTCTGTCCAGGCCAGGACCACTGTCTCCCCACCTGGGTTCACTGGATCCACCCTGGAGAGGGCTTCTGCCACTGTCCACAAATTCCTTGACTCTGTATCTAGGGAGAAATTCAGAAATCTCCCTAGCTCTGCTGCCACCCCCTTCACTCCCCTCATCTTTTCTTTGGGTGGTGTCATGGAACACAGGACTGCCCAAGCCCTCCACACCTGGGGTGAGGTCCTACCTCCCCATTCCCACAGGATGCTTTGTATCAGACTCAGTCTCACCCTCCTTCGCGCCAGAGTGAGAAACTTTGATCTCTGGTCCCATTGAGCCAAGAAACTGCCACGTCTACTATAGTATCCTCCTCCCATAGTTCTTAGTAGTCAAAACCGATGCAGCCCCCTACCCCCTAACCCTTACGTTGAAGCTTGGGGGTCAACCCCCAAACTTGTTTGGGGGTTGCCAGCAGCCCATAGACGTCACAAACACTGGGGCAGTCAGCACCAGACCATAAGCAAAATGTTGGGGGTTGGAATGGACACAAGGGAGCGCTGCAGGGGGTCTGGCAATGATCAGAAACATTTGGGGGGTCATTAGAACTTACACTTCAAGGTCCATTACAAGAACATGCACTGCATAATGTCAGTTGTAATGAATAATAAATGCCAAGTCCAAATAAAATTTGGGGGTCAGTTACAACTTACAGAGGCACACTGTGGACGTCTAGGCAGGCCCAGCAGACCCCACAAAGGCCCAAAACTCGACAGGCAACACTGTAATAGTCAGCACACAGTCAAATCCCATGGGGGTCAACCCCCAAAACAGTGAACACACAGGAGGAATGACATAAGAATCTCTGGCTCCCATGCCTCTGGGCTGGCCAACCATGAGTATGACATCTCCATTGTGTCACTGGGCTCTGTCCAGGCCAGGACCACTGTCTCCCCTCCTGGGTTCACTGGATCCACCCTGGAGAGGGCTTCTGCCACTGTCCACAAATTCCTTGACTCTGTATCTAGGGAGAAATTCAGAAATCTCACTAGCTCTGCTGCCACCCCCTTCACTCCCCTCATCTTTTCTTTGGGTGGTGTCATGGAACACAGGACTGCCCAAGCCCTCCACACCTGGGGTGAGGTCCTACCTCCCCATTCCCATAGGATGCTTTGTATCAGACTCAGTCTCACCCTCCTTCGTGCCAGAGTGAGAAACTTTGATCTCTGGTCCCATTGAGCCACGAAACTGCCACGTCTACTATAGTATCCTCCTCCCATAGTTCTTAGTAGTCAAACCCGATGCAGCCCCCTACCCCCTAACCCAGTCTCAAGATGAGTGATATCGACAAGGGAGGCGAGAGACTTGTTCACCATGTGGAGTTTGTCGACAGGAGATGACCGGAGCACCTTTTGACATCATGCCCTGTATTCAGTAAATGTATCTAGGATGAATTCTGTCGGACCGCAGGGCTGCAACAATGAGCCGCTACTCGAGACTCAAGAGCCATGTGAAAATGCTCCCAGCACCCGACACCCATCCGACCGTATGGCGTGGACGCCACGTTGAAATCATGAAGCTTGCCGTCAGACCACAGATTGCGCTCGCCGTCTGACCGGCGCAGCTTGTGGCAATGGATGAGGGTTGTGCCTTCGGGGTCGAGCAGGAACTGAGCCATGAAGATGGATGTGTTCGTACGCTCTGAGGCACCAAAAGAGACGTAGATGCCAGCCTCCTTGGTCGCGGTGATGATCGTCTCACACTCACTCGAGCCAACCTCGAGCGATTGCTCAATGTAGTAGTTGACCTCGGAAGGATTGCTGGTCAAGGCAAACGGATAACCAGGGAACCGCGTCTCGGGGAATGGAGCAGACCCACGCCTGATCTCAACACCGCGCTCCACGGTCCACGTGAGGTTGGCTGCTGCAGAAAAGACGTTGACGTTTGCAGGACTTCGAGCAGGGGTAACCCAAGTCAGTGTGTGATTGCTGCAAGGAAAAGAAATGAAAGCATACTCACTAAGGCGACACGTGAACGGCAGCGACGACGAAACTCTCTGGGTCAAGGTGGTTGTAAAAGCCCCCGCCGACATCACGCTTGATAACACGATTCTCGGACACAGGGGTGTAAGGTAAGGCCATCGTGGAGGAGGCGAAGGCGGCGGTAAAAAGGCACGAAGCGCGCATAGCTGACTGGTGTGAAGAAGGGAACGAGGGAACAGGGGAAAACTGGTGAAGCGACCAAAGGTAAGGCCAGCTTCACGTTCTTTACGTGGATCGGCCGGACGTACAGCACGGAAAGAAAGCGCCCACGCCAGACATGCACTACTGCAGTACTGCAATGACAGAAAGCGTGCACGCCAGTCATACTGCAAAGCCAAAGATGCCGAGGTTAGCCCGCTATGTATGGCTACATATCCTGAACCCCTGATTGGTGATATCTCTGGAATTCTGGAAATCGAGGAGATAAGACGTCAGGACGCTTCGCGCTCGCAGCACAACTGACCTTCCCAATTGCACGGGCAGGCGCGACGCGCGTTAGGAAGATATAGCCGTGACAAATGCCGCGACACCCATTTCGGCAACTGTACTCATGTTATGTGTTTAGGTCGTGTCACGACCCCTTCTGGGAAACTGCCTATTAGCGTCTAGCCTGGCTCTCGCAGCCCTGTGTCTCTGGTCCCATTGAGCTTGCACTGGCGTGTCAACTAGAGCCTCTTCTTCCCATAGATCTTAGTAGACAAACCGATTCACCCACTACCCCCCCTGTCCGTTGCGGTTCAGTTGGATGGGCTGTGGGCACTGGAATTCATCCTCAACAGCTGTTGCGACCGCGGACATCTACTCCGGCAGGATAGGAAGCACGAGGCACGACGCGTACTTGCCGCCAGTGTGCACCGTGTGCACGCCGACGTTGGCGTCCTGGGGGGTCGTGGGGGGCGGGAGATGGGGCAGATCGGTCTGGCCCATGTGGTGCCCGCTGACGCGAAGCATGATGCCCTCGCCAGGCCCAAACACCATGCCCATGGGCCAGGGCGTGATTTCCAGTGGGACGATGGTGCTGCGCGGGACTGGCTCTCGCTTGTCATGTTTGTACACGACCACGTTGGGGTCGGTGGAGAGAGTGTCATCGCGCGACACTGCGTGCGAGGCGCGTAGCTGGCCCTGGGCACCGAGAGTCGTCGTGACGCTCGTCTCGAGCTCGATTGGCTCCGTGACAGGGAAATTATTGTGTTTGAGAAGCGTGCCCTGCTTGCTGACCTTGCGCAGCTGGACAACGACGTCCATGTCGTCGTGCTCGTCGCAGCTCATGTAGAGTTTGACCTTGGCGTAGCCTGCTACCTCAGTGCGGCGGTCGAAGTGCAGCACAAAGTCCGAGGTTGCCGTCAGGCTGTGCCCCTCGTGGGCGATCTGCGCGTGGGCCGTAGGCGCAGACGCAGAGAGGCTCCCGGCCGCCGCGTCCAGGAAGTAGGTCACGCGCATGGTCCGTTCGACAGGGTACGTCTGCTCCGGGCGCTCAATGACTGTCGGCTCGGGGCTACCGTCGAAACCCAACATACTGAGGCGCACGCGCGGCGTGTCCGTCTCCCACCCATTCTGTACTCCCTTAGCGTACCGGTCGTAAAAGCGCTGCAGATCGTTCACATTCTCTGGGCAGAACTGGTCGTACCCTGTCATGTCAGTAGTTGAGAGGCGACTGGGACAGGTGGCAGCGGACGGAGACTCACACTCTTGATACGGGTGCACACGCAGCCACTTGTTGGCCGTCTTGGCCTTTTCAAACGCCGCGAACGAGCCGTGGGTGTGAAGAGTAGACCTGATATTAGCGTGGGCATTAGAAAAGGATCGGCATCTGGACAATGTTTATGCCAGACTCCCGAGTGGACGAAAGTGGAAATGTGGGCATATGGGGTGGTGCGACTGGGACTCACGAGTACGACGCAACGACGTACATGGGAACGTCAATGTTCTCGAGGCGCGCCCGCTTGGTCTCCCAGTAGTCGTCGCGCAGAGGATGGTTGGCGCGGGCGTTGTGGATGTCCTCCGCAGAGCCGTGTCCTGCGGCAGTTAGTCACGCTGTTTGTGTTTCGCATCTCTTTCTGCCCGGTGCTAGGCGTCTGTCTCCTCTTGTTGCCTCTGTCTACTTGCCCTGCGCGCCGACAGCCTCGATCAACTCACCAGCAAATGACTGGCCGATAGCCTCCGTAAAATCCAACAAGTGTGGGATGCCGCCGCGCAGATACATGTCATCATATATGTCCGCCGCGCCCTCCCAGGGCGCAATGGCCTTGAGTGCCGGGTGTTGGAAGCGCGACGCAAAGTGGAGCTGACAGATTGCGAGCCACGAGTTTCCGCTGTAGACACACCGGGTGAGCCAGATGAAATTCTGCCGGCGCCGCCGATCAGACTCACGCCATGACAACCGAGCCATTGCACCACGGCTGCGCCGCTAGCCAGGTCACCGTGTCGTAGATGTCCTCGGCCTCCTGCTGACCCCAGTACGCAATGTCGCCGCCAGAGTAGGCCGACCCGCGTGCGTCAATGTTCACGACGGCGTATCCGCGGTCGGCCCAGTTGGCGGGGTCGGGCGCTTCCCATGCGTGGTACCCGCTCAACGCGTCGCGAGGAACGCCCGAGTTGTTGGGCGCGACAACATGGTACTGGAACGGGCTGCCACCCTTGCTGTAAGGCGACCAGGCCAGGATGGCAGGAACTTTGATGGCGGTCAGGGAGGGATCCGACGACAGCGGGCGAAACACGTCCGTGTACAGCGTCACACCGTCGCGCATCGGCACCGCGAGGTCGCGCTCAAAGACCGTGTCAACGGCAAAGGCGCGCAGGCCAGGCTCCTTGCGGTGGCCGGCAGGGAGCACATTGCGTTCGCCGGGGGCAAAGCCGGGGTAATGCCAAAGAGGGTGGTGCTCTGGACGCGGGAGGCGCACATACGGGATATCGGGGAAGCGCGCCTTGAGGGCTTCAGTGGTCGAAGCAGTCATGATTGGTAGATGTGAGCTGTGGTCTTGATTGTGGGTGTGGGATTTGGTGTGGGTGTGGGATTTGGTGTGGGTGTGGGTGTAGGTAAGTGGCAATGTCGTTGGCCAGCTCCTTTATATATGTAAACAACAGCAGCGACGCATTAGTTGCACGCACGTTCCCGCATGTGTGTACCTCCTGGGACCACCTAGCCCTCGTCGCAGCGGTGGTCAGATGACGGTGAGGTTGGCGTTGCGTCCGCTGGATAAGTGAAACCCGAGGATAGGTTGCAGACTTGTCGTTGAATTCGCCGCAAAGAGGCCGATGAAAGCCCATGACATGAGACACATGACGAGATAGCCAGATGGGGCGGGGGTGGGCGAACACATCATCGAGATCATGTCCGCATTCCATGTTTGCGTGGCCAGGCACGTACGTGTCGTGCGTGCTGTGCGTCTGCAGTTCGTCCAGGCGCACCAGGCCCACAAGCCCCACATATGTGTTGTGTACTTCAGCGCCGCTCGGGGGCCACCCGGGGCCCGTCACGCCACACTTGGTGCCCCTCGGGGCCAAGGAGCCACATGTGTGGTATCATTCGGGAGCCCCGGCGCCGGTGGGGATTGTTCTGCGCCATGGGAGCTGAACGGGTCAGACGCTACAAACCACTGCTACGAACGCTGCTGCACCCCGTCGGCCTCAGAGCCCCGGCCTCAAGCATTGATTTCCGTCACAGGTTCTAGATTCCTCGCCTGGAGCGAGAATGAGTAGTGGTCGCCATAGACTGCCGCGGACCAACAGTCCTACGACGTTACATACAGGGGCCAACACCTACAGTACATGAACGTCCATGAGAGATGTACGAAACAGCCACAGGCTCCAGTACCGACGCTTGGGCTGATCGCGTACGCCGAGGTTCGTAAATGGCCAATGTGGCTCAGCCGGGTTCTCGCGGTTAGGGCCCTCGGACCAGTGTTGGGTTACGATATTTGCTAGGTGACCGGAGAATTGGGACAATTCATGTGTCGGTGACCGGCCGACCGGCCAGACTGGACACGATATCGGTCGGCCACCGGTTGGAGCGTGGGTGATCAGTTCAGGACAATACCGACAGGTGAATCGCCCAGCTCCAACTCCCCCACACTCATTCACCTGCGTGCCCGGTCAAACAGTGTCAATTACCAAGTACGGGAAGCATGCCTGTGCAGTCCTCGTTGGCTTCTTCTGCTCGATAATGTGAACCTTGGCTCGACCACGGCGACGGCCATTAGGGCAACTTCACACATTCGGTCCATGGCAGCGCTGACTGGCAGGTGGAATGGGCATGGTGTTCAACCCGGCGTGTTCTGTTGTCCCCCGGCCCCGGTTTGACCGTCCCGTTAAATGGCGCTTGGGATTATCGCAGCCCGTTCAGGTGTAGGAGACACCGTTTGTTCGGTCCCGTCTTCAACCTTGCTGTACCGCATCTGTTGTTTCTGCTTTGCTGTAGGTTGCCTGCATGCCCATTAGGAAATGTCTGGAAACCAAATGCGGGCAGTCAGTTGAAGTCGCTGCAACTTGCCTTGCAACTGGGGTGTATCCCCCCATCAACTATGTTGACGAATCTCGAATACATCTGAGATGCTATCGCGCTCAGATCACCGATCAAAGTCCAGCCTAAATAGATTAACTATCTGGTCGAAATGCTCTGCCGAAGACAGTGGGTCAGCGCTGACACTGCCACTGCCTGTTGTGTCCATGTCCAGCGCTGCTTCAAACAGGGTGGCATACAGAAGCATCGCACTGTTGGTGTCGTTCCGTAAGGCTGCTGCAAGCAGCATCCCGTCGACCAGTTCCCTCAGCGTGTCTAGAGTCTGTCGTGTTTGGGGGGCAAAGGTGCCTGGATCACTGATGCACATCAACTGGCGTGGTTAGCACATCCTATGCTTCGCCCTTACCTTGAACAGGACCATGGCCGGATAACTGAAAGCAATCAGCGTCTATCTCAGTCACTTGACACCTACACTATCATAATGACTGCCATGTTTGAACAGGGAACAAGCATGCCGCCCTCTCGTAGGCCATGTATGGCGGCCTGGACACCATCTAGTGCCACCTCATACAACCGTTCGGTCGGCGCATCGTCAGCCTCCCCAAGGAGAGACACAGGGATCGTGCTGAGAGTATGCAGCAGGCGGACATGCCGGTAGACAAATAGTTCGCAAGGAGCTGAGTGAGCAGCGAGAATGGCGAGGGAAACTCACAAACATGTTTATGCCACTGGTTATACCACAGGGCCAGTTGGTCGTGGACAGCTTCGTCTGTCATTTGATTTGATGTCTCCCAAATGTGCCGGATGTGTACAGTCGCGGACAGACGCTTGTCTTCGTCCGAAGCGAGTATATGCGACGCCCAGTTGAATGCTCGTTCGCAGATCAACGGGTCCATCGCCCACCGTCTTGGACGCCCGAGATGGGTGCTTTGCGCAATGTCATGCAAGTAGACTGAGAAATATGTTCGCTCACGAATTCTCTCCGCTCTGCCGTGGTGATCGGCTGTCACGTCGGCGTTAGATGGAAGGGAAGGCGTGACATGTCCTCCGAGTTCTGTGAACATGTTGGCAGCCACGCCAATGTCTGTCAGTCAGCTCCGCATGAATAGCCACGAACAAAACCAGCCTGGATCGTCCATTGCCGGGTTACACAAGTAGTTTGCTGCAAGACAGAGCCCCTGGACGATGGAAACTGACCGGTTGCCGTTTATGAGAATATGATTGGTGATATCAACCACCAACGTCTTCAAAGGCGGCGCAATATGCCGTGAAAGTGGACAAAACAACGAAGAGACTGCACAGACCACTGTAAACAGAAATGTCGAACAGGATAGCAACGCGGTGGGTGTCTGCAGCACTGGGTCTAGCGAGAAACACCAGCTAGAAAGGTTGTCATTGAAGCGCTTGAACAACCGCACAGCATCTTTCATAGTTAGCATGCCCAGTGTGAGTGGGTCAAACTGTGGTAGGTGGTCTGGTTTGGGTGTTGCGAAGATCGACTCGTCCGTTACGACCCAATCTGTGCGCTGGCCGATCATCGAGTGAATGAGGACACACGGGCTGGAACGACCTGGCGGCCATTGGGTGGTCTCACCGTAGCCGATTGGCCTGGGATTGGTGGGCTCACGGTGCAAGGTTGACGTCGACAAATCAGAGCCTGCCCTATGTGACAGGGCGATTTGGGAGGCAGCCGGATGGGACACTGCTGCGAGCCGGGGACGTTTGATGTTGATGACGTCTCCACTACGCCCTTTGCGTCGAGTACCTTTGCGGTGTGGTTGGTACTCGCATGCTTCTTCCAGACGCTGGCATCGATGACAGGGCGCCGTTGGAAGCTCTCCGGCGTTAAGAACGGGCTGACACCGAGTCTTGGAGCGCCGGCACGCTAAACATGCGCCGAACAACAGCGGTGGCGGTAGTCGGATCGAATTTTCTGTCGTAGTCGGAGGAGAGGAGGCGTCGGTGAGATTCGCAGTGCCTGTCATTGGAGATGGGAGGTCCATGTTGAGCGACGACAGACAGAGATGAAGTCGGTGTGGAGCGCGAAGATAGGGGTTACAGTCGGTGACCGGTCTGCCCGGATGCCCCCAATCCGGCGGGATTAAAAGCGCTGTTGGATGCGCTTATCTGAGTGTCGGTCACCGATGTTGGATGCGCTTATCTGAAGGTCGGTCACCGACACGCCAATCAGAGGGACCAGAGGCCAGAGGAGGGCCAGAAATTTCCCATAGTTTTGCCTACAACGAGTCACCAACGGGCCATCCATGATACAATTGTTGCATGGCGCCCTATCTTTTGGGGTCATAGACATCGATGCCTGTATATAAAACGAGCTCACTGCGGCAGTGATGGCTTTAACGAACACCAACAGTCAACGTCAACAGCCTCATCAACAACATGCCTATCATTCGCGTCGCCGTACCTCAGTGGGAGCCCGCCTGGTTTGACAAGGCCGCTACCACGCAGCGTGTTGTGGAGCTTATCAAAGAGGCGGCTGACGGCGGCGCCAAACTAGTCGCTTTTGGCGAGCTTGTACGTATTATCGTAATTGGAGCAGGCTTTGGTGCTGACAAGTCAGGCCATCCCTGGATATCCCACTTACCTGTTCGGTGGACGAATGGAAGACATTTATGCGCATAACATCGACTATGTACGTGGAGAAGAGTCGAATTCCCGGTGTGCTAATGGAGCAGTTCAACAACTCTCTTGACCTCGATGGTGCCGAGATCCATGCCATCCGCATCGCTGCCCAGGCGAACAAGATCATCGTCCACGTTGGCTTTTCGGAGATTGATGGCAAGACTCTGTACATGGGAAACGGTGAGACATACACAGGGTCCACCATTCTGACTTGTCAGTGGTCATTGATGAACACGGCGAAATCATTCTGCACCGTCGCAAAATCAAGCCTAGCCATTACGAGCGAACCCTCTTTGGAGATGCGGGGCCAGAGAGTGTGGTTAATGTGGTCGAGACAAGGTACGCGCAACGGGAACACGAGCTCCGAGCTGACTGGTACAGCATTGGTCGCATCTCAGTGTTGAATTGTTGGGAACACTGTCAGCCACTGCTCAAGTACCACACCTATTCGCAGAGGCCTCTAATCCATATTGCCGCATGGCCACTCCTCCACCGTTGGAGTGGCAAGGGACATTGGGCAATGTCCAACGAGGCTGGCCTCGCTGTGACGCGTACCGTTGCCTTTGAAGCCGGGGCCTTCACCCTCATGTGCAGCCAGTTCATGTCCAAGGCAGGCCTCGAGAAAAATAAGGTCCACGGCCTCGTACTCAAGGACGAGGCAAATGGCTGTGGCCCTGTCGTTGAAGGTGGTGGTGTCAGCCGGGTCTATGGCCCCGACGGGTCACAGTTGACGGAGTCGATTCCGGACACGGCGGAACAGATCGTCTATTCCGATTTGGACACCGACATGGTTTATTTGACGGCCCAGGCGCAGGACGTAGTGGGCCACTACTCTCGCCCCGACATCTTCCAGCTGGTCGTTAACAAGACCCCAGCTCCTCGGGTCGTCTATCGCAACGAGGACGGCTCAGTCCACACTGTGACTAAAACAATCACCCCGTTCAAGGCAATTGCGATCGGGACGGAGCAAGAAGGCGAGCGCTAGGGCATTGATGCGGTTTATGTTTAGAAGTGTACCCCCAAATAGGATGCATGTTAGAGTTACGGTCTCTGGGCCAGGACGGGATATACATTCGGCCGCGCCGGCCCGGTCTGTCTGCTTTGCATGCTCTGCTCTCTCTCTCGCTCGCGTGCGCCGGCCCGGTCCGGCATGATCTTACACCGAGAGAGGGTCGCATCGACTTCCCTGTTCCAACAGTGCGCGCAGATATCTGGGTCAGCGTCCATCTGACATCCCACGTTGTTCATCATCTGTGCACACCAGCCTCAAACATGTCGACATCCCCACACTACAGTGCTATCGCACAGCGCGCAATCGAGCTGTTCCAATTCTACTCAGACGCCAACCCCTCGGCGAGATCCACCCATGCCGCGTCTGAGCCTAGCTCCGCAGATGGGCTACCAGCATTGGACTTTGATGTCCGCACTCTGCAAGCGGAGGATCGGTATCTCTACGGTAACTTTGTCGACGGGACTTGGGTGTCCAAGCTAGAGAGCGACGTCGAGGGGGAACAAGGGATGTACAATGTCGCCGTGAGTGTTCGAGCTGTAGTGTTGCGTGCGGTGACTGACCAGACAGGTCGATCCAACGTTGCGTACTGCATACACCTTCATTTTGCCCACAAAGGATTACCACGAGCAGTCCGCACCGGTCCGGCCCGCATATCTCACCCACGCGCATAGATTGCTAGTTGCGCTAGAGGAGGAACTTGGGCCCGCGGGGCATCTCGGCGAGGGCAAGGTCGTGGCTGTGTACGATTGTGGGGAGAAGAGCGGAGTGAGGATCGGGCACAAGTGTGTGCGTTTCTATACGGTGAAAGAGGTGTCAGGTGAGTCCAATTGCCGTCCGAAATGAACAACACGACTAACGACAAAAGTACCAATCCCCCACAGCAGACACTCTTTGCCGCCCATTGACACTTCGCCTGGAAGCTCGGATCCTCGCGTGGAAGCCTTCACTGCCCTTCTGAACGGCACACCAGACTCGCCAGAGCCGTTCATCCCAAAGACGCCGCATTACAACATGATTCTGTCGCGTGAGGAGATGGTCATTGTGCCCAGGGATGACGATGGGTTCTTGGGCAAATCGGAGGGCAGATGGGACGGTGCGCGACTGATGGGTGTACCACTTTGAGTGGGGAGGGGGGGGGGGGGGGGGGGGGGGAGGGATGCAGCGATAAAGATACTTCGTTATACTTGCATGGCCACATATGTATCGCGTTGCCCACCACTCAGCCTCTGCGTTCGCTTTAACCCGCACTGACGTCACGAGATCGTGGGAGCAACACGGGGCGATATTCGTGGACCCATGTACCCATGTGGGGTCCACATTCTTGATAACACAGTCATCTTTCACGTTTGCTATTTCGTCTTGACAGCCACCTCGTCTTGTTACTTCATCCACATCTCAGCTCCCGACCCTTGTCATGTCTGACTATCGCCTCTCTGGCAACTGCCTCTGCGGCGCGGTGACCGTCACTCTCACGCAGCCAGGAGAACTCATCATCTGCCGTGCGTAGCGGGTGTGAAGAATGAGGCCTTTGCCTAACAATGCAGACTGTACCGACTGTCGCAGATACACGGGAGGCATGTAAGTGACAAGGGAGGGAGGGAGACAAGAAGGCGACATATGTGCATCATGAGGTGCGGGCCATGAACTGCCGTCGACCACTGTGTGCAGCAGTTTGACTTTGCAGCAACCTAGAGAGCATCCACATCTAGAAACATGCTGAACACACCCAGCGCTGCCTACCTTCTCGAGTGTAAGCATGCCACGACAACAGTTGCCGGCGAATGCAAGTCTTTCACCACCACGGCAGACTCTGGCAACCGGGCCACTCGCTACTCGTGCGCGGTTTGCAACAGGTGAGTCGTTGGTGTGCAGGACAATACACTAACAGCAGCTGTGTGTGGGACCAGTACAGCAACCCCGACGAGCTTGAGGTGCATTCGGGTGAGTGACCGTGCATGACATGACTGTGCACTGCAGTCATCGTCAGCCCGCAGCCATCCGCTAACGTTGCAGGCATATTTCCCCCGGGCTCCATCGCGAAGCCGGCGCTGGAGATCTTCATGCGCAACGCAGAGACGTGGGAGACGCCCCACGCCTGCAGCCAGTACCAAGGGGGACCCTGAGCCGCTCCGTTAGCAGGAAACGATGGTGGGCTCTTCTCCAATCCGGCAGAGATAGCATAGCTATTATGGGCCGGGACAGATGGTGACTGTGCCGGCAGAGACGATGGATGAAACGAACGCCAAGTAAAGGCCAACATATGAGATGAGAACCTATCCCTGTGCGGTAGTCTAGTTTGAATCTGTGTTACTCCAGCACTACCCAAATCCAGGCATTTACGCCAGTCTGACAAAAGTGGTGAGTGAGGGTTGTGGCGTGAGGGGGTGGGCCATGGAAGACGCGTGCAGCAGGTACCACACCTGGCCGACCTGGCAAGAACTTTATCTACCCCCCGTCGGGTAGGTGCGTAGGTGGGGACAGATCGGACTAGTACTCCTCGGGATGAAGAGCAGCGTACTGGCAAACACACATGCATACAATCACGCAAACGCAGCCTGTCAACGCTGGACCGTCCGACTCAAGATCGGCCGCTTCTCACCTCCATGCGCGCGCCAGGAGCTGCCGTTGGGCACGCCTCAGCCTCTCCTCTTCGCTGCGCTTCGCCACCTTGTCTCTGGGTCCATCGCGGCTCATGAACTCGTCCAGGTGATCGGTCGCACTTGCTACATGCAGAGAGCCGTTTGCATAACGTTCCGGCTGTTGAAGGTGCTGGCGACCGCTGCCGGTCCGTCTAGGAGACCCAGTATGCGGTACCATCTTGGCATGGACGTCTTCAGCAGCTCGCTGGCCCACTGTACAGCGGCAATGAATGGTGCCAATGTGTGGGGTCTACGGCGAACGATTTTCGGTCAAGTCCTGTCCGGCGCAGACGCTCACTGACCTCGCGGCCATTTCCAGGACCCAGCTCACATCTTGACGATCATTGCGCGCTCTTCGGACATCCAGCAAAGCCATCGTGGAAGGGTAGGTTGTCAAGAGCGAGGGTCATCGCGCGTGAAGGAGCGGGTGAGTGAAGCCGTCTTGATCTGGGTGCCACGCTGATGCCGGGTCGTAGAACGTGTAGACTTGATGACGTCCAGTCTCAGACAGTTCAATGACCCGTCGAAGTCTTGAGCTTCTCGTCGTCAAAGTCAGACAACGAGAGGACGCGGTCAGACCCAGCAGCAGACTACGCGTATTGTATTGTCAGTTGCGTCCCATGCTGCTGACTGATATAGACTCACTAATGCATGCAATGCTGATTGAATCTATCGGTCCGGTGACATATCCATATGTGCCACTCACAGCCGGGCTCCCTCCCTCGTAGCCTTGGCATTAGACCTTCTCCACATCTCCTTCCTCTTCTCGTGCCCCTCCAGGAAGCTGCGGAACCACTCTCGGCGGAACGGCGGCAGCTTTCGCCCGAGGCCCGGAGCGCCTTCGCCCGCGATCGCGCGGAGGGCCTCAAAGTAGTCCTCAAAGTCCGGGAAGATGAGGGAGAACTTTGCCCCGTCGCCACGCGCCGCGATGCGGTCTGCCTCCCATTTGCGCTGCTCTTCCAGCGACGGCAGGGTCGCACGCCCCGCCAGCAGACGGGCGGCGAGGACGGCCTGCCACTCGAACACCTTGAACGTCAGGCCCGCTGCGACAGCGCCGATGAACAGCACCGACGGGTCGTGCTGCCACACGACGTGCTGGTACAGGTCTGGCACGCGGTTGTTGCGCACAGGTACCTGCGGGAGGAACGGGAGTGTCCACGAGTAGCCTGTCCCAAAGATGAGGTGGTCGACGTTGTCAATCTGTGTCCCGTTTGCGAGGTGCACGCTTCGCCCGCTCACTTTGGTGATGGTGGGGTGGTTCAGGATGCGCGGGTGGTCGAACGCGCCACCACCAAAGTAGCCGTTGAAGTTGTGCCCGACGGTAATGGCATGGACGGGGTTCTCGGCCACGTCGATGAGGTCGACGGCAATGTCTGCCGCAGACACGGATGCCCCAACGACTACGACTCGCTGCAATCGTCAGTACGGTTCACCAAAAGTAGTGTGTCCGCCATTCTGCGCATAGCCCGGCACCCTTTGTGACTCACCTTGCCCTTGTAAAGGTCACGGCCGCGGAAGTGCTTGGTGTGGATGATGCTGCCTGGGCGCCCCTTCTCAAACTCCTCCAGGCCCTCGATGGCGGGAATGTACGGCACCCAGTAGTGTCCCGATGCAACGACGACAGCGTCGAACCACTCCACCCACCAGTAGTCGCTGTGAGCGCCCTCGCGGCGGAGGGTCACCTTCCACTCGGCGCCGACCTTCTCGACGTTTTCAACGGTTGTGTTGTATTCGACGAGGTCGGTGTATCCGTTGCGCTCCAGCAGATCGGCAATGTACTTGCGGACGTGTGTCCAGTGGCGGAACGGCGTGTCGGAGCCGTGAGCCTCGATTGAGCGGGCGCTCTTCTCGGTCGGGAACGGCTCCTGGCTAAACTCCATGGCGAGCGCCTGGACGTTGGTCTCGAGGTACGGGTACACGCTCGACTCTGTGTAGCGGGACGCGAGCGACTTGGGCCTCTGTGCTGGGAGCGTCGCGGGGATGGGGACGGGAGGGTCGGCGGTGCGCTTTGCGAGTGCGTCAAACCCAGACAAGGCCGGGGGAGCGGTCGTGTCACCAATCCTAGACGTCAGCGTGCTTTCTCCAAAGTACAATGCGATGGCACACTCACCAACATCCACCTGGGCCCTCGCGGCGCTCAAACACTCGGATAACGTCAAAGGCCTTCTCCTGTGCGAGAGCATCGACGGTGATGGCGCCTGCGGGGCCGGCGCCGATGACGGCTACGCGCTTGACGGGATGGCTTGTCATGACGAACCGACAAGTCTCCAAGTACTCAAGTGGAAGGAAATGTGAGGCGATGATACGTCAAGTGCAAGATGTGGGTCGGGACACTGAACAGTTTGGGTTGGCGTTTCTGAAAGATCGACTGGTGTGTAAAGTACGTGGGGCCTCGGTACAGACGATATACAAATGGCAGTCGCGTCCGGCACCGGGCGGATACGCGGACCCGGTGCCGAGGCGAGACGACACACACAAGCGCCGCCGCCGGCGGCGGTAGTGCTGTTGTTGTGTGCCAAGTCATGAAGGAACATGTGCGGAGGAGAAGTGAGGGATGATGAGGTGATGCAAATGGCTGCTCGCAATCGATATACAATGGCGTTTGCCCGACGCCAAAGCACGCTATATTCGGCGGGGTCCCCACATATGTTGACCCACACTGAGGCCGCCCCAGGAAACTACCCCCACGATGCTGCCAAGGCCACACCGCCGCGTCGCCGTGTGCATTGGCCCTCGGCAGCATGTCGTGCTCTCCCCGTCTGCCCAGCCCAATGGCGACTGCGCCAAGGCGACTGTCGATGGCAATGTCGTTCAAAGAATCCGAAGAAAACGTTGGTGGCATCTCATAATCTCATAATCTCCTACCGCCGGCGCGTTGCCACTCACATTTCCCTCGTGCACATGTGCACTTGGCGATTAGTAATGAACGCCGCAGTGCTTGCGACAGATCGGATATCCAGCGGACAGCTGCGGTACAGAGCCTTGGATGGCGCGTATATACCGCTGGTCGCACTCCGAATCGCTTGCGTCTTGGCTGACGCAGAATCTTTCACATCACACAATGGCTACAGCGTCGAGTCCCGAAAAGGTAGACAGCTTGTGGGCAACCACCACCAAGGTGGAAACTAATGAAAAATCTGGGAACACGGTCTCTGCGACTTCTTCGTCGGCGACAGCTACCGTGGCGGAGACCGACTGGGATGACAAGGTCGGGAGGGCGGCACGGCGAAAGTGAGTCTCCTACGCAAGGCCCAAGAAGGCTGAGGACGCGCTGACAAGCACCCTCAGAGTCGACAGCACGGTCCTTCCTTTACTCTTCCTGGGCCTCCTCGTCTTCCAGTTGGACCGCATGAACATTGCCAGTGCCCTCACCGGTGGTCTGAAGGCAGATATCAACATCGACCAATCCACCGTGAACCTCGGGAACCAACTCATGTTCATGTCCATTGTCTTGCTAGAAATACCCTTCAATATGGCACTGCAGTGGGTGAGTAGGATGTCGTGAGGTCGGCTCTGTCTCTCGAAGCCCGGGTCCTCGCCGCCAGACAGGCACTCACACTGCAGCTCGGTCCACGCAAGTGGCTTTCGCTCCAGATCTTCATCTTTGGCCTGATCGCCACACTCCAAGTGTTCGTCAAGAACCGGGCGGGCTTCCTGGCTGTGCGCTGCATTCTCGGACTGGCGGAAGCCGGATACATTCCCGGCGGTGCATACACCCTGTCGACATGGTACACCAAGAAACAACTGGCGCGACGTGTCGCCATCTTCTTCTTTGGCATGTTTGGCGGCAATGCCATCAGCCCTCTGCTCGCATCGGGCATCCTCAAGCTTGACGGTGTACATGGCCTTAGGGGCTGGCAGTACATCTTCCTTAGTAGGTAGCCCAAGGGCCACTCGAGGCTATTCGGTGGTCAACCGTGCTACACAAGCAACCTGGCAAGTATGTTTGCTGACACTCCCCTAGTTGAAGGCCTGTTCACGGTCGGGGTCTCAGTCCTCATGTTCCTATTCCTTCCCGGCTCCCCTTCCCAACCCCGCCCACTTGGCACACCCGGTTTGATCCGTTTCAAGGCCGTCGAGACCCAGTACCTCCAAGACTGCCTGGAAGCCGACAGTGACGAACACAACTATGGCGCCTCAGGCATGAAGATCCCTTGGAAGCTGGTCTGGGACACGGTCTCGCATTACAAGCGCTGGCCGCACTATGTTTCCACCTTTGCCGTGTTCTCGACCTGGGCACCACTGACAACCTACACGCCGTCAATCGTCAAGTGAGTGGAGTGGCTCTCCATTGCGGAGAGCAGTAGTGAATCTAGTTGTCCTCATCTCAGGTTTCACTTGCCTGCCCCATGTTCCTCAGCGATGTGCAGCAGCTGACATTCCAGGGCTCTTGGTTTCGATACAATCTCAGCCAACGCGCTTGCAGCCGTTGGCCCGGCCCTCTCTCTGCTCGTCGTTTTCCTCTTTGCGTGGCTCAGCGATCGCACAAACCGCCGCGGCGCGACCGTCATCGTCGCGCAGGTCTGCTATCTCATCGTCCTCATTGTCGCCCGCCAGGCCCAGCCGCACGTCGGCAAGTGGTCCCGCTGGGGCCTGTGGACTGCTGTCAACGCGTTTGCGGTCGGTTACCACCCCGTGCACAACTCGTGGGTGCAGCTCAACTGCCATGATCCGCGCGAGAGGAATATCAGTATTGCGTGAGTAGACCCGGGTGTTGGGGGTCACGATAGCGGCAGCAGTGCCCAAGGGTTCACCGGCGCAAGACATTGTTACTCTGTACTGACCCCGTTCAGCATGTGGGTCATGGCGGCCATCTCAGGCCTCATGTGCGGCTCGCAGTTTTACCAGGGCTCGGACGCGCCGTTCTACAACAATGGCCTCCGCACCCAGATCATCATGGTCGCGGTGGGTATCGCCGCGGCCGCGGCACAGATTGTCATCTACGTGACGCACAACAGGCTCGTTGAGGAGGGCAAAGGTGTGTCCAAGGACGGCTCTGCACCGCGCGTTTACGTGCCCTGAGGGGGGTGAGAAAGAATGCAGCATGTGGCGTGCGAGGCGGATGTTGTGTATGTATGGTAGTTTTCACAAAACGAAAACGAAGCTGGGGGGTGCGCCAAGCACTGACAGCGCTGCTGCTGGGGCGAACACGGCGGAACAGTGCGGAGCAGTGCGGAATGGCAAGGCGCTCGCCAAAGGACCAAAAACGACCAAGACGCGCGAGACGTTGCGCCGCCGGTGGGGCCGCCAGTGGGGTCAGTGGCACAGTGGTACAGCTGTCCAGCGGCGACTTGATGAGACGCACGCACGAATGGCAGGTTATTGACGAATAATCCCTCGAGTGGTTCTGACGAGGTTTTCCCGCAAACGCTGGGATGATGTGGGATATGATGGATGGGACCGTGAGGCCGGTGGCCGGTGGGGGCGGACAGTGTTGCGGATGGCGTAGAAGGACGTCGTAATGAGCTCCCCACTGCCCCACATATGCACCCCACCGTCGAGCGGAATACGGCATTGCAGAACAAGTCGCGGTTAAACTGTCGGGCGCCGAGCTCGAAATAACCCGCCGTGCGTTCGGTCAATTCCGAGTTTGTCTGTGATCTGTGGCCACCCGACACGTCCTCTCGATACGTCTGCGGGCCATCTACTCTGGTATATACATCCAAAAGTACTGCTGCAGGTCCCATACCGCACACACAGCGAGCACCCACTCCTTGAGCACAACAGCCATGACGACACCGACGCAGCGCTTCTCACCATGCCCGACCCCGTTCTCAGACCACGTCTACAAGACGGTCCAAGGTGTTGACATCCCTCTGCGTATATGGCCCGCGACTGGCCCAGAGGCCAACCAAGGGCCACGGCCCTGGCTCCTCTGGTACCATGGTGGTGGCTTTATGTGAGTAGCCAGCAGGCAACACTACTCGACGTGGGGCCGGCAAACGTTGCGTTGCACCACCGGGCTGTGAACTATTGATAGCGTGCTGACATGACGTTCTCTTGATCTTGATCGGCGTCAATCTTGCTCGCGGTCTCCCTTGGCAGCGCGGGGAAGCATGCCATCCCGAACGCTTGGGTCGTGCCGGCCTTTCGGTCGCGCGGATATCACGTCGTGAGCGCCGCCTACCGCTTCATTCCCCACGTCAACCTAGACGACATTGTGACCGACACGATCGACGCCCATGCGTGGTGCCGCCTGCACCTCGCCGACATCCTGGCACAGACGGATGGAAAGGTTGACATTGACGCACTGGTAGTGGGTGGAGACAGTGCCGGCGGAACCCTCTCAACGCTGGCCGGGCACAAGCTGTCGCCGCCGCCCAGAGTGGTGGTGGACGTGTTTGGCGTTGTCGACCTGACCGACCCACACATGACAGGCGAAGGGGTCGACCCGGACAGCCCTGCTGCAGTTATGTTGCGCTCCATCCCCCTGTCGGGTGCCTTCACCGCAGAACAGGTGGCCACCGCGCTCGCCGAGACGGACCCCAGCAAGGCCGAGGTCATTGCACCTTGGTCGTGGGAGATGGATCCCAACATGGACCTCGCGACGCTCCAGTCCTTCTGGGGCATGCCCTCCTTCAAGGTTGACCCCGCCCACACGCTACGCATGGACATGCTGCTGCAGATGAGTAAGGATTCGTCCATGGGACGCTTGCTTGTCCGACCTAAGGACGCAGCCGGCCACAAAGACCTGGACGATTCGCAGGTGCTCGCTGCTCAACTCCGAAAGTGGTCCAGCTCACTCATGCTCAACGACAAGGACAACTATCCGCCTACCTTCTTCCTCCATGGGCACAAGGACCGTGCGGTGCCCATTGCGCAGAGCCAGCGCATGGCAGCCAAGCTGAGGGAGATGGGTATCCCAACAGCCGAGGCATACTCGCCTGATGGCGACCACTGCTTTGAGAATGTCATCGAGGTGAGTTTCGGAAAGATTGAATGAAGCTCAGGTTTCACTGGCACTGGAGCGGTCTGTCTCACCGCCGTCTTCTATGCTGATGTCCGGCAGCGACCAGAGGACGCTGGATGGAACGAGTACATTGTTCCGTGCATGGACTTCATCGATGTCCACATTTCCAAGTAAACTGTCCACTCTGCTTTTCTGTGGGCCGGTCTGTGGGCGAGTCTCTAGACTGGCATGTAGGTAGGTGCTTTGGGAGGTGAACACTACTGTTCCGAGGGCAAGACGGGACATAACGGAGCGATGAGAGCCAAATGCACATACTATCATTGGAACACCGACCACACATACGTAAAGGAAACTACTGAAGTCCTTTGGCTGCCTTGTTAAGCACGACCATGGCCGGTCTTGGAGCGGTGCTGGCTCGCCGACCTAGATGATGGTGGTCTCGATGGCGAACTGTTCATCGCCGACCTGGCGGCGGTATTCCTCGCAGCTCATGAACTTGACAACGGGGTAGAGGTCGATAGGCTGGCCATTTTTGTCGCTCATCATCACCCTGGGGTGTTTCTTGTCCTCGGCAATGGCGGATTTGAGAACGTTCGTGAGGCGAGCGTTGCGGTCGTTCCAAGTCTCGCCAGCCTTAGCAGTGGCAATGTGACCACAGTCGACAAAGGTGACGGTGCGGACCACAAAGTTGAGCATGTCGATCCCACAGCAGCCAAGAAGAAGGCCGACCAAGTAGTCACGTCCTTCCACGCTGTCACCGACGAGAGCCAAAGACGACATGGAGCCGAGTGGGGTCGATGAAGAGCTGAACATGAAGACCAGTTCCTTGACATTCTTGGGAGTGTCGAAGAGGTAGTACGTCATGGCAGTGCTGACAGTTGGCATTGGAACACTGTCGCTGACAGCAATGTGGAACACCTGCTTGGTAACGCGCCCGTGAATCTTGCCCGAGGTGGTGTACATGGTGAGGCGGGGCTTTGGGACAAAATCAGGGTGGGGGAAGGCATCAAACGAGGTAATCAGAGTCGGGGCAGCGGCAAATTTAAGGTTGCCAGTCTCGTACTGGGGAAGACGGACGGCGCGACGGTTACGCTTGGCCGCGAGAGTGAGGTTGTCCATGACACATTGGCGGTCGGTGTACGAGGTGCCGGGAGGAAAGTCGAAGATGCGGACAAAGTTGAGGAGAAAGGCACTGGAAGGAAGGCCGTCATCGTCTGGGTGGCCAAAGCGGCGGTTGGTGGTAACGGGAGCATCCGACTTGGTAGCACCGGGAACGAGAGTGAGGTGGAGGCCCTTGTCCTTGAGGAGAGCGTCGATGTACGCCTTGCAGCCCTTGGACGCAGAACGGATGACGAGGAGAGCAGCAACTGGCGCGTAGTGGATGATGCTGTCCATGACGTGGGGAAGGTAGCAGGCGTCGATCACATGGTCGGCGGGGGTCGTCTTGGAGGGCTTGGTGTAAGGCTTGCGACGAGCTGGCTTGCTGGCCGTGGGGGTGGGCTTAGCCGTGGCCTTTGTGTTGACTGTCGCTGTGTTCTTAGTCTTGGCTTTGGGCATGGTTGGAGAGAGGATGGGTGTGGTGGATGGATGTGGTGGATGGACGGAGATGTGAAGAAGAAGAGAAATCCCTATGGGCACGGTGGTACGGTGGTGCGTTGGTGTAGGTACGGTGGCAAAAAACGACAGCCGCCCGCGAAGCGATCGTCTCGCACATGGCACAATGCACACACACACACACAGACGCCCGCGGACAAGTGACTGTCCGTGATAAAACTGGTTTTTTTCACTGGCCCACTGGCCTCCTGCATGGTTAGTCCTCACATTAAGATACTGGGAAGAGAGGTCGCACGCATCGTCCGTCCGTCTTGGTCTCCACACCCAACCTGTGGCACAAGACTCCACGCCTTCCTTCCTCACGCTCAAACTAGTAACTCCCATTTCTCAACCTCAACAACCCCAACAACGGGATGCCACTCTTTGTAAGTGTTCTTCCCTGTCACCATGCTCTCTCTGTCCAATCGGCCGGCCTCTGCTATCTAATCAACCCTTTAATGAAAAGAAACCCCGTGCAAATCAATCACTCACTCAACCCACCGCCGGGTGCTGCTGACCTTGGCCTTCATGTTCTTGTCGCCATGTTGACGTAGCCCTCATATTCCCGTTGCCCAAGGGTTACCATGCACCGCATGCATTGGGATTTGCTTCTAAGGCTTGCTGATGTTCCTTAGACAGTTGCCAGTTGCCTCCAAAATGGCGCCAGCCGCGTGCGGCTTTCATCTCTATCCCCCGTTATTGAACTTTCTGGGTGCACATATCCGTTATCTGGGCACTTGTAAGGCGTTTGGAGAGGGAAAACTGCTATGGGGAGCAGGGTAGGGTATGGGAAAGGCGCCAACTAGTCTGTCCAAGGGATATCCTCGTGGCAGCTATAACGTAGACTCACCTGCGCGAGGGCCGCGGGGGTGAATTCGCGTAAAACAATCAACCCGATTCTCCAGAAATGGACTGGGTTACGCACATTTCATCGTGCAGTACTCCTCGTAAATGATCAGCTGAAGCAACGGCCACAGGTCCCCGAGCCCAGCAGTGGTCCGACCACAGTGAGAGTGAGATGCACCAAATGTGAGCCACTCCGATCGGCTTTTCCGACCCCCAGAGTGTATAGAGCAGGTAGGCAAAACGCTCGAGGGTAAAGTCAGGAGTTGAAAGAATTATCAAGAGACCACAACGCGTACAGCACCTGACAAACATTGCTTGGCGAACAGTGAGGACCTGAGAATCGTCGTCGGAAGACGCCCTGACGGACCCGGAGTGGTGACAACCAGTGCTCCTCACTGCGGCACCGCGATTCGCTACTGGCACTCGGTTTCACCGATATCTCGCAGCTGTGCATTGCCATTCCCTAAATTATACCGCCAGGGTCACATCTCAAGAAGGTCCCCAGAAAACAGTAGTGCCAAGTGTGTCAATTTTGTGTCAGTGCACCCACCCATCCCCCTCCTTCCTCATCCCGTCGGAACAACGGCCGGTTCCTGCGGAATGAGCCTTCGGAACGGGGAAGACTCATAAAAACTCATCGTCCTCCGATGCATAGTTCGACCACCCCGCCGGTCATGGCGAAACGCGAAGTCAACAGCTCGGTAGCTGGATCAGTGTAAGTGTTCGGACTGTTGTCTGGGGCGACGTTGACCTGATAGCGCCTTATATGATCCGAACGGACCAGTGGCAATAATTGCCGCCATCTGCTGGCTGGCGTTGGCCGCAGCAATGTGGACGAGTGAGCTTTGGAGATGTAATGTTACTGACATGCAGGATATTACCGTACATCAAATGCGGATGGTCGCCCAAGGTTCATGCGTCCCACTGCGCTGGGCTGTTCATTCATGTGTATCGGGTTTTTATGTCGATTTTCGCGCAGAAACCACATCAACGCGTGGTCGTGGCTCTTTGAAACGCTCGTAAGTGCACAGCTTCAGAACGCGACCTCATAAACCCCCAGTGCATCCTTCTCTCACCGTGTTTATTCCTTGCTCAAAATTACACCCTTCTCCCGCGTCTCGCTGCCTACGTTGGCCGCCGCGACTGTCTCCCTCTCCAGCGCCGAGCCATGTTGTGGACGTACGTCACCGCCGACATTGTTACCGTCATTGCCCAGTTGGCTGGAACAGCCCTGACGATTACATTTGGAAAGCTTGTAGAAATCGGCGTCAAGGTGGGCTGCGAATTGTCTGTGGCGTCTGCTGACCTTTGCTCCAGACAACGACGGCGGGGTTGTGGGTACAACTGGGATTCTTTTTGAGTTTCATCGCCCTACTCGTCATCTTTGGTCGGCGAGGGTGAGTGTTCGCCAACACAGCCAATGCTAATTCCAGGCTTCCACGAGTCCCGCAATGGAGGCTACTCAGTTGCACAGGGCTGTACGTGGCCATGTCGGTTGCCTGTGGCTGTCTTCTAGTCCGCTCCATTTATCGAGTCGCCGAGTTTACTGCCGGGTAAGTGGTAACTTCATCACCGTGGCTAACATTGGTCAGGGCCTCCAGTGCTCTCGGACAGAGTGAGGTCGCCTTCTATCTTCTCGACTGCATTCCCAACCTTCTCGCCGCGGGCGTGTTCCTGCTCATCTGGCCCCCCGCTTGCCTTGACCAAGACAACGGGCAAATGGAGCTAGGAGCAGTGAAGGCTTAGAATCGCTACATTTAGACATACATAGACAATTGACAATGTAACCCATCTGATCATATGTTTCCTAGCATCTGATGATCAAAGGCATTCCAGTCAAATCCCAAGAACATGTCCTCCCACATGAACGGGGCTGGCTCTTGTGGTTCGGGCGGAGAATTGACAAAGTCACTCCACACCAGGGCCGCGTTCATGTTGTCAATGTATGTCAACGTCTTCTCAGCGGAGAGGTGCGACTCCTCGAGTGTCTTCCGAAAGGCGAGCATGTCCGGTAACTCAATCTCGGGGTGCAGGAGCTTTATCTGCCGCAACGTCGCATATGCGAGGAAGCAGATTGTGAGGGAAAATCCAGGAAGCATTGTCAGGTTGGTGGTTTGTTGGACAGACTGTTCGGCAATAACACGACATGATCCAACGAGGTGCTTGCCAAAACCTGAAATGATGGCAGGGAATCGGGCACCCTTAACAATGAGGGGTATGGCGTGTCTTGAATCTGAGCTCAGCTTGAGGCACATGGCAGCCTCCAGCTGGTACGAGTGGAGGAGGAGGTACGGGGTGGTGGCTTCGATGTGTCAGGCGGCTTGCATGTGGAACACTCACCAAGAGACTCTGTGGTCACCACCTCGCGCCAGGCCTCCAATCGGTCGTGAGTGGCCTGTATCGTCGCCAGAAGATTATCCACGAGGGCAGAGTCAAACGTTGGGGCTATCCTCAACGCTCGCACAGCCTCTGTCAGCGGCTGCGTGGCGTCTAGAAGCATCGACTCGAGGACGAGGTGCACCGTCTCCGGCCCCAGAGACCGTGCGCGTTCCACTGGAAGGATCGAGTACAAGCGCGGTGCTGAAGAGGCGGGCGGGAAAAAGGACAAGGCTGTGAACATGTGGTCCCTAGCGGCGTCAGCGAGGGAGGCTTTACTATGGTAGACCAGCCAATTTACCAAGCATATCGATGGTACACTGCGTAATACTACCCCCGTCAGTAAGGCCCAGCACCCAAAACTTACCAACTGAACGTCCTCGATAAGGTTGTCGACGCCCACTGTGGTCCAGGCCCCTCGCCCCAAAATGTACACCGCCTCGTTCACGCCCACCTCCTCCAGGGACGCGAAAGCGCGCGCCGACGCGCCAAACGGGTCAGCCCTGCTCGGAAGAGCGTGTACCGTTGTTCCACCTGGGGCATGCGAAAAGACCAAACAGGCTCTCAGGGTATCACGCGATGCTGGTGCAGAGGGCAGTGCTGCTAGTTCGACATGGACTCGATGCAGGACGCGAGCACGGAAGCGGGTGTCTTCCGGGGAACCCAGTGTCGGAGAACGGTGTGCGGCGTAGTGTACAACGCATGCACGCATGAGGTGGTCCGTAGAGTCAAGACCAAGGTTGATGGGTAGGTATGTCGGCAACGTTTCGCGAGTTCTGAGCAAGGTCAGTAGGACACGAAGGAGTAGGCGTATGAACGTACATTCGGATGGCTTCTCGCAAGCCGGCGGACGTGACGAGGCCATGAGCGACAACGTCTGGGAACGACGGGCGATAGGGAAGCTGCAGAGCATACGAGATGCGGGATGAAGCGCTCATGTAGTACTCCTCCGAGTCGGCCGGCAGTGCAAGGTGTTGGCCATCACCGTCCGGCCGTCGAGGTTGTGGAGCGCCGGCGAGGAGGCGGGCGAGACTGGCTATTGTTGACTCCATGCGTTCCATTTTGATGCGCATTGTGCGTAACTCGGTCGCTGCAGAGGCTTTTAACGGGTCGTGGCTTGAATCGGGGGACACATCTTGGTTGCTGTCGTCTGCCTCCTCATCCCTCGCCAGCGAACAGTCGGTGCCCAGCACGCGGCAGCGGTGACAGCCCGACGCGGTGACGAGCTCACAGCGTGACTTGCGAGACTGGCATTGTTGACAGGCGTTGGAGACCTTTGTGCGCTTGCGCTTGGCTGCTGGAGGTGGTGATGGAGACATGTTTAAACGATCAAGGTGGTGCTCTGGTTGTGACGTCAACAATGAGATTCAAAATGGGCGACGCTTGTGTGGCGTATATGATCGGGACGAGGACGACCGTGGGAAAAAATGATGTCTGGGGCGGAGGACCTGTGTGGGGACCCCACACGTGTGCGCTGTTGGGCCCGTGATCGCGTGTTGGGGCCGTGTTGCAGCTTGCAGAGCGTGTTGGATCGTTGGATCGTTGGATCTTGGACGTCGGGACAACCGCCACACCACACGTCGTTACCATGAGCATACCACGTACATGTGCTGAGACACTGCCCACGTCTTCACAACTCCAGGGAGCGGACAATACAAACACCACCCTTCCGTCGTGACCTGCACTGGCCCATATAGTGGATGTCAACGATCGAGGGACAACGACAGTGTGCAAGCAGTGAGTGACAGTCAGTTGCAAAGTGAACACGAGCGAGGGCCGCGCACTGCCGAACAACAACACACCCCCCCCCCCCCCCCCCCCCCCCCGGCCCCCCTTCCCCTTCCTGTCCCCACATGCTAGGCTCAGAGGCACACGGCCATCACCGGCCCGTGGGTACGACAGGACGCGTTTGGACGCGTCGCTCAAGCCGTCCATGCCGCCGGGGGACGGGATAGGGATGCACCGAATGTGGAGAAGTGTGTTCATCTACCGAACGTCCATGTCACTACAGCCGTGATACCCGGTCGTGTCGGTCTGCTGAAACGCTCGGACTGTCGGCGCCGACTGCCATAAGGGATGGAGAGAACCAAGAGGTTACAAATAGAGTTTTCCGGAAATGGCGTCATGTGCCGTTGTGTGGCCAAGGAGGGGACTGTTGAGGACGCGCTTTTGTGACCTCCTCAAAGTGGCATAAGGGTCACGGGCGGGCTGCTCGTGTTTCCCTGCCCGCTGTCGGCATCCTGTTGTCCCGATCCTTCGGTATGCAACATGCAACATGCAACATGGTTGTCCAACTCTGCCTGTTTTGACTCCCCGGCCCGGGGCCCGGGGCGGCCCTTCTCGAAGAGTGGCGCACGGGTGTGGCCCACCATTTGGCATCTGGTCTGACAGAACCAGAGCGTGATTCCTTACGGACACAACCCATCACCCAACTTGCAGCCTGCTCAAAGGTGCGCAGTTAAGCTTACCACTAGGCAGTGGCTCACTGCGCACTGCGATCACTGCCCCCAAGGCCCAAGGGTTGCATGCATGATATGCATCAGATCACGTCACGGAATCACGGGCTGGTCACGTGATCCGACGCTTCCTCGGCTCGCTCGGCTCTCTCTCCCCAACACACCACCCACCGCCGATTTCGGTGTTTCATCGCCGCGCGTTGTGTTTTTGATTTCACTCCACCTCTCTAGTGTGTTGACGGCCCGCCCCCATGCCGCCGACACCCCACGGCGGCCCGGATCGTCAACGGGCGAATGTTGGACCGAGACCTCGTTGCGGGCCGTCGCAGCCGCTCGGCGCCGCGACACCGAGCTCAATGTCAGCTGACGATGGCGTCCCGTGGAGCACCGACGCGTCCACAGAAAGGACAGAAGGAATAGACCGAACAACTCGATTGGGGGACGCGTTCGACCCTGGATGACGCGGTGCGCGTTTGGTTTGTTGTAGTAGAGGTCACTCGATCAATGGTACTTAAGAACTAGTCAGAGAGCACTGATCAAGACCATCCCAACAAGCAAACTCGCGACACACAATGGCCGTTGCAACTTGGGCCTTTGCCGTCCTCGCATGGCTGGGGGGTGCCAACGCCCTCCTCAACGCCACAGAGACGACCACCACCATCACACTCGCCAACGAACGCATGAGCTTCATTCTCACCAAGGCCACCGGCTACATGACGGGTGTCACTCTGGATGGCGTCAACCTCCTCGGTACGAGCGTGTCCTCGTCCACCGCCATTGGACCCTATGTGGACGCCATATTTACGCCGAAGCAAACCCTCTTGACCCTCGGTAGCACTGCCAATCACACCATGTTCACGGGCACTGATTCGACCGGCAAGAAGTATGGCGGTATGGTCTTGAACCAAGATAATGCCGATGGTGTCCCCGGCGCCGTGCTCCAGCAATACTGGCTGCTCCGTGAAGGCGAAACCAACCTCCATGGCTTCAGCCGTATCGCGTATCACGGCGACGTCGAGAACCTGGCTATCCTCACCCAGATTAGAACTCTCTTCCGCCCCCACGGTACCTTCTGGACCCACATGAGCGTCACCGACGACTTTTACGCTCCCGAGCCCGCCCCGGATCCAGCCGTCGCCTCGCAGGACACAGGTGTCGCTACTCTGGTGCAAGACACTACCTGGTACCTTGGTGCCCGCACGGGTAAGCTGAACCATCACTGACGTACTGTACACGTTTGCTGACCATTTCAGGCGACCCCTGGGTCACGGAAACGGCCGACTACTTTACAAAGTACAGTATGACCGATACCTACCGCGACCACGACGTCCACGGCCTCGTGGCCGATGGAACTCGAACCGCCGACAACTCAACCTATGGCGCGTGGATGGTTTACAACACCAAAGATACGTTCTACGGTGGCCCCACTTATTCAGAACTCACAGTCGATGGCCTGGTAAGCAGTAGCCGAAGGCGTAAACCGTTGCTGACTCTTTTTTTTTCAAAATACATAAATAAATAAAATACAGCTTTACAACATCATGATGAGCAACCACCACGGCAACACGTCGCCCAACATCACCAACGGTTACGACAGGACGTTTGGTCCCAGCATCTACCACTTCAACAAGGGACCTGCTGGCCAGTCGGTCGAAGCTTCTGTCGCTTCCCTCCGTGCCGAAGCAGCCACGCACGCCAATGCCAACACCTACGCCCAGTTTTACGACGACGTTGCTCAGTACGTCACCGGCTACATCCCCACTTCGAGCCGTGGCAAGTGGTCGTCCAAGATCCATCTTCCCGATGGTGCCATCAACCCCGTTGTCATCCTCTCCGCGCCGGGCCTTGACTACCAGGACAATGGCTTTGACGTCAATGCCTACCAGTACTGGGTGACTCCCGACGCCAAGGGTAACATTGTGATTGACAAGATCAAGCCTGGCAACTACCGAGTCACAGCATACGCCGAGGGTATCTTTGGCGACTTTGTCTATGAAAACATCACCATTGCTGCCGGCAAGACGACCAACACGGGTACCCTGCAGTGGCGCGCCGAGTCTGCCGGCACTGAACTCTGGCGTATTGGAACCCCCGACAAGAGCGCCGGCGAGTTTAGGCATGGCAATGCTCCCTCGTCGCGATCCGGTGCCATCGACGAGTTTAGGGTGTACTGGGGCGCGTACGACTTCCCCACCGACTTCCCCAACGGCGTCAACTTTACTGTTGGCAAGAGCGACATTGCGACAGACCTCAACTACGTCCACTGGAGTGTGTACGGCTCGACTTACACGCGTCCCGCCATTGTGGCGTCGCCGACCATCAACAACTGGACCATCAACTTTGATACCACTGCCGCTCAGCTCAAGAACAAGAAGACGGCCACTCTCACCATCCAGTTCGCCGGAATTGGTACCGAGGCAGGCAACACGGATGTCATGACGGGCGCGTATGCCAACCTCCCGTACAACGTGGCCATCAACGGCAACGACCTTGAGACGTTTGTCGTGCCGGCGTGGCACTCGTCGAGCTGCTCCATTCGCTCGGGCATTACCTGTTATCAGGTCCGCAACCAGTGGACGTTCCCCACCGCCAGCTTGAGCACCACTTCAACCAACGCCATGACTCTCAGCCTGCCGTTCAACGCGACCGCAGGAGCCGTCACTCTCTCCAGCTTGTCAGTCATGTATGATGCCCTCCGTCTGGAGGTGGCCTAGGGGTGAGGGGGTTCAGGAGCCGCAGTGCAGAGTGAAGACAAGAGTTACGGAAACAAGAATGAATAAACTATGGCCCTATCACGATAGTCCATCAGATAACATGAGCAAAAGGAGTTGATGGATACAAGACCGCAGCGTTTACAATAGCGCCTCGGGAATTGCTAAAAAAGTCCATGCTTGTGACAGCATCGATGATCACGGAATGGTGGGTAGTTTATGTTCGTCCGGGCGATCAGGGCCCCCTACTAGTCGACGTCGCCTTCTACGTTGTGCCGATGTGCGTCGGTGAGGGCAATACTGTAAGCTCAATGGAAGTTCCGGTACTGACGGGTACAGGGAGACACAAGTGCCCTGGAACTGCGGACGGTGTAGGTTGGAGCCAACCTCTGTGCTGGCATTGTTCCTGGTTGACAGACATCGCCCACCACGAAACGCCGTTACAGAGGATGTATGTATTTGGGTCCCACATCATGGCCTGTATCTCTTCCCAAATAACACACAGCATGCTCAGAAACAGCGCAGCCATGCCCATGGAGATATCAACAGTTGTTGGCGGCTTGACACACCCCCTATCGCGGCACCCGCTGCCGTTATGATCTGTGACGACGACGAGCTCAAAGGCCCGTATGGCCGGCCACACCGGAACACCGGGCTAAACACACCCTTTCAGCATCCGTCAATGGCATGTGATGCCAAGTAGTCAGGCAAAACGCGCATCTCGCTTCTGTACACACACCACCACTCAACCAAGAACTGCGGCCACGCCATGTACACGGACAGCGGGTTCGCGGTTCACCACTGTTTTCGGCTGCAACCTCCTCCCGGGGGAGGCGACAATGACCCTTTTCGCCGCGTTTTCATCATGTGGATGGATACGTCACCAAGGGTGGCATTTACCAAGAGCTGCGGTGCTTTGGATTGTGAGTCCCCGAACCACCGTGTCCGTTGACGACCAGTACGAGCGGCGAGTCACAGCTTGGGCACACTGACAATGGGCCGACCTGATCCTTGCCGGCTACATTGTAACCGCAGCCTTAGTTGACTGTTGACAGGGCTCGGGGCCTCAGGCTATTCGCAGTTCTGCCGCGGTGCGATCTTTGGTGCAGAGAATCTCCCTGCGCTCTACATGACATTTTCTCACCTCGAACTTGACACCGGTGTGAATAGCTGCATGCAGTTTGGCCTACACCGACATGCACCGTTGTCCTCACCCCTGGTTCCCCGAGCCTTGGTGTGCGTGACTTTTTTGTCACCGGCATTCGGGAATTACAACTGCGCTTCCTTTCTTCCCCACATTCTCACCCCCCCCCTTTCCTTCTTGGGCAGCTGCTTAAGGAGGGATCTAGGGAGCACTTCGGGGTCCGATGTCGGACGCTGTTATGGGAGCTGTGCGGCCCCTCCGGACGGCGGCACGGCAGAGTAATGATAACAGGGACAGACACATTTCCCCGTGTGGGGAAGAAGCATAGTTTTGTCGAGAAATATCCGCTGGGCCGGTATCGGCAAATCATCCGTGCAACCACCGCGCAAACAGGATGCTACTAGTTCAACCGTGCACAGGGAATAAAGGAGAAAGGCTGCGCAAGGTGACGAGAGAGTGTAGGAGGGCCAAGAGCGCAGCTCTCCTCGAATACCCCCACAATGCATATGTGAATCTCCAATCCTCCCCGCGGGGCCGACGGGCACAAGGGACCAGAGGAGACAGTCGATCCAAAGTCCTGGCCACGTAACGCCATTCGCTTTATCCCAGAGCGGGGACTTCGAGCTCGCCGCATTCCGCGTTAACACTCCCCCGGCCGTATGGCTGCGGCCCCGTGGAGCCACTACAAGGCCGCACACCACCGATTCTCGATCCATGTCGGCCGTATCCTTACTTGCGCATTCGAGTACGTCAGGCCATGGGGGCGGGTAGATGGCGGTAGGCACGCCGAGCTCATCCACAAATGCACAGTTCCCACAGATGCACAGTCCCCGGTTTGTGAGGGGCAGTGGCTCTGAGCGTTGCCGGCGTCAATGAACCCGCGCCCCATTGAAGGTGGTGTACGCAATCGCAACCACAATCTGCATATAAATGAGGAACCACGGCAGGACAATCCCCCCAAGCGACACCAACATATCATGTCTGAGAGACCAGAACTCACTGACGACAACAAGGCAGAGGTCATCTGCCTTGAAACTATGGCGAAGGCCGAGTACAATGACTCGCGCCAGGAGGCCATCGCCGCCGAAGAGTTTGAGCACAACATCGGCAGGTGGGAGGCGTTCAAGACCTACAAGAAGGTAAGTAAAATCACGGTTATCGCTGGCGATGTATGTACTCACATACAGGCTGTCTTTTGGTCACTCCTTGCGTCCACATCGATCGTGATGGAAGGTTACCAAATCGTTTTGCTCAGCAGCTTCTACGCTCTTCCTGCATTCCAGCAAAAGTATGGTGAATACTTCCCAGAGCTTGACACGTGGGCCATCCCCGCAAACTGGCAGGTCGGCTTCGCCGTTGTCGTGTCGGGCGGCGGCGTCCTCGGGGTGCTGGTCGGTGCGATGGAGGTCGACCGTTGGGGTTACCGATGGACTCTTATCGCCAACCTCGTCTTGATTATTGGCTGTATCGGTGAGGTTTAAGCTCCAGTGGTCAACTTACTTACACACAGCAATGGTGGCATTCTCCCCAAACCGCTGGGTCCTACTCGTGGGCGAGCTGCTGTGCGCTGTGCCGTGGGGCGTATTCAGCACGTTAAGCACAGCCTACGCGTCCGAGGTGTGCCCGATCTCACTGCGCGGCTACCTCACAACTTACATCAACTTGGCGTGGGTCATCGGCCAGCTTATTGGCTCGGGCGTCATGAACGGGTACGCTGTCAAGCACGCGAATGAGACAATGGGGTACCGACTGCCATGGATGCTTCAGTGGATGTGGCCTGTGCCAATTATCGTACTGCTGTACCTTGCGCCCGAGTCACCCTGGTGGCTCACTCGTCGGGGCCGTCTCGAGGAGGCGGAGCAAAGCATCCGCCGTCTCACCGATGTCCAAGACCCGGGGCACGCCCGTAATGCTGTTGCCATGATGGTGCGCACCAACAACCTCGAGAAGGAGATTTCGAGAGGCGCCTCGTTTGCAGCCTGCTTCCGTGGTACGGATCTGCGCCGTACAGAAATCTCTACAATGGCGTACGGGTGTCAGGTGTTCTCAGGCATCGTTTTTGGTGGCTCAATAACCTTCTTCTTTGTGAGTTTTATGTGGCATGTGCGCGGCACCCCGCGCACCGGCTGCGTAGAAACGAGTTGGACTCCTCCGCTACTCTGGCCTATGCCTGCTTTTGCTCTCTTCGGGACCTGACATCACAGACGCAAGCAGGCATGAGCACCGACAACGCGTTCAAGATTGGCCTCGGTAGCTTGGCTCTGGCGTTTCTCGGCACATGCACGTCCTGGATCTTCCTCAGCCGTTGGGGCCGCCGCACAATCTTCGTAACCGGTATGACAGGCATGACGTGCTCGCTCCTGCTCGTAGGAGTGTGCGCTACCGTCGCCGCCGCAGGCCACGAGGGAGCGCTTTGGGGCGAGGTCGCTATGATTTTTGTGAGTGCACACATGACCCTATCCGGAGAGCGCCATTAATCCCACTCAAAGGTTTGGACCATCTTTTACACCACCACCGTCGGCCCCCTCGCATTCACCATTATTGGTGAGACGTCGTCGACCCGTCTTCGCAACAAGACAGTCGGCCTTGCACGCGGCATGTACAACATCTCCAGCCTCGTCGGGGGTGTGATTAATCCTTACATGATTTCGACTACGGCGTGGGGCTGGGCTGGCAAGGCCGGCTTTTTCTGGGGCGGTATGGCGTTCCTGGGTACGGTGTGGGCCTATTTCCGCCTCCCAGAGATGCGTGGGCGCTCCTTCCGCGAGCTAGACATCCTGTTTGGTATGTGTTCCGAGCGTAGTGAGATGATGGCCTCTACTAATGTGACCAGAACGTCGCGTGTCGGCTCGCAAGTTTGCCACAACCGACGTAACGGAGAACGACGACGACTAGGTGCTTCACGACCACGCAGCTGGAGGCCAAATTGTGCAGTAGCGTTGAAAATAAGTTCTGGTTTGTAGTCGGATGAAATTCTTTGAGTGTGGACTGTAGGCGGTCAGAGTCCAACACCAGTTACACCGTGAAAGCAGTCCTCGTGGTGCTTGCTGCCTGCCTTCCTGATACTTTAAAAACTAAGATATTCACGAAAATGATAATGATAATGACAAACCCCCCCGTTTGAAGCGCCGAAACGTGCAAAGACGGTTGTTTCTTCCAACAGACCCCTATTAAATTGCTGTGTACTCGCGCTTGGTGCTCGGTCAGGTAGCTGTCGTGCAATCAAAAAACAACTACACTGTCGCTATTGCATGAAGACTCCGTCCGCCGCCAAACGCTCTTTTTTCGGACCTGCCCATTCCAAGAACGACTCACAACCATTCCTCCATCTCTTTCCAGCATCCTCTGCACCTGTAGCACAACGTCCAACGAAGAGCGCATGCATGGGAGAAAAAACGAAGCGACCCCGGCCCGAATCGAACGGACAACCTTGAGGAAACGAAGGAGCACTGTGCTCCACACATTCCAGTTGGAATCTCACGCGCTACCATTACGCCACGGGGTCAAGCGCGGAAGTTGTTTTCGGCATACGATCACGAACTGGGAGCATACAATTGCATGACGAGACGATCATATTTTTGGGTAGATCTCGTTATCTACTGTAAATTTGCACTAGGACGCACATGTACATGTGTCACTAATAGATAGGTACTGCAAGGCAAATTTTCAAGTGAATAGATTTACAAACGCAGGAGAGAAAACGGGGCGAGTGGATGAGTGGTGTGGAGAACACCAAGTGGCAAGCAAGCCGTCGAGCATGTGAAACAGACGTACTTCCATATTTGGTTCCGGTGTGGCGTTTATTCTCCAGGCGACGCAGATGTACACGGCAGATCATCCATCACACCGACTACACCCCAACTCATTCGACCGACCTAGATGGCAACTCAAGAAGGTCCCTGGACTCTACCGGGGCCTCTACATGACCCAGGAGGCAAAAGAGAAGGCCCTCGCCGGGATTTGAACCCAGGACCACTTCCATAGCTAGAGGACGGAGACGAATCCGAGGAGGATTAGAGACCAGCGCTGGACCCTAAGAAAGTATGATAGCCACTACACCACGAGAGCCTTGATGATGGTTACTAAGAGGCACGTGACCTGAATCTTGGGCCTCTCGTCAATGTTGCATGTTGTTTCGCTCGTTGGCAAGGAGATAGATGGTGCGATCGATGGGCAAGTGTAGGACACTATCAGCCATCGCACCCGGGGGCTGTTTAAACGTAGAGGTCTTGTGGCAGGAATTCTCCGGCCTGTGCCACTTGCCGTCTGTTCAGAGAAGTACCTGCCACGAAGTCACTGGGTTTACGTATACTGTAGTACATCTCGTTTACATGTGACACTAACCCCTCCGCTCATACCGTTGCCCACAGTCCCAAACTGTACCAAAACATTGAGTGTGGCACCTCGGATGTATTTTCCATCGCCACCCCCACCGTCACCGCGCTGCATGCGACAGCAAAAGATAATGACCACTGACAGGATCGAACTGCCGACCTCCGCATGAACTAGTAACCAAGGCTGGGTATTAGTACGATGCTCTAACCAGCTGAGCTAAGCGGCCGATTACGTCAGCATAACCTGCATTAGGATTGAGGCGCTGAGGTCAAATTTGGTTCTCTAGCTAGCGTGTCCTAAGGTGCGCAGTAAGTACTTACCTCTCAGAGTTGCGATGGAGGAGATGGGGCGCGGAAAGAGAAGAGGCGAGTTGTGGGGCCCGCACCGCGTCATGCCACTCTTCTCTCGTCCATCGTTCAGCTCAGCACCCATGGGAGGACTCGCAAAAAGGACATACATGCGGCAGAATATGCGCTTGGGACACAGACTAAAACAAACAAAAAAAGGGAGCGAGACGGCAGCGCACTCCCAAGCCAGACACTCTATGAGTATAAGTAGTGTATGACGGACACCGGCTGAACAATCGCAAAACAACCTCAAGCAGTAACCAGCACACTCGAGCACTCCTCATCCACACTTGCACCGGCACCGTCCCCCGGTTCACTCACGCTCTCGGGGCGCGGAACAGACCATCAGCCTCCAACCGCCTCCTCGCGTCCTCTCCCAAACATTCCCTCACCCCGCGCCACAGATCCTGGGCGGACCTCACAGGCCTAGCTCCACGGGCCACGTCCTCGCGGTCCTCGTAATGAAGCAAAGAATAGAGGGCAGCAATCTGGTCGGCCTTGGACTCGAGACAGTCGATGACCTCCTTGAGGTGCTCGGCGAGGACGTGGCGCTTGGCGACAGCCGAGGCGGCGTCGAGGACCTTGTACTGGTCGGCGAGCTCGACGTAGACAGTCTTGTAGTGAGAGAAGTCGTCCTCGAGCTCGCGGATGACGCGGGCGAGGACTGTCTGTGGGGGCACAGAGCCGTCGACAAGGATAGCACGAACAGAGTCGGCGGCAGCAGGGCGTGACATGGACGCGCCAGAGACTCCCGAACCACCGGAAGCGACACGAGCGGTGCGAGATCCGGGGCGGGACGTGGGTAACGGGATACCGGCGGCGATGACTGGGGTGGGCCTAGATGCGCGTGACGAGGGACGACGGGGTGAGAAGAACTCTTCCTCGTCCTGGGCACGGATGGAGGGAAAGGGCGAATCGGGGCCGTCTTTCAGGATACGGCTACGGCGGCGGCTGGACGAGGTGTGTGAATGGGCCTCGGGCGAGCGGACGTGGTGCATCGTACGCGTAGGAGTGGGCGAGCGCTCGGCATCCGAAATTTCGTCTGCCTCCGAGGCCGAGGAGACGCGGGTATGACGACGAGCCGAAGGCGGCATGAGTTGCGGCTCGGCCACCGCAGCCGTGTGCAGGCCTTGGCGGAGCTGGGAGGGGAGGCGGAGGTGGTCGGAAAAGTCGGCAGCGCGGCGGTCGACTGCAGCACGCACACGCTCAACCTCGGTTTCGTCGCGCAAGTCGAGAGCATTGATGCGCACCGAGCGCTGCTCACGGGAACGGGTACGCTCGGCGAGGCCAGCCTGAGCGATAGAGTTGAGTCGTGTAACCTCGCGCGACAGACGCTCGATTTCAGCGCGGAGCGAGGAGAGTTCATCACGGATCGAAGCGTCAACATTGCGCACAGGCGAGGGGGGATGTTGCGCGGCAAGACGAAGTTCGGCTACGAGCTGCTTGTGGTGCTCGAGCTCGAGAGTAAGACGCGCGAGGTGTTCGCGGAGGGACGTAACCAGGTCCTCGAGAGCTGAAGCTTAGCTAAACATTCACACAACATCAAACTCACCAGTCTTCTCGCTCACAACCTCACGGAGACTGGCATCCCGTGCCTGTTGAGCAGTGGCGACTTCTTCGCGTGCGCGCTCGACCTCGGCCTCGAGTTCACGGACGCGGCGGCGGGACACACCATTCTCGGTCTCAAGGGCACGGAGACGCGCATGGAGTGTAGCAAGGGTTTGCGGGATAGAAGCGGCGCCAGAACCAATGTCTCCGCCGTTCTTGTCAATGTCACCAAACGAGCCGCCTTTGGCTGGAGTCGTGAGCAGTCCAGTGAGACCAGTCACATCTGCTGACTCGTCACGGAGGTGATGGTTGGCGAACCCGCCGCGCGCACGCTGCTTCTTGAGTGACGCGGGGTATTGCTGTGGGTGCTGGTACTCAGGGCGGTGGTTGTGCCGGGCCGTCTCGGTAAGGACGGGGTTGCGGCTTCGCGGGTCGGCCGGCGCCGCCGCAGCGGTGGCTGCACGCTGTGATCCCGAAGACGCGCTGGATACGGTACGCGAGTGAGGTGGGGATGGGAGTGGATCATTGCGGCTCAGTGTGAGAGACAGGTTTGGGAGAGCCGATGGCGCAGGGGAAGGAGAGTGGGGCATGCGCGGAGACACAAACGGGGAGGAGGGCTTGGGTGCGAGTCGCTGATGGGTCGGTCAGCCACAGTCACCAAACATCAACAGAATGAAAACCTTACCTCCTCGTCCATAGCCTTGGCGAGCTCGCCGACAAGACGTCCAAGCGAGCGGTCGGGGTCAAACTCGTCGGCAGTGTAGTCGCGGCCGATAGGGTTGCCGGGGCGTCTAAACACCCCAGCACCGAGGGTCGCGGCCGAGACGTGGTGGCCCGCTGTCGACGTGGGGGAGATGTCAACACCGGCAGATGTATCGGTACAAGCGAACGATGCGGCCGTGTTACGTTTTGCGCGTGGTGTATCGTCCATGCCTCCGAACCTGGGGTATTCGTACTCGTTGTCAAAGCCGTACGCACGCGAGGCTGGGACAGCTGAGCGACCGACGGGGAGGGTGGAGAGAGATGAAGAGGATGTAAAGCTGCTGCTTGCAGTCAAAGAGAGGGAAGACATGTCATGGTCAAGCGTGTTCTCGAGGCGGCGGCGCTCGAGGTCGGTCGCGCTAAACGGGATTGGAGGAGCGTCCATCGCCGCAGGGTGGTGGGTGGTGTTTCTCGAGGGGCGGTAGCGCAGGCGGTCGCCTGGGACGGAGGAGCGGGGAGGGGAGGAAAGAGGAAGAGAGGTGGTGGCTCAAGCTTTTATGACTCGGTTGTGAGCGATGGAACGCGCGAGAGAGATGGGGGAAATGAGCAGGCTACTGAATGGGATGGACGGATGGGTGATGAGAAACAAAGGAAGTCAGTCGCGCACAGCTGAGAAGACGCTCTGTTGTTGACGTGCGGAAGGCGGGAGAATCCCACGTGGCATTTTGGGATTAATGATGAAATAATATATTGCAATATTCCGCCGACAGGCGCGATCTGATCGGTGATCCGTGAGTGGCTTCCTGGTTTAGTGGCGGGTGAGGCCAACACGACTGGACTGGGACAGATGCATAGGGTTGCATGCATTGCATGTGCGTGGGTATGGTGGGATTACATGGCCGTAATGGATTTTAGTTGCCTCTTGATTCAGTGCACTGATGCCTTTGGGACTCGGCATGTCTGTGTTTCAAGGCCGGTGGCAGTTCGATCGCCTTTTCGTTTGTTACATGGAGCTTCAAGGCCCCGCACTTGCTCGTTTGCTCTTTATACAGTTCACATGATTCCATTAAATACCTACTTACTAGTGACGGCCATGGAGACGTACACTGGGCTGACTCTCTCTACCGTGCAATGATAGGTACAGTTGCTGTAACACTTAATATCAAGTTATCTCCGCCCAACGGAAACCGTGTCCAACGAGACGGAATTGCGACCCCATCTCGTTCTCAAAGGTCAGCTGCACACAGTGCATATTCACGCCGATTACTGGCACCAGAGTGGTCACGGTGCAGTCCTGGACATCATGCGCTGCAATCGTCATGAGCGATAAGCCTGGCTTGTTAGAAGGAAACCGCCCGTCGTCCGGCGCGCCAAAATAAAACCTCCCGAACCAAAACACTTTGGTGCCCCCACCTCAATGTCCCGTGTCCGGCCCTGTGGATGCCGAGCAAATCAGACGAGCATCATATCCTTGGACTTATGCAAGGCCACCACCTATCCACGGGGCAGCACAGTACCATGAGTCTGGGGATGCGCGGGGCAATGCAGGGGCTCCGGCATTCGGTCCGACAGCTCTCTGTCCGCACAGTTCAGGTGGCTGTGCTAATCACCAAATCCGCGACAAGGCATGTCAGCGCCGTTCGTCGCCGTTGTGACGTATACATGGGTACTGCAGAAGTGGGCAGTGGTCATGAGAGGACTCATGACTGTCTATCCGATGCGGAGAGTACCTCGGAAGGAATCTACCTCCACCCACAACGGTCCGCAGCTAGCCAGTGGCCAGTGGAGGACAGTCGGACATCATGGACCTCTGATGATATAACACGAGCCCTCGATGGCCAGTACCCATACCCCCACCCCCTGACCAACACCTCCTTCTATAACCCACACCAGTCCTCAATGCTCGCTACCCAGTCACCCGCCCAACGCATCTTCGCCCCGCACGACACGCCCCTGTATGTCGGCACTACAAAGCCCGAAGCCACGCCGCTGGCTTCAGTCGGTACGCTCACCCCCACGTCTCCAGACACACCAATGGACGAGATCCGGGCCCGATTCCAGCGGGACGGATACGTATTCATGAAGGGTCTCATCAGCAAGGATATTGTCGATAAGGCTAGGGAGATGTATTTCGAGAGTAAGCACGTCCAACAGCAGCGTGGCAGTGGGCTGACAATCGCCCCAACAGGTATTAGGCACACTGGTGTCCTCGACTCATCCCGCTCCATCTCTGAGGGAGCATTCACGCGCGACCCAGATGCCTCAGCCACGTTCGTGACCCCCGGCAGCTCTGCTTCAGGCGTGGGCAACTTTGACGCCGCCAAAACCGAGGAATATCTACAAGCCTGTATCGCGGCCCAGCGCAGTTCCACGCTTTCTCTACGACTCCGCAACTGGTTGATTTCGTCAAGGCATTCCAAGAGTGGGACACGCCGCTACTCCTCAAGCGCCAGATGCTTCGCGCCGCGCTTCCGGGCCAAGACGGTGTTCCGGTCCACTATGACCAGCTCTTTTTCCGGCATGGCCCACCCACCTTCCTCACCTGCTGGACGCCGCTGGGTCCCGCTGGCCCAGAGCAAGGCGGCTTGATGTATCTCTCGGGCAGCGTTGCTCTGGGCGAGGAGATGGAGGCCGACTTCATGGCCCGCGCCCAGCACATGACCAACGAAGAACGCAAGAGCGCGTTCAACGCCAACATGATGGGTGGCGGCATTCTCCACCCTGACGCCGGGAGGTTTGCTGGTCGTCTGGGAAGGCAGTGGTTGGTGGCAGAGTACGAGGCCGGCGATGTGGTGTTTCACAACCCACATGTCATCCATGCCTCCTGTGTCAATGCTGGTGAGGAGAGGAGGATTATGGCACACACGGACATTCGGTTTGTCAATCCCAAGGAAGAGTTTGATGAGCGGTGGATGGTGTATTGGACCCCAGCGGACGGGCTGTAGCGGAAAGAGAGAAATGGGTAATCAACACGCAACTTGGAAACGATATAAATTCAACAGTTGGTGTCAGTAGAGTATGAAGCTGGAATGTGAAGCACTGCCTCTCGTGGGGCTAGTCAAGTAACTCGCAGCTGCGCGGCCGTTGTTGTTGCTGTATGTGGCGTGGCGCGGGATTGGCTGGGAGGAGCCAAGCATTGCTGTAGAGTTGTTTCATCGACGGGGCCACCGCATTCCTGTAGGTGATCAGTTGGCAGAGCGACCGTTGGCCACTTCTCGGTAAGCCTGGGGCGTCGGCCGGAATGAGGACTGAGGCACACGAGTATCTCTGCGTGGCCGTCCTGTCTTGGTGACGAGTGACCACGTTCCCGGACATCCCTCACGCCTCAGATTGCGCGACCAGTCGGCACCCCCGACATGGTCACCACGCCACCATGACCACGCCCGTCGCCAAGTAATCCGAACACGTTCTGGAACCCGGGAATCGCCAAGACCAGGTGAGGACAGAGGACTCTGACAAATCGTGGGACCCCCCCGACCAGCCCCCGCCTCTACTCTCGACTCATGGATTCTTCACATCCGCCCCCCCGAGTTCACATTCTTAAGGTGCACCTACGAAAGTGCTTCGGCTTTCTCCCAAGTCCGCAAGTCCGTACACGCACGCGCATGGAAACACAGGTACGGCTTAGTCCCTTGCCGCCGCGCTACGGAATGCATAGGGCAGAGACAAGCTGGCTTTATCTTGTCCACGGCGATGCCGCGGGGCGGCCGCGGCGGCCTGTGAATATGGCGTTTCCGTTCCCGAATCTGGCGCCGACCATTCCGCCGAGTCCTCGCTTGTGACTGCCCGTACTCCTCATTCGTCACCTTGGGCTCCTGTCGTTCCCACAGCTCGCAGTGGTTGGAGAGCTGCAGGTAGGTTACCTACCTGGCTGTGAAGAAAGCCACCAGATCTACAGACGTAGGCTGGAATTTGAGGGCTCACTGTGCGCCGGCCGCCGGCTGCGATGGATTGTGGCAACCACCTCGTGATCCATCCCAGCATATACGAGGGAGGAATTAGGATGAACATATGCAAGTCTTTCAGGTCTGTAATCTGTGACTAGGACTGCTGCAGCGGATGCTAGAGGTGCCCATAATGCTTGTGTTGGTGGTCGATAATGTATGTTCGTTCGCTAGGCTTGTACCAGTGCAGTACAAGTGGCGGGGAAACGCGAGGTTGATGCACGATGGACATGTGGCCATACGTTGGATTTGTCATGTCAATTTGTCAGTGTACGAATGGGTGACCCTCCTCAGCAGCAGTTGCACAAGGGGGTGGTTGTTTTACTGCTGATTGAGAAATCGCTGACCGGTTAGTGGTCGCTGGCCGCTGGCCGCTGATACTACCCAACCAACGCCGACAACGGGACGAGTCACCAATGGTGTGTGTCGTCTTGCAGCCCGCGTCTCGTGTCTCCATCGCGCCCTCGTCAGCCCTACCGAGAGGGCTCCCAGTCCCGTCCCTGCCTGGCCGCCTCTGGCGCTCGACGCCGTCGAGGTCTGCGTCGTCGCGCCGTCGGTTAAGCTGGAACGTCGGCGGATACTCACTGGCCCACTGGCCGCTGGGCGGGCCCCCGGCGCCGAGACGTCCGGGGGGTACGGGGCCGGCGGTAAAGGCGCTGTGGATCCCTTACTTGGCTCCGCAGCGACGCCGTGCAGGTCGCTCCTCTGGATCCTCTGGCGGCATGCCTTAGAGCCGTGTATCGTGCGTTGAGAAGCGCGCACGAACGAGTCCGGGGGCTCCGTGTGGGGTCGCTGATGGGGGGTGCTGGAGAGAAAGGAAAGGTGGGTGGCATGGACGAGTAATCACCGGTAGATCTGGGAATGACGCCAGTGTGCTGAAAGGTCCGCGCCGGTGGGGGGCGACACCAAAAGGGGGGTCACATGAACAGACGACGACGACCAGCGGGCCAGCGTACAGCGACTTGCACAATATAAGAGGACAGAGAGACACAAGAGGGAGGCATCGTCTCTTCACCGTCGCCGTTCATCACATCCCACTTCGGCTCGCACCGCCAACACCTTCCCCCACCCCCACCCTCCACCCACCTGCGACCAACCACATCCCTCACAGTCGTCAGCCGGGCCCACATCTCACTCGTTTGCCGTTGAGCACCACCCCGCCCGCCACCACCACTACCATGTCCGACATCCTCGCTACCCTCAAGCAGGAGGTGGCCAAGGTCCCCGTCTGGGGCTTCCCCGCAGCCATTGTTGCCTTTGTCGCCCTCTACTACCTCGTCCCTTACTTTGTGACCTACCGTCACCTCCGCGGCATCCCTGGTCCCCTCGCTGCCCAGTTCTCAGACCTCTGGCTCTTCCGCGTCTCGCGCCGCGGCGACCGCTCCATCACCGTCGACGAGCTCCACGCCAAGCTCGGCCCCATTGTCCGTATCCAGCCCAACCACATCTCCATTGCCGACGACGACGCCATCAAGAAGATCTATGGCCACGGCAACGGTTTCCTCAAGTCGGACTTTTACGATGCCTTTGTCTCGATCCGTCGCGGCCTGTTCAACACGCGCGACCGTGCCGAGCACACCCGTAAGCGCAAGATGGTCTCGCACACCTTCTCGGCCAAGTCGATCCGCGAGTTTGAGCCCTACATGCAGGAGAACCTCGCCCTCTTTGTTCGCCAGATGGACGGTACCGCCCAAGAGGCTGAGAAGGCTACTGGCAAGCAGGCCAAGATTGACTGCCTCGACTGGTTCAACTGGCTTGCGTTTGACATGATTGGTGACCTCGCCTTTGGTGCCCCCTTCGGTATGCTCAAGGCCAGGGCCGACGTCGCCGAGCTTCGTTCGTCCCCCGACGCCGCGCCCGAGTACGCTCCCGCCATTGAGATTCTCAACCGTCGCGGTGAGATCTCTGCCACTCTTGGCATCATGCCCTACCTCAAGCCGTACGCAAAGTACCTCCCCGACGAGTTCTTCTACAAGGGTGTCGAGGCCGTCAACAACCTCGCCCGCATCGCCATTGCCCAGGTCAAGGCCCGTGTCGACCACCCGTCCGAGGAGGGCCGTCGCGACCTCCTCGCCTACCTCCAGGAGGGCAAGGACGCGTTTGGAAAGCCCATCGGCCGCGAGGAGCTCACTGCCGAGGCCCTTACTCAGCTCATTGCCGGCTCTGACACCACCTCCAACTCGTCTTGCGCTCTCCTCTTCCACGTTACCCGCACCCCCGGCGTGCTCGCCAAGCTCCAGGCTGAGCTCGACGAGGCCATCCCCGACGACATGCCCGTGCCCACTTTTGACATGATCAAGGACCTGCCCTACCTCCAGGCCGTCTTCAACGAGACCCTGCGCCACCAGTCCACCTCTGGCATTGGTCTCCCGCGCCAGGTTCCCCCCGAGTCTCCCGGCGTCAACATCAACGGCCACTACTTCCCTGCCGGCACTGTCCTCTCCGTCCCTACCTACACTATCCACCACTCTAAGGAGATCTGGGGCGAGGACGCCAAGGAGTTCAACCCCGACCGCTGGAACAACGTGACTGAGCGCCAGAAGGAGGCCTTTATCCCCTTCTCGTTTGGCCCCCGTTCTTGCGTCGGCCGCAACGTCGCCGAGATGGAGATGAAGCTCATCGCCGCCACTTGGGCGCACCGCTACCAGCCGACGCTCCTCCAGGACGTCATGGAGGTCCGCGAGGGTTTCCTTCGCAAGCCCCTGGGTCTGAACATCAACTTTAAGATCCGCAACAACATTGAGCACTAGGCGCGACGTTGACGACGCAACGGGATAACAAAGTCCACAATGTTCCCCTAACGCCCCCCCCCCCCCCCCCCCCCCAACCCATTTTCCAACCCACACACCTCACCTCCCGTTTCTCTTGCCCCAGCGCCGAGCCGGAGAAAAGGCTGCCATCCAACAGCTTGTAGGCATCGTATCAGTATGCAGTATCAGAAGTCATGTTCTCGCCTGTCTCCGAGCCCAAGGCGCCTGCCCCACGTAACCTGACTGTACATATGTCGGTGCTCGTTCCGTGTCTGGTCCGTGTCCGTGTCCGTGTCCGTGTCGGTTTCGGATACCCTCCACTCACCTACCCGGGCTCCTGACGTGGAAACACAGGAGTGGTTGTCGTTGCGCATGTGCGAATCGCATTCGCGCCACAGCGGGGATCGGTGGGGAGGTGCTGTGTTGGTGCTGGGCAGGTGGCGGTGGGTGAAGTGTCAGAATATGGCTCGCAACCCCTCCATGCTGCAAGGGTACATGCATACGCGACAAACGCGTGGCTTCCTACTGACAGCTCAGTCGGTGACGCCTCCACGGGCACAATGTGTTGTTCAACAACCAAATGGAAAACCGCATAGCATATGTGAGGGAAAAATAAATCGTACAATTTAAAAGTGGTTTGGTTGGGACTTTCTTGTTTGTTCTACAACTATGGATCTCCGGCACGTCCATTGTTCCTTGGGGTGTTCTACTGGAGGCTCGCCTCACTCGCGTACTCGAGCAACATGGCCGCTTTGCGCTTCTCGGCCTGCTCGACTCTGATGCCGTCCAACAAGCGCAACTCGGGACAAGCAGCCATGACGAGACCACGGTAGACGAGACGTTTCGAGTACCATTCGTCGGGGAGCTGGCGGCGGAATTGGGCATCCATTGCTGGCCAGTTGTCGGGTACCACGCCGTCGGAAGCTGCTCGGTCCTTGTCCTTGTCCCGTGAACCACTGGAGCTGCCCCCTTTCGTGCGAGGGAGGAGGATGGGAAGATAAAAGCTGAGCGTGCTGGGGTTCATCCTCAGGTCCACTTCCTCGAGCGAGGAGAGGCCCTTGAGGCCGCGCACCGCGCCACCCTTGCTGCCACCGCCGAGACGGTTACCGACTGCCATGAGCTTCCGGATAAACGCCAGACCGTCCAGGCCGTCCAGGTCCGGGAGGAAGTTGTAGTTGACGTTCAGGATACGGAGGTTGGGTACCCTGGCTGCAAGGTCGGCGGGCCATGACGTGAGGTTGCACGCTGCGGCCTCGAGGTAGACGAGGTTGAAAAGGGGGTTGGGCGGGAGGAAATCGGGATCGAGGCGGTTTCCAGAAAGATACAGTCGTTTGACGCTCTGCAAGTCCTCGGGAGTGAGAGCCAGGCGGCCGACACGCTGGTTGCGCAGAGACAAGTTTTCGATCCGGTGTCCACCAGTCGACATTGAACGCGACAGACCGGGCAACGAGTTGCCGTCCGCAAATAGCGTACGGACCTTGGGGAAGTGCGAGAGGTCGAGGTGGGAAATGTCATTATCGCTGACGCGCAGGATGCGGACCGCGGTCAAGGGGCAGGCAGGGTCCAGTTCGACGAGACGGTTTTTATCAAGGTTGATGCTGGTGGCAGATGTGAGACGGTGGAGACCCTTGACACTGCTGATCCGGTTGTTGGAGAGGTTGAGCGTCTCGAGCTTGCCCCACTTTGCCTGGTCAAAATCGATGCGCTCCAACTTGTTGCCGGCAACCGACAGCTTCAGGAGAGAGTCCATGGCCAGAATGCCAGTCAGGTCGGTGATGGCGTTGTTGTCTGCGTTGAGCTCGCGAAGGTGTGTGAGACATTCAAGTTGGGCCACGCTGTCAAGCTGGTTGCGTGAAATGTCCAGGTACTGGAGGTTGCGCAGATGGTTGACACTGGTCAGGCTCGACAGTTGGTTACCTGCCACATGGAGTGTGCGCACTGTGCTCGGGATGCCGGACAGATAGTCGATCATGTTGTCACTCAGACGCGCCTCGTCGAGGGCAGGAAGGAACTCTTTCAGACGAGCGAGAGACTCAACACCCTTGTTGGACAGATCGATGGAGCGCAGGTTCTCCCAGTACGGCTCAAATGGCTGGACATCGGTGATAAGCTGCACGAGGCGGTCGTGGGCGACACCAAACGAACATTCGGTGAGGAACGTCGCGTCAGCCCGACGGCTGGTGCCACGGTACGATCTGAACGAGCGGAAGCGTGACAGGGGGATCGTGTCCTCGCTCTCCTCGCCAGATTCCGGGACCGCCTCCTGTTGCTGTTGCTGGATCTGCTTGCGGGTCACCGTCGGCTCGCGTGAAGGGGGCTTGGACGGCGAGTCATCGGCTAGACTCAGGTCGGCCATCTCGTCCAACACGCCTTGAATACGGCGTGTGCGGGCACTGGGTAACCACGACGCGTTGGTAGCATTGGTCTCGTCGTTCTCGGAGAAGAGGTCCCTTTCTGCCGATAACTGGCGCTTGTGGCGGCTCCCGCTGAAGTCGCGCGGTGGGGCAATGTACTGGTCCGAGAAGCTGACGCTGCGCCGGTAGGACACGCTGCGCTCCACCGAACCGTAGCGATTGTCCGGGGCGGGGGTGAGGTCAGGGTGCCATGCCGTCTGCTTCTTCAGTGCCGAGGCCGGTGTCGAGTTGGGGTTGCGCAGGGCAGAGCGGAGTGGGCCAGGAGGAGTCGTGCCCGGCGTAGCTGGGGTTGGGGTCCTGAGGGTAGGCGCCGAGTTTGAGTGCACCACCGGCGGGCGGAGTGCGTGTTGCTGTCGAGCGGGAGGACGAGGCGTGGCATCCAAGTCGACCTCTTCGTGCTGCTGGGGAAGCTCCAGATCCTCAGACTGGTCCCAGTCGTCGACGGTCTGAACCGTGCGCATGCTGGCCTGGAGGTCCTCTTCCTGCTCCTCCACCTCATCCGACGATGATATACTGGCTTCCTGGATGGGACGCTCGGGAGATGCCATTGAACCAACACTCTCAAACCCAGCAAAGGGATCGGCACTTTCATCGCTGCCAATGGTGCGGCTCTCCCCCATTTCGTCGACGCGGCCAAGTCCCTGGGGCTCACGGACCCAGCGCATTGTGGCATGGTCGAAGCGCATCTTGCCAATACGGTCAGGAACCACACCATGGACGTCACCAGGAAGGATGTGGGTCATGTTTGGTTGGAGGGCGGGATCGCGAGGGCCACGGTGCTTGACAAATGAAGTCGACACGGTCGTGGCAGTGGCGTAGGTGGAAGCGGACATGAATCGATTGAGGTCCTCGCGGTTCTGTCCAGGGGGTTGTCCCGAGCCCTGGAGTGAAGTGCGGCTCACAGGTCGTTCGGGGCTGCGAACAACAATATTGGGAGGTGGAACCTCGTCATCGTCGCTCGACTGCACGATCTCCTCCTCGATCCGTTTGATCTCGTCTGAAGCGCTCAAGCGGCGCGGAAGGCGGCGTGGGCTTGGCCCGGCAGGGCGTGCACCTGCCCTAAGGACGCGCGGCTCAGCATCCGAGCTGGTCCAGGTCTGGGTGCTCGACTGGGACAGAGCGCGTCGGGCCTCGCGCTCGCTCGATTCGACAGTAGATGTAGACGGAGACACCATGCGCTGTTTGATGCGCGACATTACGTCCTCGGCACGGTGGAGGTAGGTGGACGAAGCTGTAGACGGGTTGGAGCGGTGGTACGTCCCAAACTCATCGACAAACCCAGCCTCCTGCTGCAGCTCAGCGGGGGGAGTCGGAGGGACGGCGCCATAGTCGACAGTGGGCATGCCATCTAATATCAGCTAAGCGCACAAGCAATTTATCAACTTACAATAGGCAGACCCGCTTGCGGCAGACTCGCCTTCGGTTGGAAAGGTGGCACTGCGGAACTCTTCACGCGTCCTGCTGTCCTCCCAACTACGACTGCCGCTCCGGCTTCCCATGTCCCTCGAGTCCCAGCTACGAGTAGCACTCCTGCTGTCGCTCGTCTGGCTCATTTCCGGGTCGGTGACGCGAATACGGTTCATTAATGCGGCGCCCTGGGCGCGCCAGTCACGAACAGCGGTGGGGCCACGGGGCGAAGGTGGCGAGAGGCGCAGGCGCTTGGATGATCGGGCGTCTGACATGCCTGACCCATTGCTGGGGGTCGACATGGTGCCGGTCGAGTTTGAGCGGACGGGCGACTGGTCATCGGCTGTAGGAGACCAATCGCGAAGGTCCCTGGCGTCGGGCACCGAGGGAGGGGGTGAGGGGGAGGGCTGGATGGCAATGCTATCGACCAGGGCCGAGAGATGCTCGCGGGTCACCGTGTCGTACGTGTTGCGGAACAACCGGAGGCCCAGGTTAGTTGATGCTGGGCGGAGGCGCAAGGTCGAGTGAGCCGGCTCGCCGCCCTCTAACGGGGCCAAAGGAGGGTCAAACTCAGGCGTGGCCTGGTCATGCTGGACGGGTGCAGTGAAGGTAAAGGGATACCTGGGGTCGGTGAGCGGTGACTCGGGAAGGTCGGCGTGATCTTCTTGCTCGGGCGAATGTGGTGGTGATGCCAGGTCGTCAATGGAGCCGTCCACAGTGGTCTCAACCATCGACTCGTACTGGTCGTCGTCACCTTCAGGCTCGTGCTCGTGGGGATGCTCGGTTTGTTCATTGGCAAAGGGTGGTGGGAGACGGTCAGAGTGGACAGTGTCGTCCTCGAGGTTGGAGTGGAGAGTGTTGTCATGGGTGGTAGCCTCTGTGGTCGCAAATGAGCTGTCAGACGGGGTGACCGACTTGCAAAGTCGTGACGGGTTTGTTGGGGCATATGCATGCGATACCCGACGCTCAACAGGGGGTCCGGCGGGGGATGGGGTCGGAGAGAGGGAGACCTCTGGGCTAGTCGACAAAGACTTTATGGACCCAGCGGAGATTTCCCGCATTGAGCCGGCGCTCTCTGACCTGTCCGAAGCAGGCTTGTCGGACAATGGCGACTGGACAAGCGGCGAAACCTCTGCCGCAGAGCTGTCAGGCTCTGGCGACCTGGTCATTGACTTGTGCAGTGCTGATGGCCCAGCGATGGTCATCGAGTCTCCATTGTTGTCCCTCAAAGTCCTTCCCGGAGCCGGCGGTGTGGGCGGTTCAAACATCCTCTCGAGCGCAAGAGCCGTAAACATGTCTTTGCCAACACCAAACGGGTTCTTTGGAAACGCCTTGCCGTGCACGTCCTCGACATCCTCCTTGACGAGAAATGTACCTGCTGCACTCTCAGAGGGAACACTGGCAGTTTGAGGTTGAGCGGGGGGCGAGTTCTCCTTGCCGACCTGCCGTTGTTGTGGTTGACTGTCGCCCTCGCTGCCGGAGACGCTGGTGGGAGGGGACAGCATGCCAGAGGCCGAGCGAACATAGGGGTTGGATGGCGAGCGGGCATATTCCGGACCAGCTGCTGATGTCTTGCGCGATGGGGGTAAGGGGCGAGCGGGGGCCTGTCCGAGACTCCGCAGACTGCCTCGCTTGGCGGAGAGGGATGCGTGTGATGGGATGGGCATGTCGTGGGTAGAAGCGTCTGCTGGTGGGGAGCCGGGTGGGGAAGGGGATGTCTCTACCCACTCCTCCCCAAGCTCGTCTGTCTGCCATGCGGGGACGGCGGCCATGGCAGGAGCAAGCGACAAGAGACAAGCAAGGTGGATGTTGTTGAACGGAAAGAGATGGGAACGGGGGACGTTCAGACAGGAAGCAAGTCAGGCGCGTGCGGCACCCTGGCGATGTTTACAGCCAACGGACAGGTTAAGGGGGAGGATGGAATACAGGAAGAATAATGGTTATGTAATAGCACGTGGGGACGACGAGTCACCGGAGATATGGCGCGGCAATACGGCGGGTGGCGAGGGCGGGGGGTGCCAGCGGGATCAAATGTGGCCACGTGGCAGCGCCCTGATCCGGTGGAGGTTCGAAGATTTCCAGTCTGCAGAGCGATTTACAGTCCAGGCGAAGAGAGAGACGAGGCAACAAGGACAGAGTGGTATCCAACAACCAACAACAACACCATCATCCACCATGCCCCGCATCAGGAAAAGTACGTAGGATATACAGACGTCCACATACCACTTGGGACCACACAGCTAACACCCATAACAGAGACCTCGAACCGTCAGAACACCCGCGACCGCGCGAAGATCACCAAGAAGGTCGCCGAGCACAAGAAGAAGAGCAAGCGCAATGGAGCCAAGTCTGAGACCTGGAAGGCCAGTAAGTCGCGACCACCGCGTACATTTTAATCAATGCTAAACCCCCTCTTTTAGAGAAGAAGGCCGACCTTGGCGTTCCCAACTCGTTCCACATGAAGGGCCAGGTGCTCGCGGAGATTGCCGAGGAGAAGCGTCTCGCCGCTGAGGCGCGTGCCATGAAGCGCAAGGGTGTGGTCGAGGCCGAGGAGGACGCACCGGGCATCTCGTCCGTCTCTGGATCTTCTGTGTCTACCCGACCCATCTCGGGCGTGTCGGCGCTGCCTGTCGTCGTCGCCGCTACCGAGGACGACGCCCCTGCCCTCCTGGACTCGGACCTCCCCACCCTCCAGGCGGCTCTTGATGCCGCGGACGTCCTCCTCGAGGTCGTGGACGCACGCGACATTGCCGGCTCGCGCAGTCTCTCTGTCGAGACTCTTGTCACTGAGGCTGGTGGCAAGGTCTTCATTGTTATCAACAAGGCCGACCTTGTTCCCCGTGAGGCCCTCGCCGCATGGGTCCAGGCCCTCCCCCTCCCCGCCTTCGTCTTTTCGGCCCGTGAGGGTGGTCTTGGCCGTGATGAGCTCCTCGCTGCCCTCGCTGCTGCCTCCAAGGCCAAGAAGGGCAAGGAGACCCTCAAGGCTGCCCTTGTTGGTGGACCCAACGTCGGCAAGACCTCGGTCCTCAACGCCCTGCTTGGCCGCGCCCAGTTCAAGACTGCCCCCTCCGTTCCCTCGGCCGCCATGGCCAAGAACCCCGCTCCCACCACTTCGGCATGCGTCGAGGTTGAGGTGTCCCTCCCCAAAAAGGGCAGCGTTAGCGTGATCGACACTCCCGGCTGGGAGTTTGTTCCTGAGGACGACGACGACGAGTCGGACGATGAGGACAACGACGAGGAGGTGGAGGATGTGGTTGCTGAGGATGACGATGAGGAGATGGACGAGGACGACATTCCTGAGCTTGAGGTTGACGAGGACGAGAAGTGGGATATTCTTGAGGCTCGTGTTGCCGGTGACCTGCTGAGGCGCAACCTCGGCCGTGTCGACAAGGTCAAGGACGTCTTCCCCCTCGGTGAGTGTTTGCTACATGCGCGCATGCGCTCGCCGAATGACACTGACCTCTCTTAGCCAACTGGATCATTTCGCGCTCCAACCCCCAGGACCTCATGCTCCGTTACAACGTCCCCTTCTTTACCCCCGGTGACATTGAGGCCTTCCTCACCGGCCTCGCCCGCGTTAACCAGCGTGTCAAGAAGCACGGCGAGCCCAACCACGACGCCGCTGCCCGCATTGTCCTCTTCGACTGGGCCCACGGCACTTTCCCATACTACACCACCCCCTCCAAGGAGGAGCAGACCGCCGACGTCAAGGGCCGCCCTGACATGTCCGCCGTCCTCGAGCAGTGCAAGACCCGCAAGGAGCTCAAGACTTCGGGCAAGGGCCTGGTCCGCTTCCAGTCTGGCGAGGTCGAGGACCGCGAGATCTTCCTTGACGACGACTACACTGCCGTCGAGCCCGAGGCCGACTCGGATGAGGAGGAGGATGACGTCGACGAGGAGGACGATGACGAGGACGCGCTCCTGGTCGGCTCTGACGAGGGTGAGGAGCTTGAGCTGGAGGACGGCCCTGAGCCTTCGTCGGGCAGCGATGTCGAGGAGGAGGTGTCTGAGGAGGAGTCCGAGGAGGAGGAGGAGCCCGTCCCCGCGCCCCGTCCCGGCAAGCGCAAGGCGCCTGTTTCGCCTTCGGCCCAGGAGTCCAAGAAGGTCAAGGTGACCAAGTCTGTCTCGTTCAAGGCCAAGCTTGAGGCTCCCCGCCACGTCCCCAAGCCCGTCAAGGAGGTCAGGCCCATCCTCAAGGCCCCCAAGGCCGCCGCCGCTGCTGCCCCTGCTCCTGCCAAGAAGCAGGCCAAGGTCGCCGTCGAGTCTGCTTCCGAGAAGAAGACCCAGGCCGAGCGCAAGGCCCTCCGCGAGGCCAAGCTCGTGGCCAAAAAGGAGGCCGCTGCCGCTGTTGCTGCCGCTGCTCCCGTCCCCGTCCAGTCCAAGAAGCGCAAGGCCGCCGCTGCCCCCGTCGCTGCCAAGACTGAGGTTAAGAAGAAGGCCAAGGTCAACGGCAACAACACTTCCAACGTTGCTGCCGGCGAGGTCGCATACGACTTCTCCAAGCACTTCTAAAACAACGAAAACCTCTTTCAAAAGGACATCATGAGAGAGGGACGCTCTTCTAGCTCTTTCTTGGGGTGGGGATTTATGTACTCATAGATATATGCATTGCACTAGGCCACTGTGACGTGTATAGCGGGCGTGCGTACATGGTGTGACCCGGCTCAGATAGTGCAGAGACCTTGTTGGCGAGTGAGCGACAACTCGGCAACTCACGCGCTCACAGCAGTGTGTGGGACATTGATTGTGGCGCAGAAGGCTGCGAAGTGTCAAAGCACAGGGAGAGACACTCAGTCATTTTACGAGGACGACGGCGTACGGCGTGATGGCAAGAACGCTGTGAGACACTCACACAGGTGCCCGTCCATTTGGCAAGGTCACACGCTCACTTTCATGCATTGGACGTTTTGAGTAAAAGAGTCTGCGGCAGATCACCCCACCACATACTTTGCAGCAGTGATGCCATGTTCCTCTACGGCGCCTCCAGGCCACAGGTCGCGGTCCAGTACTGGCTCAGCGACTGGTTCTTCTTGCTGAGGCGCACTCTGTTCAGCTTGCTCAAGCGCAAGCCGCAGACTCTCGGGTGTCTGAGCTTTCCACTCTGCTAAAGCGCTGGCGACTGCAGTTCATCAGCTGTGCCAACATGCAGTCACTCCGCTGCCAGCCTGACACTCACGCCCGCGAGAGAACTCTGCAACAGAGACAGGCATGTATCCACCCTGGTCTGCGATCCAGTCAACATCAATTTCATAAGAATGTCAACGTCTCCAAAGCCCACCGCCTCGACATGCGTCAACTCACAATACGCTGTCCACCACTTTTGAAGCTCGACCTGGTCCTGCTCCCACTCCATCCGCGCAGTGAGCTTCTGTATTCTTATCGCGGCCCGCTTTGAAGGGCCGAATTTGCGGTCGGCATACACGGTCAGGCTGGCGGTACCCGAAATGAGCAAGAGCCAGGTCACGGCATCACTGGGAGACCGTGAGTCAGCTTGCTCGGCGGCGAAAACATCACCACCACCACCCGCGGTAGGGAGTGAACGAGGAGCGGAGAGCAGGGGAGGGAGACGTACCCGCAGCTAGGCCCAACTTGCCGCCAAATGTGCTTCAGACCGGAGCTTGACATTGTAGCTGCTAATCAATGTGTTGAGCGAGACGTGGGGCAACAGATTGAGTGTGAGTGATGGCGCGAAGCATCAATCAAGTCGGAAGCGTGGCGCGAGGCAAAGAATTCCGATCTGCTCGGTGGTCGTGATGGGAAGCTGCTGGTGCAAGACAAAGGCAACCCACAGAAGCAGTGTGTGGCGTCTGTTTGTGTTTGGTCAGAATCAAGCTTGTTCTCGTGCCGTAGAGTCCCACGCAATGACTGTGGCACACGTATAATTCTTCCAGTTATCCACCCTTTTCGTTTCTATGCGTTTGGGCAACTCTCAGAAATTCATTCCGTAGTTTCTTTCTCCCCTGCCAAATCGGGCTTCAAACATGACCATGACATTTTCACAGGTACGTACAGTACACGTATGCATTTCTACAACTCTTCACCCCCTCTCCGTCCACCTTCTATAAGGGACCCAGGGGACCTGCGCTGTCGTCAACCTTGTCGTCCTTGACAGGCTCAGGCGCAGGTGTAGGAGCCGCCTCGGGAGTGGGAGCTGGTGTCTCCTCGGCAGTCTCAGGCGCCGCCACGGGGGAGACTGGAGCGATAGGTGAAGACGGCGACACCGGCGAGACTGGAGACGGCGTCTTGGCGGGAGGGGGCGAAGTCGGGACTGGGTTTGCGTCGCCGTTCTTCTTGGCCGGGGTGGGGCTACCGAGAGGGTCCGCGCTCTGTTGGTCAGCGGCCGAGAGGGGATCGCTCTTGAATGGGGATGTGGGTACGTCGGATGATGTGGCGGACGGCACGGAGGTGGAGGAACCCAGGCGGAGCGCGCTGGGGACGGACGTGGCACCAACACCATACCCGCCGATGGTGCTGGAAGGGACAGGTGTGCTGGACGACGAAGTGTCGGGAACAGGGGGCAATTCTCGGTCCATGCTGGCCGCGAGGTCAGGGGTTGGGTCGCGTGGGGGAACAGTGCCGGGTGGGGGTGTGTTGGGGTGGTCCGGGATCTCGCGGATGGCTGTCTGCGCGGCCTTCCATGCCTCAAGGTTCTGGCGACACCATTCCTTGTGCAAAGTGGACAACTCGATGGCAAGCTGGCGCAGGTCGGCGACCTTTTGGCGCTGGAAGCGGTCAAGGTCGGCCTGTAGCGTGGTCGAGGCGTACTTGAGATCCTGGGCCGATGCCTGCAGCGAGTCTTCGAGCTGCCGCGTGAGCTGAGCTCAGGAGGACCGTTATAACTCACCTGAGAAATGTTATCCCTCGTTTTGCCAATGTTGGTGCGGCGAGTGGACTCGGGGTCAACGTCCATCATGCCACTCAGGCTGTGCTTGACGGCTGAGAGAAGACCAAACGACGCCTGGGCACGACGCGGGGCGGGACGTGGGACGGCAGCCTCGTTCTCAGCCGGGAGGGAGCGCTCCAGAGTGGGAGGCGAGCCGGCTGCGTTGGGCGAAGTTGACGAGATGCGACCGCCACGTTCCAGCGCCTGTTCGAGACGACGGGACTCGCGCTCAGCAGCCTCAAGGAGTTCAAGCTTGTCGCGCTGGTTCTCGAGGGCCTCTTGAACCAGCTCGTACTGCACATGCTTTTGGTGGCGGAAACTCAGACGCGAGCGGATGAGCTGGGCAAACTGGGAATACACGTGCAGAGGCTCGGTTGCGTCGATTTCCCAAGCATTAAGCTGAATTGTCAGCCAGAATATCAGACAGAGAATGAGCGTACCAGCTGTGTTGTGGCCAGATAGTCGGCATCTACTGCCTGGCCGACCTTTTCGATCGCGTTGCCGAGAGCACCCGATTCTGTCAAGCTGAATCCATTCCACTGGGCGCCGAGCTCGCTCATGTCTGTAGCACGCTCGCCCCAACGCTTGGCGACCCGACGATTGACCTTTTCCATCGTGCCCTGGAAATGCTGTTGGAACCTGTCGGTGAACAGCTCGGACTCTGAGAATCGCTGATCTGGGCGATGGAGCGGGTGGCTGGGCGACGGGGTGGGCAGCAGGTGGTGGGCAATGTACGACGAAGACGTGGACGGGTCGTCTGAGGCCTCGGACTCTTGGAAGGTAGGGTTGTGGGAGGGAGCATGCAAGGGGTTCTTGGGGAGCAATGAGATTGGAGGAGAGTGGAGGACCTCGGACTGGAATGGTTAGTAGGTACACATGCCTCTATGTCACCCACCCAGCTGACGCCGTCCTCCAGGAAGCGGTGGAAGATGTGCTCACCACCCAGAATAGGGTGTCGCACAATACGGCGGAGAAAGTCTTCGAGGAGACGCTTGCGCTTGGCAATTGTCGTCGAGTCTTCCTTGGTCTTGGATTGACCCTTGATAGCATAGTCGGTGATGGCTTGCTTGGAAGGAATCGGCGGGATGATGAGCACGGGGTAGAGACCGGTGAGAGCCTGGTGGAGCGAGAGGAACGCCGAGTAGCGGCGACGAGTGGTGTAGCTCTGTATCAACGTTAGATTGTTGTTCGCTGTGAGGATCCCAACGTTCCATCCCTCCATCCCATACTCACGCCCAGACGGATGACATAGGTGATGTAGCTCGATTTGCCGCCCTCGGTAGTCTTAAAGGCGTCAATGATGCTAATCTCGTCTCCGCGTGCAATCTGCCTGTCGCGCTCGCAGCAGAAGTCCTCCTTGGGCTTGGGACCGGCGAGACGGCTTGTGCCGCGGCGAGGTTCTTTGGTTGGGTCTGGGAAGCTTGCGCGTTCTGTCGGGGGCGGGGACGAGGCAGTGTAGCGGGACGGCTGGGACGACGAATGGGATGTTGTGCGCGAGAGAGCCGGGGAGGGTTCTGGACTGGCGACTGGCTCTGCGGCGAAGGGGTTTACGTTGTCGTCCATGGTGAGCGCGAGGGCAAGAATGTGGGTTGTGCGAGGTTCGCTGTCGATGGATGGAGATGTGTGTCCCGGGTGGGAGCACTGGCGGGGGGGGGGGGGCGACCCAAGCGGCGCCGTCATCAGCTGAGGCGAGTGGGTGATAACGCGGGGCTCGAGCGCGCGTCATACAGTGGGGAGTCGCTGGGTGGCGGTAGACAACACGTCATTTATATTGTTACGTAATGGAATCTACACCCACCCGACGCGCGGCTTGGGTGTCGTCTCTGTCACCTCCATCAGTGACGACGAGAGCACGAACACGATCATTCAACTCTAGCAAACAACCACCCCATTATTCACTCCACCATGGCTGCTACAGGAGTCGCCCCCAACAACATCGGATTCGACTTTTCAAACTACGCTCGTAACGAGTTCCTCGGAGCCCGTCTCGGCGCGCAGGCGAAGAGTGAGCTCGACAGCGCCTGCCTGCTTCATCCTACCTGGTCTTCCGCTAACAACCACCCTTAGCTACCTCGACCGGTACCACCATCGTCGGCCTCAAGTACGGCGGCGGAGACTCGGGCGACGAGGAGGGTATCTGCCTTGGCGCCGACACCCGTGCGACTGGCGGTCCCATTGTCGCCGACAAGAACTGCGAGAAGGTGCGTGTTGTCTCCGTCATTGACAGGCTGGACGCGACCGACGAGGCAGGGCGCTGACGCGGCAGATCCACTACCTTACCCCTCACATCAGGTGTTGTGGTGCCGGAACCGCCGCTGACACTGAGTAAGCGGACCTTCACTGGCACAAGCTGACGATAGATATGTCACCAACCTGATCTCTTCCAACCTCGAGGTAGGTGGCGTCATGACATGTCTAGTATGATCACCTGCTGACTCCCAGCTCCACTCTCTGTCCCAGGGACGGCAAGTGCGCGTTGTTACTGCCATGACCATGCTCAAGCAGTACCTCTACCGGTGAGTGCACGGTTTGCTAGGAGCGGGTGGAGGCCAGCTATTCAGCCGGTCATATCCACCTCCGCTTGATCGCATCCCTGTCGTTCAATGTCGCTCTTGTACTGACAGGCCAGCTACCAGGGTCACGTCGGCGCGTACCTCGTTGTTGGTGGTGTCGACTCGACTGGCCCCCAGCTCTTCACCGTCCACGCCCACGGTTCGACCGACAAGCTCCCCTACGTCACCATGGGCTCGGGTTCGCTTGCCGCCATGGCCGTCTTCGAGTCTGCGTACAAGGAGCATCTCACCAAGGCAGAAGCCATCGCCCTCGTTGCCCGTGCCATCCGTGCCGGTGTGTTCAACGACCTCGGCTCGGGTTCCAACGTCGACGTCTCGGTCATCACCAAGGCCGGTACCGAGACCCTGCGCAACTACGAGACTCCCAACGAGCGCGGTATCAAGTCGCGCGACTACAAGTTCCGCCGCGGAACGACTGCGTGGCTCAAGGAGAATGTGCGCGACCTCGTCGTGTCGGAGGAAGTCAAGGTGACCATGGGCGCTGGAAAGGCCCAGCAGGGCACTACCGACCGCCCTGTGGCTGTGGGTGCCGGTCCCGGAGGCGAGGAGGGTATGGACCTGGACGCATGAGCAACAGTAGACAAGAGATGAGACACATGTATACAATATGGCAAGGCGGTGGCGGCGGATCAGGCGTCGTCGAGAGTGAAGCACATGCAAAAACCCCGTCAAGGTGCGGTGCGCGGTGACTGGTGAGATGAAACGCAGATCGACACCGAGAAACACATAACGCAAGTTTCTGGACGATTAGAGCGGAGTGCTTATGAGAATAGTGCGTTAGCAAGGGGCACTATGGGTTGTTGCCGTCAGTCGGTCTTTTGGCGTGAGTCCGTCTCAAGCATGCTATATATTGTACCAACTTTGGTAATGGGGTAATATTGCCAAACATGCAGGTGCCAACAAGCAATGGGAAAGGAACTGCCGACATTGCCATCACAATCAGTCTGGCAGCGGTGGGGGAAGGAGGGCACGGCGATATTGACAAGATGGTCGGACGTCTATAGGTGTGCATGGCGCGTTTCATCTGTAGACGACATTTTCAGCACCGCCCGCACCGTTTGAGTGCATGGTCTTCCATCACTGAAACTTTGATACACTGGCGGCAGAGGATGGTTGCAAGGGATGAGGTCTAAGCACTGCAAGGGGCCGAAGCCGCCGCTGATGGGAGAACAGAGCTCGTACCATTATTACTCCTTGAGAGTCGCACCTTCGCTCCCTTCGACGGCCAGAATAAGAACAAGTACTCAAGCTAGCAACGACGCTGGCCCAACCCACAGCCGATGCAGCCAGCACCTTTTGTGGAGCGCTACCACAGTGCCTGATGCCCAGATCCGGTCCATTCATCGCGAGCTGCAAGGCTCGACTGTAAGGCTGTTTACCATAGGTGTCAGATGGGTCGTGTTCCTGGCAGGCCCCATCACGATCCATCGGTACATGACGTCGGGGTCTTTCGTCGTGGAGCACCTCGTGTTCAGCTTTGGGCTCCGTTTCATCCACAAAGCTATGACAGGCAAAACGGATGCGGCTCATGTTTGGAGGCTGCTGCACATATCATCATGCATTATACTGCAGGCTGCGATAGTACGGTGGCGGATGCGCTACACGATATCTTTGACGGACAACGTGCACCGTCGCATCCGACCGTTGCACGCCGGGGTGGGGGGGGAGGGAAGACAGTAAAATAAAGGCGTCGTTATCGTGATTCGCAGACAGCCGGGTTCATTAATTTGTATTCAGCTTCTTCAAGGTTGTTGTGTGACAAGAAACGGGGAAAGCAAAGCTGGACAACTATGGCTTTAGACAACAGCGGTGGTCTTCTCCTTGTTCCAGAAGTGGCCGCCGCCCGTTGTCGTGTTGAGGGCGGGGTCACCAAGGGCCGGGTCGTTGTGGAGAAGCTCATCGTTGGTGTGGCCATAACCGTCCTTGGTGCCAGTGACGAGACCGTCGTTCGAGCGAACAGTACTCATGTCGTTGACGGCGGCCTTGTTCTTACGCTTGCGGCCCCAGCGGGAGGTACTGCCCGCAGTTGCTGCAGCGCCCGTGGTGCCCACAGCGGCCGCAGTGACCGCGGCGTCGTGGTCGCGTTGCTTCCTCCTGCGGCCACAGCAGCACTCGAAGAGAGTGGTGAAGCTGGCCAACAAGAGCAGGATGGTGGCAGCGAGGAGGATCCACATGGCTGCACCGTAGCTGGCGCTGACGTTGTTGTTGTTTCCGTTGACATCGTTCTTGGCGGCACCGTACGTGGAAAAGTTGACGACCATGATGACGAGTGAGACAACAAAGGCAAGGACGGACATGACAGAGGCCAGCAGGTAACCAATTTTGCGGCTGCAGAGTGCGATGAGGAACGCAATGAAAGCAAGAACACAGGCAACGGGGACGAGGACGTTGGCCTTTGTCAATGCCGTGTAGGTATTCTTGGACAAGTCGCTTTCGTTGGACAGCTGCCCGATAATGCTGCCTAGGTTGTAACCCAGCCCCGAGCTGGTGCACGAGTGACCACCACTCGTCTGGCAATAGCCCCAGGCGCCAAAGTGGTAGGAGGCGGATCCAACGTGGACATCGAGGAATCCAAGGCCATTAATAATCGGTGCGGAGACTGTTCGCCAGATGTCAGCCCCTGGTGTGGATCTCACTGGTGGCGGCAAAACTCACGAGATGCGATCAAAAGTAGCACGAATGCACAAAACAGCATAAATGTGCCCAGGCGACCGAACATGGTGGCGGTTATTTACTGCTGGGCGGCGTGTGGCAGTTGTGCCGCGTTCGAAGAGGGGGGCGGTGGGGCTTGTAAGTCTGTGAGTCGGTCCACAGAGAAGAACAGTGGCGAGAGGTGAACAGGACAACGGTGTGCTCGGCGTGGAGTGTGGCGTCCTTAAGTAGTATTTCACGCTCATGGGGGGAGGTCTCATCGAACAGCCACAGCTTGTCTCGCGGTTGTCACTGCTCTCAGTGGCCGCCCCCTCCGCAGGAGGAGTACGCAAGGTGGTGCAACCTTGCCAGTCTTCCCAGGATCGCTGGGACATGTGAGGTACCCTTGCCCCCTTGCAATTGCTGCGTTAATTTTGGTGTCTCTAGTTTGTGTAACAACTCAATGTGGGTGGCGGATCTCGGCTGGTATGGCGGCGGCGGTCGGCGAGAGCACGATGTGTGAGCCCCAGAGTACCAGACTGTTGTTGTCATCATCATCGTTTTTGGTCGCATGATGTCATTGAGAGAACTGGCGAGGCAACCGCCTGCGCTTCGGCGCATGTGCCCATGTTGTTTTCTCGGCGCGCCGTTCTCACCGTCATGCGCTCCACATTCCCCCGTTATGCCAACCGCCTAACCGCGTTGGGGGAGATGCCCGGGATGCGCTGCTTGCTTGGCCTGGCGTGGATCACCTTATGCCGTCTGCGTGATGTGTGACGCTCTGCGCTCTGCCGAGCAGTGCAGGAGAGACACACACTTGCCGGACCACCGATGGGCCCCCCCCCCCCCTGCCCCCCAAGCATGGCGGGACAAGCGCAAGCCAAGAGAACTCACATGGCCAACAGGGATGCGGCTAGCGCCGACATCCGAAAGCATTCAATGATCAATGCTCAATGACGCCGAAGACCATGACGATGCTTTGAGTCTCGCTGTCGATTGCACCGCCTGGAGGGTCTTTTGGGCTCTATTTCCGTCGTTTACTCTGGCCTCTGCTTCATGGCGACCGACAAAGGAAGCGTCATGGGGTACGTTGTCATGGCCAGCAAAGTATGTTTTCTTTTTGAGGCCGAGCATTGGCAGGGTGGACATGGGAACCAACGTGGTTGCGTCTGGGAATCCTCAAACAAACAAGCGCATCGCAATCGAGACCCGGTGGCTGTGGATATGCCTTTGGATCTGTGCACGTGATCAAATATCCTGTGCAGGTGTCCTAATCAGAGTTTTCTAATGAACCAAATGAACCAAAGGTGGAGTTTGGATGACTGTCCGTTGTATTTGTGTGATACGGCTCCCACACCACACGCATATACACACGCCATTTGTCGCGAAAGCGTTCGCCCTCGCCGCGCTCGCACCAATTTCGAGGTTCGTACCGCTCAAAAGGAGCGCGCGTCTTGTCGTTTCTCTTTTTCTTCATCCCCATCCCCAACCACATCCCGCATCCCTCCCACCCACACAGTGAGTCTCCGATCCAAGATCCTTCTTTTCTCCACCTCTCTTTCTTAAATCTGCTGTTGCGTTGTCGCTCGTTCCGTCTGTGCCCCCACCGTTTTGGGAGCAGGAATGAGCGAGATTGCAAACGGCAGTAACATGATTATAAACATGTTGGCACCAGTCTTACGTTTCTATGGGGACTTGACAGACGTACCCACAACATACGCAGTGGGCGTCTATGATTCACACCTTTATCCATCCACTTTTTTGTCTCTCTTTTTGAGCGCGACAGGATGCTGACGATTTCAGTGTAGCTTTCACTCTTTCCCCTTGTCGTTTGTTTATTTCCACAATGTATCTCTTGTCCTGCCTACTCTCTTGCGCCCTTGCGCGTGTCGCGGTTGCCTTGCCCATCCGTCAACTTGACCTCTCCCAGTGACGTCGCGTGGCTACCCATCTGTCGACGGGCCATTGGGCTTCTGTTCAATGCGTTCATGTCAAACACTTCTCTCTGGATTCGTCTACAATCTACTGAATCACGACTGCTCCCGCCTCAGCCTAACGAACTACCTAGCGAGCAGCAGTAATCTGCTGACCCGCAGCATGGATGTCTCTCAAAGTCTGCACAACAGTGTCGAGGAAACGGGGCGCATCGGTACTCTTACTCGACACCCAGTCCGAGACCTGGATCTTGATGTCCTTGGGGTCCAGGGCATAGTTGACGCCGTAGCCGTCCGCGACCACGGGTGCGAAACCGCCACGGAACTTGTCACCGGGGGTGGTGTTGGAGGTGGAGAGGACGAAAGACGTGGACCGGGCATAGGCCGGGTCGGCGAACAACGAGGCCTTTTCGGCTTCCTCGGGCGACTGGAGCTGGGCACGGAGACCGAGCAGGTGGCGGTCGACACCTTGGCCTGCGGCGGCGGCGGCAGTGAGCGCCGACTGGGTGGCGGCGGCCGTCTTGAACAATTCCAACTTGCGGGCAACGTCGACGTCCTTGTCGTCAAACGCCATGGCAAACTTGAGCGCGTCAGACGTGCACGAGCGGATGGTCTCGGTGCGGCCGTGGAGGAAACGGCGGAGCGAGGCCGACTCGTAAGTCGCCACGGGGCGGCCATGTTGGCGGAGGTGGGCGAGCTGCACGGCCACCTGGAAGAACGCGTCGGGACCCACACCCAACGACTTGATCCACTTGGCGCCAAAGTCGGGCACGTCACCAAACACCAGACGCAGGTCCGAGGCCATGGTCTTGGCCTCGTCCTTTGCCTTGCCGATGGCAGTGACAACGTCGGGCGTGAGGTTCCACTTCAGGGGCTTGGGGGCTTCAAGACCGGCAACAATCGGCTCGGTGTCCGGGACAGGGTTTGCCTCCTTGGCCAGGGTCTCGAGGAGGAGACGACCGGTAGTGAGCGCGTCGACGGGCGTGTGCTCGCAACAGGCACCCATACGACCGTTGGGCAGGAAGACGAGCTCGATCGCCTTGTCAAACCAGCGGTTGGATCCGTCGCCATTGTGTGCGTATTCGGCCCAGTTGGCTGCGGGATCCAGGAGTGTAGCAGGGTCGACTCCCTCGGGCAGGACATCGAGACAGACGCCGAAGAGAGCATCCTCAACCGAGGTGAGGCTGGCGCGGTTGGTGTTGTCCTTGGACAGGGACTCGCGGGCAGTGGACCACAGATCACGGTCGGCAGCTGTCAGCTGGGCGACGCTTGGGGCGGGACCTTTCTTGGTGAGCGCATAGTCGACACGCTGGGTAGCCAGCTCGAGCTGAGCGGCAATCTGGGCAGTGGACGCGCGCTCGCCCGAAGGAGAGTACACGGGAACCTCGACGGCGACTCCACGGTACATGACGAGAATGTGACGCGCAGTGGACGGGTACTGGTACTTCAACTCATCGCGGACAGGCTTGGGGATGCGCGTGGTGCCAAACTGCCACTTGAACTGGTCCATGTCGAGAGGCTTGCCCTTGACCTGGTCGACGGGCATGGTGTTGTCGTTGATGGCGTCGTTGGCCTCGAGCATGTGGTAGATGACACGCGCGGCACGGTCCAGCTGAATGACAGTCACCTTGTCGGCAGGAACGTCACGGAGGACCGGCAGGTTGGCATTGTCACCGATAGTCGCGCCCCAGTTGACGTTGATGTAGCAGCTACCACGCCATTCGAGGTAGGCCTTGTTGAGCCAAATGTCCTCGAGCCAGCTGTAAGGAGCGTTCTTGTCGACCTCCTGCAGACGAGCCTGGAGGACAGGACCCATACCATCCTTGCCGATAAAGTCAGCCACGGCCTTCTCTGACCTCTGGTACTCGTGCGCACTGAGCAGCGGCTCGAGCGACTTGAGATACCGGGCCGCCGTATCCTCGAGCGAGGGGATCGGCAAGCGGGGCACCTGACTCTGGAGAGAGAATGTACTGGGCTCGGGGCTGGCGTGAAGACCACGGACAGCGGGAGCGTGGACTAGACGGTGAGGGCGGCGGGGGGCGCGAGCAGCATGAACGTGTGTCGAGGCCGAGTATGGGCGTGCGATGTGGCTGAACGGGGTCGCAACGGCGACCATACGGGGCACGAGTACCGACGCATAGGGCTGCGATGACACAAGTGTCGACACAGAGGAGCGTGCGATCTGGCGAAGCATTGCTGTTCCTATCTGTATGTTGGAGATGGTCTGTGTCTGGCGTGTCAGTTACCGTTCGGCGGGTCGGTTGTGGTCGGCGGGGGCGCTGGGCGTTGACAGCACGCTAGTAGAGCGTGTTCCCAAAGGCGCGTTTGTCAAAAGGCGGGGGGGAATGACTCACGTGTGTAGCCAAGGCGTGTCTCACCAGAAGAGGAAGATGAGGGGGGGGGGGGGGGGGAGAATGGAACCTGTAACGAGCAAGAAGCAGCAGCGGGTGGCCTGGGGTACGTGCCGGGTGTTGCGTGTTGCGGAATGTCAACGCGTAGGTGTGCCCGGGTCGGCGCGAAACGTGCAGCATTAACCGGTGGGGGGTGTGGACGGCGAGGGGCTACCGTGGGAGAGTGCGACAGGTGCTTCGACCTGCCAGTAGAGTGGGGACTAAGAGAGGTCATACCAACTCTCTCTAGATATCTCTCACTCTTGCATCGTCCCAAGGGGTTGGCGTCTAATAATGTTGGGCCGTTTCTCTGACTTTACTTACACCAACTACACTCTTCATAAACACAATGCACACACTGATCCAGCCGGTGCTCACGTCAAACCATGACCCCCTACAGCCATACCCCTCTCCCTCCCGACCCGTCCACGGGCGCCGACCGTACATCGGCATCTCCGATAATGACCGGACAGTCCACCTTGCTCGTGTCTCTTGCGACATCGACCATCTCTCATGTACCTTTTCACTCCTCGCCTCCGTTCTGTTACCGCTCCTGCCATATCAAGCGTTAACGGTCAACAAAGGCAGCTTGCTCATCACACCTCACATGAAGGGATAAGCAAATGCCCTTCCCGGCCGAGTCCACAGCGAGCAGCTCGCGGTTGACCTCGACCCAACACTCCTCCACGGAGGCCCCTCGTCACGACCAGCGAACAGGACCTGCACCTCCAAAAGCAAAGACAAACTGGAAAAACGGCAGCCCAAGCTGTAAAGAGTGCATCCGTTTAAAGCTCAAGGTCGGCTGGCTTCATCCTATTCCGTCCTGACCTCCCCTCCAGTGCTCCCGTTCCCCATGGCCCTGCAAGCGGTGTGTCGCGCGTGGATGCGAGTCAATATGCCCCAACGGCGTTTTGTCAGGAAGGTGAGTCTGGCTCGTGAGGTTTGCGAATGTTGGACCTGTTGGTCCTGGCTCGATACATCTGGCGCCACCCATGTATACGTCGCTCCTGGGCCGTTGGAGGCAGACAAAAATAACACCCCCGCAGACCACCCAACCCCCAGCTCCGCATCCAACAACTTCAGCAAAAAATAGAGAGCCTTACACGCGAGCTTGCCGAGGCTCGCACATCACCCGCCGCCGTCGCCTCGACCTCTGCGGCCAGCGGAAGCGCCACCCAACCGGCCGGGTCCCCGCACGAGGGGTGGACCCCCCGAGACCCTCATAGCTCATCGTTCCAAACCATCGTCTCGGACGGCAGCAGAACCTCGGCCGTGAGTTGTGCATGGGTGTTCGGCACACATCTTCAGTCACCCTCAGCGGCTGACCCCCGTCCCCAGCTGCCAGGTATCCACCGATATGCCCCGAGCGCCTCGCCGCACGCCGGGGCCAACGAGCAACACGACGCTACCCGTCTGGACGCCGCATCAGGTTCCGGCTCTGGCGTGTTGGGGGTCGATGCTGGATACCTTGGCCGTAGCGCCGGCGCGCTGTATCTGAGTGAGAACGACCAGGTGTGTGATGGCAGAGCGGAACGAGGTTTGCAGCGGACGACATTTCCACTGACCATGGCAAGGGATTGTCAGTGCCGTTCTCATTGCCGTTCCTCGCGAGCGGCGAGCCGGCGGTTTTGGCGACTTTGCACGAGCTGTTCCCACCTGCCGACCAGGCGTTTGGGCTCTTGAATACATATGGTGAGTTTCAGGCTGTTCGACACTAGAAGCTGACCTCAGAGGAACTCGTGGGGTGGATGTACTGCCCCCTCGACAATACTGCCGTCCTCGCCGCTCTTGGTATCATTTACCGTGGCGACCTTGACCCTGCGTCTCTCCGCTCGCGTCTGGTAGGTATCTCGCCCCATCGCCTCGCTACCATCATGATGGTATTTGCGCTCGCCATGCTCTTCAGTGTGCGCGATGGCGACACAAGACGCTACTTCAACGCAGCAACGGCACTGCTCACCGTCCCTGATAAACATTTCATGGTTCGGCACTCGATCGAGGCTGTCGAGTGCTTGCACATGATGGTGTCCTATCTCTTTGGTCTCGGCCACGGCGATGCGGCCAAGGCTGCTTGGCCAGTCTTGGGTCTGGCTGTGCGCACTGCCTGCGCCTTGGGAATGCACCGCGAAGGATCCAGATGGGGCCTCACGCTGGAACAACGAGAAAACCGGTCGCGGATCTGGTACGAATGCGCGACATACGACATCCTGCAGTCCCTCAACTTTGGACGGCCATACTCGACCCCCACGCAGTTATCGGACTGCCCACTGCCCTCGCTGCCGTCCTTTGGGGCCGCAGGTGTGGACCAGGACGACGCATTATTCCACAACTACAAGTGGCGGCAGGTGCAGCTGTTTTTCCGTGTCACCGACTGTCTCGCGTCTGCCGAGTTACCAGACTATGGTGTCGTCATGGCGCTGGACAAGCAGTTACGAGACGTGGATCAATCGGCTCCGATATGGCTACGCTGGGACGACAGGCCGTTTAATGACCCACCAAGCCTTGACAGGCTGTTGAGTGCGAGGCAGATCGCCCAACAGGCTGCTGCTGCCATCTTTGTTCACAAGGCGTTGCTTGGTGCGTGAAATCACAACCCTCCATATCTGACTTTCACAGCCTTACACCGTCCATGGTTCTTCCACTCTGTCAAAGGCGGCGGCGAGCCCCTCCTCGGTCCACACGCACCAAGCTTCACGGCTTCTGTCAACTCGGCGCGGAAACACACGCGGCTCCTGGCGAGCCTGGTACGGCGCAATCCGAATGCCGCGCACAACTGGTGGTTCTTCGTTTGTGAGTCGCGCCTCGTACCGCGCGTGTCCTTAGGACAAGCTGACCCCCCTCCTCAGTCCACGCATACACTGCAGCAGTCATCCAGTACACTGTTCTCCGCCGCGTGCCCCATTGCGTCGTGGCCGAAGAGGTCCGCTCCGACTTTCAAACAAGTTACGACGTTATCAGGAGCATGGCACCCAATTCAGTCGTGGCGCGGCGCGCGTTCCCCATGCTGCAGCACATGCAGGAGCGCTTGTTGCAGTCGACAGAACCGGATCCTGCCACTGGGTCTGCCTCGGCAACTGGTGCAGGGTCGGCAGCAGCTTATGGCGATGCCGAGGCCAACTTGTTTTCGAGCTTCTTCCAGTCAGTCCATCGTTGACAGCTGCAATCGTCCTGCAAATCCCATCTGACAATCACCAGTGCCCGAGAACCGCAGCCGCAGCCATGGGCCGGACACCTCCAACCTCAAGCCTCCCAGATCAGCGGCCTCGACTTTGGGCTCGGCTGGTCCAGTTTCGGTGCTGTCACCGACGGTGTACCGGAGCCCGCACTGGACCCCTTGCAGTTGAGCGAGATGGACCCGCTCCTGCAGACTCTGTGAGTCTGCTTAACTTCTCCCTATGATGTAAGCTGATAGACAGGTTATACTGGGACGCGGGGAATACCCACCCGGACCATCACTTGTAGCACCTCCCTCACAGCTGCAAGAGCAACTAGATAGATCATAGTCCAACTAGAGAGACAGGCATTATGGTGTATGCAGCGTGAGATCAGAGGTACAACTGTAGGCAAAGCGATTTCGGGGCCCAGTTCAGAACATTCGGGTGTCACCGCGGTCCTCGTATTCGTTTGCGAGCGGTGTGGTGCGTCCAATAACCAGCATGCCGCGCCACTTATCCAGTGTGCCGGGCGGGTGGATGCCGCGGAACTGCGTGTTCTGTCAGCTCTCTCCAAGGCCATCACAAGCTCTCGCCTCATACACCCAAGCAACATCTCACCACCGGCACGCTCACGCTCACTCACCTGCCATCCACACTGCTTGCCTGCAAACTTGTCAAACATGTGGGTGCCGCCGGGATGCACCTCCCTGAACACTGTGACGTCGAGGACCAGGTCATCGATCACGATCCCTGCAAGGCGACAGCGTCAGCATCTGGACGTGAGCCATTGGGGTAGCAAGCGGGTGAGTGCGCGTGTCGACGAGCATGCCAATGAACGCTCGCCGGCTGCGAGCGACATCGAAAGCCGGCTCCGTTCCAACTGCACTCACAGATGCCGTGGTCCTCATCCACATGCGTTGCGATCTGCTCGTGCGTCAACATTGGCAGCGCACCCCCTTCCTCTTTGGGCGTGTTCTTGTCAATGTATTCGAGCAGGTCGGGAGGGGGCTCGAGGGTGACCGTGAATTCACCCAGCTGGACGGCTCCCGCGGGCAGGCCCAGACCATGCTTCTCCCGCTCGGCCAGGTAGTCTGTGGGGAGGTGGAAGCGGCTGAATCCCATCTTGGGAGATGGCAGTGTGGAGGGTGAGGGTGACAATGAGGAACGGAGGTGGTGGGGGAATGTTTGGGTACCCAGCGACGCAGCCGGGGTTCGCAGCACGTGCCCAAGCAATATGTGGCTTGGCAGAGTGTCCGTCAGCTTTCCGGGGAGCGCACGGAACAGTCGAGCGTCGGCAGGTCGATTGGGAGAGCGCGGGATGGTCAAAGCGACAAGCGATGTACTGCGAGGGCGATGGGCTATACCCGTCGGAGAGCGACGGACGCACGCTGCCCAGTAGTGTCGAGGACAATGGCGCTGCTGATCACATGGCGGGTAATGACGTCGGGAACTGTGGGGCCCGTGCACAAAGTGCGGAATTGACCGAGATCGGTGCATTGGAGGCACACCGGTTGGACGGCGCGTTTCGGTCTGTCAACGTCTGCCTTTTGGTTTGTGGGTGCACTGCCTGAGCTGGATGCAGTGACCAGCTGTAGGACAGGCAGTCTGATGGTGCATGCAACGGACATGACATTGACAAAGTAAGGCTTGCTCTTCCCAGAGTACAGAACAGCTTACAGACCTCGGCAACGTTCCCTCCTCAGTCTATAAAAGCAATCAACGCAGCAGCGACCTTGACCACATCCTCTAGCACACCCCAGTGTCCGACGTCGGGCATCTTGATGACCTGTGCACGTGTTGCCTTGGCAATGAACGCGCACGACTCGGGGGAACTGATGACATCCTCAGTCCCAGAGAGGATACACACGGGTGCCGTGATACGCTTGTAGTCGGGGTCCCTTGCGGCGGCCAGAGCTTCGCACGCAAGAGCGTGTCCTTCCGCTGGCTGAGACAGAAGTGAGGCGAACACTGCTCCCGTGGCCAAGGGGCGGCTGGCCTGTGTCTTGCGCGAGAGGCTGTCGGTCACCACCTGGCCACAGATGGTGGGGATGCCTCCCTCCCGCACACGCTGGACTCGGTCGAGAAGGTTGGCCTTGTGCCCCTTGGTCAACGTGCGGACAGGACCGATGAGGAAGAGCTTGGTTACGCGCTTCGGGTACCGGGCAGCAAACGTCGTGGCAATGAGCTGGACTGTCAGCTGTGCTCTCAGTTATGGAAACAAGTGACTCACTCCTCCCATAGAGTTGCCCACAATCACCGCCTTCTCAGCACCGACATGGTCCATCACCTCCTTGACGCTCTCGGCGAACGTGTCGATAGAGACTGGCTGACCTGTCCCAGGCGAGAGGCCATGTCCCTCCAGGTCAAAGGCCACTACACGATGGGTGTTGGCTATCCGCGAGGCAGCAAGGACAGGGAGAAAGTTGGTGTGCCAGCCCCCGAGGCCGTGGATGAACACGATAGTGGGGCCCTTCGATTCGCCGGTGACGACGACGTGGAGTGGACCAGAGGGGAGGTCGACGAGGTCGTGATCGGGCGAAATGTCTGCCGGCGAGTAAGGAAGGACAGGTGCGCACGCGGGTGCTTGGTCTGCAGACCCCACCTCGTTCCGCAAGGTGCCCAATCCTGTAATGCTGACCTCAATCTTGTCGCCCGACTTGAGGAACACACCGCTTGAGAGGCAGACGCCAGCTGGCGTACCGGTGGCAATCACGTCGCCGGGCTGGAGTGTGATACCCATGGAGCAGGTCTCGATCAAGGTTGGAATGTCAAATATGAGCTCTGATGTGTTCTGGTGCTGTCGCACTTCGCCATTGACGCGCGTCTCGAGGACCATGTTCTTCCAGTCGAGCTCGGATGACGGAACAGCGTATGGTCCCTGGGGTCTGATAAGCCAAGCTCACGGCGGCCGATGCTCACCATTGGGCAGAATGTGTCCAGCGACTTGCCGATGTAAAACTGCTTGTGGTCACGCTGTCGCTCGCGCGCCGTAAAGTCGTTGACGATACACGCACCCCAGACGTGCTTCCACGCGTCCTCGCGCTTGATCCCCAGGCCGCCCGTACCAATAATGATGGCTAGCTCGCCCTCATAGTCTAGGCTGCTGGTCACACCCGGGTGGGGGTAGATGGGTGTACCGTCGGCCACAATGGAGGAAGCACGCTTGGTGAAGATAACTGAACGGGTGAGCAAAACATGCGGTCGCTCGCCAAACCCACCTGGAAAGTCGGGTTGCTCTTTCACGTCGCTGCTGTCGTAGCCAGAGCGCGCAAACTCGCTGCTGTCAGCTAAGTGGCCGGTGCAATAGTTACTCACGTTGCGTGCGCCTTGTAGTTCTTGCCCACACACAGGACATCTCGTCCGGGCAATGGCGGCAAGACCTCGACATCGGCAAGCTTCTCCTGGGGCGATCCATGGAGCAACCTGTCACCCACCTCATCCCACTGCGCGATAAGACGGTGGAGGCCAGTCACTGGTCGGTAGTTTGGAAAGAGCAAGGGGGTGACGCGCGTCTCGTCGGCGCTGACAATGCCAATGGCAGAGTGGGCAAAGTGCTTTGACCGGTCTAGCGTTGTTAGCAACGCACGCTACGCTGAAAGGGATCACTTTGTTACGTCGATAACGTCATCGGTGACTCACAGGCAAGCAATTTCGTGGTGCCCTTTTTGGGCTTGTCGGACGTGCTTGATGACATGGGATGTGCGAGGCCCAGAGAGAGCGAATGGACAGAAGAGAGAGAGCGCAGAGAACAACGGCGAGAGTAGACTGCTAGTCGACGAGCCCGTGTTGTGTAGTGTGGTCATGTGCGAGAGCAACAGTTGGTTGCTGTCGTCATCCAATTATCAAACGGCGATCGGCATCATCGGCTCGATCGCCGACATTTCAATCCGCCGATATTGGTCGCAAAAATAAAAAGTCTTACCGACAATTCGATAACTTCCTCTGCTCTGATGGATTTCATTGGCCAAGCCAGCCTGACCGATGCAACCGCCACGATAGGAGCTGCATTTCGAGCACTAAACGGCCCCATAAACCGGGTTTCGCTTCACTCATACGCACTGCAAACCCATACTCACTGTGCACCCACACCGAGAAGTCCACCGTCCATACTCGCGAAGCGGCATGTCACCACTAAACGATCAGTGTTCACCCATTGAGCCAGTGGGAAGAAGCAGTAGGTGTGGCTACAAAACGAGTTGCATTTGGGTATCTTGAATAATATTTAACACTTGGGGGTAAGGTTGTCGGTCGTAATCCTGATGTTGCCTTCCGCGTTGCTCTCCTGCAACCTCTTAATCTCGTCCCAGGCGTCTCCCGTGCCGTCGGGGATGGTGATTCCCGAGAAACCGAAAGTGGCCGCAAGGACATCAGTCATAGGCCACGCGCCGCAGCTGTCGGTGTCGATAAAGTCGACGCGAATGCTATACGCAGAGCAGCCGTTGATGTCTTCGTAGGAGAGCAGGAAGGCGTTTCCAGGGAGAGTCATCTGCCACTGCCAGCCTTCCTTGGCCCTCTGGGCATCCCCGCCGAATGGGCCGGCTCCAGACCTGGCATAGGTCTGCCAGTGGACGTTTTCCCATGAGCTGACCTTCCTGATTCCAGCATTCATGGCCTCTTTCATGACCTGTTTCATTGGCAGGCCATTGAACTTGGTGACTTGGCCAATCTGAATGCGGTACGACGCCATAAAGAGGTCCTCGCCGTCGGCCCCCGGCTTTGCAAACGGATGCTCGAAAGCGGCACTCGTGTAGGTTTCACAGGCGTTTTCTCGACAGGATGAACTGTCCAGGATCGAATCGATTTCGCCAACGGGGTCGGCGTTACCCAGCAAGAACGGCTCCCCGTACCATTCCATAGTCCACTTGGTGACCTCGAGGCAAGTCTCGCCATCGCGAGGGAGGTGGATGGGGTTGGCACCCACTTGGCCAACCAGGGCGGTCATAGCGGCAAGGGCTGTGGCGATCGTAATGTGGCGAACCATGTCTGTGCGTTGCGAGGTGCGTAGGTTGTGAGAGAATCGAGGTCGATTCCTGTGTCGGGTAAGGTGAGATTATCGGACGTTGACTGTCGGTGGATTGTACAACAGAGTACCATCGCTACTCCTTATATACCTTTATCTCATGCCAACCACGTTCACCGTTCTCGCGGGCGAAAACAGATATACTGCAAACGTAGGTTTGCTTCTGGCAGCGGCATCCTCATGACGCAGCGCCGCCTTCAGGCTAAAACGGGGAACGTTTTACTTGGGTTTTACTTGGGAACTGCTTGGCGTTCGATGTGTGCTTGATTTATTCTGTCGGTTCGTTAGAGTGTAGTTTGTTTTGCTTATGGGTTTCGACTTTGGGTGTCCGACAGGGTGCAAGGCGGTGCGTGTTTCTACTAGAACCCTCGAGATGTACAGTGAGAGAAGCATAATGGGGTGCGCGGCACGGGTTCCTGACCACAAATCTGGACCTTTCACGTGGGCAAGCGAGCTTGCGATCAAACCATCCAACTCTATTTTGACGATGTTCAAGGGGAGAGAGGGTGGCTTCACTCGTGGGTCGGCATCGATCTCCAGAACCAACGCCCCCCCTATAGTCCCCTGTCCGAACCACTTCCGCAGGGATTTGGTAACCGACTCCAATTCACAAACAATGCACTACAAACCAGTGTCCAAGTCGGCAGCGCGGGGATGGGACTGAAGCTCCACTGATGTCCTGTGGTTTCACGCTATCTTAGATCCGCAGTTTCCGAGATGCCAGCGGAAACGATAGTGCGTTATCCACCCCTCGTATCTCACCCATGGACTTCTACCCGTCACTTCAAACGCATATCAACAAACGAGGACACAGCCCTGTAGAACGGGTTGTGTCTACCATGGCGGTGCTGGAGATATTTGCACCTGACGGACGAAACGTCTCCTCCTCCCCCAGACGGCCGGAGCTTGATCAAACAGAAGAACATCCCCAACAGAATCAATGACCTTCCGTCTAACGTGCAGTGGTGATATGGGGAAGCCAGTCCAGCCTCAGCTTTCTCTTACTGCTTCACTGGGACGCTGAGATCCGCACAGCCCCAAGGCGTTGCGTGGTTTCCGGAGGCGAACCTCCCCATTTGTCAAATTGCTGGCCGTCATTGCTTCGCAGGGTGTTTCGTCTTGAGTCCAGCTGCTCATCCAAGTTCGTGGGGTAGTGATGGGTGGGTTGCTAACAGAACCGAGACGTGACCAGAGTAATCGAGGGACGTACACTGGCTTGTCCAACGAGAGGCCTTCGTCATACTGGGGGGACGGTGACCTGTTGACCGACCATCCATTGCCATCGACGGGAGAGGAAGCTACACCAGTACGCATGTGGTCTGGCAAACGAACTCCCTTACCAAAGGATTATTACTGAATACCCTCGGTCCCGCTTTGCCAAGTGCTAAGAAGGGTCTTGCCCACAGGTATAGACGGTTGCATCACTACTCTCGAACACTGCCGCTGCGTGACTACGGTCTTGCGCACTTCAGAAGCGACTTCCACATGACACTCACACCTCCACGCAACAGACAACGCGCTCAACCTCTGTCCTCTGACTCGTACTCTACTTCGAATTCGGATTCGGACTCGCATTCGGACTGCTCTTCGGTGTCGAGGGGGCCCGGTACGCTGGCCGACTCGGCAAAGCGATGGAGGAGCGCATAGGCCGTAAACCGACTCGAGCCATCATCTCGGCCCCATGACTCCTCGTACGCGGCCTGAACTTGAGAATCCCACTCAGACCTCTCGTGCACTGGTGTACCAAGCGTACAGAGGACCGTTGCTGCCCAAACGTCGTTGAGGGGCAGCCAGTTGGGCGGGAGAGAAGGGGGCCGATCTTGGGGCAGGCTGAATGTGGACGACCCCACAGTCCAATTGGGCTCAGTGGGTCCTGAGGGTGTCGCAGTGGCAGATGGAGAGGGTGTCGCTTTAGTACCAGCGATGTGCGCGGGGAGAATAATGTACACTGCCGAAGACGCTGCATCGGCCCTGGCGAAGTCCTCAGATATCGCCTGGATCTGAGGCCAACTACGCGCCTCCTGCAGGCTCGACTGAGCCAGAGAGTCGTAGATGTCGCTGTGAATCACACGTACCCAGTTGGGCGGCAGGGGTATGTTCGAGGAATTCTGGCGGATCTTCAGTTCACCAAGCGCCTGTAGGGTGTCGGGGGCATGCCTGCGGTTATGGTAGCGACATTTACGACCAAGACCAGCACAGCTGTCGCAAGCGGGAAGTGTGCGTGAACATTGCTGACCGTCAGCCTGGTGATCGTCCCGAATCAAGACCCACCGCTGTGTCTTTGGAATAGATGCAGAACCCGCAAGCAGGACCTGTCTTGCGCCGACTCTTGAAGGTGGTCGCCGTCTTGCGTTTCTTCTTGGGGGAGGCATTGTCGCTGTGCTCGGTCGCATGCTTGGCGTACCGGCAACTAAGACCCTGAGCTGCACAGTTGTCGCATGGTGTCGTGCCGGAGCATTCCTGCCAGTCAGCAAACAGCACATAGGATAATATACGCACCACGTCTGATGCTTTGCAATGAACGCAAGCGACGTCGCCGGCCAGCTGCGTGGTGACGGACTGTCCACTCCCTCCAGCACTGGGTGCCTCGTGGTTGTCTTCATCCTCGACAGTGAGCTCCTCGTGGCTTCTCTTGTGACGGGGCCCCTTGGGAGAGCCGGGCAGCGAGATGGACAAGGTGAAGTCTGCGAGAGGTGGAGTGCCGACTGTGATCGGGAGGGAAGGTAGTGTAGGGCTAGAGCTCGGTGTGTGACGGCCCCCCTGCAGAAGCTCGTATCCCTTGTCGGGGAGTGAAGGTGCAGGAGAGAGGATTGAGGAGGTATCTCCAAGAGAAGCAAGGTCTGAACGAAGTGGAGTCAACGGTGAGGATGTCGTCGGTGAGTGAAGAGGAGGAGCGATGTCGGTTGATTGGTCGACTGGGCGGCCGCGGACTGGTTGAGAGGCGAGGATGGCGGCCAGAGTGTCCTCATCAAAGCGCCTATCGGTGCCTCGGGTGCTGACCATTGTGGAAGATGGAGTTACAAGGTGGTGAGTTGAATGAGTTGAGTGAGTGGAGTGAAGAGAAGCAAAGGAAGACAACCGCCTTCCCTCAAGATGAGAAACTACACCTTCCCTCCCCTCCTATCAGTCACGGGGAACCTCATCGCATATGAATATTAGGCTGTTTCCTTCTAAGCACCTTCTAAGCAATGACCTGGAACCTGTCCTCAAGTGGCAGGTATGACCTTTCAGCTGGCGCTGCCACAGCTTTGCCAAACGGCATGACCGCGGTCGAGACCCAGTTCTCGGGCGTACCAAGCACCTCCCTCAAGGCAACCGCGTTGGCCTCCTTCATCTGAGGGAAGTGTTGCAAGCTTGCGCCCAGACCGTGGTTGGACAGAGCAGCCCAGACCGTCATCTGAAGCATTCCCGTTCCGTTCGCACTCCACTCGGGGAACAGCTTGCTGAAGTCGGGCATCTTGGACACCCAGTCGGCCACGACGGCCTCGTCCTCGAAGAAGACGACCGTGCCGTAAGAGGGGAAGTATGCCGAGTCCCACTTCTTGCGCGCGTCCGCCCGGAACTGTTCTGGCAAGGTGTCAGCTGCCTGTCGTTTCTGTGCAGAGCTGAGTTGACTCACCAGGAATACTCTCGCTGTTCGACTTCCAGAGCGCGTCCCACAGTTGCTTGTTCTTGTCGCCGAGGATGAGGGCCGCACGCGAGGACTGCATGTTGAATGCAGTGGGCACATGTGTGACCGCTTCGCCCACGATGGTGGCCAGCTCTTGGTCTGAGATGGGAGACTCGGGCTTGATAGCATAGTGTGTTCGGCGATTCTGCATCGCGTGAGCATACTCCCCTCCGAGGGTAGTGCGGCGACTTACCTTGATGGCGTCAAGGACCTGCTTCGAATGGAGATCGGAGGCTGGGGTCGCGAGTCCACGAGTCATGGGTCGGATAGCGTTTGAGCGGGAGGCGCTCATAACTGCGCGGGTGGAGAGCTTGGCAGCGAGCATTGTGGAAAAATGTGAGGTCTCGGGGTGTGTGAGGGATGAGGAGTGAGATGGAGCAGATCAGTCTTGTCGCTACCTGTTATAAGCGGGATGTCATTTACACCAACGGAACGGCACATGTGTGGTTGACAAAGACATGACAAAGTGCTCTCAACGATGACGCTGCGGGGAGTGGACGGCGTGGACGACGGTGAGCGATCGAAGCGCGACGTATCGACTGCGGCGATAAAAACAAGCAGGAGATTGCCGCATAATTGCCTCTTTCGGACACTTGATCCCAGGTCTTGGGTCAGCACCGGCTGGCAGCTGGATATTGCATGTCATCCCTCTCGTGATCTCGAGCTACACTGATGGCCCCGAGGTGCATTGCTCGGCATTCCCATTGGCATGGAATGGTTTGCTTTTCAGGTAGAGAGATTGCCTTTCAACCTGATCAGCCCCATTGCGCACAGTGACATCTCTCTGTTGCCTGGTGCTGCTTCAACCAGTTGTAGTGAGTTCGCTTCGTACCTCATTTCGGGCCAGAAGGACCGCGATGAGAAGAACGCGGACGGGTGGGTACGACAACATGTCGCCGCCTTGTACTGGCTTGGCGGTTTAGACCTATGGCCCGGGCTTCGATTGTACGGCATGCTCACGTCCTTTATACGCTGGCATCGATACCAAAGCCCTCGCAACACACCTCGTCATTGGGTTCTCATGGTTACTGAGACCTGAAGTCTGGACTTGGCACATGTTGTCAGATATCAGTACAGTGACTGCAGCCCCATTGTCCCCGTCTCTTCCTCTTCTTGCCTGGTTCTCAACCACACTGCACGTCGTCGACATTCCCACCAACGCCTACCACCAAAAATGAGCGTACGCTCAGACGACACATATCTTATCCCGAGGGAGTATGTCCACAATAGCGAGTCTGTCGCTGCAAGATCGTCAGACAGCTCAGGCAAGAGCCAAGGGATCGCGGCAACCAGCCATGCTGAACTGCGTGACTCGGAGAGAGCGGCCCCTTTAAATGGCACAGAACTGCTTCCCAGCTGGAGAGACAGGTGAGTGCTTCTGGTGGACACAGGAGTTGACAGGGAGGTACCCAGGTGCCCTAGCGTTCAACATTGCGTCGTTTATTCCCCCAGCCGTCTACATGACCCTCACCAAACTATGGATCTCGGGAATCGATCCAGCCATGGTCGCCACGTCGGAAGCCTGGACATACATTGGCGTGGCCGCCGAAGTCATCAACGAGGGTCTGCCTCGTGCGGCGTACAAGGTCATTGGTGACAGGGCGAGACTCTCGCATCCCCAGCGAGTAACCACGGCGTTCACGATGATCGCGGTCCAGTGCGTTCTGGGCGCCATCTTGAGCATCATCATTGCCGGCGCCGCCAAGGAGTTTGCAGCCAGCTTCGTACCAGCAAACGTCTGGCTTCGCAGTGTCAAATACGTTCGCATATCGGCCTTTTCATCCCTCTTCTCGGCACTAGAGGTTGCAGTCTCGACATCGACACGAGCGCTTGATTGCCCAGACGTTCCACTCGCGATTGCCACCGCCACGACGGCCCTCAATATCCTCCTCGATGTACTCCTCGTCAGCAAGTATAGGGTATACAAGAACGCGGACGTCACTACACAGGCTGCCATCCGCCTCGCTTGTGATGGGGCCGGTGCGATGGTCGGACTGGTCTACTTTACCTCCCTCATGCTCTGGAAGAAGAGTCCGGACATGCGCCGCTGGCTCGTTCGTCCACATTTCAGTGCGTTGCGGAGCATCATTGTCCCCGGATCTTACACGTTTATCGAGTCGGCTATCCGCAACGCCTTCTATCTCTGGCTGGTGCATGGTATTGTTTCACTCGGCAACGACTATGCCACTGCCTGGGCAATCTTCAACACTATCCGGTGGGGACTCGTCATGGTCCCCGTGTACGCTCTGGAGGCGACTTCTGCCACCTTTGTGGGCCATGCGTGGGGTGCGTTCCGCCAACGCACGGCCGACGGGAGTCTGGTCACAAAGGCCAACGTTTGGCTCATCTGCCGCCCAGCAATGGTGTCGGTCGCGATCGCCCTGGTCGTAGAGGTGCCGCTGTGCATAGGCATGTCCCTGGCGGGGACGTACCCGTTTGCACTCTACCTCTCGCAATCCCCAGCCGTCGCTACCATCACGGCACACATGTGGCGCACGATTGATTGGTGCTACATCCTCTACGCCGCCACCACTCAACTGGCTGCCATCCTCTTGGCAACCAAGCCACAATGGTATCTGGGCCAAAGTCTGGCGTCCAATCTCCTTTGGGTCATGCCATGGGCGATCGTGGTTCAGGTCCACGGTCTGAAAAGTGGTGATCCATGGATGTGGCATGCGATCGTGTTTGGAGGGAGTATGGTGTTCAGTTTTGTGGTCGTCCTGATCGTACTCGTGTTCTGGGGCTGGAGGGTATGGCGGACAAAGTGGGACACGGCCCCCCGACCCATCATGGTCCAGCCAACGTATCAGTTGTAGGACAACTGTATATGCAAAAGGCCAAGGTCAACGGCTACATATTACTTTTGATTGCTTTTGAAGAGGCTAGCAACTACCTTTGTCTGCTTGATTTTCGCTCTTAGTCCAGGATCTGCACCTTGATAGCTCCACTCGACGGGTCGGCAGCAGTGTTGAACGCCTTGATGGCGTTGGCGAGCTGGTAGCGGTGGGTAACAAGTGGCTTGACGTCAAGGACGCCGTCGGCAATGAGTTTGATCGCTTTCGGGTACTGGGGTGATCAGTAATGGTCATACCCACGAGCGTCAGATAACTAACCTGGTGAGTATAGCGGAACAAGTACCGCAAATCAATCTCGCGCTGAGAGCACAATCCAATGGGATACTGGTTTATCAGCTGCGGGTCCGATGACGAAGACGTACCGTAGACGTGGAACCGCCCATCCCGACAACCATGACGGTGGAGCGAGGCGCAACCGACTGTAGTGAGTAAATGGACTCCCAGTGACCTACTCACGTTAATGGCCGTGTCGATGGATACATCGCGGCCAGTACACTCGAGAGCCACACGGATGGTTGACTTGGCCGCTGCACGCACGGCCTTGGCCGTCTCCTCGGCTGTGCCAGAGACGAGAACTGTGCGAACCCTCGGCACCAACTTGCGGGCAAACTCGAGACGAGACTGGACCACATCTGTGATTACGAGTGGGCTGCAGCCTGCCGCCGCGGCGCAAAGGAGGCTGATGATACCGATAGGCCCGGCGCCGCTATTTTGTCAGCTGGCAAGTCACGGGGTACATAACATCAGCTTACCAGACAAGAACACCGTCTCCGAGTTTGGCGCCTGACCTCTCCACCGCTGCCAAGCCCACGGCCAGAGGCTCACACAGCGCGCCTTCCTCGTAGCTGACACTGTCGGGAAGCGCATACAGCCACGCCGCCGGATGGAGCAGGTATCGAGTCAGAGTGCCGTGGTATGGAGGGCAAGAGTGGAAGACCATGTGCGGGCACAGGTTGTAGTCGCCATGGACGCACTGTTCGCACGAAGCCTGGCCACACGGAATGCCAGCCTCGATCGCTACACGGTCGCCCACCTTCCATTTGGTCACTTCAGAACCGACAGCAATGACCTCGCCGGCGCTCTCGTGGCCGGCACCGACGTCACAGCAGAGCTTGGTGTCGCCAATGCCGCCATGTTTCCAAAAGTGAACGTCCGAGCTGGCAGTCAGCGTGAAACGATCGGCCACCACATGGCTGTTCTCACCCGCAGATGCCCGTTGCGTGGACGTGCAGCACGACCTCTCCCTCACCGGGAGTCGGCATGGGCTTGGAGAGCATGTGCAGCTCGCCCGTGTCATTGTACGAGCAGGTGATGTTGGCGTTGTTGTCAGCGAGGGCCGGGTCGCCCGCAGCCAGAACCTCAATGTCGGTGCTGGCTGGGTCGAAGCGCGCTTCCCAGTAGGTTTGGGCGGTTGGGGCTTCCTTGGTCATGATGGATGTGTGAGGATTGGGGCTTTCTGTGCAGAGAGGCGACCCGCTGAGTGTTAATATAGGCCATGTACATAGTCATGAGAATGGCAGCGCGTGCTTTTGGGGTCGCGTTGGCAACATGGGTTAAAGCTGTTGCATCACATGGCGGGTGTCTTCTCGGCAGCATGGTATGACCCATGACGCACCATGGAACGACAATTGTCCGCGCGGCCCACAGTGTTCCGACGGCCATGGCCGACAGCGCAGAACGTCCATAACGTCCATAACCTCCATAACGCCAAACTTGCCATCCCTCTGGACCCCTTACTGGCCATTGCTGCCTTACCGGGCCACGGGAGGAACACAATCACCTAATACCGACAGGCAGGCGCCCCAGAAACACCCCAAGGTCGCCGATCTCCGAACTTTGGAAACGGGTTTCTGGAGGGGTCCGAGAACGCAGTATCCGAGATGGGCCATATCTCGCAGCGTGCAATACTGCGTTGTCCAGGCCATATGGCCATGTGTGAACCCAACACACACCCCCTCTCGGTGCCCCGTCCGAGCTGCCCACGGGGCACCGATGTGTTCGTCACCACACATGTGTGCCCGCTGTCGGCGCTCCCATGCGCCGCCGGCGGCGCTTACAGCTGCGGCGCCATTGGACACATTGCCTGGTACCGAGCTCCCGAACAAGCGGCGACGAGGTCACCAGCGGTACTGACCTGGTGTGCGTTTCACTGCTTAAAAAGTAACACACTGTCACGACAGCCACAGGTCCACAGGTCCACTGGAAACACGACCTCGTTTCAAGCGCTCAACATGGGTCCACCATGTCATGGACGAAGACGTCAGCGATCTGATGCTGCGGGCTCCAGTCTCACAACATTGCTTCAAGCCACAGGCACATTGACAAAAACATTACAAACCCCAGACAGTTCTATTGCTGAGAAGAAGGATTCACTGTACAAAAGATGGAAGCAAGCAGACGTGTGGACCCACCACGAAGCGCCTTTCGGTAACCATCCTTCGAACCCAACGGCCCGACACCGAAGCCTGCGCCGGTCCTCGGACCCATCCCGCCGCTGGGTGCAGGTGAGCCGGCGTGCGTCGACGTCGGTGGATCGCCGTGTTCCTGTGGACACGAAAGGCTAGAAGGCCAGAAGGTGACAAGGGCTGCATGCGGGTCGGTGGACAAACGCTTCTGTTCGCCTGCGGGGTGTGGAATGTTGCCCTAAATAGACGTGTTCCAGGATCCCGGACCGCGTTCTCGAACTGCAAAAGCCTTTGGAACCATCACCTTGGGTCTCGACAACGCGATCGTCCCACCGGTGCTTGTGCCGAACAAGACAGTGGTGCACGGGTCCTAGGCACACCACATCACCATACTGTACAGCCCATAGCGGTGGCCACACCGAGACGCAGGCGGCCCATCCCCCTGCTGTTTTCGGAGTGTAGCCGACGCGACCTCAAAGGTGCTGCTGCGCACCCTACTAGTGCCCCCCCGACCAACACGCCCGGTGGTCAACAGGGGTCCATTTTGCCATTGACCTCAAATACCATGCACCATGCATCCAAAGGGGTAAAACGTTGCTCTCAGTCTCTGATCCTCGCCATATCTTACTTAAACCGTCCTCACGTAGCACACTTTGCATCCATTCTTGACAATCTCCACCATGCTTACCTCGCTCCCGCTGCTGGCAGCAGCAGCAGCAGCGGCCATCCAGGGCGTCAACGCAGCCGACGCAGATTCGTGGCGCAGCCGTTCCATCTACCAGTATGTTTTGCGGTTCGACTGCTCGTTACGGCGCTCGTCACTGACAGCATAATAAGGATCGTCACAGACCGTTTCGCTCCACCGTCATCGGACGCGCCAGCCCTCACCAGCGGCCTCGTGTCACCTTACACCTGTGCCGCTGGGGCTGGTACATACTGCGGCGGCAACTGGCGGTCCATTATCGACAAACTCGACTATATCGAAGGCATGGGCTTTGACGCCATCTGGATTTCACCCATTAGTCGTCAGTATCAAGACATCAGTCAAGCAGGACCAAGCTCACATCCCAGTCAACATTGACTATGCGACTCACTGGGGCTGGGGATACCACGGCTATTGGGTCATCGACCAAACCAAGCTCAATGCGCACTTCGGTGACGGTGACGACCTCGCTGCTTTGGTGACTGCCCTTCACGATCGCGACATGTTGCTCATGGTCGACATTGTTGTTAACGATGTCGCCGCGACCAGTACTTCGACGTACACTAGCACGTCTGCCCTGCAGAGTGGCGGGTACCTCTTCACAGAGGAAGAGTATTATCACCCCCTCTGTTGGGTGGACGAGAACAACCAGACCTCTGCCGAGGACTGCTGGATGGGCGACAGCAACGTCCCCTTGATGGATGTCAACACGGAGAACAGCTACGTGATCTCAACATACGAGACCTGGATTTCAGAACTCGTGTCCAACTACAGCATCGATGGACTGCGTCTCGACGCAGCTAGGAATGTCCGTGCCGCATTCTGGCCCGGGTTCTGCTCAGCTGCCGGCGTCTTCTGCATCGGTGAAGTCTTTTCGGGCTCGACCAGCTCTGTTGCCGAATATCAAACTGGCGGCTACCTCGACGCGACCCTCAACTATCCTTGGTACTACGCCTTGACCAACGCTTTCAGTCCGACAAAGTCCATGTCGTCCCTCATCAGCTACGTCTCCCAAATTACCTCTGAATTTTCAAACACGGCGGTCCTGGGCAACTTCCTGGAGAACCAGGACAACACTCGTTTCCGCAACGTCACCACCGATGCCCAGCAGGCATATAACGCCCTGGTTGGCCAGTTCCTGTTTGACGGTATCCCCATCGTATACTATGGCCAGGAGCAAGAGATCTCCTTTGGGTCCACAGACCCTTACAACCGCAACGCACTTTGGGAGGTGGGATACGGCACTACCACGACGTCCAAGTACATGACCACCCTCAACAAGATTCGCAGCGCACTCGTCAGCAGCTCATGTGCCCAACTCAACTGCAGCAGCTCGTACCTGGACGACAAGTCTACTGTCATTTCTAGCACTAGCAACGACGTGGCCATCCGCAAGGGTCCTATTATCATCTCCCTTACCAACCGCGGTGCTAGCGCCAGCTCGGCCACCTTCTCCATCACGGGTACGACCTGGTCGGGTGGTGTCGCCATTGTCGACCTCCTCTCGTGCTCCACCGGCACAACCAACTCGGACGGCTCGATCAGCGTGACGTACTCGTCCGCTGCTGGATATGGTCGGCCGTACGTATTTGCCCTAGCGGCCGATGCTGCGTCGCTCGGTCTTTGCTCCACGAGTACGACCGCGTCGTCAACGACCGTGCAATCGACCAGCACCAGCACGTCAGCCAAGACGACCACGACTGCCACTTCAGCCTCTACAACATCAGCAGCCGCTGCGAGCTGCACCGCTGTAGCAGTCACTTTCAACGAGGTTGTGACCACCACGTACGGCGAGACCATCAAGATTTCGGGAAACGCCACGGCTCTCGGCAGCTGGGACACGAGCAAGGCCATCACGCTGTCGGCGGCAAACTACACGTCCAGTGACCATCTGTGGCACGTGACGGTGAACCTCACACCGGGTTCCACTGTGTTGTACAAGTTTATCAATGAGGCGGTTGACGGCACCATCAGCTGGGAAAGCGACCCCAACCGCTCGTTCACAGTGACCAGCGGATGTACCGCCGAAACAGTCGGCGACACCTGGCGTTAGGAGGCGAGCAGAGTCTCAGTCACACAGATACTTCAGATTAGGCGAGTGAAGAAGCAGAGGATCCGGAGAAAGAAACGACGGCAGTGATCTTGTATGCAGCACACGTTGCAGGTAGCCACAACTCAAATGGGTCCTCCTGTTCTCCATCTGACGGACCGAATGCAACGTTTCGGACCGGGATCCAACATCGGATATCCATTCCTGCTAACCGTTCCACTGTGACGTCACCTCACCACCCCAGGTCCAGAGATCCAGAGATAGATCTAACGTCCAGTGGATTCCATCCCGAGGTATGTGCTACAGCTAGTGCACAAATGGCGGGGCCGGCAGCTCCGGTTCACGAGTGGGTCTTCGATCCTTGTGGTGTTGTTTCTCATCATCCTCACTCACCCGCTTACCAATAAACAGACCGTAGCACGATGGTCAAGAAGAGTGAGTGAGGCCCCCACACCCACCACCACCACCACCATGAACGCCGTGCCGGCCATTGCTGACACGCTCCGCTCACAGTCGACGTCCATTTCAAGAACGGCGACTGGAAAGAACAGCCCAGCGGTGGAGGAACCCTCGCGCTCCGGCACTCGTATGGCACGAAAGAAATCGTCTTTGACGGCCAAGAAATGAAGGGGAAAGGGTTTTGCTCGTACACGCTGTGAGTCATCTGCGGGAGCGGCACCCCCCGCACAACGCCGTGCGCCAAGTCCACAAACTGACGTGCAGCGCCTACCACCCGGGCACAGAGGCGACCGCCACTTACGGTGCGTGCAGCCCCTCCTTCCATCCGGGCCACGACCCACGCTGACCTGTCTTAGACGGCCAGATGGTGTTCCACGGGACTGTCCTCGGTAAAGAAGGCTCTGTGGTCTTCCGCGAGCATGGCCAAATTCTCAATGGCAAGCTCTCGGCCATATGGACCGTCATCCCGCAGGCTGCTACGTGAGTGCAGCCCACGCAATGCCGTCGGGGGGCTCAGAGGGGCGACTGGGCGTTGCGCTCTGGCATTGGCCGGGTTGCCCAGGTGCCTCTTTCGCACCATCTCTTGGCTGACACCACTCCAGTGGCGAGCTGCTTGGCATGTCTGGCCGCGGGGCGTACGAAATGATCGCTGGCAAGTCGGGCCTCCCTGTCAAGGGCAAGCTCGAGGTCGAGTTTGGAGAGGTGCCCATGATGCAGCCCAGCGTGTGGCGCAGCACGAGCATCCAGTATATGATGTGAGGCCCGCGCCTCAACATCTGTAAATGTTGTCACTCACTGTACGAGGATGGGCAAAAGATCAGAAGTGTATTAGTGGAATGCAACGGATACCGGCGGGGGTCAGTCACGATTCATTGATCTTCTTTCACTACTAATGTATTCCCGCGCTTGACCTCCCTCTTCACCCACAACACCACAGTTACCCTTCAAGCATCCCCAACGCGTCAGGTGGTGGGGATCTTTGCCCGCCGCTTGCGCGTGCTGGTTTCACTGGCACGGCGGATGGCCCATGTAAACTCGTAGCTCTTTGCTGCGTCCTCGTACGTGGAGAGGATACGGGGATCGGGGCCGCCGTCAATCTGGTATAGTGTCAGTTTCGGCCTCTAGACGGCAAGTAACTCACCGCATCGATAAAGTTGGACACCTCGGTCGTGTACGGGTCGTCGTCGAGTGGCGTGATCTCATGCTTGTCTGATCCGGGGCGGCGGACTGCGAGGGATGGCGAACCGTATGGGTCCTGGAGGATCATCTGGTACTGGGATTTCGTCAGCTGCAATGCAAGCGTCGACCAGCAGACTCACTCCGTCACAGTACACCTCGAGCTCGATCGAATAGTCGACACCGTGCAGGACCGTGCCGTGGAGGAGCGAACCGACTGCACCAGACTTGTACTTCCTGCCCAGTGTCAGCTCATACACCGCCGGCACGGTAAACCCGAACGGACCAGTTGGCACTTGTCACGCGAGGAATCTTGTCCTCCATGGGGATCGAATCGTCGTCAAAGTTCTTCTTGCTCAGCTGGCCGGGCTTTTCGTCCGCCTCAATGGCGTGCGCGTAGAGAGTCTCAAGGTCGACGTCTCCGCCAAAGTAGCGCGACAGGTCGGCTGAAGTGAGTCAGCGCACGATGGAGGGTTGAACACTTGCCGAGGTGGGTGCCGTTCTCGATTATGGGGCCCTGGCAGACCGAGTTGCGCCACCATTCCTGACTGTCAGCTTATGAACGAAAGCATCAGCTCACCGTCTTCACAGCCAACTCGTAGGCCATGATGTACCGCCCGAACGTGGCCATGCTCGCACTGTCAGCGATGGAGCAACGCGTTTGCAACCTAGCAGACTCACACAGTAAGGTTGTTCTCGTCGATAATGTCCTTCATCTTCTGCACGAGCTTGAGGTATCGGAGGCAATAGCCCACCGCGACGACACCGTTGTGACGAGTCTCGAGAATGTGGCCGACCTCTTTAGCCTGGCCGACAGACTCTAACCATGGGGTACCCGTAGCGACTGGCTTCTCGACCATGATGGCGGCATTGGGAAAGTACTTGTTGATCTGGATCTCGAGGTCGTTGTAAGGTTCCAGGCCGCCGCGGAACTGCGGGGGTGAGGCGACGAAGATTGCTCTAATGAATCAGCGGGGAGCTCGAACATGATGCGAGGGCTGGGCGTGGTCACTGGAGGTTGGCTGCTCATCGCTGGTGACAGCAGGCAGCAACACGTCCTGAACACCGCCCAGACCACCCGGCCCGACCGGTTCGGTCTCTGCCCACGCCCACGGGGCACCGCACAGGCACTCACTTGGGCACTGGGGCATGACCTGCCTTCACCTTTTCGGCATAGGCGGCAATGCTGGGGAGGATCTCGGTGTTGGCATAGCTGTCGGCGACGAACAGCTTGCTCTTCTCAGCGAGTGCGGCCTGGGCGCGAGTAGGAGGATTGGCTGGGTCGATCACGGCTGCGACCTTGAGGCGTGGTCCGAGCTTGACCTCTGCGCGGCGTGCCATGTTCCATGGTCCTGAGACGGGTTAGCCATGGAGAGAATCCCCTACAGAGCCAGGCGACAGGCAGGCAAGCAGGAGAGCAAGCCAGGACAATGCCAAGAGGTAATCGAAGCAGACGAGGTGGGGCAGCAAGACGTCAACAGCAACCCACCCTCTGGTGAACCGAACATGGCCTACGGCGGTTAGCAGGGGGAGCCGAAGACGGACGGACGACGCACGAATCCTGCGCCGACGAGGATGGCATCAAACTGGGGGCCTTCATGAGATGGCAGACTGAAACCCGCTGTTAGCCGTCTCCTATGCAACCTCTTGGCCTCGCGGATGACCATCCTCAAAGGATCGCCCTCGAGTTTATGCGCGTAGACTAACGGGATGTAGCGATCATAGGTAGGCGCCAGCAGCAAGCCCCGGCGGGACAGCGACGCGCACGTCGGGATCGACGCGCGCGCAGCCGAGATGCCGGCGCGTGCGCGAACGTTGCGTGCAAGACCAAGCATCATGTCAATTGGTGTGAAGAGTGATCGCGAGGACGAGAGAGGCGGAAAGGCGCAGACGAGTGGGCTGCTGATGCTGAACGCGTGTGGGGTGGGCGGCTCGGATGACAGTGCGCCGAGAGAAGCAACACACGCCGGTTCCTCGCGTCGGATAACACCGGGTCCTGGCTCTTCATCATCGTCAACCACCGCGGCAACTTGCAACTTGCCGCTGCGGCACAGCTGCCTGCATGCCTGTGTGGCTGCCAAATACCTTGCCAAATACCTTGCCAGCGATCCGTTTGCCGAGACAAGTCCTCACCGAGGCCGAGGGCATGTTGGGTGTCTCGCTGCATTCGCCGTACACCCCGCCGCGAGACAGTCACGGCCGGCAGCCGCTCCCCCCCACCCTGCACTATGGCTGCTCTCACCACACCGTGGTGCGCAGCTTGCACGAGGGGCCACACAGAGGATTAGAGTTGTGATCGAGAGATCGTTGCACGCGTTAGTGGGGTAATAGATCTGGGACAAGAAGGGTTCAACGCTGACGACAGCCAGATCCCCCACTCTATTCGGCTCTCGGCGTGCGTATCACGTTCCGAACGTGGCCGCGGGGTATGGACCAAGGCCTGTGGCCTGTGGCTTGTGTTGGCCGGCGGGCTCCGAGCAGAGGCTAGCGACGGCGGGCCACCGGCCACCAGTCTAGGAATGAGATCCCTCTCGCTCGACAAACGCACGTACTCTCAGCACTTGCGCCAGCACGGTCGATGCCGCCGGTGAATTACACGGCGAACATGTGCCATCGTTGTTTGTATTATCACCTGTTGTGTCACACATACCTCTGGCCTCACACCATCCGTCCCCCTCCCATTCAAATTCAAATGGGATCATGGCGAACGTTAGCGCTAAGGGGTATACATCCCGAGCCAGCCGAGCTCCGCGGGGAAGGGGGTTGCCCCCACCCGCTGTTCCAGTGTGTCGATGTTGAAGGCCCCCCATGTCCTCCCCCCCCCCACCCTCACGCCAACCGCGGCGGACGGCTGTTTCGAGCAGCCTAGTGCCATTGATAGAATGCAGGAATTGCTGCAGCCGGCGGCCGTCGCCGTTCGTGTTGCAAAGCTGCAAGGCCGCTCGGCGCTGACATCAAGTGACATATGTGGGTGACACAGCCAGTGGCGCGCAACGTCTTCATCCCCGCTGTCCATCACATCCACTTGCGTTTGTTCTCACAACACCTCATAAAAAACGACAATGGACATTGCTCGGCCTCGTATTACTCGTCCTCGTAAAGCGTGAGTGGAGGCGGCAGACGGCACGCTTGGCGTCTGCGACTTGTGGAGCCCATCCTCTGGCATTCCATGTTCAGGGGCTGGAACCTGGCTGACGGAATAACAGCTGCACCGTCTGTCGCGCAGCAAAGGTCGGTTTGATGCTGAGAGACGAAGACGATGACCAGAACGTTGGCTGATGGACACCAGACGCGCTGTCTGCCAGAGACTGTCAACGCAGACCCAGAAGCACCTTGTTCCCGATGCGTCCGACTCGGTGTCGACTGTTTCTATCTCTCGGCCAAACGCGGGTACGCAACTGGAAGACGACGTCTTGTTTGCAGATCACTGACGTGCAGACCACCAAAGGGACGTAAGCGCACCGGTTCTGCAGCAATGGGCACGCTTGTCCCTGCCCCGGTCCGTCCACACGACCAACCAAGAAGTCAACCGCCATGCCACGGCCAGTGTGCCATGTACCACGTCCATTGCGCGTGTCCGCGTGTCCCACCAGCAGCCCTACCTCCTCCGCCACCACTGCACCTCCTCCCCGGCCCCAGTGGCATGCCCCTCCAGCCAAGTCCTGGCGCGCTCCCAGACACGGGACGCGACTACTGGTCTCGACCCGCCCCTCGACCCATGCCCAACCCGTTTGCTGACCAGCGCGACGCACCACTGCGGTACCACAGAGCTGGGGCATCGTACACCCTCGGCGATGGATATCACACCGGCCCCGGGTTGCCAACAGCCAGCAGGCGTAACAGATCACAGAGTCTGAGCCCCCGCAACCGTGTCGAAACCTGGGTAGAGGGATACAAATCTGCCGCACCTTCCACTACGTCCACGACATCCGCAGCAACGTCCACTGGCAGCTACTCAAACTTGTCCGGCACCACGTCGGCAGTCAGCAGCATGTATACCGGACCCCAGACCCCGGCCTTCTTCCCATCACCACTCGACAGGCGCATGTCATACGACTCACAGTCGCCCATCTTCCCAACCTCACTTGACAGGCGCATGTCGTACGAGTCCCAGCTGTCGTCCATCCTCCCACCACCATTCGACAGGCGCATGTCGTATGAATCCTCGTCCATCCTCCCGCCACCACTCGAAGAGCGGCGGTCGTTCGAATCCCAGCCATCAGCCAAGGACGATGCGTATCGCGAGGCGGGCACGTTTTCCGATACTCCGCTTCGCTCGCTGCACGACTATCACTTTGTCGCCGAGTGAGGTGCTGTGTGTCGATAAGGACGGTGCCTCCAAAAGGCAGTGGCGTGGCCGGCGTGGATACTGATACGGAGAGATACGAAAACGATGGCGACGGCCAGCGGCCAGCGGACACGGCAAGAAGAACAATGTAGCAAGACTTCCACGACAACCCACGCAAACACGACCATGTGATATATAGCGACAATGACCGATAAAGCGGAAATGCGGCAGCGCAGGAGAGGGCGTAGATGATGGGCCGCCTCTGGACGATGCCACCCAGCTGAGGGTAGCCCCAGGATGAAAGATGATGTCTGTAGTACCAATTGAACAGCCGTTGGTTCTTGGAGCAATAGCGGCTTATGTATATGCGTGCTACGGGCCAAGCCCGCTAGCCCCGCCGCTAAACTGTGTTGCTGGAAGTCGTTCTGTTGAGCGGTAACCGCCGCTGGCCCACTCGGTGATGTTGGACGCGTTAAGCGAGACTCACTTCTGAGGTTCTGAATTCTCTCTTCGCTGCAGTGTACTGCTTCCTGCTTCTCAGATCTCTGCTTATCGAAGAACTGTATTGCTGACGCGTGTGCTCGCTCTCATTTGGTGCACGGCGCGCGTGCATGGTGCGTACATGCCGAGTGCTTGCCGCTACACGGCGGCCGTTGTTGCACACGCGCTCGTAACGAAGCTGGCTCTTGCCCGTAACGAGACGTGCTGGCTGCCAACCCGTGCCTGGGATGGTTGTGTATATTTACACCCGGCCGGACGTTCTGCCTTGTCCTCGAACACAACCATGCTCATGGCCACCGCCCGGCTCTCCCTCGCCGTCACTCCCGGCCGGGCGGGGCTTGTCAAGGCGCGTAGCATAGGGGCTGCCCAATCTGAGTTGGGGGGTTTCGCACTGCGCACCAATGCCCACCTGCGCGTGACCCCGCGTACTTAAGAAGGACGACTGTCCCCCCACTAACACGGCTCCTCACCTGTTGCGTCTCACCCCTCTCTCACAGAAGCAACGCAGTTCCCAGCTTGCACGGCTTGATAGCACCTGCCCTCCCCATTCTCATTCGCCACCACACAGCATTCAATGATCCGCACCCGCCTTGCACGCGTCCCCGCCACCGGCTTGTCGCGCGTCCACGTCCGCGGCGTCGCCACCTCGCTCCCGCGTCGTCTCGCCTCCGAGGCATCGCCCAGCGTCGCTGCCAAGGTCCAGCCATGGGTCAACCCGTTCCCCAACGACACCTTCTCGGTGGGCCCCAACAACGGCTTCCTCCCCACCAAGGACCCCCTGGCTGTCCTGCCCAAGGAGTATGAGGTCATGGACGACCTCCTCGAGCGCATGCGTCTTGTCAAGAAGGACGGCACGCCTGGTCTCCTCGCCACTGGCGACTTTGGCGCAGCCGTCGACAAGGAGCTGCCCGAGTATGACCTGACCAAGGTCAACGATGGCGAGCTTCTCTCTGGTAAGTCCCAACTGTCTTATAGTGCGCGGCTCACACCCAGCCCTGTACCGTGACCTCACCTTTGTCGCCTCGGCCTACCTCCTGGAGCCATGCGACATCCAGTACCGCAAGGACAAGACCTATGGTCTCGGCCGCCAGACCCTCCCCCGCAACATTGCCGTCCCTCTCAACCAGGTTGCTGAGAAGATTGGCCAGCGTCCCTTCATGGAGTATGCCCTCTCCTATGCGCTGTACAACTACAAGCGCGTCGACCCCACAAAGCCCATCGACTATGACAACCTCGAGCTTATCCGTGGATTCTCGGGATACGATGACGAGCACGGATTCATCCTCGTCCACGTCTCCATGGTTCACCATTCGGGCAAGCTTGCCAGCGCCTCGCTCCGTGCTCTTGACGCTGTGGCGGCCAACGACCGTCCGGCCTTCAACCAGGCAATGCAGGACGTCGTGTCCAGCTACCAGACCATCAACGGCGTCATGGAGACCATGTGGGGTCGTTCCAAGCCCGAGGGATACATGTCGTACCGCACGTTCATCATGGGTACCAAGGCCCAGCCCATGTTCCCAGGTGGTGTGATTTACGAGGGTGTGTCCGACGAGCCGTTCAAGATGCGCGGCGAGTCTGGAGCCAACGACTCGATGGTTCCCCTCGGCGACAACCTTCTGGAGATTACCGCCCAGATGCCCGTCAACCCCTTGACCGAGGTTCTCCGTGACTTCCGTACCTACCGTCCACGCAACCACCAGGCATTCCTCGAGTACGTCGAGAAGCGTGCCGCTGCTGTTGGAGTCCGCGAGTTTGCCCTCGAGAACGCCAACTCGGCCGCCTACTACCTTGCCGCCGTCGACCAGATTCGCGCTTTCCGTCACAGGCACTGGAACTTCACCATGCACTACATCGTCACCAAGACCAAGCACCCCGTGGCTACTGTGAGTTCTTATGAGGAGGGTCTAGACGAAGAGCAGAGTGGCGGTACGAAACCCATTTGGCGGATATTGGTTCCTTTCCGCCGATCCGCCGATCCTGCCACTTGTCTTTCATCGTCCAACCTGTCTCCCTTCCTGTAACAAGTAACAGAGCTAACTCTCTGACAGGGAGGAAGCCCTATCCTTTCATGGCTGCCCAACCAGCTGGGTGCCGTTCTCGATGTCATGAACGAGACTCACGCCGGAATCAAGTACGACGAGCTTGACCCCCAGCTTCAGGTCATGGTGGAGGAGATTGGTCTCCGCTCCGAGGCGCAGAAGCGCGTCCTCACTCGCCAAGTCGCCAAGCTCCAGGCAGAGCGCGGCGAGGACTCGACGGTCGTCGACGCCGTGGAGAAGAAGCCTGTCAACGAGTCGGCCTACGCCTAAGCGACAGGCGCGCCAAAGCCAAACCCGGGAGCGGATGATTCGTGGTTCGCCCCCAAGATTAAGAAAGCGACGCTGCTTTAGGGACGTGTACCTAAGGTTGTAGCTGTACATAGATGTATTCGGAAGTGCTGCATCACGTGGAAGAGGACGCAACGAGACGGCACCATGGCCAGTGCCGCCTGTAAACTGTCAGCTGACCAAGGGCACGAAGCGTCTGCAGAAGCATGCTGGAACTGGCTGTCTGTTGGCAGTTGCGCGTTAACCGTCCGGCGCTGCCGTTGGGACCGACTGTGGCAGGTTGCTGAGGAGATCAAGAGGGATGACCCCAGGCAACAGTCGACGAGAAAGCGGGTGTTCTGCTCGACAAGTATCTTCCTGAGAGTGATGGGAAATTGTAGATATCTGTGTACATGTACACATGCATGTGTGTGCACTGGTTCACATGCTCGCACCCTATGCCCCTCTGGTAAGCGCTCTTTTCGTATTCCTCGTCGTACCCGTCTCCGCATCCCTTTTCAGCACTTGTTCAGACCACTTAGCCTGCAGACGCAATGTCTGTCGAAGATACCAAGAAGATCGCCGAGCTCATGCTCCTCAGAGCTGAAGAGGCCTTGCAGGCATTCGAGTCTGGCAACGGTTTCAAAGTGAGCGCACAAAGTGTATGAACGCTGAACACAGGCCCCTACTCTAACTTACACTGGCTACTACGAGGGCACATCGGTACGTCCCGACAGACTCCGGTTGGCGGTGCTGATTTCAAGCAACTGAGCCATGCATACACCGAGTTGCTCCGAGCTCCCTATCCCAGAGACCAGCCAAGCCGACAACGGGTATTTGAGGTGGGTCCAGGATTGGACGTTTGTACTGACAGCGGGCTCGGGTCCTCAAGAGGCTTGACGACCGGCGTACACAGCTGCACCTTGAGTACCCGGGGAGGAGCAGCGACTCGGCAGCACCGGACACTACAACCACGACCACGACAACGACCACAACGACCACTGACGGTCAAAGCGAATCACGAACACCAGTCCAGCAACTCCAGTCTGATGCTGTGAACGGCCGCACTGGTCACACGAACAGTGCGGGCGACCAAGACACACACGCGCCACCTGTCCTTGCCAAGGACGACCAGAAGCCATCCCAACAGGCCTGCACCGAAGCCATCAAACTGGCCCATAAACTACTTAGACAAAAGACAAGGACCCGACACGCCAAGTACAAGCACAAGGGCCGCCACCATCTGCGCAGCGGTATCTCCCTGCGCCGCGATCGTCTCAAACTGGAAATCTGGCGTGAACAACGGGACCTGGCCGAGGACCTCGCAGTCAACTATCCGGACAAGTCAGTCTACAAACGGCTCCAGATGGCGAGGGAGATCTGGAATGAGTACTGGGATGTGCAGTAGTTATCGGAACGTGTGCATGGATGTCCCTAAGGGTTGGTAAGCCTGTCGACAAAACACAGGCTCTGCTGTTCGCTGTCCCCGTGGCTCTGAATGTTGGCAGCCGCGCCATGATCCCACGAACATGTCTCTGTAACTGCGCCCATCGCCACGCGCGAAATCCACCACCACCACGCATCACCACGGCCCGCTGATAAGTCAGCAGGCCGGCTGTTGAACGGCCGCATTTTTGGAAGTTCCCTCATGGAACTACCGATCCATCGGCAAATTGATTTCGGCAATGAGCAAGATTAGCGTCGGCTCCTCTTCCACTCGAGTCGTCCAACTCTTTCTCTTTCTTCCAAGCATCCCTCACACCTCCATCACACGTTCCAGAGGTGTAGAATCCAAAAAGGAAGCTTCCTGACGGAGAATCGAACTCCGATCTCCCGCGAGCTTCATGACAAGCGAGCATACTAACCGTTATACGATCAAGAACTGGGATGTTGGTCTTTCGCGCATGTGGCCGCGAGTTGAGGGGCCGGTTTTCGACGTTTGAGGCGCTTTGTGAGGGGCATGCATGCACAGTCTTGCCATTGGGAAGGTCCTTAATCCTCAAGGGGAATGTGGGAGCCAGCATGTACGTTTTCCGGTCGTGGAAGGGTGACGAAAAATACCGGTGGCGAGGAGTTTATTTGGTTCCATGGTCCGACTTCTCTCCCCTTTGGCACATTCAATGTCAACAAGTCCAACAGCCCGTAGGCGCTAAGGGGTTGCCATCAATCACATGAAGGATTACCCGGAGGACAGTCTGGTAGCGGAGTAGCTGGGCACTCAACAAAAGGCCATATGACACCGCTGGGCGACCCCGTGGCGACGTGTGTCGAGATTCAATAGGTGTTGGTGGTGCCAACCCGCACACTGATACAGACAAAGAGCACTGGGAAAGGCACGAAGTCACACACACAACGTTTGATGCCCTGGCCAAACCCACAGTGCTTTGATGGCGAGTGCCAAGTGATGGGATGAATCAAGTAGAGCTGTCACTACCCACCACCCCTCGTTTTCATTCTTCAGTCGTCAATCTTCTCTGTTAACCTCACACGAATCCTACCGGCCATGCCTAAGATCCCTCGTTCCCGCCGCTATGACATATCCACTTCCGCAGGCGATGCTAGCGAGAGAGTCCTGCGCTCTAGACGGGTTCCAATTGTCACCACGCCTTATGCCCCACGTGTGACCAAGGTCCAAGGCGACAAGGTAAGCTGACTGTTGGGCATCAGCCACTAACGGTGTAATCAGGCCGACACCAGCCTTGTCAATTCTAAGGAGGTATGCACCTTGTACACTTTCCACCTTGCTGACTGACAAGACTGCCACGGTCGCGGCTTCTGTTCAATGTCCACCTCGCTACCCGCCAATGTTCCCCCCGATCACCCGGACGAACAGTCTGCTGTTTGAGGCGTGGGCGGCACGTCGTGAAATCAATGGTTCAGACAGTTCTCTCACTTCTCAGCCGCCGCGAGTGAACACTGAGAAGAAGAAGTTGAGGCAGACGGACACCGTTTTAGCTTCGCGCCCCGTGCGCTGTGAACCTTACCCGAGTCGACGTGCTTCCGACAGGCCGTCGCGCTTCACCAGAGACATGGAGGGAGACGTTTGTTTGATTGTGTGACCCAGCTGTTGACCATTCAGGATTGTTTGCCCTATGAGGCTGCCCCTCCCCACATTACAAGCATGTTCACCAGGCCTTTGAAGTGGCTGGGCATTACTCCAAGATCTACAGAGCACAATATCGCTCTCCCCGGCACCGACGAGCTCATCGTCGCAGAGAAGGACCCGTACAGGTGCTGATGATGATCGTGAACCAGCGCGGTTCAGCCGTCATCAGTCGACAAGCAAGTGGGGCATGTCATAGCGCAAGCCAGGGGCCGGGCATACATACCTTAGGAACAATGCAACTTGGTTTTCTAAACGTTATTGTACTCGATATTCCCCCTTGTGACGCGGTGATGGGCTGTCTCAAGTTGCTGGCGGGAATGTGGCAGTGATGGAGCCGCCGTTCACCGTGGTTGCAGAAGTCTGTTCATTGCTGTCTCTTCCCTCGTTTTCACAATCATTCTTCCTTTGACAGCTCTGAACATGCCCAAAGCCGCGAAGGTACCTCCATCGGCCCAAGTCGACCCACGCATGAGGGTTGACAAGCGGGCCTGTGCCACCGTTGCCTCCAAATCAGGTCTCGACAAGGACCACCCGGTACTGTACTTCTGTTGAACTGGATGCTGACTGAACAGACTCGAAGCAAGTTTTGGACTCCTCCTGAAGTAGGTGCTCCCGTTGCCATACCAGGAGCTTACCCATCAGCATCAGCACCCACGACGACAGGCTGTTCATCCTTACGACCGCGCTCATAGGACTCTGTTCACGCCATCGAATCGGGATATCAGCAACCTCAATCCTGAGGTTCAAGCGGTACGTCTTGCCATCAGATCCCTAATTCTAACACATTCATAGGCTCTGCGGGTAATGCGCAACGCCGCCGCGTATTTGGACAAGGACAATGACAAGCGTAGACGCCAAGTCGCCCTCGAGGAGGCAATCACCACAATCAAGTCGACCTATGTGCCCAAGAGTGCGGCAGAGCTCAAGAGGGCCGAGGAGCTGGAGCTGAGCCGGCAACGCAATGCGTATCGGCAGAGGAAGCGGGAGCTGCTTGCGCGGTTCGCAAGTCAGGGCCACGAGGCGCCTTCAGGTAGTGTCCCGCCGGAGAGTGATGGAACTGGATAGGAGTCACGGCAGTAGTCTAGGAAGCAGGTGCCTGCTTGCATGCTTATATAGTGTATTACAGTCGACATGGGGCCCAGCAACGATGGAAAGTAGAAAGCAGGCAAGAAGGTATGCAGAAACCCTGCCAAAACGAGCATCGTCGGCGAATTTTGGAGAAGGCCGAGTCGGTCAATTTCACTCTGCCGCCACGGCCAGGAATCGATACACCACCCCTGGACACCTTCTCGCAACACCAGTCGTCCTCGCCAGCAAAAGAGCACTGCAGAGCATCAGATGCTGCTGCGGTACTACCCCACCAGGGCTCGAACCTGGGACCTCGGAGTATGTTGAAGATAACAGCTCCACGCGCTAACCAACTGAGCCATAGGGTAGACGATGGTGAGGATCGCGGGCTCGAGGAGGCGGATTTCCGCCAGAAACTTGATGGATGCTGGTCTCACACGCGTGCTTCATACCATACTCGTCCATCATGTCCCGTTGATCAAATCTGGGAAAGTTACAGGGCAACTCAAGGCCCGAATCCCGGTGAAATGGAGCGCAGTTCTTGTCGGGGATGTTTGTGGGGTTTGCACGTCAACGATACCACGGTCTCTGCTCATGCATGTGTTCCGAACTTGTCCCCCCTGTTCAAAAGTACACCTCAAAATCCAGTATCACGGACATCCATCGTATAAGGGTTAGTATACATGCTTTCCAGTGAGTTCAACTTGAACACACAGCGCTTGGGATAGGGGTTCGAGTCCCCTTGGATGTATTCGCCAGCATGAGCAGCCTCTTCCAACAGGTAGAGTTGCATGTGCCTTTTTCGGTTTTGCTTGTTCTGGCCTTGGGTGGCCTTGGACACTTGGCGTGGATGCAATATAGACCAGTTGACTGTGTGAAGTCGTGTTTTTATCATTGAACTCCATTCCCCATCGAGCAGCGCGGTTCAGGACGCTGCCTCGACGCCGCTTGTGACTCTGTGAGGGTTGTCCACAGGTGCCTTGTGCGCACGGGAGTGCCCATGTTGAGGTTAAATGGTCAGAGATGAATCTGGGGATGAGTTGAAGTTGGGACTCAAAGGTAGCTTAAGAGTGGGAACCGCGATGAATTTGGCAGTGGCGAGAGTGGCTGTGACGCACACGAGTCCTTGACTTGCCAGTGCATTAGTGCGCAATGAGTTGCCCATGAACGTGGCATTCGTAACAAGTCTGACCTGTCCTCTACCATTTCCAACGATATACCAACGCCCCGCAACGGTAACTGCAAGTCGAGGCTGAGTCCATGTGAGTGCTTCTCGATGGCGCCTTCTGACGTAGGCCAGCCCCCCCCCCCCCCCCCCCCCCCCCCCCTCCCGACGCGAGCTTACTGGGATGCCATCGACGCGCGCCTGTCGCCTACATATGCACATGACTTGTGTATGCGTATCGAATCGAATCGTCATTCGACGACCGTGTTGCTGTCGCTAGTGGGGTAGGGCTAGTGCGGTATGTGGCTAGAGGCGCCACGGGAGCAAGAACTCAACCAATAGACATCGTCTCGATAGTGAACTGCTCCTCTCCGATGCTCATGCGATAGGTGGCAGTACGGTCGAAATGCAACTGTGCGGAGGAGGAATTGCCCATGGATTGATTATTGTACGGCCCCTGCGGGTGTTCGTTCATCGCCTGGAGCGCTTGGTCCATGGCATCATGGTACAACTCGATGGGAAGCCGGTCGTTGGGACGCCTCACCATAAATCCGGTGTCGACGAATGTGATGTTCATCCAGAAAGAGTGGCGCATGCAGTCAACGATGGCGTTGACAAGTGGGGTGCTATTGTTGAGGGCATCGTCAATGAGGGTACCTCCTTCATTGTGACTCGCCACCTGGGAGAAGAGGAATACAGCCTCACGGACATTCAAGGGGAAGCGAAGGACCGCTACCTGGGAGCTTGAGAGAGAGGGCATGCCCTTGTCTCTGGTGCGTACGTTGATGACGACGCGGGCGACGACCTCATTTGAAGTGTAGCAAGAGAACAAGCTGGGAGTGGAGTGACTGCACTGCGTTTCGGTGGGGAACGCATCGAGTGAAATGATAACGGTGGGCGCCGAAAAGGGCAACCTGCTCGTCATGCGCGTGTAGTCGAAGATCCGAATAAAGTCGGGCTTCAGGAAGGGAAGAAGACCGCTGAGATCGTGGTTGAAAGCGCTGTTGTAAACATCGACCAGCCGAACAGACGGCGCCAGGTGCGCAGCCGAGTGTTTAGGAACGACGTTGCTGTCACGAAAGGTGACCTTTGGGGTACCAGTAGTGCTGCCCTTGATGACAATTTGATAACCATTGCGCTGGAGGACGGTGTTCACCTTGGTCTTGAACGTGTGTGACGTGCCGCGAAACGCGAGGAGGGTGGTGAGGGCAGACGCCTCCAGGACGAGGTCGAGAATGTGGGGGAACGCGCCTGCGTCGAGTTGGACAGTGGAGACCATGACGGCCGCTGCTTGGTACCCCGGAGATCTGGGGAGCTGGATGCCAAACGAGAGCGAGTTGGCGATTGAGAGACGATGGCAGCGGGTGACAAGAGTTGACGTGTGTTGTGTGTTTTGTGTGAACCGGACTCCCCATTTGGCCATTTGGCAATATTACAACCCAGGTGCCACCCATCAGCCCTCAGAGGCTCCCGTCGAAATCATCCCTCACATGCCTCCGCCATACATTACATACAAGACAGAAGGATTTACAATGAAAAGCGAGTTCGCAGACTAAAAAGAACTGGGATCAAAGGGTAACGTTGCGACTTGTAGACTGGTGGTTGCCAGGGCCAAGGTCTGTTGCCACCCATGGGTGGGCCACTAGGCCATGGTCTCGAGCGCAAACTGCTTGTCGCCGACCTTCTTGCGATACTCCTCGCGAGTGAGGAAGTCAAAGTCGGCATACTTGGCGTCGTCGCCATCCATCTCCTCCGAGGTGCTCCAGACCGCCTTGGTCGTCGACTCCCACATGCTGTCGTGGTCGTGTTCGGTGATGACCTCGTTGTACTTCCAGCGAGGCCTCATGTATCCCATGTCGACAAACGTAAACTTGACGTGGTTGGCGTCAAAAATGAGCTCGATGATGGTCTGGAAGAGCTGGAGGCGGTCGCGAGGGGTCTTGGTGAGAGTCTTGATGGAAGGCGTGGGCACCTCTGAGAAGATGAAAACGACCTCCTTGACGGTATCGGGGAATCCAAAGGGGGCCTGCTGCGCGATGGAGAGGGAAGGCTCCTGATATCCGCCAGAGGTACGAATATTGAGGACAAGACGCTTGGGACCCTCGTGAATAAGCTCGCGGCGAGGGCTGAAGAACCCGGCGTCGTCGTTGTGGGCCGAGATGTCCGTCGCGGCGCCGGGGAAGGCATTGAGGGACATGATAAACGTATCACGCGCCTTGAAGGGGAAAGCCTGGCTGATCTTGTCAAAGTTGAAGACACGGATGTGGTCCAGCTCGAGCATGTGAGTGGCGAGGTTGCCCATGTTTTGGGTACGAGTCTCGCTCTCAATGTCGACCGTCTTGGCCTGGGCAGGGAGACCAAGGGAGGTGCTGGGCACGACGTTGAGGTCGTCGTCGCGGAAGGTAACCTGGGGTGCGGCCATGATGCTTGGGTATAGGCGAGGTGACTGGGTGGCCAGGATGGCAGTGAATTGGTGACTTGGGTGTTATGAGAAGAGAGAAGAGAGAGTGTGGAAGGAAGCGTCGAGTTGACGTGTGTGGGCGGCCGTGGGCGGGGAAGGAAGGAACGTGTGGGCTGCGCCCAAAAATGACGTCGCGACGATCAAATCAAGGTCTCCATCTGGCCTCTGGTCATGGACGTCGTGGAACGTTACATGCATGCAAACTACATCCATTATCTACAAGAGTGTGAAGCAAGACCATCACCGTCTGGTATCCAAGCGCGTCCTCCCCGACGTTGAAGGTACTCGTCCAGACGAAGCATCTCAAGATGCGCATAGGGCCAACTTCCCTCTCCATCCGGCTTCTCCGCCATCTGGTTGATGTCCCTCGAAAACGACTTCTCCATGTATGCGTGGTGCAAGTCGGTAATCTTCTGGCCTGGCTTGGTACGAGTGAACAGGTATCCCATATCGACGAGCTTGAGCTTGAGGTTTGGGTGCTGGAAGATGAGCTCGTGCAGGGCCATGGACGGGTGGAGACGTGACATCGACTGAGGGCGGAACGCTTTGACACCTGGGTTGGGCGCTTGAGTGAAGATGATGACTGCTTCCACGACGCTGGGCGGGATCTCGAACACGACGACTTGGTCGACGGACAACGAGGGCTCGCGATATTCCCCACTGGTGACAATGTTCACCACGAGCTTCTTCGTGTCTGGAAGTACGAGCCTCCTGTTGAGCAAGATGCGTGTTCCACCCGTCTTGGGATGGTCAAGAAAAGCGTTGAGCGAGACGACGCAGGTTTCGGCTTGGAACGGGTGATTCTTCTCCACTACCTCAAAGTCATGCACGTTGAATGTCTTGAGATGGTGCAGCGGAGTGATGGTGAGGTCGCGGAGGTCATGTTTGAGCGCGTTGCCGTCCAGGTCGACCGCCGTGATCAATGGAGCCAGCTGCGGAAGGAAGGTCCTGGAGGAATCGGGGCTGTAGGTCTTGCCGGCGAAGTGGAAAGCCATGTGGGCTGAGTTTCCGTCGCCGTCGCCAGCGGTGACGACCATGCATAGCCCGTTGCGTTTGATGAGTGCGTCGACTCCGTCCTTCAAAGCGCGCGAGGTACCGCGAAAGGTGAGGAGGACCTGGAGGGAGGAAGCCGAGAGGATGAGGTCGATCAGGTGTGGATACGCTGCCGCATCTAGATGGCCGACCAGGGTCTCGGCGGCGGCCGCGGTAGCAGCCATGGCTGGAGACGAGACTGTAATGGGTGTGGAACAAGTGAGATGGTAAGACAACGATGTGGTGTTGCAATGTGAGTTGACAAACGGTGCGTGTTTGCTCGCGAGTGTGGGACTGGAAGGGGCCATCCCACACGACGCACGAGCCCGTCACGCCGCCCATCACTTGCATATCATTTGGCACCTCATACAGCACCTCACACAGCGGAATCCGTACACTTACTTCATATTTCACGTTGCCTACATGCTACCTGGGTGCTACTACTAATGCACAACACTTCTTCCACCCGGTCACGACCCGCAAACGGGCGCACTAGAAGATCACCTTCCCCTCACCCTCAGGCATGTCCTTGCCCATGAGCAGCTTCCACACATTGAGACCATTACCCTCCTCGCCGACCTTGGCAATCGGCACGCCGACGCCCATGCTCTCGAGGAGCTCGGTGTCCTTGCCCTCGGGCTTGAGGCCCAGGAGGCGCGTGGCCAAGAGCATCCAGCGCGCGGCGTTGCCGACAGTCCAAAAGTCCTCGCTCGTCGCGCCGCTGTCGTCGCGCTTGGGCGCGACAGGCGGGCAAAAGTTGTCCGCCCACCTCTCAGCGAGTGCGTCGGGGTCGTCGCCTCCTTTCTGGGACCGGATGTGGGGGCGGGCGAGGGCGTGGGCGAGGGGACGGTGCGCCGATTCCTTGCCGTGGTAGATGTCGAGGAGGAGGTCTGCGACTGGACCTGATTCCCCGGCCGGCACCACCCAGCCGTTCACGCCCACCTTGACCTGGAGGGGAATGCCACCGGCGTCGGAGATGATGATGGGGACGCGCTTGTGCACCGCCTCAGTGACCTTGACCTCGAAGCCTTCTCGCGTGCTGAGCTGCGTCGCGACCCACGCACCCTGGAGGATGCAGCCGAGGATGCTATCGGACGGGGGCGCGCGCACGATCGCGACGTCCTCGCGGACGACTTTGTAGTCGTCCTGCGCGAGGATCTCGTGCAGGCCGTTGTAGATCGGGCCGCCGTCCGGGTCGTCGACAGACCCGTGGCCCATGAGGACCAGCTGCGGCGTGTTGGCGCGGTCAACGCCCTCGTTCTTGAGCGCCACGCGGAAGTCGCGGTAGGCCTCAAGCAGCACGTCGTAGCCCTTGGAAGGGTCGAAGCGCGCAATCTGGCAGATGTACCCGCGCGACCAGTCCATAGTGACTCCACCTTGCTTGCGCGCAAGGTCGTTGAAGACTTGGCGGAAGTACAACTTGGACGCGCGCCCGTACGGCTTGTTGAGGCCATCGAGGGGGCTATGTGGGTGGTTAGTGGCCTGATAAACCTGTAGACAAAAACAGCTTACTCAGTAGCCGGAGGCATGTAAAGCAATGGCATGTTCTCGCGGACATTCTTTGGGACAAAGTAGTCGACGGGGTGCTAGGTCTGTCAGCATGTGAAAGCCAGCACTACCTGCACTTGGCCCGACTCACCGACAGGAACAGGTCGGTGTCCTTGATAAAGTTGTAAAGATAGTTCCACGTGCGGTATTGCGGGGTTGACGGGTCGTCGGCGAGAGGAGATTGGACTGGAGGTGTCAGCGAACGACGGGCGATGGTGTCAGACGCCGCCTAACCTTGGATGTGGGAGCGGAACATGAGCTTGGCCTTGGGGTTGTGTTTCTTGATGATCGGGATGAGAGGCGCGGCTGGTATGGTCAGAGTAGCAGTTTCCCATGACGCAAAACTTACGCTGCGGGTCGTCAATTATGATGACATCGGCGTCGAGGGCGCCCTTGGCCCAGAACGTGTCATCTGTGCAATGAGCTGCCTGTCCCAAACGTGGACGACGTGGACGTCGCGAGCCCGATGGGCCAAAGTGAAACTCACAGTTCTGCTCGATCCAAGTCTCGAACATCGCCTTGTCCGTGTCATCGATCTCGACACCATCCGGCGCCACACCCTGGAGGACGTTGTGGAACTTGCGCTTCGTGATGTCGAAGATGGACGGGTGGCCCTCGGGCACATACCTGCCGGTCAGCACGTCAGAACCTCTTTTCGGACGCTCACCACTTGACGTCAACACCGACAAGGCGCCAGAGACGGATGAGCGCATGGCGCATGAGGGCGACACCACCGCCCTGGGGCGTCGCGCTGAAGAAGGCCATCTTGATCTTGTTCGCGTTGAGCAGCTCGGCAAGCGCGATAAAGCGCGACCACAGCTGCGGGGTGGGTGAGCTATCGCTCAGATGGCCAGGCACATAACCACTTGCACATACCTCTGGACTGGTGCTGTCGATGTACTGCTTGGAAGTGCACAGGCGGACATCACCGCGGCAGTCTACCTCGACATGGTGGTCGATGGGGTCAGTGGTCGCCACTGTCGCCGAGTGGGTAGCGGGGTGAAGCCGGGTGAGGGCTTCGCTCACGGCCGACGTTGCACCAGCGAGTGTGGAAGGCGCGGGGAGCTTGGTGAAGATGTGTGTAGGTGGAACGATGATGAAGCTGTAGTGTAAGTGAAGTCAGTGGCTGGATTCACCGCGCGCAACTCACGGGATGGCGTCCAGGTGCATCCAAGTGGTTGACCAATACATGCGACCCTTTGTGTTGCGCATCTCTTCTGGGACAGGCTCTGCAATGGCAACGAGACGGACGTTGACAATCTGCGAGTCCTGGACATGGCGGATGTGCTCGACCAGCTCATGGCCCACGGCGTTATTGCCCTGGGGGTTGCCGTTCTGGTCCAGCGTGTCGTCATAGTCAATGTATCGCGTCTCGCGATCAGTCACACCCGTGCCGTCGTGGTACACGAGCGTTGCCTCCATCTGTCTGTTGCCACCGGCCGTGTCGGGAGGCAAGAGCTGGAAGCCGAGGCCGACGAAGATGTCCTGGTTCTGTTTGGCGCGGCGCGTTGTTAGCGTCTCAAGGCTGCGAGTTGACGTGGTTCTGGAGAATGACATGGTGGTGGTGTATGATCGGTAGGGCTTTCAGTGGTGGTAGAGAGAGGGAGTGAATCAGAGACATTGTGGAACGGTGTGGAGTTGGACAATGTATATATGTACCCAAACCTCGTTGTCGCAGAACTCAAGAGATCAGACATGGCGTGACGTCAGCGGCACTACGCCAGCCGGTTACTCCAAGACACCACAGCAGCTGTGTGGCCCTGTGGCAACGAGCAATACCGGCTACGCGTCTCGGATTCAGAGCGCATGTGATCATGCATTGTGAATAGGTGCAGTCGGTGAATGGGTGTTCATGACGATGCTTGGCCAGAGAGTCGCCGACAGGTTTCGGGGTCGGGCGCAGACCCGTGCCCTCATACCCTCGTGACGCCAGAGCGGCTTTCTGGCTGGAACAAGTTCCCCATTTGTTGAATGGCAGCTTGGCAGTCACAGACTGCACATGCCCGACTGAGCGAACGGCAATGGCCCATGTGGCCATGTGGGGTTGAACCTAGGCACATCCTTGACAATCAAGCGCCCGAGAACGAACGTGAGACGCCCAGTCTGACCGGAGTGGAGAGCGCAACCAGTATCTCATACGTCGTGCACAGAGTGGTGCAGATCTCTCATGACAGTGGCAACCACAGAATTAAGCCGTGGTCTCCAGCGCAAACTGTTCTTCGCCGACCAGCTCACGGTACTCATGCAGACGGAGAAATCCCACGTTTGTGCCGCGCGGCACGCACAAGTCACGAAAGATCTTCTCCATGACCTCATGGTGCTGGTGGGTAATGTTCTGACCTGGCTACCGAGGGCACAAGTACCCAACATTGACGAGGACGAATTTGATGCCAGGATGATCCATGGCCGCCAGCAAGAGGCTAGCCCCTAGCGTGTGTGAGTCTAAGGGAGGGTTCCGGTTCCAGTCGACATCGTCTTGAACGTCATTGACGATGATGACCGCTTCCGTGACCGAGCGATGAAAGTCAAATGCACCTCGTTGGAGTGGAGACAGTGTAGACTGGTAGACGGCAGGACTGGTTCTGAGGTTGATGAAGATCTTGCGGGTACCCTTTGCGAGAAGACGGTGGGCGGCCTGCTGGTCAGAGGAGCTTGGCTCCTCAGCGTGGGGAAAGGCGTGGATTGATACAATACCGGTATCAGCCTTGAATAGGTGGGTGGCCCCCATCCGGTGGTGGAAATTGTGAATACGGACGGTTTTGAGGCTGCGCGAAAGGTCGGCCAGGTTGGAGAGATGTTCCCGGTGAGCGACAGTGCCTTGAATATCCACTGTATGCGCAAAGGGTGCAAGAAACGAAGCCGAGGTTGGAACAAGCATCCTGTCACCACTATGGCGGAATGCCACCTTGGGAGCGTTGGCCACTGACCCCTTTCCGCCGCTGACCACCATGTGACATCCATCGCGCTTGAGAATAGCTTTGACCTTGCTGTTGAAGTATTGTGACGTGGCGCGAAAGGAAAGGAGAGTGTCGAGGGACGATGCAGCAAGGATCGTGTCGATCAAGTGCGGATAGCTGCTTGCGTCCAGCGGGTTGCCAAGGAGTGTCGCCTCGGCAGGAGCATGCGTCCTCGCCTCGAGCAAAGGCGACATGATGAGAGGAGGACTGGAAGTCCGCAGGGTGGGAGCGAGGGATAGTGGGTGAAGTCAAAAGATGACACTCATGGCGATCGTTGTTTGTCCCGCTGGGCGCTGGTAAGGCTCAAGGTACATACGCGGTCCGTCCGGTGGCCTGTGGCCACCCTACAATCAGGTCAAGAGGAACTTTGATACACACACACATCCATATGCCCGCCCATCCATGACGCTGCGCTATACAAATGTGTCCAGACGAAACTGCTCGTCCCCAACCCGCTTGCGATACTCGTCGAGACGAAGGCAGGTGATATCCGACACAAAGCCTGGTGGTGTCAGGGAGATGAACCTGTCGACGTGCTTGAACGCCGTAGCATGCCGATCGTCTCCTGCCGCTTCCGCCGCCTCACTGGGAGGAATCATGGGCCCACAGTCGACCAAAGTCCACTTGAGTCGTGTGTTGTTTCCCATGAGCGTGAATATGATACCCTTATCGAGGCGCACGCGATTCTCTGGTGCCAGCTTTGGAGAGGACAGGTTGTGCGCAGGCGCCGTCGACTCGGAAAAGATGATGACCACTTCCTTGAGGGTGGATGGAAAGTTGGAAGCGGTGTGGCGCTGGTGGGACGTGATAGTGGGATATTGGTAATCTCTGCTGGTCACAAATATGAGGACGAGCTTGGTCGTGCCGTGCGCATCGAGTAGTGTGGTGGGACAGTCGAGTGACGGCGGAGGCTCGCTGTCGAGGGGAAACGCGTTCATGGATATGACGCACGTTGGTGGGGCAGGGTAAAAGGGCAGGTATTGAAATCCGAGCGACTGGTAGTAATGGCGCACTCGAAGTGTCTTGATGTTCTGCCCAAGTGATCCTAGGTGGCCAAAGATGTCATGGTCATGGACAACAGCTTGGTTGTCAATGTCAACCGTGCGAGTGAAACGAATGAGGGCGCGTGAGGTGGGGACGATAACGGTGTCGCCGTCGATATAAGCAATCCGAGGGTCGGATCCGTTCCTTCCTCGAACAATACGCATATGACAACCATTTCGTTCCAGCACAGAGTCCACTTTGACCTTGAGGAGACGCGAGGTATTGCGGAATGCCAAGAGGACGCGGAGTGAGGAGAAAGAAAGGACCAGGTCCAGCAGGTGTGGGAAGCTGCTTGCGTCGAGGGCCGGAGAAGAGGAGGCCTGGGAGACCACGAACATGACAGTGATGGGTGTCTGCAAAGAGAAGAACAGTGGGAAAGTGAGTGGCAAGAAAGAACATCATCCTGGATGTCGGCGGTGGAGGTGTTATTTGCGGCGCCCCACCAAGATCCCGCGAGGATCATGTGGACACACGGCAAACACGCGGGACCAACAGGATCAGTGGCAGTGGAGTAGTGGCAGTAGATCAAGTGGAAGTGTCTGCTACAACATCACATGCTCCAGGCCTGCCTGTCGCTCACTGCTCTGCACCACATGTACTTACGTGAGCGCAGTATCTCGTGAAATCATCTGCGTCATCAGACAGTCCTATTTGGGCTCATGCCGCCACGCCCTCCCGGGTCCCGTATCTTGCCCCGCACGCTCCGCCTGTCGGCCTGAAGCTCGTCAACTGGCCAATGTTAACACAGTCGACCAGTTAAACCTCGACATGAACTGTTGGCAGTAGCGCATGCGGCGTCTATCCTCCACGACATCGATGGACATGCATAACAGTACAGCAAAAACATGCTTACGTAAATGGGCGTGTAGCTCAGTTGGTAGAGCGTGTCATTAGCATCTACCTATCTTGACAAGGTCTTTGGTTCGATTCCTAACTCGTCCACAACACTTCTCTTTTGCCTCTTGTGACATTTCTCTGGAAGCTCGAGACGCTGGAACAAGGCCGGGGTATCGTTGCTGGCCGCTGGCGCCGATTTCCGACATAGGAACTCCGCACCAGCCCTCCCGCAGTTCATTGACAGCGTTGTGTGGACGGCGCGATCGTGGTGACGACAGTGGCTGCCATCTCGACGCGCCGATTCCTTGTCGTGACGGTGTCAGAAGCATAGGACGCCTCTTCGGTCCCACAAGGTTTACAGTTGGCGAAGCATGGCTGTGGTGGCGTCTGGCGCTGAGGCACTCGAGAGAGAGGGAGAGCGAGAGAGTTGCTGGGTCTGCGTATGCGCCGTGCTGGTGACAACACACATGGATGGATGGCACTGTCAGCTCTAGCAAGAGAAACCGGGGTCGAACCGGTAAGACAAGAAGGCCGTTGAAAGTTGCGTTCGCTTGTGGCCCATTGCAAGATGAGAGTCGTCAAGAACGAACTCATGCCACATCCACGTCATCGTCCGCCTCCAGAATTGGCCTTCGCAGCGGCGCTTGTGGCGTCACAAGCGCACGTTTGAACTCCCACTCGATGCCTTGGAACCAGGTTAATCACACATGGTGGTGGACACAAACAGCCAACCCATTGAGATGCCGCGTCCGAGGCTTCAGTTCCCATCAGCGGGTGACATGTGCTAACACCCTGCACCAGTCTTTGTTACAAACCTGTCTCGGACCTCAACTTGCTGCTGGACACTCATGCGCTCAGCTATAGGTACCACGGTCCCTGGTCCAAAGCCGCTTAGATGGTTCTCAAAGGGAGTCGGTACGCAACCGCGGCTGGCCTCCGAGGCTTGGCCTGGGAGGCGAAAAGCGCCTCCTTTGGGGTCCCCCTTCGCCATAACGCGCATCGTCCTGTCCTATCCGTCGCAAGAATCTAAGGATCTCAACGTTGGACCCCAGTACGTGCTTCATTGCCTGCAGGAACCCGGCTCTTTTGATAGACATCTGTTTTGACGTCCCCTCAAACGTCGTTACAATGTCAAACAACCGTTAAGCTTCCGTAATCCCGCACAGTGCGCCTCAATCACAATGATCACTGTCATGGGCTTCAAGTTCGACCAGGCCGCAAACTCCCGTGTGATTCCGACGCTCTGCCCGTGTGTAGACATATCCAAAGTTCTCGGGCGCACGCAGACATAGCTCAAGAGCAACTGGTGGCACGCCATTGCGTGTCTCTGCGCCCGCTATGCGACCAGGCTTACGAGGAGGCACGGGAACAGGTACGTGGGCGGACATTGCCATCTCTTGCCGTCCTGGGTCCCTGCAGTGGCTGTTGTCGATTCCAGCAACCGAGGTTGTTGACAAGGCGGTTGAAGGCCAGGAGCGGTCCCAATAGCGATAACATTTCTGCGGAGACGGCGACGCCACTGGCTCTGCCACCACAGTGCCATCCACCGCCCCATGTGCCACACTGCCTCAGAAGCAAACGATACGCATTGTTCACCGTGTCGCTTGTGGACTAATGCAACATGACAGCGGAGTAGACATGCGGTCCATGGGAAATCGAGGGTACGGCCCTAAAGTATGGTGCGCAGGTATGTATATAAGAGCTCGATGCTGGGTCGAGGGCTGTTGTCGCCACCCCCTTGTGTCTGTCGCAATCAGTAAGTGTGCTGTCAAGGTCCTCCTTAACTGACTGTTAAGTGACGCAGGTCCAGTCAAACGCACTCTTCCCTCCCGGTAATTCACTGCTTGTAGACCAAGCTCTCGCCCTCGGATGGCTCAAGGGAGCGGCGATTGGGGTCGTCGTTTCCAGTGCGGCCATTGTCTACTCCGAGATCATGTTCTTGACCACTCGCTGGATGTACACCCGGGGCATTCTCCAGAGGTACTACCCTCTGCCAAAGGAACGGGCCGCTGTCGCAACGTGGATCAACACCTTTTCGTTCACCGTCCCTACGGCGATCTACGCGGTCGTCTACCAACGGGGCCCGCCTCGCTCCTTCGACTTCAACGTCCTCAACTTCATCATGTACCAGTTTCTGTACATGGTGATACATGATACCTACTTCTACTGGTAAGTCACATTCCTGGAAAGCGAAAGCCGACTAACGGCCAAGGTGCCATCGCACTTTCCACGTTGTGCGGCCCCTTTACAACCACCTGCACGCAATGCACCACGAGTACTCGTACGCCATGCATGTTTATGTGGTCGGTCACGCCGAGCTGGTCGAAAACTTTATCCAGGTCGGAGTCCCCTTCCTGCTGTGGACGTACATTGCGGGAGCCAACTGGTGGTACTGGCTTGGGCCGCTCTCGTTTGTCATCTTCTCAACCTTGGTTGGGCACTCGGGATATCGCTCTCACCCGATCCTCCTCGTCTTCCACCCCTTGGCCGCTCCCATTGCCCTCGCCAGCGGCGGCATGCTCCTGACAATCGGCGATCACCAGATGCACCACTCCCACCGCCGCGTCAACTTTGGTCTCTTCTGGCGATTCTGGGATAAGAACTTCGGCTCTTACCGCAAGTGCGAGACGCGTGCCCACAACCACGAGTTCTGGCTCAAGTGGGCAGAGACGACGCGGTCTGCAAAGAGTGATGACGTTCAGGCCAGTGTGCAGGCAAAGAAGTGGTTGGGCAAGAACCAGGTTGAGTTCCACGAGGTCGAGTGGGGATTCTAGAGGCAAGGAATAGTGGTAAGGATACATTCTAGAGCGTGTACCATATTCACAGAGTGGCAGAATATGGACAAAGTGAGTCAGCAGATCAGCAGCGACGTGACTTGAATGAAGGCTATTTCATTACTATTGAGTACTATCTAAATCACGATGCCACTTGAGCTTTTGCAGCCGCCTTGGACACGGTGTATGCAGCGGACCTGGAATGAGCTACATACACAGTGTTGGTTGACTGCCGCCGGTGACGTCCGCACCCCAGTTTAGGATGCCGGCCCGCAGCACGACCGACACGACCGACCGACGCGTCGTGCTCCATGAAACGCTTTCGTTTCAATCTCGGCCCCTTGCCGCGTTTGTTTGACGTTGGATTTTCCGCGGATCCGCGTTCGTTCCTGCCAAACAGGCTGTAAATGTCATGTTTCCATCGGTTCTGGTCAGCCAAAGTATGTCCACATGGGCCATTGGGTGTACCGCATTGGCCAGGCCAGACTGTCAGATACACAGCCTCCCACCCAGGCATGAGAGTGTCAACGTGATCATGCGAGGCATGGACGACGGGCGTTACCTACTTTGTTGCGACTGCTTTCCGTCTGAGACGCGTGTGTACAGTACGCGTGTGTACGTGTGTAGTCTCCTTGCACGTGTGTCCGCGTGACGTCAAAAGGGCTTCATCCATCATGCCACATCCGTGCAGCCCGTTCCGCGCGGCGGGTGGCACTTGCCCTATAAGAAAACAACAGCAGCCAGTTGTTGTCGCTCGGCAGTCTCTCAACCCACCACATTCCTTTACACCCCACGCTCCTTTTCTTTTCAATCGCCGCAATGGTCTACTGGGCTACAGCTGCGACGTGCTTGGCGATGCTTCTTGCCCCGGTGGCAGAGGCGGGCCGCTTTCGCGTCCAAGCACAAGCCCTGATGTCAGCGAGGATGGATCCCATTGTCAATGCTGGAACGGTCGGCGGCCACGTCCACAACATCTTTGGAGCTTCCAACTTCCGCAGTGGGTACCGCCCAGCATGCCCAAGGCTCACTCCACAGATGTCCTCAACACGCCCGAGGAGCAGCAGCGTGCCCACTGCACCTCAATCAACGTCGCTGCCGACAAGTCCAATTACTGGATTCCTCAGCTGTACTTTATCAACGCGAACGGGACGTACACCCTGTTGAAACACAATACCATCATCTATTACGAAGTTGGGAACGGCGGCACCGACGAAAAGGTCGTGCCGTTCCCCCCAGGCTTCAGGATGATTAGCGGTTCGGCCCAGCGACGTGCTCCTGGTGCAATTGAAAATGTCGGCCTTGCCATCCAGTTTTACCACTTTGGCCCAGCGACCAACAAGAACTACTTCCCAAACGGCACGCATCAGTCGACCATGCCGGACAACAACATGATTGTCACCGCCATCAACTTTCCTAGGTGCGGCTGGGCAAACCAGTCGCTCGACTCGGACGACCACTTTAGCCACATGACGTGGCCAATTCATGGCGTGAAAGGCGAGTGGGTTACCAACGGCCGGTGTCCCGAGTCGCACCCGATCATGTACCCTCAAGTCTTCATCGAGACCTTCTGGCCCCTGCTTCCATACATGAAGGATGAGTGGAACACTACTGGACCCAACGTTATCCTCGCAAACGGCGACGTGACAGGAATTACGTACCATGCTGATTTCGTAAGTCGTTGTTGTTGTCGTGTTGTCGACTGACATCCATAGGTCAACGGTTGGGACCCTGCGGTCATGACCGAGGCCATCAGTACATGTGCGACCACCGACGTAGATTCGTGTGCCGCCATCAACAAGTACAAGAATCAGCCTGGGTCCTTCCATTCGTGTCGTCCCGAAGGCCAAATCCCTGCAGAGGACGTCGGCCTGTATCAAACCCTAGACAAGCTGCCTGGTTGCAACCCCCGGTGGGACTGGGATGGGCCTATGAACCATACCAAATGCTCCGCGACAAACACACCCGGATTTGTATCACCTGCGCGCGCAATGGATGACTACTATGGCAATCACTCCTACCCCCTGGCTATTCCTGGCTTGACTGCTCCCATGGACACCTTCCCGTCCAAGAATCCGGATAACAGTTTTCACATTCATTTTGGCAATTGGACCACAACGGAGGGTGACCCCTTCCAGCAAGGACCGGTCATGTCCGGAACGCAAGAAGAGGTCGACGCCGCAGCAAGTGAGTGATAGTGATAGCGGTACCGTGGGTGAGGCACTGATCAGTCGTAGACGGTGGTTCGTCAATGGCCGTTATCGAAGGCCAGCAGGATCCATCGGCTTGGTCCGAGCGCAGCCCCACGGCCACTATCGATGCAGTGTATGCCACCGGAGCGTCAACTATGGTCCCAACACAAACGTATCAGTGTCCTATGACCCCGGCGTGGGAGGGGTTTTACTGTGGCCCTGCTACGACGACTGCAGCGGGCGTCACCACAACTGGCACAGTGGCTGCCCCTGTCACCACTCCCGTGGCCAAGGCCACGGAGCCGGCTTCACCATCGAGCCAGGACATGACCGTCCCGGTGTCCAACATTGGCAACGTCGCCATCGCCTCCCCGACTGACCTTTTTTTCACGCCCTCGTCCCTAACGACCCCGGCTGTTGCGGTGACACCGACGGCTGACCAAGGGGCAGCCTCTGAAGGAACCGTCGCTCCCAGTCCGGACCCAACGCCGATTGCGGGGTCCACTCCTGCCGCGTATGATAGCAAGTGTAAGCGCAACCGCCGCAGGCACCGTATCTAAGCACTGCGTAAGTCACCACAATCGTAGCGTCCATATACCTACTGCAACATGCAGCCCATGACCATACGGACGGCAATGTGGGGGTGTCGGATCGGATTGTGCAGGGTTGCGCCACATAGTGATGACATGTGCACCTCGGTCTTCACCTGGTTCCTCACCAGGTGAAAGCAAAGGTGAGGGGGCGGGATGCTTGATAATCTCTGCAGAGCGAGGAACAGTGGCATGATTGTTGCGATACAGCAGGCGGTTCCTGGCCAGATATGTCACTGATATGACCAGGATTCGGACTTTTCTGTTCTTTCGCCACATCTCACCATCGGGCCCCGCAATGGCGTAACACGAAAGTATCGTTCAATACGAATAAGGAATACGCATGATGCAAGCTGTTTTGAGCTGAATGCTCTTAAGAGCATGAAGTACTCGGCAGCTCTTTCTGATATCAAGTAACCCCACAATGACCGTCACCCAGGCCACAAACAGGTCGTCCGGCAGCCTGCCGTTCCGTATTCCAGCGAGCCCACACGGGCACCCTTCGTATGGCACAGTCTGATCTTCCACCCTGCCTTATCATGGACGGCCTGACCTCATTTCTGGGTACTGGGTACCCCTACTCAATTTTATCAACCCATTCGGTACTTTTGGAGTGCCACACCGATCGCACTCTTGACCGGCGTCCGGGAATCACCCACCTCGACTCAGTGCTCAACAATGGAAGCGACACCTACGTGAGTTTACCGCAGCATGGAACCGCTTCTGATACCACAGTGGATCTCAGGGTACAGCGGTACGACAAGCTGTCGCCAGGCTTTCCGAAGGCCATTGATGCCCTTGAAGACCTCTATCGCTCCTCAGTCGTCTACACCGACGGCAACAACCCCGGTGCTCCGAGGCCCATCATCAGGGGGTGAACGCCGTCCTCGGTGTGCACAGCCCGTGACCGGGTGGAAGAGCCTGTTTGCCAACCGTCGCAGCACTGTGGATATCAATGGATTCAGCCAGACTGACGCTCCCGCAATGCTTGCGCATGTTAGTCACTGACAACCTTGACGCGAGACTCGCCCATATAGCTCATTGACATCTACGAAAAGTCACTGGACGCGCAGGTGCGTTTGCAGCGGACAGGAGGCACTTTGTCAGTTTGGGATAACCGTATCTGTGCGTAGCAGCGACCAAGTGTTCGCTCCGGTAAAACAAATTCCCCAGCCATCCACACCGCCCCTGTATGGCTACGCAGAAGGGACGGCCGCCGACGAGCCACGCCATGGCGCCCGTGTCACATCTCTGGCCGAGGTTCCATTCAACTCGGATAACGGCGTCAGCCGTAGGGCAACCCTCGGCTTGAAGCAAGACGATGTGCGTGAGCTACGCACGAGGGCCGACCTTCCAGGTCAGTACACACAGACGTAGTTGTACGAGGAGTTGAGTAACGTATGAGGTAGGTATGAAGAGCATTTGAACCAGCCTGACCCTCTGTTGCCAAGACTTTTCACGACAGGTGTGCAACATCTTGTTCAGCTCTCTGCCAAATTGGCGAGGTGTCGTGCTTCAAGGTACCGACGGAAGGGCACGCACCCGAGAACACCCAACTGAGTCCTGAGATCGCCGCGTACCCCCGTGAAGGCTGCAGCAGTCGACAATTACATACCTTGGCCGTCGGTCGGAGCTACGGTGCTCCTTCATGCCAAATCATATTGCTGGTGTGGTGTCGCCCGACCTCGGAAAACCACTCGAGCCCACCTTTCGTCCTGAAGGTTTGTTACACGGCCCTGCCTTCGCAGCCCTCGGCATTCAACATGCGCCGATGGATGTGAGCTGCCTGATCACGCAATTCATCCCCCCGGCCAGCTCGAGCCGCAGAGTCGGTCGCTTGTGCGTCTGAATATAGCCCAGGTACGGCCAGAAAAAAAAGGAAAAACATAGGAAAAAGCCGATCCGATAAGCCCTGATCGCCCTGAAAACCACTGCGAGTCCATTGGAACGCGTGGGTGTCGGCGTTTACTTTGCGCTTCTTCACCCACCAACGGCCGAGGACAGTGCAGAGGTGGCAACAGCACAGGGCGCCCGCAGTGCTAATTTGCAACTAGACTGCCACTCGGCACTGCGTACTGCAAAAACCAGCAGCCCTGGGTGAGCATTGTCGCGATTGCGCACGTTATCACCACGAGCACAACATCTCTCGCTGACACATGACAGATAGGGATACCGACGTATATCACGGGGGGACCTCACCAAAGGAAGTTTTCAACAAACTCTCCTCCACACACACAAACACGATGCGTGGCGACCCCGACATCACCACCGAGGAGGTGGTTCTGCAGGAGCCGACAGCCGTCCTCGAGAAGCAGGACACTGAGAAGCTGAGGGGCGTTGGTTCCGATGACTCAAGCGACAATGTTGCCGGCCTCGATCAAGGCGATTTCCTCAAAGGACACGACGAGCAGCTGGACGAAGATCATGTCATCGTGACAGGTGCCGATGCCGCAAACTACCTGCTGTCAATTCGCGACGACGGCGACCCGGCTCTTACTGTGCGCAGCATGGTCCTCGCAACGGTGGTTGCAGCTTTCCAGGCGGCCATGAACCAGATCTACAGCGTGAGTGTGGTGGAACATAGTTCCTGTCTGTGCTAATGGAAAAGTTCAAACCCACCTCAGTGACCATCAGCGGATCCTTTATCGTCCTCATCATCTGGTTCCTCGGACGTGGCTGGGCCCTTCTCCTTCCGCGAGGTGACCGACTGGAGGCCAAGTGGCGTGCAAACGGTGGCAGTGGTCGCCGCCCGTGGTGGATCTCGCTGGCCGTACTCTTCAACCCGCGCGAGTTTGGACTCAAGGAGCACGCAGTTGCTGCTATCACTGCTTCGTCGGCTTCACACGGAGTTTCGGGCATTCAAGTCTTCACAGTCCAGAACCTCTACTACAACGACCAGGTCAGTGCCACGACAGTCATCCTCTCCACTCTGTCGATTGGACTGTATGGCTATGGTCTCACTGGCTTGCTCCGCCCCATCACTGTCTGGGCCCCAGAGTCGGTGTACTGGACCAACATTCCCGTCGTGAAGATCCTGCAGTCGCTTCACTGGGACGACGTCAAGAACTCCAAGCCGTTGCGTGTCTTCTGGTACTGCTTTGCCGGCATGGGAGTCTACGAATGGTTCCCCGCCTACATCTTCCCATGGCTCAACTCAGTGTCCATTCCCTGCTTGGCTTCCATGCACGCCACTGGAAACAAGGCCCACATTCTCAGGAACGTATTCGGCGGCAGTCTCAGCAACGAAGGTCTGGGTATCCTCAACTTTTCATTTGACTGGCAATACATTACTTCGTCCTCCACCAGTATGCCACTCAAGCTTCAGGCCAACTTCGCGGTCGGTCTCGTCATCTGCTGGATTGCCATGCTGGCCGTCTACTACGGTAACGCGTGGGGAGCACTCTCCCAGCCATTCATGTCGACCTCGCTCAAGACAGCCGCCGGAGGCTCGTACTCGTCCACGTCCGTGTTCGTGAACGGCATCCTGGACGAGGAAAAGCTGGCTTCGTATGGCCTCCCGCATCTCACCGGAACTTACACCTGGGCCATGCTGGTCGGCAATGCTGCGATTGGTGCTGTCATTGCCCACTGCATCTTATTCTGGGGCAAGGACATTCTCCTGACAATCAAGCGACTCCGCAAGGGCGAGTTTGAGGACCGTCACCACGCTGTGATGGCCACAAACTACAAGGAAGCCAGCTGGATGTGGTACGCCGGCATGCTCGTCATCTCCTTCGTTCTCGGCCTCGTTGTGGTGATCACGCAGAACCTTACCTTCCCGGTGTACGGTTACATCATCGCATTGGTGGTCGGATCAATTGTGGCCCCGTTCAGCACCATTCTCTATGCCAGGTTTGGCAATGGTATCGCCACGAACGCCCTCATGAAGATGATCGCCGGTGCCATTCACCCTGGACGACCCCTCGCAAACCTCTACTTTACCGGCTGGTCGCATTCGGCAGTCATGCAGAGCATCTACCTCTCTGGTGACCTTAAAATGGGAGAATACCTGAAGATCCCGCCTCGCACAATGCTCCTCACCCAGGTGTGGGGCACCGTCTTCGGCGCGTTTATCAACTATGCTGTCATGATCAGCATCGTCAACAACCACCGCGACATCCTCGTCGACTCAAACGGCTCCTCAACCTGGAGTGGACAGTCGTACCAGTCCCTCAACACGCAAGCAACCGCATGGGCTTTGGCCAAGTACCTGTATGTGGCCGGCAAGCCATATGTCGCTGTCCCTATCGGACTCGCCATTGGATTCGGCCTGGTGGTCATCCACCGCGTCGTCGTGCGCTTTGTCCCCCGCATCGGCCGCTTGAACCTGTCCGACATCAACCTGCCTACTCTGCTCATGTACTCCGGCTGGCTGGGTTACAACCAGACTCAGTCATGCGTTGTTATCAGCCAGCTCCTGGCCGGATTCTTCGTCCAGTATTACCTCCGCAACTACCGCCCTCGCATCTTCAAGGACTACCAGTACCTTGTGACCGCGGCATTCGATGGTGCCTCGCTGTTTGTGCTGTTCATTCTGTCATTTGCGGTCCTCGGTGCCGGTGGGTTGGAGAAGCCGTTCCCCTTCTGGTGGGGAAACCCCAACACCGACCTGAGTGGTGTGTACGTCGACCACTGCCCAGGAGGATCATAAACGTATAGATCATAGAGTGTAGAGTTCCAAGTGCTTTTTAATGCGATTTCCATGACCCGTCATTAGCTTGCCAGTGCACAGGTACTCGGGATGGTATTCAAGACGCCGAAAGCCGTATCGGCCGAGTCGGCTAACTAGACATCGGCCGTATCCGAAAGCTTGGCCGGTATTCTCAGTAGAAAGCATGTCGATGTCCTCAACCTCAAACAGCTCGCTCGCCCGACCACAACGAACCACCTTGAGATAGGAGTGAGAGCAGTGTCAATCCCGCCCTCAAACCTCAGACCGAGATTCAGACCGGTTACCAAATCCAGCGGCGTAGGAGCTAACCTGCCCTGCCTGGTGACGCAGCCACTGGAGACCATTGGGCTCGGTGTACATCAAAGAGGTCACTTGCACTTGACACCGATGATGAACGGCAGCCATGATGTCGAGAAACCTGTTGATAAAGTCCTCAGCAAGGAGGTGGATTCAACATTGGCGCATGCGACAGTGTCAATGGAGGCCGCACGGCCACCACCCTCCGTTGCAGAGGACGACATGGACCCGTCCTTACCGCCCCCGGTACCCCTCAGGCCCATTACCACGACCCATTCGACGCGTTCGCAGCGCGCAGCCGCCCACACGATTGACAACTTTGAAATGGCGCCGGAGAACCCTCGGAACTGGAGCAAGCAGAAGAAATGGCGCCTCACACTGGTCATTGCCATAACGGCGTTTGTGACTACCTCGGCCAGTAGCATGGTTGTGCCAGGAATCGACGATGCAATGAAGGAGTACGGCGAGTCAAACCACAAAGTCGGCGTGTTAATATCCACAACGTTTGTACTGGGTATGGGGTAAGTCAGAGGAGGGGGGACACACACTCACACTCCAGCGCTGGTCCTTTCCTTTTTGCACCAATCTCTGAGCTATATGGACGACAGGTGGCATACCACACGTCACAGGCGTGCTATGTCCCCCTCAGCATTGGCGCTGCTCTTGCACCCAAGTGAGCACACCACATCTGTGCCAAGCTTACCCGTGCAGTATGGCAACCCTACTGGTGCTTCGGTTCCTTTGTGGAATCTGCGGATCAGTTGGTACGACACTGGGTATCGCCACAGTTGCAGACGTGAGCTTTTAACGACAGACAGAGGTGCTGATTAACAACAGGTGTTCTCACCAGCCGAACGAGGACTGCCTGTGAGCACGTACACCCTGGGGCCAATGCTTTCACCAGTCATTGCCACAATGGTTGGCTACTGGGTTCTGTACGGTGGCTGGCGATGGTTGCTTTGGACACCAGTCATTCTCGCTGCGTTCAACTGGTTCTTGCTTCTCATCGCCACCGAGGAGACTTATGCTCCGTGAGTTGTTGTTCACAGACCTGCACTCACACTTCAGGATCATCATCAAACGCCTGCAGTATGAGGTCACACACCCACAGGAAGAGCCCCCTGGATGGAGAGACAAGCTTTCGCCCCGTCGCCTGATACACAATCTGGCGTGGATGTCGGCTATGGTGTCCCGCGACCAAGCACGGCAGACGTTTGGACGCGCGTTCTCCCGGCCACCCAGGCTACTATTCACCAACCCTGTCTGCGCTCTGTTTGCGCTGTATTACGGCTACTTGTACGCGTGCATTTACATCTTCTTGGTCACCATTCCGCTCCTATACACGCACCAGACCCAGTACCCAAACCTGTTTTCGTATGAGTGGCCTCAATACACCGCTGGCCTTGCATACGTCGGTCTGGGGATAGGATATCTGATCGCATCGGTGACGGGGTCTACCCAGCAGGACAAGATCTACCGTCGGCTGTCGGCGCGTAATAAGGATAACGGACAACCAGAGTATCGGGTGAGTTTTGAAAGCCACGATCGCATCACTGACGATACCTAGTTACTTCTCACCCAAGTTGGCGTGATCATTCTTCCTATAGGGTGCTTCGTCTTTGGGTGGACGGCGCATTTCCAAGCGCATTGGATCGCCCCTCAGGTCGGGGAATGCCTCGTCGCGTGGGGCCTAATGGTCGCGTTCAACTCGTTGCAGACATTCCTTATTGACGCATTTTATCCATATTCTGCAGCGGCGACGGCTGCGGCCATTGGAGTGAGTCTCCCGCCAGGTCCCGCAGTATCCACGACGCTGACTGCTTACGCGCAGCTCCGATCCGCCATGGCATGCGTCCTTCCAGTTTTCACGCCAGAAATGTTCGGCCGGCTCGGTTGGGGTTGGGGTGGGACAGTCCTGGCGTTTGTGGCACTTTCGGCTCTCCCAGCACCACTCATCGTAGGCCTGTGTCAATTTGCCAATGTGCTAATTTCCCAGATGTTCAAGTACGGGCGCCGACTGCGTGAACGGTTCCAGTTTGAAGGGTAGCAGCTGGCATCCGATCATCCGAGACGGTGCCGCGTGGCCTATGCATATGGATCCCAAACCGGTCACCTCAGTCACCCGCATTTGCAGACGGGCGAGTTGACCGCTTCGTGGCGTCGAGTCGCAAACTCCGGGCCCAGCCCGCCAGCGTGTCGGTCTTGCAGGTCGATGTGCTTTGCGCTCGACACAGGCTCTATAGACATGTGGTCAGTGCTGGTGGGAGGTTTCTGGGACTTCCATAAGGCTGTGGCTAGCAGTTGTTGGAGCAAAGTTGTAACGATGAAACCAAATATTTTTACGACGTATCGTCCAGCATGAGTGCCTGCCCCACTGGAGACATGCACGTGATGCTGCCGGCCATCGTTATCTAGCCGGTGTTTATGTGCCGGGACAGGCGCTTACGCCACACCATCGCTCTCCTGCAGGTCATCTGAACGACTGGCAATAGCGTCAAGGCGTTGGTTGGTGTCATCAATATCCGGACTTTTTGCGGCTCCGAGACTTGGCGGGCACAGGGCGTCGCGTTATCTCTGGTGCCTCCCTCTCAGCGATGTGTATGGTCGTCGCTCCTGGAGCAGGGATGAATGAACGCTCACACCCGCGCTCCCAACAGGCAGGCTCTTGGCAGAGCATGTGGACCCTTGCGACTGTTAATTCTTGTCTCTTGGTAGTTCGACTGGTCGGGGCCTCGCGGAGCCACCCCGTCTTCTCACTGGTCTCGCAGCTGGTGTAACCACTGCTATTGTGCCTGCTATTGTGTACCGGATGTCGCTCGCGGGGCTCGTTTCTCCACCGCGCCACACTTGGAGCAGCAGTCTCGAACGGCGTTGTCCTCCCGGCCGAGCTCTCCCGGCTGCAGCGACCAGCCATCATCGATGGCGGACCCCACCTGGACCAAAGCTACCTCTATCAACTGTTAGCCCGTCTGCAACTGCTGAGCAAGTCTATCTATGAATGCATGGGGATTGGCGGCCCGTTGTACACGGACAGGGAGATTTATGAGGCGGGGGGGGGGGGCAGGAGAGAGAGAGAGAGAACAGCCACAATAGCGAATGTCGGTAGCGTAAATGGGCCATTTATCCCTAGACTTCTAGATTCTTGGGAGCCAAGGTTGCTGTCCGAGAACTGAGGACCCCACACTTCACAGGTCAAGGCAATTGAGGTCAAAGAGCAACATGGTCTCGTCTCGACGAAAGAAGCGAGGAAGGCACTGTGGGGAAACCACCGGAGCTTGGTCTTGTAGCCATGCCCACCCCTTGGCGCAGAACCTCGTTGCTTTACATCCCCGTGTCGCCCCGCACAGAACGGCAGCGGAAGGGTCTTGAGAGTGCTTCCGACGCTGCAGATTGCCTGTCGCATGGTATGCAGAATGGCGTGCCAGACCAACGCGTGTTATCAGTTGGCCAGTTGGGATGGTTGGCGCGGCCGGAGCCTGCCGCCTGCCACGTTTGCCCACCCAGGCTGGCTGAATGCCAGGATCCTCCAGCGGACAACGGTCTTGGCCGGCCATTTCTACATCCAAGATCCGAGATTCCCAGATAATGGCCACACGGTGGACGCGAATCCGTGGCGTCGAAGCCTACGACGATCGTTCCAGGAATCTGAACAACGTCGAGCGTGTGCAGCTCGTTCATGGAGGCTGCCATGCTCGTCAACGAGACCTCTACCGAGCTCTGCGCAGATTTTTTTTTGCTGACTATGGGTGCGAGGCGCTTGCCGAAAAAAACTGGCAACGTCGACTCACTCATTTTTTTTTCCAACTCTCGCACGACTCGCCTGTCGCCTGGGCCGTCAATTTTTCGTTGTCTCATCCGTGGCATGCAGTGCTGGCCCACCCGGCCGTCGTACGTACGGCCGCCCCAGACGGCTCAGTCTGCTGGGCCGGAAGTATGGCCCTGGGGGGGTATAACCTGCATATCCTGCAGTCGCCCTGGATAACCCCCCATCGGCCCAACGGCGCCTACACGGCACAAGTCCCGGGTAAAACCTGGATGACAAGGAAAATTGCGTCCACCCTGTCTTGGCCCTTTTGTCTTGCTCACTCTCTCTGTGGGGCCATCGCATGCTGCGTCACTGACGAGCATGCGTTGGCCTGCCGCCGAGGGCCCAGCTGCGGTGGTAAGGCTCACTTGTACGGGGCAGTTGGGCTGGCCGCTCTAGGCGACGGGTCTGATCAAACTGTTCAAAAGGAGACACCGACTCGAAACGTTGCTGGTCATTCACCCACCCATCACCACCACATCTACACGCGCGCGTCCACCGCCCCACACATCATGTTTGACAAGAAGAAGAGCACAAAGGAGCTCTCCGACAATAGCTCGGATGACTACGAGGCCAACATTCAGCCTGCCACCGGGATCGTCGAGGATGCCGTCTTCGGCGAGCTCAACGAGGACGGTCCCAACTACCGCGGCCTCGGCAAGTGGGGTTCGCTCATCATCATGACCAAGGCCAACCTCGGTCTCGGTGTGCTTGCGCTTCCCTCCGTCTTTGGCGTCCTCGGCATCGTCCCCGGTGTCATCTGCATCGTCGTCGTCCAGTCCATTATTGCCTGTAAGTGTTCTCGGCCAGGAACGAGCTCGTAAGACGTGAAGCTGACTCCGCACCAAGACTGCTCGGTTGTCATTGGTACTTTCAAGCTTAGGCACCCCACCGTCTACGGTCTTGCCGATGCCGGTGGAATCTTTGGCGGTCGCATCGGAAAGGAGTTCTTCTACGTCGTGTACACCATCTGTGAGTCTTGTTATGAGCGTCGCCCCCTTTCGGCCGAAAACTCTTTTGCACTGGCTGACAACACAAAAGTCATGGTCTTCATTATCGGTTCTGCTCTTGTGGGCCTGTCTACCGCCCTCAACGCGGTCTCTGCCCACGGTGCATGCACTGCCATCTTCATCTTCGTCGCTGCCGTCGCTGGCTTCCTCGTTGGCTCCATCCGCACTCTTGGGAAGGTCTCGTGGATCGGCTGGGTCGGTGTCGTCTCCATCATGTCGGCCATCCTCATCCTCACCGTTGCCGTCGGTGTCCAGGAACGCCCTCCCCTCGCTGCCCAGACCGGCCCTTGGGACAAGGACCTTCAGATCTTTGGCACCCCTACGTTTGCTGGCGCCATGTCGGCCATCAACGGTATCGTCTTCTCGTACGGTGGTACCCCCATGTAGTGAGTAATCACACAACAGTGGGATTCTGAACAACCGCTGACCCCCATGTCCAGCTTTGGCATTGTCGCCGAGATGAAGAACCCCCGCCTCTTCGGCCGCATGATGGCGGTCTCCATCTTCTTCCTCACCGTCGTCTACCTCATCATCGGCTGCGTGGTCTACTACTACTGCGGTCAGTACGTTGCCTCGCCCGCCCTTGGCAGTGCCGGTACTCTTCTCAAGAAGGTCTGCTACGGCATCGCCATCCCCGGCCTCCTCGCCTCTCTCACCATCTTCGTCCACCTCTGCGGCAAGAATGTCTTTGTCCGCATCCTCGCCGGCTCCAAGCACCTCACCGCCAACTCTGCTGTCCACTGGACGACCTGGCTCAGCTGCACCTTTGGCTCGGTCATGCTCGGTTACATTATCGCCTCGGCCATCCCCATCTTCGGCTCGCTCATCTCGTTCATTGGCGCGCTCATTTGCCCCCTCGTCTGCATTCTGCCTTACTGCGTCATGTGGTGGCACGACCACTGGCGCGGCAAGACCACCGAGGAGCGCAAGAGGGGCTGGACTACTCCCCTTGCCATCCTCAACCTTGTCATCTTCGTCGTCGGCTGGTTCCTTCTCATCGCGGGCACCTACGGTGCCGTGGTGGACCTGATCAACACCACGGTCGACAACGGACCTTGGACCTGTGCCGACAACTCGGGATCGGTCTAATTCGAAGGGAGGAGTAGAGGCTGAATAGAAAAGTAGAGAAGAGGTCCATTGGACGTGTATTGGAAGCCGAGGGTTCAGTTATTGCATATAGGTTTTCTTGTACACAGCATCATGCATACAACAACAGCATTTGGATATCACACAGTCGTTGCAGTGCCAAGGGGCGTCTTTCCATCTCCATCTCCATATCCTTCTTCCATATCCGCGTGGCGGTGGATCTTACTGCTGAGCTGCTGACAAACGCGAGATTACGGCGGTCGACAAACAGGTGTGCCCAGGGTCCACATGCATGCCTGATGCCTGGACAAGGGGAACCAGGAGAGAAGGGGAGCCAGGAGAGTGGCAGCCGGTTGGACCCTTGTACGAGTGGGATCTGGACTCGTTTGCCGCAACTGTACCGATGTAGCTTGACATGGAAATCCGACAAGGCATGACGCTGACACAAACAGCATGTACCTTGACATGCGGTACTGGATTTACCGCGGCCGTGGGGTGGTGGGCGTTGATGGAGAGCGAGATGTCTGAGACCACAAAGGCACTGGCATCTCCGCCTAATCGCCTTTTGCACCCTGTGACACCATCCCCCCTTTGTCCTGCCCTCGCATCGACGTATGTACACGAGACATCGTCCTGAGATGCTGCGGGGCTGCTATCCCCAACGGGTCCCGTCGATGGAGGTGGCGGTGGACGGTTCAGATCGCCGGACCGCCTTCTGCCCATTATTGGCGGGATGGGGCTTGCGGCCGAAGATGTGTCGCTTGTTGTGAGTCTACATCCTGAAGGGATGGAGTTTGAGCCCAAATACAGCCCATGTTACTGGTCCGTGAGTGCTCGTCAAACCCAGTCTCGCATCGCGGCTGCTGTCTGGGGCGGTCCCTGCTTCGAACATTCGAAAAAGACGCGGCCACTACAACTCAGCCTCTGGAGGTCTCGCATGGGTGCGAATCGAGTGGCGGAGGTGTGGAGATTTTGCCAAACGTTCGGACTGAGGTACTGAGAGAGGCAACTGAGCGGCCATGCGTGAGATCGTGCCCCTTAGGTATGTCCACCGAAGAGCACAACCGTGTATCCACTGGGGATCCATCCATTGCATTAGAGCTGGCCAGTGGCAACTAAAACAGGCCGCGTGGCGTGAGATCAGGCAGACGCACCATACAAAAGGGAAGTCAGACGGCCACGCGTTAGCGTGTGTCGCGCAGCTGTAGAGCTGCGCAGCTATGATCGACTGTTGTACAGCGTCCTACTCCCAATGTACGCCGATATCCTCAACACCGATGGCATTGTCCTGTGATGGACCGAGTCCCATTATGGGATGCTGTTCCTTGAAGCGGGCAATGCTGGACAATGATGGCAGCCGTCGCAGCCCAAAACCCACCTGGTTGCCGACTGATTACACGGTCCAACACCATGTCCTTTGTGGATTTTGATATTTGTGCAGTCATGTATGCAGTTCCTAAGGCCCAATACAGCCAGTATTGCGGTGTCTAAGACAACCGTTGCCAGAATGACATGCATTGGCCATGGATCCATGGAATCCAAGACGCAGGGGGGAGCGGACGCAGCGCAGGGAGGCTACGTTTGGCATTAGGTAAGCACAAAAGCGGCGTTTTCACTTCCGCCTCCCTCCCTTCAGGCTAACACACCTGTGACCACAACAGCAACTGCGATGCATGCATTTCAAGCGTAGAGGGATAGCCGCGCTACATATCTACCGTGCTATGCTGAAAGACAGGCATCCAAGACGGATCTGGCAGAACAGTTTTCGGATATACATCGGTTAATTTTATTTCCGGAGTGTGGCACTTGTTTTTACTCGTCTTCCATCGTCAGTTGGCTTCCTTTACTCATTAACTCACCCTTCATGTCGTACGAGTTGTCGATGGGGCCGAGCAAAAGTTTCTGCAACCACATCTCGGGACTGAGGTTGTGGCCTGTCTTCTGCATCATCTGCTGCTGTTCGTACTCGTATTCCATGGTCTGGTCGATGAGCGAACCAATGGTCGGGTCGTCGTCGAGAGACGAGAGGAACTGCTGCGCGCCGCGGTCATTGCCGACCTGGGCAAACTGGTAGCTGACGGCGTCGGGGCCGTCTGATTTGGGAGTCAGCATTTGCGGTAACGAGCCATGAACTCACAAGGAGTGCTCCTGAGCTGGTTGTTGGCGTTGGCGATAACCTGCGCGAGCTTGCCCCTGTCCTCGCCGGCGGGGGCGCCGTCGGTAATGGCGATGACGAGCAGAGGCTTACGGAGCTGGTTGGAGCGCGCGGGGCCAAGGAGGAGGGGCTGAAGGATCTTGGCGTCGAGCGAAGTACCGAGTGGGGTAAGACCTGTGGCGGGTTAGCTTCAGCCATCTTCCAACAAGACCCACCGCTGAACTGGACCTGCGAGACGAGCTGCTCAGCAGCCTGCTCGGTGGTAATGTTGTTGCCCTGGAGGTTGTTGTTGAGGAAGCGGACCTGGAGGCCGTCGTCGTCGAAGAGAGCACAGGCAGCGGCGACCTTGCCGAGGATCCTGGCCCCGTCAGTTTACCACTACCACAAATTCACTCACGACTTGAGGTCGTCGATACGCTCGCCGTTCTGCTCAAACGCCATCGATCCCGAATCGTCGATCAGGACGACAACGTCAAAGAGGGAGAGCTTGGCAAGGTCAGCGGCGAGCTCCATGGGGAGCTTCCACATGGCCGAGAGCTTCTGGAGGGCGCCGGTCTGGACAACGCGCTGGGCGACCTGCATGACGGCGTTGGGGTCGCGGTAGAACGCCTGGATCTTTTGCTACAAGAGTCAGTTTCACTCAGCCACAAACCACACTTACCTCCTGGATGCACTGGTTGAGGATACGCGAAATGGCATTGGCGTCGAGACCGCCGGCAGGGGGAGGTCCGCCAGGGGCAGCACCGGGGGCTCCGTACTGTCCAGGCTGCTGCGCGCCGTACTGGCCTTGAGGAGCACCGTACTGGCCAGGCTGCTGACCGGGCTGCTGGGCACCGTACTGGCCTTGCTGTCCGGGGGCACCGTACTGACCGGGCTGCTGGCCGTACTGGCCTTGCTGGCCCTGCTGCTGGCCGTACTGACCTGGCTGCTGACCGTACTGGCCCTGCTGCTGACCGTACTGGCCCTGCTGCTGGCCGTACTGACCCTGCTGCTGGCCATATTGACCTTGCTGGGCTCCATAGGCACCCGCCGCAGCTCCGGCCGCAGCACCGGCCGCAGCCGGGGCACCGGGCTGTCCGGGACGAGGAGGGACACCAGGGGCGCCGTACTGGCCCGCCTGCTGGGGCTGGCCGTACGCCTGACCGGGCTGGGTCTGTCCGTAGGCTCCAGCGGCAGGCTGACCATAACCTCCAGCAGCAGGCTGGCCGTAAGCGCCAGCGCCAGCGCCGGCGGCGCCGGGTTGAGTAGTCGAACCGTAGCCGTAAGCTTGCTGGGCAGCGGGGGCACCGTAGCCACCTGCAGCGGGGGCAGGAGCTCCGTAACCACCGGCGGCGGGAGCACCGCCAGGAGCGGCACCAGAGGCGGCGTTGGCAGCGGCTGTGGGAAGGTGTCAGTTGATGGTGAGATGAGGATCACTGGCCACTGGCTCAATCTGCGAGCACGTTTGCGCGTTGTGTTTGTTTGTTGTGATGGGCGAACGAGACTGCAGAGACCAAGGCCACTGTCAACGTACCGAGTTTGCTAGCGAAACCCATTGTGATGAAGACGGAGGGTGGTGGTGGATGTGGTGAGAGAGATGGAAGACAGACGGGGATGGATGCAAACAGCGACGAGGGGAGGGAGAGGGGGGGGGGGGGGGGGGGGCTGACGAGGCGGTGTAGATAGTGATGGGCCTGTGGGCCTCGCGATGACGTTGCACGCACGCACCCGTGATGCCAAGCCATGTGCCCGCGGGATCAATTCTCCCCAGAGTACCAGAGTCCTATAAGGGGCTGTAGAAGCACAGGACACGTATGCATACATTGAACAGCGCAGACGTGCAGAGAGTGCGCACAAGAGGAGCAAAGGAGAAACATGTGGGTGGTGCAGCCACGGTCCAGGCCTAGAAGAGTCGACGAGTCGACGAGGTCTCCAGATCAAGTGTCTTGGGTACACTGACGGAATGGGAATCCAACGCCAACGCATTCCAGAACAAAAACACACTATCCGGCCCGTCGCCCCCGTGGCGCCCCTGCCGAATGGTCATGGTGTCTTTCTAATCGCAGTGCCATTCCCCATGGGCCCTCAACTTGGCCGTGCTACTCATCGGTCAACATGACTCCATGATACATTGCAATGCCACACACTAGTGTCACAGGCGACTATCTTATCTCCAGCACACCATGCACAGCCGTCGGTGCAGTGCCATCCCTCGCAAACTGGGCCCACATTCTCCTCAGAGGCTGCCCCGCAACATCAATCTCCTCAAACGTCGCCTCGCCCTTGAGCGGCGCCTTGTCCCACGCTGCAGCGTCCCCGAGGAGGAGCGGCAGGTCGATACAGTGGACGGCTCCTAGTAGACTACCCCTGGGCTTCCAGTAAAGCCTGTACAGTGTAACCTCGTGGCCATTGCTGCGCAGGTCGTTGGCGAGTGCGACACTGGCCGCCTCCCACTCGTCAATGGTGCAGTACTTGTCGTGAGGAAGCTTGGCCTGGTCGAGTGGGACGCGTTGCTTGCCAGCCTCCATCATGGCGAACACGCGTTCGTCGTCGGCGGCCCATCCAATGACAATGTCGTGCTTCTGGCCCTGCAACGTCGTGACCTTGCTGCGACCGGGGACTTGCTCCAGCGTAGGGAGAAAGGGCACGGCGCCGGTCTGGTTCTTGATGAACGTTTGGGTTTGTGCAGCCAGGAACTCTGCCGTCGTGACTGTCTCGGGAGTGCGGCCTTGCGGGAGGGATGCGAGGAAGAGGTCGCGCGAGGCCTTGGCCTGTTTGACGTCCTGAGCAGAGTTTCCCGGAGACGACTGGATGATGCAACGGCGGATGAGGTGGGGCACGGCGTCGAGAAGGACTTGCTGCAGGTAGCCACCGGCAGACTGCCCAAACGTGCACACCCGCGTAGCGTCCCCGCCGATACTCACTGCATTGGCGTGGACCCACTCCAGAGCAGTGATGAGGTCCTGCACTCCGAGGGCGTGCTTGCTGGTGGTGGAACCGTACAGGAACCCAAAAGCCCCCAAACGGTAGGCAATGGGAATGACGATGACGCCTTCCCTGGCGAGGCGCTCGCCGTCGTACCACCCCACCTGCGAGCCCCCACTCACAAACCCGCCGCCGTGGACGTAGACCATGATGGGGAGCGGCAGAGTGATGCCCCCTGGCCTGAAGATTGACAGGCAGCCGGTTCCTTCCTCCAGTACTCCAGTGTCTGGTGGCAACGGGCCAGTGACCATCTCCAGTCGCGACGGTGTCTGCGGGCACATGGGGCCACGCGTTGTAGCGTCAATCTCGCCATCAAGGGACCGCTTGTCGGGATTGGACAGGGTGACGGGGGCGGGGGGTGCGAATCGTGTGGGATGGTACGCAAACGGGATGCCGCGAAAGGACTCGACATCGTTGGCCTCGAGGCCACGGTAAGTGCCCTGGGGGAGGTTGAGGGTGGCCATGAGGAGCGTATTGATGGCTGAGCGTATCTGGTTAATGTCAACATCTGGGCGACACCCTTCCGGCTATCTATAGAAACTGACATCATCACGTTGAAGAGTTCGCTGCCGACGGCGGTTCGGCTTTCTAATCTGACGGACGCCATCGGTGACGGGTGACTCACAACCGACGTCGGATGACACATGGATATCCCCCCGGGCGGCAACAACGGTACAGATGAGGTGTGCCCGGCATCTTTGTCTTTCGCAAGTGATTCAATGCATGCGTGCGTGGATGATATTATAATGTCTTTACTGTATTTTACCCGATGCAATAGCTCTGGCAACCTTACTCCTTGCACGCAGCTTGGGGCCGTACTTGATAATGGCAAAGGGGGTGATGGCCAACACCAGTCCAATGGCTCCAACCATGGTGCTCGCCTTGGCGTAGCCCATGCTGGTGTACATTTTGTGGGCACACAGCGGCAGCGTGGACGAGAAGATGTTGCGGGTGAACGACTGGGACGCCTGGGCGGACGAGCTGTACATCTCGTACGCATCGGCGAGGTAGTTGCTGCGGGTGGTCAGTGCCAGTCGGACGGATACTCTGATACTCACAAAACGCCACTGTACATGACAAAGATGCCCCAGTTGCTCAAGCTGAGGAAGATGGCAGGGACGATCCAATGGATCTCTGGTCGGCCTGTCCAGCCGTACACAAAGAGGGACAGAGGGAACAGTAAGCCGCCACTTGCGGCCCAGTAGAGCCGCACTTCAGGCGCGGCGCGTCCCGTTGGTGACTTTGCTCCTGCACGACGATAGATGCTCTCCATGTGAAAGTTGGACAGGAAGCCCAGAAGGGCACCGACGAGCATGGTAATCTCGGCGGTTCCCTGCAGACCAACGTTGTCGGTGTACTGGGCAAACACCAAGAGGGTGCTAGACGTTCCCAGGAAGATGGCACCCCAGGCAAAGCCGATCCACAGAGAGATGGCCGACACGATTGGTTCGGTGAAAAGGTATTCTGCGGAAGAGAGTAAGCCTCGTGGCTGGAAGCAAGAGCCTTTCTGCAACTCACGCAACGGGCGGATTGCTGAGCCCTTGACCATCTCCAGGAGTGTCTTCTTCTCCAACTGCGAGGCGCAGAGATGCTTGACTCCAGTCTTTTTGGTAAGACGCTTGGCTCTGCGTTGGAGGAGCACACTGCCGCGGGTCTCCTTCAGCAAGGCCAGGTTGAGGGCCAGGGAGAGACCAGAAAAGATGGCTTGCATGCCGTATACCCACTTCATGCCGAGGATTTGGCCCACCCAGGCGAAGATGACGGATCCGAGGGACTGACCAGCAAAGATGGCCAAAGAAAAGACGCTCATGCCCACACCCCGTGACTCGGCGCGGTAGATGTCGGCAATGGTGCCTCCCACCATGCTGTTGGCCACACTAGCCGCCATTCCTTGAAACCACCTCGTGGCTAGGATAGCTGAATAGTTGCGTGTAAGGGCTTGAGGGATGAACAAGATTGCAAAGCTGCGCGCCGCCGTCAGCAACCTTGCCAGTTTGGTTTCAGTGCAACACTCACAGCCCGCCAACGTAGATGTAGATCTGGTTACGCCCAAACAGCTCGCTCAATGGTGCAAGTATAAGCGGTGTCCATGCCACAGCCATGAGGTAGACCAGTAGCGAGAGCATGAACCCCACCTGGTCAGTGTGGAACCATGGGATGGCCCAGGTGGCAATCACGCCCACACTGGTAGCGTTGAAGCATGTGATGGCCGCGAAAAAGCATGTGCAAAAGACGGTGACGACCTTGCGAGACCTTGACCAGTTGAACGGGCACTGTTGAACGACGCGTCAGCATACTCTGGCAAGCAAAGACAGCTGTTGGACGCACCTCTGGATCATCAGGCAACCATTCGACCATGATGACCTCTTCAGGGCCATCGCCAAAGTCCACTGTCATGCGTTTCTCAAGGGTTCCGGCCTCGCCATCTGTTCCGATGTGGTATGGTGAACCTCCAGCCATGACTGATCGTTCCAGCGCGAGCACATCGCGTGTGCGGTCACCCTCCGACTCGTTCACGATGGTGCGGGCGTCCACGGTGGAGGGAGGAGTCGATGGGCCAGGTTGGCTCGCGATACGGTCCGCCATAAGGGAGAGTGAAATCTACAGCCCTTAGCTCAAATGGGACAGCAATGTGGAATGGTCGCCAAAGGTCGCCCGCCGTGTTGACTTGTGGTGTGTGCGTTGTATCTATGGCAGTTGCCGACCTTGCTGGACATCGAATGGGGGTGTATGAGACGAGTCGAGCCGCATGGTGCTGTTGCTTGCGTTGCTTTTGCAGTCGTGCAGTCGTGTGGGTAAAGCGGAATAATAACAAATGACCGATTTTGGTCAGTCTGTTAGTAAGCGACTGAAGCGACAAACGCACATGACCGATCCGTGTTGGTAGTCGGGCGGCGGACCGGGGCTGGTTTTATCTTCGTCCGCTCAGCCCGGCCGTGACCGATGGGGCCTGGACTACCATGTGGGCAGCAGTGGCGCAGTAGTGACCTACTCATTCGCCCTCGGTAGTGTTGTACGTTGTAAAGGCTGGGGGTGGGTGATTTGAATGTAGAGCGTTGAAGTCAAGCGCCGGAACGGTCTCCGGCCACATAAAAGCCGCAGACGGTGATCGCCGTATCGATCGTATGTACCTACAAAACAAGCCGGCGCCTTGGACGCCGAAACACCGGTCCATGTCCTACTTCCTGCTCTCCTGTGGATCTCGTGCGCTCTCTCGCTCTCTCGCTGACCAAGTCGTCGCAAACGGTTGACGGCTGGTGACGCTCCGCTTGCAGGGAATCCCGCCTTCAGTATCCAAGCCCGGTCAACAACTCTCGGGGTTGTCGCAGAGCGAACCACGACCCTCATTCTTCCTGTCCAACACAACCTCGCCGTACGGCTCCACGGTCTATGCTGCACGCCGTTAGCCATTCATTACGGACCCCTAACCGTTTCACGACGGCTTCGTAAACGTATCACGGCAGACACCCACTACAGCCTCGGTTTGGAACTGCTGTCAATGAGGGTTTGCCAAGGCAGTCTCATGGCCATACCACCCGGTCGTTGAAAGCGAGCACCGAGGATACGAGCATACTTGCGAATGTGTCACCATCCCTCGTGGTCATACTCTCTGGGATGGGTGATGAGTGGGGCCTGGGCAGCCAAGGGGGGTTGCTCTCACTGTTTGCTTCTGAGAAGGCGTTGGTTCTACTCATAAAGATGCTGATGCCCCTTTTGTGTGTCATGCCCATCACTGATGGGAATGGTCCGAGCAGCCGTCGCCACCGCAGCTCTATTAACATTGCACCATTCACGCTCACTCTTCACATTACACATCCTGCCACCATGGCGTCAAGTGTATCACGCGTGCTACTGGGACCTGCGCACGAAGCGCTCGTGGAACGTATCCTACTGCATCTGGACTTGGAGTCGGTGCTGTCGGCGGCCAAGGTGAGTTTGCACCCCAAGTCTACAGTCACTGATGGGAGACTTGTACCAGCCTGAGCAACGTGGTGACTCGAAGCAAACGACTACAGCTACCACTTCGTGCCGCGTACTATGGCTTTCCTTCCAGCTACATCGACTTTGACCACCCCCTCTTCGGTGTTGCGCCTTCGCCCTTTGAGATGATCGAAAGGTGTATCGGCGTACAGAGAGGCTGGCAGAACCTCAAGCCCAAGGCCATAAAGCTGATCACCCAGCCAACCATGACGATCCAGCAGCTTGTGCCCACCTGTGGCCTGGTCATCATGGCGGGCACTACACTTCAGCAGCAGTGCTCTGGCCGCGGCAACGACCTTTACGGCTGGGTTGTGCGCGACCTGTACTCTCTGCGCGATGGCAACGCCGCCAAAGGTGCACCGTCGTTTTCTGCCACCTGTGACACTGCCTTTCAATGCCTGGCTGCCTCCCGTGAGGACAACATGGTCGCCACCGCCAGCATCACGCGCAATGGCAGCACCGTCGACGTCACGATACGGTTCTACATTCTCGAGCCCACCGACAAGCACCAGTGGAATGACGGTGATGACATTGTCGCTGTCCCCCATCCGGCAGCGGCCACCATCTCGTTCAATGAGAATGTTCGAGACCCTCCGGACCAAATGTTGGCAGAGTTACCGGACTTTGCCACCCCCACCTTTCAGCTTGGCCCCGACGGTTCGTTGATGCTCAGCATTGGGTACCCCCAGAGCACGAGAATGTGGAACTGGCGTACAGGGACTCAGACCATGGTACGTTTTGCTCTCCTATCTGTCGTGGACGTATTTCCACTAACCAAACAGTCCTTCTTAGGGGTTACGAAACCTTTCCTGGCACACCCGGTGTCCCGCTGGGGCCAAACGAGCTACTCTGTTTGGGGTCTTCCCAGGGAACAGCAGGCATGGCTGGTGACTGCTTCCGCCTACTTCAATCTGCCATCGCGGCAGAAATGTCGACTCGCCCAGAGCCTTGGTTCCGCCACCTGCCTTGCAGCGACACCACACACCGGAATGCCGTTGTGGCAGGGCGGTTTCACCCGCCCAGTGTGGCCAACGGTGGTAGGACTGCTGGATGGTATGTCAGCGCCGACCGCGACAACCGCCTCGTAATCATACAGTCCGTGGTTGAGCTGTTTTCGATCCCCCAAAACAAGTTTGTTTACAGAACCATCTCCACGCTCGTGCCATTTGCAGAGTTACAGCAGGCATCCCGGCAGTGGGTGGACCAAGGCGTTCAGAGCCTCAGCATGCCTCTCGAAACGTTTTCCGACAACGTCGACGTCAACATATGGTCCGAGTTCGCGCACACTGCCATATCAGGGTATCGTGCGGTCACTGTACACCTCCAGAGTGGCCTTCATGAAGGGCAGTTCGACTTCAGCTTGCATCTCACCGACTGGCGAGTCCGGGCCGAACGATACAAAGATTCCATTCACACTGGGCCATTTGGCGGACGCCCAGCATGCACCGTGCCTCTCCCTCCGCTGCCCGTGCCCGACGACCCGTTTGTACGGCGCCCATCATTCGCGGTGCCTCTATCGCCACCCCCGCTACTCGACGCTGTACCTCGGCAGCATAACGAAGCAGAGTGGATCGCTCTGGGTTCCCCGTGGGACCGCACTGTACCGGCAGCCAACGTGCTTCACACGCTCATCCCCAACTACGTTATTCGACACCGAGGGCAAAAGCGCACGGTTGCCAACATCTTTCTCGGGGTTGACCTCCATGAAGGCGACATTGAATAGGTCAAGGCCGATGCCGACCACCTGTACATTTGCCTGAAGCGATCATGCGATATCGTCTGTAACGACGGTCTCAAGCTTCTCGTGTTTGCCTTTTAGTGTACATAGTTTCTGATCTGCGGCGCTATGCACCGTCATCCATGTCACTCGAGCTCCATCACAGCAATGCTGTTATGCACCACTCACACAGACGGAGCCAAATTGCCATGGCGAGTGGCGCCCAAACCAGTCCCGCGCCGGCCCCACGCAGACATGCTTGGTGGTCTCAGACATATAGAGTATAGAGCCTGTTGCCATGCATGCGTGATGCATCGCTTGCCGCTTGTCGCACAGCACCTGTTGGTTGGCTTGATGGGCTCTATGGGTGTCGTGAACACGGGCCATCGCAGGCGGAGATAGGGTTGAATATTCCGGTCCCACACTGCAAAAACACACAAACACCGTCACCCGCCACACACTGCCCTTGACATTGTACACTCACCCATCAAACGCGCACCCATCAGCGACGATGGTATCCACCGCTGTATCAAGCGTGCTACAGCATCCGGGCCATGACTTCATCGTCGAGCGCATTCTCGCCGACCTAGACTGGCGCAGCATCCTCAACGCAGGCATGGTGAGTACCTTGGCGGCGTCGCCCGGCGTCACCTTCCACAAGACCAGCAGTGCAACCCATAATGGTCGAAACCTTCTTCACAGACGCTAATATTAGACCTGTACCAACCTCAGCAACATCGTCATGGGCAGTTCCCGTCTACAGCTTCCCCTGCGCGTGGCATACTATGGCCTTCCATCCAGTTACACGGACTTCGATCGCCCCATGTTTGCCGCCGACTTCCCTTCCCTTGGATACCGTCTGGACCGGCTGGTTGACCTGCAGCACCGGTGGATCAACCTGCAGCCAAGGAACATCACGATTTTAAAGAACGGCGACCGGTCGGAAATTCCCACTGGTGGTCTTCTGGTCAAGCCCAAGATGGGACCCGATTCTGCCGCCCGCGCCAACAGCGCGGACTGGATCAACCAGTCGACTGATGAATCCGATGAGTCCGATTTCAAACTCTTCTACGGCTGGATCGTCAAAGACGCATACGGTCTTGGGGATGATGCAAACCCGAAAGGGTGGATGCCTTCCTGCAAATTCACCTGCGACATGTGGTTCCAGAGTCTCGACGCATCTCGCGAGGACAATGTCGTCGTCGTGTCACGGACCAGGATCGTAGACAATGTCTTCCAAGTGACCCTCAGGTGTTATCTGCTGGAGCCAATTGGGGACCTCTCCTGGCACGATGGAGCAAAAATCAATGCCATTCCCCATCCAGAGGCGGTGCCGATCGAGTTCACGGAGACGTTTCGGGAATCTACGCACCACCACGACGAGTGCCACGTCCAACTCGGTCCCGGTGGGTCGCTCAAAACAGACCTAGGGCACCCTCAAAGTACCAGACAGTGGAACTGGCGCACCGGTCAGCAGATGCAGGTGAGTACCCTTGTCTTTGTTGCCAGGTAACTCTGGAAGCTGAACTGCAGGCTTTCTACGAGGTCCTGGACGAAGGGCGTGACCCAGCCGAATCTGCACTCTTGGGTGTGGGTGACATGATTGTCGCCAACACCTTTGGGGACCGCTGGGAGGACGAAGAGGGGCAGTATCATATCAACCACGACAACAGGAACGTTACGATCTCTCTTCTGCAAAGCCACGCCGTGACAGCTTCACCGCACGCGGTAAAGGAAGTGGCGCCACAATTCCAGTTCACCAAGGCCAACTGCAACAAGGCAACCGGCAGAGTCACTGGCCAACTCGTGTTCCCTCCACTGCAAGCGGCGGACCGCGCTTACGTCAATCCGTTCATCGTTGACCACGGTAACCGCCTTGTCATAGTGGAAATCACGACGAGTTCTTACTCCACTCCGGGAGGCCACCCGAAGGGCCACCTATCCGTTGTTCTGCCGACCAAGCTGCTTAAAGCCCTTCCTTGTGGAGAACAAGGACTCGTTGGTTGCAGCGAAAGTGTCCCACTTCAGGCACTGGGTGATCGAGTTGACGCACGGCCCGGAGATACCACGAGCTGTGTCAGTGGACTACGTATGTTTTCTGTAACACACCGACGCAGTGTTCCCTGGGGAGAAGAAAACACAGGCTTCTTCCACCGCTTCCTCCACCTCACGGACTACGGCTTCACGGACGAGAAACAGGATCGTCTTCATACCGCTCCCTTCGGCGGCCGTCCTCCTTCCACAGCTTCTACCCGCCCACTCCCCCGCTATTCAGAGGCTCCTGCTTCTGAAGACCCATTGTCCATTCCACCTGGCATTCGTCTCGGACACGCCTCGGATTCCACTCGCGAGAAAGGGAAAACGTATGCCCACGGGGCCGTGCCTTCCTACCCGATCCACGAACGGGGGCATCCTCGAACAACTGTCCCCCTCACTCTGGAACGCAACGACTATGTCGGTTGGTTCAAAGCGGATAGCAGCCACTTGTACCTGCACTTGTATGTGCGTACCAAAGTTATATATACTGACTCACCGGCTCTATGGCTGACGGGGACAGAACAACAGGTCCGTTTTGGTTATCCTATCCTTTTAACGATGAATGGGCAGCGCACTGTGTTCTTTAGTATGTTCTTAAGCAGAGGGATATGTTAGAGTCGGATACCCATATGTTCGCCAAGTTTCAAGTTTCAATTCATGTACAGACTCTCTGGTTGCATCCCCCGCTACATGGTTTGAGCGTGCTGGCTGTCCCTTTCACAACACTTGGGGGCGACATTTTCCCGTCTAGTTGACACCTAAAACCACACCAGCGCCCGCGCGCCCGTGTACATCTCCACGTTGCACTCTCCTCCCACATCCAACAACGACAATGGTATCTACAGCTGTCACTGCCGTTCTACAAGACCCGGGTCTAGAGGAGGTGGTGGAGCGCATCCTCGCCGGCCTCGATTGGCGCTCTATCCTGTCCGCTGGCATGGTGAGTCGCCTTCTCCAATACAACCGCTGATCCCACCCAGACGTGTTCCAACCTCAACAACATCGTCACTGGAAGCTCTCGTCTGCAACTCCCTCTTCGTGTCGCCTACTATGGTTTCCCTTCGAGCTACACCGACTTCGACCGTCCCATGGATGCCGACACGTTTCCTTCTCCAGCCGAGCGCATCGAGCGCTTGCTCTCTGTTCAGCGGAACTGGATCGAGTTGAGCCCATGTCGTCTGGAAACCGTCGACGGCCTACCCTTCATGCACGTCGCTACGACATCCGGCTTGTTCATACGCGCAGTGTCTGAAGCATCATTCAAGCGCTTTGACCTCGGCAGCCACATTCCAGTAAATGACAGAAAGCATGAACGCTGTGTTGCGTGGATCGTTTCCGACACCTACGCGCTGCGCGACCCAGAAGCCAAACTCTCCAGCTACGCGGTCATCTCCCCCGTACCCTTCGACCATTTTGCCGCGTCTCGCGAAGATAACATTGTGGCCTTGGGACAATCGTCCTGGGACGGCTCTTCCGTTCACGTCCAGCTCACATTCGCTCTATTGGAAACCAACACACACCCGAGCAATGGCAGCTCGATGTACGCCGTTCCTCACCCAGGCGCGGTCCCTATTCGCTATGTCGAACGGGAACGTGACTTTCGCGAGCTTTTCATGACCATGCCGGAAGGCGCTCCGCTCCCCACGAGCGAGATGCGCCTGGGTCCTGACAGCTCGGTCATGGTATCTATAGACCATTGGCAGAGCATCCGTATCTGGAACTGGCGCACCGGTGAGGAAAGACTGGTGAGTTTGTACCATTGGTAGCAGACACCGTTGACCACTAGGGCTTCTTCCCTAACCCCGTCGAGTTCCCTCTGGGTGCCTTCTTGCCTCTTGACAACGACAACATGCTGTGTCTCGGTCTGCCCAAATCGGAGAGCCATAGCTCGGAGACGGTTACGAACAACAACGCCAGCCTTGTCCTCCTGCAGAGTTCTTCTCAGCAATCGACTCTGTCCACCCAGCAATCGACCCCACCCGCTCAACAGTCGACGGCGTCCGCTCCAAAGTCAACTAAGGCTGCTCGCAAGGCACGGAAGAAGGCCGCGCAAAAGTCGAGAAAATCCGCCACCAAACTGGCATGGTTCGATTTCACTCTCGAGAACCAGGTCCAGCCCAACGGACTCATGCTGGGGAGTCTCAGACTGCCCAAGATAGACCTGTCCTATCGCTCCGCCCATTGGGTTATGGCCAGCGACCGTGACCTCAAGCTCCTCGGAGTCGATCTTCACTTCCGTGACTTTCAAGCTAATGAAAATGGACCGTCACGCTCGACATCGGTCGTCCTACCCCTTGCCCACATCAAGCAGCTGTTTGAAGCCAAACAGGCTACGCCAGTCATTCAAAACACGACTCTAGAGCAGGCGGGCACTGCAGCTGACATCTGTATCGGACGTGGACACATCATCTCAGCCGTTAGTGGGCTACGTGTCGTGCTTCTGGAACGGGGTGGCAGGGGATCGAACAATGTCATCGAGCACGACATTCACTTAACCGACTACGCGTTCAAGTCCGACGCCGATCGCATTCACATTTCACCCCTTGGTGGTCGCTCTCCAGCTCATGTACCTCCGATTCCCCGTCCACGAGAGCAGTCCTCGGTGGTTGGCCCGTTTGACCATGTCACCCCTTCCTGGGACTGCACCAAGAAACGTTGCCTAGAGCATAACTCCCTCCTGCCTTCGCATATTATGGAAGAAAATGGCTACCGTCACGCAACGGCGATCCTGGCCCTCACCGGTCCACCCGACTTTATCGACACCATCAGCGCAGACGCGGAGCACCTGTACATTCACTTCGTACGTGCCATTTGTGGCCAACGCAAAACTAATGTCGCGTCACAGGGCCACCCTCACTCAAACCGCATCGTTATCGTCTGCTTCTGAGAGGAATGTGCCATAACTGATGATGAATATTGTGAATATGTGCATTCCTATACTCGCGGACCTCTTCGTCAAGCTCTCGTGAGCTCGGATTCCACACCCGCAAAACCCGACCTACTGCAGATCAGCTGGGAGAGGTGTTCGCTCGCAGAGGATCGAACGCTGTTCTATCGCCGTGCTTTCTACACGTTGCCTCGAGGATGTGCACGGAGAGGACGCGGAAAAAGTGGAACTGCCGTTCAGCAGCAGCAGTCCTCGATTTGCTTTACCCCTCGTCTCGTTTGCCTCGTTCACGGCCACATGGCTGTGCTGCAATCCAATTAATCCAAAAAGTGATTCTCCGCCAGGGAGTTGAACCCTGCTCTACCGCGATATTCCAATTAGGAAACTCCCTATTGAGAGGCGGTTATACTAACCGATATACTAGCGAAGATGTGATGTTTACGTAAAATGACAATGCGACTGGAGCTTTTCGATGCCATCTGAAGGCTTTCAAGAGCATGCACAGGTGCGTGGAGACAGTATAGTGTACAAGACGTCGGTCTACATGTCTTGCAAAAAGAATTTGAGCCAGAAAAGGCAAGGAAAGTTGCAGAATGGGTACGGAAATGGGATGTGATATTTACCTGCAAGTCGCCGAACATTCCGGCTTTCACCGAAGCCCGTTTCTCAATCGCCTGGGTCGTTGTTGTGCGAGGTAGACTTCTTCCAATGCAGATGAAGGTCCACAGGATTGCTTTGAGGGAGATACCGTGTGTTTTACTCAGTTAACACACGGGCTGGTCGATTATGACGGTCCTGTTGGTTACAGTCTGAATATTCCGCCATTTTGGCCATTTAAATGACAATTGTCCCACTTTCTGACCGCTGTATGTGTATTGGAAGCTACGCTGCACGTCCGCATAGTCACGCACAACATTCTATATGTTTGGAGGTTGTATTAGAAGGACTGGTTTGCAAGAGACGCTCTGGTGATGGCGGTCAGCTGGTCCCGTGCTCGACACACACACACACACACACACACACACACACACACGGAAACGTGGGAAGCGACAGAGGCCAAGCGCTTTGCCAGGTGTCCTGGCATCGACTGTGTTCTGTCGTTCTATCTTTTCCTCGTTCTCTCATTCTCTCCCCTACCCACGTCCCATACCCTCCTCGCCATGACACCCAGCGCGGTGTGCCGGATCTTTCAAGAGCCAGGTCACGAGCACCTCGTCGCCGACCGCATTCTCGCTCTTCTCGATTGGCGTTCAATTCTGTCCATCGGACAAACGTGCACCTACCTCAACAAACTCGTCACAACCCGCTCCAGTCTCCAGTTACCTCTACGTATTGCCTACTATGGCTTCCCGCCATCGTATGCCGACTTTGACCATCCGATCTCTGGACCAACCAGTTCGGCAGCCGCGCGACTGGACCGCCTGATCGACATTCAGAAGGGCTACATGCGTCTCAAGCCAAAGCGCATACAATTCCTCCAGTTATCGCCTCCCTTGACGACATGGGTCGCGACTTGTGGCCTGGTCGTGGCTGGTATCAACGAAAAGGGTCCCGAGCCAGGTTCAAGTGAGAACAAGACCTGTGCCATGCTTGCCAGCGGCTGGCAGGTCTACGACACTTTCCAGCTCCGTGACACTGGCAATAAGCCGCAACCGGCATTCACTGTCTTGTGCGATACACCCTTCCAACTCTTCGATGCTTGCCGTGAGGACAACCTGGTAGCAACGTCCAAGGTAGACCGCCTTGATAACGACCTGTTCCGCGTTACAATCCGCTTCTTCCTTTTGGAGCCGCGCATTGGCACATGGGAGGAGAGCGTGGATGCCATCCCCCACCCTCTGGCCAACAGGGATACCATTACGTTCTACGAAGTGTGCCGTGAGAGCCAGTTTGATGAAAGCATACGAGAGCTCTATTGGGATCGGATGTGCCCACTTCAAATTGGTCCGGACGGCTCCCTTACTGCCTTTCTAGGCGACCTTCACAGCACCCGGCTGTTTAACTGGAGGACCGGAGAAGAGTTAGCAGTGAGCTGGAAACAAAAGGTCAAAATCTGACATCACAGTGCTTCTACCCACGGACGGACGGATTCAGCTCCCTCCGAAGCGTACCTCTTGGTGATGATTCGCTCTTGGTCACGGGGTACGACGGAGGTGTTCACCACAATACGGTAGGCACTTGCGATGACCACCGCAATGTCTCCCTGGGTATCGTCACAGGCGACACGAGTGATCACAGTGACCCCGATCCTTGGTTCTACTTGTCGACTGGCTCTGTTGCTGGTCGCCTTCGCTTGCCGGACTGGTACTCGTATGGTTTATCCGACGACCGCTCCCTCGGCATCGACTATCATAACCACCTGCTGGCTATCAACTCATGCGTCACCCACTACAAGCCGAACGGCGAACCACGTTGTCTTGTCAACACCTCGACCGTGCTAAAGATTGCAGACATCAAGAAATCTGCCCAGGCGCAGCGCAAAGCCAACCTCTCCCACCTTATCTTCCCCCTTCGCCAGATGAAGACCGAGGTCGACTTCTCCGTCGCTGCGGGTGTTGTAACTACCATCATTAGCGGGTACCGAGCGTTGGCAGTTGTGAAAAAGCAATCCCAAGATCAGCATTATCGATACAAGATCCATCTGACACACTATTCATTCAAGGCCGGCGACGACCCCGTCCATACCGCCCCCCTCGGAGGCCTTCCTCCTCAGAACCCACCCGTTCCACCCCTTACCAGCACCCCCCAGCAAGTCGAAGCTGGCATTTCCGAGCCGTGGGACGCGACTCGAACCCCGGGCGAGTGGGGGAGCGAAATGTTGCCTGAGCTGCTGGTCCATGAACCTGGCTGGCTCCGTACCTCTGCCGCTCTCACACACGAAGTCCTTGGCGGGACCCGATACGATCGATACGTCCAAGGCGACGCAAGCAACGTCTATGTCTCCTTTGCAAGTGGTTTAGAGTGGTGTTTTTGTTGACATCACAGGGATCCGAAATGCTTATTCTCTGTTTTTAAGCTCGCTAGGGACCAATCGTCCCCATGCTTGGTCGCGTTATCTCTAGGAAGGTTCACGAATTCACGACATGGTTGTGCACAAGGTTATGCATAACTCTGATTTCATAAAGGACAGTCGTGACTGGGTCAGGCCGACGGAAGCAAGTTTCCGCCTCGGTGGCAAAACACCGTCATCTACTGCCCAACGGATCGTCCTCTTCTTTCGTCACGCTTCCATCCACTCTTCACGCTTCACACACCTTCCACACATCCACCTCATTGACATGGAGCCCTCAGCGGCCACCAGAGTCTTTCAGCGTCGTGGCCACGAGTGGCTTGTCGAGTGCATGCTCGGGTACCTCGACTGGCGTTCGATTCTGCGTGCCGGAATGGTAAGCTGAGCGAAATGGGCAGCAAGGACGTCACTGATGTCAGGCCTGCACAAACCTCAACGACATTGTGACTGGTAGCTCCCATCTTCAGCTGCGCCTGCGTGCCGCCTTTTATGGATTCCCCTCCAGCTACGCCGACTTTGACCACCCGCTGTACGATCCATTCCCATCAACCTCGGAGCGGATGGAGCGACTCTTAGAGGTCCAAAACAACTGGGCCAACCTAAAGCCCAAACAGATCCACGTCTTCCGGTACAAGACTTCATCCACTCACTATAGGGTCACATGTGGCCTTATCATCGCCCCCAAGGCCTCTCACTCATGGGGTGGCACCGGTCCCACGTCAAGTTGGAATTCGTGGTGGATTTGGGACGCGTACAACCTGCGCGACACGCCCTACTCTGCCGACACGTACAACCTGCGCAACGCCAACCCCACAAGCCCACAACCCATCGCGGTGGCAATGGTTGATGATTTCGAGGCCATGGACGCGTCCCGAGAGGACAACCTGGTCGTCGTCTCCCACACAAAGCTCGTCAACGACGATTTCCACGTCACGCTGTCGTTCTTCCTGTTGGAACCTCCGCCTGAGTGGGATCCGCTGAGACTGTTGGACCCAAATGACCCGATGGGCGCGCACTACCGAGCTGTCCCTCACCCCGATGCTGCGACGATTACGTTTTCGGAGCGTTCGAGAGACCCCGGGTCCAACAAGCCGAAACGTATGGTGTGTAGCGTCAAACTCGGTCCCCATGGAGCCCTGATGACTACGATGAACCGTCACAACAGTACTAGGTTGTGGAACTGGCGAACTCGAAAACAAAAGCTGGTACGTTGAGCTGCATGCCTTCATTGCTGACCCCCAGTGTTACCACCCACAGAACCAGTTCATCTTCAATCGCGACACCTTGGTAATCGGATACGGCCATCTGCTGTGTGCCGTTCACGACAAGCCCAAAACGGATGAGAGCGACCGCCACCCGCGCCAGAATCTCGCCTTGGCCCTCCTCCGAAAAAGGTCGGCTACTTCCAAGAAGACCGAGGAACAGCCATGGTCGGAATGGATCAGGTTTACCAGAGGAACAGTGTGGAGCCGATTCTGGCTCCCACATCTGTACGCAGCACGTTCTCCTGAACTAGCCACGGACCGGGACGGACGCCTGTTGGTGATGACGACAGGTGTGAAGACCAGGTTCTCGGCGAAGAACAACCCGCGGTCTGTCACTACGGTCGTCCCCCTGCGTCAAGTTTATAGCGCATTCAATAATCAGCGTCCACAGCCTGGTGAAAACATGGCCCATCCCCAGGCGTCGCTCGAGATTCTGCCGAATGGAGTGGATATCACCACTGCTTCCAAACCCACGTCCACCGACCGCACCCAGTCCGCCGTTAGTGGAATGCGCGTGGTTAATGTCGAGTGGCAGAACAACATCCCCACCCACCACCAGGGTCGTCATTACAACCGCTTCAATCTTTTCCTCACAAACTATTCGCTCAAGGGCGGGAGGCACCGAGACTACGTGCACCTTGGACCCCTTGGTGGCCGCCTGCATTCAAGTGCTCGCGAGGCCCCTCTCACACGGGAACAGCAGACGATCCCCATCACGGAACGGCACATCTCAGGAGCCTGGGATTGGGGGTGCGACCCTTTCACCCAGTCGCACCCGCTCCTCCACCAATGCCAGGTCCACGACGCAGGATATCAACGCACGGCCGCCGCTCTCGCCGTCCTCCAGCAAGATTTCAGGCTCGCATCGGTCAAGGCTGACGCCGACCACCTATACCTGTTCAGCGTGAGTGTCCACGGCACTGGACATGCAGTACTGACGCAGCAGAGCTCCCGGTCTCTCGTCATTCTCTCCATTTAAACGCTCGTAGTTAGTAACGCAATACCATGCCCATGTACCCATGTCCAACCCCCCCCCCCACGGTGACACCATTGTTCTGTACAACGCCAAGCCTCGTCGCTTGCTGAGTGAAGCTCGGGCACGATGTTGCGGGCCGCTAAATGCGCTTGGACCGCCGAACGCCGATGGACCGGGGGACCCCATCTGGGGCAGCAGTCCGATGCTACGACGTCCGGTGCAACGTCCGGTGCAAAGGTGGGCATGTGCCTTTGTCGACTCCAGGCCCCCGAGTAATGGGTACGGTGAAAGGTGAAGGGTTTGGACGCGACGTGCGCGCGCCACGCCAAGCGGCCAAACCCAAGCAAGTGTTAAGAGATCTCTACCCGCCTTTGTTCGTCCGTTCCTGGTGAAAAGGGTCGTTTTTTTCAACATCTCTTATCAAATGATCGGACGTACCAGTCTGCGCCAAGCCACCGCAGGTACCTCTCTTTGAATCCTTGGCAGAGCACCGAGGGTCGCAGACGGCAGAGCCAGCGGCCAGCGGGCCGGTGGTAGTGTCGATCGGCAAAAAGATCTATCTCGGCGGTGGGCTACGTTGGCCGAATGGGGTCTGACATGTAGGGCAGTGCGGGGAGGATGGACCTGTGGGGCGACACGACGCGCGGTACTGGTGATGCAGAGCAAGGTGCCAAGACGCAAGCACTGCTCCCCATGGACATCGCTTAGCCCCATCAAGAACGTGGGGTGAGTAAGTGGTGACTTGTTGACCGACTATATAGGCGAGGTGGGACGGCATGTGCTGTGAGGCGCCACCTCCATTGACCGACACATTTTGCCATGTCCTCCAACGCCGTCGCCAACCTCACCCTGCCGCTGCTCTCTGGCAACGCGGCGTGGGCGGCGCAGATGAATGCCACCAACTCGACATTCCTGCCCACGCTCGCGGAAGCGCAAGCCCCGCCCGTCGTCTGGATTGGGTGTGCCGACTCTCGTGTGCCAGAGAGCGTCATCACCAACCAGCTCCCAGGACAGATCTTCACCACTGTGAGTGTCGCCCACGCAAGAGTTAGTCAAGGCTGACATGGCAGCGCAATATCGGAAACCAGTTCCATACCAACGACGACTCGGCCCAGGCCGTCGTCGAGTATGGCATTGGCCACCTGAATGCGTCGAACGGTGGGTACCAGAACGCAGGAGAAGACTAACCTTCCAGTCGTCGTCGTCGGCCACACCAACTGTGGTGGTGTCAAAGCCGCTTATGCCGCCGGCGCACCTACAGCCACCGACTCGTCGAGCCACGCCCACGCCACAGAGCCCGAGTCCTCCGACACCTGCTCTCGCCGCCGCAGCTATTTCGCCCGCTCCGCCTCGGAGAACAGCACCGAGGAAGCCGAGGAAGCCAACGACCCTCTGAACAACTTCCTTGCGCCGCTCATTGACCTGCGCCGGGCACTGCCGCCCAACGCGACCGTCCTCGACCTCACCGTCGCCAATGTCCGGGCTGGCGTCATCCACGTTGTCAACTCGACGACGATCCAGGACGCCTGGGCTGCTGGTCGCGAAGTCTGCGTCCATGGTTGGGTGAGTGGCATCCATAGGAATAGGGAATGTGTGCTGACGTCTATAGCTCTACGACCTCGCCTCTGGCCTGATCCAGGACCTGGGCTTCACCACGTGCTCCGACTCGACGGTCAACTAGACCCAGTGGACATAACACAGCACATGTATAGAGACCGGGGGAGCCCATGATAGACGGCCATGCATGCAGGTACATACATGCCGGCACACGGACCATCACAAACTAAAATGTACATTCCAAAAACAAAACACCAAATTATGACACAATAACAACCCCGCTCCCGCTAGGCGAGTCCTCTACACCCACTTCCTTGACCTCGACGACCCCGAGGTCCTTTGCGTTGTCCTCTTTCTCGATGCTGTCCTCCGAGTCCTGCACCGCGGCGCCAATCACGTCTCCGTCCTCCTCGCAGAGCACCATGCCTTCCCACTCGGTCTCGAGCGCAAACTGCTGCTTGCCAATACGCGTGAGATAGTCTTCGCGGGTGAGGAAGGTGACGCGGTCCGACTTGATCTGCGCGAGGCGCCCGGCGTCCTGTTCCTCGGCCCCAGAGCCCACCTCGAGGCATCCCCACACCAGGCGGCGGAACACCTCGCGGCACACGCCGGGCGACGTGCCGTCCGGCAAGTCGAGCCACTCGCAGCTCATGTCGTCAAAGTCCACGAGGATGATCTCGGCGCCGGACCCGCACATCATGAGCAGGGTGAGGAGGAAGAGCTTGAGCGGGGGCTCGTCGTCGTCGCTTGCGGGGGTGTACGTTTCTGAGAGCATGTCAGTGGAGGTTTCTGGTATCCCCCGGAAACTCACCTCCGTCGAGGTCTGCCACGGTGAAGATGATGACAATCTCGCTGAGGGGCGTCGCGAGCGAGCCGATGGTCTGTTCCAGCGCCTTGAGGACCTTGGGCTTTGTGGGGTGCGAGGGGATGATGTTGAGGACAAACTTGGTCGTGCAGAGGGGCGACTTTGGGCGGCTGGACGTGGATAGCAACGACGTCGAGCGGCGACGAGCCTGCGACAGGGCATGTGAGGACTGTTCCAACGCGACGGCGTCGCCATTGATAATCTCGGACGGCGTAATGGGCAACGACGACCTGCGCTCGACGACAAAGTCGCAGTCGTCCTCGGCGTCCCCTGTATCTTCCTCGTCCGGGTTGGGTCCATCCCACGGCCCAAACTCATAGTTCATGCGCCAGTGGAAGATGATCAGTGTCGGGACGGAAATCGGCCAGTCGTCCTTGAACCCGGACGACGGCACGTTGAGGATGCGCACAGTGTGCAGGTTGGGCGTCACCTCGGCCAGCAGCTGGAGGACGGGCGGGAACGCGATGCCGTCAATGTCGGCAATCTCGGTGGCGGCGTAGAGCTCGGGCGCACGCTCGCGCGGGATGAGGGCATGGGCAATGGTCACGTCCGAGACGCGTTCGGTGTCGCTGTCACAGGCGGCGCAGGCGGCGCAGTCGTCGCAGTCGCATTCGTTCTCGGCGCATGGCTCAACCTCGTCGCGGCCTTGGGCGCCTGCGTCTGTGCCTGCGTCTGCCTCTGGCGCGTCGGCAGCCGTGAGCGCCTGGGAAAAGTAGTCGATGAGCTCGGGCTCGTCGGTGGTGTCCTCGAGGGCCGCAAACGGTGCGGGTGTGAGCGGCCTCGGGAGGGGCGAGTTTGTGTACCGGTGGTGGATCGCGACCTTGTTGGGCTCTTCGTCCGCCATGCCGACGACGATATGGCTGGCGAGATGGGCGACGCTGGTGGAAGGAGGCTGACTGTCCCCAGGGACATGGAGCAGTCCATCGTCTGGGGCGGACGTGTTATCCATGGTCGGTGGCGAGGGGCTGGCCTAGGCAGGTGTATGGTGGAAAGGAAAAGAGAGTTGCTCGGAGAGGAACACGAAATAACAACGTGTTGATGATGATGATGAATTAGAAGGCAACGTTCTCGCAGCACACACACACGGCTACTGCCCAGATCTAGAACAATGAGTTGTGCAGTCTCACACCCGCCAAGACTGCTGCCGAGAGCGCCATCGCCGGCAATGTACCGGACAGCACCGCCAGGCCACCGCCAGCGGTCCCCGCCGACGTCCCGACACGGCGCGTCCACGCCACTTGCGGAGGTGGCGCCGCCTACAAAGCGAGATATTGATTGTTCGTCCCTTATCATCCACGTGCTTGTTCTCACACGCAACCGACCAGTCCGACCGCACCAGACTATAGTCATATGCACGGGGTGACATGAGCGCAGCACGCAGGTACGCAGGTCAGTCGGTCAGAACACATGCCGGCGGTATGTGGCAAATAGAACGCAAGAATAGCGCAAAAGAACGTAATAATGGCCCGTTTGCGTATATCAGGCTGCGTATATCTCGGAGACGCTCCGTCTCGGTGTCTATCCCCCCCCCCCTCGCTCTCCTCCCCTCATTCCAGCTCGTGGACAGCGGACGTGAGCGCGCCGCCAGCGTTGCCCGTGTTGACCACGCCGCGGGGCTCAAAGAGCATGGCAGACACCTCCTGTGCGGCCCTTGGGCGGTGCTCGACGCCGCGCGGCACGACGTACATGTCGCCCGGGCCGAGGTGGACGGTGGTCTCTTCTGGTGCGCTGTTCTCCGCCGTGGGGGCGGGACGCATGTCGATGGCGAGCTCGCCCGCGATGACGAAGAAGAGCTCGTCGACGGGGTGGTCGTGCCATACAAACTCGCCCAGGAGCTTGACGGCCTTGACCTCTTGCTCGTTGACGGTGACGAGGCGGTGGGGCTGCCATGGCTGGGAGATCTGCGACAAGGCGCTGTGGATGTTGCGGACCTGGCTCATGATGGTAGGTGCGTGGGTGTGGCCTGTGCTGGGAGGAGGTTCTTCGGGTTCTTCTGGAGCGGGCAGGGAATGTGGGAGTGGGGGACCTGGGTGGTGAGTCGCCGTTCTCAAGCGTTGGGTTAAAATGGGGTTGCAGCTGGCCTGGCCGGGAAATCGAGTCGATCACAACGGTGTTGCTGAACAAGACCGTCTCAGTACCAGTCTGCTTAGCTGCCTAGCTGTCTTCTTGTTGACCCACGCGACGCTCGTGTTCCATCGTCGTCATATGATCCATCGTGTTCTCCAGAACTCTAGATCTCGGCTCCCTGCGTGAGTCGAACGGCATTCGGCAAGTCCCGGGTAGATGCGCTTACGTCAGCACCCCTGGTGTCAGCAACACCAAATAGCCACCCTCCCAAAGGTCACAGTACTCAAAGCACGTGTCAGTCTGCAGATGCTGCTGCACCTTCTTTCGTCACCGGGACTGCATGGTACTGGTCAAAGGAATGGCTTACAGGCACAGCCTGTGTGAGCAAAGATAAAGATAGGTATCAATGGTGCACAAAGAAGAAAGGGTGTTGAAACCCGGGGCTTTGGGAGAGTGGCAGCTGGGCGCTCAGAGCTCAGACGTTGCCGTGGATGCGCGAACGGCGGCGCATGCACTTCTTCTTGGTGGGCGTCGGCGACGCGGCAGAGGCGGTGCCGTTGCCCGCGGCCGTGCCGTTGCCAGCGACACCGGGAGTCGGGACCGTGTTGTTTCCAGCGACACCGGGAGTCGCGGCCGTGCTGTTGTTGTCGGCGACACCGGGCGTAGCGACACCAGGCGTGGGGACGGGGTCGGTTCCGTTCGCGGTCGACGCTCCAGGCGACGAGGCTTCAGTGGCCGCACCGAGGTCTGCCGAGGCCGCTCCAGTGGCTGCTCCGGTCGAGTCGGCAGGGACGGTCGAGTCGACGGCGGACGGATCGGGGACCGCAGCGAGGCCCTTGCCCGGAACGCTGGCGCTGGCGGTGGGTGCGGCGTCGGATCCCGAGGTGGCAGAGGCGGCAGCCATCGGGGCACTGGAACCGCCCGTCTCGTTGGCTGGTCCAGTGGACGCCGGCGCAGCAGCAGACGTGACGACGTCGGCGCCGCCGCCGCCGCCGCCGGCAGACCCGTTGGCCTGGCTGCCGTCTCCGCCCTGGAGGACGCCGACGGTGGCAAACCACGCGTCGGGAGGGGGCGAGGGAGCGATGCCGTTCGGGTGCCACCTGGTGGACGGGAGGCCCTCGTTGATGTCATAGTCGGCGGCAGCGACGACGGCGCCGGGGGTCCAAGTGTCAAACGCCGACGAGTCCGACTGGCCAAAGACCGAGTCGACCTTGTTCTTTGCCGTCGTGGCGTCCTTGTTGTCTGCAATGTCGGCGGCGGTGCCCGTGTTCCACTTGCCGAGGTTGGGCGCGACGGCGCCGCAGCAGTAGGTCTGGTTGTCGTAGGGCTCAAAGTAGGCCTCGTCGCCCCACGCCGAGTGGTCGTACGCGCTCATGGCCGTGCTGCCAAAGTCGATGGCGACGGGGACGGGGTAGCGTGCCGAGGTCTGGAAGATGGCGTTGGGCGCGGTCCAGCCGGGCGTGACGCCCTTGTTGCAGTTCTTGGGCTTGTCGTCGCCGGCAGACAGGTCCCACCGAGCGTTGCATCCAGGCAGGTCGGACAGGGCACCGCCATAGCCCACGTCCTCGTCGGGGATCATGCCGGCGAAACGGCAGTTGCGACCTTTGGTGACGTCAAAGTACTGCTTGAGGGGCCCGCAGTCGCCGGCGTCGTCTTCGGTCAAGCACTGGGTGATAGCCTCCTTGAACGGGTCGGCTTCCCAACCAAAGACATAGTCGCCGTGGCTGGTGGTTCCGAGCGTGTCTCCCGTGGCGAGGATCAGACGGTTGACCGTGCCGCTCGACGACCACATGGACTTTTGGCGGTCGGACAGCTTAAAGTAGATTTCCAGGTGCATGTTGGGGTACTTGATCGGGTGCGAGGCCGGGCAGTTGGTGCCGGCAAACGGGTTCATCCAGGTCACCCCACCTCCAACGTCGATGGGGTAGGTGATGTGGGCCTGGTGGTCGCTCGAGTCGAGCGACTGGTTGGCCCAACCACACGAGGGGAACGTGACCGTGAGCATGACCTGTTTGCAGCCGCCGGGGAAGGAAGTGGCGTTGGGGAGGTATGGCCTGTTGTCGTCCGTGTTCTGCTGGTCACACGTGTATCCGAGAGCATGCGAGGCCATCTGAGGACGGTAAATGTCACGGCTGCCGGCCTCGCCGGCCAGCATGCGGAAGCCTGGGGGGAACGGTTGGGTCTTGTCGGAACGCGTAAAGTAGTACGCACGGCCGCCGTTGGACATGAGCGGCTCGTACTTTCCCTCGTCGTTGATAAAGTAGATCATGGGCACCCAGTAGTTGGACTTGTCGACTGAAATCGACGCCGTCGTGCAGTCGGCCTTCAAGAGCTCGTCGGGCGAGTTGAGAACGCTGCGAAAGTTGTTGGCGCCGTGGATCTGGTGCGTGTGGCCGCTGATACCGCCCGGGTTGACAATGGGGTCCATGCGCGACGAGACAAGAGGGTGAATGCCCACGAAGAAGGCCGACGCGCTGTGAAGCGTCGCCAGGATGGCGAGCGTCGGGAACAGCATAGCGGTGGAGCGGTGGTGAGCTGTGTGAGCTGTTGGCTGGTGGGAGTGTTCGCGCTGCGAAGGGAAGGAAAGGGAGCGCTTCGAAATGAAGGCAAGTTTTCTCGAGCAAACGAGTGGACGCGGTGGGTTCGTGAAAAGGAGTGTGGGAGCTGTCGAAGCACCAGGCAGTCGACGAGGCTTGATGAAGAACCGGAGAGCGAAAGAAGAGAATGTGGGGTGGGGGGGACGAGAAAGGAGTGAGAGAAAGAGACTAAGAGAGAAAAGGAGAAGAGCAGACATGCATGTTGTGTAAGTACTTGTGCGTCTGTGTGTGCGCGCCCAAGCGGCCCATGTTGTGTTGCCTGTCGCCTTGCCTTGCTTCCGCCGAGGGCAAGAAGCACACGAGAGAGAGAGAGAGTTATGGTTCTTTGCAGAGGGGGACGAGCGAGGGGGTTGCGCGGGTTGGAGGGTTGGGTTTGGGCCAGACGCGCGTCTGGCATGTGCACCGTGTACGCACTCCTTCCAGCCGTCCACAGGCCACCACTGCAGCGCTGAAGCGTTGAAGCGTTGGGCATGGACATGCATGGGACCATGCATCATCCTGAAACGACTCTCCAGACGCGCATATGCACTCCCGACGGGTGCCGCGGCGGCATGACGCCGTTTGACGCGTCCGGCGCGTCGTCGTGTGCCACAACACCCGCCTGCACATGTTGCACACATGCCGGCACACACACTTTTAAAAGGTGCTCTCGCTCAACAGCGTTTCTCCCCCTAAAACGACACTCTAATCTGCAATCGTCTCATGCATACCGGGTCCACGAGGCACCGGCACCACCGGCATCGATGGCTTTTCCGGCCAGAGCTGCATGGGAAGGGGGGGGACGTCCATCGGGCCATCGAATGTGCCAACGACGGAGCGCACAAGTCGAGGCCTTTGAGGGGGGAAGGGGTTCTCTCAATTCACAGGATCACCAGGACCCATATAACAGGTCGCGTCTTGTTCCACACCGTCCACATCTCCCCCGTGCGTCCTCTCGGCATGCCCAACCTTGCAACCTTGCTACCATCCCTGGTAGTCCCGAACAGGAGCCTGTTACGTTGGCGCAAAGGGACGCAGGCAGGCAGACAGGCTCTTCAGTCGGGCGGCGCGAGCGGGACGATCAAACCGTCGTCCTGGAGCATGTGCGGCCTTTGCACCTCGTTGCCCTCGAAGAAAAATAACATGACAAAAAAAAGCTACCGACACCCAGTTGCTGTTTTGCTCCGTCACACCCGGTCTCGACCTCGTTTCAGATGGATGAATGCCAAGCTCGGTGTCATGGACGCAAGGTTGGCCAGTCCAGTCCATTGACCATGTATACATGCTACAAAGGGACACCATATGTATATACACACACACCTGGAAAAAAAAAACAGAAACTAAAACTAAAACTCTGTATTAAAAACTAAAACTAAACCCAACTATATGTATCCTAATTCCTGTTCAAAAGACGGTGGCAACAGCCGCCGCACTCACCACCACCCCAGCCAGGACGAGGGCCATGTCAACGCTCGTCCTGCGCGTCGCCCCGCTCACGGGCTGGCGCTCAACAGCTGTGCCTGCGGTCTTGACTGTAAATCTGTCCGACACGGCCCACACACCTGCCCGTCAGCACGTGTCCGGGGATCAGTGCGTGCAGCGTGCAGCGTGTTTGTGCCGCAGGCAGCGATTACTCACAGGCATCCAACAGTGTAGTGGTATTGCAGTTGCTGAAGAGGAGTAGGAGAAAGTAACCGTCCGCCGGGGTGTTGCTGGATCCATGTCAGCTCTCGGTACATGGCCGCCATTGCTCACGGTCCATCATAGTTGAACGCCTGCTTCGTCTCTGAGCCTTTGCTCTGCCTGGTGAAGAACAGCCCGTCGTCCACGGAATAGATGGGCGAAAAGGCATTGGGCGCGGCGACGAAAAGGTACATGTTGCTCGGGGGCGACGCGCTAAACTCCATGACGTTGGTGGTGCTTGCGACCCAGTACGAGCCGTTCTTGGGGTACGAGACGCGGTGCTGCCCCGCCGCCATGAGCTGGCTGTGCGGCAGGGCGATGATCCCCTTGACCTTGTCCAGGTACCTGCTCCATGCGACGCCCGTGGCGCGCGGGGTGGTGGTCGTTGTTCTGGTCGAGGATGACGTCTTGGTGGCAACGTCCGTGTCCGTGTCGGATGACGCCTTGGTCGAGGTCGCGGGAGGGGTTCCGGGGGAAGGGGTCTCTGGGGAAACGTCCTTTGTGGTGCTGGCACGAGTAGTGGTTTTTGCCTTTGTAGTCTTGGCCGCCGATGTGGCTGCGTTGACGTTGTCGCTGGCAACCAGCAGCAACACCAGTGCCAATAACCAGATGTTGACGAGCATGGCGGTATGGACGATGGAGGAGTTGTGCAATGTTGGAATCTCGCCTGTGGCCTGTGAATGGCATGGACAGTTGGGACCATCGCGTGCACTGCTTTTTCCGCTGATCACGATCACTGATTACTGATTGTCACATGCTAACAGGCGAAAAGGCGGATCAAATGAAAGATGGATGTGTGGGAAACAAAGCCAACCATGTCTTCCCACTTTTGGAATTGAAGCCACAATGGCCATAACGTCCAGACTGTCGCAGACTACATGCATGTGTCGTGGCACTCTGGCACTCTGGAGCTCTTGGCCTCTGTACTCTGTATCATTTTGCGAGTCCAGGCCATTGCTGTGTCACCATTGCGGAATGAACAAGCCTTTGGTACCCGCTTCAAGCAGTTGATGTGTCAATGTCGTTCTCTCAGAACGAGCGTGGAACTCGGATGCACATCCGCATACGTTAACGTAAACACGCCCACGCTTTGCCTTTGCTTGCCTACGAGCCTGCACCCACCATCGTCTGCAAACGCTGCCCCGGATGAACCGGCCGTGGTATGCGCCGGCAACCGCACAGTCCGAAATGCGCGGCGGGCTACCATCGACGTCACAGCCATGGCCGTCGTCGGTCATGTGCGACGGCCGTGCTCTCCCCGCATGGCCCGCTTGCAAAAGGCATCCTGTGGTGCGTGTGGTCGTGAAACCACCTATTCTCTCTCGGCCGGCCGCTTCTAGAAGCGACTTGTAACAGCAAAGATTGATCGCGAGTTCCCACCGAGCGACACTGGACCATAATGAAACCAACACCGAATACCGAGACATGATCCACATAACTGTGTCTCTCCCGTCCACGGATCTCACCACTCACCCCTTCAACTGCCCACCACCACCATGGCCCCCGTCCACCCAGCAACGAGCACGACGGGCTTCTTCCAGCCCGAGCCCGTCGTGGCCAACCAGTGGACTGAGGACCGCGCGCTGCGCCGGTCCGCCGAGCTGTTCCTCTCCCCAGCAGACCTGTACCGCGCGGCACCGTTACTAGACGACCTGGGCCGGCGCGTCCTGTCGCGCGACGTCATGGCCGCGTTCGTCAACGCCGAGACGAACCCGCCGCACATCTCGGGCGACGGCTTCAGCACGTTTGGCAAGCCCAAGGGCGCCGACGCGCTCGTCACCAGCGCCGGGTGGAAGTACCTGCAGGAATTTGGCTGGCGCGAGGGCATTGTGGCGACGGGCAACGAGGCCGAGTTTGGGGCCGCGGCGCGCGTGGTCCAGGCGTACAAGGTCCACCTGTTCGCGGCCAGCTCGGCCATGGTGGTGTGTCCGTCTGGCATGCAGGACGGGGCCATTACGTGTCTGCGCCGCGAGCTGGCGACGCTCGAGTCGGCGCAGCAGTACTCTGCCCAGGAGAAACGGGTGCGCAAGCAGGTGTTTGAGAGCGCGCTGGGGCACCTCATGAACCGCAACCCCGAGCTCGCATGGTCGTCTGGCCAGTGGATGACGGAGCGTGTGGGCGGCTCGGACGTGCGCGGCACCGAGACGTTTGCCGAGCGTGCGGGTCCCACCGATGCCACTGACATTGACGGCCTCCCCCTCGGTCCGTGGACCATCAGCGGCTTCAAGTTCTTCTCGTCCGCCACCGACTGTGGGTGCTCGATCATCCTCGCATACACGCCCAAGGGCCTGAGCTGCTTCTTTGCGCCGACCCGCAGGGTCGAGGCCGGGACCGTGGTCATGAACGGCATCAAGATCCAGCGGCTCAAGAACAAGCTCGGGACACACGCCCTGCCGACCGCCGAGCTCGAGCTCGAGGGCATGCGCGCGCACCTGCTCGGCGAGGAAGGCCGCGGCGTCAGTGTCATTGCCAACGTCCTGAACGTTGCGCGCTTCCACAACTCGGCGCGCGCAGTGGGCTACCTCGGCCGCGGGCTCGGGGTCGCGCGCGCCTTCTCGCGCGTGCGCCGCTTCCCATCGCGCAAACCCGGCGACGACCTGTTACGCTCCATCCCGCTGTTTGCGCGCACGCTCTCGATGGTGACGCTCCGCCACCGCGCCGACACGCTGCTCGCAGGCTTCCTCGCCAGTCTGCTGGGGACGGTCAACACGGGGTCCTCGCCCAACGCCGTGGTCCCCGGCGATGCCGGCCAGGCGGCCCTCCTCCTCCGCCTCCTGACGTCCGTGTGCAAGGCCTACATCACCAAACACAGTGTCGCCGGCCTGCAAGAGTGCATGGAGGCCCTGGGCGGGATCGGATACCTCGAGAACAACGAGACGCCCGCCATCAACGTCGCGTGCATGTTCCGCGACGCCAACGTGTTCTGTATCTGGGAGGGCACCACCGACGTCCTGTCCACCGACACGGTCAAGGTCCTGCGCGGGCGGCAAGGGCCCGCATGCACCGCCGCGCTCGATACCTGGCTCGTACGCAAGCTCGGCAGCGGCGGCGCGTACGGGACCAAGCAAGGTGCCGGTCTGCCCGTGGAGCGCGCGGCCGTCAAGGCCGCGTGGAAGCGCTTCCAGGCCCTGCCGGGCGACATGGACGACATGCTGCCCATGGCGCGCGACGTCGTCAAGCGCGTAGGCGACATTGTGTGTGCCGCGCTCCTCATCATCGACGCCGAGCGCGACGAGGACCCCGTGGCGGTCGAGTGTGCGCGCCGCTTCGTCGCGGTGGAGATGGTTGGGTCGGACGTGCGCGAGCAGACCCAAAGGGAGATTACACACTGGGACAGGCGGATCGCGTTCGAGGGCGACGAGGTGGCGGTGGCCAAGCTGTAAGCACGAGGATGCATGCTCGTATGGTCTGTGGTGGTGGTGGTGGTGGTGTCGTGGAAGAGACGTGGCCGCCAAGATGAAGTGACCGTTTCGGCACGAGCTCCGAGATAACGACCGAGGACTGCCAACGACCATTGCTGCGTGTTCGTCTTGCGGATGGTGCCTCCCGCTGCGCCGTTGCGCGTTGCGCGTTGCGCGTTGCGCTCGTGTGACGGCGTGCCGCCATACGGCTGCCGCGTCGGCAGCCACGTAGCCATGCCGAACGTGCTGCGTCACAGCCATGGCGCCAAGTCTGCCAGGTTAAAGGGTCGCCACAGGGGGGGCGGTGAATTTCATCTCCCTCTTTTATCACGGAACCTCGGCAAGCAATGGAACTGCGGCCACTGGCGACCAACGTGGACGGCAGCGACGACACGACGCTCGACGAGGAGACCACCACGCGCCGCCTGCACAAGAGACCAACCACGGTATGCTACAAGGTCGCCGCCGCGCTGTGTCTCCTGCTCACCATCACCCTCCTCGTCCTCGCGTCCCGAGCGCTCGGAATCGTCGGCAGCCTCCGCCAGCCGTATGCCAAGCTCTACGCCGCAGGCAACGAGCCCCGTGTGTTTCCGCTTATCGATGCCGACACCCACTTTGACGTTGCCGTGTCGGTCTGGCAACGCAAGCCATGTAACCTGTTCATCGACAGCAGCGCCAACTGCACCGACGCCCCCTAACCCACGACAGAGACCGGGGTGTGGAACCCCACAGCGGCCGAGCCGCTCAAGGTCAAATTGACGCTACAGCTGTCCGTGTTCAACCCGACAAAGGAAAAGCTCTACATGATCCGGGAGTCGATCATGGGCATGGCCTACAGCTATGAGAACAGCGTGCGAGCCGTGCAGGCCAAGCACGACTTGTGGGAGTTTTCCAGTACGTACACGGGTGTGGGCGCCGGCGCGCCTGGCTGACCTTGGCGTAGATGGCCTCTTTGGCTTCCCATCGGAAACGGCGGGCACATGGCGCCGGGTTGTTTTTGTGGTGTTGCAGTGAGTTGCCGTTGTGGCAAAGTCACATTACCCAGTGCTAAACCCACCGCAGCAAGACGCTGGCCGTCTTCGTGGCCCTGTTGACCGTCTTATACTGGTACACTCGCCGCACGGCAGCTGGTATCAGCCACGCAGGCATCTGGATCCGGGTGTTGGTCGTGGTGCCCAAGTCGATCCACTACGTCGTGACCGGGTTTTTCCACCGGTATCCTCTTTATGGGTTTGGCGCACACCTCGTATTGGTCCTCATGGTCGTCGTGCTGTGTGCATCTGAAATGTTCCAGCTTCGCCTCGTCGCCCCCATCGGCTTGCGCGCTACAGGCTGGGGGATACAGTTTACGGGTTCGTCCGCAAAGGCCGCGCACACCCACACGGCAAACGACGCCCGCCACGAGGTCGAGATCGATGCCAACCTCCGGATGAAGGTGTCCTGGCCCATGCGCAGGTGGACACACAGGGAGCGCGACAGCATGCGCCTCGAGCCCTTGGTGCAGACGCTGGCCATCACTGGTGCCGTGAGCGAACGCTGACATTTACACACCGCTGACCCTCACCGCAGACATACCTCGCGTGCTTCATCTTCTTCTACGCGTGCCGCGGCTGGATCATCCGCCCGCGTCTACCACTAGACCCCGACCCGACCACGCAAGACTTTCTCGCCAAATCCGCAAAGGCCATCGGCTGGTCCGGGTTCGCCGCTGCCACCCTCTTGCAGCTGCGCATGAACCGCCGCGCGGCGTCGTTTGCGGGCACGTACGCGCTCGTGGCGTACTTGCAGGTGGGGATCGAGGTGTGCAACGTCCTGTACCATTTCCCGGCTGTCATGGGCCCGCACTATGTCTCGAACGGGCTGTCCGTCTTTGAGGCGTCCCGCGGCGTGTTTTCGCTGGCCGTCTTGTACCAGGCTGTGCGGTTGCCAAAGGTCGTGCAGAACATGCCGGACGATGACGAGTGAAACGTGTGGGTTGGTTGGCGCGTGTATGCAAAGTGTGTCGCAACTGGGGTGTGCTGGTGTCCTTGAAGTACAGGGTAGGCAAGGATAAAAGTCTCGCCAGATCGTTGCACATCACCCCACACCGACTGTTGGACCACCAATGCTTCCTGACCGCCATGGCCACAGACACCGAAATGGACGTTCAGGGAGAGAGAGCTGTGACCTGCCGACTGCCACCTGCAGCCAGCAGCGGGACACATGCATACGAGGGTCGTGTCGGACGGGGTTGTGGGCTGCGCAGTGGGCGGTGTTCTTGTATTGTCTGTTGGTGTACCAGAATAGCGGAAGGTGGTCGTGTGGCGGTGGTGTATCGCTGCAAGATTGGGAACATGTGCATCGCCTGGTCTATCCACGGAGCCACGGCACTGTAGGCACCGGCACCTGCACCGCATCGCCCGTTGTGCTTCGTGCTGGACGGTGTGCGTTTCGAGTTTCAAGTTTCGAACGGTGCATGCTCTGTCGACGTGTCGATTGCGTTTGCCGGACTGCGGATGAGAGAGGGTTCAAGTGGCCAAGAGGCCAAGAGAGGGCGACGAGGCAAGCAAGGGGTCATTGCTGGGAAAAGCGGTCGACATGGAACAGAGGTCGACATGGGCAATACACCTCTGCTTATTTTTGGGATGCCAGCCGATGCTGTGGCAGCATTCTTTGGATCTGAGTGGTTCCAAATTAGCATGCACATGGAACACCCCAACAAGGAGCGTCAAGACGCTGTTTGCTCGTCGGGAACTCTAGTCAAGGAACAACAACGACGGTGAGGATAAAGGGGTAACGAGCAGGCACAGAGATCCGTCAGCCCCTATACCAAGAACCGACGGAAACTGTGGAACACTTCCGCCGCCCAGACGTTGTCTGCTAACGTGTTAACGCTCCCGCTCGTCGTTCCGTGTCTGCCTGGAGCAACTCACCAGCGCGTGGAGGGTCGAACAGTCAACGACGGCGGTCAAGTGTGTGGGAGCCACTGGTGGAGGCCTGTCAGATCTCTCTCTGTCATTGTGGGTCAACCGCTTTGGGATATGCATAAGGGGGCCCACTACTTAAAAGGAGAGCACGAAGGCCCAAAAAGGCTCTCTCGTTTACCTGCCGAGCTGGCCGCCGACCACTCGCCGCTGGATGGTGGGGCTGTTCCACCGCCTCAGCCTCATTCCGTCGAGGTGTGTCGGCCTGCCGGCTGTTGGAGTCTCAAATGGCCCAAATGACGAGAGGATACTTTGGCTGGCTTCTGACGCTCTGCGCCTGCTGCTGCTTCCAGTGGCCAAGAGTGCGTACTATGCAGAGCCGACGTAGGGCCAAGACGGCACAGACGACGGCAGAGACACCGTCTGGACCGACATGACCCACCTGCCCCGCCCAGCGTCCACAGCGCCGCCCTCCCCTGTGCCAAACCCACCCCCCTTCCCTCGGCAGCTCCGACAATTCCGGTTGATTCGCACCGCACGCACCGCAATGCTCGTCTCACACAACCATCCAACACAACGCCTAAGGACACACCCAAATGCCCATGCACGCACACCCAGCTGCAGGCCTGCACGGGCCAAGTCACCAGGCAGGCCTGGCAGCGCTCTGCTTCTCATAACATCTCCTTTGTCTTCATCGCCGCTACCGTCTTTCATCTCGCCCTCATCCCACACCACACCGCTGCTGCCTCTCACACACTCGCTGCTAACGGTGTGCAAGCCCCAGGCGTCCCCATTCACACGCTCCCGCTACATCTTGAAGCTTGCTCGCTAGCAGCCGACAGCAACCATGCTGTCCGCTCCCCTCGTCGCAGCCGTCGCCAGCGTCGCGCTGGCAACAAGCGCTGCCGCCATGCCGTCGCGTCGCGATAACAGCATCCCAGACGCGGTCGGCAACATCCAGTTCAACATCTCCGTGCCCCCCATGTCACCGATCCTGGAATGGCTGCCAGGACTGCGCAATGACCAGATGCCCAACGAGACGGCGCCGTACTACTGGACACCTTCGGTCAAGGACCCGTACTACATGAACTTTTCCGACTACCAGACGTACAAGCAGTACCTGCCCAACAGCCCCACGGTCCAGGTGAACGCCTTTGCCAACGATGTCATCATCTGGGGCAAGTTCCAGGGCTGGAACACGTCCGGATACCAAGACCCGCCCCTCAACGTCGACGCGAATGGAAACACGAGCCAGATCAGCATGGCGGACGCCTTGAACACGGTCAGCACAGACATTTTGGTCCAGGTGCAGAACATGTCCGATGGCCTGAACACGGTGTCGCTCGCACTCAACGACGGGTTGAGGGGCGGAGCGGCGCTCACCGTCGAGCTTGTCACCATCACAACGTACATGCAGCTGGCGACCAAGGAGTGAGTGGGGGAGCGAGAGCGTGGTGTTTGTTGCATGGCCTGACCCCCGGCACAGAAAGTCGATCAGCTGGAACGCGACTGTCAACCAGACCGAGGTTGCCTTTGCGGACAATGGGCAGATCAGCAGTTACCTCTCTTGCGACAGCGAGTGGGCCGTGGACGATAGTGCGTACCCATCTCTCGTGGTTGCTGACCCACTCTCCCCCAGACGGGACGGTCAAGATGGACGGCAACAACAATGGCGGCAAGAAGTGCACGATCCCCATCCCAGCCAAGACTTCGTATGTCATCCTCCGCGGCACACTCGGCCCCCAGTATGGCGGTATCAAGATCTCTGGTCTCGGCAACGTCGACTACATGCCCAACACCAACGTGGTCGACACGGCAAACAACGAGAGCTTGATCATGTACCCGCTCAACCCAGACTACCAGTACACCATCGAGGTCTCCCCGACAGACGACGCTGCGAGCGGTAACGGCAACTCGCTCATTGGTCTGCACAGCATGACCCTGTACTCGATGCAGGTCCACGACTCGTGGGTCAACCACGTCCCCTGGCCCATTGTCGGCGGTGTCGTCGGCGGCGTCGTCGTCGTCCTCGTCATCGCCGGCGTCCTCTGGCGCAGCGGCGCCATGTTCTTCCGCCGCCGCAGACGCAACTCGGTGCTGTTCGAGGCCGGCTCGTCGGGCGACAGCGAACTCAAGCCGGGCTCAAACTACCGCTCCAGCACGTACAACGACACCATGGAGATGCCCCTCCTCGCCGCCGCCGCGCCAACAGGCCACGCCGGCCAGCCGAACGAGTACAGCGACTTTGCGCCCATGTCCCACACCCCGCGCGGCAGCGTGAGCGGCGCTCCGCTGACGCAGACCCCGCGCGGCAGCGTTGGCGGCGGCGGCGGTGCCCTCCCCGGCTCGGGATCCAGCCCCGGCAGGCCCGGCGGGCCCGCCGTGCACAGCCGCAACAGCAGCTTTGGCGCGCCCCCGCCCATGCCCACGCACAACCGTGGCGGCAGCTTTGGCGGGTTTGCTGGCCAACCGTTCCCCGGCGGCAGTCCCGGCGGCCCACCGACCCATAACCGCGGCGGCAGCTTTGGCAGCGGCGGCAGTGGTAGCTATGGCGGCAGCCCCGGGCAGCCTCCACGCATGCCCATGCCCATGCCCAACCCCGGCGGCAGTCCCGGCCAGCCGCGCAGCATCCTCCGTTAATCTTAAAAGTAGTAGGCGACCGGGGGGGAGAAAGGAGGAGGTACTTACCTTGTAGTAGGCGATCGGAGAGACAGATACGGACGATTCATAGCATCAACCCCTCGCCTAGGCGCACAACCACCCACTGTCATGTCATTGTGGATCATAGAGATGATGGCTGCGTGGAACGTCGCGACTGATAACGCGTATACTGATAACGCTAAACGCGTCTAACCTTGAATAATAAGTCTAAAATGCCGACCTGAGAACCCCGCAGGCCGCAGGCGTGAGGCCGTGTGAGGAGCGTTGAGGTAAGTGGCAGCAATGGTTGGCGCACACGGCCTGTCGATATCGTGAGACCCAAACCAGTCGGCGCCGACCTGATGGCCAGCAGATACCCTTCGCCATCAAGGCAAACTGCAACCGTCCCAATCGGACAGCTGCACTGTAGAACCACGGCAAGAGTACACGCAGTCAGATCCGGGCGCTGCGCAGAGGGGAGGTTCGTGGCAACGACCTGGAAGTCACAAGGCCGCTGGCCGCTGGGAAGCTCACAATGACGCGCAAAAGAAGGTCAGGCGGCCAACGCCCCAACCCCAGCAAGTCGTATGAAGAGGAACATATAGCCCCCAGAGTGTCCCGGCAACCCCCGTTCTTCTCACAAGTCACAGGCCATCGTACAATGCGTGTCCCGAAGCTGGAGCAGCAAGCCTGGTGTGGTGAGTTGATATAGATACAGCGACCATGGGCTAACTGCCAGAGGACGAGACCGCCACGCCGAACAAGTCTGCTGGTGCATCTGGCCCGTCGTTAAAGTAAGCACACCCGGCGCCTCTGCCGCCAGCATGCTCAGCTCACTCCACACAGGTCCACCACTGCCAGAACTACAGCGGCGGCGGCCACGGATCCCCAACACGAGCGAACCGCACTCGAGGCCTTGATTGCCAGCCTGGAAAAGGACCGCGACGACGCCCTCGACGCCGCCGTGGCCGCCTACCTCGACCGCCTGCGCGGGCTGTCCCTCGCCGGGCCCGGAGGCGCGCCGGCGGCCGCGTACGACCGGCTCGTCGAGCAGTTTGAGCACGACCTGAGGGTCGTGGATGAGCACCAGCGCAGGGTGGACACGTGGACGGGGTACCAGCAGCACAGCGGAGCGTAACGCACAGCCAAAACCAAAATGCAAAATGGTGACGTTCATAAATATTGTTGTATACACAGGGAGTGGCTTCACGATATATACTCTACTCTACTCTATAGGGGACGGAGGGCGAATGCAAACTCGACCGTGTGGCCCTCGACGAGGCTGACGCGGTACTGCTCCTGCGCCATGGGCCCGCAGGACGCAGAGCCAATACCGTTGACGGCGTGGTCGACGTTGACCCAGACCTTATCGCGGGGCACGAGGTCGACGGTGTGCTTGGCCGCCTCGAGGTCGGCGTGCGTCCACCGGCGCGCGGTCAGGTGGAAGACGGGCGAGCCGTCGATGCGCAGGCCCTCGCCAGCGTCGGACGCGAGCTCGGCGGAGCGCACGTCCATGCGCGTGCCGTTGTCCTGGGGCATGACGTAGGGCGTCTGCAAGCCGTCAATGGTGTTCTCAAACGCGCCGACGCGCGCACCGGCGCGCGTGTCCGGGTACGCCTCGCCGGGCCCGCAGCCAAACCACTTGACGTGCGCGAGCGATGCCGGGAAAGCGTACTGCACGCCCAGGCGCGGGAGCGGGAGGTCGTCCCACGACCCCTCGGGGGTGACGGCGACGTGGACGCGCAGGCCGGTCCCGTCGGCCGTGTACGTGTACACGGTGGCGAGGCCGCGGTCAAGGAGACACGCGGCGACGCGGGTGACGACCTCGATGCTCGAGTCCGAGACGGTGATCTGGTCCAGACGGTGTTCCATCGCGTTCAGGCCCGCATGCTTCCATGCGTCCCGCGTGACCTTTGCAATCTCGGGCCAGGTCGCCGAGATCTCGCCGCCGCTGTCGTTGTCGGTCGGGGCGCGCCACACGTCCAGCTGGCCGCCCTCGACGGGCATGTCTCCGAGCGAGACGAGCTGGCCGCGGGCAGTAAACGTGGCGGGACCAAGGGTAATGGAGCCGTCGACATTGATGACGGGCGAGACGCCCTCGTGGTAGCCGTTGGCCGTGGGTGGGTCCGCAGCGCGGACCTGGCCCCACGCAATCTCGTGCCCAGCCTTGGCCCAGTTGGTGTCTGCCGCGAGCGAAGCCGTCACGGTCCAGAACACCTCGCCGCCGGCCGGGAACTCGACGTTGGGAAGGGACACGGTGGTGCTCTTGCCTGCCGCGACAGGGGGCACGTCAAGGGTACCTTGCTTGACGAGGACACCGTCCCGCTCCAGACGCCACCTGAAGGCGAGGTGGGCAGTGTCGGCAAACGCATACTTGCTGCGCACAGTGATCTTGCCGTCCTCGCCTGTGATGACAACCGGGGTGATAATGTTCTTGTACTCGATGAGGCCGGGGCTGGGGTTGCGGTCCGGGAAGATGAGACCGTCACACACGCCATGGGTGTCTCCTGGGCGCGATGGCTCACCAAAGTCGCCGCCGTAGCCATAGTAACGCGTACCGTTCTTGTCCTTTTTCGCAATACCGTGGTCGATCCACTCCCACACAAAGCCGCCTTGGAGACGAGGATACTTTTCAAACAGGTCCTGGTACTCTCTCATGCCACCGGGGCCGTTACCCATGGCGTGCCCGTACTCGATGAGGATGAACGGCTTGTTGTCGCGCGCGGCCTTGAGGCGGTCGTGGTCGTCCTTTTCCAGGTCCTTGGCCTGGACAATCGGGTATCCCCATGCCTCAAACGCCTCGGTGCCCTTGCCAATCTCCTCGACCTTGGAGTACCACGTGTACATGTGGGTGAACATGTCCGTGTCGCGGCAGGTCCAGTCGCCCTCGTAGTGGATGGCACGCGACGGGTCGCGCTTGCGGATCCACTGGGACATGGCGGCAATGTTATCGCACCCGCCAGGGTGAGCCATGCCGGCCTCGTTACCCAGCGACCAGATGATGATGGACGGGTGGTTCTTGTCGCGCTCGACCATGCGCTCGGTGCGGTTGAGCATCGCCTCGGTCCACTCGGCCGTCTCGGACGGGTTCTTGCGCCACTCGCAGTAGCCAAAACCGTGTGTCTGGGGTCAGCTTCAAAGACAAACACAAAGCTCACCTCATAATCGCCCTCGTCCACGACCCACAGGCCGTACTGATCACACAGGGCGAGAAAGTCCGGGTGCGGCGGGTAGTGGCTTGTGCGGACGGCATTGATGTTGTGCGTCTTCATGAGGAGCACGTCCTTCTTCATCGTCTCGAGGTCGACAGTGCGTCCAGTGTCCGGGTGCCACTCGTGCCTGTTGACGCCGTTGAACAGGATACGTCGGCCGTTGACCTTGAGCAGGCCATCCTCCATCTTGACGGTACGGAAGCCGACGCGCAGCGGGATGCGTTCGCCGTTGGGGACCGCCAGCTCGCCGTCGTACAGCCTGGGGATCTCGGCGGACCAGGGTGCGACGGGGACAGTGACCTCTTCGCCGACCGCAATGTCGATCCCGAGCTCGGGAACAGTGACGCGGGCACCCTCGGCCTCGCTGTCGACCTTGAATGAGCCAGTGCCCTCGACGTGGTCGTACGAGGCATGGACGAAAAAGTCGTTGATGGAAAGTGCGGGGCGGTGGACGAGCGTCACGTCGCGGAAAAGACCAGCGAGGTACCACTGGTCCTGGTCCTCGAGGTAGCTGCCAGCGCTCCACTGCACGACGCGAACGGCGAGCTTGTTGGCGCCCTCCCTGAGGAAGGGAGTCGCGTCAAACTCGGTTGGGAGACGAGAGCCCGTCGACCAGCCCAGAGGCACGCCGTTGAGCCACACTTTGAACCACGACTCGACGCCTTCAAAACGGAGGATCGCCTGGGTTGTCAGCTCAAGCACAAAAGGAAGAGCTCACCTTGCCGTCCTGCCATGCTGGACGCTCAAATGTTGTAATGTAGTCGCCGGTAGGGTTGACGTCTGGCACAAACGGAGCGTTCACGGGGAACGGGTAGGCGAGGTTGGTGTACCAAGGGAACGAGTGGCCTTGGAGAGCCCAGTGGGACGGCACTGGAATGTCGCCCCAGGAGCCTTCTTCCTGGTAGACATCCTCCGCAAAGGCGACAGAACCGTCGGCGGTGGGTGACAGACGGAAGCGCCAGTCGCCGTTCAAGCTTTTCCTCTGTGCGCTGGAATGAGTGAACGCGCGCGGCGGCAGCGCGCCGCTCCATGGCGTATACGACTCGTGCTCGCGGGGGTGAAAGACCGTGGACACGGACGGCATGGCGGCGAGAGAGAGTGTGGGTAGGTGTGTTCAACGTCAACCGAGGTTGGCGACGAGCAGGGTATATAGGTGGAGAAGCTGCACACAGGGGGTGTGCCGGCGGGAATGCGTCGTGCATGCGGGGGCCGTCACCGGCCCCCCAAGATGGTGAGGGAGAGTGAAAAGCCGAGTGCGGGGACGAGTTTCCACCTGCGGACCCACCGAGCGGCAACAGATAACAACAGGAGCATGCGCGGAATCGGAGCACGGGGCCCGCACCAGAGGGTTTGTCGGCGGGCGACAAAGGGCCAATGCTCCGTCAACTCGCCGCGGCGGCCCCGGCAGCAGGCAGCGCGTGCATGCGAGGTGTGCAGCCCATGGCGGGGGGAGACAAAGGGGGCCTCATGGCCTCGTGGCTCACTTGCAAAGCGCGGTGCCGCTGGCCGCTGCGTCGTCGGGGCACGAAAAATCGCTTTGACCTCTCGGTCTCTAACGGATACGGGCGATGGGGCATTCTCGGTCAGTTTTCGCAACATCGCGCGCCCGCCGCTGGCCACCACAGTGGCCTTCGGGGCCGCCTGTCATGCACCGTGCGCTTGGGGACGGGCCCCCCGTTGGCCCCCGCAGAGGACACGTATGGCGTGTATGGGGGAGGACGTGCTGGATATTCCATGCGCGTGTACTGGTGGCATCAGCGGAGTGTGGCTGGGAATACCCACTGTGCAACTCGCTCGATCGATCGTCCCTGCGTAGTGTGTTTCTCGGCCAACATGGAAAACACCATAGTCCAAATGACCATACCGCTAATGGCATCTAGCATCGCTACACCACCACTGCACGGTGACTTCATTGCATCGACCGGCAGGCATCGCCTCGCATGGCTCCAAGTTCCTGAACACCACTGCTTCTATCGCCCTTCTTGCTTCTAGACTAAAGTGGACGTCACGCAAACATCATCGCCCGCAGGTTCCTCGGCCCCCTCGGCCCGTTCTCCACAAAGCTCATGGCAGAATGAACCGGTCAAACGATTCACTGGCCGGCATGCTCGCCGGATACAGAGTACCAGGAGTCTTAAAGCTGTCCACGCGGCATAGCTCAATGAAGTACGGCTGCGTGGCCGGGCCGGCTGTTGCACCAGAGACAAGAGGCTGCGAGTGCCACCGAGACTGAATCGTCCCAATATACAGACTTCTCTTCAGAGACGTGGCCCCGGGCCGTCTCGGTGCGGCGGCGCAGTCATGGTACAGAAAAGGAATGTACACGTTCTTGAGTTGTATGTATCCCTGCCATTTCCACAAGCGACTATATACCATGAGACGCTGGAGAAGGACATGTCGAGTGCCAGGAGATGAGGTGCTCGACGACTATCGCCCATGGTGAGTGGGTACCATTTACTGAAGCTGACATTGCATCCTGAACCCAGGCCTGGGTGACCTGAGCTTGCTCATAGGTTGTACTTTGAACTCAACGTTGGGGAGAGTTCAGGTGCACACCATGACGAAGGCGGCGACTTCGGAGAGCCAAGACTGGTGCTCTGGGGCAGCCTTCGGATAACGCTTGCGACCAACTGGCTGACATCGGCCTCCCGATCAAGACATTCAATAACCCCAGCCAAGACACGATGGATGTGCTTGGCTGCAAGCACTACTGAAACGGACCCCGCCAAAGCTTGCTGGCTCCCAACTCATCGTGTTGACGGCGGGCGAATGTCCCGACATTGGAGCGACCCACATGCCACAACCACTTCCACTAACCCACGTCCACTCTGCTACTGGCTGCCACTATTTCCAGCAACCACATATCAACCTTGGCACTGCCCAACCCCCGTGCATGGCTGGCAGACGTTCTTGGCATTACATCCACTCACGACGCTGCCCGTCTGGAATCGGGCCCCGCACTACTGTTCCTTCGAGGTCCCTCGTCAGGACCCACCGGGATTATCATTGCGGGCCCCGTCCGGGCCAGTCCAGCTGGGCGGGAGTGGAGGTCGAACGGCCCCCTATGGACGGCGTGCGCGCTCTCGCTCAGTCGACACTGGACTCTTGTTCTCCACAACACTGCACCCGCGCAGCACGCGCCCCGTCCCCGCGCCGTCTCGCTGCATATTCGCCCCCCGCGCAGCTGTGACTGGCGTGTACTGCGGCTGATCTCGCTCCTTTGCGCTCCACCAACCCCAGCCGGCTTGGGTACGTGCAGCATTCCCCCCGCGTCTACTCCGTGCGCTCCTTGGCGGCCGATCGTCTCCTCAGCATGCACTTGCACGACGACGCTTGACATATATTAAGTCCCCTGGATATCACCGTCTGAGGAGTCCCCACAGGCCCCCACGGTCCCCACACTCGATCGACTCTCCCAGAAGATAGTCTACAACAACAATGGGCGCAACTACTCCCGACGAAAAGTCCGGCAACGACCACATTGAGGCTGTCGGCGAGCTCTCCCACCACCCTGTGGGCCAGACGTCTGCCGACCGCGCCGATGCCATCGAGGCAGAGGACAGCGAGCACCAGATGACTACACGCGAAGCGTTCCGCTTCTACTGGAAGGTGCGCAATTCGGAGCGCAACTCGCGCAACTCGGAGCTTTTTACTCGGCCGCTAACATCCAGGCGGTCCTTTGGTCCATGCTCGCGTCGACCGTCCTCGTCATGGAGGGCTTTGACGGCATCGGCGGCAACTTTCAAGTTCTGCAGCCATGGTAAGTCGATATGTACACTGCATGCACTGACACGCAGGCTCCAGCGCTACGGTGTGTGGAGCGCCGAAAAAGGCATGTACATTATCGAAGCAAAGTGGCAGATGGGTTTGTCCGAAGCAACGTCCGTCGGATGTCTCTTTGGCGTCCTCATCGGCGCCTGGCAGGTCGACCGCTTCGGCTACCGCTGGTCCATGATCGCAAACATGACCGTCCTCTCGGGCTTCCTCGGCCTCCAGATCTTTGCGCCCAACGTAGAGGTCCTCCTCGTCGCAAACATGCTCACAGGCTTCGTCTACGGCGCCATGATGTGTCTCACAACAGCCTTCGCCTCCGAGCTCTGTCCCATCCAACTTCGCGGCTATCTCACATCATATTGTAATATGTGCTGGGTTATGGGAGGCATGCAAGTGTCGCGAAGCTCGTTCTGTGCATGTGCTGACGAAGCAGGCTTGCATCTATCGTAATCAACGCGTACACAAACTACCACCAAGACACGAGAACCGGTTACATTGTCACTTGGTCGCTTCAGTGGATTTGGCCCGCGCCGATCGCCGTAGGCATGTTCTTCTGCCCTGAATCGCCCTGGTGGCTCGTCCGTAAGGGCCGCCTCGACGACGCAGAGGCTTCGCTGCGCCGCCTGCAGTCGCACGACAACCACGGCCTCGCCCGCAAGACGGTCATGATGATTGTCCGAACCAACGAACTTGAAAAAGAACTCTCCGGCGGTGCCACTTTCCTCGACTGCTTCAAGGGCACCGACTTCCGCCGTACCGAGATTGCATGCTGCGCCTACGCGTGCCAGATGACCTGCGGTGTCGTGCTCTCATGGACTACTGTCTATTGGTTTGTGCAGGTACGTACACGAAAGACGGTCGTGGAGACATGGTGATCACCAAGATTTGATCCCGCTCTCGTCGAGACTTGGACGTGTCCATTCTCTTCATCGTCCCTCCGACCATTGTGATGACAGTTGCTGACCGTATCTTCCAGGCCGGCCTCAGCAACTCGGATTCGTTCCGCCTCGGTCTCGGACAGTCTGCGATCGCGCTGGCAGGTACCCTCGTCGCCTGGCTTCTCATCCGCCACATTGGTCGTCGAACCATCTACCTCTGGGGTATGGGCGGCATGGCGGCACTCATGATTGCCATCGGCGTCTGCGGTTGTTACAGGGACGACGGCAAGAACAAGGTCACCCTTTGGGTCCAAGCTGCCCTCATGCTCACCTGGGTCCTCAGTGAGTTCTTGACACCCAAGATGTTTAGCTGACAGCCCAGCGTACGATCTCAGTGTTGGTCCCGTCGCGTTCACGATCATTGGCGAGGTGTCGTCGTCGCGTCTCCGTAACAAGACCATCTCGCTCGCGCGCTTCACCTACAACTTTATCTCCCTCATCTCGGGTCTCATGAACCCGTACATGATCAACTCGACTGCCTGGAACTGGGGCGCCAAGGCCGGATTCTACTGGGCCGGCTGGAGCGTTCTCTCGTTTGTGTGGATCTACTTCCGCCTGCCAGAGACAGGCAAGCGCAGTTACCGTGAACTCGACATTCTCTTCGAGCGCCGTATCCCCGCCCGCCAGTTCAAGTCGACCGTCGTCGAGCAAGATGCCGACGACGAGATCCTCCAGGCCAAGCAAATGAAGTAACTCGAGCAAAAACTCGCTTGGTCCGTAGGGTCCGCTTCCGTATTCTGAATAATAAAGTCAAAGCAGTGCAGGTAGTTGAGGATGAATCTTGTGGTAATCTTCCGGCCTCCTGGATCTACGCAGTCTTGGGTTGTGGCGGTGTCGACATACGTGTACAGGATTAGGATATACTTGGCCTTGTCGCCACATGCGACAAGGCGTATGTGGCAACACATCCGGGCCGCATACGGCATGCGTCTCCCAGCCCCCGTGTGGGTGTGACGAAGAGTTCCTGTCGATCATTGCGCTCAAAGTATGCTGGTTGGCCGGATACAGGCTCGTGGTGACGCCTGCGTTGGAGGCGTCCCGTTTGGGCTCCATTGTTCGACCGCCCAGTGCCGGGTGCCAAGTTGAGAGCGCATGGTACTCGAACCCAATACTGGAACAAGGGGTACAATATTCTGCTGGCATAAAGCCCGACATTAGCACCGACGCCACTTGGCGCCTCAGCACTCAGCACCTCGTGATGCAGCGTCTGAAAAGAATTGGGCAAAACATGCAAAACACCTACCGCAAACGTGGGTGGGCTCTGCATTGCCAGAGTCGGGCCGACGGTGACTTATCCGATTATGCCGATTGTGCTGCGGCTGTCGATGGCGCTGAGGCTTGCCATTGTTGTTGTTTTGGCGGCAACGGTGTTGGGGACGCCACTGCGGGGCAAGGGATCGTCAGTGGCTGCCGCGCGCTAAGCGGCGACACTGGCATGTCAAGGTGACGACGTTGGGAAATGTAAAGGTTGCATCTACGGTAGTGCTGCATCCTGTTATGGTTAAGTACGTCAGACGTGAGTTTGGTAAGTGGCCAACGACTTTTGTGGGCCACGGTTGAACATCTGCCATTGGAGTACGTCCCATCGTACCAAACCTGCCTGAGCAGAAAGCGCCCGTTGTTGGTCGTCGTTTCAGAGCCTTCTGGGACCCTTTGAGGAACGAAGACTGCTGCCATATGGTAACAGCCACGACCGCTTGAAACTTGTCTGACGCTTGGCATCACGGGCGAAACTGTTTCGGTTTCCAGTTCGGCCGAAGCGTATTGAACGCGAAATCCGTTCCAAGACAACACAATAAAGCCTGTCACCAGCCGGGCCAGTGACAACCTGTCGAGATTCCAGGATTACGCTGCATAAGCTACCTTCCTGTTATCCCACTACCAACCTGCAAACCGCCTGAGGCCCTTGACCACACCTCCCTCCTCTACACCCCCAATCTGCAGCATGCCGTCCATCTCGGCGCGCAGCAGGTCGACTTGGGTCTGCAGGACCGACAGCGCACAACCCTGGTACACGACGACCGCGAGCAAGAGGGCGACAAGGGCGTTGAGCGAGATCCGGGCTGTGAGCTGCCAGAAGCTGAGGGAGAGGTAGTAGCCGATCACGGGGCTGAGGATCATGCTGGCAATGCCGAGAACGAGGGCGGGGACGGCGCGCAAAGGGTCCGACTCGAGCAGCGGGTGGGCCCATGAGACAAGGAGGAAACCAGTGCCCAGCGAGGCAAAGGCCAAAAGGAAGAAGGGGAAGACGGAGGACAGGTCGAGCGTTGTCGACGCGTCGTCGGCGTCTGGGTCGTGCGAGTGGTGCGAGTGGCCCGAGTGGCTCGAGTGTTCCGAGTCCTTGTCGGAAATGGCAGGAGACGATGCGCGCGACGAAGGGGCAGCCGAGGCCTTGCGGGTTCCTTTGGACTTGAGCATAGTTGTGTGTGCGTTGATGGTGTTGTCGTTGGCTGAAAGACGTCAAGAAAACCAGTTGGGCACCGTGGATGGGACGATCTAGCGCTGGTGTGCAGAGAGGGTGGATCCATGTCTGGTGTCGTCATCGGTCACGTGGTTTTATTAACGTACCCCCCTTGAGACAATTTATAATGGGACATTAGAAATAAACAACTGGAGGTGCGAGTCAGTATATTTTTATTAGAATTAAATAGAATTTACTCGACTTTCGATCTGCATGTGTGGCTCGTCGATCGTTGCGTCCGGTGTCGTGTTGATCTCATGCCAGACTGCTGAGACATCGTGAGACATTGTTTGAGTCGGTGAGACCTCAGTTAAGACATGCCTAAAAGGCACATACACGGCTACAGCAGCTCACATTTGGGTCGGCTCTGGGCGGTTACCAAATGGTCGGCGTTGATCCGCTCCCAGACCGACCACAAGCTCTGTGCTGTGTTCCGTGAGCAATGCGAAACGTATGGTCCAAGTGCCGGTCGTCTGGGGTAGCAGCTCGGGGCCCAAGTTGCTAATGTACACCCCCTCCGCTGCAGGCTGGCTGCAGGCTGGATGCAGGTTCAAAGGCAAAGAGGTTACCGCCCGCGGGGGGAGAAAGAGGAACGAGGGGAGTGCGTGCGTGTGCGGGGCTACGCCATTCCGCACCTGAAAGAGGCTGGCGGTAATCGAACGGACATCGAGATGGCATGCGACAAACAAACAAACAACGTCTCACACACGAGGTCTACACAAGTGCTGCCGAGGCGTCATCTAAGCTTATATGGTATCGGATATCGTCGAGGTTCTGTGGGTGTACACGTCTGTATCCCAGCTATCGCAACGTCTACATACACCCGGGCGGTGCGCCACACACGGCCACGTTTGTAACCTCACACGACGGTTCCCATGTACCCAATCGACAAGGACGTTCTTTCCTATCCAATGCCGCCGAGCCCCGCTTCATCCCGCCGCGACCGGACAATGATGGCCCTGGACCCCATCTCGGGATCCTGGGTGCCCCGAGGTGGGCTTGGGCAGTCGTATCCTCTTTGCACCGTACATGGCCTGGCATTGGTCCTCTAGCCGCCGGCTAACTATTCCAACAGATATCGTTTCTCGACGGGGTTACGGCGGCTAGCCCATTCCAACGTGGGGCCTATCCAATGTTGGGACTTGGCGACCACGTCGCGACGCGCGACTGGCTAACGTTACAGGAGTTGGATTCATTCCCTGCAGATCTCTTGCACGCGGCTGTGCTCTCACCAACCCCTAGCAAGCAGCCCAATTAACAATTGCCACTACCCGGGGCCACTAGAGAATGTGTTCGCAGTCGTCCCCCTTTCGGCACCTTTTTTTACACTTTTTTGTTACTTGTTCGAGCCTTTCTTTACAATTCCCCTGACAACGTACAAGGGCTGGACAGCCTGAACAAGGACCATGGATTCCTCTGATCCTGTGGTGGGCAGTGTTGCTTTCACTCTTGAGAGCCTTGGGTTGTCCGGCCTCCATGCCGGCTGTAGCCGCCCCAACCCCGCACAGGACCCAACAGACCCCTTTCTCCGCAAGTTGAGATCCGAGCCCGTGTTCCAGGGTGCCAGGGAATGGATATAGCATGCTACAAGCTGCAAGCGAGAGGGCCGTTTTTTGTGCAGAATTCCGCGCTTGGCAAGACACACGACGGCCTGGACAGCAGAGAGGAGATCAGACAGGACGCCATCCGGTGTGGTGGCTGATGCGGGTTGTAAATGGTGCGCGCCAAGCCCCCGCATCGACAGCGCAATTTTTTTTGTTCCAATTTGCCGGATCACGTGTGGCATGTGTGGTGTACCAGGTCGGCCATGTCGGCATGGAGAAAACTGGATGGGGGTGACTGCTGTTGGCCGCTGACCAGCTGCCAGCTGGCACGCGACTCGTTGACAGCACAGGTGCACGACGACGCTGCGACCTGACATGATTAGGGCCAGGCCCTATAGCATGTACGCGATACGATGACAGCGAGAGAGAGAGTGCAGACGAAGCAAGCGCCAGCACAAGAGGGGTTTGATGGCTAGGGACGACATATTCCAAGTGGCAGTCAGCTGGCCTCGTCGCCAACTTGCCCGGCTGTAGACGAGAGGCCCGGAGTTGCCGCGTATCCGGCAAGAGGGAGCCAACAAAGGCATTCGTACCCTAGATTGTCCGCATCCAGCCGCCCACTCTGTCATCCGCTCTGGCCGCGCTCGGTTAACCCACCTTTGCTGTCCCAAAGTTTGCCCGGTGACCGGCCCCACCCCACGCTCATGACCTCATTGTGCGACCACCCCCTGCTGCAGCTCCTGCAGGCTGCAGGCTCCGCGACAATGGGCCAACCACCTGAGCCAGCTTGCCTCGGATCACGAACACGGCGGCTAGCCGCGGCGGTGGCCCGCTGTCGCAAGCCCCGCAACTGCTGGCTGGTCAGGACGACTCGTACTTTGCGGGGTTGCGGTTGAAAAGGAGCTCCTCTTTCGTGTAGCTCCACTTCTCTCCCATCGTCAACCAAACCACTTTCCCCTCGTCATGTCGTACCACACCGCCAACGAGAAGGCGAACGCTGAGGAGCACTACAAGAACGAGTACAACAGTGACCTCGACAATGGCGTCAGCGGCGTGAACGGCGAGCACGGTGCCGTCCACAGCCACGACGTTCCAACCGGCACCCACGCCCGCAAGCCCAACGACTATGCTGTTGAGATTGCTCCTGCTGGCGGCTCAAGAATGGTTCAAGATGCTGTGTTCGGTGACATGGGCGGCGAGGGCCCCAACTTCCGTGCCGTGAGTGGTTTTGAGGAAATGTGTCGAGCAACACCTCGCTCGCACCTTCCGGAAAAGCTTGTGCTGACAATGTGTTTAGGTCGGCCCCATGGGTGCTTTCGTCCTCATGACCAAGGCCAACATTGGTCTTGGTGTGCTGTCGATCCCTTTCGTCTTCATGCAGGTCGGCATGGTTCCCGGTATTATTCTTCTCCTGGTTATCAACTTGATCACCATGTGTGAGTACTAACCGCCCTGCCTGTTTGTTTGTACCCGGGGCGCTGACCGTGATTCCAGACTGTGCCCTCATCATTGGTGACTTCAAGATGAACCACCCCGAGGTGTACGCTATTGCCGACGCTGGCTTCATTGTCGGTGGCCGCATTGGTCGCGAGTACTTCGGCATCGCCTTCGTTCTCTGTGAGTAAAGGTTTCTGCCCCACTAGTTAAAAACGAAAAACTGCCCACGGCCGTGGTGATCGTTGGTGGCTGGCCCGTGCATTGGCTGACGTTTTCTCTTTAGTCATGATCTTCGTGTCTGCATCGGCCATTCTTGCCATTGCCACTGCTCTCAACGCCATCTCGTCGACCGAGACCCACCACGGTCTCTGCACCGCCGCGTTCATTGCCATCGCCGCTGTCTGCGGTTGGCTGCTCGCCTCGATCCGTACCCTTGGCAAGATTGCCTGGCTCGGATGGGTCGGTCTTGTTTCCATCATGGCCGCCATTCTCACCCTCACCATCGCTGTCGGTGTCCAGGACCGCCCCGACCTCGCCAAGCAGCTGTACCCCACCGGCCCCTGGCCCAAGGACCTCAAGATTGTCAACAACCCCGCTTTCTCGGTCGCCATGAGCGCCATCAACTCGATTGTGTTTGCCTTCGCCGCTACCCCTACCTACTTTGGTATCATTTCCGAGATGCGTGACCCGCGTGCGTACAAGAAGTCCATGGTCTTGTCGATGGCCCTCCTCTACATTGTCTACGTCGTCATCGGCGTTGTCGTCTACTACTTCTGCGGCCAGTACGTTTCCTCGCCCGCCCTCGGCTCGGCTGGTGCCCTCATGAAGAAGGTCTGCTACGGTATCGCCATCCCTGCCCTTCTCGTCACCCTTTGCATCTACGCGCACCTTGCCTCCAAGTACTTCTTCGTCCGCATCCTCCACGGCACCAAGCACCTTACTGCCAACACCAAGACCCACTGGATCACTTGGCTCAGCTGTGTTACCGTCTCGATCCTCGTCGCCTACATCATTGGCAGTGCCATTCCCATTTTCGGCAACCTCATCTCCCTCGTCGGTGCCGTCATTGGCCCCTCGGTCGTCATCATCCCCTACACCCTCATGTGGTACCACGACAACTGGAAGCTCCGTCTTAACGGCCGCCGCAACGTTCTCATGCTTGCCTTCAACATCCTCCTCTTCTGCATCGGCGTCTTCATAACCGGTGCCGGCACCTACGGCGCTGTTGAGGCCATCATCGACGACCCCAGCCGTACCACTCCTTGGAGCTGCGCGGACAACTCGAACACCTACAACGCTACCGCTGCTTCCATCTCCGCCGCCGCCGCCGCTGCTGCCAAGACTGCTACGGCTACCGTCGCAGCTGCCGCCGCTGCCCTTACAGCATAAGTGTAAAAGTACAAATCAATCAGTGCAAATCACAAAAACTATTTTAGCAGGGGGAAGGGGGAGGGGTAGCATCTTGTTAGGCGTTGTACACACACAGCGCGCATGTCGTATGGATAATACTTTTGCCGTTTAGCAACCACGGAGCAACGTTGTAGATGGATTGCTTTGTCACATTGTGTACTAACAGACGCCTGTGGTCCTGTGAACAGCTCCAGGAGTCGAGTCGCGGTTCCGGATCGGTGGGCAAAGAGTACATCTATCGGCCGACCAGGCCGGTGGGCGTTGCTCTGTAAGTCAAAAAGCGCGATGCCTGGTTACAAACCCAGCCAGATGTTGCCCCAGAGCCTTCCTCGCAGTCCCATGGGGCACCTTGCACCTTGGGAGCCAGGATGTTGCGGTTAGCAACGGTGGTGGTCGGTTCGGAACATGGACATGTGATGTTGCGAGCTAAGCGCGCCCTGGCGAGCGATGTGGCGGCAACTTTCGGCTGTCGATAGCGGCAGCTACCGCGGCTGCTGCAAGAAAAGGCCCTTCCAGACATTCCACAGCGACATTACCTCATCAGTAATGTTGTCGGCTGCGATGCTTGGCGACAACCTTGGTTCTTCCGTTATTCCAATATGACAGTTCAGTTGAACCTTCATTTGGTGTGTTGGATATGAACGACGAGTACCGAGGCTGGGATAACCTAAAGGGGTGAGGCGGTTACAAAGCGGATCTTTTCCTAGTGGAACTAAGGGCGGCAACCGAGCCATTAGCGATTAGCGATTGCGCTTACTATCTGTAAGTACTGGAACCTGATGCCAGATAGACAGACCCCTATCGCACGCGCCACAGCACCGAGTCGCCTTCTCCCGATCCTTGCTTTCCCTCTTCACAGACCACGCCATAGTGAGCTTCAGTGACGGACGCAGCGGTCGGGGATACCGTCCAAAGCGGGGAGTGGCACCAGTCGACAGCCTCACTCCTTGCCACACCTCTTTCCCGATATGGACCGGATATTAGATTTGGGATGTCGCTTATGGAGGCTCACGAGACGATAATCAGCTAAATCGCTATCGCATGATAACTGCCTATCGCGGTGCATGGTCCGAGTGAAAATCCAGCTTAATTGCCGATACTCTGGCCGTGACCGACAATCATGCGGCTACCTGCGCCCAAGCCAGGGCCAGCAACATTGCAGGACGCTCACCAATGGACATTATCACAAGCTGAGTGGAATATTGATACAACACCCAGTAGGCCGTGTTTGCCGAATGTTCGGCGACAGACAAGATTGGGAGCGCCCGCGCCACCCTCGGCGTCCTACTTCTCCCAGCGCCCTGTCCCATGGTGAGGAAACCGATTATCGCATCCTGGTATGCTGTCTAAATAAACTGTACAATGTCTTGTGGGGAACCCCAGGAAGGCGTGCGTGCTGGGCTGAACATTTTGCACCATTTCAGGTTCTTGTGCAGCTCCCCCTGTCACGGTCCTCGCCACTGTCGCACTCGCCAACGCCAACGCGCTCAGTCGATAGCGCTGGTTGGAAGGGCGTCGCGGCACCTGTGCTGGCGGTTTGAGGTACTCAACATGGCGAGGTGCGATCCGCAGCAGTCTGGGGCGTTTGCTATGGGTTTGGCCATCCACTGTTGACGTCTAGCTCGAGATGTCCTCCTGGTGTCGTCTAGCACGGAATGTCCTTCTCGTTTGCGTCACCCTCGTAATCCTCCATTCCGGCGGTGTCCATTCCTCGCACTTGGCGCTGCACACGCTCTTCGTCCATGGCCTCGCGTTCCTGGTGCATCAGGAGGCGGCTGTACTTGCTGCGAGCGCGGATCTTGGGGCCGTAAATGTACGCTCCAAAGGGGACGAGAGCGAGAACGGATGCGATGCCGCCCATCATGACAATGGCCCAGCGCACAGTCATGCCCTCGAACATGGACGTTGTGGCAAAGCCAATGCAGCCTCCAACGAGATTACGCGAGCATGACTGGCCTGCAATGGCCGAGCTGGCGTAGATGCCGTAGCACTCGGAGATGTACGTGAAAGCAGTGACGTAGATGGTCATGATCGCCGCTGAATCTGTCAGTACGACATGGTGATAACCTCAAGGCAAAGGTACCCACCGATCATGACGACTTGCCCAATGGCCGATGCGATCCAGGGGACACCGGGGATTGCGGTAAAGCCAGTGATAAAGCACCCAATGGCAAAGAGCACACCACCAAACATGGGGGCATAGAGACGAGCCTCGACACCCTTTGTGGGCGCCATTCGGCGGTAGAGACGATCCTGGATCAAGCCGCCCATGATACCGAACAATGCGCCGACGCTGTTTGTGGTCAGCCCCGAATTTCTGCCTGTTTTGCGACAACTTACGAGGTGGTCAGGTACATGAGACCAACTCCTTCCGTGTCGAAGCCGTAAATGTTGCGCATCATGTATGGGAGGCCCGCCAGCTGGACGTACATGACGCTCCATGCCAAACCGACCCAGAGAGCAAAGAAGACGCACAGCGGCTCGGTGGTGAGGAAGACGAGTGGTCGCACTAGGCTCGTCCTGAGCGCCGTAATGAGCTTGACCTTTTCCATCTCGGCGTGCGTGAGGTACCTCCCGCCGTCCTCGAGCCCGCGCTGCTTGCGCAACTTGGCTGCCCAGCGGCGGAGAATGACGACAGACCGCGTTTCAGGCATCATGAAGATGAACATGGGGACTGTGGCGCCAATGTAGATGACGTGGATCCACCAAACCCATCGCCATCCGAGATGGGTTGTGACGTATGCAAAGGCTGTTCCACCGAGACCTGTGCTAAAGTAGACGCAGAACCCGGAGAGCAGCATGGGGAATCCTCGGTGAGCTGGGGTATAGATGTCTGAGAGACTGCCAGCTGCAATTCCCGAGCCGATAGAACCAGCCATGCCGGTAACGAAACGAGAGACGAGCACAGTTGCAGTGTTCTGTGCCCTGTTACCTGTCAGTAAAAAAGCCCCAGAAGATACAATGTATCTTTGAACCTACACTGCGTTGACGAGATGGAAGACCCAGAACAATGCCAAACCAAACAGGTACACTGGACGGCGGCCAAGCTCCTCAGAGATGGGAGCAATGCACAGCGGCATCAGGCCTGCCGCCCACGCATAGAGCGCCACACCAGCCTCGGCTTCCAGGGAGTTACAGCCAAATTCGTCGCACATGGCGGACGCTGAGATGGAATAGGCGGACGTTGTGAACGCTGGGCCGCCCGTCAGCCATGTGCATTTGACTCCAATTTTCCGACCTGTTCTCACCGGACATCCACGTAAATATCAAAACGCATACTGTGATCGCAAGCTTTCGGCGAGAGGAGAAGAATAATGGGTTTTGGGGGGATGCGGGGGGAAAGTCGACCCAAATCACGCGCTCGTCTGCCACGCCAGCTTCTTTACTTGGAATGTAGCCATACGAGCAGCCGTCGGGCAGGGAAGTCGGTGTCAGGGTGGCCTGACTGGTGTGTTGGCTAATGGTCTTGAGATCTCCATCTTCAGCGGTCATCGTCCGGAGGTAGTGTTCTAGGTCAATGATATGATGGTGAGGGTGAACAGCATGCAAGAAGAGACCTGAAGGGGACATGTTATACGCTCTTGGTCCAATGCAGGTTCTTCAGGTGAGAGGGGGGGTGGACCGTGGCCCGCGGCCAACTTCAGAAACGAAGCAACAGTGCCGTACCGTAGCGAAGCTTGCCGGTTGGCCGACGCTCAATAAAAGGGACTGCCACCGGAGTTGGGCGGGATTAAATACACCCCCCGTTTTACGTTACGAGCCCACGCGCTCGTCGGCCACTCCGCTTTTGCCGGCACCTCCGCTCACCATGTCGATGAGGTCATTTTGGGTTCGACACGCGACTGCTCTTGTGATGTGCGCGGCGGCTGATAAGCACGCGATTCATGGATGCCAGGAGGGAAGGTACGGCTTCAGGACCTTCACCAGCAAAAGGAAAATTGAAGAAGACTTTCCGAAGAGCGGTCTCTCGGGATACGAGGACCACCTCGACGTCTGAGGGCCATCAGAGGCACTGGAGACATTCGGATATTCATGATCAGTAGTACAGTCCGTTGAAGGGCCGCCAAGGGGGATGGATACCTTTGCTTCAACGATGGCCATAGCAACCGACGTGGCAGTGGGGACTAGAGGACAGATATAGGATTGAATGCGGTTTGAGTCCCAATGCAGTGGCATTGTCCAGAACCGTCGGACTCACGCCTTCATGTTGAATGCCTTGCCCAATGCAACCTTCTTGGGTGGTGCGAACTTTGGCTCACGCGGAGCCGGTCGGCTATGTCCCCGAAAACCACACTGATCACGGCAGCTGGAGGGCCCAAGGAGATGGCGTCGCCTAGGTGCGGGCCGAAGACGGCGCACGTGCATTGAAGACGATGGGTGTTGGTGCGGGGAGTCCGCCGTGCCCCGACCAGGACGAAGGGAGCGGCGGTCCCGTGGTTATGCCATGGTCTCTAGCGCATACTGCCCCTCGCCGACCTCGGCCCGATATTCTTCCGGAGTCAATACCTGCACGACGTCGGGATGCTCCTTGCATAGGCTGGCCAGGTCTTCAACGAACGCAGTCACCCTCGTGTCGAGTGTGTGGTCATCGGATTGGATGAGCGACAGGTTGACCAGGCAGTCGACAAGGCAGGGAAGACCAACCAGGATAAACTTCTTGAGCGATGGACGCTGGCAGTAATGTCTGGCGGTCGTGACGAGCAAAGCGAACAGTTGCATGCGGCCTAGGAAGTGTGAGTCGACCTCCTCCTTGCGCGAAGCCCCTGGTATCTCGGTGAAGATGAACACAACGTGCTCAAGCGAGCTGTTGGGAGGCGAATAGAATACCGAGCTTTGATTGTTCGACAGGCGTACGTCAGAGTAGCTGCCTCCCGTGTGAATGACCACCACGAGTTTGGTCAGACCGTTGCGGAATGGGGTCTTCCTCCTGTCCGAAAAGTGTAGCTCGTTGCCATACGTGTTTAGCGAGACGATGTAGGTAGGGGTGTGGAAGGGAAGAAGCTGAGGCCCGCCCATCGGTGGATGCTGGTAGTCGACCACTCGGACAACTTTGAGGTCTGTGAGCGTGCTGGCGAGGGAGCCAAGGTTGGTCTGGATCGCATCGCCATCGAGGTCCAGAAGGCGAGTCGTGGCAACAAGGTCCTCTACTAGCGATGGGGTTTGCGGGTAGAGAACTGTGCTGCCGTCTCGGAATCCTAGTTCATACGTGTTGAACCTCTTCTTGGCAAGCACCATGTGACATCCTTGCTTCTTGAGGATCCGATATACCTCGCTTTCGTTCTCGCGCGACGTGCACCGGTACGAAATGAGAGCGCGGAGTGAGGCACTTGTGAGGATCTTCTCGATAAGATGCGGGTACCAGGCGGCGTCGATGCAGGTGGTATTGTCGTGACGGAGTACCATGAGTGTGCGTGTAGGGGGGTGGGAATAGGTGATGAGAGAATCAAGAACAGAGAAGAAGCTGATGGCCATGATGTGTCGTCATGGTGAACGCCAGGGGAGACGCCACCGTGTCACGGACCCTCGGCAGGCATCCGAGTTGCCGGCGGCAGCGTGAGGGTTTCACGGCTCTGGTGATTGCGGCCCCGCCGCAGCTATATTTGCAGCAACCACCTCGTGTACTTCTGCGAGACGGTCCTGTATAGCCTCCGAGACAGGCACCAAGGGTGGAAGCACATGCAGGTCGGGAGCGTCGGCCATTGTTTCGAGGGCAAACTGCCCCTCTCCAACTATGTCGCGGAACTGGTTTAGGCGGCAATACTCGTATTCCCCAGAGTATGGAGGGGGATATGCCGCGATTCTGTTGCGGATCACCGTCTCCATTCTCTCGTGTTCTCCGCCATCACTATCTTGAAGGTGCGAATGTGTCAAGTAGCCGCAGTCGACGATCCAAAACTTTGCAGAGTTCCAGAACATGGCCTCGACGATGTCATCTTGTACAGCAAAGCGCACAATGTCGACCATGTCTTCCTCAGTGTCGCCATCAAACCATTCGGGTAATTCCGTTGCAGGAACTACGTCTTCCTTGTTGAAGATCACCACATTGTCCATTTCGTAGTGCTCCAGCAGAAGACAACGGGCGTTGAGGTTGGATGTGGACGGAGGTTTGCCATACCTCTCGCTCGTGGTAATGTTTAGTACCAGTCGCAAAGCACATGTGAGAATGGGGTCTAGGGAACCAACTAATCCAAACGCCGCGTCATCCATGCGAGGGTACGCCTTCATGGATACGACCCATGTCGGTGCGTTGAACGGCACTCGACCGTACGAATGTTGAAAGTTGAAGATTCGTACCATTTTGAGCTTGGTGAGCCTTGAACCTAGTAGATCGAGGTTGTGCGAGGGAGTAAAGGAGCCGTCGTAATTCTCGTTCGAGGCGCTGAGCACGTCACCCCTCACATCCACGATCTGGGTGCAGGAGGCGAGGAGTTCCGTCACCACCGGGTCCTTGGGAACAATGGCGACGTCGCCGTCCCGAAAGCTGATCTGGAGCCGGCCTGACATGTCAAGCTTGAGAACCATGTGACATGGATGGCGGTCACGACGAAGGTACAAGTCGATCTGGGACCGGCAGGACAGCGACGTGCTCCGATAGGCGAGTAGTGCCCGAAGTGAAGCGGCTTTCAAGATAAGGTCGATGAGGTGCGGGTGGCCGGCCGCATCGATGGAAACCCTGGGAAGGAGGGGGTTGAGAATGCCATGGTGGATAGGAACGCTCTCTAGCCAGCCAGTCTGATGGCTATCGTTGATGGAAGGCGGACGGGAGGCGCGGAAGGTGGAATGGACAACGACAAGAGCGTTCGACCCGCGCCTACCAATGACATCATTTTTAAAGTGGAGGGGGAATGGAATTCCGTGCGCCAAACACGGCAACCGTTTCGACAACAACAACCCGCATGCCGTTCTTGTTCTCATGTTCTTCCAACTACACATTCACCCATGCCCGTCGACATGGAGTCACAGTCGCAGCTGCGACAGCGGCAGCCCTACTCTGACTCTCCAAATAGAAACGGGGCCGGCGACGGCGACAGCGCGGCGTCGCAGGTGCCCCCTCCAGCTCCCGATCCAGTTCCGAGAGCCCCCGCGTTCGCCGGCCGCGTGGGTGAGTTGACAAGCACGTATTCCAAAGCTAACGTACCAGGCGCAAACCTGGCGTTCACAGACAGGAATGAGGTGGATCAGAACCCGGACGCTGCCCAGATGCAAACTCTGGGACAGGTATTGGATGTCCATGGGTTCCGACGACCAATCTACCTCCGCGCTGCTGCTATTGAATGCTGGGGTGGGACTTGTTCAACAAGACACGACTGACGTCCTACAGGGACCTTCCTGCAAGTCTTCCTCGCTGGTTATATCGACACGGCTTTCGGCACGTTCACCACCTCCACATCTCTTGCCATTAACATTACGCATTCTCTAACCACGGCACTGATCATCAGCCTGTTCATCTACTCAACGGGTATACCTACCGGCGGTCATATGAACCCGTTTATTACCATGGCGACGTTTATGACCGGTCTGTGCACCCTCCCTCGCGCACTGTACTACATCGTCGGTCAACTCATCGGTGCTCTTGCCGGCGGCTTCTTCCTCAAATTAGGGCTTGGGGGTAGCAAGTACTTTTTCCCTGACGTGAGATCAACCATCTGCTCCAGCGCTGCGACGGATGGGAGGGTGACAACTTGTGCCAGGTGGGCCCCGCCTTGACTGCTGGGTCACTCTCCCGCCGTTCATCCTATCGTTGGGGTGATAAATGTGCTCGCTGACATGCACTAGGGCATTGTCGGAGGTTGCACGATGGACTTCTCCCAGATCTCGCCCGGTGAAGCCTTTGTGCTCGAATTTGGCGTCTACTCCATCGTCGTCTTTGTCGCATTTGGCGTGGGCCTAGAACCAAGACAGGGTAAGACGCTGGGCCCCGCTCTGTCTCCCATTCTCGTCGGCGTCACCGTTGGCTTGGCAACGTTTGGTACGGGGTCGGTCCATCCGGGCTGGAGCGGAGCATGTAAGTTGGTTGCCACGGAGCACGTCAACAAGGAACTTCGTTAACAGAGTGTAGCGGTTAACCCTGCTCGCTGCTTTGGACTCATGGCCGCTAGCGAGCGGCTGAGTACCAGTTGGATCCATTGGCTCGCGGCCCTTACTGCCTCGGCCATCCACGGGGTTATCCATTACTTCTTCCCACCAGACATGAATGAGCGATGGGGATAAGGGGGAGACGCAAAAAGAAATAGTCATGTCTGTGGACTGAGTCGCCCAGTGGCCGCTGTGTGCGTTTTATTCATGTATTAGGAATCTCCTGGGTTATCAGCTCAAGGCTGAAGGTGCGCGCACGAGTATCACCTTGGAAATGCGGCCAGATGTGCATGGAGAAGAAGAAACCGCGGACGTCGAGTGCAGCACTGAACTGGGTTTTGCAAAACGCCAGGAGGCCAGGAGTGACGTTAATGTGGCGACTCTCCTTCATTGCCCTCGGCTGATTGACGATGTGTGGGTGTCCAGAACGGGTTTCTCGGCTCTGCCGTCCATGCATTGAGCAACCGAGTTTGTCTTGTCTCTGATATCTGACCTGGTGACAAAGTATTCTGGTCCAATATTGAGACACGGGGACTCGGGAATCTTCAACATGTGCCAAGGGTTTCAAGCGCCCGGCGACAACTGCCTGTTTCTCATCCACAGCCAGAGAGGGCTCTACCAAGCTCTACAAAAGGCCAGAGCAGTTCATATTCAGCGGTACGGCGAGTAAATTGTGAGGTGGCAACGGGAAGGAAGAAGGAATGACACACCGGGAAGCTGGTGGCCGTGCAGGCTGTACGATCATGCGACCTCAATGTTGTTGTTGTTGTTGTTCGAATACACATTACGTAAGAGAAGATGACTCACCTCGACCACAACCGCATCCACCCACATCCACTCTTCCCCTCGTCCTCTCCATCCATCACGCCGGTCAGCAGCCCGACGTATCGACGTAGCGACGTCGCCAGCAATGCCCAGGGCGGCCAAGACCCCTTCCGGATTCAACCGCCGAGCTCCCGTCAGGCCATCGCCGCTGCCTACCTCCCCGGCCAGTCCGCCACAGCGTACCGCTCCCACCTGGATCCGAAACGACTGGTCCCAAACGTCGTTCGGCATCCCTTCATTTGCAGCGCACTCGAGCCCATGCTCACAAGTCTCGTGGGCGGCGAGAAACGCATCCGTCACCATCCACGACGTCTACACCCATCACGCCGGCCGCTGGGACTCAGTCAAGGACAAGGCCATGTGTGTCTATCTGGCCATATGTGACGTGGTCATCCAAAAGTAGGCTCCCTCTCTCTCGTTTTCCTCCCCGTGTGCCACATAGGTTGACACTATCTGCAGAAGCGACAAAGCCACGGAAGCGTGCGCCGGCGCGCCCCTCCCCACGTACACCGCTTGGCGCGCCGCCCGCGAGGCCGACATCCGTCACACGTATGACCTCGCGATGTGCGACTTTGGCGACGACATTGCGCTCGACCGCGGGGCCGCGGACGACGTATGCCTAAGCGCACTCCAGGCCCTCTTCACTGTCCACTACAACGCCAGGGATGCGCCGCCACCCGACGAGCAAGTGATCCCACTGCGTCTTGCCACGTTTGGCGAATTCCTCCCCCGTCCCACCGACATTGAGCGGCACGGCCTTGTCGTCTGGTCCACGTCGGTGGGCGAGGACACCGACGAGGGCGGCGTGAATGCTGAGCTGCAAGCTTGGAAGGCGCAGCACGGCTCGCTCGATACCATGTGGGCTGCCACGGCGACGCTGACGGGGCTGCCCTCCTTGCCGCCCGGACACCGCCTCTCGACGCTCCCGCAGAACGTGGCCGGCTGGACTGTTCACTGTCCCGGGGACGATGTCATCCCACCCGGCCCTGTGCCATCGCTGGCCGAGCTGTGCACGCCGACCCGCTTTCGTTGAGCAGACTAACAGCCGCAACCTCCCCCGCCACGTCTTTTGTTTTCTCTTCATTTTCCGCATTGTCCCTGTATCCACCCCCGTGAACTGTAGTTTAGAATACCGCTGCCTTTACACTTTCCATTCCTGCCAGCCGCGGTTCAAACCGCTCAAGACTCGACGTTGCTGGCATCAGGGCTCGGTACACTTATGATAAACTGACACAGCGTTGGAAGTCTTTCCTCATTTCCAGCGGCACCCTGTAGCGCAAGCATGACCAAGCGAAGCCAGATCGGCGGACCGGCACGGTCACGCCCCAAGTGGCTGTGCGTCTAAGATGCTGGCTGTGAGCAGGCCGAAGGCAACAAATGTCCTCGAAGGGACCCGTCGAACCCAGACGCCGCCACACCACCCCCGTTGTTGGTCAGACTCTATGCAAGGACCCCTGTGTCTTGACGACCTCGCTCAGTGATCAGTGATCGCGCGCCTGTCCGCTTGAAATGAAGCCGAAAACGAGTGGTGAGCGGGCAGTGTAGGGGGGTAACCTGCTGATGAAGCAATCCTCGTCAACTCACGCGAAGACGACCCTCATTGTTATTTCTGCCCGCAACAAGTTGCCGTGCCCACGTCTCCCCAGACGGGCCCTGCACTTACTAACGCCTGACTGTAAGCTAGCAAGCAGCCCGACACACTCCTCCGCCACCTCAAGTATGTGTCAGAGCAACGCAGCAATGCAGCTGCCACGGTAGCCAATAGCCAAGGAGCGGCATATGAGCACGGTAAATCCGAGGTTGTCACCGACTGCGCAGGGAAATGTTGAACGTGCCCGACTTCGCTTGGAGTGATGAGAGGGAGGGACTCTTTTCAAAGATGTGGGGTAGGTGACAATTGGATGTGGGAGACCTCCGGGCTCCACGATGGTCCTTCAGCCACAGCAATGATGGCACCCTCTCAAGACACACGAATGCCACTTCGGACGCGTCCGGGGGACGTGTTTTGTCGTGGGGTAACTGATCGACTGAGAGCTTATCTCTGTGGTGGGCGGGCCGGGTTGCAAATGAACCAAAGAGACACTCCAGGTTCACGGAGTTCTTTTCGATTTTGGGTCGGGCTGTTTAGCTGTTTATTTCGATTTCTTCGCAAGATCTCCAGAACTCTTATGTTTTTCCTTGCCTATGCCCCGCAACCCCGGAAGCCCCCGCACAGATGGCAAGATCTCCCTCTTTTGCCGCTGCTAACCGTTCGGTGATGTCGGCAGACGCTTAGGTCGCTTGGGTCGCTGTCCGACATAGTCCGAGTGAGAATGGCCGCCCCCCAAAACCCACCTTCAGTAGTGCATCCACCGGCGGGAGGGCCGAATGCCGGATATGCCGCGCACGGAAATCCAATGCCACTTCGTTGATGGACGCTCACGCACCAGCGCTTCCCCCCAGCTCCTGCTCTCACTCTGCTTGACTGGGAGATACTCTAGGTGTAATCCCTCCACGAATATATGCGCTGCCATGTTTCTTCGTGCAGAGAGCATGACTGTATGGACAATTCCAATTCGCCCGCCTGCGGACAAGGCGAATGGGCAGCTGGTCGTGACCATCATTCGGATGTCGCCTGCCGTTTCCTGACAGCGTTCCACTGGGCAAACAAGGCACCTGGGACCATGTGGCCCATGTGATACGTTGTGCCGTTCTACCGCTGGCTGCAGTTATCTCTGTCCGCCCTGCCACCGCAGGGCCACGCCACAAAGTGCGTACCCCCTGACAATGGACGCCTGAGGCTGCCAATTTGGGAACTGCCAAGCGACACCACGGCAACTACCAGCGCTTTTCATTCGTTCAACGGCAACTTTTGGTGCGAACTACCACCCATGCGGACGTGCCTGTCGGGCAAGCTAACGTTATGTCCAACCAGTTTTAGTCCGTCCGTCTTGCCATCGTGCCCGCGGCCCAAACAGCAGCGTGGAGCCCATGGTCCCCCATCGCACACTTTGCCCCTGTGCAGCTTGGATAGGGAAGTCGTCATGGTTCGAAAAAAAAACCCACATCGTCGCTTACGCGGAACGAATCAAAGGTCCGTTTGCCAATGTCAGTCTCGTCTTTCCAAGACCTCCACGGGGACCCTCGGACTCACGAGTCAACCACAACAGGGAGCGGCAAGTGGCTGTAGCCCCGTTGATTGCCGCAACATGCCCAGGGGGCACCCCGCGCAGTGCAGGAAAACAAGGTCCAGGATCCAGATCGTACGCTGGGAACAGAGCACGAATGAGCGGCGGGACAAGGTGACTCCGCACTGGCAACTGGCCGAACGACGGTTGGGAATAGTGGAGCATTTTCTCAGCGACTATAGTCCGAGTCGGGCAAGTGCGATGCGCTCCAAACGAGTATAAAGAGGCGAGGTGGAGCTGTTGTTAGGACCGACACTCACACGCCACTGCATCGACATACAACCATGAGCACCGCAGCACCATACGCGGAGTCTACAGAGGAGAAGGCCACCCACCTCTCGGAGGTTGAGACCGACGGTGACAGGGCCGGCACTTCAATTGCTGCCCAGCTCAAGACATGGCACCCTAGCCGTGGCCACAAGAGCATCGCCGCCTCCCTCTTCCCCACCTTCTCGTTCGACAAGGGCATCGACCCCACCACTGGTGGTCCCCTCACTAAGAACCCCATCAAGCTCCTCCGTGGCATGAGCCCCATGGGCTGGGCCATGTTCTTTTCGGGTTGGTTCTGCTGGACCTGTGACGGGTGAGTCTTACTAAGCACATTGTGCTGCTTCCATAACACTACTGACATTGCCCAGTTACGACTACTTTGCCGTGTCGCTCACGACCAAGGAGCTCGCCGCCCAGTTCGGCAAGGACACGGCGGACATTACCCTGGCCATCACCCTCACCCTCCTCTTCCGTTCGCTTGGCGCAGTTATCTTTGGTCTCCTTGCCGACCGCTACGGTCGCAAGTGGACTCTGGTCATCAACACCCTCCTCATCTGTGTCTTTGAGCTCGGCTCGGGTTTCGCCAACACCTACGCGCAGTTCCTCGGTATCCGTGCCATGTTCGGTATCGTCATGGGCGGAATTTGGGGACAAGCCGCCGCCACCGGTCTTGAAAACGCCCCCGTCCACATGCGTGGCTTCCTGTCGGGCGTTCTGCAGCAGGGTTACGCCGTCGGATACCTCCTTGCGGCCGTCATCAACCTCACCGTCGTCCAGTACTCGCCCTACACCTGGCGCTCGCTCTACTTCATCGGTGCCGGCTTCTCGCTTGCGGCCGCAATTGTCCGTGCCCTCCTCCCCGAGTCGCAGCAGTTCATCCTTGCTCGCGAGGAGGCCAAGGCTAGCGGTGTGAGCGGCAAGGCGGCCACCAAGGCGTTTGGCCACGAGATCAAGCAGATGCTCAAGACCAACTGGATGCGCTGCATCTGGGCTATCATGATCATGACTGGTTTCAACTTCTTCTCGCACGGCTCGCAGGACCTCTACCCCACCTACCTCCAGACTACCAAGTTCCTCACGGCCAAGCAGGCTTCCAAGGTCACCATCATCTCCAACGTCGGTGCTATTGTCGGCGGTACATTCGGCGGCTACATCAGCCAGTACATGGGACGTCGTGCTGCCATCCTCATGGGTCTCGTTTGGTGAGTGTTGTTTCTTTGTTTTAATTCGAGTTATATTTTCGGATACTCGATCCACCTCCACCTTTCCCATCCGAAACACATTCTGACACCCCCTTTAGGACCGCCTGCTGGATCCCTCTTTGGATCCTCCCCAAGTCGTTTGCTGGCCTCGCTGCGGGCGGATTCTGGCTGCAGAGCGGCGTTCAGGTGAGTAAACACATCTTCCCACATGCAGGTCATCGACTAACATCTGCACAGGGATGCTGGGGTATTGTTCCCATCTACCTCGCCGAGATTTCGCCTCCTGCCTTCCGTGCCTCGTTCGGCGGTCTCGCGTACCAGCTCGGTAACATGGCTTCTGCCGGTTCTGCCCAGATCGAGGCTACTGCCGGCAAGACGCTCAAGCTCAAGGGTATCACCGACAAGACCGGTGCTGCCATCCCCGACTATGCCGCCATCATGGGTATTCTGATCGGCTGCGTTATTGCCTGGATGCTTGTCTGGACCATTCTTGGCCCCGACGCCGACGGATCCCACTTCGAGCAGGCCAAGGTTGCGTTCCAGTCTGGTGCCGGTGAGACCACCACCACTGCCCTCGTCGAGAAGCACGACCGGGAGCACGTCGAGAACCTGCCGGAGGTTCGTCGCAGCACCGACCAGCAGCACACAATTGCTTAGGGAGGGAGGAGAGGAGCCATAAGGCAAAGCCACATGACATGGTGTTATATAAGTTAGTAAAAGTGTATGATGTTAGCCAGGTTTACGCGCAATGCCATGGGCATTAGAGGATCAAGGACGAACGTGTGCATTTCAAAGTCGCAGACGTAGATCGGAGACTGTATGTGCCAGTTTGGAGTATATGTACGAGCCACCCCCTGAGTTCCATTACAAAATAGTATTAATCAGTGAAGTCTAATGTGTTTTGGATGGATTGGTCCCGCGTGTTTCAAAAATGCGCAAAAAGGCTGGTAAATTCGGTTCGGCACGAAGGTATCGTTTGTCCTGCTGCATGTGCCCCCCATGAAGCCACAGGCCACAGCTGGGAAGAGTCTTGTGGAAAGACTACGGGGCACCGTCTGGAAAAAAAAAAGAAAAAGGCAAGCCTGTGAGATGGCAAAACCAATACATCCCATTACTTGAGAGTGCCACTAAAAATCCGCAAATGACTCCCGATACTACTGTCACAAAACCCCCCACTTCTTTCTGTACTGTACTTCTACTTCTTAGATGGCTTCCTTCCTGTCCTCGTGGTGCTCGCTGTGGGGCTTGCCGATCTCACGGTCGTGGAGCTCCTCACCACCCTTGCGGTGGGAGACACCGCCGAAGAGCTCGTCAATGTCCTCGAGGGCAACACCCTTGGTCTCTGGCAGGATGAACCAGACACCGATGGTGAGGACAGCGTTGGTGCCGAAGAAGAAGAAGAAGGTGTAGAAACCACAGTTGTTCATGAAGGTGGGGAAGAACTGGTTGAGGATGGTCGACACGACGTTCTGGACCTGCGAGTTGATACCGATGGCGTGCACACGAACGGACGTCGAGAAGATGTCGGCAGTGTAAATCCAAACAGTGGCTCCCCACGAGGGCTTGTAGAAGAGGATGAAGACAAACATCATGAGCGCAATGGCGATACCAACGGCGTAAGGACGAGTGCCATTGTCATCGAGGGTGGGTGTGGCGATACCGATGATGGCAATGATGAGAAGCGAGAGTGCCTGGCCTGTGCCTCCGATGAGCAGGATGGGCTTGCGGCCAATGCGGTCGACGAGCCAAGTAGCGTTGAGGGTGAAGGGAATGGCAAAGGACGCGCTGAGAGCGTTGATGAGGAACGAAGTGTCCGAGTTGTTGAAGACCTTCTGGTAAATGAGGGTGGTGTAGGACGAGAGGGTGGTGTTACCCGAAAGCTGCTGACCGGCGTTGATGTAGAGAGCGACGAACATGCGGCGACGGAGCGAGGGGTCCTTGAAGAGAGTAATGTAAGGAGCGTACCACGACTGGTTGAAGTCGATCTCAGCCCTCTCGTAGTCGACGGCAGCGATGATCGACTCGAGCTCAATCTCGACCTCGTCGGGATCGCGGGTCAACTCGAGACAGTGGCGGGCCTCGTCAATGCGGCCCTTCTCAACGAGCCAACGAGGCGATTCAGGGCAGAAGAAGAGGCCACCGACGACACAGGCGGGGAGGAAAACCTGGAGCAGAATAGGGGTGCGCCACTGCCACAAACCCATGTCGATCTTGGTCGTCTTACACCCGTAGGCCGTCCAGTATACGATGAACGCGCCAATGGTGTACCAGACCTGCCAGAAACTCAAAATTTTGCCTCTAACGGCAGCGGGTGCGATCTCGCTGATGTAAGTGGGGCCGTTGGGAAGTGCAATTCCTTGGCCAATGCCCATGAGAAGACGACCAGCGATAAAAGAAGGCATATTCTTGGCGAAAACCTGGAGGAAAGTAAAGGCGATAACGATAAGACAACCGAGCTGCATGCACGGCTTGCGACCAAACCTCTTGGACAAGGTAGGCGTGATGAGCATGCCCGAGACGATACCACCACAGGTGTAGGCTGTTGAAAGCGTCAGCAGGTGTTTGCGTTTGCATCGGGGGTTTTCCATCGGGGAAACTGGAAAACTACCGGGGAAACTACTCACCAGTGGAGACGGCACCAAGCATGTTTGCCTCAATCTTGGTCGCCTCGGGAGACGCCTTGAATTCGTCCACAAAGGTCTTGAAGCCCTGGACGCTGGAAAAAGGTTAGCCGGAGGGACAACCGGGGATCGTGCGCTGGCCGCATTCCAACATCGTCGAATTCCAACATGTTGATCAATGCTCCGGGAGCAAATAGCCCATGGACACCATGTAGATGGCCTGCTGCAACACAGCTGAAGCACCATGGGTGGCTGGAATACCACAACGCTGCCTATACTTACGAGTTGAAGGTCGACGAATCGTAGCCGTTGAGCGCCTGGAACGTGTTAGCTGTTTGCCATGTAACCAATTCCTGGTCGTACTCACCATGACCATGGCGGCCACCATGGCACAGGTCCACACCCTAGCGCGCTGCTTGTTCATGCTTGCAGATCCGTGTCGGACTGGGTAGGTAGAGTTGTGAGAAAGCGGGGGGTGAAGATTGCAGAAAACAAGAACCAAAGTGCTCAGATGTTATATCTACTTTGTGCCGCCGAGCCTTTGTGTCCTGACGTGCTGTCCTGAACCTGTGGAGAGAGGGAAACACCGCCAACCATGGTCTTGACGCGCGCCACCAGAGGAGCCGTCCGTCAAGCTTGCGGCGGTCGTCAGCGGTCCGGCGGCGCCGCTGAACGTTCCCCCCTGGGGCCCTAGGTCAGTTTCCACAGTGGCCCCGAGCTCAACCCCGTGTGTGACCCCGGACATTCCCCAACACCCCGGGTACCCCGGCCCGCTCAGCCTCCGTGCAGTGCGAAGCCTCCCGTGGGGTAGGATTATTGGACGGCAGGAGTGTTCTCGGCGGAGTGGCGGTTATAGGAATGGCGGCAGTGTCGATACGGGTCAATGTGCTCGCGTCGTGGGCCAGTTACCCTTCCGGCCTTCCGGTGGGTGTGGCGGAGGATTAAACCTCGCCTCCCGCCGAACCGGCACCGCACGAGATGTGGATATGTGGATCATGTGCTGGGTGCAGCCCCTCCGTTTCCAGGGTCGGAAACTGGCGGCCCGGTGTCCAGACCGAGGTCACTCGTTGGCCAGCGCAGCAGCCGCGAACGGCGCATTTGTCTGGCACAAAAAAAAGTTGGGTGTGGAGCAATAGCCCGTGGACCCTTTTGATTACATTCCCTAACGCGGCAAATACGACACCCGACATTTCATTGAAAAGCCATACAACAACGCCGCACGGGTCCACTTCAAACATGCATGCTCCCGCCGCCCCCGCAGTGCGCGGACGGCGGCGTGGTGGTGGTGGTGGTGGCAACCGGCCCGCGCGGCGCGTCCGGAATTCGCCGGGCCGGAGCAACGATTGTCCTATCCTGCATGGTGCTTCCTCCGCCCCTCTTGGTCACCTGCTTCGTCTGGATGCAGTATTTGGCTACCATGTGGCCCCATTGACGCTGTTGTGGGGGCTTGGCAGACGCGGAAGACGAACGTTATGTCGACCAACAGGCTATCTGTAGCACCGAGAATGATCCGCAAAACTTGCTGCAGAATACGCTCGGCACAACGTTTTGGTTCATGAGTCTCCTCGATCCAAGATCGCTGCTCGTGCCGCATCGCTGCTGCACGATTCACCTTCAGGTGCTATCATTTCAACCGCTTTTTGTCTTCTCACTAGTTTACAGGATTCCCTGGGGTCGAGGCCAACATGTTCATGAATCGGCTAATCTTTAAAAACGCCATACATGTGCGCAGTTTGCATAGAGGGTGTGCGGATATTGACATGCCGGGTTGCAGAGCGTTCTTTAGCAACGCAGCCCAGGTGGTGCGGCACCTCTGCACGGAGATCACGAGCCTAGCGGCCAGAGATTCAGCCACGGCGCCGGCCGTGATGGCTAGTACTGGACCTGGAGACGCGCCACTTGGTCTGAGCGCTGTACCTCGTGTCAGATGAACCGATATCGCTACGATGTTGTTTGTTGTTTCAACTCTTGTTTTTTCAACTCTTTTCAGATATCTCCCCATCATGTTTCTCGTTTGTTACCTGCAAGCACCTCACCGTACTGTACCTCGCGTCAGTAGCGGGCATGTACGGTACTCATTCGAGTCATGTATGTCGCGTTCCGTGAAAACGCGGAACGAAAAGCGGGCCCCGTGTAGCTCCTGGTGGCGCCGGAAGAGTAGCCCACAGCCGGGTTCGAGGTAGTCACTGACCTATCGCGTGAACTGTAAACAGTCGCTGCCGTCGCGGTCTTTACACGACTGAACAGACAATTCACTCGATACGATACGGAGTGTTAGGAGGGTGTATGCGTAAGTGAGGATTTGATATGGGAACGATGTTCCGGCTCAATCTGGCGTCTTGAATCACTACCACCAAAAATGCGGGCCCCGCCTGCTCGCCCTCACGAATCGTCTACGCAAGCTCCTGATCTCCTTCATAGACACATCCTGTCCTCGGTGTCTTGGCAGGTATGAACCCTACCTGAATGTTCATGCGATGACAGCATGTCATTCGGTTCAATGTCCCTTTTTTTCGCCGACCAGCCGGTGATGTTGCTCTCAAGAACTTTCCCTTGGCCGGCCCGCTGGTCGCCGTGAATCCAATTCTACATCCATCACGGAGATGTTTAAACCTCTATCGATAGCAAGAACAGCGCGCACGGGGGCATTGTTCTCGCAGCGGCGACGTCGCTAACGGCTGAAGTTGAAGTCGCGCCGTTGTGCAACATCAGTGCCCAATTCACGTGACCCAGAACATACCCAAGTGAACGCGTGGGTTCTGTTGGCGACAGCCTTGTAGAGGTGTGGGACATTGAGCAACTGGCGCAATTCGGCGGTCGCCCGACCTGTCAGGAGGCGCTCGAATACCTCGACGCTCGATGTTGGAATGCGGTCGGGGTACAGCGGTTTGAGGAGCAGAATGTAGCCCGCGATGTCTGCCCGGGGAGGCCAGTGTGCCTCGGGGTCCATTTCGAGCAGTGACTCCCATGCCCCAATCCACGTCAAAGCGATTTTGGAGTGGACAATGCGCTCGATAATGTATCCGTCAACAGGAAAATTGAGGCTGCCCTTTTTCCTGTTTGTGCATTCAAAAATGGAGTTGATCGCAACTTCCAGGAAGTGGTTCTCGGTCGCCCCGAATGCGTACGCTGGGTCGTCACCCTCTGTCACGAACACCGGCACCCAGTTCCATTCGTTGGAAGGTATGCTGTCTGCGTCTATTAGCGTGGGAGCAGGCGCGAGACCTCATTACTTACCACGAACCGCGGTGATGGTTCGTTGTCTTGCCCTCGAGCCATTGTTCCTCTCGCCTTCCCAGCCAGGTTGTCATTCCTCCATACAGGCGGAGCTGGATGTGTGTCAGTGTATCGTCCCTGCCGTCAAATTCCTACAGTCGTGCTCACAAGTGTATCTGTGCGCGATGATGTGTAGCCGTTCTTGCGAATGGCGTTCTTTGTCGCCGCAGGAACATCGTCCGGCGACAGAACGTAACAGCCGCCTTTGAGAAGGCCACTGTCATCGTCGCTACGCTGATACAGCCAGAGCACGTCCCTGTATGGGGAGACGTCCTCGATGTCCGAATTCATGCTGTTGATGTCAACAATGGTGCCACACCACGAGTTGTACGAACACATCGAACAACGGTCCCGTATGTGGGCTCCAGCACTTGGCTTTGAACAGCAGTACGAAAATGACTGCGTACGCAGCATCGTTAAGCTTGACGCGCAGGCGCACGAGGCGTGACAGACCGCCCAAGTGGAGGGGGCAAATGAGACGCTGGTTGCTGTCAAGGCTAATGTCAGCAGAGTAACAGATTTAGACCCACTAGAAGACCTTGCAGTTACCGGCCCTGGCCGTCGCAAGCAGCCGTTTGATCCAGGATGGTCGGCATGTGCTCATGAACTGTGATTTCATTAGCTCTGCCTGCTCAGACGTATGTAGCTGTACACCCACTGAAAGCACCTCGTCAATCGCCCCTGGTTCGTTCAATATGTGGCCTGGGAAGGGGTTGTGGGCTGCCAGATCCACGCGTCTTCCGGTTTGTTCCTGCGAGAGGTCGGTTCCGCCCCGAACAGTACGCCGGGCCTGCTTGCAGTAACAATCATCGCTGTTGACGCAGACGGCTGTGAGGGTGCCCCCCATCCACGGGGGTTAGGGATGAGTATCTTTTTGCGTTCAGCCATATCGGGGGTGACGAAGTGTGGGAAAGAGACATGGAAACCAGACATGACAAGCGTTGACACGACTGTTGCGCCCCGTCGGCCGTCGTGGAATCTCCAGCTCCGTAACTGCCGCGTCTGCCTTATACCGTAGAGCCCTTATCCTTGACACGACTACCGGGAAGCAGCACGAGCGACATCACTGTTCCTAATATGCGTTCTGAATCAGACATATGCTTTGCTCAAGCAGACAAGATGGCAAATACAAAATGTGGGTATGAGCGTCGTCCCTCACAGTAATCGTTTGCGTCACATTTGAAGAATGTCATGTTATGAGAGAGAATGAAGTTCGAGGGAGAGATCGACACACATGGGCCGTAGCGCGTCGAATCTCGATGAATCCATTTATATGGGGTACTAGGATCAGCACCTGGCGACCTGGCACCTTTGTGCACGCAGTACAGACATGTTTGAAACTAATGTCAATTTGTTGTGAGCCTCCCATTTTCTTTGATGGTATGGAGCAACTTGACATGACGCTAAATACAAAATGTTGCCACACTTATTAGCCATAGGTTAATCAGGTTCCTAATCCGCCGCTTATCCCCATTTAGTCCAAGATGAAACCTCTGACTCCTGACTCTGGATTTTTGATCCGAATGATCGGCGCCCGACGCAAACAAAGTTACACGTTTGACAATCCACCTCGTTCTCATCGCCTCCCGACTCTCTCATCTACCAATCCACATCACCAATGGGCGACAAGGCTTACTATCAGCCCCCACCGGGACAAATGCAGCAGCAGCAGTACCCCCAACAAGGGTTTCAGCCGACGTACCAGGACTATCCTGGTTACCAGCCGCCGGCACAACACCCGTTCCAGAGCAACCAAGGGTACCAACCGCCTGCTCCTCAACAGTTCCAAGCACCTGTGCAGCAGTACCAGGCACCCCAGCAGTACCAACCTCCTCCTCAACAGTACCAGGCTCCTCAGCAGTACCAGGCTCCTCAGCAGCAACCTCAGCCTCAACAGCAGCAGCACCAGCAGCAACAGCAGCAGCAGCAAACACAGCCGCCCAAGCAGCACAAATGGCGCAAGCGGTTCAAGAAGTATGGAGGACGGGTGAGTCTTTGTGGCCACGGAGGCCTGGGATGGCGGGTGTGGACGGAGAAGACGACATCCTTCATGCTGTCCTCTTTGTGATCTGCAGATGCAGTTCACACACCGTCACGTCGTCAAGGACCAGTCAGCAAGGACCAGCCAGCTGACCGGACAGATGGGAAACTCGGCCGTCAGCGGCTTTGGCTGGGGTATCGGTTCGACACTGGCGCGCAAGCTTGTCGATGCGAGTGAGTACCTACTTGATCGCCTCTGTGGCCTCCCGTTACTGCAGCTGGGCATTGCAGGTTGCTGCGGATGTCATGGCTGACCACACCAGTTTTCCGATAAGCCGGTGACACCCCACGCTCCGCCCATCCCCTTGACACGACACGCATAGCTCGCTCCCCCCTACTGCACTAATCAACACGCACCCCGCAAACTGGGATACCACGACTTCCCTTGGCGTCCTTTATACACGACTAGATGGCATGCACGACACATTTGTTTTGGATCGCTGTCCGCCGGCACACAATAACCATAACTTACCCTTCTTCGCCGCAGCTGCCGACCTCAATCTCCCATGTCGCGTATGCCTACACCCTGTCCTCCTGTGTAGATCGTCACACAGAGCATTCCCTCAAAGGTTCCTGCGGGGTCCTCTGACTGCGCATAACAGACAATCGAGGCATGCCCTCGCCCATCGCCGGCAATAGACCAGGCAGACGTATGCTTTCTCCGTCGCAGTCGGTTCAGTTCTGCCATCTGTGTGCGACGGGAGGGTGTTACAATAGCGGACCATACACATGCCGCGAGTGCCTTTTGGGCAGAGCTGAACGAGACCCGAAGGCGTGCCGGCGTCGACGGCGAGGTCCGGGCTGAGATGTGCTCGGCCACTGGGGACACGCCACTGCTAGGTGGTTGTGGCTGTGATGGCTGTGGTACATGGGGAGAGGTATTGTCTAGTTGAGATCGTTGGGCCTGCTTCCTCTAGCTGCCTGGTCAACAAGAGCGATATCCAGAGCCATGGGGTCGGCGCTAGGCCGAGATTTCGACGATGTCAACAAGGTAACCGGAGGCGCCCCGGTCGCCTACGCAAGTGCAAGCATATGGCGGCGGCAAAGTTGTCGCTGATTCGCGTGCGTGCGGCGATAAGGAAGCATACAATAAGCAGTAAATGCATGCATGCGCGCAAGGCTGGGACATGAAGGAGGACATCCCACATCTCGGCATTCAGCATCGGACGTGGGGTGTGGCTCCGGTGCCACAAGACCGCAGCCGGGGACGACTGCGGAGACCGGTCCGGCCCGCGTGACGCCGTAGAGGAGAGGCTCACCAACACCGGCGAGCATCCATCTCGTCCGTCTCCTCGTCACTCTCATTCCTTATATCCCTCTGACACCAAGGAAGCGCATCCACTTGTGCGCGCGAGATTGTCGGTCACCGTGTCGTTCCAACGACGAAAGATGAGCTTGGAGGGCACGCCCCTGTCCGCCCAGCAGAGCCAGAGCCAGCAGCACAGTACGTCCCTGCGCGCGGTCTTGCGTCCTTGTTTATGCTGACAAGCCAACAGAGGCATGCGTGCGTACACACCAAGCTGCCTACCCCCATCTGACCTCATTCTCGCAGGACTCGTGCTACAGGAGCAAGCTCAAATGCGTGGGGCGCGACAATCCGCCATGCCAGCGATGTGTCACCGGTGGGCTGGAGTGTACTTTTGACGGACGGCGCAAGAGCAAGATCACCCTGGTGGAGAAGTACGTGACCACCCCTCTGGTATAGTGACTGCTGCTGACGGGTGTCAGTCGCCTCTCAGACATGGAGACGCAGATGGAGGCCATGGCGGAACAGCTGGGGCGCGTGCAGTCGCAGCTGAGCGAGCTGCTGGCCGCGGGAGGTCCCCACCGCCGTGGTTCCGAATACAAGGCCGTTTCCACGCCGGGGACAGTAGGCAGCGTCCACTCGTCACACCAGCCGCGCGTCGTCATGTCCCCGCTCGCGGGCGACGATGCGCACTACCATTCCCTGTCGGTGGGTCTTGGACGCAAACGCGAACATGACGACGGAACGAGTCGGGAGCGCGAGCGCGAGCGCGATGGAACCGAGCGACGCGCACAGCCGTCAAGCTACCACGACGCTCCTGTGGAGGAAACAAGCGGCGGCGAGGTGGATGAAGATCCCTTGCTGGAAGCGGCCCGGCTCGCGCCCATGCACAAGATGCGCAACATTGCCGACACGCGGCGCCCAAGTGTCACCTCCCCGGAACGGCCAGTCAAGCGACTCCGAGGCGACGAATATCAAGCCAGTCCAGCGTCTCTGCCCAGTGTCGGTGCTCTGGGAGTAGGGGAGACACCTACCGATCCCGTGACTGCAGGCTTGTGCTCTGCGGCCCGCGGGCACCGACTGCTCATGACGTTTTTCAAGTTTTGTCACAACTCGCTACCCATCTTCGACCCAGAGTGGGACACATGGGACAGTCTGAGGGGCAGGAGCAGTCTGGCCTTGACCACTGTCATGGCCGTAGGAGCCAAGTTTGAAGAGCAGACAAACGAGGTGGTGGAACTGCAACGCAAGCTGCAGGAACGTGCCGAATGGATGGGTGAGTCGAATCTGGCTACGACGGTCCGGTGCTGACTACTTTAGCCAAGGAGACTTTGTTTGCGCCGCCTGCACCCAAAGAGATGGACCTCGAAGCGATCCAGGCCATGGGTGCGTATCACATCTGAACGGGATGGCTCTAACGTTATGTAGTCGTGCTGAGCGCGTACGGAGACACCGAGTGGCGACCTGGCGGACATGCGTTCCGCATGGCGTGAGTGTTTAGGTCTGGGATGTGTCGCTGATCGCTACTGCAGAATGGAGAGGTGCCTCTACCGCTGCCTCCCTCACCTGGTACAGACCGGCATGGGCGCGCACAAGAGCGCCGACGAACTCGAGGCGGAGCGTGAAGTGGTCGTTGGCGCGCGCGTCTGGCTCGCAGTGTGCAAGTTTGAGTTTGAGTGAGTTGGATCCCATTGGGACCCTTTGCTGACATTTCTCCAAGGATGGCCTTCAACCACGGCCGCCCCATCCTCATTGGTGACGAGACCAGTATCCCTCTCGGGCGACAGCTCCTCGAGCACCCACTGAGCACCAAGCTCGATGGACGCCTCGTCGCTGCCTGCGAGTTGCTGGCCGGTCGCCACAGAGCCCATTTGGTGTTTGGTCCGCCGCCCCATAGCAGTATGGCGCGCTCCATTGCCGAGGTCGGCAAGGACAACGAGTTCTTTGAGCGATGGTTTGAGCGGTGGATGGCGCATTACGGTGAGTACCGACCTGGGAGGGTTCCCTTTGCTCATCCTGTCTCAGACCACCTGAACCTTCCCGAGGGCCATTTCCTGCGCGACATTCTCATCACGGGCAAAAACCACGCCATGTGAGTTGCTGCTCGCCTTCGTTGAAACTCACACCCAGCCTGATCACCAACGCGAGACTGCTGTACGGCGTAACGTCTCCCCGCGACGTCGAGGCTCTCATCCCGGAGCGCCGTGAGGCGCTGAGCAAGTGTGTTCAATCGGCAAGCATCCTCATCCACATGGCCGTTGCGAGTGAGGGCTACAAGGACCATTTCTTGGCTGCCAACAGCAACACCCGTGAGTCAAAAAAACTACCAGCTGATGCTTCGATTACCGACCCAGCTGACCGTTGCAGACGTGGCCATGGTCTTTGCCGCGCGCTTGCTCATCCGCTTTGCGACCCTCGCGCCCGAGTCTGTCGACCTCCGCCGCTCCGGTCGCGAGATTGAGGAACTGGCAGCCATGCTGAAGCGCGGCACATTCCACGAGCTGGCCGACCAGATCCAAGCTGTCCTCACTCGCGCTCGCAACAAGCGCGTGTTGCCGCCCAGGAGCCTTGCCGCGTCGCCCAGGCGGGGCGTGGCCGAGCTTCATCCAGACCTCGGCCAGCAGCACGGACACCACATCGATGTGACAGACGCGTCCAGTGCTGCTGCTCCTCCTTTGGGATCGACGGGCTTTGACCTGTTGTCCGATTTCCAGTTTGCCGACGAGCTGTTCAACGGCGCGGCGCTAAGCGACGGTGATGTGAGTGCGGCAGAAGCGAGCAAGTGGTGGCGGGATCTCTGTGCGGTGAGGAGAGGAGATCTGGCAGGTGGTGGTGGCCCGTTGTTGGCACCACCTTTGCCTCGCCGTGGCGTCGCATTTTGTTGTTCGGGTTACCCGGAGTTGTGAGGCTGACAAACCCGATACAGGCCATGAACCTCTTGCAGTGGTTCCGCGAGGACTGGCGGGAGGATGCGGCGTACCCAGAGTGGTCATAGGGGTCTGCATGCATTCGCTCGAGTTGTATATAGCGTCTCCCTCGGTCGCATCGGTTGGGTGCCACCTGGTTGACCCATCCTCCTAGTGGCCTCGTTCGTGTGCACGCCTATTATTTTGTGCACGCCTTGACGCTTTATTTACACACCCAAAGCACAGACCTCCACCTCCACCTGTCCACCTGATGGCGGCGGCGGCGGCGATGATGACGGGGAGCGGCGGGGCTGCCTGCACATTGGAGTGACGCGTCCGTGTGTCTGATCTCGTCGTCTCTTTCTCTCCCTCCCTGTCTTCACCTCCATCACCATCCTCCTCTACGAGCAACGAATACACACCATGGCCACCGCCGTCTGGGATCCCACAGTCACCACCCGTCGTAGCATGTAAGTCGTCGCAGCCCCCCCACTCGCCACCCGAGCCCACGTTCGTGATAGCGCAACTGGCGTCTTGCGCCCCTTGGCCCTCTTCGTCCACCTCCTCCTTTCATCCAGCTATGATATCCATAGTGTCTAGCTGACAGCATGCAGCGCTCCAAAGGGTGCCGAGTGCGCGCGCTGTGCCCACGCCGGCGTCGTATGCACCGCCCCGCCCTTCCGCGCCTGGTCGCCGCGTCACGTCTTCGCCGCCCCCTGTGACGGCTGCATGGCCGTCGGCGGCGAGCGCATGTGCTCTAGTGCGGGCGTGTGGAGCGTCGTGGGCGATGCCGAGGAGGAGAAGGAGAACGAACAGGAGCAGGAGCAGGCCAACAGCCAGAGCAAGGCTTCCGAGAACGGCTCCAAGCCCGCCGCCGCCGCCAAGGCTACCGAGGCCAGCTCGTCCAGCTCTTCCAGCTCTGCACCCAAGGCCAAGAAGACCATCACCTTCCTCGCAAAGGTCGACATGGACCGCCTGGGCGACACCCTCAACCGCAGCAGCCGCGACGTCAAGGCCGGTAAAGTCAAGTTTGAGGATGTGCTCGACCGCGCCATCGCCGCGTGTCGCCTCGTCGCGGGCGGCGAGGAGGAGTATTACGACCGCGATCACTGGTACTAGAGGGAACCGTTTTCCCCCCGCTTCTGCAAGAGCGGGGCATCTCGCCATTCCTCGCGCCAGCCTCCCGCCGTGCTCTCCTTTCGTCACACCGTTTCGCGTCTCCTCGCCACCATGACCCACAAACCCAAACTCACCAAATACCGCCATACATTGTCCCAATGGTCACGACCACAACAAGGTCCCTTTTCCCCCGGCCCACCCAAACGCATCCAAACGCAACAAAACAACACACCTTCTGCCATCCATCGAAACCAACCAACCAACGCAACCCTGTAGAGACACCAGACATCACGAACCCCCTCATGCCATGTATTCTGTCACTCGACGCTCGGCGACTGGTTGTGTGTTTTGTTGTGTACAACTGCTGACATGTCGCTTCCTACCATACAAACGAGAACACACACTACTCACAAGCAAAGCTACTTTGCGCTAAAACTACCACACCACCGCTCTCTGATCTCTTCAAAAGGAGTAAGAACAAAAACCCGAAAAACCCCCATCGACCTGACACCTCCCGACAGACCACACAGTGGCTGCGAGGTCGTCTCTGCCATCATTACCCGTGCCCCGTCAACCGCCTCGCCTTCCCCCTCCCTCTCGCCGCGTTCCAGCCCTCCTCCTCCTGTCACTGTCACATGTCACCGTTGCGCGGGAGGACTTCGGAGAGGAGCATGTTGGCCCTGGAGACAGTGTCAGCGATTTGACACGTTTAAATCTCCAGCTTTTAGTGGCCAGCATGGGGTTTCCACGCTATGGCTCTTCTTTCAGGTCCCACCCCAGCGACACGTACCAGTACCGCCCGTCGTCTGCCTCGTTCTGCGCCACATACTCTGGCACGTGCATGAACTCTTCGAGGCCGAGCTCGGCGAAGAAGTCGACCTCGACGCCGCCCTCTTGGCCGTGCGACGAGCCGTTGAGCAGGTCGGCTCCGGGGCCCGGAGATCCGGCACGCGATTCGACCGACAGCGCCGACAGGACGCGGCGGATAAAGCGCGCGACGTACGCCGGCGCCGTCTTGGAGTCTTCGTTGGTGACGGACGCGTGGGCGAGGAGGATGCGGTGCAGCATGGTGAGGATGTACGACTTTTGGGAGCGGTCCGAGAAGCGGAACAGCTGCGCGGGTTAGTCAACGAGTCCCCAACCGTCGCACCCACCTTGCGCATAAAGACGACGAGCGACGAGGTCATGCAGCTTGCGGAATCCTGCATGATCACGAGCATGCCGTTGCTGGCGAGAATGTCGACCTCGTCAGCGACGCGGGCGACAATGTGGAGGCAGCTGTCGAGGCGCAGCTGGTCGTGCGGCGCCATGTCGAGGTGGAACCGCTTCATGATGAACATAAAGTCCAGGATGGACCACAGCAGGACGTGCTCGACGTCGGTGTCAAAGCACGGCGGGGGCGCCTCCTTGTTGAACCACTTGTGGATCAGCGCGTCGCACTGTGTCATGAGCGTCTCGATCGCCAGTTCGAGGTACGCCGGGTCGGAGCACTTGGACTCGCACACCTCTCCCCAGTGGTCCTTGAGCTTGCACAGCTGGATCGAGGCAGAAATGTGCATGTCGACACTGGGGCCGAGGTGCAGGTGCTGCCGTGACCACACCTCCGGGTCGGCATGGTCCGTGAGGCGGATCACTGTCGGCAAGCCATGGACGTACGACTGGCCGCGGTCAAACGAAAACAGGCAAAACCATGTCCGCTCAGCGTTGAGGATCTCGCGCGCCTCCATCTCGTCGTCGGGCAGCGGCTCGGTGCGCGGAATGTGCCAGAACAGGCTGTATCCGAGACGAATCGCCATGCCGACCTTCATCCAGCCACTCGTGTCCTCGGGGTCCTTCCAGTATGTCAGGACCATGAGGGACTGGACGACGCCAATGTCCGTCGACCCGGCCTGCAGCGCACGGTCGAGCACGGTGCGCGCGTGGCTCAGAAGCGTCGGGTGCAGGTCGTGCCGGAAGAAGCGGGAACTCGACGCGAGGACAGTGGAGAAGAGGACGCTCGAGGTGCGACGGAGGTAGTGCATTGTGTGAACTGGAGTAAAAAAAAAAGGTGCTGTCAGCGCGGGATCCTCCGAGGAGCCTGTGTAACTCACGTTGGGCATCCAGGACAGCGACGAGCGGGTTGAGACGCTGGTGGAAGAGCTGTACCAACGAGTTTGCCTCGACCTCGCTCAGCGCGCGGAGCGACACTGGGTCGTCGCTCTCGTTGACGCGGTCGATCTCGGGGTCCAACGACGGTGCGCGGCGACGTGGTCGTGCGGGGGCGTTGGAGAACCACGGGGCCTTTGGCGCACACACCTGCATGTCCTTGTCGGTCGGGTCGAGGTACTCGGCCATGTTGAGCGTGTGGTTGGAGCCGCGCTGCGACGGGTACGTCTGGGACGTGGGCGACACCGTCGCGTTGAGCGACGAGCCCGTCGAGATGCCAGAGTTGTTGGCCATGGTGTGCGGGTGCGGCAGCGAGTGCGGCGACACCTGCTGCTGTGGTGGCGGAGGCGCGGCCGGCGGGTACCCACCCAGCGAGAAGGGGAAGCCGATGGACCCATCGACGGACATCTTGGGCGGCGACGTGTGCATGCCCGGGTGAGCAGGGGCGTGTTGCGGGTTCATGTCAAATGTGACGACGCTCGACTCGGACTGCTGCTGCTGCTGCTGCTGCTGTTGCTGCGCCTGCTGCTGTTGCTGTTGCTGGGCGAGCTCGTGTCGGCTGTACATCCGAGTCAGCCCAGGTGTGCGGTCACCGGTGGCAACATCCACTACGTACCGCGAGTTGGGTGGCCTTCCCTTGCGTTTGATGACAGGTGGGTCGTTGCACACAAGACCATACCGGTCTGCGAGGGTTGTTAGCACAAAAGAGTTGCCCGAGAGCACGAGGCGCGCGCAGGCACAGCCACTGCAAAAGCAACCAGGCTCCCTTTCAACTCACTGCAACGTGCGCAGGGGGTGTTGGGCTCTGGGGGACGGATGCACCGGACCTATGGGACGACAGTCAGCAGCGGCCTCGGCGCGGGCTGGGGATGAGGATGCCGGCGACGAGGGTTATTGGAGGGGCTGCACTCACCTTGATAGCACGGCATGTCTTGCAGCTGGGGAGGGGAGCAAAGAGGTAAGCCGAGCGCCGAGAACAAGAACGACCCGAGAGGAGTACCCTGGGGTGATTCATCATGGTCCACTTACGCAAGTTTTGAGCGGGGGGGAGCCTTTGCCACCTCTGCTGCATTGGCAGAGACGTCTGGGGGCTGGGATTGTGGATGTTGTTGTTGTTGTTGTGACATTGGGGCCACTAGTGTGGGGTTGTGGAGAGGTAGTGGATGATGAGACAGCAAAAGTGTGGAGTCCCAACAGATTGACTCTGGACAGCGAGCGAGAGGGTTCTTGGAAAGAGCAGTTGGTTGCGAGCGCGTTCTAGGCAGCGGGACGGGCGAGAACTGGGCGGCGGAGACCGCTGTGAGCGCGTGAGAGGGGGGGAGGCAGAAGGGAATCGAGGCGCGTGTCCTGTGCGTTTGCTCGCTGGGTGATGTGGTGGGGAGAAGGGGCGACAAGAATGTCGGTGCGGCAGATGGACGGCGGAATGGGCAATGCGGGGGGACACAAGGGATCTCTGTGGTGGCGTGAGAGAGGTGGGGGGGGGGGGGGGGGTGTGGTGCCTGCTGACGGCCTGGCCGGGTGCGCAGCGTAGCCGGACGAGGGAGGAGAGGGTCTCTCAATGTCCCGAAGAAGCGGCCCTTTTCACAACACCACATTGGTCTCTGCAGTGCCATGCATGCAGCACAAAGCATCGTTTCGCGGCAACGGCAAGCACATGCACATCGGCAACAGCTACGACTGCCACAATCCACAGCGGCAGGAAAAGTGGGGGGATCGCTCACGATCGCCCAACGCTGCAAACAGGCCGCGGATCATGACTGGCAGAGGCCATCACAACAGGACCCGAAAGGACCTGTGCACGGCCCGTTTTTCTTTGTTGGCAGGTGGGTGGCCGTGGCCCGTCCCACCTTTTTTGCACAATCTCGGCACTCTTCTCTTTGCTCTCCGGGGCTCCTGTCAGCCTGGTGGCAGGGAATGTGCATGGCCCCTGTCTGGAACCCCCCCAGGTGTCAGATCCTCTTCTGCATGTTCCTGTACCCCCCCGGACAGGCTTCTGTGTCTCTTAGTTCCTTCTCACATCTTCACACAAGAGTCAACTGACACGACGAGCAGCTCCACACACCCACCAATCTCCCACCCACACACCCACTCCAGCCAGTGTGGCGTCCAGCCGCACATTGAGGCCGCCCGCAGCAAGCTCCGCATTCCCCACTCCGCTCGTTGCTCGCGGCTCACCCACTCGATTCTGACGCTGCACAGGGGCAGAGGCACTTGAATAGGTGTGCATACCTTGTCCACTGGCCCACTGGCTACTGGCTACTGGTTCATTGTGCTTTGTGGTGGTGGTTCCTGGGTAAACCATGTGTCTGCAGGTCTGGACAGGCGCGGTCAGCTGTGCGACAACTTGTGGTGGTCTGTCAGGCATGTGTCTGTCTACATCCGGCCTCCCTCATAAATCCCTCTCTGCAGGGTGTCGTTCGGGGCGGCACAGGGCAGCCTTCCGAGTTTCCGAGCGAGCGTCAAAGACATTATAGAATATGGCCTTGGCAAGTCAGTTGTACAGTTAGACGCGCCGCGCGCCGGAGGCTGACCACCGGCTCCTTGTCAACGATCAACGAGCCGGCGCGGGGGGACCTGTTGCCTATCAACGTGCCGAAGAGGTATACAGAAGGGCCCGGCAAGTTTTCGTCGCCCTGTCTCTTTTTGCCTCAAAAGCAACGCAGAGATGGCCCATGCACGCGCGTCCTGTTGTTCCAACTCCAAACACGCGCGTCCAGACGTGCCTGCAACTTTACATGCTTTCTGTCTCGTGTAAAACCTCGTCTCGTCGACATGGCCACACCCCCCCTTCACACACCCACACACCACGCTCCAAAACGGGTCGTAGGCTTTGTGATCTCCAGAGCCTCCGAATTCCGAAAATAAGCGCAACCGCGCGTTCGCCCACCTCGAACCTCCACACATCTCGTCCGGCGGCAAGGGCCGCTTAGTGCCCCGCACCCGCGGCCAGTGGCGGAGGAGGGAGGTGGGAGGGAGAACGACCAAACGGACGCGTCGACCGACAGCAAGCAAGCAGGCAGCCTCGCTCGATCGCTCATGAGTGGATATGGATATTGAGGGAGCTAGAGGTTCAAGGTGGGCAAAAAGTGGACACGTAGGGTGTGCTCGCTGCCGAACAGCACAGAGTTTTTCTGTGTCACTCGACGGCCCGCGGCTGGTCACCCTAATCGTTCGTCCGCCTGCGTCTCCGCAGGAGTTGGTCCACACCGACTGTTTCGACTGTTTCCATTGTTTCGGCTGTTGTTCGTTGTGGACGCGCGAGTGCGGTCCGGGGGTACAACGGGTGGTGGGGGCAGGAACGACCAGACGACGTGTACGGCAAAAGCGAGCACGACGGCAAGGACTTGTTCATTGTGTTCCCCGGGGCAGGCGGACGAGGCTGTCAGCGAGGACGTGTCAGTGTTCCAGGACAATACAAGGGGATACGAGGGCTGTTGCAAAGAGCAGCCTGGGACGGCTCGCCTGGCTTGCTTTGCAGCCACGACGGCAAGGTCACTGACATGTGCCACTCATTGCTAACAGACTCCCCTTCATTCCCGCACCATTGCCATACTCGATTGACACACTGCATTTCGCACAAAACCCCCTCGTACAACCCTACACACTACAGAGACCCAACGAACCCAACCTAAACCAGCGTAAAGCTGCTACTGACACCCTCAAACGCCTTGATCGAGCCCGTGATGGGCGTCTTCGAATCGCCGTAATAGTGCAGGCGGTACGTGCCCGCCGGCGCGCCGTCCCCGGCCGTCTCCCACGCCAGCGACACCGTACTCGATCCCAGCAGGCCGTCAACCCGCGTCCACGTGTACGTGAGGAACCAGTCTGCGTCGGAGCGCACCTGCGTCCATTGGCCGTTGACGAGCTGGTCGACCGCGGCAAACGTTCCCCCCAAGCGCAGGTTGTTGCGCGGGTTGGCGCCCTGGAAGACGGCCTTGACGGTCGCGCCGCGCGCGTACGACCCCGCAGGCTGGGTGAGGACTTGCCCAAAACTCTTGCCCAGGGCCGGGTTGTCGTACACCACCCCAGCGATAAAGGACAGCGAGACGCCGCGGTTATCGGGTGGCAGAAGAGTCTGCGACGGCGACCCAGTGTTCCCGGCCGCCAGGTAGTTGATGTTGCTGACGGTGAGGTTCATGTATGCCGGTCCTGTCCATTTACCGTACATGGTCGAGGCGCCCTCGTAGCGCTGAACCTCGTATTCCTCGGGGGTGACAATGTAGCCCGAGTACGAGTTTGCCGGGCCGCCGAGGACGACAATGGGCTCGACGCCGGTACCGGTCACGCCGGACGTCTTGGCCGCGTCGTGCACGGCTGCCTTCCACCGCCGTCCCGTCATGGTCGTCGCCTCGCCCGGCGACACGATCATGACCAGCTGGCCGACGCGCAGGAGCTGCACGTCGACAATGTTCGGGATCCACGGGTACGGCGCCATCATCTCGCCGACGTCGAGAAGGATCGGCTTGGCTCCCTGGCACGCGACCTGCTGGGCGCTGGGCGTCTGGATGACGTTGGAGACGGCCTGCCAGAACACATTGTTCTGGGCATTGGGCAGGCCCGCGTCGCCTTGCTTAAAGTCGCTCACACCGGGACCGTCCGATGTCCCCGCTGCAAACGAGTATCCCAGCGCCGCAGGGCAAGTCTGCACGGCTGTGCCGTTGGGCAGCTGGAACTGGAAGTAGCGCATGTCGTTGAAGAAGTGGAACGAGTTGACCGACGTTCCCACCAAGGGGGTCCCGTTTGTGGCCAGACTGTCAAAGATGGATTTGGCAGCGACGTGCTGCCTGCGGCCAATCTCGTAGCAGGACGACAAGCCCTGGTCGCCCTTTTCAAAGAACGGTCCGCGGCCATTGCAGTTGGTGACCGTCCCGTCGGCGCAGGTACTCGCCTCGAGCGAGCACTGCTGGCCCGAGCCGTCGTCGCACCACTGGCCCAGGACGCGCGGCGAAGTGTCTCCGACGTTTGCCTGCGAGTACGCCGCCACAAACCCGGGCGCCGAGTTGGCATCCTGCGCGTACGCCTGCTCCGTCATGGTCGCCGCCACGCCTTTATTGTCGCCCGTCACATACGTGTTGTTGTTGTACGCCGAGGTGCCGTGGACGGGGTACCATGTGAGCATGCCCATGTTCTTGCCGTCGCTGCTGCGCTTGAAGCCCAGGACAGTCATGGTCGTGTCTGTGCTCGAGGCGTAGCTGTCGCGCTCGGCCTGCGGGTTGGCGAGGTACGCCCACTGCGACCGGTTGATGTTGCCGTCCTGCACGGTGCCCGTGCCCACGGTAAGCGTCCCCTTGGTCAAGGACGCCTGTGCATTCTTGACCGACTGGATACACCCGTCCACGATTGCCTGGTACGACTGCTTGTTGAAACCCAGCACCGGGATCTGGTGCAGGAGGTAGTTGTGCCACCCGCCCGGCCCACTGTGGCTGTGTGTGCCAATGACAGCAACGTTCTTCTGTGTGAACCCAGCATAGTCGCCGCCCAGGGCCTTGAGTCCCTCCAGGACGCCGAGGCGCGTCGCCGTGTCGCCCGCCTGCGTGTCGACCACAATGTACAGGAACTTGTCGGCAGGGTTGGCCGCGTCGGCAATGATAAACGAACGCGCGTACAGGCGCTGGCGGAGACCAGTGCCGACCTGGCTGAGGACCGCGTACCCGTGGAACGGAATCTCGACGACGGGGCCCGTAATGTCGGCCTTGCCCACGCCAATGAGGTAGGTGTCGCCCGCGGCGCGGACGCACGAGAGCATGGCCGCCACGACGACGACGACGACGACGGTGGCCAGTGACCGTGATGCTCGAAAGACGCGCATGGTTGTGTGTGGCGGGAAACCCCCTTCTCCCTTCCGAGCGCACGCTATAAGTATGCATGCTACCTGCGTCTCTCGCTGAACACGGATCAAGGACCCGCCAGACTGGCCGCTTCGCTCAAGGCCACGCGTTGGTCGTTCTGTAAACCTGATCGTGATCGCGGGCACTTGAGAGAATTGCGGGGAATGCACTAAAGCTTCGTGCCAGCCCGCATTACGGCAGGCGCACACCGTCCGACGCGTTACTCGTTCTTTTGCGGGGGTGTGCATGTGGAGCCAAACCGGCTTTGCTCTGTATGTATGGACTGTACATACTGGGCCATGCTCATGCCCATGCCATTTTAGCGCCACGAGGTGGTGTCTTCTTCCTTCTGTGCTAGGGTCACCTGGTGCTTGTATTAGTGGTTTGTGGTGGTCACGAGGTTTGAGTGGCGGGGGATGGGTGACTGGCATGACTGGCGAAATCCAACGATCCAGCAGTGGTGCAGTGGTGATCGTGGTGAGCTTCTTTTTGGCGGCGACTGTCTTGGCACGCGCCTTTGGCCTTTGGACTGTTTCTCCGCCACCCGGTGGCACATGCGGCAACGCGCAACGGGAACCGGGTGAACACAACAAGCATCAGGACATGTGGGCCCGCATGCGCGTGTCGGGTGGCTTTCCCCGCCCAGGACCCAGAACCCAGTGAGTCAAGTGATTGAGCCGCACATTGAAACGGACATTGCCGCCTGATCCATTAGTGTGGCCACGAGCAGTCAGCGAGGGTGTGAGGTATATCAACGGCTTAGAGAAGCGGGAGAGGAGACGGGTGGGTGGGGAGAGAGCCAATGGAAGGAGCACGACCATACGTATAGGAGGCAGTAGTCACGTGATTCCAGAATGTTGGTATGCTGACCCATTAAGGCTCACGCCTGCCAACATACCACCAACATACTGGAAGCCAGCGACCAGCGGCGTCTTGGCGGAGAAGATGCGAGGAACCCACAGAAACATTAAGCGTGGTATATCAGGCAGCTGGGTCTGGGGTGGAGCATGGAGGAGGCATGTGACAGTGCATGATCTTCTCTCTCTCGACAACACATTTCAAGAACCAATTGCCCGTTGGCCCTCAGTGGCCAGGGGGTCGTCCCTCGTGAGCAGCAGTGCAGTATGTCTCTCCGCCCAGTCCGTGCGCATCCATGTCTAGTTGCTCACGAGATCCCACTCGTTGTGGATGCACTTTGGGGCCTCCATGGGCGCCGTTTGTTGGTGCCAAACGGCACATGTTGTTTAATTGGTTACAGCAGGACGTAATGGCCCACCCAGGCGGCACGGTAGACACGTCGACACACCCGTCCACCATGTGCGACCCTGCAGCTCAAGCGTTAATTTCGATGTTAGACTAACAAAAGTAGCCGTATAGTTGGCCGCAGTGACCGTCTGTTGGCACACCCATCTTGACCAAACGAGGCAAGTGCTGGATCTGGTCATTGTGGCGACAAAAACGGTGGCAGCAGCCTCTGTCTCAGCCCCCATGCTCGGCCAAGACAGCCCGAACGGCCCGCTTTTGTGTCTCACACTGCTGATATTTGATGCTTGGCACATGGATCCATGTGGCCATGTGGCAGCATGGCTGGCGGAGGGCATCGGGTGCAATTGTCACGTGACCCATTGGCCGCCGGGCGATTCACCCCCAACACCTATCGGGCCGGGGATGCTCCAGACTTGTTCCGTCTCGTTCTGCTCGTTTGTCACACAACAAGCACTCACTCACTGCTGATACAATGTCAGACGACGAGGACACCACGCGGTCACAGAAGCGCCAAAGGAAGGCCAAAGAGCCCATCAAAAGGCAAACACGTGAGTCCTATTCTCGCGGGACATTGCTGACAAGACAGAGAGTTGTGACGGTGCGTCTCACTTCTGCCCCCCCCACCGTCATGTCCACCCCAACAGTACTGACACCCATGGCCAGCCTGCAGGGCACGCAAGTGAGCATGGTGGCGGATGTACAATGTGTGCTGACCCGTAGAATACGATGCGACAGGCCCCCTCCTGCCCCCGACGCGCCTGACCTGGATGCAAGTTGCAGTCAGTGTCTCGCTCTTGATGTTCCTTGTGAGTGGAAACGTGCGACATACAGTCCTCAACTTGTTCAGGCGTCTTCACGCGGACCCCAAGACGGCGAGGCCCACAGAGCCAGTGAGTTGTTTGCCCAATTCGTCGAACTGTATTGTGCTAATCGGTGTTGATACGTGAAGAAGGTGCAGGAGGAACAACGCCGTGAGGCATCGCAGGAGCGCCCAGCTGCTGCGGCCAATGAGCCGAGGAGTGAACATGGATTCCACAGTACGACACCACACCAGCCGTTCCACCACCAGACACCTGTCAACCAGACACCTCTCAATGCCCCCACCCACACCCCGTACTCGGTCCCCTCAGCCCCTTCGCATCCCTCGATCGCGTCCGCGGAAACCGCACCACGCTTCACAACCACCTACCCAGCGTACCCCCATAACCCGGCCAACCCCCTGGACAATACTCTTCCTCGTGGCCTGCTGTACAAGCTCATCGACCTCCACTTTGAGTACATTTACCCTCTCACACCGATCTTGCATCGGCCGTCATTTTTGGCGGACCTCCGCTGCAGGAGAGAGGAGCAACCAGGCGAGGAAGAGTGGACTGCGATGGTGCTGAGCGTCATCGGCGTGACTGTCGCGCAGCTCCCAGCCCCGCTCGTGCCGATGAGTAAGGAAGAGGCTAGGCACCTGGTGCACATGTGCTATTCGCATGTGAAAGGGTGGCAGATGAAGGAAGTGGAGACATTCACCGTCACTCGCGGTGAGTTTGGGCAATCTCTGTACACGTTTCCACACAAAGCTAACCGCCAGGGATCATGCTGTACTTTGTCGTCCTCATCGCTGCCCTCATGGGCCACGAGCTCACCGCAACCTCAATCAGAGGTATACTGACATCCATCATGGGCGCTAAGCGCTTCCATGTCGAGTCTGTAAGTTTCACACGCGTACCACTTGCCTTCCAAGCTCACCGCTAGACCTATACTGCTCTCCCGCCATTCGAGCGCGAGCAATGGAGGCGCTTATTCTGGATCACATACAATGGCGATCGGACCATCACTGTTCTGTATGACCGACCACCAACCTTCGCCGAGGACGAGTGTGCAATGTTGAACTTGCCCGTTGAACTGTGAGTCGGCAGGATTCCAGAGGTCCAACCAACGGCTGAACGACCAGTGACGACGAGTTTATCACTCCCGAGGGCTACGTCGAGCCGCCGCCAGACCACGACCATGTCATCAGCGGGTTTGTCTATACATGCAAAGTCTTTAGATGTGAGTTTCAGAGCCGCTGAAAAGGTTGGTGGCTGCTGACAGCTGCCGACAGTGCTCGGCGAGGTTCTTGAGAAACGCCGCCGTGATCGTCGCAACCCCCCAAGACAAACGGCCTTGGGGTCCCGATTGGTGGAGCTCGACGACCTGAATGCCCAGGTCAACAGTCTGATGGAACATTGTCCGGCATCATTACGTCTGGAGAGTGATGCACCAGAGCACTCCCTACTGTACGTCTGTCTGCAGGACCCGTCTCTCTGTACTGACAGACAGACACGCTCTGGACGGGCTCGGCGGCTCGGATACCGGCAGCGACCTCCCATTCCCGCTCACATCCGGTGTACGCGATGCCTACCTCGTCCAGCAGGCCAACATCTATGTCACCCAGGTGAGCTGTCCGTTGCGTGCGTAGCTCGCTGACATGTCGCAGCAAATGACCCGCATGGTGATCCTTCAGCACCGAGAAGACCTGCATGCCAACTTGCACGGCTTTGGTCCGCAGGCCGTCAGCCACCGTTCAACCCTGCTCGAGGACCGCGAGGAGGTGGTCGGCAGCGTCCTCGCCGTCCTGGAACGTATACCGCTCCATATTGCTGGTGAGCTTCGCCGACGACATCAAAGCTGACAATGGATAGCGGTGAACACGCGCTGGCTCGTTAGCAAGGTTCGGTATGTTGCGTCAACCTTGCTCGACTCGGTGCAGGTCGAGAGGCCGCGGTCGCAAGAGTTCCTCTGTGAGCGTGTTGTGCGGAGTGCGCCATTCCACGAAATGCTAACACGGCTGGTGACGCAGGGGACTATCTGCGGATCTTGGGTCAACTCGAGTCGCTGTACTCACCTGCGACTGCTGAAGCGAGGGTTTCTGAGGGTGGAATGCTGTAGATGCAGACGTAGAATGCATGCGGACAGCTGCAGAGACGACGGACGATGCATCGTGGTTGAGGTGACTGCCCACGGTCTGGCCCAATCCGGGGCCACGCGGTCACCGCGTTTGTTGTCGTCGGCCCGGTCCGCCGGTTGTCCCCCGGATGTATCTGTCTGGAGGGTCACAACTCGGCCACCACCAACAACGTCCTTCTCACCCATCCATCCACCCACTCTCTCGCCGCCCACATGCCGTCCTCACCGGCGGAACAGCCGCAGCGCACGTCGGCGACAGGTCCCCATCGCCGTAGCAGCAAGGCATGCGAAACATGTCGTGTCCGCAGGATCAAGTGCTCCGGGCCCCCGCCATGCCAGGGCTGTATCGCTGCGGGACTGGGCAGTTCGTGTGCTGTGCGTCTCAAGGCCAGACCCAAGCGGTAAGTGCAGTGGACGAGCAGCAGCCAGCAGCCCCTTGAATCTACCATCGCCGTCGCTGACAGCAGCTGCAGTGCACCCTCGGCCAAGCTGTTTGCGCGTCTGAGCAACAATGGCGGAACGGGGGCGGCCCCCTCGGTGGACGCCGGACCGTCCGGATCGGCGCCGACGCTCCCGCCAAGCATGTCCCACATGAGAGATGAAGGGACGCGGACAGTGTACAGGAAGCGTAACCCACTCGACGAGGTGGAGGGTGCGCTCGCTATCTGGTGTGCAAACAAGGGTGAGCAAGCTGGCGTATGGCGGATGTCAGCTGAACCCCCACAACAGGTGTGCCCTTCTCCCAACTCGTGTTCAAGGTCGACACTCGCCTCGCCGGCCTGCCTTCGACGGCCTTGCCGCCACCCAACTTGTTGCGTGACTATGAAGACGGCTTGATTGAGACATTCTTCAATTCGCCAGAGTATCTAGACCGTCACACCGACCACCGCGAGACGATCCGGTCCCTGTTTGCTCGTTACCGTGCAGTTCCGGGAAGCTTGACAGAGGTGAGCTCTTCATTGATCTGCATGAGCTGACGGACCCACAGGACCAACGTGCGCTTGTCTATGCCATCTTGTGTATGGCTCGGTACCTCCAGATCAAGTCCAACATCAACGCCGGGACACCGCACGCGACCACCGAGGCCACGCGCGAGGACGTTACGTACTACCACATGGGTTACGATGCCTTGGCCACTTGGGCTCGGCCTTCGTTGACTGCTATATGTGAGTTGCAATGTTTGTGATAGCCAACTGACTCTGGTTCAAGGGGCCCTCTTCTACCTCGTTCCTTACACCCTTGGGATGGGCGGCTGGGCCGAGACCAAGGACCTCCTTCAGCAGTGGGCGTGGCAGATCAAGGAGCTCGGCTTGCACCGCCAGGACACGGCCTCGCTGTACGCACCGCACGAGGTCGGACAGCTGTTCTTTGCCTACTTCTACACGGACATGTGAGTCAAGAGCTAGGGACATCCACCTCGGGGTGCAGCGATCTGCACCGCCCACCCGCGGGAGGTCCCTCTGCTTCAATCCCTTCCACTTGTATAGCAGACACTGACAGTGCAGTCTCCGCGCGTCCATGACAGACCTCCGCCCCTTACTCCCTCTCACCGAAATCGACGTCGACCCAACTCCAAGTGACAAGGAGTGGGCGTCCTTCCAGAGCCGCGTGTCAGACTTCAACACTCGGTTCCTTGCCGATTTCAACGATCCGACAGTGGACACTGGCGCGATGGACTATGCGGCCGCTGCAGAGTCGACCTGGTTCGGATACGTTCGTGAACTGAGGCACTCGATGCCTGCCGACGTCCCACGTGCCAAGATTTCCTGGGCACAGTTCCGTTACAACTGGTGCGTCCTCGCCCCCACCCCCCCCCCCCCCGCAACCTCTCTCGTTCCACACTCACACCTCCCATAGGCTCCGCATTCTCTTGTATATCCCACTCATCAACAACCCGCCATACCAGCCGGTGGCCTTTGGCATGATCACGCGTGCCGTTTCGCAAATCTTCCAGTCGTACAGCGACCTCGTGGCGATTGGCAACCTCAATCCCAGTTGGCCGCAGCTGCAGCGCTTGGTCGTCTGTGGCCAGCTGCTCATCCTGTGCCACGAGGCAGGTGAACTGCACCGCCGCGAAGCGACGCTCCTCTTCCAGATGCTCCTCGAGTTTCTCGAAAAGCACCTCGACACGTGGCCCACATGTGCCGAGCTCATTCTTGGATACCAGGCTGTGGCCAAGGCGTTTGGTAAGCTGTCACATTCCGAGGGAGATAAAGCTGACACTCTGCAGATATTCATCTTACCCCCGATTTCGAGTTGCCGACCCTCGGTGACGACCCGGTGTTTGCGCTTCACGAGGTCCACCAGTGGCCGCTGATCCCGTATGGGTTGGACCTGGACTTTGACCTCACCCTGTTTCCTTGAGTAGCATGTGGCTGATGTGTATGTATGACGAGAGCTGCAGTGGGAACACGAACCAGCAGAAAAGACATTTGCATACTTGCAATACGGTTTGACTTCAACTTTTGATTAACTCTTTTTCAATCGCTTAACACTTCATGTCACTTGAACCATTGAACGCGAGGCAACTTGGGCTCCACCACTCCACCCACACACTGCCACTCGGGTAGCGCGACTAGTGAGGGATCTGGCCGGGGGGAGGGCCAAAGTATCCCAGGGTCTCGTTGATCTTGAACGGCGAGCACGCGGCGTTGTTCCAGTTTCCAATGCAGCCCGGTGCGCCGCCGGTCGTGCCCCACCACGAGGGGAAGCTGACACCGGGCAGCGTGAGGGACACAAAGGTGAGGATGGCGCTGATGGGGTACGACGAGCTGATGGCGCCGAGGGTGACATAGTTGTAGCGCGACCAGAACTCGAGGTAGTGGACCTTGAGGAAGTTCCACGAGAACCAGTTGATGCACACGCCCGGGAAGTACGCGCCCCAGTGGCCACTGCGTGGTGTCAGCTGAAGCAGTTCAGAGTAGGTGGGGATGATGGTACTGACGTGATGAAGTAGCCGAACGCGAGCGTGATGAGCAAAGGGTGGGTGGACTGGAGGATCTTGGAGCGGGGGAAACGCTTCTTGAGGAAGAAGAACACTGGTAATTGGTCAGCTCATGTGGTTGTTGTCTTGTTCCTTTTACTCACTGATGGGGATGGCAACACCGAGAGGGAAGCCGATGAGGAGCAGGCGGTAGCGTCCGTTGGGCCCAAAGAGGCGCTTGGCACCGATAGTGCCCCAGAAGATGAACGCTAGGGGTGGTCAGTTGGAACGTTCCAAGCCACAAAGAGAGGGTACGTACAAGTGTAGTTGTACTGCTCGTCGGGGCAGATCAGGCGGAAGGGCGCGTCGGGCGTGCAGATGCCGGGAAGCGCCATGAGCCACTCCCACTGGGAGACGGTGAGGACAGTGCCGATGACCGCGCCCCACATCTGGGCAATGAACATGTGACGAGGCGGGATGTGGACGTATTGGCCGAGCTGGAGTGAGGTCAGCGATGCAATGCAGCACAGTTCGGCCACCTTACCTTGAGGTCGTTGGCGTAAATAAGGGCGTGGTACACGGGCTCGGAGCCAAACATGCGGAAGTACTGCACGAACATTGTGTCGCCACCGGCGATAAGACCCCCAAACATCTCCGAGATGACGTTGAGCGACGGCTGCATGCCCGAGATGGACGAGACGATGCCGATCGGGATGATGAAGATCAAAGTGATGATGGGGGCAGCGAGGACGACTGCGGGGTTGACGGGCGTGTAGATGCCCAGGCAGAGGAACGAGACGAGCGCAGCAAAGGCAATGATGCAGAGGAACTGGGGAATGGTCAGCACTGGACCCCCCATGTATGCCGGCTCTCGTCACTGTACTCACCCACCACTCCGGGACTTCGGGGTATGCCTGCATCAGCTTGCGGTGGATGTCGGGGTTCTTGAGCTCGAGCGCCTCCTCCTGGGGAAGCTTCCTCATGCGGCGGAACCAGTTCTTGAAGTCACGGAAGAAACTCTTAAAGCCCATCTTCATCTCGCCGTAGTTGTAGAGGAGGGTGTGGGTGAGGGCTGTAACAGGTGTTAGCGACTGTGGCCCGGGAGCATTTATTTTCCGACGATTTTTTGTCGGTTTTATTATTTTATTTTAATAATAAAATCAAAATATCAGACTCACTCGACGCAGTGAACATGAAGCAGCCAATAGTCGAGACAACAGTCGCGGCAGACATGTAGGGAGCAGAGTACTCTGTGAAATGTCAGTTGTGGGCTGGACAGCGTCACTTACTCTGGTACTTGGCCTCGTCGAGGACACCGTTGGCATCGATAATGTTGGTGACCGAGTATGAGCTGCCAGTGTTGTCGTAGGTCGTAGAGGCGTTGACCGGAAGGTAACCAGTGCTCCAGCCGTTACGAGACCACACAATAAGAGAGCTGTTGACGATCAGCAGGTCGTCCGTTTTCTCAAAGGCTCCACTGTACTCACACAACCATACCAGCAGTGATTCCAAGGAAGTAGTTGTAATGGATAAACTGAGGGTAGTATCCGCCTTGGAACTGTCAGAAATGCCCCAACCGCACAGGATGTACTCACCAGGGTTGGTCAGATAGGCGTAGTCAAAGGTCGACAGTGGGTTGAAGCCGAAACCAACACTCCAGTTGGCGCTGACAACGGCGACAAGCTTGCCGTTGGTGGGCTTGATCCATGCCATCCAGTCAAAGATCTGAGGCGTCAGTGGGGGGCAGTGGAGCAAACAGACCACTTACAGTGAGGTTGGTAAAGATGTACGAGGGGAAGAAGTAGTAGCTGCGAGCGTCAGTTTGTTTCAGCCGCAGAGTGGTGCACGAACAAGAATTCGATGCCGAAGACGATCCAGAAGCACTTGTACATGCTGGCACGCCAAGTCGTGCCGAAAGGACCCTTGACGGGAGTCTTCTCACCGCTCTTCTCGTGGAGAGCGTTGTTGATGGCAATGGTACCCAGCGAAGCGGGCCAAATGCAGTACGACGGGTAGACGAGGAAACGCCTGGTCAAGCCGGCAAAACCGAAACCGATAAGGTTGGTACCGAGGGCACCAAGGAACTGGTATCCAGGCTTACGGGCATACTCCATGTTGAAGTATTCTGGGGACGTCAGATTCCTACACTCAAGACGTTACTCACGGGGCATGGCCTGAACGAAGATGAGGTGCTGGGTGGGAGGGTACGTCACACCAAGAACGGACATGACGTAGATCAACATGTGTTCCTTCTTGTTGAATTTCTGGGCTGGATCAGCGTATGCCTCGCGCCATGTACAGTAAACGCACGCCGGGGTTAAGGGGGAGACCGAAAATGTGCCAGTGGGGCATAATCTTGGCCCACGCCACACCGAAGGGGTCTACAGTTGTCAGCAATCGATTCAGTCCATTTGACGTACACGACAGGAGCTGCACCATGCCCGCAGAGATACCGATACCAGGGTATCGGAGTCCGAACACTGCGTTGATAACACAGCCAATGCCGGCCAGGACAGTGCCGAGGACAAAGACACGGATGGTGAGGGATGGCATCTCCGGGTCGTCTGTGTCGGAAGCCACAGCACGGACCTCGGCGTACGGCGAGCTGGTGGTGGACAGAAGAGTGGAAATCTGCATCTCGTACACCAAGAGGGCGTGGCGCTCGGGGTTGGCGATGACGTCGGGGTCCTGTGTGAACATCCTCATCCTCTCAAGCTCGTCAGGCGAGTACCTGGGATCGTTGAGGTGGATAGGGTAGAGGTCGCTCATAATCTCCCTAGCCTTGGTGATGGGCATCTCGGGGAGCTTGGCCTCGAGAGCGAGGAGCTCATCGTGGGTGAGCGGGACGTGACCCGAGGCGAGGAGCTCGGATGCAAGGTCGGCGTACTCCTTCTTGGAGAAGTCGTCTACCTCGTTGCCGGCGTTTTCCTGATGGTGTGTGAGAATGGAGACAGGACAAACAACAAAGACGAGCCTGTGCAGGAAAGGGCCAGGGCCGGATGTGGCGGGCCCGGAACGTAGCCGATGAAAACGGGGGGAGAAGGCACGGTGCGACTTACCACCCATTCAGAGACTCCAGGAGCCTCCTTGTCGTTGATCTTCTCGTCTATCGTGACCATGATGATCGTGTGGCAGGGACAGGGGATAAAGTGCTGCTACAACGTAGATTATATGTAGCCACAAGAGAACCTCCTCACCTCGGGGCCCGATCACGACCCAGACAAACTCAAAGATGCATTGTCCAGGCACCACACCAAACCAAATGAAAGCGGCTTCGCCGGGCCGTGAGCCCGCGTAATCCCCCGCAAAGCATGACCGGAGTCTCCCTTCTGCCCTTTGGTGCCCCCCAGCACGTCTCCACATCTCCGGTGGACCCCACATGTATCCTGCAATCTCCAATCCACAACCTGCGAACGGGAACTCGACGATCAGCGAACGGGAACTTGTTGATCAACGAACGGGAATGATGGTGGTCATGTGCGCCTAGGTTTGCGCACGAGGCACGTTGGTTGGTCGCCGAGGAGCGGACAAGTGAGCGGGCCCCGCCAATTGAAAAAGCCGAGCTTCCGATGACGACCAACAGCGACGTCAAGAACGGGAAGAGTGAGCACCTCACTCGCAACGAACGGGAATGTAGGTCGCCGCAGGAACTGTTGTGGCTGTTGTGGCTGTCACATGCCCCGGGCCTGCCTCGGTCCGCCTCGGTGGCGTGGCTTTCTCTGCCCCGCGGGGACACATGTGCCACAGCATGCACTGGATTTGGCGGTCACTGGGATTGAACTACTGCAGAGCCATTCGAATCGTTCAGATAGCTGGTGTAGGAAGGATGAGCTGCATTGACAGCACTTGGGCATGGAAAGCGGTCAAAGATCGAGCCTGACGCTCATCCGCCAGTAACCAGCAGGCCCGACCCCGTATGGACCAATGCGGGGGAGGAGAATGAACAGTTTTGCCGAGTAGCAGCCAAGCACACGTTGCTCTCAGGACACCCGCATGCCCTGCATCGTGGATCTTGGAGCTGCACGGACGGTTGTACGAACGGGAATCGCGGGTATCCATTTCAAACGCCAACTCGGTTTGCAACAGGATGTTGTGGCAGTAGCCTCTGAAAACCCGGGGATGGTCCGAGCTTTGCGCGTACGAGCGTGTGATCGAGCCGGGCCGCCATTCCGCCATGCCCTTATCGGGCCCCGGATGCTTTGTGTTGCTTCCCCATGTCCCAGATGTCCCTAATGGTGGTCCGACGCTTCATAAACTGCTGCTCGCGGCTCCTCTTCCAGCCCGTAAACCACCAGTGTTGACCACCATGGACATCAGTTATTCTCCCGCCGAGTACGAAGACCCTCAGCCCGGCCGCAATGCCCTCCCAGCGCGAGCATGGACGGACTCGTCCAGCGCCGACCGTTTGTCGCTCAACGGCGACTGGCGGTTTCGGCTTTCACCCATCGCACGTGTCCCTGAGGACTTTGCCCACGCCGACTATGACGACGCCGCGGCCAAGGGATGGAGCGACCTGCCTGTCCCGAGCCATTGGGTTCTCAATGGCCACGGTGCACCAATCTACACCAACGTCCAGTATCCGTTCCCCGTGAACCCGCCGTTTGTCCCCACAGAGAACCCGACCGGCGACCACCGCTTGTCGTTTGAGCTGCCAGCCTCATGGAAGTTGACCGAGGGCAAGGTGCGTCGGCCGAACGCGAACAGAAAGAAGGCAAAAAAACTGACTGCCAAGACCGTTCTCCGCTTCGACGGTGTCGAGTCGTGGGCTAAGATCTGGGTCAATGGCGTCGAGCTCGGCACGACGTCCGGAAGTCGCCTCCCTGTCGAGTTTGACGCCACCGCCGCTCTGCATACGGGCACGAACGTTGTGGCCGTCCGTGTCCACCAATGGTCCGCTGCCTCGTATGTGGAGGACCAGGACATGTGGTGGCTTCCAGGCATCTTCCGCGATGTGACGCTGGCCCATCGTCCCGTCAACTCGGTAGCGGACCACTTTGTGCACGTCGCCTACGACAGTCAAACCGGCACAGGAACCCTCAAGGTGGACTCGTCTCCGGCCGGTCGAGTCCTTGTCCCCGAGCTCGGCATTGACGCTGCCACCGGCGAGTCTGTCACTGCCACAGTTGAGCCGTGGACGGCTGAGACCCCACGGCTGTACCACGGTGAGCTCGTGACCGACGGTGAGCGGGTCCCGTTGTCAATCGGCTTCCGTACCGTGGCAATCGAAGACGGTCTCGTCAAGGTGAATGGTCAACGCATCCTCTTCCGCGGCGTGAACCGCCACGAATTCCACCCCGACACGGGTCGAGCTCTCACCCGCGACACCATGCTGCAAGATGTCCTGTTGATGAAGAGCTACAACATCAACGCAGTGCGCACCAGCCACTACCCACCTCACCCGTACTTTCTCGACCTATGCGACCAGTACGGCCTGTGGGTGATCGACGAGGGCGACATGGAGGTGAGCCACAAGAGAAGTATCAGACACCCCACTGACCTGTACAGACCCACGGCTTTGCCGACACGGGTGCCGCCGACTACTGGAGTGGCAACCCGATTGATTCAGACATGTACACCGACGCACTCCTGAACCGCACCGAGCGCATGGTCGAGCGCGACAAGAACCACCCGTCGATCGTGATGTGGTCACTGGGCAACGAGTCCAACCGGGGCAAGAATATTGGCCTCATGACCAACTGGATTCGGCAGCGCGACCCTTCGCGCCTCGTCCACTACGAAGGCGGAAACGAGGGCGACACGTCAGCAGAGCACACCGACGTGTTTACCCTCATGTACACTCCGCACGACGTGGTCGAGAAGATTGGACAGTACAAAGAAGAGCCACTGGCCGACGCTCGCCTCGATGCGCATCGCCGCAGCCTTCCATTCTTCATCGTCGAGTATGCCCATGCGATGGGTAACGGCCCAGGCGGCATGTCCGAGTACCAGCGCCTCTTTGAAAAATATCCCCGCCTGCAGGGAGGGTTCGTCTGGGAATGGATCGACCAGTGTTGCCTCAAGACGAACGCCGATGGCCGTCCGTACTGGGCCTATGGCGGCGACTTTGGAGAGGAAGTGCACGACAGCAACTTTGTGGCGGATGGTCTCTTGTTCCCCGACCGTACGCCCAGCCCCGGCTTGATCGAGTACAAGAAGGTCATTGAGCCGGTCCAGATCACCGGCGACGCCGCCAAGGGCGAGGTCACTATCCACAACACGTTCAACTTTAGCGACCTGTCGTCTTTGGCCTTTACCTACAAGCTGGAGCGTCTCAACCTCGAGCAAGTCCAAAAGATAGAGGGTACCCTCCAGGTGCCACATGTCGCCGCTGGACAGTCGGTTGTGGTCAAGCTTCCCGACGTCAATGTTCCCGGAAACGGCGAGGCTGTCTGGACCATCACAGCCAGCCTTGCCGCCGATACGCTTTGGCAAAAGGCCGGGCACGAGGTGTCGTGGGGTCAGTTTGCCGCTGCCCCAGCGGCTTCGGAGGCCCCGCAGACCAATGGTGGCGTCTCACCATTCGTCCCTATCGTCAATGAGACCCTGGGTACGGTAAGCGTTGGCCCAGCCGTCTTCAATCTCAGTGATGGCCAGCTTTTCCAGCTTGGTGAGCTCGCAGTAGAAGGCTTCAAGCTGGACATTTGGCGTGCCCCGACCGACAACGACAACGGCTTCGATTGGCCTACCAAGACCCGCCTGGCGACCTTTTGGCGCGACGCCAAGCTGTTCCTCGCCAAACACCGCCTGATCCGGGCTTCAATCGATGGCGACGCGTTTGTGGTCCACACCCGAGTCGGCTTCCCGGTCTTTTCGCGCGGGTTGCTCACGACGTATCGCTGGACTGCTGGGCCTAATGGCAGCGTCACAGTCTCGGTTAAGGTTGTGCCCGAGGGAAACTGGGGTGACCTGGTTCTGCCCCGCCTGGGCTTCCGCACGGGACTCCCAGCGGCGCTCGACCGTGTACAGTGGCACGGCTTTGGCCCCGGCGAAGCGTACCCAGACACGCGCGCCGGCGTCCAGCTTGGGGTCTACGACCGCACCATTGACGAGCTCCAAACGCCTTACGTCTTCCCACAGGAGAATGGCGCCCGTATCGATGTTCGCGCGGCAGAGATTACGGCTGGCTCGGGCCATGGACTGCGGATTGAAGGAGCGCCTGTTTTCGGCCTGACCGCGCGCCGCTGGACCTCCGAGCAGCTTGAAGCGGCACAGCACACGACCGACTTGGTGGCTGGCGACCATGTGTGGGTCAACATCGACTATGCACAGAACGGTATCGGTACGGGTTCGTGCGGTCCCCGCACCCTGCCTGGCTATGAGCTCAAGCCCGAGGAGACCGAGTTTTCGGTCACCCTCCGCGCCATCTAGAGTATATATGTACCCATGAATGTGTGACTCCGAGACCACAGATGCATGCATAAAACATCATTGGAGTCGAGGACAGGATTATGTATAACCAGAAGCGCAATATAAGGGTGTGGGGCACAGCTAACCGCCTATTAATTCTTCTCCTCCTCCTTGATGGAATCCTCCTCGGCGTTGTCGTCACTCTGCTTGTCTCCCAAACGCGTGTCCTTCAAACCCAGCGAGAAGGCAAGCAGCAACACCGCAATGCAGATACCCGTGATGCACAGGTAACGCTGCACCTCACGGTAGCTGTCATTGAGTGCGTCGCGCTCAGCAGTGCCTGGGGGGTAGCTGACAATGAACGTGAACGGGTCGGCATACGCCTCGCCCGCGAGGACGGTGGCGTTGGCGATGCCGCGCTTGTTCAAGTTGTTGAGAATGTGGCCGGGCATGGTGTTGGTCCAAATACCGCCGGCAATCGTGTTACCCAGCGCCGATCCGACGTTGTACGCGCAGTAGAAGAGCGACGTGACCAGTGCAGTGCGCTCGTGCTTGACCGCCGCCTGGATGAGGACTTGCGTCGGGTAAGGGAGCAGACCGCCGGCGATGCCGAGGATGACCTCTCCCGCGACCAAACCAGCAAAGTCCGAGGTGGAATAGCCGCCGCGGTACCGGATCAGAATGCCGAATGCGACAATAATAAGGACAGCACCGGCGACGATAAACGACTTGAGGCGGCGCACGTATCGCACAATGATGGAGAGCGTAAAACCAATGACCACGGAGACAAAACTGTACACCATGGTGACACGGGTGGCCGAGATAATGTCGCTGCGGTGTGAGCTAGTGTCAGGCATTTGTGCTACTCACCGGTTAAAGGCGATGACTAGCGTGTAGTACAGGTAGTCGCCCTGGCAGTACCATGAAGTGTTCAACAAGGCCGCCATGGCGAGCGCGCAGAAGATCTGGCGCTCCTTCAAGAGACGCTTGGGGAACAGTGGGTGGCGAGCAAACCTGAGCTCCCAGACAACAAACAGGGGGAGGGCAACCACAACGCCGATCACCAAAGGAGTAATGACGTGAGCCGTTGCCCAGAGGCTCTTGGTGCCACCGGCCAGAGTAAAAGGAATGAGGATGAGGGCGAGGGTGGCCGCCAGAAAGAAGAGACCGATGGCGTCGACCTTCCAAAAGAAGTCATTCCAGAGGGAGACGCTGGCCAACTTGAGCTCGGGGAGACCTTCAAAGTTACCCTGGCGCTTGGCGCGCACCTGAGCATACCAAAAGATGCAGGCAAGTGGCAGGGTGATGACGGGGAAGAGGATGGCCCACATGCCGATACCCCACTGCCAAGACACGGCCGAGGTGAGGGCGGCGTTGGCGACGTTGCCCGAAATCCACGCGTTGATGAGGAAAGGCGCAGCGGGGATGTACGAACAGAAGAGTCGGTTGCGGAGGCTCGAAGTGTCGGCGATGATCACTTCGACCAAAAGTTGCACGCCAGTGTAGCCGATCTGGTTGAGGAGACCGCCGCCGGAAAAGGCGCCAACATTGTTGGCGGTCGCCTGCACAATAATGCCGAGAGAGTAAAAGAAGATGCAAATGACAAGGATGCTGATACGACCAAAGTAGTCGGACACTTTGGCGTAGACAGGCTGGACACAGGCAGCCACAATGGAGCGGACGACGGTCACCGTCGACGTCTGGGCGGAGGCACCGAATGCGGCGAGCGCGTAGACCTGGAACGTGTTACGGAGTGTGCCATCGAGACCATAGGCGTCTGGGGGTTCTGTCAGCTGGGGAAACCTTCCGGACACTCACAGGCTACCAGGAAGAGGGAAAAGAAGAGGATGACCTTGTGCCAGCTCGTAAACGTCTTGGCGATGGCCTCGACACGGAGGACACCGGGTGACTTGTCGTCGGCATCGGGAAAGAAGTCCGAGTTACTGGGAGCAATACCCTTCTCTTCGAGGTTGGCGGTGTTCTGCTCGTGATCGCCAGAGACCTGCTGGTCGGCGAATACCTGTGGGGCAGCAACCGACATGGTTTCTTTTTCTTTGTTGTAAAGGCATCGAACAATTTTCATGCAGCCTCGTCTTATATGGGAGGTTTCGAGGCTCGCGTATCAGATAAAATTGTGTCCGAACCATCTCTCTCATTGGCAAAAGCAACAGCGGCCTCTCCATCGGCCGTGCTTCGGCTCCATCTTGCTGCGTCCCACAGGGGCCACCACGGAAGCCACGCCAAAGCTTCGGGGCCTGTGCTCAAGTGCTCAGCGGGTTTGCTTTATTCTGGAGCAATCCAGCCCATGTGGGGAGGCCAAGAGCACTGCTGCTAGGTAACCGGGCCGCGTGCAAGGACACCGAGTGGCGTGATTCCTGAACACCGTTGCCAAGACTGGGTCCTCTTGCGACCTGTTTCGGCCGATTAGGTTTATTCCACCTGACATCTCGACAAGTTTGTGACGCTGAGACTGCAAGGGTTCCTGGGACCACCGGTCTTAGGAAGGAACAGAGGTGCACCACCGAAGCGCCGAGCTGCTGCAGTTCTCGGTGCCAAGCTGGTTGTGGTGACTAGGCGCCAAGCGCAGGGTGGCCACCGGTCGGCCGTTCACGGTCTGGGCCTCCACGTTTTTCTACCGGGTCCATCAAACGAGGCACAATGCGGCCCGTTGAGGGAAGGAACGATGAGTCATTATTCAGTATACACCTTAAATTTGACGCTGAGCGTCATATTGTTGATGCTGGTGGAACATCGGGATCCCGGTGAGCACAGTGACCGTTCGCTTCAACCCCGTCAGAAAATCGTAAATGCCTCCGAGACTGATCGGCAGCGATGTTGAACCGAGATAACGGCGTCCACCTACGTGTTTGCACTATTTGCTGCCACAAACACTCACTGCCGTCTCGTTCACGTCAAATGGTCCTCTGGACTGGCACTTGGGTTTGAACTGTCCTCACGCCACAGCGTTTTGAAGAACCATGCATCCAAAACGGTCCAAGAACCGGTGTTGCCTGACCGGCAAATGCTTGGCATATCTGATAAGGGTGCGCACGTCTCAAAAATTAACACGTAATATAACACGGCTCAACTCGGCGAATCTCGGCGTTGTGCCTGGCGGCCGACCGACCGCCGGCATTTGCCGCTTAGTGCTAGCTGCTAGCTCATGCCAAGGTCTCACCAGCGGGTCTCCAGCTGGTCACCACACAGTCGCGATGGAGATGCTGCTGCAATGAACATACATATCGCCAACAACGAACTCGATACACCTCATGCGCGATTCACCGACACTGAGCACCGAGGCTGGGGACAACGGAGCTGTTGCGCCGTCCGATGCACACGCGACAGAGCCGAACAGAGGTGGCCCTGATGCCGACGCGGTCTACTGGGAGATGCCATCTCGTGAGGCCCGATACGCAGCTGCAACTGACCTCCACAGGTGCCTGCGTCAGTATCGCTTGTGCAGTCCGGTTCCTCCTCACTCTCCTGGATGCTTACCCACACTCTAGGACGCGTGCCGTCGTATGAAGATTCGCTGCATCAACAAGGAGAACCCGCCCTGCCACCGGTGTCGCCGAAGCCGGATCCCATGTCGCTTTGAGATGGGTGTGAACAAGGATAAGGGCATAGACAAGAGCACAGAGAATCCTTTGGCTGTTACACACGACCGCGATGGTAATGGTACTCATGGGAGCAGCCGCGGACTGGATGACACCAGGAAGTGAGTGTGGCGGATACATGGTGGCAGCTGTTGACGGCAGTCGCCTCGACTCCCTCGAGGGCCAGGTCTCGACCGTTGTGCAGAAGCTTGACAATCTGACAAGTGTCTTGTTACAATCTCGAGGGAACGTTTCTTCCTGGAGCCCGGTCGACTGCCAATCGGAAACCCCGGTGCATACAAGGAATATCGGACGGCTGGCCATGGCGGCTGAGATGTGCACACCCCTCACCCTTCCCAGGACTGCCACGCCAGCCAAGGAATCGTCATACGGTTGTCCTGCGATTACCCCATCTGCGCACCACGAGGACCTGGCCAAAGATGACCATCTCAGCGCCACATCCTTGCCGATCCGACTTTCGGCCCAAGGTCGTCCGCACTTGCCGCTTTATGAAGAAGAAGAAGACGACGAGGACCCATTGGCCATGACCATGTCGATGGAACCTTTCCGTGCTCTCACTCGAGTGGAGCAAGAGGAACGGCTGAGGGCTGAGGGCCACCCTGCTGTGACAGGCGGTGGTGACAGGGGAGAAGATGGATCTGGCGCCAGGCCCGCCAAGAGACAGAGGACAGCCCAAGATGAGTGGGGCCCGTCACCCATCCGCGAGCTTCGCGGGCCCATGGACGCCACTGCTGCGGACCCCGTGACACTTGGGCTGTGTACTGAGGACGAGGGTATGGTGTTGTTTGACGCGTGAGTAAGAGCGTCGCTCTGTTCGCTGATGGCCAGGTTTTTAAAACACGCCAACGGGTTCATACCTGTATTGGACCCCGACGTAGACACTTGGCAATCGTAAGTCGGATCATGGGACGAGGGCTAACAACGACCCAAGCCTGCGTAAACGGTCTCCCTTTCTCATCACAGTCATTATCTTTGTGGCATCACGTGCTCACACGGCGGCGGGCACACCTGGCCACCGAGCAGACTTCTCCAGACAGTGCCAGGAGTTGGCAGAGCACATGGGTAGGTGGCGATATGAAATGTCACTGACTCGTGGTGCAGCCCGCCTCACCCTCTTTTGTGCAGTCTCCACGCTGGAGACTGTACAGGGCCTGGTAATCTTTGCGTCCTGGGCTGAGAATGCATGGCGGCCAGGTTGCCATGCCATGACGCTTGCGTACGTTCATGCAGTATGGCAATGTCAGCTCACCCTCCAGCGTCGACATGCGTCTCTACCTTTGCTTGTCCTCCCTGCATAAGATCCAAGCGAGTGCACGTGCGCCCAACAGCATGCTCGAGAAGCAACGACCGCTCGTCGCGGGTGCTCGAGTGTGGCTTGGTGTCCTCAAGCTGACATACGAGTGGGTTTGACCAAAAAGAATGATCCTGACGGTCCAGAATGTCGTATAATAACGCACTCCCCGTACCGTTTGCTTCTCCACTGGCCGAAAGTGCCCAGTACGCACGGGAGTTGCTCGACCATCCGTTGTCCAACATCTACGACAGCCGCTGCGTTGTGACCGTCGAGATGCTGATGACGCGTGGTAAGTGTATTCACAACACTTGGGAACAGCGTTTAACTGGTAGAATCGCTGTACAGGCCCTTTCAGCCGCTTTCCACTCGATCCCCAGAACAAGTCGACGCACTGCTGCGCGAAACAAACAGAATGATTAGGGACAACTACGAATACTGGACAGACTACTACGGTGGGTAACTCGGCACATCACAACTGACAGACGAGCGCGGCGCGGGTTGGATGCAGACCATTTTTTGGTCAAGGAGCGTGAGTCGATTGCCCTGTGCTGAACTGACTCTCCCAGTCGGTAGCCAAAGGGCATACTGCTTGTGAGCCAACTGCTATGCTCCTTCAACCTGACAGCAGCATCTATGGCAACTCGTGCGCCTGGAATGGTGTCAGAACCGCCGAGGACGCTCTGCTTCTCTCAAGCGAACGTCGCCAGTGGCTCGCCACAGCTGTACGCTCCGCCGCGTACCTCGTCTCTAGCATTGGCAGTGGTAAGCAGATGAAGGATTCGGAATTTGCAAACCACTACTTTCGTAAGGATGACCGTATACCTGTACCAGATACTGAAACCGTATCGCAGATCTCGGCATCGTGTCCACGGCGCACTACTTGATCCGCGCTTGCGAGCTGTTGCCTGAGGCGTGCGAGTTGCACCAAGTCAGCGTCGACCTCGACAAACTCCTTCTCAAGCTGCCGCAGTGTGAGCTGTCATACGCCCAGTCATGCTGATCAGGAAACAGACCCCGTCGAACAGTTTGCCCAGGTATTGCGTTCTGCGCTCCACAAGGCGCGGGCAGATGGTGTCCTTCCGCACACCTCGTCCTCAGCCACAGTCGACATGCCAGTCCGGGACAGCGCGGTGACAGAGGTGCTCAATGAGGACAACCTAGCTGCTCTCGACACGGTGGCCATGGGATCCATGGCGCACATGATGCCTGGCTTCATCTCGTTCCCCTGGAACGACAGTATTCCCCCTGTGGCTCACCCCACGCAATCCGGTCATGACCAGGAAGTGGCCGGGTGGGACAACATGGTTTGGCTCGAGGTATGTGAAAAGTGGTACCTATCCGACTGACAGTTAGAACTTCAACCTCGAAGCGTGGTTCCCCTCAGACTCGATATAGCTGAATGTATCATTCTTGCATGTACCGTCATCGTCCAGCGCATTAGGTCACCCTGGTGACCCACACCACCTGGCTCTGGTAGTCTGCCACCTTCCATTGCAAGCACAGACCAAAGTTGAGCAACTCTGTGCCTGCGTGCACTTTTCCGCCTACATCGTACAAAGCGGCAGCGTCGATACCGACAAACCGGATGGGCGGGATGTCAATGCGGATGCGTGCATGGATCTGGAAGGCGAGGAGGACGCCCTTTGATCGGTCGCGTGCGAGGTAGAACACGGCTGGATAGTTGCTCGCTGGGTCTGCCAGGCGGAACTGGTCGCCGCCGACGACATAAGGGTTGACCTCTTCGGCCAGCGCAATCATGGCTGGGATGTACGCACGGTCGTCTTCGTTGAGCAGTGCGAGATCGAACTCGAACCCAAAGCTGCCGCCCATCATGGCGACGGTGGCACGAAAGTCGAGCGGTGTCGTTCTGCCGACTTGATGGTCGCCCGACGATACATGGCAGCCCATGGCGGAGGCCGGATACGCCAATGTACACCCCCATTGCGATAAGAGACGCTCGAGGCCGTCCGTGTCGTCGGACACCCAGTTCTGGGGCCAGTAGTGGAACATACCTGGGTCGAAGCGGCCGCCTCCAGACGCACACCCTTCAAAGAGGACGTCGGGAAACTTGTTGGTCAAGACGTCGAGAACACGGTAAAGGCCGAGGATGTATCGGTATGCGGTTGCAGGCGATGGCAGCTCGTGCATGGCTCTGTTGTTATCCCACTTGACGTACGAAATGTCGCCTGACGAAAGTACCGCTTCCACGGTGCTTATAATGTGATCCTGGACTTGCACTTTGCTGAGGTCTAGCACGAGCTGCTTGCGGCGCAAGGTACGTGGTCGATTGGCCGCATGGAGGACCCAGTCTGGGTGGGCTTCGTACAGCTCGGACGCAGGGTTGACCATCTCCGGTTCGATCCAGAGGCCAAACTTGAGCTTTGTGGGGTTGCTCTCAGTCGTGACGTCGATGGCAGTAACATCGGCGATAAGTTTGGGGAGACCCTCGGGAAAGCGTGCCGGGTTTGGTACCCAGTCGCCAAGACCGGCGTCTTCATTGACGCGCGGATAGCGCACGCCAAACCATCCGTCGTCCATGACAAGAAGCTTGACTCCAAACCCAGCGGCGCTCTGCGCACGAGCGTAAACGTCCTTGGCCTCAAAGTCGAAATACATGCCCTCCCAGATGTTCATAAGAGTCGGGCGGGGTTCGTGTACCCAACGCGACCGACACAGGTGGTCGCGGTACAGCCTGTGCAAGTGCCGAGACATGCCGCCAAGTCCGTTGGCCGAATACACCGCGACTCCCTCGGGGCTGTGGAACGTCTCGCCAGGTGCTAGTGGGTATGACAGGTGCAATGGGTTCAGGCCCGCCAGAACACGGACGCGGTTTGTTGAATGCTGCTCCACTTCAAACGAAAACGAGCCGCTCCACACCAAACTGAAGCCGTAGGCGGGGCCGTGGTGCTCTGTCGTCTCGGGTGATACCATGGCCACAAACGGATTGAAGTGGTGGCCAGCGTACCCGGTGGAACTGTGGAATCTGGTCGAATCAGTATGCTTCACGTCATCGACACTCACCCTTGGACACCAAGATGTACGGGGTGCCGGCTCTGTCGCATCTCGCGGCCCCATTCGCCCGTGAGTTGGACAAGCTCCCACTGCGTTCCGAGCAGGTCGATCGAGAAGCTTGCCGCGCGTTGGATCTGGACCGTCTGCTGGCTGTTATTCGTGATGGAAAACGAGCGGGTGATGGCGTTGGTGGCAGGGAAGATCGAGTAGCGCAACTGTGCCACGAGGTCGGCCTCGGTATCGGCCATGTGAATCAAAAGAGTGCTGACATCGTGATCGGACCCCCACGTAGAGGGAAGACCAGGGATAGCGGGTTTTCCAGCGACGACCTCGTGGCCGACGTACTTGAACGCGCTCACACAATGTCCGGCAGCATGTTGAACGTGAATGGCCGGGAGACGAAAGTCACCGCGCCCAGCGTCGGGCCATTCACGGGAGACGTCGCCCAGCATAAGGGCCCATCCCTCGCGATCGGCACTGAGGTCCACAGGCTGGTGACGGGCAGGAGCTGGCGCGCCAAAGTGATCGTGGACCAGCTCGCCGTCGGAAACGTGAAAGCGGTACTGAATACCGGTACTGTGGAGAGAAAAGATGCCATCTTTAGTCGCCCGGATGCTTCCCAGAAAGGCGGCTTTGCCAGTTGCTGGAGAGCGTAAGCGCCAGTTTGGCTGGTGGCTCACCGGTGCCATTCGCACTATTGTCGGTTTTGATGTCTGTGGGTGTCACGACCGTCATTGTGAGGTAGCGCTGGGTCGAAAGAGTGTGGATTGTGGATCCCTCGGTTATAAACGCTCCCGTCCAGCCCACAGAACAGACTTGATGTTGGTCGGCATCCCTGACCGAATCTCACCTAGTTTGTCTGTGCAGTGCATTGCATCGACGGTGATTGCTTGAGACGTCGGTAGCCGTTCGGTGTCCCTCGGTGTCCCTCGGTGTCCCTCGGCCCATCTCGGTGTCGCTGACCCCGAGACACGGGTTGACAACGCGTTGGGCCCCAGCCTGTGATAGCCGCGGCCGCGACTAGCACGACTAGTGTACACGACTAGTCTCCGGTGCACTCTTGGCCTTGTCGTGGCAGAGAGGCTATATTAACGTCAACATGGGTCATTCCTCCCTCCTATCATCACATCCCCAATGACCATCAAGGACGACTCCAAGGGCAGTACCACCCACGTCGAGGTACTTGGCGCAGACTTCACCGCCCCCAGCGATGAGAAGGATGGCGCTTGGGTTCTAGACCGCGATGGAGCCATCAAGAGCGAGGAGCAGGAGCTCAAGATGTCGCTACTTGAAGGTCTTCGCGCGTACCCGAATGCTACGTGGTGGAGCTTTTGCATCTCGCTCTGCATTATCATGGAAGGTGGGTGCCTGGCTGGGTGCCGATCCTCACACTTTTTGCAGGATACGACTATGCCGCGATCGGCAACATCATCTCAATGCCGCAGTATCGCGAGCGCTTTGGCAACTATGTCGGTCCTACAGGCAACCCAGAGAACGACTATCAGTTCACTGCGGCCTGGCAATCCGCTATTGGACAGGCCTCCAATATTGGCTGTATTTTGTAAGTTCACTGGGCTATGATGTCTCGCTCATTCCCCAGCGGCATCTTCCTGTCGTCCTGGTGCCAGGACAGGTATGGCTACCGTCGTACACTTCAAGCGGCCTTGATTGCTCTTTGCGGGTTCATCTTCATCATATTCTTCGCCGTCAACGTCGAGATGCTTTTTATCGGCCAGCTGCTGTGCGGCTTTCCCTGGGGCGCCTTTGCCTCTGTGAGTGCCCATGCGTCGTGTGAGAGTCTGACTCTCAGTCTGCCGTCTCGTACGCGTCTGACCTAGCTCCCACGCCGTTGCGTGGTTACCTGACGAGTTGGGTGAACATTTGCTGGATCATCGGTGGTATTATCGGTAACGCGATCCTCAAAGTCTTCCTTATCCGCCAGGACGTGTACGCCTACAAAATCCCGTTTGCCATTCAGTGGGTCTGGCCGGTGAGTTAAACTGGAGACCGAATGAAGCATCTGACAGTCGCCCGCCAGGTCCCAATCTTTGTCCTTGTGACCTTGGCTCCAGAGAGCCCCTGGTTCCTCGTTCGTCGGGGTCGTCTCGAGGAAGCCAAGCGTGTCATTTGCCGCTTGGCCAGCAAGAACTCTCCCGTGGACCCCGACCACATGGTCGCGTATATGGTTCGCACGAACCAACACGAGGTTGAGGTGGCCAAAGGAACCAGCTACCTGGACTGCTTCAAGGGAGTCGACCTCCGGCGCACCGAGATTGCGTGCGCTGCTTGGGCAGCGCAGGCGACATGTGGACTGCCCTTTGGCGCCAGCGGAACTTACTTTATGCAGCAAAGTGGGTTCTTCAGGAGGAGCTGTGCTGACAGTCAGTGGGGATGGATACGTCGACGGCCTTCAATGTCGGCATTGCGCAGTACTGCATGGGACTGGCAGGAGCCCTGGTCGCCTGGTTTGCGATGATGGTGCGTTGCGAATTGTTTGCCGTCTGACACCTGTCCCAGAAATTTGGCCGCCGCACACTTGTCGTGTATGGCCTCTTGTTCTTTGTTGTCATGTTCATTATCGTCGGTGCCATTACCGGCCCGGCAACCCACAGCAGCGGTGCCCAGTGGGCCCAGGCATCCCTCCTGATGCTCTGGGTCTTTGGATTCGATGTCACTCTCGGTCCGATGGCGTACACGATCGTGGGTGAAACGCCCTCCACTCGCCTCCGCGCCAAGACTGTGGGACTGGCATGCAACGCCTATAATGTTCTGAACATTATTGCCGGCATCCTCAGCACGTACATGCTCAACCCGACCGCCTGGAACTGGAAGGGCCGCGCTGCGTTTTTCTGGGCCGGGGCCGCGTTTCTCACGTTGGTTTGGGCATATTTCCGCCTGCCCGAGTGCCGCGGACGCTCGTATCGCCAGCTGGACATTCTGTTCGAGCGTAAGATTCCGGCTCGTAAGTTTAGCGAGACTGTGGTTCGTGAGGAGGACGACTCGTAGGTGATCAGAGGGGGAGCTGGTACGGACCCGTCAAATTCAGTACGATAGGAATGGTTGTCGAAAGAAGAAATGCAAATGTGTGCCGTGTGTCAGGTGGTCAGCTAAACGCTGCATACGTCGTGGCAATGGTGGGTTACAAGGGCAGGTGGGTTGATGAATGCTGGGGAATGTTGTATGCGAGAAGGGTCGTCCTAGCGAGCACCGGCAGCGGCCCTGGCGGCCTCGAGGCTGGCCATGGCGTCACGAGTGATGACAGTCTCAAAGGCGTTGCTGACCAGCGCACCGTACATGGTGGTCGTGGGACGGTCAGCCGCGATGGGCTTACCGTCCGAACGCTGGCCAAACGTCCGCGAGAACGTCAAGCGGCCGCCCTGGACACCCACTGCCAGCCAGCGGGGGCCGTTGGAAAGGATCACCTTTAAGTCGGCCGCATGGGCAATGGCACCGCCCTCGAGGGCGAACGTGAACACGCGGTACATGGGGTCCTTGGGACCGACGTCCTGCCTGTTGGCGCGGAAGTGCATGGCGCCGTCCTGGAAGAACGAGACAAAGTCCGACGCAGACGTCGCCTTGTCCAGAGCGTCAAACTCGTCGTCGGTGATCGCGAGGTCGACAATGGCGCCAGCGGCAATAGACGCAACGTTGGTGCCACGGCGCTCATTCACAATGGCCCACGTGAACTTTTCGCCCTCGAGCTTGGCCTGGTCAATGTCCGCGCGGCCGAGGACCGGGTAGTTGGGGCGGAGAAAGAGCTGGACGTTGGTGGGCAGCTTGGTGACAAACACGGGAGAGAGCAGGAAGGCCTCGACAATCTTGGGGTGCTGGAGGTTGTTGATAACGTCCTCGACGGTGACGGACGGGGTCTGGACGGAAGTTAGGGGGGGAGCGGCGTGGTCGAGAACGTACAGTGGAGGCCATGGTGGATGAGGTGGAGCGGCTTGAGGTATCACTTGGAAGTGGTGCCGGTAGTGCGTGTCCTGCCAAGAGGTCGCTGTGGGGTTGCTGGTATCTGAGGGTATCTGGAGCAACGACGACGACGACACCAAGACGTTGTTGGATGGAAAAGTGGAGGAAAACAACGACGGAGGGAACGCGGGGTCCCCGATGTCACGTGACCTGCGGTACAGTGGCGCCATGATGGCAGGGATGAGGCAGAGTACTTGCAGTTAGCACACAGCACGGTTATATGCTCACAGCGGCCATGCTGACAATGGTGATTGTGAACAGCTGAACAGATTAGACCCGCCCAGTACTGCCATCGTGTGGGGACAACATTGTGCCATGTACCGACTTTTATCCAACCTGTCCGATTTCCGCCAGAGTCATGGTCCGACTGCCAGGCCTCAAGAGAGATCATGGGGAACAGTTGCTGCCTTTTGAATGGTGGGCGGGAGGGAGCTGTTGGTTTAATGCGCCTCTCACCTCTGTGGGATCTGTTTCTTGGCATGTTTGTTGCGGGACGTTTAGATGTATGTTGATCAGCAGTGGTTGTGGACCCCATCAGCGGTCGTGTGTGTTTGCCCCGCCTCGCTGGGGAAGGTCGGTCCAGTCAGCTAGCAGCACCTTTGAACTTGTACTCATCCTCATTTCCATCCACCTCCGTCTACAGGTGGGCTGCATGGGTCTGGTCCGCTCATCGCCTCCTCATCTCCTGGCCTCCTCCCCTCCCTCTTACTCACCGGCCACCACTGCCTGCCCGCGTGGCTTACGGCGACCATGTCCCGCGCGTCCTCATCGGTCGCGGCCACTTTCACCGACGCTACGCGTCCCCGCGTAGCTAGTAGTAAGTGGTATCCATCGTGCGCGACGTTGGCTGACTGTGGCCGCTGACGACAAGAACCACTTCAACAGCCCACAAGTGCTCCAAGACCAAGTCCAGCTGGCCGTGACTGCCTCGCAAGCGGTATGTTCCACCCTCTGGTAAAGGGCCCGCTGACCTTGTTGCCAGATCCGCAAGTCCTGCTCTGACAGTCTTTCTCTTTCTACCGCCACGGAGCGCCATGCTTCGCTGATTGCTGCCCTCGACACTGATCGTGAGGCCTATGCCGAGGCGCCCCGGGAGCACGGTGGAGACTTGGTGAGTGATGGATGGCCGGCAGCGAGGGCGAGGAACATTTCGCCAAGTGGTTCGGCCCAAGAGTCAACCTGTGGCAATTTATCAAGCAGCGTGACCACGAACCGTGGAAACAGCTCGTGCTTTTAGCCAGATACATCTTGACACTCAAGCCGGTGCTGGTTCGCACCTATTCAGCCCACGTCGCCCGTTACATCTTCAACGGCGCGCTCACCGGCATGTTTCGGTCGCAGCGACATGGGCGCCTTCCTCTCGGGATCGTTCAAGGGAGGATGGGAGGAGGTTGCTAAGTTTGTCCACGCAGATGTCATCGCGTCCGTGAGTTGTTGGTCTGGTGGGAAGTGAGCCGAACCAGGTAGTGGTTTTGCGACTCCAAAGCTCAGGCGGTCGATTTTGAATGCCCTCGTCCTCGCCGCGATGGTCGCGAAGATTGCCTCACAGTCCAGCTGCGGCAAACATGAACTCCAAGATTGGTCGGCCCGTAGCGATCCAAGTGGGACCCCCAAGCCAGAACTTTTGGGTCGTTTACATCTGCAACTACGACCCCGGCTGCCTCAAGTATGACCCTGCGAAAACTCGAGTGGCTCTCTCCCTCCTCCAGGCTGTCGAGAACATCAACGTCGCCGCCGAGGGCATCATCGTTGGCTACACCAAGGGAAATGGCCCGCCCCCCACTGCCAACAATTATGAATGGATCGTCGGCTGACGCGCTGCCATTGTGGAGTACCTCGAGTCAAACAACTTCACCAGCGCGCTGGACTCCGCTGTCGACGAGTACGACCGCCTTTCGGATGCTCTGGGAGCCGTGAGAGGCAAGACCCGCGACATGAACAATGTAAGTCGTCTTCCTTTCCCCATACTGCCGACGCTGACCAAGGAGCAGTCCAAAACATCGGAAATGATGTCGCACGCGAGGACTGAGGGAAACAAGCTTCACGTCCTTGCAGATGGTCTCGCATACTGGGCTGAAAGAAACGACCAGGCGGACCGCATCCTGGCGTTTGTCGCCCAGGCGGAGACACAGGCATGGTGGTGCCCCATTGCCTCCTGTTCGACCGTCACTCCGTTCAGCAGGCTCGCCAGTGGATCCTCTCCAAACCCACTGGCTACAACTTTACGCTGGACGTACAGGCCAGCAACAGCCATGTCGCCAGGAGCATGTTATTTTCGGAACGCAAGAGCGATGCGCTGGACCGCTTCGCCGCGTACAACCACGCACGACGAGAGCGGGAGTGGCGCTGCGCCATTGACGCAGAGGGCACGCGGCTCGACACGGGCCTCGCAGCTCACTGTGCTGTCGTGCGACAAGTGCGGCGGAGCAGGAGTCGTCACGACAGAGAACGGCGAACACTTCTGTCCCCTGAGCGAGCCGCTCTTCCAGAGGGTTCACAAGACGGAACTGTGTGAACGCCGTCTGCCCAGGCTCAAGGCGTCCGCTGCGGCTAGTGGTCTCATACAGCTCGGCAACCCCAAGATGTCGCCCCTGCCCATGCCAGAGCACAACGTCGTGCTGTTCAAGGCGCAAACCATCGCCACGGTCATCAAGCAGCTGCGTGGCACCCACACAGCCACTATCTGGCTACCCCTGCCTCAAATGCTCGTACTACGCCCTCCGCCCCAAGAGCTCCACCTCATGGGTACAGCATATGTACTTGCAGCGACAGCACCAAGGCCAAGCCCATTGTCAGGCCCGCCAGTTATCCGGCGTTGACGTTCTTTGACCTCGTGCTGAATGTGCAGCAGGTGGTGATCCATGCGTACTGCATGGCAAAGGACTCTGGCAAGGCTCAGCACGGCCACTCGGGGGAACAACTTGGAGAGTGCCTGCTGTGGGACGTCAGTGGGTGAGGGGGGCAAGGGCATGGCGTAGAACAGGTGGGACAGTGCAGGTAGAGGGGATGTATATAATCATGCGATTTGGTAGGCGCTCGGAGACTGCCTCTGAATGCAAAATGAATCATGTAGGACACCAAAGGCTGGCCACCTTGGAAGCGACCAAGCCCACAGGCTCTAGGTTGCCCGTGGCACATCCCGTCCCCGTGGCAGATATGGCGGCAGAACCGGTTTCTGGGCAGAGGCATCCCGAAAGGATGCTCCGGGCCACCCCACCAGCAGTCAAAAGTCCAGGATAGAGATACGACCGCCCGCTACGCGGGCGGTCGTGCTGGCTGTGCTCCTTGGCTCCAGCATGTGCAACTGAACGATGCATGGAGGGAGGAGGTAGTGAGGCGGAAGCATTGTGGCAGCTTCGGAAGCAATTCTGGTGGCAGGATCGGCACGCGCGTCAACTCCATCACCTCGACTCGGGCTTGGCATTTTGGCCCGTTTGCTGTCTACATCTGTGCACAACCGGCAGCAAGCTTTTGGGGCATGACACAGTATCATCTCGGCTATCCGTGGGTACCATTTTTGGCCCGAAAAGTGCCCTCCTTGACCAAACACGTCGGCGTTTTCCCCAGTCGTCCCCTCCTCATGAGTCCTCCTCCTTCTCTTCAACATCGGGCAATGTGGCGGAGTGGTTAACGCGATTGACTAGAAATCAATTTCCTTCGGGAGCATCCGTTCGAATCGGGTCATTGTCGATGTAGACGAGCTTGGGTAACACCGAGTGGTCGAGTCTTTTGGTGGCGGAGGGAAGGTGGAGCTGTGCGGGATCAAAGGCTCCACCGAGTTGAAGCTGATGTCGAAGCCGATGTCAGGCTGCTTCTGGCATGTACCCTGCTTCTGTGGCTGCGATTGTTGTCGGGGGAGTGAGTTTTGATCGGGCGTGTGCATTGCAGCAGGCTGCGTATGGTAACGCCACGGTCGATGGAAGTCGCCGGGATCGGGGACGAGGAAGGGTCCACTGACTTTACCCCGCTCAGTATGTTGATTTTGGCGGAACTAGGTCGGCTACAGGCAGGCCACAGGCCACAGGCTACAGGCTGGGCTTGCGCGTACCCTTGTCATCCTCCTTCGCCTGCACAGACTGTTGCTGCATGCTTCCAACGTCTACACAACCAGTTGGTTTACCCCGAAATGCGGATCAGCCGAGAATCCGGGCCCCCACATTTCTCGGCGCGGAGACAACCGATTGCCGGTGCGTCGACGGAGCCACGGAGCCCACCTGCAACATCGCCGCTCTCAACGACGCAACATGTCTCATTCACTCACACCCCAACCTCATCCCATTATGTCGTCCGCATCAGACCACGCCGTTCTCCGGACCCAAGCGGCGGTGATCCGCGGGCCCAACAACGTTAAAGTGGAGGACATCCTCCTCGACCCTCCCGCGGCCAACGAGCTGCTCGTCAAGATTGAGCGTGTCGGTCTGTGTCGCTCCGACTGGCACGCGCTCGTGGGCGACACGAAAATCGCAATGCCCAGCATTCTCGGCCACGAGGCGTCGGGCGTCGTCGAATCCATCGGGCCCGGCATCCAGGACATTGGCGTTGGCGACCACGTGTCCATCTGCTGGCACCCGCACTGTGGAGAGTGCACGTACTGCTCCAACGGCGAGCACAGTCTGTGTCTCGAGGGCTCACGTATCCCGCTCGGCCCGCAGATGGACGGCACGTTCCGCCGCCATACGCCGTCGGGGGAGGCGATTGGCGCCTTTTGCATGACTGGCGCGTTTGCAAAGCACACGGTCGTCCACCGCGCCAGCGTCATCAAGGTCGACAGCAGCGTGCCGTTTGACATTGCCGCGCTGTGTTCGTGCTGCGTGCCGGCCGGCTATGGCGCTGCGACATCACTCGCCCGCGAGCGCCGGCTAGGCGAGTCCGACGCGGTCCTTGTAATCGGTACCGGCGGCGACGGTATCAACATTGTGCAAGGCTTGCGAGCTGCGGGCATCGGCGCCATCATTGCCGCCGACGCGTCGCCGCTCAAACGCGAGCTTGCGCCGCGGTTCGGTGCCACGCACGTTATCGACTGGACGGAGCCCGGCGCCGCCGACAAGGTCCGCCGCATCACCAACGGCCTCGGCGTGCGCGCACTGTTCCTCGCCACACCCGCCGTTGTCCTCGACGACGCGACCCTCGCGCTCGTCGCCAGCGGCGGAGACGTGGTCGTCACCGCCCTCAGTAGGCAGCCCCAGCCCTCTGCTGCATTCGCGTTCGCCCCACTCGTCCGCAGGCACATTCGCATGTCGTTTGTTGGGTACGGCGGCAGGTCGATGCGCGATACCGTCCCCGAGGCCATTGAGGCGGCCATGCGCGGCTCCATCGACGTGGCCGGCCTCATTACCAAGCGGTACAAGCTGGACGATATTCTGCAGGGATACAAGGACCTGGACGACGGCAAGATTCTGAGAGGCATGGTGCACCCGTGGGACTAGTGCTATGGGTTGTAGAACGAAGAGCAATGTATCAAACAACAGCAGTTGTCTCTATGTGACAGGGGCTCACCGCTGCTTGCCTGTATGGGCCGATATAGGTTATAGGTGTGACAGCCTCGCTCGTGCAGCACGCATCTCCATCGCCCACATCGCGTTCGTCGTCGTGTCGATGCTTCCGTCGGTCTCGGCCGATAAGCCTTTGATGACGCACAAGCCAAGGAAATTAGGAAATGGGATCTCGGCTCCATCGTTCTCAATGTTCCACATCTTCCACGTCTCTCACATCTTCCAGACATCTCGATATGCCGACACTCCCCACGGACAGGCTCGTCAACATCCTACACGACAACGTCATCACTCACATCTCACCAGCCCCAACTCCGGCACCTTCACCTCCACCCTACCCCGTCGACGCGCCCGTCTTTCCGCATCTCGTCGACCTTGTTCTTGAGTACGCCCCGATCGGCGTCCGACTTGCGTTCCGCGACACGAGCCGTTACTGGCGGACAGCGGTGGACAAGTTGCTGGATCGAGATGGATGCCACCTGGTCATCAGCCGTCGGCGGCGAGGCGTGAGGACGACCGACACGGGGCTGTACTACCTCGACGATGGCGAGCTGTTCAAAGTGCCGCGACACCTGGTTCGCCATGCGCGTATCCTCGACGTGCATTGGAAGACCAAGGGAAGCTTTCTCCTTGAGCGACCATACCCCATCTCCCCTCGGATCATCCGCATCATCGGGTGTCCCAGCTTTACCTTCAACCGCCTGAGCCTGTGGGCGCCGACTATTGTGGAAACCTTCCAAGACCTCGCTCCATTCAACGTTGAACGCCGTCGACTGTACGAATACACGTACACGGGTAGGCCACTTGATGGCCGTCCCCTATCGCCATCGTGCTTTCAATCCATCACCACACGGCTGGTGCTCCACGTCTACCTCGACGACGTGTTGGGCAACCCCGTCCAACTGTCGTACCCACACCTCGTCGGCGGACAGCCTCGCGAGACCGTCCTCATCTTCCACCCCTTGACAAAGCCTCTCCCTACCGAGGGCACGTTTGACGTTTGTCTCTTCTTCGACATTGGGCTCGAACTCCTGGAGACGTCGTCGCGCTTCATCATTGTCGACGACTCCAACGTCCTCGGCACGGTCATTGGATGGGACGCCAAGGGGCCCCCAATCCCTCGCCAGTCGGTCTACCCGTACCTGGTGGAGAACTGGGTGTCGAGGTGTCAGTCGGTTGAGGCCCGCTTTGACGAGGAAGAGTATCGCCCCAGAGTCACAGAGCTGGTCGAGGTCATCACCATGGAGGAGCACCGGGAAAGAGTTGGGGACGAGCAGTTTGAGCTTGAGACACGGGTTCCAAGGAGATAGAGGTTGTAGAGTGTGGAGCAAGTGAGAAGTGTGATTGAGTTGGATCGCCCTTGTCTCGTGCTGGTCGCTGGTCGCTGATCTGCGTTGTACACGTCAACCGACACACACACACACACACACACACACCACTCGCTCTTTCTCGTCTTCTCTCTTCTCCATCCATCCTCTCATCCATCCGTCTTGCAAGTCATCATGTCCGAGGATACCGACGGTCCCCAGGCCGCTGGTAGGACTGGACAACCTATCGGCAGCAGGAAGCGTGCCCGCACCGACGGACTCCCAACCCCCCAGTCCGGCTTACCGCAAGCCTCCATTTTGCGAGCGGCCTACTTTCCTCATATTCTCGAGCGCATAATGGCCCACTCTTCCCTCGCTGCACTACTCGTACTGCGTGCCTCATCCAAGTACTACAAGGCCAAGGTCGACGGCCTCCTCGGCAACGGTGTCCACCTTGTGGTCACATCTACCACCGCTTCCTCTGCCGCCGCGTCTGTACGCAGACTTGGACACCACAACGATCAAGGCGTCCCCTCCACCCCATTCCTGCTCGCCTTGGTCACCGTACCCGAGTTCCGAGGTGCAATAAACGAGTACATCGCATCCGAGATCATGGGGTCCTGTCACCAAGACATTCGCGCTGTCCGTCTTCCGCAGTATCGAGGTCGATATATCCGCTTCCCTGTTTCTCACACACTGGTGGTTTCATGTGATGCGTATCTGCACAAAGGCTTCGACCCACCTACGGAAGCACTCGTTCTCTGGAGTGCTATTCCTGCATGCGTAACCAAGCTTGTTGTCAACATTGGTGTCAACGAGTTGGTGCAGTGCCCTACCATCGACACACGAACCGTTCGAATGTTCCTCAAATATCCGTTCAACGTCAAGGAGCTTGTTCTCGTCTTTCGTCCTTCCGACATTCCCCTTCGCCTGGTTGCACCCTTCCCCACTGTTGCAGGCGACAACGACAGCCGACGTAACCTTCACGATGAACTTTATCGCTGTGTCCAAGCGTACGTCACGGGGAATGTGCGAGTCACACTGGTAGACTGTGCACTTCTCTTCTACCGACGCAGGGCGGTGTCGATAAACGAAGCCGAGAAGGAGATCAGGTCCCGGTTCAGGCGCGCGGCCACATCGGCACTCAAGGACTGTGACGAGCAGATTGTCCGCAGGTTTGGTTTTCGCATCAAGGTCGACACGGTCCTCAGGTTCTTCACGCCGGAGGAGTACAACGAGGAGGTTGGGGATGAACAATATCAGATCGAGACGTACATCGATTAACACAGCAAGTCCACAAGCCTCCACCATCCTGTTTAATAGGTTCACGTATGTATGTAGTAGACACCCAGTAGCCGTATGTAAATAGAGCAAGTCATGTTCATTAAAGCGATCACAGCAACGCGTTCACAGCACAGCGTTCATAGCACAGTGATCGCAGCACAGTGCACAGCACAGTGATCCAGTGAATTCAAGCTGGCAGGTTATTTTCTTTTTTCTTTTCTTTTCTTTTCAACCAGGGCAACAATCTTCAGCATTGTCGCGCGCATTTCACATGGGTATATATCATCAACAGCCATCTAACGAGACAGTATTCCCACAATCGTCTCGCGATACGTCTCCAAACCAGGCGCCTTCCAGTCGTCGCGTTTGGCCGCGTCGTCCCACAGCCTAAGCGCCACTTTTTGCTTCCAGAGCGGGTCCGTCTCAAACTCGGCCACTTGGGCCGGCGTAAACGGCCCTCCTTGGTATTTGAGGCTGGCCTTGGAGGCGCTGCTCAGCGCGGCGTGGTACCCTTGCCTCGTGGCCGTGAGGTAGCGCTTGGCGACGACGTGCGAGCCGACGAGGACGCACACTTTGTCCGGAAAGCCCAGGTCACGGAGATACTGCTCGCCCACTGCCTCGTGGGACATGCGGCCGAGCGACGCGCCGTCGTGCATCATTGCCTTGGCGGCGGTGTGTGGGATGAACTGGCCGACGTCGTGGAGGAGGGCGGCGACGACAGTGTCGTCGTCGGCACCGTCTTGGCGCGCCTGCGCGGCGGCCTGCAGCGAGTGTTCGAGTTGGCTGATATTCTCGCCAATATAGTCGGCGTCACCTTGCCTGTGTGGGTGTGAGCGCGCGTCAGAGTGAGTGGTGGGTGGGGAGTGGTCAGGGGGAAGAGACAAGTGCAGTGGTACAGTGTAGCTTGCATGGTGCGAGATGGGAGTTCTGGGGTGACGCTCACGCCTCAATAACCGTAAAGACCTTGTCGACCGTCTCGCTCGCCTGGGCAATCTTGGCGTCGATCGCAGTCTTGCCGCCACTCATGGGCGAGCCAAAGGCATAGGTGAGTGCGCCATCCGTGTAGTCCACACCAGCGACACGCTCAAAGGTAGGCGGCCACGCCTTGCGTCGGTGAGCATAGTAGCTGTCGTGGTTGTCACCTTCTGAGACGCCATTATACGTCGCGTAGATGGCGGCACGAGCACGAGGAGACGAGTTGGGTCCCGAGCGGTGGGCGAGGTACGATCCGAAGACGAGCAGGGCACCGGCTGGCATGGGGACGGGCACCCAGGTCTGCTGGACCTCCCACGATGGATCGATACACTGGCTAGGTGAGCAGGAAATAGAACCCCAAAGTATGGACCCAACTTACGCGGTTGGCAGCAAGCGGGATTGTCTGCTTGTGGCTGCCGGGCACGACCTCGAGGCAGCCATTGTTCATGTCCATGTCGTTGACGGCCATGAGGAATGTCTGGTGCTTGACCGCCCCGGCATGGTTGTACGCCGTAGAGTCAATGTGGGCGTCAAACCCGCCAGACCCGCCGGCCTCCTTGTAGTTGATCTTCTCCTTGAAGAGGAGCGCGCGCTCGCCCATGAGTTCCGAGAGAATGCCCGTCAGGCGCTCGCCACGGAACAGCGACGAGAAGCCGGTGTGGTAGTTGGCGTAGTCTGTGGCGTGTAAGCTATTATCTGGCCAAGTGGGCCTACTCACTTTCAGTGCGGCAAAGGCCAGTCGAGCCGTCGGCGCGGACTTCCTCGTAGGGCATGTGCTCGCCCTTGCGGTTGGGCCAGCCCTTGACCTCGGCCGTCCATGACTGCAAGTCGGTGACCTGAGCAGGGGTGAGGACGTCCGAGAGCATGAGGAAACCGTCGCGCTCAAAGGACTGGCGCTGCTCAGCAGTGAGCTCGTAAAGGGTGTCGAAGATAGGGGCTATCATGGCTGAGTGGAGGTGAGGTGGAGCTGGTGATGGTGATGGAGTTCGCTGTTACAAGGCCGTTGTGGTCTTTATAGGGGTGCAGTTATCGTCGGGGGAGCAGTGAAAGATAGAGATACAGTATGGTTCCATGGAGAGCAGCCTTGCTGACGAGAGCGGTGGGCAGAGCCGTGGTGGAATTGCGAAGCGTTCAGCTGGCGGCGTCACCATGATTTGGCCTTTTCAAGATCATTTGGCCTTCTCGGGCAACTATAAGGCAGAATGGTCGTGCAATTGGCGATACCGTTTGCGTTGTGGGGGGGGTTGTTACTGAGAACGTGGGACCGAGAGACGAGTGACTGTCGCTCATTTGCGGCCAACTCCGCCGCGACAACAATACGACAAGCGGCGTTATCACATGTCCCAGAGCTATTTGGCCTCTGGAGCTTGAATAAGGCATCGCGGTACGGCGATTGCCTATAACATGACGTTTTGTGCCAGCTCGGCAAGACCGCCGAGTGTTTGGCCAAAGGGACTTGGTTCACCAGGGCTGCGATAGGCGCTCACTGCCAAGGAGGTGGAGCGCAGTCTGATCTGCCGCTCAGCGAGGTCTGGAACCAACAGAACGTCGCCGGAATGCACAGAGGCTGCCGACAGACAGGCCGGCAGGGGCCTCGGCATTTCTCCGCCGACTCGCCTGGTCCGATTTCTTGACCAAATGAACATCCTCTCATGTCCCAGTTCGTGGCATGTATAGCCACACGTGTGTGAGTTGCAGCGACGTGGCGAGGACACATCGTATTCCAACATGGCTCCCGACACGTCTGACACTGGGACCACCTTGTCGTTGGCCTGCTGCCTGCTGATGGAGGAACCCGTCTGCTTGTTGCCGAGATTGCCAAAGCAAGGGCAGTTTATAAGGCAGAATCGTCAGGGAAATCTAGGCACTGCCTTATTCCTCGATGTTTACCTTTTCCAATCGCGGGGCTCTTCGAGATATGGGGAAAAGGTGGTCTGCTCGTGGTCGGATGTAGACGTCCAAGCAGAGCACTACCGGGAGAACGACGCTGACCCGACAGTCCGACGATCCAGAAGCCAGCGTGGGCCACCGTGCGCTCGTTGTTGGCAATAGGGTTCAGATGGTTGCACCAGTTCGCCGACCAAACTTGCAGGAAAATGCTCGCTTCGGTCGCCAAGGGGACGAGTTTAGACTGTACATCTCGTAATAACGCGCGTGGTCGCAATGAGAGCGAGCTGCGCAGGTGGACAGTCCAACGTCGGAAAGGAAGATAAGAACGTGCGTGGAGCCATCCTTGTAGATGTTGCAAGCGTGTAGCTGTCAAGGAAACGTGTGTCAGTCGGCACAAGAGAAGGGTAGATGACAGATGTGAGTGCTAGAGTAGTACAAAAAGGTCGTGACTGGCCCTTTCTTGGAACGCGCCAGCCAAAAAAGCCGATTGTTTCACCACTCTGGCGTGTGCCACATTCAGACTCAACCGCCGAACACTGGAACACTGGACACCTGCACTTGGACTACAGCAATGGACCACCCTCAACACCAGACCATGGGCCCGGACATGGACAAGCTCGACAAGCTTGACCAGCTTGAACGCTCCGAGCCGTTGCCGGCTCTTGTGCGTGCCCCGCTTGCCGAGCTGGAAAGCCACGAGCGCCACAAGTACAACTCTGCCACCAAGCTGTGAGTACATGCCAAGCGGCAGCTCCATTGACCCATCGTCGTAGCTCGGCCATCTTCACCGTCGTCTTCTCTGGCATTGCCCTGATCAGTGACGGCTACAATGCAGCCGTCATTGGAAACATCAACCTGTTGCTCAAGGAGCGTGAGTTGGAGACATTCCATCTGAACGCATTGTCTGACCCCAAAGTCTACCCGGACACGTACACGTCCATTCTCAAGACACGCATCTCAAACTCGTTTTTCATTGGTGAAATCGTCGGCATGTTGCTGTTTGGAGCTCTCATTGACCGCGTGGGCCGCAAATTCGGCGTGGTCGCCACCACCTGTATGCTCATCCTCGGCATCATCCTCAGCGCGGCAGCACACGGCACGACCGATTTCGGCATGTTCTGGATGCTCATCGTTGGCCGTGGGCTCGCGGGTGTTGGCGCCGGCGGCGAATATCCTGTCTGTGGCACGAGTTCGATCGAGGCTGCCGACGAGACTCAGCATGTGCGCAAGCACCGCGGCTTCCTCATCGCGACCGTCGGCGACTTTGCCATCGACTTTGGGTTCGTCCTCGCTGGTATCGTCATCTTGATCGTCCTCAAGTGCTACGGCGTCACGGTCCACTCGACGGGGACACATGGGTTTGCGGGCACGTGGCGTATCTGCCTCGCGCTGGGTCTCGTCCCCCCGCTTGCCGTGTTCTACTTTCGCCTGCGCATGCTCAACTCGACTGCCTACCGCAACAATGCCATGAAGGGCGCCGCACTCAACGTCAAGGTGTTCTACCTCGCTGGCAAGCGCTATTGGCGCCGGATGATTGGCACTTGCCTGTGTTGGTTCCGTAAGTCCACCGCCGCAGTAACGGCTAGACGCCTGGCTAACTCCCAGTGTACGACTTTTGCTCGTACCCCTTTGGCATCTTCTCGAGCACCATCGTGTCGCAGCTCAACCCCGAGAACACCATCATCCAGAACATTGGCTGGGGGACGCTCATCAACGACTTCCTGCTCCCCGGCTGCCTTATTGGCGGTGTGCTCATGGACAAGATTGGCCGCAAGAAGACACAGGCGCTCGGCTTCTTTGTGCAAGGCATCATCGGCATGATCCTCGGCGGCGTCCTCTCCAAGATCCAGTACCACCCGGGCGGCTTCATCGTCATGTACGGCATCTTCCTCGCTGCCGCCGAGGCCGGGCCGGGCGTGGCCACCATCCTCATCTCGGGCGAGGTGTACCCCACCGCGCTCCGCGGCCACATGTTGGGCTTCTCAGCTGCGTGGGGCAAGGCCGGTGCGGCTATTGGCACCCAGGTGTTCACGCCCATCCAGAACGCGTTCAGCGACGAGTTCAAGGGCCAGCAGGCCGTCTTCCTCATCGGCTCGGCCGTGTCGATCCTCGGCGCCATGCTCACGTACGCCTGTATCCCCGACATGTCCGAGACCTTGGAGGACGAGGACGAGGCGTGGAGGCTGTACCTCGAGGAGAATGGGATCGACACCAGGAGCATGGGCGAGCCGATCGAGGCAAGCGCAAGCGGCACCGTGGTCAAGGTGATCGAGGACAGGGAGTAATGATACATGGGTCGTCACGGAACGGAGTATACATGTAGAACAGTGGAGCGTATCCTTTGGGTGACTGGGCCTTGTAATGAATGCAACCTTTTATGGTGATGGTGCGCACTCCGCCCGCTACTGCTGATGCACCAGCAAGGGGCATTTCCTCCTACACGGTCGAGTCCCAGTCCCATCCCATGGTAAACGACTGTATGTCAGTTGAGCCCTCGCGTGGTGCATAAGACAACTCACATTGACATTCCCCATGAGGTCCGGGATATCCTGCAGCAGCATCGGGTCCCAGAACTGGTGCATCTGACTGTCAGCCCGTTCCACCCCGTTCCACACCCCTTCGTGCCACTCACCAAAGCATCCGTGCTCGCACCCTGTGGACTCGTGTTCGTCTCTCCGCGAGCCAGCACATCTGACGCCGGCGCGAAATGCGCCTGCAGCGCATTCGTAATGGTAGCGGCGACGGCGGCGTTGGGGCTGGCGCTGGTGGCCGAGTTGAGCGGCGAGGGCAGCGAAATGGTCGTGGCCGTTTGGGACTTTGCCGCGCGCTGAATGAGGCGCGTGCGCCAGCCCAGGAGCTCGACGTCCGAGTCCGAGTCGCCGTGGTCGCCACCACCGCCACCACCGCCGTCCACGGCCTCAGCGCCCGCTTCGCCCGTCGTGGCGGCCTTGGCCGCGCGCACCATCTTGTCGTTGGCGCGCTGGCGCAGGCGGAGCAGCCACTGGAGGTTGTGGATCATGCGCCGAGACGCGCGGCCCTGCACGGCGGCCGTGTACAGCGCAATGGCCGAGTCGATCTGCGCGAGGGCAAAGCCCGCCAGCGGGTTGGTCGGGTTGGTCAGGATCAATGTGCCGACACACACGGCGGCGTTGAACGCGTGGTACCAAAAGTACCAGTGGCGGGCGGTCACGTTGGGATGGAGTGCGTGGATGCGGGATACGATCTGGATGATGACCTGGAAAGAAAATATCAGTGTGCTGCCACCAACGCAAACACAAGGGACGCACGTTACACCGCTCCACGACGGTGAGGTATGACTGCCCGTACACGCTCCTCGTCGGGTCGGGGAGCTGCTCGTGCAGTGCACGAACGAAGTACGGCCGGTGGAGGAACATGATCGACTCGGTGATGTTAAGGTATAGCGTAAACTGCTGGAACGTGCGGTGCAGGTCGCGCTTGCTCTCCTCTGGCGACTCGCGAATGGCAACCTCCGAGTCGGGGTACCGCGACGGCAAGGCAAGGAGCACCGAGCGACAGCGGAGGTGGAAGGGGACATGACCTTCAAAGTTGGTTCTGCGAGGTCAGCGTCACCGCCTGGGCCTACTGGACCTCACAGTTTCTCGTGCAGTGCCATGACGGTCGAGTATGGCGGCGCGTGCACCTTCATGGCATGGTCCAGGACCGAGCCTGCAATTCCACACAGCTCAAACTTGAGTGTCGCAAAGCCCTTTTCGGCCGACAGGCTTTCCGAGAACCGCGAGTAGACCATTTCAGAAGGGTACGCCGTGTCCATGTAGTCTGGGTGGATCGAGTTTGGCCGTGAGAAGCAGTTTGCCTGGAAAATGTCTGCGGCATGGCACTCCCAGAACACCCGGCGACGTTCCTCGACGACATGCGGCTCGAGGTTCCAGCGGCTCGGGTCGCGGTGGAGACCCATGGCCTGGATGATGCGCATGGCCAGACCCCACAGTGGCCACGCATTGTCGCCATTACGCCCGCGCTCCGTCTCGAGGCAAAAGTGCGCCATGATGTGTATGGTCTGGACGGCCGCAATGGTGTTGTAGATCATAAACTGGCCCTTGGCGAGCGCGCTCTTGGACAGGTTGAAAAACTCTTCCGCCAAGGGGTCGTTTGGGGGTAGCTCGAGGTTGTGCAGTGCACCGAGTGCCAGAGTGATGAACACGAGCGCGAGCTCGTGCAGCGCCAAGCTATCCAGGTTGGCGCGCGATGCATACTGCGAGTAGACACGGTCAAAGAGGGGCTGGAACGTCTCTCGCGGGGACACGTCAAAGCTGTGCAATGTCAGCTTTGCCGGAAAACGGTCCTCGAGGTTGACTTACTGCCACGCAAAGTATCGATAGTACGAGTCCACGAACACACACGCCTCGTCCAGCGGCGGCAGCTTGGACAGGAGGTATTCTGTGCTGATCGCCTTGAGCGCACCGCCAAATGGAAACTGGGCCGGCACCTCGCCCGTGTCGGGGAGATCGACCTGTCGGTGGGTCGGCGACGCTGCACGGGACGCGCCTGGTGACTCGAGGATCTCTTGCTGGGAACGTCAGCAGATTGGTTCAGGATATCATACCTACATCCTTGAGCCACTCGCTCGCGGCCGTGGGGCCGAGGTACTTTGACCGGCCGGACTGGCTGATGACGAGCGTGCCAAAACTCTGCTCGTCAGGGGACATGCCCGTGAGGACGTTGTTTGGCGACTCAAAGTAGTGCGTTTGTGCCTGCTGCGACGGGTGCGACGATGGGCCCGGGTGGCTAAAGTCGAAGCGCACCGGCGTCAACGCAGACGGCGGCATGGGCGGCACAAACGTCGGCATGGGGTCGTCGCGCGCGCTCGACACTGAGGGAGCGAAACGCGGCGATTCCTGGATGGCGCTGGTGCGTTGTGCTGTCGACGACGATGGGGTACCAGCGTCCCGGACGGCGCTGTCTCGCACTTCGTCGGGCTGCGGGGCCGGCGATGAAGACAGTTCGCGCGACTCGGACCGCTTCATCTTGTCTGGGATCGCGATGCCATTACTGGCGAGGATGCTTTCGAGGGCCTCAAGACGTTCCTTGAGCTCCAAGCTCTCCTCGGTCCTGGCAGGTTCAGCTCAACGTTCGTCTTCCTGTACCCACGCTCGAACAGGTCTTGTGCCATCGGGACACAAGTCGACACATCGCCTCCGCACGCAGTTGGAGCACGGTACTGTGGGGTTAGTCCCCCGCCTCGCAGTCGGTAGTCACCTTGGCGATCGCATTTGAGCTTGAGGCGTCGACACTCTGGTTGTTAGCAGTGGGCGGTTGAGTTTAGGAGATGTTCGACCAACCGAGGCTGTGGCCAACAAACAACAACACTCACCGGCACATGAAAAGTGAGCACGCTTCTTCCTCTTCCTGGGTGGCTCTACTCGGGAGGTTTCTGGTGGGGGCGACATTGTCGATGGTGGGATAGAGAGAGAGTAGACGTTTGGGGCAAGACGTCACTGGCGATGGGGAGAGCGGGGAAAGAGGCATCTGTGGAGCAACGGACCATGCGATGGACCACCCCCGCTGAGCCCCGAGTGTGGAGGAACGAGGGGCCGACGACGCCGTTATCTCCGTGGATCGGACATATATTATGTTTCGTCCGGCACGATGCGGGTGGATACTTTATAAGACAGTGGCTGCATGCATGCTTGGTACAGGCAGCAACGCAGACTTTGAAGAGAAACATGACTGTCCGCCACGTCACCGTCGACAAACCGCTGTTCAAGCTGGGCATGACGCTCGGAGAGGGTGAGTGGAAGCGACGAGCAAACCTTCCGACCGAGGCTGACAATAAAGGTGCACTCTGGGTACAGGCATTCATCCGCAGCTCGATCTCTAACACCCCCAGGACACACGCACCAACCGACTGTACTTTGTCGACATTGACAACTGCAGGGTGTACACCTACGAACCTGCTTCAAAGACGCTCGGATATGAGACGTTTCCTGGAAAGGTGTCCTGTTTGGCGTTGACCGAGAGTGGCGACGGAGTGAGTCAATCGTAAATGGCAACGCTGACTGGTTAGCTTGTTGGTACCGACGAAGTCGGATTCATCCACATCCCGGCCTCCTCCCTGCCCTTCCCGCCCACCAACTCGGCCACTCCCAAGCGCGTCAACCAGCTGGGACCGACGATCCCTCTCGGTGCGCAGGAGAAGCGCTTCAACGACGGCGCGGTGGACCCGGCCGGCCGGTTCTTGGCCGGCACCATGGGCCGCGAGCACGAGCAGGTCGTTGGGCGCATGTACTCGCTGCAGAAGAACGGCAAGGGGTGGGAAGCGCCGTTGGTGCTGGACAATATCACATGTACCAATGGCATGGGGTGGAGTCCTGACGGCAGGACCATGTGGGTGGACCGTGGCGCCACACGCTGACGGCCAGGTACTTTACCGACAGCTGGATCCAGGAGATTGCAGCGTTCGACTACGATGTGGTGAGTCGCTCCGAAACAGGGAATGGAAACGCTGACTGGAAGGCTACGGGCACCATGTCCAACCGCCGCACGTTCTCGCGCCTCGTGGACCCCGCCTACGGCGAGCCCGACGGCCTGTGCATGGACGCTGCGGGCGGGGTGTGGAGTGCGCGCTGGCAGAGCGGCAAGGTCGTGCGCTTCGACCCCACGGGCCGGATCACGGACGAAGTCGACATCCCGACCGCATGGCACGTTACGTGCGTGGTGTTTGGCGGCGACAGGCTCGACGAGCTGTACGTCACGACCGCCGACACGGGGTACAATGGCGAAGTCATCCCCGAGCGGGTCGACGGGGGCAGCCTGTTTGTGGTCGCGGGACTGGGTTACACAGGCGTCGAGAGGACGCGGTTCAAGGATGCGTAGAGAGAGTAGAGAGTGTGAGCATGGATTGGTGTTTTGCAAAGGTGACCAAATGTGGCAGTCGGTGTACGAGGGGGATCGGCAGTACACTCGGGATACACAGATCGGCGCCACCCGTTGCCGCCGATCCGCCACAAGACTCACCCACCACCAACGTTTCAACCGTCGTCCACCTTCATCCGTCCATATCTCGCCTTCCACAGCTCAGATCGATGCGAGCAAAGCACTCCGATACACCTCAGAAGCAGGAGAACACAGCATCGGGGGCAATGTGGCGGAGTGGTTAACGCGATTGACTCGAAATCAATTTCCTTCGGGAGCACATGTTCGAATCATGTCATTGTCGTAGCAGCAGCTTGTCTGTCGAGCTTCTCTTTTGCATGTCAGTGGGGATGGAGGGAAAGCAGACCTAAGGTTCAATCGCTACCACATGCATATTCAAGTCACACATCCCGTCTATCGCATACACTACCTGTACCATACCGACGTCTTACTCGAGCGAGATGGCGTTCTTGCGGGGGTCGACGGGACCGGCCCAGTTGGATGAGTTCCTCCAGCCGCCGTCGATACGGAGCTCGTAGTCGTTCATCATGCCGTTCTCGATGAGGAAGATGATGCCGTGACCGACCTCGGAGGGGTCGCTCTGGCGGCGGGGGAAGACGGCGGCGGCCTCGAGCTCGGCCTCAAAGTAGGGCTGAAAAAGGGTTAGCTGTGGCACTGTGGTTGCACCGTGGTTGCCACTTACCAGACGGTCGGGGCCCATGAGAGCCGAGGCGACGACGGCGGGCGAGACGGAGCAGACGCGGATACCGAAGGGGCCGAGGAAGTCGGACATGCCCGAGCTGACACCGAGGACGGCGGTCTTGGAGGCACCGTAAGTGAGGCAGCGGGCGGGGACGGGGCGAGCGACAGCGCTGGCAATGTTGATGATGATACCGCGCTCCTCGGTGGTACGCTCGCCGAAGGGGCCCTGGTCCGGGTACTGCGAGTTGATGGCGTCGGCAATGACGGCGTCGACGACAAAGGTGCCGTAGACGTTGACGTTGAGGACCTTTGCGAAGGTGCTGACCGAGTCGCGGAGCTTGTGGCTCCACTGGCGGCCGGGCGCGATGGCGGCACAGTGCACACCGCCGGCAAGCGAGCCCTTGGGGATCACCTCGAGGGCGGCGGCAGTGGCGGCGCTGACACCGTCATAGTCGGCAATGTCGACCTTGAAGTAGAAGGCGCGCTCGGGGTGGTACGTCTTGACCTTTGCCTCGCCGGTCTCCTTGTCAAGCACGTCAAAGATGACGGCGTAGCCGCCGCGCTCGATGATCATCTTGGCAGTGGTGCCGCCGATGGAGCCGCAGCCGCCGGTGATAATGAAAGCTGGTTGTCAGCTGAGTCACTCTCGACCACGTCCCCCAACTCACCCTTGCCCTCGATCTTCATGTTGGTGTATTGGTTGGTGTAGTGGTGGAGAGTGGTGGTGCTGTGATGCGTATGCGAGGCGTGAGAATGAGAATGCGAGAGTGTGGGGCTAGAGAAAGCATCTCGGTCGAACTGTTATAGGTGTCGAGGCCCCCTCTTTCGTCCGTAGATCGGGGTAGATACAGCACTCGGATCGTGGAGGTGAGGGCAAGGAGGACGCGAGGAGATCAAGGAGATTAGTTACCTCCGATGTCGGGCGATTTGGGTGTCACCTATCCACCACATGACAACATTCCCCCGAGCTTCCAATCCGTCTCTCACTCACGGACCTGGCCACAGGTGGGCAAGAGCAGACTGTGCACCGCCCTGCTGCCTCGACCATGGTTTTTTACACAGCCCGGGCCGCCAGGACCGTCATGGAAAGAGTGGCCCTTTTCGCCGAGGCAATGGCCACATTCCACCCGAACTCGGCATCTTATCCACCGAGCCTGCGGTTCCTGGACAAGCACCTGTTTTTCTCCTGTGCGCCGCTCCAGCTTTCCATTTTGTCTGTATTCATCTCCAGGTCTACGCATGTTCTCGTAACGTCTACACTACATCCACGGGTACCTGGTCGTCAGCTCGCATTGCACGCTTCAGCACAAGGAATAGCTACTCACTTTTCATTGTGCAGCCACTCAATCTTGGCATCCTCGCCGAGGGTGTACGCCGCCAGCGCGGGGATACTCTTCTCCGTCATGTGCTCGAACGCGCTGGCCTGCTCGTCCCACCCGTAGTCTGCCCAGCTCTCGATCGAGGTACAGCCCTCGTGCTTGGCGGCCGCGACCACAGCCGACCAGGGGACGTTGCCGGACGCGTGGCCAACGACCATGCGCTTGCCCTCCTTGTCAAAGCCCCAGACGAGGAAGGGCTGCTCGCCCGAGGCACAGGCAGGGAGGACAAGGCCAAACTTGGCGTCTGGACGGGCGTTGTTGCTCAGCTGGTAACGCGTAGGCGCGTTCTGGAACCATCCGCTGGTCGTGTCAGTTGGGTTCCGTGCAGGACAACTCACCCGTCGGGCAGGATGGCCATGCGCGTCTTGCTCGTGTCGCCCTTGGCAGGCAGGTTCTTGCGGATACGCTCGCTGCCGATGGCGCCCAGCTTCTCGAGACCCGCATAGTCGACCCACTCGCCGTCATAGTCGCGCCAATCCACCGTCTCGTCGGCGCCGGGGACGTCCCACACGCGCTTGCCTGGGTTGTGCGGCATCCACCCGGCCCCACTGTCGCCCTTGGTACACCTGGTGTAGTATGTGGGGCCGACGTCCGAGTACAGTACGCTAAAGGCCGCGTTGCCAAAGCCCGGGATGGTGGGCGGCGCACCCCATGCTGCCGGGAAGGGGGGAAGCGAGGTGGGCTGGGCGAGGACGTAGTGGAGCAAGCTCAGCAGATGGCGCGGGTAGGCGTTGCCGCGGTGCGTGGGGTTGCAGAAGACCGAGGCAATACCGTACGAGACCTCGTCCTTGGGCTCAGTCTCGCCAGGAGCAAGGACAAGCGCATGGCGCTTGTACCTGTGGTGTGAGCTCCAGCGGAGCTGTTGTTGTTGTTGTCTACCACAGGCAGCTCGTCAACTCACGTCTCGCACGATGCCAGCAGGTCGAGCGTCTCCGGGTCGTCACGCGGGACGAGTGCCCAGGTTGTGTATCCGGTCCACTCGCCATGCTTGGCCCAAGGCTGCTCGGGGTGGTTGAGCGACTCCTCGACCTCGTAGTATCTCTCGAGCGAGAAGTTGCGCGGGACACCCCAGAAGGGGTGGTGAATGTCGAGGGTACGCTTAGCCTGTGCGGGCGTCGCGCGCACAATGGTGATGGCCGACAGGTCCATGTCCGTTCTGATGATGGGGAGAGGGTGACAGAGAGAGAGCGAGGGAGGGAGCGGTGGTGGAATGGAAAGCAACTCGCAACACGTCGTCGTTGGTGTCGGCGTTGGCCGGCGAGATTGGAAAATGACTCTCTGGCTTTCGGTCCAGACGCCGATTGCCGACGGTGTTGGCCATTTCATGTCTCCATCTCTCCATCGTCCACAACAACGATGCTCTCACGCGACAAACGACCAGCAGTCCCCGTCCCTCGCCCACTTCCAGCAGCGGCAGGCGGCGCAGCTGGCGCAGGCGTGCAGCCCTTCAACCCAGCGTATGCGCACCCGGCATACCTCCCCGCTCGCGTGCACGTTACCGCCGCCCTCGCCACCGTACCCCCAACCCAGATCCCCAGGCAGCAAGGACCCGTCCCCCTGGAATCCACTTGGTCCGACGCGACTAAAGTGTCGCCTGCTTGGGAAGGCTGGGGCCGGGGACCCGCCGAGCTTGGCAAGTCGAGGTTGTGATCTTGGAGGTGAGAAGAGGTGGGCTCAGGGTTGTGATTGGGATGAGTCGGTGTTGACGTTTCTGCAGATATCGAGCGACACGAGTTGCAGTCTACGGTCTGCATCCTCGATCTGGCGCGCAGAAGATACCCGCACTCATCGACATGGCCCCCACTCCCCTCCAGGCTGGTCTCTTCCCACGACGCCGGTTCTGCAGTTCACGCCGCCGGCTCTGTCCACACCCCAGATCACCGGTTGTGCTCCACAAATACCCGAGTGTATGTATTCACTGTTCACTATTCCAACACGTGGACGTGCCCAACGGGGTATACTAACCACGCCGGTCGCGATGTGCTCTTCCCCTTTCCCCCTGGTCCTCGCCGAGCCCGTGATCTTGATCGTCGTGAGGTAGCGACTGTGGGGGCAGCTGGGGCTGTCTGGTGCGCAGCCGGTGTCTCCGCCACCCTTTTCTGGGCCACTGACGTCAGCGTGCGGACTCGCCGAAAGACACACACAGGCCACAGGAGGCATCTTGCCCAACTAACACTTCATGGATTAGATCGTGCATAAACTGATTTCAGGCATGCCTTTGGCGGTCTTTCGGCAAGGCGACGGTGTCGCGGGAAACCTGCCAAGCTCGTAAAGGCGACGAAGATGGACAACGTTAAGGCGCCCAAGATGGGAATGTGAAGGCGCCCAAGATGGAAACAGGCGTCCAAGTGCGTCCAAGATGGACAACATGGACAACGTGGATAGCGTGGAGCTGTCCAAGTTAGACAGTGCGGGGAGTCTGGTGTAACGTCAATATGCCACCAACCCACGTCGCCAGACAATGCCACTACGATTGCCTGAGGCGAGAGGACCCGAAAACGCGACTTGCATTCAACCGAAACTACAGTCCATCTTGTCTACACTCTACAGTCTACTTGACATACTTCTCGCCCGCGATGCCCTCGAGCATGGCCTTGATGCGCAGCGACACGCGCTTCGAGTGGTACCTGCCGTGCTGGAGGGTGCCGACCATGATCCAGAGGTTGGGGACGCCGCAGTCCCTCCATGCCGACTTGAGCTCGCCCTCCTCGTCCACGCCCCAGATGTCGTTGCAGCGGTCGGCGACGTCGTCGCCGAGGGTGGCGCGGACCGAGTCGATGGTGTTGCTGAACCCAGTGGCGAGGATGACGAGGTCGTACTCCTTCTCGCGGCCGCCATTGAGGATGGTCTTGTGGCCGTCAAACTTTTCGATCCAGCCCTGCTCGACCTTGATGTCGCCGTTGATGATGCGCTCGCATGCGCCGGCGTCAAAGTAGAAGCCGCCGTTCTTCGAGTAGCCGAGCGTCTGGGTGCCGGTGCCGCGCTGACCGCGCCATGTCTGGAAGCCGCGGGCCTCCATGGCAGCGAGCAGGTCGTGGTCGAGCACCTCGAGGTCCTCGGCGAGGCGGCGGCCGAGCTCCTCGCTGGGGCCGACGGGCATGCTGTATGCCATGCGGTCGCACTCGTCCAGGTCGGGGCGCTTGCCGTTCTTGTCGGGCTCGTAAATGCCGATGATGCGCGGGACAGAGTGGGTGAGGGACATGATGTAGGTGGGCGAGCGCTGGAGCATGGTCACGTCGACCCCGCGGCGGGCAAAGTCGTACGCCGTGTCAAAGCCAGACGACGAGGTGCCGACAACGAGGACCTTCTTGCCGACCCACTCGCGGCTCGAGTCGTGGGTGGTCGAGTGGCGCAGGGTACCCTTGAACTCCTCCTGGCCGGGAATGTAGGGGCTCATGGGCACACCGGCAAGCGAGGTGGCCATGACGAGGTGCTTGGGGGTCAAGACGCGCTGGCCGTGGCCGCCGCGGTTGACCTCGACACGCCACGATCCGTCGTCCTCCTGCTTGCACGAGGTGACCGACGACGAGGTCCAGGCGTACAGCTCCATGGCCGACGCGTACCAGTCGAGCCACTCGCCGAGCTTGCCAGCGGGAGTGTACACGGGCCAGTGCTCCGGGTAGGGCATGTAGGGGAAGTGGTCCTCCCAGTGGGGGAAGTGGAGCGAGAGCGACTCGTACCTCTTGCGCCAGTTGTCGCCGATGCGCTCGTTGCGCTCAATGATAATGGCCGAGACACCAAGGGCCTTGAACCGGGCGGCCATCATGAGACCGTTGTGGCCACCACCAACGATGACAACGTCGGGCTGGCGACCCTCAAAGTCGGTGTCCTGCTCGCGCTGGGTGGCCCACGAGACGGGGGCGATCATGTGGCCGTCGCGGTTGGGGAGCTCGGGGAAGTCGAGCAGGCTCTCGATGACTGTGTGCAGGGTCCAGATCTTGATACCCTCGGTGGTCTTGACGACGTTGGCGACACCCGAGGCGCCGACTTTGTCGGTGTCAAACGAAAAGTGGATCTGGATGCTGGCCAGGTCGTCATAAGGGCGGTCGACCTTGGGGGTAGGCGAGAGCAGCTTGAGGTTGGCGACAGGGGTGTTGGCGAGCAGGTCCTTGGCAGCCTCGCCAATCTTGGCAGTGCCGTTGAAGGTACGGTACTCCCACGCAAAGACAATCTTGTCGCGCCAGACACCGTCCTCGATGAACAGCGAGGTGAACTTGGCAGGGTCGGCGAAAGCGGCCTGCAGGGTGACGAGGAAGTCCTCGGCGATCTTGACAGCGTCCGTGTCCTCGGCAAAGTCGGTGCCAAGGCGCTCCAGAGTGGGGAGCGGCGCGTTGTACTTGAAATCGTACATGTAGTCGTCGGCCACGGGCTTGCGCTCCGGACCGTCGCGGACAAGGGCGCTCTTGGGGGCGCCGTTGGGGTGAGTGGCGTGTCCGTTGGCAATCTTGGCCTTGAGCTCGGCGATCGAGTCGACGGCAGTGGCGGTAGTGCGCTCGAGGATGGCGGTGGGGGCCATTGTGGAGATGCGAGAGGGGGAGGAGAGAGAGGAAAGGAGATTGATGGTGGTCAAGACGTCGAGGTCGCTCGACCTTTATAACTGTGCACTGTGGCCGGGGCAGATATCCGGTCAACGTAGATTTCTCCGTGGTGTCGGCGAAAGATGTGGGTTGTCCTTCATCTCCGGTGGGTGCAGTTGTCCGACGCGCGGGGCAGATGGAATGGTATTAGGAAAGTGAAGTTTATCAGTTAAGCAAAGCACATAGGCATCAGTGTGCGTGTCTCTATGCACAAGTGGCTAGATTATGAAGACGGCCGCGAGGTGGGCTTGGATTGTGGCTTGAAGAGGTGGGCTTGGAAGGAGAATGTGGCAAAAGATCTCCGATGATCCGATGTCGAGTCTCCCCACACTCGTTATCACACCCGGGGCCAGCTGCCCGACAAGTACAGGAAAATCTCCCGATGGTGTGGTCCCGGAAGGTATGCGAGTAGCATGTGGCCATTGTTCGATGAGAGCTTCGAATTGGGGCATGAGGAGGCCAACTGAAATTCCGGATGGTCGTCTGATCGGCTAATTTCCACCCATGCCGAAATCCCCGCTCGCTCTTCCTCCGTTCCTTCCATCCTGTTCACTCATTGACAGCTCCCAGCGCACGAGGAAAGCAAAAACAGAGGCCTGCAAGGCAGGCCAAGGCCCTCGCCGGGATTTGAACCCAGGACCACTTCCATAGCTAGAGAACGGAGACGAATCCGAGGAGGATTAGAGACCAGTACTGGACCCTAAGAAAGTATGATAGCCACTACACCACGAGAGCGATTACGTCAGCAGCTATATGCATGTGGTGAAGAGCAAGAGCAGGACGAGGCTCTGACAAGGCAGATTGAGCTGGGTGGAACGAAGGAGTGGAAGAAAGAATGGTCATGAAAGTGTGCGGTGGTTATTTGGGCGACAGGTGGCGCCCGGTCCTGATTTCGACACATGTTATGTCGAGTTTGAAAGTGCCGTTGCCCCAGTGCACTGGCATATGTATTTCATTTAGTTCGTATTCCTCTGCATAACTAACTCTCGACGGTCAACTCGCACTCGGTCGGCTCGCTTCCGCCAGCCTGGTCGACATGGAACTTGCCGTGGCCCTTGATACTCTTCAGATCACCACCGACTTATCAGCCAGCCAGTACGAATTCCCGGTACTCACGTTGCCGAGTCACTGAGGATAGTCCAGGTGCCCTTGACCTTGCCGTGGTTGTACGTGCTGAGAGCCTGGACAACAAAGGATCCCTTCTTGCCCAGAAACTCGCCCTTGAAGAGCATGTGTCCCACGATGTGCCACACACTCGGCTCCGAAGTCCCCGCCCTGTGTGTGTTAGCCATCTGCACTGCAGCATATCATGACGACGCTGGTGTGCGCGCTGCGATACTCGATGGGACTTTCTGCAAGATATTACAGTATGTACTGGCCCAAGCCAGTGCCATTCCACTCTGGGTCGCTGAACTTGGCCTCCTCGGTACCGAGCTTGATGTGGACCGAGGACTGGTCGGCCAGCGGGGGTATCGCCTCGGTTTCGCTCCAGGACGTGGTGAGGAAGGAGGAGGTGACTGCAAGGTGTCAGTGTAGGAAAGTTCAGAATCGGTGGCATACGGGTCCTCGTTGGCATGGTTCTGTGGAGTTTTGTGAGAGAGAGACAGTTTTGTGAGAGACAGAGAGTGAGCTTTTCAGTGGAGGATGACGGCGAGGCCACAGGTTGGGAAGCGTCTCTTTTTTAATCGCTTCACATACACCTCCTTTCCACACCATACCAATCACACGAACGTAGACAGATGTATGCGGTAATGTCTGTGTACAACGTGCATCCACCAAGTGAATCGGTAAAATCGTGGCTCGGCGTTCAATATCTCCCCCTCGGCCTTCTGACGTCACGAGCCACTTCTTTCCCACCCATCTGCACACAACACATCTGACAGCTCCGTGAGCCGTAGGAGAACCTTCAGGGAACGTGCATACCTTTATCGTACACTTCAGAACATAAAAATTATCCTGCAGCTCATCACTTTGCTGGAATTTACTCAGAATTCAGAATTCGACGTTCATCTCGCATTGCGTCTGTTCGCCGCTGCCGGTCTTCTCGACAACGTACGAGCCAGTGCCCTTGGCGCCCTTGAGCTCTCCACTGCGGGTGGTCAGGTTGGGTCCATTTCCGTCACGCTCAGCTGCTTCTCAACCAGTATATGAAGCAGCTGCCCACAAGATGTATATGGCAACCTGAGAAGCATGGTACTCACGTAGCCGTTTCCGTGAGGATAACCCAAGTCCCGGCAACTTTCCCGTTGTCGTACGTGCCCTTCGCGTCCATCACCATGGCACCCTTCTTGCCCGCGAGCGAACCGTTGAAGATGAGGTGGCCCGCGAAGTGCCATTTGGCCGGGTCGGTAGTCATGGACCTGGGATCGGCGTCAGTCACCGCCTGCAGCACACGTTAACGTACATGACATACTCGCCATGAGCGACGCCTTCCCACTCGTCGCCCTTGAACGTCGTCTCCTCCGTACCGAGCATGGTCTTGATGGGAGCCTTGTCGGCGAAAGGTACGGGCGCCTCGGTCCACTTGGTAGTGAGGAAGTTGCTCTTGACTGAGAGAGTGAGCTATGGCGAGGGGACGGGTTGGTCGGGGGTCCCTACCTTTCTTGCTGGACATGTTGGAAGCAGGTTTAGCGGTGGATTGGAATGGAGGAGGAGAATGGGAAACACGGCCCAAGCAGTGTCACTCATTATTCATATAGGCAATTCCGTTTCTCGGTACAGTCAAGTCCAGTCAGTCACGAGGTGAGTGTATCGAGTACGACGAACTGCGTAGACAAGGAAGGAATCTCCATTCCGCGACCGTCGGCTCGAACCGATTCCCAGGCAAGATGACGTAGTGGATCACAACGCAACGTTCCGGCACGGACTGCCACCTTTAACATCGTTCATATGTATCAGAAGTGGCATCGCTTTTCTCATATTATGAGCACCAGAGTACCCGCGTGTAACCCGGCTGGCAAGGCTGTGAGTGCAAAGCAACAGTGGCGTCACTGGTTAATGGGAGGAGGCTGGAACCAAACAAATCGATCCCTACGTCTTCCGTGTCCCTTTGCCGCCCCCTACCCGTCTCAGCACCTCACTCCTCGACAAGGAGGCTGATTGTGGTCCCCCGGAAGCTCACCTCTCCCCTACCATGACCACTGAGAACGATATGACCATATGCCTACAGTTTTGTTTGTCTCACTGGCCTCATAAGCATGAGGGCGACGTGAAAAACAGGTGCCTGGTTATATCAGTCGGTAGATAGTTTGACTCTTATTCTTTAAGACATCAAAATGTCATGGGTTCGAGCCCCATACTAGGCTTCGACAGCTCAAGCAACAGCTTCAGCTTCTCTTTTGCCTTTTGGATGATGTCCAGAACCTCTCGTGGACGGCCGGATAGCATTGAATGAAGCGTGAGGGAGACGAGGCATGGTAGGAAGCGGTTTTTGGCGTGCTCCGTATCGATGGCCTCTACCCTTTTGTGTTCAAGCCTCTCGGGTGCTTGGGCATTGCTCTGAAGAACATGCATCGTCCATCATAGCAGCAGTCACAAGGTGGCACTCCCTTTCTACATACCGGGACCGAATTGCTGCTCCACGATTTGTTTCTTTTGAATTTTACCCATCCCGTTACGGGGGATGACGTCCACCACCTTGAGCTTACGGGGCAGCTTGAACGACGCGATCTCGGAACGCAACTCGTTACGCAGTTGTTCGAGCGTGAGCTGCGCGCGCGAGGTGACGATACAGGCAGCAACCTGCAGAGACGCCTCAGCTCGCGTATCACCACTCTCAGAAAGGCGGGACTCACCACCTGGCCCCACTCCTCATCTGCGACGCCGACAACTGCCGCGTCCTGGATATCCGGCAGCTCGAGAATGGCGCGCTCAATCTCGACAGCGCTGATCTTCTCGCCACCGCTCTTGATAATGTCGACACTGTTGCGGCCGAGGATATGGTACATGTTGTGTGCGGGACCCGCGGCGCCGCATCGCTCGGCGATGTCGCCGGTCTTGAACCACCCATCGATAAACTCCTTGGCGGTGGCATCGGGGAGGCGCCAGTACTCCTTTGTGATTCCCGGTCCGCGGACCTGGACCTCGCCGGGCGTGTCGGCTGTGTCGACGACGGCGTTGGTGTCGAGGTCGAACAGGCGGATCTCGACGTTGGGCATCGGATTGCCGACATAGCCCTGCGAAGTAGTCAGTGGAACGTTGGTGCAAGGGTACTTACGCCCACGCGTTTGTCGTTCTCCCAACCGGTGGTAGCGATGAGCCCCGTCTCGGTCATGCCGTAGCGTTCAAGAAGGACCTGGCCGCCTCCGACACCGCCAGGACGCTCCCATGCGGCTTTGACCGAAACTGGCAGCGGGGCCGAGCCCGAGACCTGCAGGCGCAGCGACGCCGAGCCCTTTGTAGCGGCCACCTGCTCGTCAGGCGATAGGGAAGCGTGGGCAGTGATGAGACGCGCTGATGTCAGCTAGGATCGTGAACAACAGCGTAGCTTACAGTACACGGTGGGGACGCCAAAGAACATTGTAACCGGCACCCGACGGTCCTCGTTGATCCACCGCTTCCAAATCTTGCATGTCAGCCTCGTTTCCAATGGCAACTCACCGCTTGTCCGTCAAACTTGCTCCAGAGCTCGACATGCGCACCGGCCCACAGGGACGGGAGCAGCGCCACACAGATACCGTGCAGGTGGTTGAGGGGCAGGATGTGGAGGAGGTTATCCGCCTCGGTCCATCGCCACGCCGTCACGATACTCTCCACCTGCGCCGAGAGCGCAGAGTGTCGCGTGACGGCACCCTTTGGCCGACCGGTCGTTCCGGACGTGTACAGCATCATGGCTCGGCGTTCACCGTCAATCTGCGGCCGGGAGAGGAGGAGCTTGGCCGAGTCCTGCGGGTCTGGGAGGTCATCGCGCGGCTCGCGGATGCGCTCGAGGGACATCTCGAGGACATTGCAAGGTTCGCTGCCGGCTGGCTTGTTCCCAGCGAGCTCGTCAGCGCGGTGGCGGTTCGCGCGGTCACAGATGATCAACGCGCAGTCGGCATTGTCGATGAGATACCGTTGCTCCGCGAGGGGCAGGCTCGCGAGCACGGGGAGGGCGAAGCCGCCTGCGGCCCAAATGGACAGCAGCGAGAGCGGGACTAGGTAGCCCTTGTCGCACAGAATGGCGACTCGCTGCTCCTGCAGGTCTGTCCCGGGGGCAGGGGACGCTGCGTCCACGAGGTCGACGGCGAGCCGCACAACGTCGTGCGCCAGGGAGCGGTAGTCCACCGTGACACCGTGCGGGACATCGGTGATGGCCAGCGCATCCGGAGCGGCCTCTGCGCGGTTGGCAATGCGGGTCAGGAGAGGGTACAAGCTGAGTTGCGCGGCCATGTTGGCTTTTGAGAAGATTAGAGAAACGGTGAGAAACAAGACAGCGAGTGCGACGCGTTGAAGCCGGGTGAGCGGGTGGTTACGCGATGGTGTCGGAGAAACTAGTTGCCGGCATCTCGGAATCGGAGCGTTGTATTTCCGAGTTATGGACACCGAGACGGTGTATTTCACTCATGGCTATGCACTGCATGCACTTCACCGGCGCTTCTGCATCTCACACACAATTACGAGGTAGTCTAGGTTCAATATTACGATTCTCTTTACTCGCAGTGCTTGGCTTGATTGTCAGCTGAGCTCAAGTGCGTATTTTGACTTACTTCCGTCCGAGTGAGTGTGGCAGGCCAGGGCTGCCGAGGTGGTGGCACTGGCATCGGCGGCGGCGTGCGAGTGGTCGCCGACAGCGCCAATGCAGCGGTCGCCACCGCCGGCGACTTCGAGAGCATACACGTGCGCGGCAAAGTACTGCAGGGCGTCCGAGTCAAAGGGCGAGAGAGTGGCATTGTGCTCTGCGAGCTCAATCACTTCGCCGAGGTTGGCGGCACTTGCTGTTAGCTACATGCAAAAGAATGCCCAAGCTTACTAGTGGTTGACAGCCGAGTAAGTGACTTGGGGAACGTGGAGGAGACGGTGGCTGCAGTAAGCATCTTTCCAGGTAGGTCCGACTCACATGAGGTCCACAGACCAGTACAGGCTCGGCGCCGTCTCAGCAAGGACGAAACCGCCCATGCAGAAGGCGGCATTGTACAGCCTGTCCGTGTACGAGGCATCGCAGATGACCGTCTCAGAGGTACCGTTCTCGCCTCGCCAGTGTCCACGCCACCCGGGCTGAACACAGTTCTGAAGTGCGTGTCAGCGGGGATTCCACTGCGCGTCAACGAGACTCTTACTCCATCGGGATCGTCGCAGCGCAGCAGCACGCCCTGCTTGTTGGACGACAGCAGCGCGTCCCAGGCTCCAAGGACGGACGGATACGCTTGCGAGTCGGTGCCGAAGTAGGTCTTGAACACGGTGTCATTGGCGCCGTTGGTGCGGACGTAGTCGCGCGCAAATGACGCAACCTCGTACGCTTCTCTGTACAATGTCAGCCCGTGATGGTTCGAACTTGCTCACTTGAGACCCTGCTGGAGCATGCGGGTCTGGGTTGAGTTACAGCTCGAGTGGATCTGAATGTCCGTGGTGTAGGCAACGAGATCACGGGGGGCGATGCTGCGCTCGAGACTGGGTGCCCGGGAGGGGAGAGGCGACGCCGTGGTGCCGGCAAGGAGCGAGAGAAGGAGAGCAGGAAGCATTGTCGTTTGGTGAGGTTTCGTTGCGAGTCGGTGTGCAGCTTGACGTCCATCAGGTGGACGCTTTTATGCCACTCCACGGCGTCCACCGTCGCCAGTCCGCCACATGCATTATGCATCATGACCGGCCGCCAAGCGATCCCCTCTTCTACTTCTCACACTCACACGTATGGTACGCAGACGAATCAGCATCGACATTTCATGGGACCGGAGTTCTCGGGCCGTATGAAAACTCTCGCTTGGCCTCAAATTCTCGTCAGGAGCATGGGGCAGCTATGATGTCGCCCCCGGCACCGTGCATCCAACAGTACTCTGCGCAACACCTCCTTCTCATGTCTACACAACTAGACATCTTGGCAGGGCAATCTGTACGAGCTAGAGATAACCTGACATGACCTGGCGGGTACCCATTCTCGGCGTTCTAACTGGCATTTCGGGCCTGGTTGATATAATTTACACATTCCTCGGAGGGGCCGTTTGATAGTTGCGTGTTCTGTCAAGTCCGTTTCCACATTGATCCTGTTCGCCAAGACGGCTGCCCAGGCCTTGCGTACCGAGCAGAGTGGGAGCATGCATGCATGGCACGCACATGCGTGCTGTTCCACATCGCTTCCCAGGCCAAGCGAGCATGCAAAGTACATACTGGTGCAACCGGCCGGGTCCTCATCTTGGCAGCTGCTTGGCACCCATATGCTGCGCGCGTAGTACTCGTCGAGCACACACCTCGCCCAGTCATACATAATGCGAGGTGTAGTTTTACGTCTCGGTATGCAACACCGTTCATCAAGACATCTGGTACTGAGCAATGCGTGCGCCTTCTCTCAGAGCAGTCCTTTCCCTCGTGGTCCTCGCGGCTCCGGCCGCAGCTCAGTTTGCGGCTGCGACGACGACCGGAGCTCTTGGGCCATCACCCACCGAGTCGGCTGGGTGTTACACGCGTACGTTCTTTATTCTGGTCTCTGGATTGTCATGCTGATGCATATGCACAGATTCTGGGACTTGGGCCTGCGCCGCCTCGCGTACCGCTGTAGCCGCACCGGCTGCCACGTCGGAGGGATGTGTGTGGCACGAGACGCACTGGGATTGCGAGGACGAGCATGACCACGAGGACGATGAAAGCGGGGAATGTATTATCCACGGTACGTCACCTCTTCTTCCTGCCACTCGTTCGTAGACTGACGTGTCCCAGTGGGCCACACACATGGCGACTGCTCGGCGGAACAACTCGCATGTGGCGCAATCTTGCTCGAGGAGTACAACCTCCCACTGCACGTGGCCTCAATCTTCATTATCCTCGTCACATCTGCACTGGGAGTCATGATTCCGCTCGTAGCTGGCTGGAAGACGAATAAGGGCCGCAGCGTCACTCTGGACGCGGCGAGCTTTGGACGCGGTGTCGGCTTCTGGGGCAGTGTGTTCTTCCTTGCTAGGCATTTCGGAACAGTAAGTGAGACAAACATACACCCACTCGAGGCACAGTTTCAAGTCCAATGCTCACCTGTACCAGGGCATCATTCTCGCCACAGCATTTGTCCATCTCCTGTACCACGGTTTCGTCATGTTCGCCAACGACTGTGTCGGCCACCTCGTGTACGAGGCGACGGCCCCCGCCCTGGCGCTGGCGGCAGCCTTGCTCACCTTCCTGCTCGACTTTGTCGGCTCGCGCGTGGCACACGCCAAGCTGGACCGTAACGGTGCACACCGCCCGCACTCCCCCGCGAGCCCCGAGACGCCGCCATCAGATGACGACCAGTCCCGCGACAAGGACCAGGTGGCGGCCGAGCCCGTCATTGGGACAGAGGTGTGCGCGCATGCCGAAGCTGTCTTCCGTTCCGAGCAAGGATGGCAGGTCGTCCTCCTCGAGGCGGGTATCATCTTCCATTCGTAAGTAGCTAGCTCTGCGTGTTCTTAGTACTCAGCGGCTCACACTCCCCGACAGGATCATGATTGGCGTCACCCTCGGTGCCGGCTCGGGAGCGGGCTGGACCACACTCCTCATCGTCCTCATCTTCCACCAGTTCTTCGAAGGCGCGGCGCTCGGCGCACGTATCGCCCTCTTGGCGTGGATCTCGCGCATGCGCGCGTTTGTGATGGGAGCAGCGTTCATGGTGAGACCATTAAGCATGAACATACCTGACTCCCGCTACAGCTGGTCACTCCCATCGGCGTCGCGATCGGTATCGGGGTGCGCAAGTCGTTTTCGCAAAACGGCAAGGCCGCGCTGCTGAGCGTCGGCGTCCTCAACTCCATCTCGGCCGGTATCCTCGTGAGTTGATCGTCCCCCTGCCAGCCTCCCACGGCTTCAACTGACACGCATTTCTCAGCTGTACACGGCGTTCAAGCTCCTCGCGGCGGACTTTGTCGACGGGCCCCTGCGGACCGCGCCGACCGGCCGAGTCGTCCTCGCCATGGCGAGCATGTTGACGGGCCTGGTGGCCATGAGTGTGCTTGGCAAATGGGCCTAGACTGTTTTCCTTCTCGCACCGTTTTTTAGATAGCTCTCAACAAATCCCTAATCCCCTGAGGCTTGAGGCCCCTGATGCACGTGTCCAGCATGTCCAGACGTCTGGACCGCGTGGACGGCCATGAAAGAAGCGGTAGCAAGGACGGGCAGGAAAAGTACAGGCGTGAGGTGGTCCGGACGCCGGTGATAGCCGCGTTTTGCCGTGTTGCCGTTGGAGGTGCCGCCGGTGTCCGCTGGTGTGCCGCAGGGAGGTTGCTCTGTTGCTCGTTTTTCCTTGGATGGTTGTCCCTGTACCCATGGATGTATACCTCACGATACGTGATGTGCTTGAGGCTGACTAAGGTGTCGGTGCCGAGAGCTGTGGAGGTGGAGGGTGGGTGTCCGTGTCGGATCGGCGGTGAGAAGAGTGAGCAGTTGGTTCTGAGTGTGACGGGGTCGCAATTTCCGACGTCGGAAATGACGAACGCTGGTTGACAGGACGTGCACGATAGTGGTGGTCGAGGCAGACCGGGGGTCAGTAAACATGTAACTCGTCGCCACGTTCCCAGCTCCAGCACACAATGACAAGACTTCTTCACATCACTCTAGAGGTCCAAGACCATTTAAACATCGGTGGGGAGGTTGGGCGCGGGGTACTCCTTGGACATGTGCTCGGCGTAGTAGCGGAAGTGGACCTGCTTGCCCGCGGCGTCAATGTCGGCAATGTCCTGCGCGGTGAGGTCGGGCAGCTCGTTGACAGCAGCAATCTTCTTGATGTTGACGGGGTTGGACGACGAGGTGATGGGCGACACACCCTTCTGGATGGTCCAGAGAAGGAGGACGCTGGCGACGTCGGTGCCGATGCGGGCGGCGAGGCGCTCGAGGACGGGCTTGAGGGGGCCACCGGTCTTGTGGCGCAGGATAGGGGTGAGCGGGCCGTAGGCCTGGGTGACGATACCGTGCTGGGCCTGCAGGGGGAAGAGGTCACGCTCGTACTGGGCGAGGACGTAGGGGTGGAACTCGAGCTCTGTGGGGTGTTATTTGAAAAGGTCACATCGGCGCACACTCACGGTTCGCAACAGGCTTGATACGGGCAACCTTGAGGACAGTCTCGAGGTCCTGGGGACGGAAGTTGCTGACACCAAGGGAAACGCCCTCGAGGGTACCGTCAAGGACCAGGTCCTCGAGGTAGGTCCAGAACTGGGCAATGGTGCCCTCCTTGGGCACGTAGGGGTTGTGGATGAGGAGGAGGTCAGGCTTGGTGCCGAGACGCTCGAGCGACTCGACGACCGACTGGCGGATGTTGGCGGCAGTGGTGGCCTCGGCGGCGACTGCAAGTCAGCTTGGTACGGGGATGTCACAGCTGCCGCAGCTGGGACGCAGCCGGCGGGATAGGGGAACGTACCAGAGTTGGCCGAGACTACGCAGTCAGTAAGACACCCTTCGACACGCTTTCCAAGTCACCAAACTCACTCTTAGTGGTGATCCAGACCTTCTCGCGGGGGATACCAGCGGCCTTGATGGCGGCGCCGGTCTCGGTCTCGGTCTTGTACCACTGCGCAGTGTCGATGTGGAGGATACCCGACTCGAGGACAATCTTGCCGGTGTTGATGGCCTTCTCACCCGAGTCCTCGAGACCGCCAGTGCCGTTACCCCATCCGATGGCGGGGATCTGCTTGCCGTCGCTGAGCTGGAGAGTGCGGACCATGGTGCTTTCAAGAGAGTGGTGGATGTGAAGAGAGAGAGTGGGAGAGAGGGAGAAGGAAGAAGAGACACCCGCCGTGTCGTCGTCGTATATAAGGCGTCATCGCCTGTCACCTCCACCTCCACCGGTGACTAATCTGCAGATCAGCCGGCGACAGCTGCATATCCCCAAGAGAAAATGGGCACAACGCGCGTGCTCCTGATCTCTTAATCCTCATTGGTACGTGTTATGGCGCGGTGCATGACGGAGAGAGGATGAGATCCGTCGGACGTGAGCACATGTTGCAGCAGATCGCAGCAGCGTTGGGCCATCAAAGTCATCGCTCAAGTGTGCAAAAAGCCCCGAGCCTGCAAAAAGCCCCGAGCCACCACCACACCAAGTCAACAATGTCTGACCCGCCACGTCGCAGCTCCCCAACAGTCCCCCGCCGTTCCTCGGCTCCGTGATATCTGTCGACGCACCGCTCACATCCAGAACCGACTCGATACAAGCTTAGCTTAGCAATACACATCCGTCTACGCGCGCGCCCGCTTGCCATTGGCATTCCGTAGCGCCGCACCCACCGGCGCGCCGTGGCTCGCTCTCCTGCGGCGTGGTGGCCGCTCATTGCCGAGCCCGTGTTGGTCCAAGTCGCGCAGACACGCAATCCAGTTGGTCACTGCCCATGCGCGCTGGGAAGCAACGGTAGGGTCGAGGATGGCGAGGAGGAGGGAGACGAACGTGAGCATGTCGCGGGGCTCGTCAATGTCGCCTGTCCAGACGCGTACGGAAGGCTGCGGAAAAAGTCAGCTGTGGGGAAACCTGTATGAGCCGCTATACACTCCACTCACACACGACTGGTACTCGTTATCCAGCTCGTGCCGCAACCGCATAGTGTACACGGTGACGAGGCTGCTCTCGACCGTAATACCATACACTGTTCCGGCCGCCGTGTCGCCCATGGCTGGCGCGCTGGGATGTGACTTGACGCGATCGTACAGCTGCTCATAGACCGCAACGCCCATGCGCATGGCTGTCGTGAGGACCATGTCGCCTGCTGCACGGCCTGTGGCTGGTGTGACGAGGCCTTCAACGAACAGAAAGGGGAACCAGACTTTGTCGTAGGCACCTGCATGTCAGCTATACCAGCCACGGCGAAGCTCACCGTCTGGGCTGACGAGTAGCTGTTTGCTGAACATGGTACCCGTCATTGGCTGGCCGTTGAGCGATATGGGTTGCAGGCCAGCGGTCCATGTGGGCATGGCAGGTATGAGGCCCGCCAGGTCGAGTGTGGGGAGCACAGAAGGCGGGGGGATGGCGGGTCTGAGAGTGTTAGTCATTTGGCAGCTTTACGTCCGAGTCACAGCTGCACCGGCCCAGTGGCGACTCACCGTCCACAGATGATGCCTGGAGGGCACGCCGCTTCGATGAGGGGTTCGATCGTGCTGGCGTGGTTGGCATGCATGACTACTAGGAACCTGTTCGTGTATGACTTGTACGCATGGCGAGCCAGCGCGAGAATCCGCCGCAGCTCGGCAGGCGGTTGGGTGCCGACGCCTCGTTCAGACATCTGGTGGACATGTCAGCGAGCAGCGCTGGGGCCGGTTGGCAGAAACCTTACCTTGTCGGCCATGACCCATTCTTCCCACATGGCCAGACCATCCCTCCTTGCCAGCAACGCAGCTCGCGCCTGAGCCAACGGTGCCCAAACAACATCGGTCAACCCGTTTGGGCGGAGTGGCCAACAGCCGACAGTCATCATGGCGTCCATGTACTCCCACCGCCCTTCGCTTGTACTGAGCCCTGCGGCGCGCGAGATGGCGGCTGTGATGGCCGTGTCGCATTCGTCGCCCAGTAACTGGTCTGCGGGGCCCATGGTGAAGTGTACTGGGGGGAAATGAGGCAGTGGACAACAGAGATCCAGTGGCCAAGGCTCCAACAAGTGCTGACGAAGATGACCTCGTGAACCTGGCAAGCTCCGATCGTTCGGTGACGCTACAACATTCCGCGACCAGCGGATATCGCGTACTCCTGGATCCTGCAATCCACGGGTTGCTGCAGCACCGGCAGGGGGGATTGAGTTATCATCCTCCATCGTCCCAACCTGGCTATACCCTGCATGACGGGAAACGACTGTGCATTGGAATTTATGGTTGTTAAATGCTATGGACGTATTCTCATTCTTCGACCGCAACTGGGAGATGACGACATGTGGACGGCCATGTCCGAGAGCCACTCAAATTCCCCCTTCTTCCTCGTCTCACGAAACTTCTTTTGCTGCCATTTTTCGTTTGGACACTGCTTCTTACTTTGTTCTTCTGTGATCTGTGGGTTCTTGCGGGCTTGCCCGACTGATACGCGTTTTCCTGGTCCTCTCTGTTTATTGAAGTTTTCGATGTTTTACCGTGGCTCTCCTTTCTCCGTCCGCTTTCTCTCTTCAATACAGCTTGGCCATCTGGTCGTCGGACAGGTCGCACTCCGTCGCTAGTCTGTCTTCAGTCAACCTTCTCCACCACCAAAGAAGCTCAAGAGGACGACGGCGGAAACACTTACGCTCGGGGGCCATGAGTCCCTCGTTGAGCGGCGCGAGGTGCGTGCTCTCGATGAGTCCCGGGCGGGCCTCACACGAGTTGCGGCGCGGGCCCTTGTTGGGACGGACGTGGTCGGCCGGGATGCCCATGGGAGGCGACGTGGCCATCATGGTGGGCATGGCGTGCTGTGCGCGTCAGTGGGTGGCCCGGTGTGGAGTGGGAGGGGGAGCGTGTAGACCATGAGGATGTGAGGTGGTAGATTGTCAGAAGCACAAGGCGTGGGGCGCCATGCCGGCGTGGGTGGAGCGTAACCGGAGTATCTCAGACAATGGGACCAGAACTGCGCAACGGGAATGGAGTAGGCAGAGCTGTCAAACTCACGTCGGGGGCCATGATACCTTCGTTGAGCGGGGCGATGTGCGTTGACTCGATGAGACCGGGACGAGCCTCGCACGAGTTACGGCGGGGGCCCTTGGTCATGCGGACGTGGTCCTCGGGGATGCCCATGGGCGGCGACGTTGACATCTGCTGGGAGTTAATAGGTCACACGACACCCACACTACAACCAGGGACGTACACTTGTGTTCATGTTTGTGACGGTAGGAGGTAGCGGTAGGTAAGAGTATTTCTTGCGGTGGAAAGTGCAGTCTGAGTGAGTGGGTGGGTGTGAGCAGACGCGGGTCATGGCTGGAGCCGCTATATATGTGGGCACGACTGCGAGCTCCAGCATACACCCGATGCAGGGCTGGATGCGCGCATGCATGTGACTGTGGTAAGGGTGCCCCCAACAGTAGGTGAAAGTGAACCAACATGATGAAGCTAACAATAACGTTGTGACGACGGAGCAGGTGACCCCCACACACAGCCCCGGCCAACAATGGACGTCGTTGTCATACTGAGCGAAGCCGACCTGGTCGGGGGACCAAGAGTGCGTCATGGAAGTGTATTAGGCGCAATTGCAAGCCTCCGTTTCCCAGGTGGACATAGTGCGTCGCCGTGAGTGGAACACGGAGAGATCTGTGGAATGGACCCAAAGCAGTTCACTATGCGGGCCCTCTCGAAAGCAACAACAATGTCGTTCCTGGGGTCCCAAAGTGCCACACTCAACAACCCGTGCATGTCTTCTTTTCTATTTAAACCTAGCTTCTACCTCGTACAACACTTTTTCCAGCGCGTCCACAAACACATCCGCATGCTCCGTCGTGAGCGTCAGGGGCGGCTTGACCTTGAGCACGTTCCGCCGTTCACTCGTCGCCTGCACAATCACGCCGTGGTCGAGCATCCGGTCGCAGATCCACGCCGTCTCGTTGACGGCCGGCGCGCGCGTGTCGCGATCCAACACCAGCTCGACGCCCTGGTACAGGCCCATGCCGTGTATCGCGCCGACTAAAAGGTGGCGCTCGCGCAGTGCCTCCAGGCGTGACGCGAGGTGGTCGCCCACGGCGGCGGCGTGTTGCTGGAGCCCTTCGTCTCGGATGATATCCAGGACGGCCAGCCCAGCAGCCGCAGAGGCGGTACTGCCGCCTGCAGACGAGAAGAACATGCCCTCGCCCTCGAGCGAGGCGGCAATTGCTGGAGTCGTGTACACGCAGCCCAGGGGGTATCCGCCGCCGAGAGCCTTTGCGACGGCCATGATATCGGGGACAACGCCCTGCTGCTCCACACCCCAGGTATAGTGGCCGAGACGCCCGAGGCCGACTTGCACCTCGTCGGCGATACACACGCCGCCACGCTCGCGGACAGCGGCGTACACCTTCTGGAGGTATCCGGCCGGGTAGACGATTCCGCCGCCGTTGCCGAACACGGGTTCGCAGAGAAAGGCGCCGGCGGGCGTGCCCTTGCTGTCGAGGTCGTCGAGGAGGGTGACTACGTCTGCTGCGTACGCGTCGGCCGCGTCGGACCGTCGGTGGGGGCCGCGGTACGTGTTCACCGCGTCGGCGACGTGCACCCAGGCTGGCCGTGACCCCGACGCAGCGGGGTTGTCGAACGCACTGGTGCTGACGGCGTCGGTCGCCATCGTCCACCCGTGGTAACCCTCGCGCAGGACGACGACGTCCTTGCGTCCCGTGTGCACCTTTGCGAGGTGCATGGCGAGGTCCACCGCCTCGGAGCCAGAGTTGACGAGCATGACCACACTGAGCGTTGGGTCTGGAGCGAGGGCCACCAGGCGTTCAATGTACTCTGCCAGCACCGAGTAGAGGAACCGCGAGTTGGTGTTGAGCGTGAGCATCTGCTGGTTGACGGCGTTGGCGAGGACAGGGTGGGCGTGGCCGACGCTGGCGACGTTGTTGACCATGTCGACGTATGCACGGCCGTTGGTGTCGATGAGGAGGTCACGCCACCCGCGCTCGATCTGCGGCGCGTGGTCGTCATAGTATCGTTCCGCGGCGGTGGGCATAGCCGCGGTGCGTCTTTCCCGCTCCCGTGCAGTGTCGGCGATCCAGTGTGCAGGCTCGATGCCGAGCAGGACGGCCGGATCGACCGTGAGTCGCCGCCAGGCGGGCAGCGCGTCCGCGTCGGTAAACTCGGGTGCATACGAGATACCGGGGCGGCGCCACTGGATGGTGAGTCTCGAGTTTGCAGTGACGGTACACAGCTCTTCGCCAGCGACGGCGGAGCCAAACGCGGACATGCTCTCGATGTCGCCGTCAATCTGGATCTCACCAAACGTTCCCGCGAGGATGAGGCTCGAGTTGCGGGTGGTAGAGTTGCGTGTGTCGACGTAGCACGGGAAGGGGACTACAAGTTGGGTAGTCTTGGGGAGGAAGAGTTCGGTGGTCAGAGCGGTGTTGTTGGGACGATTGGAGCCCGCAGGGGGAGAAAGCGTGAGCCGGTGCTCGCCGTATGCAAAGACCGCGGACTTGCCCCGGGCCGTCACGGCAGCAGCAAGTCGTTCCTCGATCCCCTTCTCTGCCCATGCTCCGCAGTGGAGGTGTGGGCTGGACGCGTCAAGGCGGATAGCTTCAGAGTCGAGTTTCGGCACCAGCACACGCTCTGGTTTGGGTGGTGGCTCGTCCATGCGTCCGGTGGCAGCCCGAATGGCCGCATGCGCGAGGGCCATGTTGAGGCTGTCTGCCGTAGCGAAGATGTTCCACTCGTGCTCCATGCGTTCCCGAGCGTAGTCGTTTTCAGGCTCGAGGGCCACCTGGTGCGCGCCTGAGACGACGAGGACCGCTCCTCGGAGGATGACCAGCGGCCAGAGCACAATAATTTCGGCGTCGGTCAGCTGGGCGATGGCGTCAAACGCGGCGATGGCCGGCATCACGTCCAGGGCACGTCCGCCCTGGTGGTGCAAGATGCTGGAGACGGTGACGGCCAACTCGGCCACACGCCAGCCAGTCGCGAGGTCCCCCCAGTCGATGATCGCCTGCGGCACGACGCGGCCCATCTCGTCCCGCGGTCCGACGATGTTGTCGTCTGTGATGTCGCCGTGGATGGGCTGGACAGGGAGGCGGGCGCCATAATGCCGCACCACGTCCCATGCCCTTGTGGCAGCGGACCGGATGTGCTCGCGACGGTGCACCGAGACCTCGGGGTTGTACGCGTTCACGACGGCCATGGCGTTGCGCATGTCCCACTGCAGGTCGCGCTCCAGTGCCGGGTCTGTGAGGTTTGCGAGCTCGGCAACGACTTGGCCAGCCAGCCGGCCCATCTCGGCCACGATGTGCGGTGACAAGTATCCGTCATCCACAAGACTTGTGCCCTCTACAAACGTGAGCAGTCGCGCCCGTGCGCGTCGTCCGTCGGTGCCGACGTCGACAGCGCTTATCCACTCGCCAGCCATGTCGCGTACGGGTGTGGGAACGCTCACCCCGTGCTCTGCCAACCGGAGGAGCGCTTCGTTCTGGATCTGAATCTCGCGCTCGGAGAAGACGTCATTGTCAAACTTGAGCAAGTACCGCTGGCCCCGGATTTCGCTTTCAGTGCTGTTGTGGATCGGGGTGAGGAGGTAGTTGCGGTCTTGGTTGCTGCCGAGCTCCTTGACGGTGCCGGTGAGGCCGTACGCTTGGGCTGCGACGCGGACAGCGTCCTCTGCTGTCACCGCTGGGCGTACGAGCTGCACCTGGGCGTGCGGGTCGAACATGGTGGGCTGAGGGAGGAGGTTGAGATTATGGATGCATGCGGGTGTGTGTTGTGTGTGTGGTGTGTGGTGTGTGCCCACCTGGGAATTCAATGACGGTGGAATTCGGCAAAGTAAACAAAACGGCGCTACGGTGGGACTGCGGGTAAACACCTCGGTTGATTTTACCGTACCGGGTAAATTCTTTACTCGGCGCAAAAAGATTTCGACCATACGGTCGAAACCACATTAAGTCAAGGGGACTGAGGACTGCCGTCTCCTGCCCGGTGGTCGCATTGAACCCTCACCGGGGGGGAGCCGTTTGGTATTCGATCCGTTTTGGTATCGATCCTTACAGCCAATATTCGACCAGACATGGCCCGGCACGGTTCGCCCGAGCTGCTCTGCTCCTGGGCTGTGTCCACCGGAGCACACCGCTTTGATTCCATCAAGCCTAGTATTCACGCTGCCTCGAACAGAGGTTATGGTAGGTCCCGGTCTGGGATGGGTATGCCAGTTGCCCATATGTGTCGCGGTAACCACTCCGCTACTGACCACTTTATGATATCTAGTATGCATGGGCCCTCTTGTACGAGGAAACGGAAGTATTTTTTGATTACTTTAATTAATCAAGCCTCGGGTTCATTAGTTCCGCTTTCCGTAATCCGGGTAATAACTCCTCACACGTGACCTCTGTCACGGACTTCTTCTCGTCTCCGCTCGTGACGTCACTTTTTTTTCCTCCGCACACCATGCATAACAGGACGTTGCCACCGCTTGCAGACCACATGCATGCAATGCATGCAACATGCATGTATCGCACAACTCTGCCCCGGGTATCTCCTCCGCAGAGCCAGAGGCCTCGTCTCTGGCAGTGTGCGCGACGCAGCTTGACGCGCCCATAACCACCCTCCCAACGGCACTTCAGTGAACAGACCATTCCTTCGCAAGGGCCACAGACGGCCCATTACGCTGCAACCTCCGCACTCGGACCAGGGTCAAAGATCGATCAGAGAGTTCCCAGGGGCCGCGGCGAAGGGTACGGAGTAATCGGCGTACAACGTGCATTTATGTACGTTGTGCCGAGAGGCGACGGCGGCCACGTTGAGAGATGGGAGAGACTGATCGTGTCTCTCGCAAGAGAAACACGTAGAGGGCCGACCACTGCACGCGGGCAGACGTGATACTGCGTTCTGGCCGGCGCGGCGGCTCGATGATGACGCCACTTACATCATAGTAGCATAATAGGCACTGTGGCGAAATTGGTATACGCGCTGGTCTTAAGCCCCGGCTTTCAGGGTCCTAAGCCTCCCAGTTCCCCTGGATTACGGGTTCAAGCCCCGTCTGTGCCAATTCTTTTTGTTCTGTGGCGCAGCCGTAAGCAATGCTGATTAGGAGCACGGATGGCATTAGGAGTGTTTTATTAACGGAAGCAATGCTGTATGGTGGCGTGCCTACGGACCAACAACAACATTTAACAGGCGCCCCAATGCTATGGCTCCCTAGCTCCGCCTAACTCATTTATAGGCGCGTGACTCTCGGTGCCAGCAACAACGATACACAGCAACTGACGCGCCGCGCAATCAATCGTTGACAACATCTCCACCACCTCCATCTACCCCGTCTCACCATGCAGTCCTGGAAGAACTTCTCCGCGGCCCTCCCCACGGTCGACGTCTCGGCCCTCAACAAGAACCTCCGCAACACCGTCCAGGCCACTCGGTGAGAGCTCGTTCGCGTTCCCCACCCAGCGTTCCCTCCGTCTTGCCTCCCGTCGACTACTGCCTCCCTCTCGACCCATCCATCCTTCTCACCTTGCCCCGACCATCCCCTTACCGCCACCTCACCTTCAGCCTTTTATAGACGCAGCTGACACCACCTCCAGTGAGCGCCTTGGCTCTGTTGGCCCCGAGGGTATCACCGAGTAAGCATCCACAGCAGCTGTCGAACACGGCCCGATGGCACCGCATTGCGCTGATACCAACCCCTCCCAGGCTTCCTGCCGAGTACAAGACCCTTGAGGCCCGCGTCGACGCGCTCAAGGACGTTCACCAGAAGCTCCTCAAGATCACCAAGGTGTACGAGACCGAGTCGGTGAGTGTCTTCATCCCCCGTTTTGTCGCGGTGGCCAGCTGTGCCAGCGAGCGAGCGAGCACACGGGTCAGGCACACCGCTTTGCCTTCCCGGCGGCGCGGCCTTGCTCGGTGTGAAATGCGTGTTTCTGTGGGCGTTTTTTTGGGCTGGGCCTTTTTCGGTTTGGCTCTCATGGCAGCGGCGGAGGCGTCCTGCGCAGCAGAAGCGTTCGTCGCCACCATCCCACGGCGGTCGCTGTTCACACAGGCAGGATGGACCTCTGTTTCCGTCGAACTCGGAGGCACAGAGTGACCGTGTTTGGCCTGTGTGTTCCGCATGGTCTCTTTTGTTTGCGGGCACGCCCATCCCCTCCTACACGACCATGCCTATCCCAAGCAACTCCGCTGATGCTGTTCTCCCAGTACGACTACCCTTCGGACATTGCCGAGAACCTCACCGAGGTTGGCCACCAGGCGCAGGCCGCTTGGTCGACGTTCGCCAACAAGAACCTCAAGAACACCAACCTCCCCATCCCCATCCCCGCCGAGAAGGCCAAGGGTACCGCCCAGCCCAAGACTCTGCCGCACGCTCTGTCGCGCGCCGCCCTGGCCGGTGCCACCGAGCTCGGCGCCGAGGACAGGCTCGGTGCCGCTCTGGGTACTTATGCCCAGGCCATGGACAAGGTGAGTTGTGAATCTGGAGCGGGGAACCGATTACTGTGGCATGGGCAGGCTGGACTGTGCGCCCGACACCGCCTTGATCCCCTGGCTGTATGACTAACACCTCCCAGGTCGGCGAGGCCCGCATCTCGCAGGACGGCGTCATTGCCGAGCGCTTCGTGACCCCCTGGCAGGCGACTCTGTCCACCTCGATCGGCCTGGCCCTCAAGGCCCGCGCCAACGTCAAGACTGCCCGCCTCGAGCTCGACTCTGCCCGTGCCGGCCTCAAGAACGCCGCGGCCGCCAAGCAGGAGCAGGCGCGTCTCCACGTCGAGGAGGCCGAGGACAAGCTCGTCCAGGCCACCGAGACCGCCATCGGCCTCATGAAGGCCGTCCTCGAGAACCCCGAGCCTCTCCAGAATTTGTCGTCGCTCGTCAAGGCCCAGCTCATCTTCTTCTCCACCGCCGCCGAGACTCTGAGCGGCATCCAGGGCGAGATCGAGGAGGCCGCCACCGCCGCCGAGGGCGAGTACCGTACCTCGCGCGGCGCCTAGGCGACCCCCTCGGACGACGATCCAAACGCATCTCTCTCTTCTAGTCTCTTAGAGGATAACAAAAACTGATTAAAGGAGCGTGGGAGACGCGCCCACGGCGCGTCCTTGTGTCATTTGGGTACATGTAGAGATTCTGGCAAGGCCCGTGCGTGCGTGCGTGCGCGCGTACGCTGGGAGGAGGAAACGTTCTAGTTCTAGACGAGGAAGTCGACCCCGGCCCGTGACGATGTGGTGTGATACAGCTTCCCTTTTTTTTTGATACACGAGCGCCTGCGGCTCAATGCAGATGCCTGACGAGAGCAGAGACCCGGCCGTGTCAACCCCGAGCCAGCTGCTGCTATGTGACAAGAAATTCATCAACCTCTACTAGCACGAGGTCCCTCTAGTCCACCCTCTTGAGGATGGACAGCTTCTTGCCCCACGCCACCTCGAGGAAGTACTTTCCACCGCGCCTCACGCCGTTCAGGCCGCCGATGTTGGCGACCTCGGTCCACATGAGCTCGCCATTGCGGTACGCCTTGTGGCCCGAGATCCAGCTGGCGGCATTGTGCGTGATCACATAGTCAATGTCGGCGGCCCACGCGCCCGCGGGCGTGAGCAGGGCGACGTCCTCGTTCTTGGAGTAGACCCACGTCGGCGACTGTTGAGCCGGGAACGCGAGGGCGCCAGAGGTGCCCGAGGCGGCCGCCGACGCGTGGGTGAATGTGAACAGCGTCGCGCCGGTCTGGAGCGGGTACGAAGGGAAATGGATAGTGGAGCCCTCGGGGATGGCCAGGGTGTTGAGCGTGGTCCATACCTGCCCGCCCGGGTAGTTTGCCGTCGAGACGTAGGTGGAGAACGCGGTGACGGCGAGCGTGATAGCCAGGAGGGCGAGCACGCCGAGACGCGTGACGACGCGGCCGGCACGGTGCGGGATGTACCACAGCGCCGAGGCGGTGGAGCCTGCGAGAATGTTGAGGATGGGCATGACGTAGACGATAAAGCGCCATTCCTGCAACATGTGCGTTAGCGAGACGCCGGCGCGACACAAAAACTCAACCCACCTTGTGGCCAACGGTCGTGAGGCAGCCGACGAGGGCGACGACGGGAGGACCAAACACGCGCGAAACTTCGCCCACACAGCGCTGGAGGTTCGTGTCCGAGATGACAGAGTCCTTGTTTCCCGTAATGGCAAGGACGATGGCCCAGAGGATACCGCCGTTGACGAGGGGCAGGGCGCCCGCGAGCATCTTGCCGAGCGAAGTGGCATAGAACGTAGCGTGCATGACGCCCCACTCGTCGGCGTGGCCGTCGACAACGTTGAAGATCATGGCAGACAACTCGGGCCAGAGGGCCGAGGTGGGGGTGAAGCCCGGGAGCGACTCGTGCGGGAGTACGGGTGCCCAGAGAGTGTAGTCGATCGGCGCGGCCACGAGAAGAGATCCCACACCGCCAACGACGCCGGCAGCGAGAGCGCTGAGCAGGCTCATACGACGGATAATGACGAGATTGAGCGCAAGGGGCACGACAAAGAGCGCCAGCTCGAGACGGACCACAGTCGCCACAGCGGTCATGAGGGCGATTCCGGCAAAGTTGCGGCCGCGCAGGACGAGCGAGACGGCCAACACGACAAAGGGCAAGGCAGTAAAGTTGGGCAACGTGCGGCCGGCATAGTAGGGCACGTGGAACTGAATGAGGGAGATGATGACAAAGAGCTTGGCCGTGGAGGGACCGTAGCGAGTCCAAATGGTGCGGGCGAGGTGTGCGTACGATGCAGAGAAGGCAAACGCAAGGACGAGGCGGACTGGCGTGTCAGCTGCAGGTCAAAGGCAGCAGTCATCTTACCGAGAACCTGCACGTCCACCGAGGTACGTGTAATGCCTCCCAGGTTGGCGAGGGCCGCCACAGGCCAGGAGACCACCGCAAGGAGAATAGGAGGAAGGAAGGAGCGGGGGACAGCGCCGGGGAAGGTACGATGGTCCCACTGGTGGTCGACGCGGGCGCGTGATGAGGTAAAGCACGCAGTTGAAGAAGGGAGAGAGCAGCGATACGTGAGAGATTGCTGTGTCAGCTGGACAGGAACATGGCTCGTCATCATTGACTGTCCTGGACTCACCATCTCAAGCGCACGCGGCGCAAAGCCATACCTCAGCACGTCGTACGCAGCATGGATGGTGAAGCTCTCCTCGACCTTTGTGTACGGCGCGATCAGGACGTGCGCGGCAGGCACGCCGACGAGGAGGAGTGCGAGCCAGATGGGGAGGGTGGGCATACTGGCGAACGCAGCAAGAAGCAATAAAGGAGCGTGGTGGTTGGGGAGACTCAACAGAAGAAGTCGTCGTCGACGCACCGAATATGCACCAGGGTTGTGACGCGCTGCGGTGGAGGTCCGCGCTTGGCACCGTGTGCGGGGTGATTTGGTTCCGAAAGTGGCGCCGATCGCCAACCGCCATCACCACACCATCCCACACTCTCCTCTCCTCTCTTTCCACATCGTCCATTCAACCTTCCAGACCGCCAAAAGGATGGTTCGGGAGACAATGAAGCCCCTGATGACGAGAGTGGGATTCGAACCCACGTCCGAAGACTGCGGATTGACATGCTCTTCGAGAAGAGAGAGGAACAACCTTAACACAGCGCCTTAGACCGCTCGGCCATCTCGCCGAGTACGTCGCTTTCCAGCGATGCTGTTCGGTTTGCGAGTGAACAGGACAACGGAGAGCAGGCCGCCGAAGCATAGCGAGTGGTCAGAGGTGGAGAATAGCCTGGAGGGCAATGCTGGTTGAGTGACAGAAGCTTGAGTCACAGGCTTTTGGGGGATTGGCATGTCCCCGATGTTGCCTGGAGTTTTCGGCGTCGGTGGTATGTTGCCTGCGAGTCCTGTCAGCCAGACATAGGGGCCCAGGCATAGTTTGCAGACTTTGTAAATCTTAATAAAGCCTCCCAGTTGGAAGACATGTGCAGTGTGTCCAATCGGTGTCACTTCTGAAGGCTGTCGTCGAAATCTGTTCATTTTGCCGGGTTTGGCTGTGTCGGGCTAGTGTAGGGTCGGTGGCACTTCACTCTCCGCTTCAGGCCCAACATTGTACATCTAGCTCGCCTCCCTAAACTTGATCCCACTGACTGACATGCTGTAGTCTTCGCTTCAGACATTTGGGCACGCTTAATCTACCTTAGCGGCCTGCCATCGGCAGTGGTGCCAGGTGAGGTTGAGACTTGGATGAGACGCGGGAGCCACTCCCCTCCCTTAGACTGAACTTAACGTTTTGGTTTCCCACTCTTGTGGGGCATACACTACTCGTCCTGGGGACGGACAGTGGTACAGTGGTACAGTGACGTCGTTTGGAGCCGTCTGTGACGATCGGGGCTATCCGAGGGAGGCATGCTAATGGGGATTCGGGGTGCCCTTGCCGACGGGTTAACAACTGCAGAGGGGGGGTCTCTTTGAGACATGTTTGATGGCGGTGCTGCCAGCGCGCCTTGGTCCATGGCAGTGAGCCCGAGTGTCGCTGACAATTTTCAGACTCCAGGAACTGCCCTCGTTGCTCAGATGGAAAAGTGGGTGCGGTGATCCTCGACTGTGATCCTGTGATCCTCTGTTGAGCTGTTGTGAAGGTGGGTTATCAGCTCATCGGATATACCGACAGATATATCCGAAGCCGGATCGCCAGTGCCCCAATACTTCTAGGCGTGCGACCGTCAAAGGCCGCCGTCGGGCTCACGCGCGCTCACGCCTTTTTTTGTTTAGGCGTGCAACATGCACACCCAGAAGCGGTGATCCCTCAGGCACCTTCAGTCGCCACCCGATCATCCCATACTCTCTGTTGTCTGTGCATCCAGCTCGCCCACCTCACACACACACACGGCTTCAAACAGAATCATACGATTGCTCGAATTTAAGCAAGCATGGTCCCCGTCACCGGCCCTGTTGACTACACCGTTGCGCTGTGGAGCGAATACCCGTGGTGGCCCTACAGGTGGGTCCTTGTCCTTCTCATCCCCGCCTCTCATCCCCGTCTCCCCTGACCCACCATGCAGATACGACTTCTTCATCTCTCAAGCACCTGCTATTGGTCGCGAGGTCACCACCCCAACTGTGTCGTTCATCTTCCCCATCTCTTCGCCCCAAACCTACCACCCTACCAACCTAACTCCCCCGTTCCGCTTCAAGCCATCCGAGGTGCCTCTCTACTTTCGCAAGTTCTATTGGTACGAGAACGGGGAAACCAAGTCGGTACGTACCAAGTGGCCCATTGTTTATTTGCTGAACGGATAGATTACTAGAGACGAGCTCAAGATGGCCTGGCATATCCTGGGTCAACTGCGTCGGTCTGACATGGACTTGGTTGTAAGCCTCAACACGGCATGCGACTTCGGCCTGGAGTCGCCTATCAGCACGGTTGCGTTTCACGCCGCCTGCGAGCAGGCCTATTCACTCAGAGAACCCCTCGAGCGCTGGACATTTCGCAACTCGACACTCATCGGTGCGTTCGTTCAGCTACCCATTGATGTACACTTGTCTGACGTTACTGTACAGCTGGACTTGCCTCGCACTTGAACGACATAGCCGACCTCGAATACGCCGGTATTGTTCCAACCAGTTGGCATCGTTACGAATGCGAGATGACGTTCGAGACGCTTGCCACCCTGGATGCCAACATCGCCCATACCGATTACCTGTTCCGTGCCTCCAGGCTCATTCTCGAACAAGGCGTGTACGTTGAACCCGAATGGAAGGCTTTTGAGTCCCAAGTGCGCGCCGCTATTCAAGGCATGGAGGCCTTCCGCATGGTAGAGGGCAGCAAGCCGAACCCAACTTTCCGTGTTCGCCAAAGGCTCAAGTGCGTGACTCCTATCATCTTGAGCTGACTTTCAGTTGACTTCCGAAACTCCATCAAGAGAATGGCCGCCATGGAAGGCCTGCCGCCTCGTTTCGGCCTGCAGAAAATGCTCAACTTTGTTTCATATGGTCCTTGTATCTGTGTATCCTCCTGTAATATGCCATTTTGTATGTTTGTGGCCAGGCGATTCCTTGCCACTCCCAGTTCCATTTGCCACGGCCACTGCCACTGCCACTGCCAAGCCAGGCACCATTTGGCTCAACCATCCGCAGTCGCAGTGGCACCTCGTGTGGTTGATAATGACGGCTTCGAGGTCCTGCGACAACAATGCGCAATGTATAGCGACATGGAGGGGCGAGACGTGAGTTTAGGCGGATTTGGGTGGTCCCGTGCCGGTTAACACGGCCCGCGGCCAGGTTTAGCAATAAGAGGCTCCTCTTGAAAAAATCCCCAAACAGATGGTGTACCGCTTAGGGGATTAGTGAAACCACGCGTTTATCTCTCGATCCGGAGCTGTACAGTACAGGAGCACAGACGATGCAGCCATGCTGTGCGGCTATGAATCGTGTGCAGAGTTTGCAAGCGGGATGCGCAGCACTTGCGCGCTCCGAATAGAGACGGCCCCACCGCCTTGGCTCCGCACACACACCCGCACGCACACGAAACACGCCGCTGAAATTGAAGCAGCACAGCCGTGTTTTGCATTCTCCTCCATCCTCTTTCCATTTCATCCACCAGCAGTGAGGAGCATCACGCATCCATCCAACCTGTGCCCTTTGGGTCACGGTCTCGCCTTTTTGGAACTGACAGTTGCTCAGAGCCATGGACTCCACTCCCCCGCGACAGCCACCTCCCGTCATCGAATGCGGTCTGCTTTCCTCCCGTCCACGTCAACAAACCACATCGGTCAGCAAGCCCACGCTCCAACCCTGCACTCAGAACCAGTTGCCTGGCGGCAGCGTCATCTGTAAGAGATACTCTGACATTGACCGGGGCGCCGAGACACTGCACTCTTCATGTCACTTCATCCCCCAGCCGCACAATCCCTTCGCCACCCTTCCACCCCGCACCGACTGACCACGAGGTAGGGAAAAGGGTGTTCTGCCTTGGTCACCAGTGCACTCTCGTCCACTCTGGTGAGCTTGCAAGGTGGGGAGACCTGATAGAGTGGGTTGTTCCATCCCAGCTGTAAGGTAGAAGGGAACAAGCATGGATACGTGGGGGGGAAAGCGAGAAAATTTCCAGTTGCCCTTGGGCCCGTTGCAGTTCTTTGGCAAATCGCGCGCCTTTTGAACGGAGCGCAGCTTGTGAAGCACATGCAGTCCGTAGCCATTGTAAAAGAGTGTCTCTATGTTAATGTCTAGAGCTTCACATCCAAGGGATGCATGAGGACTGTACGTAGATGCATGAGGACTCTACGTAAAGAAACGACGGCCACAGAGGTGCAATGCCACAGTGAGGTTGACGTCAACCTCAGATTGCTCGCCCGAAACAGAGTGTGTACGGTAGATATAACCCACCGCTGCCATTTGTTTCCTTCTTCCACCTTACTTGCTCCAGAAATCTTCGGTGAGTATCACGCGTCCATCCAGCCTCCTTTGGGCAACCGTCTCAGCATCCGGGCACGGGATCCACTGACTGCGACAGATGATGGCATCCTCTCAGCAGCAGCCCCCCTCTCCACCTCCTACGACTGCCGGACAGGGCCTTGAGGCGCCCACCTCTACTCCTACGGCCAACCCTACTCCTACGGTCGTCTCCATCTCCGCACCCGCCGTCTCCATGGACGAGTACAAGGTCGTGGGTGGCTTTTCCCTCCGTAAGTCGGGGCTGAGGCAACATTTGGACCTTTGTTGACGGATGTCAAGACAAAAGCGACATCGTTGGTGTCGGCATGTTTGGAGTCCTCGTCTGCTTGTTTGGCTTCGTGGGTGCCCTTGCTCATGAGTCCTCGCTCGGATGCCTCGCCGCTCTCATCGGCATGGGAATGTGCATGTGGTTTGTTCGCGTCATGACACTCTAGACGCTCATGCATGGAGTCTCCCAACGGTTGGGACGCATGTTCGTCATGTCTCATACTAACCCATCCCCATTCCTCCATCCCTCAATCCATCGACCACGACGCAGGATAAGTGGGCTGTGGGTGGTGCATCCATGCACACTTGGGCAATGCTGGAGGTTGTGAGACTGTCAGGGATGCCCGGCCTGGCTCGTCGTCGAGTGGATGGTGATGTGGTGGCATGCTCGTTTTTACTGAAGCGGTCCAGTTGACTGAACAGGAGAGGACTGGCCGCGCACCAGTTGGCCAGTTGCCAGTTGCGGTTCGGTGGCAACTCGCCGGCCTTTTGAACGGAGGGCGGCTTGTCAAGCACATGCAGCCAGTGGACATTGGGAAAGAGTGTCTCTATGGGTACGTATAGAGTTGTATCGCAATGAGTAGAGGCTCGGCATCTGCATGGACTGGAAAGAAACAGCAGTCATCGTATAGAGGTGCCACAGGCCACAGGACACGGTTGGCGTCAACCGCCAATGCCTGTGCCAGGCGCAAACACTCAAACCAGCTAACCAGCGCCCGCTCTTTCCTTCTTCCCACTTCCTTTTACAACAAACCAGGCTGTGAGTATAACGCATTCGTCCATCCCTCAAACCATTCCTTGCCCTTGCACGCGACTGCCTCGCCATTCGGGCACGGGGTTCACTCATCACTGACAGCCACAGCATGGCCTCCTCCCAGCCTCTCTCGTCGCCTCCTCCCACCATCAGCGGCCAAGCGTTGGTGGGACCAACGTCGACGCCTGCTTTGGGACCAGCACCCGGCCAGGTCGCTGCCAGCCCGGAGTATAAGACCGTGTGTGCTGTCTCGTTCCGTGAGTCGGGCTGCGCCAACATTTGGACCGTTGTTGACGGATGTCAAGACACCCGCGACATGCTCGCGATCGCCTACGTGGTCCTGCTCGTGTTCGTGTTCGCCTTTGTCCTTGCCCTGTCTCAAGGTTCGGCAGAGGGCAGCAAGGCGGCACTTATTGGTGTCGCGATGTCGTTCTTGTTCATCGGCTACATCCTGTCGCGTTAACACGTCAATGCATGTGGCTTTAAGGATCCATCAGTTGGATGCATGCGCTTCATTGACCCACTCTACAGACCAATCGGCATATCTCCATCCCTCAATTTACTGACCACGATGCAGGATACGAAGAGGTTGTGGTAGCGCATCCATTCACATCAGTGCAATGCTGGGAGATTGGGAGATTGTCATGCTTGCCAAATCTGGCTCGTCGTCGAGTGGATGGTGATGTGGTGGCATGCTCGCTTTTTTTCGCTGAAGCGGTCCAGTTGACTGAACAGAAGAGGACTGGCCGCACAGATGAGCACATCCATCCCCGGCTACGCGGTTGCCCCCCAAGTGCCAACCTCTACGCTCGCGAGCACCACCAGGTCGGGCCCCGCGCGCCGCCCCGCCACGTACCCTCCCGGAATGACCATCTGTAAGTTATGCTACGTTCTGCGCGCATACGTGCATGTTGGCTGACGGACGTCGAGGGATCCTGGGAATCTCGGCCGCTCTCACCGTTGCCTTTGCTCTCGGCGCCACCATCATGGTCGCCATCGGCGAGCTTGGCGCGGGTGGAATGTACTTCGCCCTTGCCGCCCTCTTTGTCCTTGTTGTCATCTCGTGCAAGGAATAGGCCAATGAGTATTATTACATGCTCAGCCCTCAAGCATGCAGACCATTGGCATGTCCCCACCCCTCAATCTACTGACCACGATGCAGGCTAAGTGGGCTGTGGGTGGTGCGTCCATGTGCACTCGCGTAAGGCTGTGAGCTTGTGAGACTGTCAGGGATGACAGGTCTGGCTCGTCGTCAAGTGGACGTTGAGATGGTGGGCTCCTTGTGTGTACTGCAGCGGTCCAGTGGATTGAACAGAGCGATGTCTGATGGCCACGCGACAGTTTGCTCTCGCCTGTATCGCCTATGGCCTGAAGGATGGTCTGGTCTGGTCTATGCTTCCAGACCAGCTGTAGGAGCAGGGGAACAAGGATGCAACTGGTCAACTAAGGCCAGAAAGTTGAGCCAGCGGGTACAGCCATCAGTGGCCGAGTTGCTGTTCGGTGGCGACTTGGCGCCTCTACCACAATGTGGCTCGGCAAGGACATGCAACCACTGGCCAGTCTGAAAGGAACTCTGCGTCTTTGTACAGGTATACCTCTGGAGAACAAATGAGCACGGCCTGGGCATGCATATGGAGAGTGGAGAATGCGACCAGCGCGCATCTGTGCCAGATGGCCACACGGTGAGGTTGACGTCAACCTCCAAACGTGCCAACCCGAAACGCACTGTGACATGTACTACACCAGTACCAGCGCCCGTTGTTTTCCGTTTTCCCACTCTTCCCTTTCAACAACTACCATCAGTGAGTACAACGCATCCATCCATCCCTGCCGACTGTCCCCTCGCTTCTCCGCATTCGGGCACTGACAGTGTCAAAGGCAAGCATGTCGACCTCGACAGCGACCAGTCCGCAGCTCCCCGCCACCGCTGCGCCTGTCCCGTCTCAGCACGCCAACCAAGTCCAGCAAATCCAGCAGACTCCAACCACCTCCTGGAAGGACCAGATCTATTTGGGTAAGTGGTGCTATGCGCTATATGCTGCGTCAATACTTGAATATTGATTGACGGATGTCAAGACGACTCCGCTTGGTGATGGTGTACTGTTTCTTCATGGCAGTTTTCAGCGTCGCTACCCTCGGGTTCCTCTTCTACGGCTCCGTTGCCGCCGCTGGAGGCTCGTTCGCGGCGGTCACGCTCTTTGCCTACAAGCTGAAGTAGGATTGGCCCCATGACAAATCCTCTGCTCGCTTTCCTGAGATCGCTGCACGCGCTGGCTGCATGTATCATCTCTACTGACCCATCCCCATCCCTCCACCCCGCATCCCACCTTCCCTCTCGTGACCATGGCTGCCACTTCCGTGCCCTCCGTGACCGCCGTGTCCGTGTCCATGATGAGGTTCTCCCCGAGCACCACCACCATGCCCCCGCCCCTGCCCATGGTGACCAGGACTCTCCCCCGGTCCCTGCCCGGGCCCAGGAGGCGCCTGCATGAGTTGCGAGTCCAGGCTGGCCAGCTCGGCATCCCAGTTCCACCAGTTGCCCATCGACAGGCCACCAAAGCTGCCGTCCCCGGCACGCTGGTCGCCTCCAACCAGTGTCAGCGTCGTGGGATCCCAGAACTGGTGCAGCTGTGAATCCGTGTCAGCCCGTGTCCTGTGCCAGAGAAGGGGTTGGTGATACTCACGAAAAGGTCGGTCGGCAGTTCTCCGTTTTGCGTCTGCGCCACATGCGTGCCATCTGGAGCGGCAAAGTGTTGCTGCAGCACCTGCTCGAGTGGCGCTGGCGGAGGAGCTGTCACGCTTGGGCTGAGCATGGGCAGCGGCGGTGCGGACATGGCCCCGCTGCCTGGAGGTGGCGGAGGCGCCGAGGTCGACGTATTGGACCTGGCTGAGATGGATGGGGTCGGCGCCAACCCCATGGGCATGTTTGCGGCGGCAACTGGTGTGTGCCCAGAACCCGGGTGTGTGACTGGCCTGTGGGGGACGCGAGCGCGTTCAATGAGACGTGTGCGCCAGCCAAGGAGCTCGACATCGACGTCTTCGTCGGCACCGGTCGGCTGGGCGTGCTCGAGGGTCGCGGCAGCGCGGGCACGCAGGCGCAGCAGCCATTGGTGGTTCTGGACCAAGGAGGGTATGGCGTGGTCACGCAGGACGAGACCGTACAGTCTGATACTGTGGTCGATCTGGCCCAAGCAAAAGTTGGCAAGCGGGTTGGACGGGTCCTTGATCACGAGCGTACCAATGCACACGGCGGCCGTGAAGAGGTGGTACCAGAAGAACCAGTGGCGAGCCGTGACGGTCGGGTAGAGCTCGTAAAGGCCGCCGACGACCTCGATGAGCACGTTGCACCGTTCCACAACCGCGAGGTACGACTTGCCGTAGGCTGAGCGGGTGGGATCTTGCGGGGCCTCTTGCAGCGCCTTTACGAAATAAGGTCGTTGAAGGAAGAGAATAGTCTCGGAGACGTTGAGCGCGAGTGTGAATTGTTGGAAAGTGCGATGGAGGTTGCCGCGCGCCACCTCGGGCGAGTCGCGAGTCGCGCTCTCGGCATCGGCGTAGACCGATGGCAAGGCGATGAGGGCGGTACGACAGCGGAGGTGGAAGGGGATCTGGCGCTCAAACGCACACAGGCGTTCGTACAGCGCTGCGATGGTGGTGTACGGCGTGGGGCGGACATCCATTGCCTGGTCGAGGACTGCCCCAGAGATACGCACAAGCTCAAACTTGAGGGTGCGGAACGACTTGAGCCCGCTGGGTCCATCGGCCCATGTTTGGGACGGAAACTCGGTGTCGATGTGCTCTGGACGGAGGGCAGAGGGACGCGAGAAGCAGTTGGCTTGGAAGACGTCGATGGTGTGACATTCCCAGAAAACGTGGCGTCGCTCCTCGACCAAGTCGGGCGCGAGGTTCCACCGCGCGCCGTCGCGATGCATGCCCATGGCAGTGATCAGGCGCATGGCGAGACCCCACAGTGGCCAAGCGCTGTCGCCGTTGCGGCCCTTCTCGGTCTCGAGGTGGTAGTGTGCCATGATGACCTGGGCGTCAGCTGAGGGCCCTATGGCATGAGGTAACTCACGACAGCCTGCAACCCGTTGACAGTGTTGTGTCCCACAAAGTCGCCCTTGATTAGGCTCCACCGCGCGGCCGCGAAAAGGTGCTCTGCGCTGGGATCATGTGGTGGGAGGTCGGGGTTGTGCAGCGCTCCCATGGCCATGATGATGAACAGCAGGCCAAGTTGCTGAGGGTGCACGCGGCGCGCGAGGGGTTCACCGCTACTCGTGTCATATGCGCGGTCAAAGAGGGGTTGGACGGTACGGCGCGGAGCGACGTCGTGGCTGTATGTGTTAGCTGAGACACGCGGCGCAAAACTCACTTCCAAGCATAGTTGCGATAGTATGCGTCAATCAAAACCACAGCCTCGTCTGGGGGTGGGAGGTGGAACATGATGGTCTCCATGGTTGGCGGTGGGCCCCAGTTTGGGAACGGGAACATGCTCTCCTCGGGGAAACCGTAGGCGTTGACCTCGGCAGAGGGGGGACTGGGGGAACGCGAGCGGCGTGGAGTGTTATCTTCTGACAGCTCTTGCTGCGAATGTTAGCAGAGGTATGCCATGGTTGAGCTGGCTCTGGCGGGACAGACCACAGCCATCACTCACATTCTTCAACCATTCGGTACCCGCCGTTGGACCGAGCCACTTGCTTCGCCCACTTTGGTCGATGACAAGCGTGCCGTAACTCTCGTCGTTCACAGGCGCGGCATAGCTTGCACGTTCTTCAGTGCTGGGGGCCGAGTATGGTGTGCGCTCATCGTACGCGAAGCGGAAGTGGTCGCGCGGACTGTCGTGCGAGGATGTACCAGTTCCAGGGTCGCGCGGAGAGGACCTGTCCAAAGCGCTGGAACTAACGCCAAGGTTTGGCCTCAAGAAGTCGCGTGGGGCACGGTCGCGGTCTAAAGATGTCGGGTACTGGTGGCCGTCGCGAGGGTCGCGCATGTGCTCCAGAGCTTGACTCGAGGGACCAGCGTACGGTAACTGTCGAGGCGAAGCGCCGACCATGCCGCGGAAGCGAGGCGATGGTGAGCGCGAGCGGCGATAGTCGAACTGAGAGCGGTGAACATCGCGGTCCAAGCGGCTCCTGCCATGTGACGCGTCATCGTCTCGCCGACGTTCATGGTCACGGTGGTGCTGGTCGTGACCACGATCGCGTTGTGTGCGCTCCCTCTCTCGTTCCCTTTCCCTCTCCCTTTCCCTCTCCCTCTCACGGGTTCTCTCGTCATCCCTTCCGCGGTCTCGGCTCTCGCTCCGATCACTGCCGCTACCACTGGCATTTCCTCGTCGTCCGAGATTGGAGAGGAGACCCTCGATGGCCATGAGACGTTCTCGGAGCTCGCTGACGACAGCACCATCGTTGTCGGCTTTGCTGTGTGGGGTCAGCCTCGTGACTGGGAGGTGGGGGGCATTCATCGACAAGGCAGCTGCGCGTCCCGCCGCAGTTGTTCACGCGAGGGCACAACACGCACTTCTTCTTAACGCGGACCGAGTTGGGACACAAATCGGTACATTCGCGGCGAACACAGTTGGAACACGGCACTTGCCGGTCGCACTTGAGCTTGAGCCGATGACATTCTGCCCTGTCAGCAACAACGAACGTGGTGACTGTGGAGACGGAGACAGAGTAGATCCCATGCCCTGATCATGAGGGGCCATGGCAGTAACCTCAGAACATGGAATGGAAGCCGGGACGGCATCGTCAAACTCCATCCACAGCGTCCGATCGACGGAGTGACAACCGCTGGGGTCCTATCTCGGCGTTGCGTCGGAGCAGCGTGGTCTGCCCCACCTGCCCACGTCTGGTCCGCCAAACATCCACTCACCAGCGCAGCTGAGCTGTTTCCTGCTGCGTCGCTCTTCGCGGACGCTGTACCGCTCGTCGTCCATGGCCGCAGGTGGTGGGTGTGTGGGGAAAGTGTGAGAGCAGTGATGTGGAGATGGATGAGGGAGGAGGAGGAAATGTAGTCGCGATTATTGGTTCCCGCCCCGACATCGGTGAAAAGACGGGCCATTTCGGTCCAAACATTCCACGTCAAGGGTGAGGCCCCACCGGTGGCCCCGCGGGTCGCTTCCGTCCGTGCTCCCGAGCATGAGCGACCGTGGCTGAGCAGCGCGAGCATGGGCGTGCGGTGACGCTAGGTGGTGATGTGGCCCTAATCGACTGCGCAGATGCATGGCGAAGGATGGGTGCAAGAGTATAAACGGTGGATATAGGTGGCACACTGTTTTGGCCTTCGGTCCGGCACCCGAACAATGTTCCGATGGTGGGTGGTCATTCCTCGCACCGCTGGTCTTTGGCACATGCTGCGGCTCTGTAGCACAAGTACGGCAACGTGCAATGAATAGAGAAGCAGACAAGACCGTGGTAGTGTTTCGGTAGCCTCTGCGATTTGCAGGGCTGAACACAATCAGCTAGTATCGATGCACGAGTCGCTCGAAAGGAACTGGAAGGGCCGACATGGTCTCGCTGTCACACGGCCTCGAGCAAAGGGGACGCACAACCACACATTTCGCTGTATACACTCTGACATCAGATCTTTCATTACAATCGCCACAAATGGAAAACAAACTACATACCTTCCTGAAGCCGTAGCCGGGTCGGTGCAGAAGGCGATGTGGCATCGGGGAAACGCTCCATCTCGTCCCGTCATATCTCCTTTCCTTCCATCGGCATCGCTATGGCTTAGTGGGAAAGCGCCAGGCTCATACCACTGTTGTGATCACCTGGAGATCCCTCGATCGAAACGAGGTGGCGATAAGCATGCGTTCTGCGCTCTGTTTTTGGTTTTGAGGGCGGTGTTGAGAGCAGCTTGAACAGGTTGTTCCCATTTTCCGGGCTTAAAAAAAAAACACCCTCGGGACCAAGACTGATCGCTTTGAACCAAAGAGGTTTCAAATTCAAACATCTAGATACTCGTAAACGTCTGACTATGTACTTACTGTCGTCGGCTTGGCTTCTTGTGGTAAGACTGTAGACCCAACAAGCGGCAAAGATTATTCAACTAATTTCGGGGGGTTTTTTTTGTCATTTCACGGTGATTCATTTCCTTTAACTTTCGTCGCTCTAGTGGCGCCACCAACTTCAGACTTTGCCGAACGGCACTAAAGGCTTCTTATTTTCTCAAGCTTGGATCGCCACATTGATGGCCGGGTCGTCAAACACAATCATCTGGTCCTCGCGCAAGGTATCCTGCTGAAGCGTAAAGTTGCCCGAATCCATGCGCATAATGTTCTTGTTGGCCGGGTACTGGTGCTGCGGCCAGTAGAGGGAGCTGTTTCCCGTCTTGGCGGCACCGTTTGGGTCCAAGTCATAGGCAAAGTTGATTCTGGAGTGTCAGTGATATCAGTGATACCCAACAGTCCCTCAGGGTTCACGTACTCGTACACCATCATTTCACGAGACATTGCCACGTCGGCGGCTTGGAGGAAGATGTATGAGACATCTGAGCCATGGGCGACTGGCCAGTAAGCATAGCTGCCTCCGAGCGCCTTGGCCAGCTGCACTCACCACCACGGTACGTCGCTTGCGCAGCCGTCTCGTTGGCACGGAACTCAAACGCCCAAGTATTGGTAAACTTGTGTTGGTTAAGAGTGCGGAGCAGGTACCGCCTGCGTGACTGGAAGATCTGGTCGCCCAACAGGGCCGCATACTGCTTAAAGCTGGCAGTGGTGTTAGGTCTGAGGTCGCATGTAGTTCAGGGTACGTACCTGGGATCAAGGCCAAATGTCTCGTTACCGGTGCCGTACGGGCTGAGATGTGTCAGTATGTACGACCCACTGGCAGCGCCCCGTCACCGAAATCACCTTCCATTGGCTGGGTCGTTTGGATAGTGAGCCAAAAGAGTGTTGAGGACATCATCGGTGACCCCCTGTGGGTACCAGCGGTGCATGAAGGCCGGTCCACTGGTGGCATTGATAGCGGAGGGAGTGAACACTGTACCCCTTTCTTGTTAGCGGAGCTTCAGGACCAACTCTCCAACTCACTTGTCGCGGCAGTTACCAGAGATGAACGGCATGCGAGCAAACCGGCCTTCTTTCAAGAGCTTGGACGGAAGCTCAGGGACAAACACACCGTCGATACTCGGCGACCAAGGGAACACGCCTGCGTACTGGGCCGAGCTCATCATCTGCTTACTGGCCGAGATGATGAGGTTGGCGTCCACGGTCTTGAGACATTCCCACGTGGTCATGTTTTGACCAAGGTTGGTAGTGTTAGGAGAAAGGCACCCGGCGTTCTGTGCAGTCATGTTCTGGGCACCGGCCCAGTGGATGGTGGTAGGCGAGAGGGGTGACGAGTTGGGCCCGCCAGAGTGGAGGATGGCGCCCCGGAACCTCCAGGCGTCAGCTTGACCGCTGTTGGGCCATACCACTTACAAGTCTTGGGTCTCGTTCAGCATGTGTGTCGCAATGCTCATCGCTCCAGCACTCTCTCCAAAGACAGTAACCTTGGTTGGGTCGCCCCCAAACGACGCAATGTTGTGCTTCACCCATTCCAGAGAGAGCCTCTGGTCATACAGGCCAAGGTTGGCGGCGTTGTTGGCGACTGCATCGGCGCCTTGGGGGAAACCAAACATGCCGAGGCGGTAGTTGGCGGCTGCGAGGACGAAAGGCTTGCCCTGCGAGAAGATCAGCAAAGGGGGAGAGACGGAGAATACACTCACAATCTCAATGCCAAAGGCAGGCAGGTCGGGGAAGGTGAAGCTAGAAGCGGAGCCATTGACAAAGCCTCCACCGTAGCTGGTCGTTTAGCCCTGGCTTGTTCAACCAAACTCACATCCACACCATGACAGGCAGCTTCTTGCTACTACCGCAGGCTCCGTGAGGGGTAATGACGTTGATAGTGAGGCAGTCCTCGCTCATGCCAGGAGCAGTCGCATCACCGCCTTGCTGCATACACCTAGGCTGAAGAGTAGTGGCGTTGAGCACCGACGACTGGTAGACCTTGGCCTGGGGGCGGGTGAAACGGCGAGAGCCAACAGCTGCCTGGTGAGCAAGTACATTCTCGTTTGACAATACTTACGAGGTTCGGCAAAAGGAATGCCCAAGAACGAGTCGACAGTGCCGTTCTGGAAACCCACGATCTTGACAGAGTTCTTCCCGGTCGAAGGGCGGATTGTGGCGGTGACGCTGCTCGACTTGGTTGCCGGGGCGGCTGTGGCCAGCCCAGACACAAGCGTTAGGACTAGGCATATGAGTGGCGTGCGGATAAACATGACGTTGCGATGGGGGGATATGACCTCCTTGGGAAGAGTCTTCAGTGTTTCGCTCAGCGGTCCCATATATATGTTATGTGTTCGTGCTCGCTCAAGCCCGGTGTCCCGACGATTAACCGACGATCTTGCCCACCAGGTCCTTCAAGAATCATCTCCCCATGGCCCCACAATACTTCTCCGGATGGTTACCGGGGCCATGGGGCCCAATCTCCGCGGCGACCACGGGTCCGGCGCAGCAAGGTACAGCTACTAGCTCGAACGAAGACTGTCGTGTGTTCCTAGTATCCCATGTGTTCCTTAGTGGTCCTGGTATTCCGTCTCAACTTGACATGGCGTTATGTTCGCCGCTCCGTAGACCAGTTACAGTACATCCCGCATTCTCCGTCCCTGCGCTCGCATCTATGTTCGGAACTACGCAAGTGGGATACCCGCACTGCCCTTACTTGACTGGTACGTCTCGCTCAGACCAGTGTACTGAGCTTTGACGTCAGCAACCCTCTTCTGCGCGGCTGCCCTGTCCGTTTCGGGCAGCTCGGCCACGAGATCCGCAACAGAGCGGGCCGTCCAGAACGCGTTTGACTTGTTGTACAGTGGCCGAGCGGTGTAGTCGGCCTCGCTCTCTCCCTTGGCCGGTACTTTGAACACCTGAATGAAGAACGTTAATTCAAACGCAAGGCTCCACAGCTCATGCCACGCCCCTCGGGAAGAATAGTGCTTACCTCTTCGAGAATCTTGATGTCGTGTGGGATGGCAAACGCATCGCGGGTATCCTCGTACGTGAAGAGGAAAGTGTGGTTGTCGAACCCGGACCATGTGATCCCTGACAGGCCTGGGCAGGTCAGTCTTTTGCCCGTGTACCTTGGAACTCACAGAGCGAGCACGGCTCGTGGGTCGCAAAGAAAACGCAGTCACCAGGCGGCGGACGCTGGTCCGCAGGCAGAGAGTAGAACTTTTGGATACACGTAATCTCGCCATGGAGCAGTGGGCTCTCGGTCTCGGTGTTGGTAGCGGCCACCACGAGCGAGAGGTCTGACTTGCGCAGGATGGCCGCTCCAAAGACCTTGCAGCCGGACGCGACGCCCGCGGCTGTCAGGGGGATAATGTCCTGGGTGGTGGTGGTGAGGAACGCATTGAGGAGGTCCGCAGGTGCGGCTGTGAGGTGAGCCATGGTGGTATGGGTGGGATAGAGATGCATGGAACGCTGGAGAGGAGGATGTGGGTGGGTCTGGTCCGGTCCAGGCGGGACATGATTGACGGCTCGACACGGGGAGCCTATCAGCCGACTCGAATTGCCCGATGGTCCTATCGCGGCTATTTTGTCAATCTAGCCGTGTGGCAGATCGATGACTCGCGGACGACATTCATTTGCCCATTGGCCAGTGAGTATTCTCATGTCCATGTCAACTGCAAGGAGAGTCAAATGTTGCATGGCAAGCAGCAGGCCAACATGAGGTCGTGGTCCGTGCGTAGGACAGAACCAGGCGCGGGAGGGTCACCCATTAGTACTTACATACTGGAGCTGGCCCTACGCCTCGTGTACCGTAGCTAGTGGGACCTATCTTGATTGCCCCTTGCTCTGTCCAAGGCCAGTTCCTTTCTAGCATACCTGAGAGTTCTGAACGCAGTCTCATGGTCGAACGTCGTTTGTGTCTCGACGGGCCGGAGGCCATTACGTCATCCCGAACGCCTCTTCTCTGAGAAGCACTCACTTCCACGCGCCTGCCTTGTCGTTGCATTGGTCAACAACCCCTTCAATTGCGCATCTTGGCCAATGTCTACTTCCATCGAGGGCAAAGTCTGTGTCGTGACGGTAAGCATCTCTTGAAATTCTCGGTTACAGCTGACGGAGCAGGGTGGAGCCGGGGGTATTGGTTCGGCCATCACAAAGGTTCGTACCAGAGACACTAGCGGTTCCGACGGAGTGGTCTGCCCTTCCCAGGAATGCACATTCCACAACCTGCAAGGGCAGTGGCACACATGCTGACCCAAGGCCTACCTCGACGCCGGTGCAGAAGGCGTCACCATCGTCGACCTCGCCCCTGCCAACCTGGCTTCCGCGGTCGCTCGCCTGCCTGTCGAGCACCAGGGCAAGGTCCTCACCGTCGCTGGCGACGTCACTCAACAGGCTACTCACGACGAGTATGTTCGCCAGACAGTCGAGCGTTGGGGTCGCCTCGACATCAGTGCCCAGGTTGCTGGTACTTGCGCCTCGCCTTGTGGTATCCTCGAGACCAAGATTGAGGACTGGGACCACGCGTTTGCTGTGAATGCCAAGGGAGGTGAGTGGGGTCTGAAAGGGCAGAGCCATGTAGGCGGAGGACAGGAAGTTCAACTAGGAATAGATCAAGATTCTGCAGTTGTTCCAGACACACGCTTGCACACCACTGACCTTCGTCAGTCTTCCTCGGCCTCCAGTCTTCCGTCCGTGCGATGATTGCGTCGCCCTCGGGCGGTCAAGGCTGCGCTGTGGTCCTCATCTCGTCCCAGTTCGGGCTCGAGGGAATGGGTGGCTTCTCCGCATACACGTCCAGCAAGTTTGCCGTTCGAGGCCTCATGCAGGTTGCTGCGCAAGAGTTTGCGCCCAAGGGCATCAGAGTGAATGCTATTTGTCCAGGACGTGAGTACAGTCCTCGAGAAACCGACACTGGCTGATAACACTTGCTCAGCCATCGATACCCAGATGCTCCGTGTCAACACCCCGGAGCAAATCGAGCAGATTGTCGCTGGCGTCCCTCTCGGTCGATACGGGCAGCCCGAGGAGATTGCGTCCGCTGCGCTGTTCCTCAGTTCCAAGGCTGGTGGTTTCTGCTCTGGTACGGCCATGAAGGTCGATGGGGGTATGGCCAAGTTTGCATAAAGCCCGTCAGGAAGCAAACGGTACGAAGGTTCCCATCCAACGCGCTAAATTCTGCACCGTGGTTTAATATTCTGTTTTCACACCCGGGCTCTCCCGCCGGCTTATCAGATGCAGATATGCCTCTATCGCCGTTTTATATCGTGTCGCCATGTGCAGATTGCGGTGTTGGTGCTTGGTACTTCGTACCGAGCCGTCGAGCCAGTGGCTAGTGGACAGCGCAGCCCAGCTTGGCACGTGGAACCGATATTGGTGACCCCCAGGCGCCACACAAGTGATTAATTAGGCCACGAGGCCACGGCCGTTGACAATAAACGACTCGCATCTCGCCGTTTTTGCAATACAAGCGCGATGAATACCAGAGTGCTCGCTCCCATGTGATGTGATTCGACTCCAGAATGGCAACTTGGTGTGGAGGCTTAGAAATATGTCGGTGCTGGCCGTTGACGTGCGGACGCTACATCCCTCAACACGCTTGCTCCACTCATCCTCCAATCCTCCTAATTCCAGCAGACCCTTTCACTTGCAAGGTCCAGACTAGGTCATCTCCGTTACTCCTCGCTACACCCGCGCCACCACCCAGCGAGTTTCCGGCCCCACCCTCCCAGCGCCCGCCTTTCCTCCCCGGATATAGAAGCCAGAAAAGCGGAGTTGAGCGACCATGAGCTCCGGAGATGGGCGACGGCGCCGACAGACCGAAGTTTTGTACAAAAGCGACTCCTCTTTTCCCATGTTTTGCAGAACTGCCCATAGACTGACCAAGTGACTCACGATGGCTACCGTCAGTACGACTGATACCCCCTCGGCACCACCAACGCTGGTGGAAGCGGTTACAGAGGTGGAGGAGCGCAAAAGTTGTTCCGGCGACCGGCGCCGATCCGCCGGTTCTCACTCCACTGTTGTCCCCGTCGACGTTGGGGAGCTGGATAACGTCAACGCCCTTGTCGTCGATGTGGATACCGACCGCAATGCACCTGCCCTGCCCCTGGTGCCGATAGCGCGCACTGCCACCCGTGGCACCGCGAAAGGAGCGGGCAGTGGCACCGCGGAAGAACCTTTGCCGCCAAACAACATGTGGCTCGTCATGCCAGCGTATGTATCCAGGGCCCTTACGCATGTGGACTGAGAACTTAAGAACCTCTTACTGAAACGCGCAGACTTGGCCTGGTAGCGTTCATTTCGGCTTTGGATCAAACAGTGAGGCCACAAATAACGAGACGACAGCTGATTCCAGATCATTTCAACAGCATTGCCAACCATTGCGGCCGAGCTTGGCGCTACACCAAGCCAGTATTCATGGGTCGGCACAGTGAGTATACCTTTGTGTCTCTTCGCAGACACTTGTCTCCACATGACCACACCTGACCCCGACCTAACCCTCCCAGTCCTACCTCCTGGCGCAAACCATCATGACCCCGATCAACGGCCGCGTCACAGATATCATTGGGCGCAAGCCGATGCTGTATGCCAGTATCATCATCATGCTGGTGTTTAGCGCCTTTTGCGGAGCAGCCAAGAACATCAGGTGGTGAGTGTCCTCAGATGTGGCAGTCCCGCTATCCAGATGACAGCTGACAAGGTATCCGCACAGGTTGATCGTCGCGCGCGCGTTTGCAGGTCTTGGCGGCGGCTCGATCGTGGGCATGACGTGAGCTGCGAGTGGGGATTGCGTGCGTGCGTGTAGCTGACGGTAACAGGACCATTGTGATCTGTACGTGCTATACGCGCTTTCTCGATGCCTGAACCCAACTCTGACCCTTCCCTCACAGCCGACATTGTGCCGCTGCATAAAATCGGCGAGTACCAAGGAAACCTCGGTGTCGCGTACGGTTTTGCCTCTGTCCTGGGGCCCGTGCTGGGAGGCCTGTTGACTGAGCGTGTCAGCTGGCGATGGTGTTTCTGTAAGTTCAGTGCAAAAAAGGGTCCTACAAGAATCCCAAGTCTGACCCTCGGCAGACATCAACATCCCTTGCTGCGCCATCTCCCTCGTCCTCCTCTTCTTCACGCTCAAGCTGAACCGCTCAAGGCACACGACGTTCGCAGAGGTGCGGCGTACATTCGACTTTTTGGGCCTGTGAGTACCAGCTGCCAGCTCACATCCTTCGATTTTCGAGCTGACAAGGCCTCCAGCGCACTCATCATCGTGGGCGCCGCGCTCACCATCATTGGCTTCTCCACCGCGGCGGATAACGGCTTCGGCGTGCCGGGAGCGTACGCCGTCATCGCCGCGGGCGGTGTGGTGCTTTTCTTGGCCGTGGTGCATTTCTTGACTACCAAGCGCAACGCCATCGTGCCTCGAGTGAGTGCACGGGCAAGATACATTCTCATCGAGCTATACCTGACACAAGTCCACCTTACCTTAGCGTATGCTGCGCACGCGTACCCCGCTGTTCTTCATGCTCGGGTCGTTTTTCCAGTCGCTCATGTTCGTCGCGGCGGGATACCTGCTGCCCCAGTTCTTCCAGGGTGTAAGTGTTGCTTTACCGACTTGCGAGCGAGTGTCAATCTGACAGTACCCCACAGGTCCGCGGCTCGGGCGCGCTCTCTGCAGGTCTCCAGCTCCTGCCCTTCGCGGTCGGCAGCGCCGTGTTCGGCGTCATGGCAGGGCAGATCACCTCGCGGTTCCGTATCGTCCGCCCCTTAGTCTGGATAGGGTACGCCATCGCCGCCGTCGCCTACCTGCTATGGTACCAGTTCTTCACGGCTACAGTGACCATGGCGACGCAGGAGGGCCTGCTGCTCCTCGCCTCCGTGGGCGTCGGCATCTCCCTCATGCCGCCCATCCTCGTCATCCAGGCCGCGATGCCGTGGCGCGACATGGCGGCCAGCACGTCGACGTGGGTGCTCATGCGTAGTCTCGGTGCGACGGTCGGGCTGGCCATCTTCACGGCCATCCTTAACACGGGCATCAGGCAGCGTTTCGTCAAGATCCCGGGCTACGGGACCGTTTTCCAGGTCCCAGAGGGCACTACGGGGTACAAGGCCCTGCACGACTTGCCCGAGGGCGAGACGCGCACGCAGGTGCTGGAGGCGTTTGCGGATAGCGTCAAGGTGGGTTCAGCTGGGTTTCGTGGTCGCCAAGACAAGCTGACAGGTTGTGTAGATGTGTTTCGTCGTCGGCGCCGCGTTCCTGTTCGCCGCCCTCCTCGTAAGCTACATGATTCCAAGGCAGGCTAAAAGGCTCACACCACAGCTCACACTGTGTACCAAGTCGTACTCCCTGAACCGGCGCCGCGACGCCGAGCCCTCCGACGACGCCAGTGGAGAGGCGACTGCTGTGGCCAGCGAGGACGAAAAGGAAAAGGACGACAAGATGGCCACGACCGAAGAGGTGGAGACAAAGGAAACGGACAAGTCGCCCGTCTGATCCCCAGTCCCAGCTCAGTACACCCTGCTCAGTAATTCAGTAGACCCGTTAATAGTTCAGTATAGACGACCGTTAGAGGATGCACTACTCTGTATTCCATATATACGCCCCTCGACCGCTCTACTGTTACAAACAAAAAAGGACTACCTCTAACAAACACGCTTACTCTATGCGACGGCGTCGACTCGCCGCGGAACCACCTGGCTCACACGCGGGAAGCCGCCAAACCCGTCCAGACTGGGCTTGAGCACCATCTGGCGCTGCGAGTAGGTCAGGATACCCATGATCAGGCCCTGGGAGGATTAACGCGTCAGCTGTATGTTTCATCTAAAAGAAAAACAGCTCACCTGGTCAATGAGGCTGGCAATGGTGCAGACGATGTCTTCCAGCGCGAGCGTGCCGTCTTCCAGCTCGCCCGACCCTGCAAACGCGCGTTGGGCGGCAGCGAGGAAGACCCAGGTGGGCGCGCGGTGCTTGGTCGCGCCGGGGGTCTGGTAGTAGATTGCAAGACTGGAACTCGTCAGTTCTGTGATCGATCCATTAGGACTTGTGCTCACGCTTTTCGGAACAAGTTGCGCCACACGAGGATCTCGCCACGCTCAAACCATATCAGCCAGATACTTCTTGCACGCAGCCATTCCTGGCGTTCAGAGAGGAGACGGCGCCACTGCGGGACGTTGCCGGTCTTGAAGGCTTGGATGAAGGGCGTGAATTCGGCCTCGAGCGAGTAGTGCTGCAAGACAGAGCTGTGGGGCAGTTTGCCGAGGAGGAGCGAGACGGGGATGAGGCGGATGAGGATTGCCCTGGAACGTTAGCTTTGGAGCTCAAAAGTAAGCTATCTAGGCAGCCCATGGGGGCAGCTGAGACTCCGCCGTCAGAACAACAGCTACTCACCGGCGCTGCTGCCACGCCTCCTCGGGGCACATGTCCCACGCCTTCTCCAACCACCGATGCGCCATGCGCATTTCGAGCAACACAACACCGATCCGGCCGCGCCAGTAATAGCTCTCGGCTACCGCTGTGAGGGGGATACAGTGGCCGCGGGCAGCGAGGCGTTTGCCCTCGGGCGGCTGAATGCCGGCAAAGATCTTGGACAGGTCGGTCGCTTGTGTGTGGAGTTTACGCTGGGCAGTGTCAGTTCCGGTACCAGTCGGGTATGGGTGAAATGAGTCGCTAGCAAGGCCCATGGCTGAACGACGTGCAAAGACGACCCCCACAGCCAACAGTTCACTCCAGCACCTCGGCCGCAGAAACTGCCACCACTCACCTGCGCATATAGCCTCCAGAGGATGTTGGCCAGCTGCCACATGATATCGCCCACGCTCTCGGGTTTGTTCACCTCGGCATGCCACTCGCCGTCGGCCATATGGCACGCCGAAACCTGCAGCGACTTTTCGATCGCCTGGCGCGTCGCGTCCTTGATGCCTCGGGGCGAGGCCTGCTCGCGAATCGGGAGGGTGGAGAGGGACGCTGCCTGTGATGTGGTGTCAGCTCATCTGGAGGCAGAGCTAGCTGAGGGACAAAGATACAAGGGAGAGGGCAATGAAAAAGAGGGAGTAGAGGGAGCACTCACAACTGCACTGAGCCCCACGAGGTGCCGACACACGGCCACCACCATGCCATTCAGAAACGCATTCTTGTAGCCGCCGTCACCGCCCTGGCTGGCGTACAGCTTGTGCAGCTCGGCATGCACGCCCAGCATGGCCTTGAAGCACGCATACGCCGCTTCGGGAGTCGGAGTGTGCTGGGTACTGCTCTGCTTGACGTTGTTGAGCGCCGCGGAGAGGAGCGCCGCGAGGCCGTCGCGGTCCGAGGCCGGCACAAAGGAGACGTGTTGGGCGAGCGAGGCGGAAGCGAGGTCCGAGTCTGAGAACTGGAGCGTATGTGTGAGTATAAGGAGCACTTGTTTGTCTACTTGGGACTGCTGAGTTGCTCTCTACAGGACTACGCCAGCAGCCAGAGGAGCCAGCCGCGACTTACCGACTGCAGAGCGCCTTGTAATGGGATCCAGAACGGGTGTTCGGGTCCCAGGGGTACCGACTGGACAAGGTTTCCGCCCATGCGTGTCGCGTACGCCTGGCCCACCAGCGTGACTAGCTGGGTCACGAGGGGGGCTGCCATCGTGGAAGGACTGGAGGTGCTGTTGTTGGGTGCTGGGTTGTTGGATGATGACGACTGTGATCGGTTACATAGTTGAGCATTCTGGACCTGGACGATGGGTGTAGAAATGGTTACGTAAGCAGATATATTTGTTTTTGTCGTTGCTCGAGACCCAGCGATCCAGCGATGACAGCCTTTACAACGATCCTGTGTCTGCTGTGAGCAGCGACAAAGAGACAGTACCGGCTGCAGCATGCCTAACCGCAGCATGTATAATGTACACGTATGGCATCGATGCAGAATATGGCTGGGCGAGCGATGTGGCCCAGAGAGGTGGAGCTGTTCCAGCCTAACTGAACAGTCTCCATCGTCGCGGTTCCGCACGCACCTCCACTGGTCTTTCGGCACCGCCAGCCCGCTCCCAAGAGGACGACGCGCTCCAAGCAGCGCTGTCCATGTCCATGCGGCCGCGCAAGAGCGATTCCTGTGCAGAAAGAAGTCGCTGGAAGGAAAATAAAAAGCAGCCAGGTTCAGTTTTCAAGGGCAGCGAGGGCCGCAGTTGCAACCCTGGAAATGAAAAATGTGGTGTGGTGGGGTTCGTAAGACGACCAATCGTCTTCGTTCATATCATAAATGGTGCGAACGTGCATATTTGCTGCATCGCTCCAAACTATAGCACAACTAACGCCTCCAAAGAAGCTTCTTAGAGCTTCTGCATGGCGGCAACGTCGGTGGACTGGACCCACTCTGAGGAGATTGTCAGCTACAGCTCTGCAAGACCAGCACAGCTGGTGGTACTCACCCTCGCCGTCCTCGGCGATGGTCTCCTGGAGCTCGTCGAGCGAGACCTTGGCGTCCTCGATAACGAGGGTGATCTGGAGCATCTTGATGCCGTAGCCGACGGGGACGAGCTTGGAAGCACCCCAGACGAGGCCGTCAACCTCAATGGCACGGACGCAGGTCTCGAGGGCGGCCATGTCGGTCTCGTCGTCCCAAGGCTTAACCTGGAGGGTGACGACCGACTTGGCGACGGCAAGGGTCTTGCCGGCGGCGATCTTCTCGTCCTCCTTGGCCTTCTTGGCGGCGGTGTAGGCGGCAACACGCTCCTGCTTGACGCGCTCGGCCTCGGCGTCCTCCTCCTCGTCCTCACCGAAGAGGTCAATGTCCTCGTCGTCCTCCTCCTCGGCGGCGGCGGGGGCGGCGGCCTTGGCGGCAACCGAGACACCGGCGAAGGGCGAGGTGCCGGCGGGGAGCTTCGAGGTCTCACCGGCGTACGAAGCAATGTGCTTGTACCAGCGGGCGGTGTGGGGGAAGGCCTCGAGCTCCGAGAGCTTGAGGGCCTCAAAGACGGCGACGTCGGCCGACGACGGGGCGTAGCTATATTGCGTGTCAGCAATGCCATTCTTTCTATCCGTGTTTGTGTGTGGGTGTTTTTTGTGAAAGAAAATCTCAAAGAGAAGGAAATGGGATCAGATAGTTTGGAAAAGGGGTTTATCTTCAATGCTTATGGCGAGGGGTCTTAATCCTCTACGCTCGGAAACACGGACCAAAACAAGGTTCATCAGGGTGATGGGGAGGGGGAGGTGGTGGGAGAAGGATGTTGGGAGGGGGGAGGAAAAAGAGAACAAACGTTCTCTTTTGCTCGGCGGGTGGTGAAAGTTTGACACGGAGGACGGCCGAGACAAGACACGACAGGAAGGAGGGAACGTTGGGGAGTGAGACTTACCCGTCGATGTAGGCGCGGGTCGAGAGGTGCTGCTCAAGCTCCTTGGCGTCAACCATTTTGATTAAATTAATAGATTGAGGGGGGAGGTAGGAAGTGAGAGATGAGAGGAAGATAAAGTAGTGGATGCGTGGAACAAACGCCTCGCCCCCTCGTCGACGCTCGCGCCCATTCTCGCACCCAAATGGCGCAGCGCCAGCCAGTCAGCCAGCCAGCGTGCGCACCCACCGCACCACGCACACCGCCCGCACCCAAAAATCACCCCGGCGTCTTTCAAAATAAATAATAATGCCGCGGTGTGGCACGGCAGGGGCACGGGTGAGTATGACGCCTGACGGAAGTATATCCACGTTAACGCTGTTATTACGTAATGTTGCCTTCCCCCTGCCAAAAAGACCCGTTCAATGACGGCCCGATTCGTCATCTCTTAATCTCAATGTCTCTCGGCTGCAGGGGTGTCCCCACGGGGAGCCACTTTGGCACACATCTTCAACGACCAACACACCGACAACAATTTCGACGTTGTCAACTTTCAACGACGAGATGCGCGACAGCATTGAGAGCTGGGCGACTAGTCATTTTCCCCACCTCAAGCTGTCCGATCTACTGGCTCGGTATCAACCGGCCGATGGAAACCCAGACGAGGCGAGGGTGGTACTCATCCTGCACTGGCCTCCACTCCAGGACACCACCGTTGCCTTGTCGCAGCAAAAGCAAGGCACCCAGGTCATTCTGCGTACAGGCTTCGACCTCGACATGCCGATCAGTGTCTACAATTACCTGGCCATCAAGCTCTCAACCGCCAGCCAGCTCGGGTAAAGGGCGACGCACTCAACGAGCTGACGCGCAAAGTCCTCAACCGAGGCCTCAAGGAATTCACAAGCACCGACGCGGAGCACATCATCCGTCGGTGCAAGACCGACGGCCTGAACCAGATGACGGTTCTCTTCGGTGCTCAGAACCGAGACGTACTGAACAAGGTAATCGACATTGCGCAAGACGACCCAGCTCTCGAGGTCCAGCGCCTCGATATTGCATATCGAGAACTGCTGCCCGTTGAGATGGGATTGCCGAGGGCGGAGTCGACAGCCGCTGCCTTCGCGCACTCGCACAGCAATGTGCCCGGCAATGGCTTCTGCCAGCAGAGGTTCCCAGACCTCGGCGCAGGACGCCAGCACCTCGATCATGCCAAGATCCGCGCCATCTCGGACGGCATTAGCAACCACCGCGAGCGCATCGTCAAGAGCTTTGCGACAAAGGGCACCCGGTTCGCGCAGCACCGACCATTCCATCAACTGGCGATCGCACCAGCAGAAATGGGTGCCACGACCCAGACATTCTGGGAGCAGACCTCCTCTCGCAAGTATGCCGCACCCTGAGACCCTCCACCCGGGGGGGGGGGGGGGGGGGGGGGGGGGGGGGGGGGGGGGGTGCGCAACGCGTGCTCCAGCACCTCTTCGCGATCTCTGGTGTTGGCTCTGCATCTACATATGTATATTATTTGTGCAAGTCTCTCCCACTGGCGGCTGGTCGGTCTCGCCCATGCCTGGTCCCATATCCCAGATCCCAGCAGATCGCATACCGAATGTATCTTTAGAGCAAAGCGTCGCACATTGGCACTATTAACACCTACCGAGAGCATACTGTAACCCGGTTTCGTTCCGACGGTCTCCTTCCTGTCGTCTATGCCGGGCTACACGCGTCCCAGTTACCCGCGCAGCCGAGGATATCCAAGATGAGAAGTGCATTGTCCACCGAAACCCTCCTCTCGAACGTCGTCAACCCATTTCCCTCATATATCCATTCGGGGCCCGACGGCCGACCGGCTGCAATGTGCATTCTTTTGGGACCGCTGAGGCCTTGTTTTTCCCCACTTTGACCAGAACTGATCTTCGTTGCAATTGCCCTCTTCCTTTCCGACACACAACCGACTGCAGGAGGCATATACAGCAGTGTCTCTCGGGAGGTCTCACAACAAGAGACGCATTGGCCTATTGTTGTAATAGAGAGAGAGCCGGGAACATTTGGCCCTTTTAGTTGCCATTTTGTACTGCTTCTGCTGTTGTTCCCTGCCAAGATCCCAGGATCCCAGGAAGCACAGGAGGCACAACCCCGCAGTTCGTCCTGGCAGCTGGTGGGCAGATCCAAAGCTGGAAGGAAAAACGCCTCTCATTCTCGGTCCATGTGCAACCCGCAGCAACCCGCCGCCGCCGCCGCCGCTGCCGCCACCCAGGAGCCCACCGCCCACCAAGAAGTGGTCGTCTCACCCCTTCTTTGTCTCCCTTTGTGTTTACCCCCTCCACCTCTCTGGCATCGACATTCCATCGGCGTCTCTGTCCGTCTCACACGACCTCTCTTTTCTGTTTGACATCCAACATCATTTGACTCACACACTTGTCGCACCTCCCACACAAACACACACTCTTCGGCGTCTGGCCACCCACACCCGCATTAACCGTTCAGGGGTGTCGGACATTCCTCCCTCCTTTGTCCAATGTCCCATCCAACGTCACGGTCGTCCACGCCCTCTAGGCTCTACTCGCCATCACGGCTCGGCTCGTCATCCAGAACACATCTACCACAGCCCAAAGTACTCCCCTTCCCAGACCTCCCCGTACGCCAAGCAACGTCGAGTGCAGAAACCTCCAGGGGTCCCTCTCCACTCGGGTCTCCTCGCATCTCGCCTCCCTTTGCGTCACTCGAGGCCATGGCGTCAACATCCTCGTTCCCCTTTCACACGCCCAGCAGCAGTAGCAGCACAACAGGAGCAGACACATTGGTATCACCACTACCACTACCACCACCGGGCGCACGCTTGGCTCACTCGGCATCCCCTACCCACCCATCCCCCTTGGGCCTCGAGACGCCTCGTCCCACTCGGCCCCGCGCTGCTACTTCAAGTGTCGCAGTGACAGCCGTCCACAGACAAGAAGGCTTCCAGCCTGCATCCCGTCCAGCAACACCCACCCCTCAAGTCATGCCTGTCAATGCGCTAGCAGGCGTCTCCACCGTGTCCCTGGCGGCAGGAAGCCCGCCCAACAACGCACGTACTTCAACAACAACAGCGACATATGACCGCCCGCCGGCCACCACTCCAGCTACGGCGCCGGCGGCGGTGGTCGCGAAGCCGACGTCCGTCAAGAAGCCATCCAACCCACCGGGGCTTCTTCCCCCGACCGTGCCAGTCTCTCCGCCGCCACCACCTGGCGCACTCGTCGAGCACCTCCATCGCTCGCTCAAGACGGGCGCGTGCGCCGACGTGCGCATCTGGGTTCGCAAGTGGGGGGTTGGATGGCTTGTGCACAAGATGGTCCTCGTCCAAACCGGTACGCGTGGCGCCCCGCGCCTTCCGCAGTTGTTGCCAAGTGTGGCTGGCTGACCAAGATATCGCAGGCTTCTTCCACTCGTTGTTCTTGGGTGGATTCTCAGAAATGGCCCCTGTCCGTCGAAGCCCCAAGGGCAAGGCGCGCGCCACCGAGGGTGGCGATGACGACTGGACAGGCGAGGACATTGAGCTCACGTTTGATGACCCCAACATCACGCGAGCAGCATTCGAGTGAGTGGCGGCAAACTCCACCCTTGTCCTTGAGGAAACCTAACCCACACACCCAGAATCTGCTTGTCAAGGCTGTACTCGCCGTACCCGCAGCTTCACTTTCCAGTCTCGCTTCTCCCCACATGGGCCTACCCTCTCACCCCATCGTTCCCCACCACCACTGCTGGATTCCCGACTCTGCAAAAGGCGTACCAGAGCGTGCCCATCAACACCCACCTGGTGACCCCTCGCCTGCTGTTGTCCCTCCTCGCCACCGCCACCTACCTTGGCCACCAGTATCTCCTGCAGGAGGTGCTGGCCATTGTCCTCCGCACAGTCGGCCCGACGACCGTCACGCGGTACATTGGATTCGCCATCGGCAACGGCATCGGCGAGGAAGAATGGGACTCGCAGGACGACGAGGGCGCCCGTGGCATGGAAAAAGTGGCGCGGACCATCCACTCGGGCTTTGCCTCACACACCGACTCGGACGAGTGGGTCAGCGACTGTGACAGCGAGCTGCCAGATATCCCCGCTCCCTCGCCCACACCACGCCTGTCGACCGACTCGGCCGCCTCAGACTATGTTGTCAAGGTCGGTGGCGAGTCGGTGGCCATCGCGCCCAACTACGAGAGCATCTCGCGGTCCGTCTCGGTCAAGTCGAGTTCTACCGTCCGGCCCAACGACACGCACTCGCTGAGCGTCGTCGATGAGTCGGATGCGAGCATCTTGCCCGCCGTGCCGCACTTTTACGGCTTTGTTGGCAACAAGATTGGCGAGGCGTGTGTCTGCTGGCTTTCACGCTACGGCCTGGACGTGTTCAACGTTGAAGCTGCAGTCCCGCAGGCGCTTCCCGGTCACCGCGACCTGCCCCCCGTATGGGGCCAAGGCGGCATTCCAGCCAACCTTGCCGCTGCGGTGCTCTCGAGCGATGCGCTGTTTGTCCCCAACGAGATTGAGAGGTACCGAATGGCTCGCCGTGTCCTCGACTTTCGGCGTGCGGGCTGGACCTCGCTCATGGAGGAAGATGGCCGTGACCCGTCGAGCTCGGTCGTCACCCAGGACGACATTGACGGCTGGGACGAAGACGAGCGCGAGCTGTCCAAGGTCTTTGCCGACGGCATCTACTATACGCCCATGACGTTTGACGACCTGTCGGCCATTTCCAGCGACATTGACCCCCACACAACACTCCCCTACGCCCCGCTCACCGTGCTGCAGGCCGCCCACTGGTCGACTGCCGACCTCAAGAACCGCATCACCCATGAGCGCGTCACTCCCTCGGCACCTGCTCGAGAGCTCGGCCTCACGCAGTCCAGTGCCGAGATTAGCGCAATGTATGCACGTCGCCGTGCCGGGCGCTCCCGCATGGCGTCGCCAGGCAGCTTTGACACCCAGTCGTCCGTGTCCTTTTCCTCGCTCTCCCTCTCGTCCATGGGGTACCAGCACCCAGGCATCGGCGACGGACTGTACCACCCCGTCCATTCCGACGACACGCACCACATTGGCGCGAGGAACATGCTCTTTGTCGACCCTTCGTCTACCTCATCCACTGTGCCAGAGATTCTGGGCATGCCCGACATGGGTCCCGAGTGGGGCAACGGCGACAAGGCCGCGGTCATGGGTAAAACCCGCACCCAGCCGCAGGGCGAGAAGACGCTCTTTGGCATCAAGAGCGGCGCCCGACGCGGAATCGAGATTGACGCAAAGTTCCGCGAGGAAGGGGGAAACACACACATTGCGCTCCCTGGTCTTGGCAAGGTCAAAGAGGAAAAGTGGAGCAAGGTCGAGCCGTACCGGTTCTCGTGCGAGTTCTGGGGCGTCGACCAGCTTCCCGAAAGGGACAGGCTGTGGTCTGCCACCCACTTTTACGCCGGCAGCTACTACCAAGTGTACATTTCCACCATTCGCAAAAAGCCCAAAAACCAGCTGGGTATCTACCTTAGTCGCCAAGACCCCAAACTGCCCTTTCCGCCTGTGCGACTCCATCCTTGGGCGCACGGCGACGAATCGCCCACTGTCCGCGCCACCCGCTCAGGCTCGGTCCCCTTTGAGCCCGTCACGCGCTCGTCTTCCATCCCCACCTCGCCGCCCGTGGGCGAGACCCTCTCGCGCACCTTCTCCGCCTCGCCGCCCGTCGTGGGCTCTCCGGGCCCGCACATCGAGGGCCTGCCCGACATCGACGGCGGCGGCGAGAAGAAACTGCCCCACGAAGGAGGCAGCAGTTACCTCGACCCGCGCGAGGTCTCGCGCGTCTACTTCTCCATCACATGCACGTCTGCGCTCGGCACCGCGCTCATCTGCTTTGGCTCCGGTCCCGACGACTTTGCCCCGGCCCAGTCGTGGGGCTGGAAGTCGGCGGCCTTGCGCACCGAGGAATTCATCCCCATCCCGCAAGACGACGCCGACGCCATCCTCGGCTGGGTCGGCGAGGCCGGCGACGGCCCCGAGTCGGGCAGCTTGCGGTGTACCGTCGTCGTCGGTATCGTCTAGTCTAATCTAGGCTAGAGAACGGCTGTATCGACACACCCACGCCCCTCCCAAAAACGCACTGAGGCAGAAGTCCTCCACACAGCACAGCACACGCTCTCGTCCCGACGTCTGCCCCCTTTTGTTTGTTTTAACTTTTGCCACCCTTTTTTTTTCTCATTTCCGTTTGGTTTCACCTCGCGCGCCCGAACCCCCACCTTGACGACCTTTGACGCACCATTTGTTCAACAGGAGAGCACAGCAGACAGCAGACTTTGTAAGGCCCCCGCGGCACAGTCACCGCACCAACACATGTATCCCTGTACTCTACTGTTTACTCTTTTGACGATTACACCAAACGCAGCAGCTGCACGGCAGTGGGTCCACGGCCCCACGGGAGGAAGCAGCCAGAGAAAGCGTCCAGCAGGCCAGCAGCAAACGGGCCATCACGCCACGGTGCAGGGTATGGTGTGTGTGCATGCACGCACTGTACGTCGCCCGCCATCGCATCAGGTGACCTGCATGACTGGGGTCTGGCGTCGTTCTGCTCTGGAGGGTCGAATTCCTACAGAGCCAGACACTTGGATGGCACGGCCTGCAGTGCCAGGCTACACAACCAGCGTGCAGCCAGACTGCCTGCCCGCCCGCTCACCACTGACCGGCCACTGGCCACTGGGACGGTTTATAAACCCACACCGCGCCAGCATCTCTTCTTCAACCTCCTCTCATCTCTCATCCCCACCCACACCTCCTCTCCCCACATTCTCTCGACCCCACTCCACACCTCCCTGTACCACTACCACTAACAACTCACCCCCCTCCCCAAGAATACCTGTCTGAGCTCACCTCGTTGACCACTGTACGTACGGCCTGTCCGCTACCTTCCCTCCTTGCTGTCCGTCCTCGTTCCACACTTTCTCCACTTTCCAAACCGACGTTCCGTACTCCCTACCCTACCACCTCTTTGCCTCGCGAGCTACGGTTCCAGTTCTTAGACATGGTACTAGCTCTGGAAGCGAGGAAGAGGCAGTAGGGTGGCGAGCAAGTGGGTTGCGATGGCGAGCAAGGCATAGGCCTGGCCTTCCCCCGCCTTCCCTCCTCGCCTTCCCTCCGGGTCTTCTCTCCATGTCTTCCCTCCGACTTGCCCCGATAGCTACCCCTTCGTGGTTGTGCATGGGAATGCGTGGGGACATGGGTGGGGATGCATGGTGGCCATGAGGTGTTGCTGGTGCATAGCTTTGGGTGTGAGGAAGCGACTCGCGACCACCTCGTGTACGGGCGTGGTGGGGTGGTTGAGGTTTGGCATTCTCCTCGCATCCACCGCTCTGCATCCAGTTCCCGTCCCAACTGCTGTCTTCCTTCTCTATCTCCGCAATTCCGCAACGCTCCTCCCTAACGCCTCACAGATGTCGTACAATCGCGGCCCCAGTGGTCCCGGCGGCGGCGGCGGATGGCAGCAGGTTAGTTTTCGGGCAGCACTGAACTCACGAACTGACAACCCCAGCGCCCGCAGTACAACGACCGCGGCGAACAGGGCTACGACCGCCCCGACCAAGGCTACAACCGCGAGCCGTCTCGCGACTTTGCCTCGCCCTCGCGCGAACCCCGCGGCCCTCCCACCGACTATGACGCTCCTCCCCGTGGCGGCTACGACCGCGGCCAGCGTGGCAGCTACAACCGTGACGAGCGCGACCACCGCCGCGACCAGCCTCCCCAGTCTCACCGTGGCGGGTTTGGCCAGCGCGACATTCCGCCTCCCTCGGCGTACTCTCGCGAGTCGGCTCTGAGCCCCGACCCCAGCTCCGCAGCTGGCAATGGCGGTCGCAACCACGGCATTGGCTACCCGCCGCGTGGCCGTGACGACTCGACGTCTCTCGCCGGCACGGCTCGTGCCTCGGCGTACCCTCCCAGCTCGCACGAGCACGGCGAGTCGTTCTACTCGTCCGACGCGAGCCAGCGCGCACCCAGCACTGTCTCGGGCAACCCCCGCCAGTCCTCGTACCAGCCCAGCGCGTCTGAGCGCGACGACAACTACTACGACTCGACTGTCCCCTCCGCCGCCGCCACTGAGCGTGACAGCCACACCCCCGTCCAGCGCGAGCGCGAGGCCATGTCTCCCAACCCACGCGGCCGCGAGGCAGCCTACTCTCCCCACTATGAGCGTGAAGGTTCCGGCCCTCGCGACCGTGCAGATGCCTACTCGCCCATGCGTGAGACTCCTCGTCCTCCCGCCGCCTTCTCACCCGTCCCTGCCACGCGCGACCTTCCTCCCCAGCGCCAGGGCTCTGCCAACCCCAACTCCCAGCAGCGCGAGCAGGCCTTCCAGAGCTTCTCGCCTGCCCCATCCTCAGGACCGCGTGACGGCTCGTTCCAGGCTGTCGGCTCTGACGGGCGCTCCTCTCGCGTCTCGTACCAGCGCGAGGGCGAGCAGTCGCACACGCCTCAGCCGGAACACAACTCTGCCGCCACCGTCTCTTCAGGCATGGACATTTCTCACCCCCCGACCTCGTCCACCCCTGCCACGAGCGCCGGTCTCAGCGACCCCATCAACCTCGCCCACAAGCTCGAGGCTCTGCAGCTCACTAGCTTCTACGTTCGCCCTGGCTACGCCGAGGTCGGGCGCCCCATCAACATCCTGTCCAACTACTTTGCTGTCCGGCCCAAGGGGGGCAGGGGCAAGATCATCTACCACTACGACATTGACATCAACCCCGTCGTCAAGTTGACCGACCAGAAGAAGCCCCGCACGCTCCTCCGCTCAGTCTGGGAGCAGCTCATCCTCGATTACGAGTCCAACACCAACGAGCCCGACTGGAACGTCGCCCTCGCGGCCTCGGCGTTTGACGGTCGCAAGAACTGCTTCACGCCTATCAAGTTCCCCATTGGAAGTGAGTTAAATCCGTTGTAGTAAACGAGCTCACACCACAGACGAGACGCGCATCCTCACGACCTCGCTCAACCAGAACAAGTCCATCACCCGCACGTCCAACCGCGAGGGCTCGGACGACGAGTACCACCGCTTCAGGATCAGCTTCAAGCTCGTCGCCGAGGTCGACCTCGAGGCCGTCATGGAGTTTTGCCGTGCCGACCGGCGCCGCCCCACCCCGCACGCCGAGGAGAGCTGTCTGACTGGTGAGTTTCGCATGTGGGCGGCTTGGTCTAACTCTCGCCAGGTCTCATGGCCACCAACGTCCTTCTCCGCGACGTGCCCAGCAAGAAGTACGCTCAGGTCGGCGCCACTGGCAACAAGTTTTACACCATCGAAGGCGCCCAGCCTCTTCCGCAGGGTGCTGTTGTCTGCAAGGGCTTCCTTCAGTGAGTTGTGCCTTTGGTGGTGGCGGATTCTAACTCCCAGGTCCTTCCGCTACTCCAACTCGGGTCTGCCCCTCCTCAACCTGGACCTCGGCTTCTCGGCCTTCCTCCAGTCCGGCCCTGCGTTGCACGTTGTGGCCCAGATCCTCGGCAGCGGTGCCGGCGGCATGCGTGGTGGACCTGCCCCGCCCTCACTTGACCAGCTCGACGAGCGCCAGATCTCCATTCTCAAGAAGAAGCTTCGTGGCGCCAGGGTAAGCTGCGTGAAGTTGCTGCATTGCTAACCACCTCAGTTCACCGTCACTCACCGCGAGAGCCCCCGACTCCACACTGTCATCTCGGTCACGCTCCAGTCCGCTGCCGACCTCTACTTTGTCATTGAGGGAAACGAGGACAAGGAGTCGCGCCGCATCAGCGTTGCCGCGTACTATGGCGAGTACTATGGCTGTGTAGTTACCAAGCCCCGTCTTCCGTGCATCCAGGTGAGTTGTTGTCGCAGGCATGCAAACTGACAAACAGTACGGCAAGCGCGCCTACATCCCCCTCGAGTTCGTCCGGTTTGCCGACTTCAACTCACTGCCGCCTACAAACCTTACAGCTGAGCAGACTGCTGCGTGAGTTCCCATCCCATGTACTTGCAAACTGACGGCAGGATGATCAAGGTCAGCGCTATGCGTCCGGACCTGCGTGCCAAGACCATCAACTCGTGGCGCGAGGAGCTTGCGTACGAGAAGCAGCCCAAGATTGATGCCTGGGGTCTCCAGGTGGGTAGAGCGCCCGTCATAGCACGTAACTCACCCATCTCAGGTCAACAGCAAGATGGTCGAGATCCAGGCTCGCGTCCTCAACCCGCCGGCCATCAACTATCGCGGCCGCGTCGCCAGGCCGCGTGACGGCTCCTGGAACCTCCGTGGCCAGCAGGTTGGTAGTTGTTCTAATTCCGGTATTCTAACCAGCCCAGTTCATCCGCAACGCCAACCGCCCTCTCCGTAACTGGGCCGTCGTCTCGTTTGACCGCTACTGCGACATTGCCGACATGCAGCGCTACATCAGCTACCTGTGCACGCGCCTCTCTGCCCTCGGCGTCTCCATCGAGAACCCCAAGCCGCCGTGCATCGCGCCTACGGACCCTCGTAACCCGCACAACCTCCTCACCGCGCTCCAGCAGGCAGCCCGTGCCGCCTTCCAGGTCAGCAAGGAGATGCCCCAGCTCATAGTTGTGATTCTTCCCGGCAAGTGAGTTACGATGCCCGTTTGCGCATGCTAACTGCAAGGGACGCTTGGCTTTACGAGACCATCAAGAAGCTCTCCTTCACCGAGCTCAATGGTGGGTTTGAGATGCGATCTGAGCTAACCACTAACCCTCAGCACCCGTCCCCACCCAGTGCATGCAGGCAGCCAAGATCAAGAACCCGCGCGGCATTGATGCGTACACCGACAACGTCGCCATGAAGGTGGTCGTGAGTTGGACTTTCCTTGGAGGAACCAACTAACATGCCCAGAGCAAGCTCGGCGGTCTCGCGCACCAGGTCCCCATCAGCGAGCTCCCCGGAATGGTCAAGGGCAAGACTATGATTCTCGGCGCCGACCTCGGCCACGTGAGTTGCCAAGATCCTTTCAAAACTAACTCGCAGCCCCCCTTTCGCCCCAACTCGGAGGAGCCCACTGTTGCGTGCTCGATCGCCACCTACAACGCCGACTGCGATGCGTATTCGGCCCAGATCCGCCTCCAGGAGGGCCGCAGCGAGATCATTGTCGACCTCAGCACCATGGTCGAGGAGCACCTCCGCATCTTTGCCAAGCACAACGACGGCGAGTACCCAGAGCGCATCCTCATCTTCCGTGACGGTGTCTCGGAGGGCCAGTACGCCGCTGCTCTGCAGTACGAGCACGACGCTGTCGTCAAAGCCTGTGCGCGCATCCAGCAGGGCTACCGCCCGCGCATCCTCGTCTGTGTCTGCGCCAAGCGCCACAACACGCGCTTCTTCAGCCAGCAGCCCAGCGATACGGACCGCACGGGCAACCTCCCTGCCGGCCTCGTCGTTGACCGCACCATCACGCACCCGTACGCGTTCGACTTCTTCCTCCAGGCCCACGCCGGTCTCGTTGGCACCGCCCGCCCGACCCACTACATCTGCCTGCTGGACGAGCTCGCCACCACCCCGGACCAGCTGCAAAGGCTCGTCAACGGCCTGTGCTTCAGCTTTGCCCGCTGCACCCGCAGTGTCTCCCTCGTGCCCGTGTGTTACATGGCCGACCTCGTCTGCCAAAAGGCCCGCCTCATTGTCCAGAGAGGCGAAATGTCCATAACCCCCTCTGAGACGTCGGGTGGCCGCAGCGGCGCCCGTCCGCCCCCGCCCCCGTCCACCTCGGGCAGGTCCGAGGCCACCTCGAGCCGCTTTGCCGAGCGTGTCGACATCCACCAGATCCAGAAGCTCATGTCCAAGAACCCCGAAATGTCCCAGGTCGTGAGTTAACTTCGGCTGGCCACGAGACAACTGACATTCCCCAGGCGTGGTGGATGTAACCTGCCCACTACCAACCTGTCGGCGCCTCGCCGTACAGGACCCCCCTCCCCTGGTCGTGAGTTGGACACGAGTACACGTACACCACACAACGTACGGATCCCTACTGACACTCAGGCGTGGTGGATGTAACAACCCACCACCGCACCACGCCAAGAACGTGAGTTGTTTATTATTCGCCTTGTGCTGAACTCCTCAGGCGTGGTGGACGTCAGCGTACCCACCACCGCAGCGCATGTGTCTCTCAGGGGGTGAGTTCTTTTGAAGTCGATCGAGAGAACTGACGTGCCAGGCAATGGACGTACCGTACCCATCGCCACAACGCCATCCAAGCGTCCCGTTCCGTCTCCAGTATCCATCCCATGTCTGTCCGAATCAGTTCCCCATCAATATTATGTGTGACCGTGTAACCAAAAACCGTGTCCCCCGTGCTATATAGTCTCGGCACGCCTGTGTTGTCGTTGTAGTAGTTCCATTACCATGCCGTTTGCGTGCCGTTCGCATGATGCATCATGTTTCACAACCCCTACGTGGCTCTGGCAGAGTTCTGGAGCCTCATGGCCAACACGCTGCATGGGGGTGCTGTGCCTGAAGCAAGCGCGGCATTTTTGTTTGAGGTTGATGAAAATATCCATTAAATGTCGTTAAATTCAGCAAAACCCCGCCAAACCATCGTAGAGCGTGAACGAAAGCGCTCCAACTGCAGCGCGTGCATATGACACGGTCTTCATGGCACGAATGGCATACTGTTGCTGGCTCCTGCTTGTATCTTGGATGGTCCCAAATCGCCTCCCTCCGACTCGACACCCTCACCATGAGCGTCACGGCGGATGTGCCCCGGTGGACTTGTCTGTTGTCCCTCATACAGCCAGTCTGCATACCCAGCTGTGGCGCTGTGGCCACTGTGTCTAGGTGTCCTCTGTCCTGTTCAGTGCCCGCAGCCTCACCATAGCGTGACACCGCTCTCCCCAGGGCTGGCCATCTTCAGACTCTATCGTCGGCGCAATCAACAACAGTGTCCTGGCTCGCTGAGTTTGGGTTCTCGGCTGGCTGGTATAGTCAGGTCGTCACCGCTGTGCATGCAAACAAATGACGACACAGCCTGGACAGTCTGCGTGGGTTCCCTGACGAGCCCTCGCTGTGTCGGGCGGGATCTGGATGACGGAGTGTTGTCTCTGAACTGTCGGGGTGTGTGGTGTTCGCCTCCGACCGGGGCAAGGCGACGGCGACAGGCAGCACTGTAGCACAGTATACACCCAGCAGCCCACGACACAGCCATGCCAGCACCATGCACCACACCATGCACCCACCCCCACCTCCCACCTGTAGGCGCCGACTACCGCCCCAAGCCTAAACACCTCCCCCCATTGGCGCCATTAACCGGTGCCTCTATCATTTCGATCCCCGATCTGTTCCCGCTTTGGGACAGACGGCGGGCGGAACGGCGGGGTGGGCCGAGCAGCTAGCAGCCGAGTCGGGTTGGTCGCATTTGCACAATCTCGTCCGTCCGGTCTTTCTTTCTTCTCGTTCTCCACATCTCTCTTGTGCATACCACACACCCACTCACCCCCCTCGCCCGCTGGCGTACCCCACATATCCACGACGGCGCACTACCCAACATGATTCCGCCACTCACGCATACCGAAATGTCCTCTGTGGTGAGTGGACACATGGCCGACGAGGTGGCCGTCTCGTACGCGATCACCTCTCGCCCTCCCCATGCCACAGCTCAACCACTCCCGGTCCTCGAGCTAACAACCTCACAGATGGGTTACATGAGCATTGCCTGCTGGGTCATCGTGTACAGGTACGTTTTTTTTTTTCAAGCGCATGGCGCACACGCGCCACCACGCCCCGCCCGCCGCGGTCGCGATGCGCGATAACAACTTTCTCCACGCGCAAATGACTTTATGCTGACGGCTCCCCTGCAGTCCCCAAAGTTTGTCCCCTCGTACCCTCCTGACACGCGCGCGCTCACAGCATGTCCGCCCCAGTCTGGGAAAACTACATGCTCAAGTCCGGTGATGGCCTCAGTGTGCCATTCATCCTCCTCTGGCTGGGCGGCGACATTACCAACCTCATCGGAGGTGCGATGGCCGGCGTGCTGCCCACCATGATCATCCTTGCTGTTTACGTGAGTCGCTGCTTCCGGTGGTGTTCCCGACCGTGACGGCTGTGGAAGAGCTCGTGTGGTAGCGCTGGCAACAGACCTGGTGCTTTGCTGGAAGAGTCTCCCCTCCCAGCACGGTGGTGTTGCTTTGCTGGATGATTTTCATCCCCAAGCGCCGCCGGCGAGCAGCTAGCACCCGCCTAGGCGCCGTCCGGACACGTTTTGCTCCGCGAACCGCCGTTCCGCAGGTGCCAATGCCAGGCTCTCTGTTGCTGTTGCTGTAATCTGTCTCCACGGCGGCAGCTCCACCCGCCTGGCCCCCACCTCTTTTGGGTTTTCGGTGGCGAGCGACGGGGGTCTCGTGACCACCTCACCGAAAGATTACATTCCGCGGCGATCCCCCTTAATGCCACCCGCTGTTGCTGGCATGTGCTGGCATGTGTCGTCTCGCAAAACGTGACCCTCTCTGCGTATGCTGGTGGACCAGCAAGGTCTGTGACGCGTATGCAAGTGGGTCGAGGGCGTTGTGTGAGGGCTGCGGATGGACGGATGGGATCAGGTCCCCCAGGTCCCCTCCTGAACGTCGAATGTCTGTGGCCGGGTTGGCGAGGCATATCTGCCTCTGCTGCGTCCGGCCAACCACACCATATTTCCACCATGCACAAGCCCCCGCTGACCGCCCCAGTACAACATTTGCGACATTATCCTCCTGTTCCAGGTGTACTACTACCGCTCGCTGCGCAAGCGCCCCGAGAACCAGCCCCTGCTCGAGGCGCCCCCACGCACGCTCAAGCCGTTGCTCCCGGCCTACCTGTCGTACCCGCTCATGATTGCATTCGTGATCGTGTCGGGCTTTGTGAGCTGGGCGCTGGCCGACCACTCGGGCGGCGACAAGCACCCCGAGGACGGCCCCGCGGGCGGCGTCGAGCTCGAGTGGAAGTCGCAGCTGCTCGGCTACGCCTCGTGCTTTTTGTACATTGGCAGCCGCGTGCCGCAGATCTTCCACAACCTCAAGACGCGCTGCGAGGGCCTGAGTCTCGCCATGTTCTTCTTCTCCATCTCGGGCAGTGAGTAGCTGTGGCGTCGTCGACGGAATGTTTCAGCTGACACGTCTTTCCCCAGACGTCACGTACGTCGCCTCCATCCTGCTCACGTCCATGGAGCGCAAGTACCTCATCACGAACGCGAGCTGGATCGCGGGCGCGGCACTCACCATCTTCCTGGACCTGTACGTCCTCGCCCAGTTTGCCTACTTTTCGTACCAGGACAGCCACAAGCACAAGGTGTTTGCCGACGACGTCAGCGAGGAGGAGGCATGAGGCGGGCGGACACGGACATGATGGACATGACACGAGCGTCCCCACCAAGAAACACTGAAACGAAAACAAGAGCCCGCATTTTTGGCTCCATATCCCTCCCTCCCTCCCCTCGACTTTTTATCATCCCGCGCGCACATCCCCATCGCCTCATCGCCATCAACCCAACCCACATATGTAACTCTAGATACGTCAACCTTATCTTCTTTATTCCCTATGAACCCCACATGGCCCACATGACCCATATCCATTCCATTCCACGGTAGAGAATGCACGCCTTCAACTGCGCAGCTGTTTTGAACCCCAGGGCCGCGCAGGTAGGGGGCAGGGGGCAGAATACAAAGACATTTTCATCATACACAATCGGTGTTAACGCATATCTACAAGACTTGCTCCCTTCCGTTTTTTACTACATCTTACAGGGTCTGTTCCTCGACAGAACGCATTACAAGCACCACTACCCCCCACCCCACCCCCACCCCCGCCCCCGCCCCCGCCCCCCTCCCCCTTCTTTCCCCCCGCTCCCCCTCTCACGTCACCTGGTTCCACCACACCGGCTCGCCCACTTGCGTATGCTCCCCCGCCCACCCTTCGTCAAAGGGCACGAACGGCGCGGCGGCGCTGCCCTCGTCGCCGAACAGGTCGCCGAGGTCGTACCACAGCTGCGTCATCGCGTCCCATGCGCCGGCGATTTCGTCGCCGACGCCGGCGTCGCAGAGGTTGTCGTATGGCTGGGGCTGCTGGGGCTGCGGCTGCGGGGCCTGGAGTTGGGGCTGGAGCTGGGACTGGAGCTGCGGCGCGAGTTGGGCCTGGAGCTGGGTTTGGTGCTGGGACTGCACGTCCTCGTGCGCCATGGCCGGGACCGGGTTGGCGACGATGCCGGGCGGCTGGACATGGTCCATGGCCACGTCCTCGCGCATGGCCTGGGCCTCGCGCAGGGGCTCGGTCACGAGCGCCGGCGTGGCGTTGAGCACGCTCACGGCCGGGTCGTACCCGCCTCCTCCTGCGGCCGCGGTTCCGCCATTGGACGATGTCGGGCGCGAGGCGACCGACCCGGTCGTCGACGACGCGGACGCGCGGTCCAGCGGCCCGTGGCGGCTCAGCAGGAGCTCGGACAGCCGCGAAAAGATGTCGCGGTACTTTGCCGACAGGGGAATGTCGCGGCCAAACGCGTCAAACAGGTCGCGACACTGCTGGACGCGGTTGCGGATCTCGGCGTGCCAGTGCGGGTCGTCGGCGCCAATGTATGCCTCGAGGCCAATTTCGTCGCGCGTGTCCTTGGCGTGCGGCGTGCCCTCGACGGCGCGCATGCGCGTGTCGCACTCGCACAGGCAGCACAGGAACGAGATGGAGCACACAAAAAGCCCGATGATCTGCACGAGGTTGAACGAGACCTTCATCGTGCGCCACATTTCAACGTACAGGTCGACGGCGCGCGACGACGCGTCGTGCAGCGCGCGCAGCGCCGTGGGCGTCGTCTCCGGGTACAGCGGCGAGGGGCGGTAGAGCATGCACAGGACCTGGTAGTAGTTGATTTCGAGCCACTTGTCAATGTTGATGGTGAGCAGGTGTGTGGCCGTCTTGCGGGGCTTGGGCACGGCCGCCGTCCACTTGTCGAGCTCGCCGTGCAAGTCGCTGATAATGCCCCGTCTCTCGGGCTCCGAAAGCGAATTTTGCTCCCCCTTGACGCTGTACAGCGCGACCAGCGTCTGGCCCAGGATACGCCGGTACCACGCCAAGTACCGTGTGGCCTTGAGCATCGGGTAGCCGCGGTACTCGGCGTCTCCGGGCTGGTCTGTAGGGAGCTCAATGTCAATGTCGTTTTCGGCGATCGTGAGCGGCTTGGACAGCGTGAACGCAATCAGCCGGTCGAGGTTGTAAAACGAGACAAAGACGCGACGCCGCTTCTCGGCCATTTCGGGGGACACGTGTGGCTCGGCACGGCGGTGCAGGCCAATGGCCGTAATGACGCGCCCGGCCAGGCCGAGCGTCTGCCACATGGATCCCGACGTCGGCTCCTGCGTCGCATACAGCGTCAGGATGAGCAGAGCCTGGACGCAGACAAGGTCCTCGCGGCCGAGGGCCTTGGCGCGGTGCGGCATGGCAGCGCTGAACAGCGCACGTGCAGGCGGCAGCGTCTTGTCGCCTGTCCGCTTCATGCCCTGCAGGCCCGCAGCGAGGACCATGAACAGGAGAAACTTGCGGCGGTCCGACATGTCCTCTGACCCATCGCTCGCAACGCTGTGGGCCGCGGCGCCGGGGGCATTGTCGGCATCGTTGGTGTCGTTGCCTGCGCCGGCGTACAGCTCCTTAACTTCCGCAAAGACCTCGGCCTTGTCGAACAAGGGGTATGCCAGCTCGTTGAAGCTGAAATAGTGCATGACGGCACTGTGCGCCTGTTCCTTTGTGATGATGTCCGTCACCGCCATGGGCGGGGGCGAGGGCCCCGACATGCGGCGCTTGTCGGCATAGTACTGGGCGAGGTGAGACAGACCACGGATCTCGAGCGCCGACGCGGCGAGCTTGTTGAACTCGCCGCCGCTCAGAGGGGGCGACGTCTTGCGTGTCTCGCGCTCGCCCAGTACCTCGCGGACGTTTTCGTGCTCGTGGCTGCGGGGCTCGTCTTGCTGGTGGTGGCTGCTGCTGCTGCTGTTGTGGATGTGCTGCGGCTGCGGGTGCACGAGCGAGCGGCTCGACATGTCCAGCTGCATCTCGAGCTCGCGGATACGGTCGTGTGCAGCTGCCAGCTCGGCGTCGAGACCGCCGTTCGCCGTCTTGAGCTTTGACACGTAGCTAACAGTCAGCAAAAGTGCCTGGGAATTTGCGCAACTGCCGCACTCACCTGCTGGTCGCAGCACTCAGCTCAAAGACACATGCAACGTCTGCACGCGAGCAGCTCGCACACCGCGGCCACGCGCCGTCGCACTTGCGCTTGATGCGGTGGCATCGGATACACGCCTGCACGGCGCCCTTGGGCGGGTGGACAAACACTGGCCCGCGGGACACGTCCCCCGATGGATCCTCGTACTCGACGTCGGCGCCTTCGGGGATGTCAGAAGCGCCGGCAGCTGCTGCAGCCGCGGCAACCGCCCTTTGTCCTGCGGCGCTTGGTGGCGGGCGGCGAGTCGGTCGTGCTCGACGACGACTTGGCTACCACCGCGGCAGACAAGGGCGGTACACCGGGCGCAAGCGTCTGGTTGGGGGAAGGGCCTTGCGCGAGGTGTGCTGCCTTCCCTCCTCCTCCCGGGGACGCAGAGCGACGCTGCAGCTCGCGGTATCCTTGGTCCCATGGGGGGGCGTGGTAGCGTTCCCCAGGCGTGTCATGGAGGTATGGCCGGTAGCCATGGGGCGCCTTGTCGGGCTCTTGCACAGCCGGGCGTCCACGGTCGCCCGGGTGGACGGCATGTGAGGGAGGAAGAAGAGGGGGCGGTAGAGGAGGGCCACCAGCAGAAGAAGAAGAAGAGGCAGAACCACGCACGGCATGTGGTGAAGTGTGCGATGCGTGCACCAGGTGGTTGATGTGCGGCGGCGTGGACCCGGGCTCTGGGTATCCTCCGAGGCCACCCCTACCACTGCCGCTGCTGCTGCTGCCACTGTGGTACGAGTTGCTGGGTATCGGCGCCAGTTGACGGCGGTACTGGTCTTGATGCGGCTGCGGTGGTGCCATGATGCCTGGGTATTCTATGTCGGAGCCGGCCAGCGCTGCGGAGACGGTCTGGAACGGCCGCTGCTGCGACGGGTGGTAGTGTGGGGGCGGCTGCTGGGCATGCTGGTGGGGCGGGTACGGCACGCTGGCTCCTGCTGAGCGTGGGTGGTGCTGTGTGTAGGACGACGATGCGGGGGACGAGTCGTGCAAGGACGGGGAGGAATGGTGGGAGTGGGGGTCTGTGAACGACGATGAGCCTCTGCGGTGGCCCAAGTGCTGCTGCTGCTGGAGGTTCTGCTGTTGCTGCTGCTGCTCCTGCTGCTGCGGTACGTGTATGGGAGGGAGATGTGGAGTGTCCCGTGGGGGGTACATGGTGATGATGGGCTCTGTGGGGTGTGGGGGGTTATAAGCAGAGCCGCAGGACACAGAGGGAATGACTGCAAAAGGCGGAGAGCGCCGCCCACACCACCACGCGCGCTGCGGGGACGACGACGGGCGGGGCGACGACGGGGGGAACGGAGCGACCGGGGGTGGAGAATGTGGAGACGGCGTGCGGGGTGGCCGTTTTAACACGTCATTTTGGAGAGTGATCACAATTATTCTATTAGTATAAAGTTAATACTCCTTTCAAACGGGGGGCTATGACGGTCCACGTGCAAGTCACGTGATATTGGGACATTACAGGGGACTCATATAGACGTGCAGAGTGAACGTGACGGTGACGCTGGGCGCCATACGAGTGACAACCACACCACAGCTCACATGCGCCACGCGGTGGGTCTGAACGTTGAGCCTCGGAAAGGCGGGCCGCGAACGAGAGATCACATAGAGCTCTGGGAGGCCGTCGACAATGGCGAGCCGCCACTGACTGACGATGCCGTGCGACGAGGTGACGACCAAGGCGTGGTGATCCGATCCGCACGACGATCTACACAGCGGATGCGACAGCTCGGCAGCATGGAATTGGATCGTCCGCAGCCCCCGTGGACAGGCAGATAGGAGATCAGGAGACGTTTGTTGACAGCAATGGATACCTGAATGGAGGGAGGGACGGAGACGCCGAAAGGCGGCGATAACCGACCCGGGCCGGCAGATGCAGCGCGTGATATGGTGAGCAATGGCGCCGTCATGACGTGAGCAAACGGTGCGTCGACCTTCGTCCATCGATCCATTTCCATCTGTCGTCCAGACCTCTCTCCTTCTCACATCATCCATCAGCATGTCGGACCCCACAGACGTCCTCCTCATCGGCCTCGGATCGATCGGTACAGTGTACGCGTACTTGCTTGAGCGGGTGAGTCAAACACAGTTTGGCGTCGCCAAATCCAACGTCGTCGGACCCCTGGCCTTGCCATGCCAGCTGCTGCATTCGTCGCTCGTCCCAGCTGGCGGCCATACATCATCCCCTGACACACACGTCAACTACACCCACTGACACGTCCACAGTCAGGCAAAGCTCGTGTCACCGCCGTCGCACGCTCCAACTATGACGTCTACGCCAACAACGGCGTGAGCCTCGTCACTGACCGCTTCGGCACCATCCAGTACAAGCCTTACCGAGGTGGGTAGCGTTCTATGGCTGAGGACAGTGGCCGCTGGAGGGAGAGTGTGGTCTGTGACCGCAACTCAGTGTCCGGCTGTCTGCTGATAGACCTGCAACAGGCTGGTAGATGGTGTACGCCGCTTACCAGCGTTATGTCATGGCACTCAGCTGACACCCCCAGTCTTCAAGTCGCAAGAAGAAGCGCTCGCAGACGGGACAAAGTACGCGCTGTGCGTCGTGGCTACTAAGTCGCTGCCCGACGTCCTCCCCACCCCGACCCTGCTCGCGCCCTCCATCGCGTCCGACCAGGTCGGCGCGTACGTCCTGATCCAGAACGGCCTCGGCGTCGAGACCGATCTGCACAAGGCCGCGCCGTCGACCCCGATCGTCTCGTGTCTCGCGTGGATCTCCACCACCACCTCACAAGGCGGCAGCGTCGTGACGTGGAAGGGGGCCGACAAGCTCGGGTGTGGCGTGTACCCGCCCCCCTCCGACCAGCGCGTCAGCTTTAGCGCGCCCGAGACGCACGCGCTCGAGCTGTGGACCAGCCTGCTCAAGGATGGCGGGGCCGCGGTCGTGCAAGCGGACAACATCGAGAGCATGCGGTATTCCAAGGTGGGTAGCGGGAGTTGCCATCGCACATGCCACGGTCCCCTCTCTGACACCCCGCCAGAACGTGTTGACAGCGTCGTGGGCCGGCCTGCAAGGTCTTGCGCGCACCCAGGCGGCGTGCTTTGCGGGCCTGAGCGCCGCGCACCACGCCCAGATCAAAAAGTACCAGCGCGAGATCATCTCGCTGGGATTCAAGACGGGTCTGCTGGTCGAGGGCATGACGCTCCAGCCGATGGGCAACACGGCCGAGGGCGTCGAAGAAACCATCGAGGCGGACTTCAACCGCGTGAGTGTAGCACAGGCGCTGGTTTACCATTTCGGGGACCTAACGCTGACTCCAACCCCCGCGCACAGTTTGTCCTCGCCCCACAAGGCTCGCCTGTGACGCAGCACAAGTGGTCGCTCCTCGTCGACATTGAGAATGACCGCCCGTTCGAGGTGGAGGTCATCCTCGGTTCGGTGGTGCGCCTCGCCCAGAGTGTCGGGCACGACACGCCACTGGTCGACTTTGCGTACACGGTGTTGAGCGGTGTGCAGGCTAGTATCCTTGCCAAGCGCCAGGGATAGATGGGAATAAAACGTCGGTTAGCGGGGAGATTGTTAGAGCGGAAAACGCCACGATGAAGCGTGGTGGAAGGAGATGCCAGGCAGTGGCCAGTGGCTCGGACGCCTGCGTTATCTCTTGCCATTCTGTCTGTGTTTGCACTCGTCAACCAGTGTATGAATCGGGCACTTCTGAAGCAGCATGGTTCTCTCTACCTGCCTCTCGACCGCCATACACGCATGCATGCATGCATATGCCTTTTGGCCTCCTGCTGCCCGCGGTCCTACACGGACCATGCCACCGTTACGGTCGGAACACCCACGTGCACCACGTGAGACAAATACTCCCGTTGGCCCTTTTTGCCACCTCTTTCTCGAACTCTCCGTCGTCGCGAGTCCCATCCATATCCATCGGTTGCTCTTCTGGTCGCGCCGTCTCCTTTCACTCTCCCTCACTCCCCACTCTCCCACCACAATGCCTCCCAGAGTACCCACACGCGCGCTCTTCAACCTCCCCCTCGCCAACCCCCAGGCGTCGGGCTCCACCTCTTCAGCAGCATCGCGCACCAGCCGCGTCTCGCCGCCGACCTCGCCGCGGATCGCCGGCCAGCGCGCGCTGCACACCACTTCGGCTGGGCCAAGCAGGCGTCTGAGCTCCAAGGCCAGCAGCAGCCGTCTCGAACGTCAGGTGGGTACCCTGTCCAGCGAGCTGGATCATAACCTCGTGTGGGCCGCTTCAGCTCGCGATGCGGACTCCGGACTAAAACGGGCATCGCGCCCGAAAAAAAAAAAAGTCAAAAACGTCACCAAGTGTACTAACCCATATCCTTGCAGACCTCGCCGAACGCGACGCGCGCCCGTGGATTCCACGCCACTGCTCCCAGCTCGGCGCCGCAGAAGAACCCGTACGAGGTGCTTGGCGTGGCCAAGGACGCCAGCTCCGGCGACATCAAAAAGGCCTACTATGGTGTACGTTGACGTGTTATTGGGCCCCGGCCAATGACGCGCGGGCCATTTCGACATGGCCACATGTGTGTTGTTTGTGCAGTGGCTGACCTGTTCTCCCAGCTGGCCAAGAAGTGGCACCCGGACACGAGCAAGGAGAAGGACGCTGCGGAAAAGTTCCAGGAGATCCAGGCGGCCTATGACGTGGGTAGCTAACTTTGAGTGTCAGCTAAACCACCGTGCAGATCCTCTCGGACCAGACCAAGCGTGACGCGTATGACCGCTACGGCTCGGCGTCGACGCAGGAAGGCTTTGACCCCAACATGTTCGCGCGCGGCGCCGGCGGCTTTGGCGGGTTCCAGGACTTTGGCTCTGCGTTTGGCGGCGGCCGCGGCGGCAACCCTGCCGACCTGTTTGAGCAGCTGTTTGGCGGCGCGTTCGGCGGCGGCGGCATGGGCGGCGGTGGCGGGTCGCCGTTTGGCGGCGCAGGCCCGCGTGCGCGCCAGATGCGCGGCGACGACCTCGAGGCGGACGTTGCGCTGTCGTTTATGGACGCCGCGGCGGGCACCAAGACCAAGATCACCATTACGCCCGTCGTCGACTGCCCGCCGTGCCACGGCTCGGGCCTCAAGGCCGGCGAGCAAAAGTCGACCTGCTCCGTCTGCCGCGGTACGGGCCAGCAGGCGTTCCAGGTGCAGGGCATGTTCATGGCCTCGACCTGCTCGGCGTGCCACGGTACCGGCACCGTCATCCCGCCCAAGGCGCGCTGTGGCGAGTGTGGCGGCGTCGGCCGCGTCAAGGAGAAGCGCGAGATCGACGTCGACATCCCGGCCGGCATCGAGGACGGCATGAAGATCAAGATCCCCAATGCGGGTGACATGCCCCTCTCGGCGTCGGGCCCGCCCGGCGACTTGTACGTCCGCGTCACTGTCAAGCCGTCGGCCCAGTTCCGCCGCCAGGGAACCAACATCTACCACGACGCAAAGGTGCCCCTCCAGACCGCCATGCTCGGCGGCAAGGTCCGCATCCCCACGCTCGAGGGCGAGGTCGACGTGCGTATCCGCGAGGGCACCCAGTATGGCCAGGAGGCCGTGCTCAAGGGCCGCGGTGTCAAGAACGTCTACGGCAGGAAGGGCGACAGGGGCGACCTGATCGTTACTTGGAAGGTCCAGATTCCCAGGTGAGTGGGAGATGACGGCAGCTGTGACCACATCGTCCCGCAGCTATGACCGGCCACACGCCCCCCCCCCCCCCCCCCCCCCCCCCCACCACCACATGTCCCGTACCAAAAATACTCACACCTCTTCCTCAGGTCACTCTCCTCGTTCCAGAAGAAGATCCTGCAGGCCTTTGCCGACGACGTCGAGGGTCGTACCCCCAACATCCACTTTGACGGCGAGCCAGGTACGCGTCGCGACACCTACACTCCCCCCTCTTCCTCTTCCCCCCCTCCTCCTCCCCCCAACTCCAACTCCAACTCGTCCGGCGGCAAGCCCCGTTCCGGCTCGGTCCCCGAGCTCGACCCAGAGGCGCACTCGGGCCTCCACGGCACGGCCGACAAGGTCGCGCACGCGCTGGGCGGCGCGCTGGGCTGGGCCGAGAAGATGTTTGGCAAGGGCAGCAAAAAGGACAAGGACGACAAGGACAAGTAGGCGCCGCTCGCCAGAGCGAGCGGGCGCCTTTGGGTTCTTGGTGTCCGAGGCTGGAGGCGGGCGGATCGGAAGGAGAGGAGCACGGGGGGTGGCTCTTTGGTGTGTCCTAGGAAACACTGTTGACAGGTCGGTAACAGGTGCCTCGAACAGCGTTGACCCGGCCGCAGCGGACTCGACGGGCTCCACCACCAGCAACACCGCCACGGGCAAGAAGACACGGGCACGGAGCATTAAGCGTGACGAGCCGCCTCACCCGGACAAGCCGCGCAAGTCCGAGGCCGAGCCCGAGGCGCCCAAGGCTGCCGAGGACGAGGTGACCGCCAAGGAGGAGGAGAAGGCGAAGCTCGCCGACGCTGCCGACGCCGACAAGCCTGAGCCCAAGCCTGAGCCCCAGGCTGAGGCCAAGCCCGAGACCACGGAGACCGCCGAGACCGCCGAGAAGCCCGAGACCCCAAAGACGACCACAGGCGATAAGAAGACGGCGCCTGCGTCGTCCGACGCAGACGAGAAGAAGAAGGCGACAGGATAAAGAGGAAGGCAAAAGAAAGAATAAAAAAACGAATCCCCGCTCAATGGGCACACCACTCAACTCCCCCTCCCCCCCCCCCCCCCCCCCCCCCTTCCCACCACATCTAGACAAAAATACTTGGCATATGCATCTTTCTTATCTCTTCCGGAACCGAGTGCATGACGGAAGAGGGCGGGGCATTGGGTGCCAACGTGCAGACTGCGAGTGAGGGCACGGTGGTGGTCGCTTTAGACATGGTACATATATGTGCATAGTTGTGAGCTTCCACGGTGCTCTACAGTATGTGGTGTCATGGGTCATGGGATGGCCACGAGGAAATGTCACGGGAGGGAGTGTCGGTGTAGACGCGGGGGCCAAGAAGTGGAACATGTGGTGGGGGAGGGGGAGTGTCGTCAAATGTCCGTCACCATTGTCCCGGTCCCGGTCTCGACGGAAAGGTTGGGAGGACGGGGCTCTGCAAGCCTACGCCTTACCTTCCGCCTTGCACGCGCACCCGTCTGGCCCTTCGCCGCGCAACACCTCGAGCGCGATCGCACACGCGTTGCGCACGGCGAGCTGCGGGCTGGCGGCTGCCGAGGAAAACGTCACGCCGTGCACGTGGACTTGGGCCGAGTATGACGGTATCGTGGCCTGCGGGGCTGGCGTGGGGATTGCAGCGTGGCCATTGGGGTAGGCCGAGCCATTGGCCTTGGCCTTGAGCACGCCCGCAGAACCGTTACCGTTCGTGCTGCTGTTGTTGTTGTTATTGGTCGCCAGCACGCCCTTTTCAATGGTCCACTGGTGGCAGCCGCGCGCGGCAAACAGCTCGAGCAGCGCGCTCTTCGGGTGCAGCGAGTGCGCGTGCGGGCCCACGGCGTAGCGGTCGACAAAGGGGCCCAGGTGCGCGTTGTACACGCGCGCGCAGACGGCCAGGTCAAAGCCCGAGTCTTCCAGGATGGCGCCAAAGAGGGCCTCGAGAATGTCCCCAAGCCACTTGTGTTCCGGCACCGACGACCAGAACTCGTGCTGCGGGTTGCCCCGGGCGATGGCGTTGTCGGCCTTGGCCTGTGCGGCGAGCATGGATTGCGTAAACGCTGCGAGTTTGACGGATGTCGCTGGGTCAATGTCCTGCAGGGACGAGGACAGGCCGGTGCAGACCATAAAGGCGGAGAAGGCGGCCTGGACGTCAGCTACGCCTTCTATGAGTTAGCTTACGTTGGCGACACGCGAGTGCTTCATGTGCGTGAGGGGTGCGGGGCCGAGGGAGGGGTTGGAATCCCAGATGGGCTCGAGAGTGACTAAAACAGTGTCAGTTGGCTGCGATTGGAAAACGCCACAGCCACACTCACGGTAATCGATGACCGCGTCGCCGAGGAACTCGTACCGCTCAAACTGGGCCTTGCGGGATGCGTCGGGATACAGGCTCTGCAAACGTGGATCAGTAGCTGACCTAGTCACACAGACGTTCAACTACTCACTATAGCAGCGCGACCGCGGTCACCGTCCTGGAACTCGTAGCCCAAAAGCGTCAAGGGCGCGCTTCCACGCGAGCTCGAGTCGCGCGGGTCAGGGAGTAACGAGGCCCACGTCTTGAGCGTCAGTGGAATGCAGAGAACGTGCATCGCATCCAGCGTGGCCTGAATGTCGCGGTTGTTGGAGAGGTACGCCGCGGCAATGAGAGCCTCGGCAACGTCTGCCACAGTCTGAACGTTTGTCAGCTCTAAAGGACAAACCCCGCAAAGCTCACCTTATCGCCCAGCTTTTGCGTTTTGGGCGCCACAGCCTCGGTGGCACCCTCCACGACCCACGTTGGTGGGACAAAATCGCGTGCACGACGGTACATGCTGCGGATATACTTGACCACATCCGACTTGATCGCCGACATTTGCAGCGCGTTGTTGGACACCACCATGTGCCTGTCCCTCGTCATGGTTCCCTCCGTTTTTCTGGTAATGTCGATGTAGACGTCTACAGTAGATATGAGCTTGAGAACCGTATCGCCCAGCATTTCCAGACGCTCGTAGTTGGTCTGGCCGGGGAAGGGGCGTGCAGCGGGGCAGGTGATGGCTTCGCGCGCCAGGTTGCGGTCCAAAGCGCCGTGAAAGTGGTCCGACGACAGTTGTGCGGCGATGAGCTCATCGTCGAGGGACGCGAGGGCGGCCGGGAGCACGGTACCGGTGCGGAAGACGGAGGCCGGGATAAAGTGTAGACTCAGAAGTTCGGGAATCAGGAGCATGCCCTTTTGCTTGGGCTGGGCGAGGGCGGCGACCAGACCGCCGCCTTTTGGTCCCACAGCGTGCTCGCCCTCGACAATAGGCTGGTCCGGGTACAGGAGCGACGTGACTTGGCGGTAGCGATACTCGTAACGCTCGTTGGACATGGCAACTTCGAAAAGTGTCTTGTCGGGTGCCTCTGCGCTCTTGGATTGGGGGGACAGGTCGAGACGCAGACGTGACGCGTAGAAACGGCGACCCAGTTCCTGTGGGGCGCTGATCACAGCATCCTCGAGCTGTACTGCTAGGGCCTTGGGATCATCAAGCTTGAACACTTGCACGTAGTCCTTGTCGACGGCATCCACATCTGTCCACGAGATATCCTCAACGGAGCAAGTCCGGGCACTCGAGTCGCGTGCAAAGTCGGTCCTGAAGGGCAGAACAAGGTACGCCGTCGTACCAAACTCGCCGTCCAGCGGCTTGTTTAACAGCGCCCGCATGAAACGCCGTGTGTACTCAAACGCCTTGTCAAGCTGAGCGGACGACAGTTTCAGCTGGCCAGGCGTGCGGGTGAAAATAGCGCTTGCTGCCACCTTTTGCTGGGCGACGTCGAGCTCGAGCACGTCTTCCGTCACAGGTACGGGTCGTGCACTCAGAAAACACAGCGCACGGCACTGGTCCGCAACAGCCGCGTGTGGTGGTTGAAACTTGAGGGTCACAATCGTGGCGTGAAGCAAAGTGTGCCCGCTGGCAGTCTGCTTGGCCTCACTGAGTGGGTGTTGGATCCAGAACGTTGGTGACGCGAGCAACTCGTAGTCGGCTTCACCCAGGATGCCGCTGCTGCTCCGGGGCAGTTTGGCCAGTGCCGCACGCGCTTCGTTACGGGCCACCTCGTCTGGGTGTGGTGGGCGATAACTTGGTGCGCTAGTTGTGCGTGATCCCGAGGCAACCACGGAACGAGGCCCGGGGCCATCACTGATGGAGTCGTGCCCGCGCGGTTGGGGCGCATGGACGGTGCTGTTGATGGCAGCACCAGTGGGATTCGTTTCCGCCGGTGCGCTAGGCTTGCGCTTGATGGTCGGGTTGGCCGGTGTAGGTGCCAGCGAAGGTGCAATCTCCCCTGCCTCCATGAGCGCCAGGACTGCGTTGAACGCGGCGCTCTGCTTGGCCAGCTGTTTCGACCTGAATGGGCCGGCGGAGGACGCTTCGCGGACGGGCGAGTTGAAGGGCAGCACTACGCTACATGTAAAACCCCCTCCGTAAGCTGCGGCGCACGTGTAGACGGCATTGTGTTCAGAGAGGTTGTTGCGCAGGCTGCCGACGTAGGCGGACATGACTGAGGTAGCGTTGGCGTCGGTGAGTAATGACCCGGGGTCCGGGACCGCTGAGCCAGACGCCTGCGTGTTATATGCGGCTGCACCATCCGTCTTGGAGCCACTTGAGCCCATCTTGAAGCGCTTGGAGGGATGGAGCGGGTCGAGAGACGCGGTCGTGCGTTTGGACATGGAAGAGGGAGGTTACGAGGGCGGGATGGTAGGAAGGAGGGTGATCGGGTTCTGTGCCCCCGACAGGGGAGTGTCGCGTCCAGGAGCTCGAGTTGGAGGTGCACAGGAGAGACGGAGGATGCGTGCCGAGTAGACGACGGCAGGTGACGCGGGAGGGAACGAGCGAGGTAGCAAGAGCGATGATGATGATGATGAAGAGCTGACAACAAAGTGCCCAACCTCCCCCCGATGGATGATGGCATCCACCAAACGACCCACCTCCACCGGCTGGCGCTACCACACGGCCGCTCGAGCCCAACTTTTTGGCCCGGGATGGAGGATCTCTCTCTTGTGTTCTTTGTTCCATTCCACAACACGTCGTTTCCACACAACCAACGACACTAGACACCCACCAAAATGAGCGTCATGCTCAACCGGCGCACAGCTGTCGCACAGCATGTGCTGGCACTTACCCTCCGTCGCCATCTATCCGCACGGCCACCGCCACCGCACTTCAACATCCCCTTTCCGTCCTCTCCCACCTCCGAGAACGGCCGTAAACCACCACCAACACCACCACTCCCTTCCTTTCCCTCCCTCGCCCTCCATGAAGACCCAGAGCCTCCAGCGCCTCTTGACCCTTCCAAGGACATGTCATGGCTGCGTGTGTCAGCGTCACCCAAGACACCAAAGTATGACAAGGCGCTGGAGGAGATTGCCGCGGCGGCCGAAGAGACGTGGAGAAAGTTGCAAGGCTTGCCAACGAGAAAGCCAGAGCTAGCGCAAGAGCCAGAGCCTGTGATTGAGCAAGCTAAGCAAGTGGGTAGACGAGTCGAGGTGGTGCGATCTATGCTGACAAACCACAGGCATCACTGGCGTCACCCATAGCCCCACGGACGTGGGACCCAGAGGTGCTGGGCATTCCCCGCGACGCGGATAGAGAAGCAGAGCTCGACCAGCACGACTATACGCCGGCTGAGCGCGAGGCCAAGCTCGCAGTGATGATTGCGGACGATGAGGCCCAGGCCAAACAAGCGGCCAAGTTCAAGGCGTTGGAGGACAAGCTCACGGCGATCCTCAAAGGTTCAAACGACCCGCTGGACGCCGTCGAGGAGATTGTCCTCTACAAGCCGAGAGAGCCAGAGCCACCGTCATCATCTCCCCAGCCCGAGCCTGCGGCGAACACCACGGCCAAGGACGTCGAGGACACGAAGGACACGCAGCTCGATGCACCCGGCGCCCAGCCCAAGAGGGCATTAGGACGCAACTGGCATCGACCGCCAGACCCCAATACGCCAGACTACGTGCCCAGGACCGCGCCACACCTCCGTATTGCGCCTTACGAAGATGGCAGCATTCCCTTGCTCTGGCCTGACGCGACTGTCAATGACCACCTGAAAACAATCCGCAACACCCAACCTCCCGACATGGCGTGTGCCCTCTTTCCCAGCCTCTTGAGACTTCCCTTCAAAGGTTCAGTTGCGCAAATGCACGAGTACGAGATGCTCCTGGTCGACATGATAGAGTACGTTACTCCACCACGCGAGGAGGGCAACATGGCCATTGCTACTTGGATGGCCCAATACCCCCCGCAGTATTCGGCCACCATGCAACTCATCATCCGGTGGATGGAGGTAGCTCGTCATCTCCACAGCCTCGGCGTCCTCGATTCAAGGATGCGACAGGATCACTGGCCCGTTGGTTTCTTCGAGCTCGTCATTCTTGCTGTCCTCAAGCCGGTGCCCTTGAGCAAACACACACAAGTGGTGAAAGGTAAGCGTCGCGAAAGGTCGAATGTCTGGAGTCGGTTCCGCATCTGGCGACCAACGGCGCCGACCGCTGCCGAGTTGTTCGCCTTTTTCGAAGAAATGGAGCTTGAGATTACGCCCAGCATGTACACAGTCATGCTGTGGCACATGAACTTGTTTGAGCTGGTCAACCGGTCCAACTCGCACCGCTACGCACCAGAGGAGCAAGCACTTTCTCGCGCCTGTCACACGCTGTCTTTGTACCTCCTGGACCCTAAAAACCTTGAACTTCACTTGGGCAACACTGGCAACTCGGATGCCCTGATTCGATACAACGACGAACGCCTGTTGCGCATCACGGCCGGATTGAAAGTTCTCGACTTTCACGAGCGCGCCTACGGGCGCGGCCTTGCGGTCTCGCAGCAGTGGGTCAAGTCGCTGGACGCCTTGCGCGAGTGGGGCTACAAGTCGCTCAAGAACTACACTGAGCCGCGTCCCCGCCACCGTGGCCCGACAAAACCAGAGATGATGCATCTCTTCATGGTCATCCGCGACATCCTCCTCCGAGCTCCCGACGACAGTATCCGCGTGGAAAAGCACATGCTTTGCGGCTACGACATGGCCGACCCCTTTGAGGTGCTCAACCTCATGAAAAATCCAAAGGCCAACATCATCATCGACGAAGACGGGCCTACCAAGTCCAAGACCGCCAACAGGGCGATCAGCGCCATCCTCGTGGCCGCCAACGAGCGCCGCCTGTTAAGCGACGTGTACCGCTTGATGGAGTGGGTCAAGGAGACTCGTACGCGAATCCCAGCGTCGACCATGATGACAGCCTTCCTGCACGTCAACACGCGCGAAGACCTGATGCGTATGTTTGCGCTTGCCAAGGTCATCAAAGTGGCACCCGAGTACATGCCCCCCGAGTTATTGGTGGGCATCCAGAAGCAGGCCAGGGCCAAGCTCGACCTCGCATACAATACCGACCTATGGGACAACAACAGGCGCAAGCAAGAGCTGGATGCGGCCGAAAACGCTCCTGCCCCTGCTGGAGATGCTCGTGACGCTCCGGCTCGAAAGGCCACGGTTGTGCGGTCGCGCATCGAGCACAAGCTGCATTACATGTTCCATGAGTGGTTCCCGCAACTGGATATGTTGTAGACTGCATAAACGTAGAGCTGTAGACTGTCCACCCACCGTTCCACATGCATGTATCACACACACACAATGTTTTTGGAGGTGGCACCTGGGGGGCTGTTTTCCCCAGCCTCCTGCCGGCCTATGGCCATAACCGGCGACTTTGTCCATTCGTTGCTCGTCTGTTGCATCCGTCCATCCACATCCTCTCCATCCACATGCCAAGGCAAAGCTACCGCGAACACCGCGCAGCGCGCAACCGCGCTCTGTCGGCGTACGGGTGGGTACCATCTCCATGCACTGCATGCACACGCGCGCACACAAATGCTGACGTGGTCGTTCGTGTGTGCAGGAGCGAAGCTGGCGACCTCGAAAGCGTCGCGTCCTACTCGACCCTGGCGAGCATCACAACCATGGGCAGTGTCGCCGCGTCCTCGTATCCCGTGTCGGCGGCTGGCGGCTCGGGTTTCCGCAGTCACGCCGGCAGCGGCGGCGGCGGGGGCAGCATCTCGTCGCTGCGTGGCCTCGGCGTGCCCGTGCGCGACGGCACACCGGCGTCCAACGCGCCCGACGGCGGACTCGCTCCCCCCTGGGTCCCAAGACCGCGGACAGGCAGCACGCCGGCGAGCGCCGTGTCGGGCAACCACTACTACCTGCACAACGCCGCCAGCGGACGGTCGAGTTCCGTCGGTGTCGGCTCGAGCCCACGACAGCGGCGGGACAGCTCGTCCTTGTCCGCGGCCACTGGCAGGTCGGCGACGCCATCGGCGCCCCTTTCGCCGCGCATGTCGTCGTCTCCGCGTCTCTCCGCCAGCCGCGATGCCCCGCACACATTGCCCCCATCGCCAAACCACGTCCAGTCCTCGTTACCGCGCCCGGGGGGCCATGCGCGGCGCGACTCGGGGTCGCCCGTGTCGAGCCTGCGCGCGCGCCCGGGGCTTCCCCACGTCCACAGCACGCAGTCCGAGCCGCCAAGGGAGACAAAGGAGAGCAGCAGCAGTGACGCGCGGCGGAGGAAACGCGCCAAGAACGAAGAACGCTGGCGCCGCGTCCGCGCCCGCGAGGCCGCGCACGATGCCCCGCTCCGCCGTGCAGCCAAGGTCTCGCAGTCGAAATGGGGCAGTAAAGGCGCATACGGCGCCGTGCTCGCTGCTGCCTTGTTGGGGCGGCTCGTGCTGACCGCCCTGGCGCTTTGTGAGTCTTCCTTCGTTTTCGGTCGCTGCCGGGTAATCGAGGCGCCGGCACATGATATCGTCGTCGACGTCGTCCGAGATCCAGCCAGATGCGTCGTCAGATCTTTGGGTCTTGGATACCACCTCCGCCGGGCATATCGCCACAAATGCATGCAACTGACTCTAAACCACAGACTTTAGCCGGACAGTGCGCAACACGCTCGCTGCGCAGGTCGTCGTCGCGCGCGGCGCATGTGTCAACAGCCCAAAAGGTACGTCCTCGGGCCGCACTCTTCCCCCATGACACTCGTCTAACGCTTCGCAGTGTGGGCACCAGTGTGCAACGCGCTCTACGCCGGCCCCTCGACTGGTCTCGTGCCAACTCTGGCTGTGCTCAGCGGCCACCTCGCCCTCGAAGCCAGCATGGGATGGGGCGCCGCGCTAGCCTGGGCCGTGATTGAGGGCTGGCGCGAAGGGCGGACGACAAGGACCAAGATTGCCGCGGTGGTGTACATGTCTCTGGCGCCGGTCCTTGCGCTGTCTGACGGCGCGTTGTTGCAGTGAGTGAAGCTGCGCTGCAGCGTGGTGGCAGGACAGGCTCCAACAAAGCAAAGCCACCACGTCAACTGTAGGCCGTGTGCGACTCCCAGCTGACAATTCCAGAATCCGTACTGTGCCCCTCGGCCTCGTCGCGTGGGCTCTGCTGGCCTCTTGTTCCGGTCGCGACACACTCGCGGCCGCGGCGCTCGCCGGTGCCGTGTGGTTTGACAAGTCCGCAATGGTCTACCTCCCAGGCTTTGGCGTGTATGCCATTGGCAAGCGGATATGGCTCGGACGGCAGCGGGGGTGAGTCACAGCGAGCGGGCGAGATATAGTTGCAGGCTGCCCACGCAAACCTCTAAATACCCAGTGCTGACCCTGCAGTCGCGGTTACCTCTCCCATCTCCTCATCGCTGCCATGTTCGCCCTCGCGGGCCTCGAGGCCCTGCGGCCCGTTCCGCTTCGCCAGCGCGTCGGTGGTATTCTCTCCGCGCTCAGGACGTGTGTGCGCCCAGAGACGGCCGGCACGTGCTTGAAGCCATTACTCTCGGTCGTCTCGATCCGCGGCGTCCTCACAGTACGTACCCACGAGGGTCGTTTCGTTTGTGGAAAAACTAACAGCTCAGCTCGCTGCATGGGCTCCATCAGTGTACCTCGTTCTCCGCGCGTCCCACGCCCTCCGCCCCTCGCCAGCCGAACCCGCCACCCCACGCTCCGTGCCGGCCACCACCCGTCTCCTGCCACTGGCACTGACGGCCACGACGGCCGCCGTGTCGTTCGCGCACGCCGACGCGGCCTTGCCGCTCCTCCCCTTGGCGCTCATGAGTTCCCTGCGCGGCGACGACGACGAGTGGGCCGTCGCCGTACAGTGCCAGCAAGTCGCGGCCATTGCGCTGTGGCCGCAGCTCGGCACCCTCGTGCCCCTCGCCGCGGGCTACCAGATGGCGTGGGCGTGGCTCATCGGCGCAAGGACCGACGCGCCGCACCCGGCCATCCGGGCCCACCAGCTGGTCACGGCGTGGGGCATCCCGGCCGTCCTGGCCGTGTCCCTCCTGGCCATGGTGCCGCAGCTGCACCTCGCCGGCGTTCTGGCCACGTTGCTGCCGTACGCGCTCGTTGTGCAGCGCGCGTTCGTCATGGCCAGCGTGGCGCTGTTGGTCGTGTGGGGCAATGTACGCCTGCTCAAGACGGCGTGGGCCATTGGCGCGTTGTGAGCAGAGGTGCGGGGCAGAGAGATGTAGATGTGTTTCTCGCAAAGTACTGGGATGGAGTTGTGCAATAACACGGGGGCTGGGGCTGGGCTGTTCAGCGATCAGCGACTGGTGATCTCATGTTTAGGAAAGTTTATATAGATGAGATGTAGATTCCTGGCGGCAAAGAGGTTTAATGCACTGGTTGTTCGTTTGTTTTGGCCTTGCCCCTTGTGGCCAAGAAGATCTTTAGAACGAGATCTGGAACACTGCGTCAAGAGTGGCGTTGCCGCAAGGCGTTTTCCCGACACGGTTCGCTTTTGGGTGCGTGTCCAGACTCACAGCTACTGTTTCATTCACTTGGAACGCGAGAACGGCCGCAAAAGGTGCGAAAGTGATGTACGCTTCGTTGCTGTGATGGTGGCGGTCACCGCGCACTCCCTCGCGGTCAGTTTACATCGCCACACTGGATCCTTCTTGTTTACTGCTCCTAGCTCGAGCTCGTTCGCTCGCGTCCACTGCCCAGTACATGCATGCAAGTATAATATCTCACGGCGCCGATCCGATCATACGTGTCTGTCTCTAATCCTCGTCCCAGTGGCCCTGCTGCTTGGGCGGGGCGAGGCCTGCCTGCTTGGCGACAATAATCGAGTCGACGCGGAGGACGGCGATGGCGGCCTCGGTGGCGAGCTTGATGGCCCAGTCCTTGGCGGCGTACGCGTCCAGGACGGGCAGGCGGCCCGACTCGGGCTCGGCGACGCGGCGGACGGCGGGGGGCTGCTCGGCCTCAATGTCCACGCCGGAGTCGACCTCGCCGGCGGCGTGCGCGGCGTACAGGGCCGAGACGACGTCCTCGGCCGACAGGCCGGCGTTCTCGGCCAGCGTGCGGGGCACGACCTCCATGGCCTCGGCCCAGCGGGTGATGGCGTGCTGCGAGAGACCGGGGGTGACGGCACCGTACTCGGCCACGCGGGCTGCGAGCTCAATCTCGGAAGCACCAGCGCCGGGAACGAGACGGCCGTCACGGAGGATGATGCGGACGTTGTTGACACCGTCGTCGATGGAGCGCTCCAGGTCGTCGAGGTAGTTTGCGGTGGCACCACGCAGGACAATGGTCGCCGTGCGGGTGCGCTCGCCCTCCTCCTGCCTGAAGACGGTGACGCGGTCGCCACCAATCTCAATCGTCTCAAACACGTCGACCATGCCGGCCTCCTCGGGGGTGGGGGCGCCGAGACGGGCGAGCGGGGTAGCGCCGAACACGCGGCACAGGCGGCGCAGGTCAAACTTGGACAGCACCTTGACGACGGCAATGCCCATGCGGTTCAGGTAGTGCAGGGCCAGGTCGCCAATACCGCTGCCGGCAATGATGAGCTTGACGCCAGAGTCGGCAATCTCCTTGAAGTAGCCCTCGAGCTGCTTCTCCTCGCCGTGGGTAAAGTCAAGCAGCTCGTCCGCCTTCTTGAGGAGCACAGTGCCCTTGGTCTCAGTCTGCGCAATGTCCAGACCGCAAGTGTACACGGCCACCTTGGCCTTCTTGGCGCTCTTGATGATACCCTCGGGCTCGCGACCAAACACCATACCGCGAACAACACGCGACTGGCTCAGGCCACCACCGAGAATCTTGACCACGCGGACCGAGTCGACGTTAAAGTCCTTGACGTTCTTGGGCATGACGGCAAGAGCGGCCTCGGAGACGAGGTCGGAGAGGAAGGCCTCGTTACCGGGCTGCTTGGACGCCAGAGCGGGCGAAATGGCCGACGCGAGGACCTCCTTGGAAGGCAGCGGGGAAGGGGCGAGGGTGGAGCAGACGAGCTCTGCGGAGGGGTGTCAGTGACGTCCATACATCTACCGCGGGGGTGCGCCTGACTCACTCTCGAGCTCCTCGCGGCCCTTGGCAAGTGCCATCTCGTAGCCCTGGATGACCTCGGAAGGGTGGAGGCCCATGGTGAGCAAGTGCTCGGAGCGCTTGAGCAGCTCGCCGGCAAGGATGAGGACAAGGTTGGTGCTGTCGCCCATCTCAGACTCCTGCGAGTTGGAAGCCATGACAAGGAGCTTGGCGGCAGGGTGCGCGACCTCGATCTCGCGGATGATGGTAGCGGCGTCAGACGTCACAAAGAGACGGCCGAGGTGGTTGATGATGAGCTTGTTGCGGCCTGGACGTCAGCATGGAAAGCAGTCGTAGAGGACCACGTGAGGCGGGCGCGGGCTGGTGGCCACCTACGTGACTAGCCCAGCCCGACCACACGTCCACGGGCACACATAACGCACCATTGGGACCAAACGACGTCCGCACAATCTCGCTCAGCTCGCCGACAGCCTGGATGTTACGAAGCACCGCCTCCTCGAGGCCGGACATGTGCTAGAGGGGTCAGCTGAGCTCTCCTGCTTAATCGCTTAGTAGCTCTCAAGAGCGCATACCTTGTAACCGGCCTGGAAATGTCAGCGTCGTTGTCACTAGTCACACCACACGAGCTGCCTTGGCTGCACGAGCTAAAGCCAAGACAAGACTAGGACACGTACCTTGAAGAGGTCTGGACCTCCTGCGCGGGGGACCTTGAGGGACATCGTGGACTAGCTGTTGATGTCGGGGAGGTTGTTGTTGAGTTTTGTTGGCAGAGACAAGAAGTTGGGACACCTGCGACGCGCAACGACGACCACAATGTGTCGCGCGCAGAGGCAGAGCAGGCAGCCTGGAAGCATCCACGCGCCCAGGCCACATTTTGGTTCCGTCACGTGAGCCACGTGGGTGGACTCTCCCACGGATGTACTGGCTGCCCAAGTGCCACGGGCGGCGGGTATTGCGGTATTACAGCGGGAATTAGGTAATCACTGTTTGGTTCCAATGCCGCCGATCAGCGCTGTTGATAGGAGGGGCCTGTCAAGATGCCTTGCCATGCACAATCACATGTGCTGCCAGTGGGGCCAGTCGCCAGTTGCTCACCCAACGACTAGTTCTCAAACGACACACGACACGACACTGTGCAGGCAGAGACAGAGCTCGGAGGCCGGAGGGCCCGGATGATCGAGTGCGATCATACGTAAGGACGCAGGCTGCGCACTTGCCGTCCCGCTTTCAATGGCTCACGCCCACTTCCGACCCGTGCTCGATCTCCGCCGCTCAAGTGGCATATACCAGCTGTTCGTTCTGGGTTCCCAGCTAGATGGTAGTCAGTGTTGTCGGTCTCTACTTACTGGCACGTCGAAACTGTGCCCACTTGCCAGCAATACCACTCACAACCCCAACATGCCTGCTAAGCGCATCAAGTCGCCTGCCGAGAGCTGCTGCCGATTCCAAAACCGCTGGTGCGTGTGATCGTCAAGATCGCCAGACGTGCGTATGTCATGTTCTTAATTGCTTCCTTGTGCGAGCAATACCAGTGGCTACGTACATATGTACACACGAGTACAACTATGAATGTTCCGAGGGCCAGCACCCGACACATGGATGCGCAGTCGGTCTGCAATGAACCACCACATCCTGCCCCCACACACACTCTGCTCGTAAGTGCTTGACCTGTTCAAACGTGCTTGCCGGCGGAGCACGGCATTGGAAGCGAGTATTGCCCCCGGAATGCCACCACGGATGATTCATGCGCGCTGCCGGGAGGCGTCTCCAGGCTCCAATGCATTCTCAAACAGACACACAATTGTACGGCAGGTTGTTTGGTTCCATTCCAATATCCAATATCCAACGCCGCGAGCGCGCACGGTGCGGGGCCTGCAGTCCTGCAAGTCCTGCGCGTCCTGCACCGTCCTATCCGCAGTTATGTACTGTATCGTCGTAGTCCTCATGGCTCCCGCGGCCTGGTTCCTGTGCCCGGCACGTCCTTGACGACCGGGAAGACCGCATCCGCACATGGCGCGGCTGGAGGCCACTCTGGCGCCATGCCATGGCGCCGTGATGTCACCTCTCGCTCCCCCATGGAAGAGTGCGTGAAACGTGTGCTTCGTTGCATGGCCTGCATGGGCTGCATGGCCTTGCAAAAGGGGGCACTTTAGTTATCCCTCTGTTCTGTAGCGGGCACCACTAGGCCACTAGCCACGCCTGGTAGTGGGTTATGATGTGTGAGGCCGTGAGCCTGCGACATTTTCGGGCCTGGAGAGCTGTCTAGCCGTGGGCTGTATGGGATTGTTTGTTTTATGGCCTGCCTCTGGATCTATGGAATCTGGACCTATGGCTGCAGGCTGCAGGGAAAGCACTGTGCAAAAAGGAAAAAAGGCTGCTGTGTGGGCGTACTGGCGCATGTACCGTACAGAGAGCGATCCAGAGGGCCAGAGACAATGGGCCCAAATGGCTCAAGAGACTGAATTGTCAACACGGGCGGTGTGAGGTATGGAGTGACGGACGATGGGGGCAACGCCTTGAATGCCGGCTGACAGGGAATGGAGGGAGGGTGTTATGAAAAAAAAGGATGATGCCTCTCTCTTCTGCTGCGCACATTATGTATACAACCCCCTGCGCTCGTGTGGCCTGGAGAAGGAGGAGGCAGATAACCCGCGCACGCTTGCCGAGGCTGGACTGCGCAGATGGTGGTGGCTCTGTACAAAGAAATGAAGAAATGGGCCGTACAACATGCATGGCGCTGCAGCAGGCCCGCACAGGGTCCCCTGGCTTTAGGTCGAGAGCGAATGGCGGAATTCAGGCTTTCCGGGCCCATCGACGCCATTTACGCGCAGGCAGGCAGGGGGGGTGGATGTGGTGAGCGCGTGCGCTCGCGCGATTAGTTTGGGCCATCGAGATGCCGTCCGTCCCTGGTTCTTTGCCAAAGATCGAGAGAGCGACAGTGTGGGTGTGGTCGCCAGGCAGAGCGTCGACTGACGACGCTAACACTTTCGGGGAGCAACAAACTCTCTCTGTGTTCCCCATCTCGACTTTATCTCTCTCTCACGTCCAAGTCGCGGTCGCCATATTCTCTACCCACCTACCCACCTGTCTCTGTCTCCCCTCTGTACAGTACTCTACCGACACTCTATACCGTGCCCAAGCGCATATCTGTCCACCATCGCACCTCCTACCCCCCCTCGCGCGGCCATGTCGCCCTTGGCCTTCCCGCACCGTCGCCTGCGAACACGCACGGCCATCACGCTGGGGATCGGCCTCTTCCTCTTCTACCTCGTCACCGCCCAAGGACCAAGTGGATCACTCCAGAGCTCGCGTCAGGCGCTCAACCAAAAGCTGGGAGGCCCCACGCTCCTCGGCTTTCTGCACGACCACGACAAGCCCAAGCAGGTCAACTTTGAGGCCCTCAACGACTTGATATACTTTGCTGGGGAGGAGAAGGCTGCCCACGGCGGCGCGCTCGACACCGCCGCGAGTGCCGCAACGACCAAGCCCGTCAAGATCGAGCTGCCGCCGCACACCTACCTCGAGAACGGGCTGTTGATCCCCAACCCTGAAGGGCAGCACCCCGTGTACGACTTGATCAAGCGGAGCCGCGCAGAGTGGGAACGCAAGCTCGAGACCGCCAGCCGTACGTTGCAAGACGCCGTCGACGAGTACCAGCGCCGGTACGGACGCGCACCGCCCGCTGGCTTTGACCGGTGGTGGCGGTGGGCACGCAAGAACAACGTGCGCCTGCCAGACGAGTACGACCAGATTGTGAGTAGTTTAGGGGGGGTGTCCGCCCTAGATAGACGTCAGGAATAGCAACTGCGTCGGCGCGCGCACGCATGTGCACGGTGCCTCGGGGGCTTGCTCGCGAGCTCGCGACCGCGACCGACGACGCGACGTTCGGAACAGATCCAGATCCCGTTTCCATGGCGGCGCGTGCGTTGCACGTTGCTTGGCGCGGTGGTGGCAGCATGGTGGCATGGTGGCATGGTGGTGGCTGACGCTTGTCACAGCACAAGGACCTCGAGCCGTTCTGGGCCATTGGGCCGTCCGAGCTCCGACAGCTCCTCCAGGCGGGGTCCGACAAGTCGGGCATGTTCACCATCAAGTGCACCAAGGGCGACGGTGCCGAGGACGGGTGCTCGTACACGCTCCAGGAGAAGGGGCTGAACCAGGAGGGATCCAACATTGGCCATATGCGCGCAAAGGACCAGCTCGATCTCATTGCCGAGATCCAGCATGAGCTCGAGGACGTCGAGGCAGTGTTCTACAGTCACGACGTGCCGTGGCAGTTCCTTGGAAACGACTACCGGTCGGCACTCGTCGACTCTGCCCAGGAGGGAGAATGTGAGTTGGTGTGCACTTTTGCCGCAACTGACAATGTCCAGACTTTAACGACGACGAGCACGAGCTGGACCGTTCAGGCGGCCGTGGATGGGAGTCGGGATGCTCCCCGTCCAAACCCCTGCGCAAAAACTATCCCGACCGACCAGAGAACCTCGACGAGCTGTGGGGAGCCAACGAGAGGAGCTTTGTCTGGGACCACCAGGCCACCATGGACCCGTGCACGCACCCAAACCTCGTCCACCTCATCGGCTACCTGTCAGGCCACAACAAGGGCCCCGTCATTTCCCACGAGCTCCTGCCCACCATGGCCATGTCCAAGACCATGTTCCACTCGGACATTCTCTCTGTCAACTCTGAGGGCTGGACAGACGACAGCGGCAACGACCCGGCGTGGGAGGACAAGACGGAAGAGGCCATGATGTGGCGCGGGCGCACCACTGGTATCCTGTTCAAGGACGCTAACCCATGGAGTGAGTACGAGCCTCGTGGTGGTGGTGGTGGGCAAAAGCTGACGAGTCTGCAGACATCTCCCAGCGTATCAACCTGGTGGAGCACGCCGCGCGCCAGGACGGCAGCATCCCCGTCCTCCGTTCGGCCAAACTTGGCAAGCCCGTCGGCGAGCCCGTAGAGCAGGAATACAGCAAGCTCAACGAGCGGTACATGGACATTGCGTTCGTCGACCACGCCATCCAGTGTGACCCCAACGTCTGCGAGACGCTCCAGGACGAGTACCACTTTGCCGGCAGACTGGACTGGAACCAGGCGAACAAGTGAGTTGAATCGTGTGCGACCTCCACGCCCCAGCTGACAACAATATCTCCAGGTACAAATACATGATTGACCTGGACGGCAACGGCTGGTCTGCGCGCTTCAAGCGCCTGATGAACACCAACTCGCTCATCCTGAAATCCACAATCTTCCCCGAATGGTACAGCGACCGCATCCAGCCGTGGGTGCACTATGTCCCGCTCAAGGCCGACTTGACGGACATGTACGACATCATGACCTTTTTCCGCGGCTCAGACGAGCCCGGCGCCGATGGCCAGCCGCAGCCGGCACACGACGGCCTCGCGCGCCAGATTGCCATTGCGGGCAAACACTGGAGCCACAACTACTGGCGCAAACAGGACATGGCGTCGTACCAGTTCAGGCTGCTGCTCGAGCTGGCGCGGCTCATGGCGCCCAACAGGAGCAAGGCGAGCTACGAGTCGCCGAGGGCGTAGATGCAGAGTATAGACGCGGAGGAGGGAGGGGGAAGAGGGGGGGGAGGCGGGAGGAGGAGGAGGACGCAAAGGTGTCATGTTGGCGGGCGTCACACCATCCATAGACTATTACGCATAACCACCCATCCTGTACAGTTAAGCCTTGTCATGCAGTCCATGTAACGATCCAGGGACCTGTCGGTTGTGCATAAGGGTGGAACAGGGACGTCTCGAGCGAGCGACGCAGCGGGCGGCCAGCGGCGAGCAGGGGGCCAAAGAGGCAGTCACCATCGGGCGTGTAGCTCAGTTGGTAGAGCGTGTCATTAGCAAGCACAAGCATCTATCTACTTGACAAGGTCTTTGGTTCGATTCCTAACTCGTCCACATCCTCTTTTTGGGCCTGTTGGGAGAGATGTAGGAGGTAGAGGAGGTAGGAGGAGGTGTTGGACGACGTTGAGAAGTGATGTGGTGTGGTGGACGATCACTTGTGGCCGCAATTGTGGCGGGGGTCTTTTTTTCCGGTGGGCCATCGACTTTTTTCGGGTATGGTTTTCTGTGTTACGTGGGATGTCTTTCAACACGCGTGACAACAGCGTGCAGTTGCAGAAGGTTGCCTGCGTCCTCTGGGGTCAAGAGTTTTGCTTGCTTAAGGTTGACCTTTGGGTTCAAGACATGTGAGACGTCCATTTCCAGTTGCGCGCCATTTTTTGCCAGTCCACTTGTGCAGATTTCCAAGGCGGCCTCGGTTGGCTACACTCGTCCAATTACTGATGCTGGCCCTTCCATTTGGCTAGTGCTCGAATCCCTCCCTCTTTGACGTGACAAGTCCGGGTACGTTCACTGTCGGTGTACGTTCAATCATGTGTGGGAGACGTCAAGCAAGGCCCCGGAGACTTTGGAGTATACAGAGGACAATTCGTCTGTAGACCATTCGTCTGCACACTCTAGGTCGAACAAGGTCCCACAACTAGACGAGGCCTACCTGCTAACACGAGGCATAATCATACTGCTCCACTGTCGCCCTCTGTCCCTGTACCTCTCAATCCCAAATCGACCTCAGGGAGGAGCTCATGATCGCAGAAAATCGGCCCACCGCGCGAGTCGCATCACATTGTCCCCCATCTCCATCCTCTCCCTTCACGTCTGCGCTCTCATCTCCGCTTCCTCGTTCCATACCACAAAAAGCAGCATCACCACAGCTGAACGACAACCCCCTCAACCCCTGACCAAACCACCTCCACTTGGGAAAGTGGCGTGACCCAGCAAAGGTAGAAGAGACGCCGCAGCGCTAAGCGAGGTCACGGTGCTCTCATGAACACGATCCCTGCTTTGCGCTCAGCTGTGCTGATGCTCAGTAGCCTCGTATGGGGCTCGAACCCATGACATTTTGATGGTTACAGACAGGTGTAAGAGTCAAACTATCTACCGACTGATATAACAAGGCGTCGATGTCGAGGAGACGAGCCTGAAGGGACGTTCGTTTGGGGGCGAGAGGAAAGGGTTGCAGTCCCCTGAGAGACTACCACATGCAAGTGAGGTCACCGGGCCACTTGTCGCACCCCTCAAAGGCCCACATTGGAAGCGTAACCTCCCCATGCGTCGTGTATGTGACACCAATACGGAAAAAGTAGGACCACGAGACCATCCCACTCCACCCTTCCCCACCACCACAACCCTCCATCGTCCTTCCTTTCCAACAACCCACCCCCTCCCACCCATACCTCTGCACCTCCCGCGTCCCCCCGCAGGGCCAAAACCATCCAAAAACAGATGCTTGCGCTCTCTCAAGCGCTCACTCCGACAATGACCTGATTCGAACAGATGCTCCCGAAGGAAATTGATTTCTAGTCAATCGCGTTAACCACTCCGCCACATTGCCCGCTGATGCTTATTCTCCTGATGCGGGGCTACAGATCCATGCTTGGATGAAAGCGATGCATGCATCGTGGAAAGAGTTGTGGATGGTTTTGTCGGAGGTGTCGAGTGTCGGAAGGTGAAAACGGGAGGTGGATCCTGGTAGGTGCCACATTGCCGATCTGTCCCCACCTTTCGCGCCCGATCGCCACATGCCAGCCCTTGCTCACTTTGTCCTTGCCTTTACGTGGTGCGCCGCGATGGCCCATGTTGAGGCATTCGACATGTCCTCGCAGCCAAACGAGACGCAATGTTCGCACGTCTGAACAGCCGGCTGAGCATGGTGCGCCGCGGGGCCACCATCAGAAGGAGATTTCCATTGCAACAGTTGTTACGTATGTAGAGGGCCCATCGGCCAGCTTTCAGTTGTTCACTGCTTTTGACTGGCCCCTCGGCGTCCGGCACCATCCATGTTACATCCTTGATTCATGGTACATACTTGATCCGAATTGTCCCTCTCCGCCCCGCATGTCAGAATATTGTCCCCCACCCCTCATGTGATGTCCCACTGCAGACAGTCTGCAAGCTGGTGTGCCGTGAAGCCAAGCTGGGCCGTGCCCGACTGCTTGGCAATGCAGTAGGCGTGGACGACGAGCTGCTGCACCTCGGGGATCAGGTCGTGGAAGGTGTGCGCCGGCTTGCCCTCGGGCTTCACCGCTGGTTTGGCCACAGTCTGGTTTCCGGGGCAGGCGTGCTGCACCCACGATGTGGAGCTCTTGGGTAAAAAAGCTGCAGTTGGGGCAGGGATATGAGAACAGGGGGAGATTCTGGCCCGGGGAGCAGTTGTTTAATAATCACCTTGATGGCTGGTCCTTTGAAGAGCGACGTGTTGTCCCGTGCGTTTGGCTGCGGGGCGATGGTGGAGGCGCCCAGTTCCAGAAGGCGGCTCGCAGCGGCAAAGGCCTTCAACCATGTGGGGCACTTGGCATTGGTGAGAACGAGGATGTGGCCCGCGGTCGCGAGAGTGTCCAGCTGTTGCAGCTTGTTGGCGAACGCCGCGGGAAAGAACGTGTTCGGGATGGCGGCAAGAATGTCGACGGCGGGCACCCAGTGGAGGGCACCTGGGCTTGCAGCCAAGTCAAGGGTGGGGTTGAGGTGGCCATGCTCGACGGCGGCCTCATAGGCCTGGTGGGGGTAGAGAAGGCGGTACTCAAACAAGTTCGGACTTGAGGAGCTTCTGGTGCTGACTGGCAGCGCAAAATTGCTCGCCATTTTCGGTGGTGGCGACCGCCGCACCGTCGCACTGGAGGCAAGTGAGCGCGGTCTGGTGGGATTTGAAGCCCGACGACGCTGGCTGAGAGATGCCTGTGTCCGGGCGGAGTCCCGTGCTGTTCACGGCGTTGCACCATTCAAGCTCCCTCTCGCCCCGTTGGAGACACCGAAACGTTGCAGTTCGTAGTCTTGGTGTTCATCCGATTCCATGCCCCGCGTCACGTGGATGTTACTAGCCTGGGCCGCGAGGGTAAAGTTGTAGCCCTCTGGCTTGTACAGGATCCATTGGCGAGCTTGCTGGGGCGAGTGGCGATCGAACATTGGCCTGCAATGGGGGACGATCGCTGCCATGCCAGTTTGCTCGACTTGTGCCACATAGGCGAGGATGCTATCGGCCTGTCTGCCGCGCTCGGTCGAGTACGCAAGGCCTTTGCCGAGGACGAGAAGCTTGTTACCATCGCTCCTCGCCTTGGACATCATCTCCGAGGTCTTGGCCGACTGGTCCTAGAGTCAGCGTCGGCCATATGAAGAAGGTTGGTAGACTTACGACCATCGCGCACAGGGGACCCGTGCCTCTCCGAGTGCCACCACCAAGCGGTTGTACCAGTCCACGGCCGAGTCCAGCCCCTCTGATACGCCAGTGCTGTCGAGCTGCTTCACAACGGTGTCGCGGCAGCTCACAATCCACTGGAAGTTGTCGTGGTCGGGTGGCGGGCCGTGATCCTTGACACGAGCACAGATAACAGCCTCGACGGCGACATTGATGTCCTCGACTGCCTGAAGGAGGGGGACGGTGATAAGGGTCTTCCAGGTGTCGTACTTGAGCATGCCCGGGTGCAAGTTGCAAGATACCAGGACCAAAAAGTTCTAGTCCTCGGGTCTGACGTGAATGGCAACGGGGCGGCCGATCTTGGTGCTGCAGTTGGACGTAGAAGGGGCGTCTATGTATCATATTGTCAATCTCCTCCCATTCACCCTTGAGCGCTCCCGAGAGGATTCGGTCCATATCGTGGTCATTGATGGAACGCTTGAACATGTCGGTCATGGCTCCATCGAGGATGTAGCGCACCAAGTGGGTAGAGTAGCCGCGGACGAATACCGGCTTGACGGGGATGAGATACCTAGCCAGGAGCACCAAGTGCTTCCAGGGCTCTTCCTCTGATTGTTCAAGCATTGCCACAAGTCCACGCGGCCCCAAACTATTTGGTTGGGTATTTCTGACTCTCGGCGCTGTCGACACCGAGAGACCCGGCACGGAGAGGAGGGCGTGTGGACCTGGGCCAGTGAACTCGTCTGCAAAGGCGTACGGAGCCGACGTGACTTGGTGCGCGTATGCCGGTATGTCACTGGTGAGAACCAGTGAAGGAATGGCCGGGGTCGAGGTACCCGAGATAGCGGTGAAGACGGCTGCATCGTCGATTATGCTGTCCAACGCCTTGTTCATGGGCAGAGGCTTGTCCTCGAGACTCATGAGGCGAATGTTATCGTGAAGGACGGTAGCGGCGCGAGATTTGACGCCCGCAAGGCCGGGATGGGAGCTGTCCACGGTGTCCAGCCAAGACCAGAGTGTTCCCGAAAATTGCCTCGAAGACGGGTGGGGTAAGGCGAGGCTGAATGGTGATCGCACTGCTGAACTGGTCGTTCTGGTCTGGGTTGCGTCAGAAAAAGCAGTGTCCTTCAGGATCCAGGAGCCACCCAACTCACCAGTGAACCAGCTGCATTGGTCCTGCCGCGTCGCCCATATGTACCTTGTAGTAGGCTCGTGAGGAACGCGTCTGCCCAAACCCACTCGCCTAGCGGTGTCAGAATGCAACCACCCAGCGATACGTACTGGGAACTGATTCACTAATTCACTATACGCGTTGGGGTGCGATTTCAGGCTGGCGACAGACGGGTACTTTTCGGAGCGCACGTACAGGAAGGTGGTGGGAACATCCGTCTCGCTATGCCTGCGTGGATTGTCGAGGGATTTGAGCCAATGTGCAGGTAATGGGGTTGGATCTCACTCAACGTCAGAGGTGTGCCATGGACGCGCAGGAGGTTCCAGCAGTTAACAAGCTTCCGTATGTTCAAAGGCATGCTTGGTCGCTCAGTAGATCAGTAGCTCAGTAGGCAAGAGAATCCAACTCGGATTCCTGTGACTTGGGGGCGTCACAACGTACAACGTTCCGCCTGCCGATCCCTCCGCACACGTCAACCACGGTAAACAACCATCTGGCTTCCTTCTCCCACTTTCCCATTCACTTCCATCACACCACACCTGCCTCCATCAGGCAACATGCGCGACAAGCATCGCCATGCAAGCACTGCTCGCGACAAGGTAACTCTTCCTCTGCTTGCCCCCCCCGCACTCACGCCACAGGGCAACGCGGCGTTCAAGAAAGGCAACTACACCCTCGCCCTTATGTTCTACACCACGTCCATTTCAGCACATCCCGAAGACTACAGAGCCTGGTCCAACCGGTCAATCACCCACATCCAGATGAAAAGGTAGGTCCACCGGTGCATCTTATTTTGGCACTAACGCGCACCCAGTTGGCGCGAGGCCGAGTTTGACGCCACCACGGCAATCGCTCTCAACCAAACAACCAAGGCACTCTACTACCGTGCTCAAGCTCGCGAGGGCCTCGGTCGCTATGACGCCGCTCTGCGCGACCTGGACCGCATCTTGCAAGTGGACGCCAACCACGCTCTTGCCTCAAACATGCGCGGACACGTCCAAGACGCACAGCTTCGCCACGCCAGCCAGGAGGAGGACAGCGGCTGCGTTGAAACACGACGCGTCAACGGCCGCCGCGGGCTCCTCAACTACTCATTTGTTCCCACATCGTCGAGGCCATCGCCCGCTTCTCGGACCCCGCAACAAGGCTCGTTCTCTCGTGGACCTGCCAAGCCCTACGCGTTCTCATCCGCAACCCTAGGGTCCAGGTGGAGATCACCGCAGGCCGCCACCCCATCAATCTACCAGCGGCAAACTACCACGGGTACGACGACTGGCGGGTTCCCCCTCAAATCCCAGCGGTACGCCGCGAACGCAATGCCGTCACCATCAGCCACCCAATCTTCCATTCGTTGGACATTCGTGGACCATTATCTGTCAGTCTTCTCACGACCCCCCTTTGCCAACGCCGAGGTTATACGCCTCCGGTCCTCGCCAGACGGAATTGACTTTCGCGACAAGCTGGATCTCACTGGCTATTCTGCTCGCCAAGTCATCATATTTCCTCCTGGTGGCCAGTATTGTTCGCTAGAAGACGTTCCAAGGTTCCCCGTTGATTTCCCACGCACGGTCAAGCGAATCGTCTACCCCTTGGCAGTGGATATCAAGAAAAGACTGTTCCTGACCTCCTTATTGCCATCGAGAGGCATCTTCCTGGACCCAACTTGGGTTGGACCCACTGGTCGTGAGCTCGTGTTGATCTGCCCGCCATCCAGCAAGGACACTCGTGAATCAGACGACTTCGGTTACATGGCCGAAAGCCTCATATGCGCGATGGTGTCGGGCCTGCTTTGGGGAGCCAACATCAAGATTGTCGATCTGGCAGTCTTGATCCCCGATGATTCCGACCTTCAACCGGTGAAGAAGGCTCTTGAGGCTCGAGCTGCCGGGCTGGTTGATTCGGCCAACGCCAATCACCTCGCGTCCCACCCTTTCCCTTACATACATCCCTCTGGAGAACTCCACATTGCTCCTCCAGATGGTCAAGAAGCAATGCGCAGGATTGAGTACGTTACTCGAGAGGAGTATCGCGCGGGACTGAAGCCTGGACAGTGGGAGCTGGAAACGGTGCAGGTCATGCCTGGTTTCGAGTAGCGTTGAGTAGAGCGAACTAGGCCGCATTATTAGGTAGTGTCTTTGTACATACGATGCAATATTGTAAAAACTGCAGGAGGTACACTATGCTAGCACCAGTCATCGGTCAGTTCAGCTGCTGGGGGCACTGTCTTGCCACACCCACCTCGTAGTCGAGGTAGGATTCAAAAAGAAGATTCTCCGCCAGGGAGTTGAACCCTGCTCTACCGCGATATTCCTAGGAAACTCCCTATTGAGAGGCGGTTATACTAACCGATATACTAGCGAAGATTTGTTGAATGTGTGTTGTCCGCATCGCCGCGGTCGTTCATTCCCTTCAACAGCGCCGCAAGACGTCTATGCATTGCCGGTGCGCTCTTGTTGTACAGAAGGAAGGGAACCTGACCGCGTGAGCCAAAATTTGGGGAACAAACAACTCTCCAAAGGCGTTTTCTCCATGCTCGGGTCCAGGCGGATCCTGGCGGGTCCACCCGGATCCGCGAAGGAACACCTGTGAACTCCTGTCCTGTCCCTCGTGCGCCCCAGGTATGGACACCCTCGCAGTAGGCGCGTGTCGTGCTGCCAGACGTGCGCATTGGCACCAGCATGACACAACTGCACGCTCTTGGAAACAAAGGGGATGAGAGACCACAAGACAAGATCCCGCGTCGTCACTGGCCTCCACACCGTCCCACCACCAGGAAAGAACATAAAAGAACAGCCAGCTTCAATGACTGGAGGGACTGCACACGTTCGTGCTGCAGCGTAGCCTCGTACGGGGCTCGAACCCGTGACGTTTTGGTCACTCAGGCCGATGAGGCAGAGTAAAAGCCAAACTATCTACCGACTGATATAACGAGGCAGTTCTTGAGTGTGGCTGAAGTGAGCATTTTCAGCAGTCGCCGCTGTGCGTTTGTTGTTTGGATTCAAAAACGGGTACCTGACACAGTGAACACACGATTGTGTACAATGTATGAGAGTGGGAAACATCCTTACCCCCCACAGCCTCCGTAGACAAGAACTAGATACCTTTTGGCGGTTAGCAAGGGAAAATGAGAAGGCATGCTTTGATGATTTTGGGCTATTTATCAACATTTTTCTTCGTCGCTTTACACAAATTACCCCCATAACAGGAAGATTAAGTAAGATGGGCCATAGGGATTTACACATTGCGGAAATACGACACCGTCAGCCCGGTCCCCATGGGTTGGCTCCAGAACCGTCGCTGAAAGGACTACTAACACGTCTCGGGCTTACAGAAAACTACAGCACTACGGCACAACGGCACTACAGCACCCGTCTATGGCACAATTGTTCCAATCTCAGAACTGGTCATCGCCCTCGCGAGTACGATATTCCTTGCGAGTCATAAACTCCACCTTGCCCATCAACCCCTCCACCTCTCCTTCAGTCTTGTCGGGATGGATGCGGCGAATATCGGTAGCGATGATGTTCTTCACTGTCTCCACAATGTCATGGCTCGGGACGCTTGTTTTGTTGTGCTCGATCTGCAGGGTCTCAAGCCCGAGGAGGGTGTACTTTGCGCGCGAGACGTTGTGGGCAATGGTCGACAGGACGGGACCCAGTGGGCCGGAAATGGAATAATCATTTGGTTGGACTTGGAGGTAGCCGAGCAAGGAATAGTGCGGAATGCGTCCCTGGTAGAACACAAGGACGACGTGCTGTAGGTTGGGAAAGTGTCTGTACGACAACTTGGCGGGGGGTTTGGGCTTGGCTGGGCGAACATTGTTGTTACCAGTGTCGATCTCATGGAGGATGTGAAGGACAAGTTTGTTGACCTTGTTGGCGACTGGGGCAGGAAACGACGGCCAGGTGTCCCAGGGGTTGGATCCCCGCTTCATGCAGAGCACAATAGTCTGTGCGGGGACCGTGCATTCGGCAGGGCTGGTCAAGTCGACCATTTCCGTCATCGGACTGAAGGCGCGGAAGTAACGACTGTTGCCCAGACGAACGACCCAGACGTTGGTGAGAAGAGGACAGAGATGCTGCATGTATTCGGGAGGACATGGTCCCACAAACTCGACTTGGCGGACGTGCTGGAAGAGCGTAACGTAACGAGGGTCTGTGGTAATTGCTCCACTCTTAAGCTGTGGATTGAAGAATGCTGGGCAGAACACCGGGACACGACCAGCGGGAGTGATGAGTGTTGGTTCCTTGTCGACCGCCCGTTCGCTCCCTCCATTGCTGTGACCTGCAGTGTTTCCAGAGTTGGGTTTGGGAGAAAGGTCGACAGATGTTGAGTCTTTCGACATAAATTCCTTGCTTTTATGAATGTGCTTGACGACGACACGGATAACTGTACGGTGGTCCACCGCCTCGCGAATAGACTTGGAAAGTAACCGAAGGGCGAACAAGGCCTTACGGTTTGCATTCAGGTGGTTAAGGATCATGTCCACGATATGCGGATAGGACGAGCAGTAATTGAAGACTGGATGCGACATGGCTGAGGGGGTGCGGTGGAAGTGTGGGAAGAAGCAAGAAGCAAGAAGCAAGAAGCGACGACGAGCGGACGGACATGGGCGGTTTTGGGCAGCGGCCAGGGCGCAGAGTGGCAACAGATCGCAAGCACAGACTTCAAACACGCACGGTGTAGACCTCTCGGCAACAACTTAGCCTGCATGCATGGAATACAACACACACTGTCATAACTGGTCGCTGCCCTCGCGTGCAATGTAATCCTCTTTGGTCATGAACTCGATCTTGTCCATCATCTCGTCCACCTCCTTTTCAGACATGCTAGGGTGAACGAGGCGAATTTCGCTGTTAATGGCGTGTTTGAATGCCGGGACAATGTCTTCAGCGGGGACTCCCTCGCCCGCCCGAAACAACTTGAGGGATTCCACATTCACAAGAGTGTACTGAACGCGACGGATGTTGTGAGGGATCGTACCAAGCACCACTCCCAGGGTGGTCCCTGGAGCAAACGGATCTGGATCATCGTCGACGAAATACCAATGGCGGAAATGGTGGTAGAGGCTGGAGTAAAATACGAGCACGACTCGTTCAAGTTTGGGGAGGTGGACATATTCCTGGTATGTGGAGGACACAGCATGGCGTGTGCGAACAGAGAGACGAACGTGGAGGACCACTTTGCCGATTTCATCGGCCACTGGCGGTGAAAATGAAGGCCAGTAGTCCCTAGGCGATTCCTCCTCCTCCGTCATGAACAGTACGATGGATCGTGCAGGTACGGGACATTCAGTGGGATAGCTCAATGGGAATTGGAACATGAACAAATCATCAAAGCCCAGCGTGGTGTGATGATAGGCGGAGTCGAACGGTCGAGGATTCCCAAGGCGAACGGTGTGAACGTTTGTCAGGAGTGAGAACAGAGTTTTGGCGATTTCCGGGACGCACTTGCTCCGAATTTCCACCTCACGGACGCGAGAGAAGAGCATGCGGTACCTCTGGAGTGTGGCATCTGAGGCGTTCTTGAAGTAGGGATCGAAGAAGGGAGACAGCGCCGGTGACCTGCCGTGAAGACAGCAAACCTGCATCTTCGGATGATAGGGGTGACCCGTGATCACGAGGGTGTCGAGTGTGAGAGGGTCGACGGCGTCCCGAAGAGCCGTACATGTCGCTCGAAGACTGTAGAGGTCACAGTTGAATAGGTGGGAGAGGATGGCGTCCCGTATGTGGGGGTAGAAGTCGCCAACAATGATGTCCGGGGCCGACATGGGTGAGGGGTGGAATGGGTGATGGAGAAGCGCGACTGATGTCTTCGACGTGTTGACAACCTTCTGGTGGCAAACAAAGTGCACATACATACCACAGATCTGTCGGTGGCGTCAGTGGTGATGGGACGCTTCCATGGCACGATTGATCCCTGCTACTCACATGGTCACATGTATACATGCACATTGGAGGCGTATAAGATCACAGTTGACAGTGGCGATAGAACGTCTCATCCCCTACTTGCGCATGATACTGTTTGGTGGTAAGGATGTTGAGCCGGCGATTCACCAAGGCCTCAACGTCTTGTCTGCTCATTTCGGGGTGCTGGTGACGAATTCTTGGAACCATCCACATCTTGAGAGTGTTGATGGCGTGTGGGATGACATCGTAGTCAAACCTGCCACTCTGCTTGAGAACCACGATCTCGTCGAACAGGACTGTGCATTTGACTTTGAAGATGTGCTGGCAGATGGTGTTGAGAAGGGTGTCAACCCGCCACGTCGGAGAGGGGCGGTCAAAAGGCGGCTGGAGTCCTGGGTACAACAGGAGCCTCATACCATGCAGGATGATTTCTGCCAGGTTGGTGAGGTGAGACGTATCGGTGACTGAAACGCATGCGTAGGCTGGTGACAACTTGATCGCAATTCGTTTGACGCCATTGGCGGCAGCGGGCGTGAAGTCTGCCAAGCAGTCCGGGGGCACAAACGAGACCACTTCTTCCGCCGCAATCGGGCATGGGCAGATAAAGTTCGGACGCTCATACGGTGGTTGCTGGGAATTCCAGCAGAGCCGAACCGTTTCGACGTTGGTAAGGTAAGGAACGAGGCGAGAAAGATAGTTGCTGTCGATGGGTCCGTCGAGGTCGACAACGCGGACGCGTGCGAGAAGGGTGTGGAGCGCAGTTTGACGCCCAGACGGTCGTCTGCTAGCCGATGAGCTGAAGGCTGCAAATCGGCCGTTAGAGTGTGACCTGATCTCGTTCGGGTACATGAGGACCCCGCGATCATGGAGGGTGGCTTCGTCGTAGTTGCCAACAACTTCAATGTGGTACGCGAGGAACTCGTCCACCTTGTCGCGGAGAAACTTGCAGACCAGGCGGAGGGTGTTGCGCTCGCGTTGGCCCGAGTGGGCGACTATGGCCTCGGCAATGTGCGGGAAGGCGTCTGGGGTGAACATGGGTGCCGCGAGAGAGAGTGTTGAGAGTGACGAAATGTGTTGAGGTGGGAGTTACAGGGACGGATGGTTGACACGTCACAGCGTGGGCTTGGGGCAACCGGACACGGGCGCACGGCTGATCATATCCGACCTCCCAAATGTCTGAACTGCCTTGACGGGAGCGACGAGGCCAGCAACACATATGTGGAATAAAGCAGACGACAGACGATATGATGATGAAAACGGGAACACAGGCCAGCCGCCCACAGCTGCCACGCCCCACGACGCCGGACGCATGAGCCCTCAAAATTCAAAGAAATACGCACATGGAAGCACATGCTGTGCACACTGTACACTGGTACGCTGGTCTGTACATCACAAATGCCTGCTAAAACTAAACAAGGTGAACTGGTCTGCTCCTATGCGGTCGCGATACTCGGAACTGGAGATGAACTCGACGTTACTCAATGCCTTGTCAATGTTCTTCTCCCGCGCCAACGGCAACTCTTCCTGGATGTTGGCCTTGGCGTCCTTCAACACCTCGGCGGGTGTGATTTGACCTTCAGAGTGGTATACCTTATCGAATACAACGGTGGTCTTGATCTCAGTAGTGAAGCCCCGGTCGATGGCGACATGCGAGATAATGGCCACGAGGTCGGAATGGTGGAGGCCGTGGAGTCGATCCATGGATTGACTGATTGACCATAGGCGGGGATGTCGACACCATTGCATTGGGTCTTGGAAAATGACTACTTCTTTGACGTTCGGAAACTGGATTTTAGGAAACCACGAAGACCAAGATTCGTCCTTCGCAATATTGCGGTTGAGGACAATACGGGTAACCGCCTGGGATGCCGCGTGTGTGAACTCGGGCAACACTCTTGCACATGACACGACTGTCTTGGGGGCCACGGGGACGATTCTCCACAGGTCGGGCGGGCTGCGACTGGAGCGAGAGCGCCTCAGTCGAATGACTTCAACATTCTTGACCAGATGGAGAATGCGATGGATGTAAGGGTTCACTTCGACACCATCCAGGTCGATGAAGCGGACCCGCTCGAGGAGACGCTTGGAGCGTTGGTCGATGGTTTGGCAGGAAGAGAAAGCGGGGAGACGGCATGCCTTGAGATTTTTGGATCGATGCCTCCAGACTTCAACGGACAGCTGGTCGGTTTCGGGGTTGTAGTCCTCCTTAATGTCAATGTGTCTGTTGGAGACGAGAAACTTGTCCACGAGGTCGTACAGGTATCCACAAGTCGCGCGAAGGTCGTATAGCTGTGCGGGTTTACAGTAGGAGAGAACCTCGTCCGCAATGTGCGGGTAGGCGCCGGGGAGGAACACGGGTGCTGTGGAGGTCCCCATGGTGGAATGGGGTTGGAGTGGGAGAAAGAGGAGGATGTGACTTGTGGGAAATGGTAGAAAAACGTGAGAGACTGCTTGTTGATCGTTGACATCATGAATCCCACACCCAACGCCGGAATACGCCCCGACAGCACGCCCCTATCCGTGTCCTCTGTGACGTCTTGCCATGCTGTCAGCATCCGATACATGGGAAATGCATTCATCTGCACAGCTTGGACCTGGAATTCACTTCACTTTACAACTGCACAGCGTAGGAGAGCTAGAAGCATCTCAGGCAAGGTCCTCACCACCGCAACGAGGAAACTACATATGTCCAAGTGCCACACTTGACATCAGGGAAGGGATCACGTCCAACCTGCTCATAACATTGCCACTGGGAGAGCAACCACATCTCCCTTGAGAGCTCCCTCAACCTCCTGCTCTACATCCACTGCATCCCAAGTCTCCATCGCACACATCCTCCCATGCATACACATACAGCAGCGCGGGAAACAGACACGATCGGCGAGATGGCCGAGCGGTCTAAGGCGCTGTGTTAAGGTTGTTCCACTCCCTCCTTCTCAATCTTGTGAAGGAGGACGTGTCAATCCGCAGTCTTCGGACGTGGGTTCGAATCCCACTCTCGTCAGAAGGGGCTTCATTGCCTCCCAAGCCAAGCTTTTTGGACTTCTGGGACGGGTTGGGAAAGATGTAGGACGATGGCGGAGGTGAGGGAGGTGGTTGGGGGTGGTGGATAAAGGCCGGGGTGCCACTTTGGATTTTCGTGGGTGCTCAGATTCCCCGGTCTCTTTGTTTCTGCTGAACTGTGTCTCTGGAGGACTTCAAATGAATGTCAGTTTAGAGACGTCCCTGTCGGCGTGCAGAGGTTCTCGGGGTCCTGCGACAAGGCAGAGTTTAGTTGGCATTACCGGGGCATTTTTATTTTATCTTTTTTTCCTCGCCAATTAAAGTGTCCAACGTACCCTTCCTGCCGCTCTCCACAACACCAGTTCCAACTGTACCCGCTCCACCGTCAATGCAAACGCACGACACAAGCGCGCGACACACGCAACATGGACACACAAACGACATGACATCTCACGACACAGTACAACGACAAAAAAGGGTTACAGGCAGCATGTCCCCCCGCTTTTGCTGGCGGATTTTCAGAATGAATAGGGAGACATCAAGCATTCTACAGGCCACTATCTATGGAACGGAGCCACGCCACGCCACACCACAAACACACCCCACGCACCCACACACCCGCCCACAGACGGGTTTAGGCCGCACCGTTGGCGGTGTCGACAGCACTGTCCTCGGCGCTGTCGCCGTCCTGCGGGCGAGTCATGTGCAGGCCGCTGGGGCCCGATGGCCTGTTGGCCTGGAGGTTGCTCTGGCTGCGCTTCCTGTGGCGGTTGTGCAGGACGGACGCGCCGGGCCCAAGCTCGGGGTGTGCGCCGTCGAACATGGCCTTTGTCTGCGCGATGGCCGCGGCGGCGACGGCGGAGGGGGACCCGTTGGCGACGGCCGCGGGAGGAGCAGCAGCGGGACCGGCACCGGGGCTGGGTGGCGCCGCGGGGTTGACGGGCGTCATGGGTCCGGGAGTGTGCGAGGGCGTCATGCGGCCGTGCTGGATTAGCGTGAGTTCCTCCAGGAGCGTGGCGTGGCGGTACGCGAGACGGATGTTGGGCACGTTCGTCTTGTGAATGTCGTTTCCGGCCGCACCGGGCAGGAACCAGCGCGAGCCGATCCAGTGCTTCTTGACCTGCATCTCCCATCCAGACTGCACGACACTGTTGCGCGCCAGCTCGCACATGTCCGCCGCGGTGAGCTTGTAGATCTGCGTCGCGCACGAGAATTCCTCCAGCAGGTGCTGGGCGGTGAAGTGGAACTGCAAGGGGTCGTCCGTGGACAGCGAGACGTTCATGCCGACCTTGAAAAAGTCCTTGAAGGGGTTGCGCTCGTACGTCAGGAACAGGGCGTTGTTACTGAGCGGCGACATGGCCAGACCGATCTGCTTGAGGTAGAACAGGTACTGGAGTGCCGGGACCTTGCGGAGGAGGATACCGTGCGAGATCGAGTGGGACGTGAGGAAGGCACTGGACAAGTGGTCCGGGTCACCGGCCTCACCGCAGTGGGGGCGAAGGACAAACGTGCTGAATCCACGCTTCCTGCGCCACGAGTTGAGCGACGCAATGTTGGCGTACATGTAGTAGATCCAGTACGAGTATGGCGGCGACTGCTTTGTGTCCCACATCTGGGCCGTGGGGAACTTGCGGTACAGGCGGCGTTCGGGCTTGGACTCGTCGTCGACGGAATCGAAGCCGATCACGCGCTGCAGGAAAATGTGCAGCTCCGGGTGCGACGTCGGGTCGGCCGTGACCTCGAAGAGAGGCTGGAAGACGTCTGGGGGGTCAGTGGATGTCCGCAAGCTTGCATCTTACTCTTGACAATGTCCTCAAAGTTGTTGACAAGACCGCCACCCTTGAACACTTCGTAAAGACGGGGCACCTGGATGAGCCAGCGGACATTGTGCGAGACGAGCTCGTTGTTGATGACCCATTTGGCGAGCTTGTCCCACTCGTTCATGTTGCGACCGTAGATCGAGAGACGCCACTCGACGTTCTGGTACTTGCTCTGCTCCATGTCGGTGATGAGTTCTGGAGACATCAGTAAATAGCTCCAAGCGTCCTACTGCAAGCTACTGCCACTCACCCTGGGTCAACTCTGCCAGGTACTTGCCCTGCAGGAGGTTGTCGGTCTTGAGGAAGATTTCACGCAGACGCGACGATCCCGTGGGGTTGTAACGGTTGTTGAAGCGGTCGAAACGGTGGAACTCTTGGTGCGCGTGCATGTCGAGGGTATCGATCGAGAGGTCGTAGGCCGTGAGGTTGAGCGACTCGAACACCTCGGCGAGGGTCAGGTCCTTGCCGTCACGGTGGATGACGGTCTCGTTGGGCGACTTGCGGAGCTTGCTCTTGATGAAACGGAGCAAATGCTTTTGGTTCATGGACGCCGAGTGGTGAATGTGAGTGTCGACCTTGCGGACGTTGTAAAAGTCACGGTGCGGCACAGCCTTCATGTCGGCCAGCTCCTGGTATTCGTTGAGCAGAGTGTAGAGGGTCCACTTGGACGAGAGGTACTTGAGACGGCGGAACGCAAACGACTTTGCTGGGCCATCAGAGCACACGTCCAGGAGGTACTCGAGGTCCGAGTAGTACTCCTTGAGACGGGGCACGCGGGAGAGCGGCTTGGGCGCTGGCTTGACGTCATTGCCGTTGGCGTCCACCTCAGCCTTGGTGCTGGTGTCGACCTCCTCCTGGTTGATGGGGTAGACCATGAAGACACCTTCGTCATTGAGTTCGAAGCGGCACCGGTTGCTCGCCACCTCGGGGCCAGGGACATCACAGTCCTTGCGCGAGAAGCGGTCCAAGGCCGTCTGCGACCCGCGACGAACCACGTCGGGGATACCGCCCAGTGTCTTGACGGCAGGCACATTCTGCTCGACAACAGGTCCGTCGGCTGCCGCAGTCCACTTCCAGTGTGGAGGCGGGGGAGGAGGGTTCATCTGCCACCGTTTGTCCTTGGGGTCCGAGGGGAGCTGGGTGGTGTTGGGGTCCATGTCGGGCTTGCAGCCCATGACGTCGCCGGTGCCGCGCACAAAGCCGTTAAAGGTACCGTCATGGTCGCGCGGGTTGTCACCGAGGCGCTGGCCAGAGAGCTCAATGTACTTGTCACGCAGCTCGAGACACTTGGAGAAGGCGGCGCTGGGAGAGAGTGGTTAGCACGGGTGGGACATACGGACTGTTGCTTACTAAAGCGCCTCGAGTTCACTGCCGACACCTGACTCGGCAAACGCCTTGACTACGATCGCCGTCAGCTCTATCACGCGCGCGGTCTCGGAGTGGGGGTGTGTCCTGTAGCACATATGGCAGAGGCGATAAGAGTTGGTGCTGATAGTCCGAGACACGGGCTGCAGCCCGCCCCAAACAACTAAAACCCCACTTGCCCATGGACGTCCTGTCCATGGACTGGTGCGAGAGCAACCTCGCACGCGCGCACCCACGCAGCACCACCACACCTCGCACTCTCGGTTACGTGCGTCCCTAAGCCCCTGCACGGGCGCCAACTCACCAGTGTCAAATTGCGGGTTATTGACGCGGTCATTTTCGAGCGGAATCGGCGACATGCCATCAATGGCCCTCTCGCGCTTCTCCTCCTCGAGGTCAAGGCGCTCGTCCTTGTCGCGCTCAACACGGTGAATCAAGATCCCAGCCGGGTCCAAGTCACCGTTCTCGACGCCGGACGGGGACAGCATCGTGCTCCGCCTCTTTCCGGGGAAAGCCTGCGAGGAGGACTCGGGCTCCTCATCGTCCTTGGCCGCATACGCCTCCTCCTCCTCATCAAGCTGGAGGGGACGGTGCTGATTCATTGTGTACGACGGAGACGCCAAGGGGTCGAGGTACATCGACGCGCTGGGCGACGTGGAGATGGACAGCGCCGCGGGCGGGAGACGTGCGAGCTTGTGGCTCAAAAAGTACTCGTCCGACTTGAGCATGCGCTTCTCCTCGTGGAACGAAAAGGACGGGGACGCGCGCGACTCGGGAGGCGAAGGGTCGTCCTCGTCCTCGTCGCCATGGCGCGGGGTGTGGGGACGGGACGAGGTCATCTCCATGCGGGAGGGCGGGATGTCGGCCGGAGACGTCGCCGGCCTGGGACACATGGCGGAGGGGGGTGGGGGGGTGGTGCGTGTGTATTCGATAAGGAGTGTAGCCCTGGCTGTGTGTGTGTATGCACCTGCTGAGAGAGGTGTGAGAGAATTAGGTGGTGGGTGGGTGGGTGGGTGGGTGGTGCGAGAACGAGTAACAGGTGACAACTGATAAATTGCTGCACGCTCCTGTTGCCGGCGGCGCTCACGTGTGTGGGCACAAACTTGAGCCGATGACGTTGGGGGCCCGATCTCCGGTGGAGTCGGGCAGATAAGCATTTGTTATTTGGCTAATCAGCCGGGTTAATGGAGGCTTTACGTAATATTAGGACACTTATTTGCCGATTTGCAATTTGGGAACGGGGTTGAGCGTGGGATAGTTGGGTAGGGAGATTTTAGTAATGAAGGTAATGGCCCACCCGGTGCCATTACAAAAATTACTATTGTGTCAGACTTGTTGTCCTGTTTGCTGCGCACACGCACACCAGGTGCAACAGGGAGACCGAGACTGCCCTTTCTCTCTCGTTTTAGCTCTGGAGCCTTTTTTTGGGTGACGAGAACGCGTCGCCCTGGCGCGCCAGCTTTGGCGTGCGCCATGTCGGGGCGGGCGGGGCAGAGCGGGGGGGGCGGTGGAACGACAAAAAAGGTCACCTATGGGATCCGTGCTCTCGACGTTGTGGGTGGAGTGACCCTTTGTGTGCTGCTGCGCCTGCATACGCACGCGCATGCATGTGCAGCATGCAGTATAATGCGTCCAAGCGTGGTGAACGAGGGTGGAAGCAGAGAGCAGCACCCCCTTTGTGGGCCCGTGGGCAGACCCCACTTCACGGACAGTCGCCGGGTGGAGAGAGACGAGAAGAGAGCCTGACAGTGTGCGGATTCCAAGGCATCGTCCTCGTCCCTCGCTCGTCCCCGTCCCGTCCTCTTTCACCACCTTTCGCTCGTTCGAGCTCATCTCATTCTATTTCTTGCTACCCCCGCCACACGCATCGCCACCTGCTAGCTGCCAGCTTTTGCTTTGCAGACGCGACCCGCTTGGCCTACATAACGCCCCCCCCCCCCCCCCCCCCCACTGTCTCTCTCTCGTTTTTCTCCCCCGCCAATTCGGACCCCGGTTTCCGTCGCAACCCCAAACACCTTTCCCCTCCGCAACCACCGGGAGGACTCTTTCCCACCCCCGTAGAGTCCGCACGCAGACGTCGTTGGCCCACAGCCCAGCCACGGACAGCACACAACAGCAGCAATGTCGAGATACCAGCAGGCGCCGTACAACGACGACCAGGCCGGAGGCTACAGCCACGCTGCCAACAATGGCGGTTATGCCAACGGCGGCGGCGGTGGCTACCAGGATGACCCGGGAGCGTACCGGTCCAACGAGTGTGAGTTACAGAGTTTTTAACCCTGTGTGCATTGTGTCTCTCTGCATTCAATTGATGCGTGCACGACTCTTGTGCATGTGATGGGCCGCGCCGTGTGAGACAGCGTCGGCGTGTGTACAGTGTGGGGTGTTACTGCATAGAACTAGTGTAACTGACGCGCGTGTTTGCCTTGCTTTTCTGCCCGCCGTTCCTCGCCGTTTCCTCCGTCCGCGTCGACGCGCGCACCGCTTTTTGCTGGTGTGTTTCCGCCCGCCCACACACCAACATCGCCTCACAACAACCCCCGCCTCTCTTTCATCTCACACCTTCTTCCTTCTTTCTTTCTCTCTCCTACTCTATCAACCACACTCTCCTTCACACTTCACCCCCTGCCTTTCGCCTTTCGCCTTTCGCCATGGCGCCCATCGTCTCGTCGCGCGACTATGACGCGTCGGCCGACTCTATCCTCCCTTCACACAACTATGCCGCTAAAGACCCAATGTCCTCCAACAACCCGTACGCCTCGAACGGCTCCCAGCCATATGGCAACCAGCCTAAAAAGTCGCGCAAGAAGCTGTGGTGGATCATCGCCATCATCGTCGCCATCGTCGTGATCGTGGCGGCCGTCCTCGGCGGTGTCCTCGGCACCCGCAAGTCGTCGTCGTCGTCGTCCTCGTCCAAGGACAACAGCTCTGGCACCAGCGGCGGAAGCTCGTCGTCGGGCGCGGACCGTGGTTCGGCATACTCGACCGGCACTGTCGGTGCCAGCACTGGCAACACTGCTCTCCCCACTCTCCTCGACTACCTCGGTTCCAACATGGCCGCCCAGACCCAGACTGGTGTCGACGGCCAGGTCTACCTCGCCGTGGCCACTGACACGTACATGCTGCCCGCCTACGCCACTGGTGTACGTCTTGCTACCCTGAAAGCCCACCTCCCTCCTCCTGAGGGAGAGAGCTCTTGGCATTCTTCCCCAGCAACACTACTGACATGCATCCCAGACCTACACCGACAACCTCGCTACCCCGACCACGGACGCTAGCCCCGCCGCGAACGGCGCGTGGCCCACCGACCCTTCGCCTCCTTCCAACTCGTCTATTCGCGCCCACCCGCGTCTCATTGCCCCCGGCTACAAGTGGGATGCTCTCACCGGTGGCCTGATCGCCGGCGACCCTTACCTGTCGTACTGGAACGCTACCATTGTCGCCAACGCCTCGAGCACCCTTTCCGAGGACCCCACGGCCTACGTCACGGACGGTGGTCTCTCCGGTTCCGGTGTGCTTGACGTTGCCCGCGAGATTAAGATGAAGGTCAAGAACTGGGCCTACGCTTACCGCGTCACCAACGAGACCAAGTACGCCGACCGTGTCTGGCTCGAGCTCCAAACCGCTGCCGGCAACACGTCGACCTCGTTTGGTGACGGTGTTTCGCGCTGGAACGGTGCCGACCACTTCCTCGACCTCGCCGAGTTTTGCAACGCCTTTGCTATCGGTTACGACTGGCTCTACGACTTCTGGACCGACACCCAGAAGGCCTACCTCCGTGACTGGATCGCCACCATGGGTCTCCAATACGGTGTCAACGCGTACCAGGGCATCAACGGCGGCACCGCGTACAACTGGTGGACTGGCCAGACCCCCGGTGTCGGTGGCTCCGAGGTCAACGGCAACTGGAACTGTGTCTGCAACGGCGGTCTTCTCCTTGCCGCACTCGCCATTGTGGACGAGGACACCACTGGCCTCGCCGAGACCCTTATCCCGCTCACCCAGGCCTCAATGAGGACCAACTGCTTCCAGGGTGCCCACTCTGACGGCACCTGGGCCGAGACTGCCAACTACTGGTACTTTGGTACTACCGGAGCCGCCGAGGCCGTCTCTGCTCTGATCACCGCGTACGGTGACGACAGGGGCCTTGCCGAGGAGAACCCGGGCTGGAACCTCACCTCGCTCTACCACATCTACGTCCAGGGCATGACCTCGCTCTTCAACTATGGTGACCACGGACCCAACAAGTACTCTACCACCGCCAACTCGCTGATGCTCTGGGCTAGCGTCTTCAACGAGCCCCGCTACGCTCTCTACCAGCGTGACCACTACGACGCGTCCGAGCCCTGGTCCATGTTCTGGTACGACCCTGCTCTGCAGGGTGCGTGGTGGAACGGTCTCCCGATCGACCACCACTTTGACGACACCAAGGGCGAGTGGGCCACTGCCCGTTCGTCGTGGTCGGACAACTCGGGCACCTACTGGGCCATCAAGGCCGGAAACCTCACTGGCCACCAGACGCACGGTGACCTCGACCTCGGCGACTTTGTCTTTGACGCCATGGGACAGCGCTGGGCCGGTGACCTCGGCTCGGGCCAGTACCTTTCCACCAACTACTTCTCCAACGAGACCCAGGAGTCTGAGCGTTGGGACTACTACCGCAAGCGCACCGACGGCCAGAACAGCATCATCATCAACTATGCCAACCAGCTCGTGACCGGTCTGCCCACCACCAACTGGGGCTCGTCGGGCACTGCCCAGGGTGCCGCCCCTTACCTTTCCGTCGCGACCGACGACACTGCCTTCTTCACCATGGACATGTCGTCTGCCTACGCGTCCGGCACCGTCAAGCGCGGTATCCGTTTCCTCAACGGCCGTCGCCAGATGCTTCTCCGCGACGAGATCTCGGGCGCCACCTCGGGCGAGGACATTATGTGGCGCATGCACACCAACGCTACCGTCTCGACGTCGGGCGCGACCGCCACGCTCACCCTCGACGGCAAGACTGTCCAGGTGGAGATTCTCAACGCCAGCCCGTCGACGCTCGCGTTCTCGACCGAGGATGCCGTGCGTCTCTCGCAGGACGGCTCGATCCCCACCAACGGCTCGTACGACGTCGACCTGCCCAACGTCAACACCACCGTGCTCGTCATTGACAACACTGCCGGCGGCTCGTTCACCGCCGACGTCCTGTTCACGCCCCAGTGGCCCGACCTGTCGTCGAGCGACTACGTCACGACCGTCTCGAGCGTCGCCATTGACTCGTGGTCGCTCACGAGCCACAACTAGACGGGGTTTCGGTCTCGTAACAGGTTCTTCTTTGATCTCTCTCCCTCCTCCCCACCCCCTCTATATGCTTTTGTTCTCCTCGTCCCCCTCCCCCCTTTTAACCACCCCCCCCCCCCCCCATAAACGTCCTGCCTGGCCGCCCCTCCGCCTTTATCTACCGCCAGGAGGCTATCCCCAGACCAACCGGGAACCCCCCCCCCCCCCCCCCCCCCCCACCCGGGGCGGTGTTGGAGAACGAACCCCCCCGTCGCCCCCGTCACGATCCTTTAGCATGACCTAAACCCTTGCGTATTATGCATGGACATTTGATTTGAATAAGCAAGCACGGGCAGGGCAGCAGCAGCAGCGCACGCAGCACGCAGCAGCGCGGTAGCGCTGTGGGACAGGTGCAATTGTACAACCGTGTGCGCATGTGCGTTGCCTGAGATGAGCTAGATGACCCGCAATCGAGCCGGGAGGCGGATTCCGACACACGCGACGCGGTACGCGGTCTCGCGGTCTCGCCTCGTTTGTGCCGAGCAGGCGATTGAATAGCAGGGGTGGCCAGTACGTATATGAGACGCCACACGGGTGGGGACCGAGATGAGGTCATGGCGCGGGGTGGCCAGCGAGCACCGTCTGTAGCGTCTCTGCGCGACTGATGCGAATGGTACCGACGGCAGACGCAGATGTATAGGTCGTGGGATCGTGGGACACGCTGCACACGCTGTACGCTGTACGCCCAGGACGCCGCCTGCGAGCAAGCACCACGGCCACCACCCTGTGCACCTGCCGCAGGACTGACGCTCTGGCCGCCCATGGCCCAGAGCAGGTTGGTGGCTGGAATGGCGCGTGCAGGTGGCCAGTGCGTAGAATATCGACCCCCCCCAACTCTGGCCTCTCTGGCGACTCTTTCGCGCTTGCGTCTATCATCACACCGTCGTCGTCGTCTCCACTTCTCCATTCTCGTTTCATTCACCTTTCCTCCTCCCCCCCCGCCCCCCCTCACCTGCCGCTTCACCTCTCCCCTTCCCCCGCCTTCCATGGCAGCTACGGCCTCGATGGCCTCGATGGCCTCGGACTGGCCCGCCGCCGCCCAACAACCACCACCGCCGGCCTCGGCTTCGTCGTCAAACTACCTCGACCTGGACGCGCTTGGTGAGTTGTCGTGCCTCCTTGCGTCGGTGACTGTGTGCCCCCGTGTCTGTGTGCGTCTCCGCGTCGCTGGCTTCTTTTCTTCTGGAGATCCGTCCCCGCTGTAGCTTTTAAGCGCAGCCGAACGAGCTTGGGCCTGGAGAGCGACGGTGTTGTTGTTGCGATTAGCGACATCGCGCTCGCTCCGTCCTGGGTGTGGAGCTTTTTTTTTGGCTCTAGACTCGGGCCTGCGGCTACAACTTCTGGGTCAAGAGGGCAGACGTTGGCCTGTTGCTTGTTGCTTGTTCTCGGCAGTGCTGGGAGCAGAGCAGGAACCGTGGGCCGGAAGTGTCCTCTCCTGGTGTTTCATGGTCGTGGACCACAACATGAACGGCATGGCATATGCAGATGGTGGCCTGTTGGTGCAGCTGCGAGCTGCCGCTGCTCTGGCCACTTGGGCCACTTGCACCACTTGCTCCCAGTTGCAGCGTCCGCTGCCCAGACGTTTTGCGCCGGAGGGCCCACGGCCAGACGGGCCCCGTATACGGCATATGCCGTGGCCAGTGCGTTTTTGTGTACGCTTTGTGTACGCTTGGGCGGCCAGGCATTCGGCGTATATGGGACAGCAAACCCTCCGCGCTCACTGCGGGTGCTGCTCGCATCGTCGTGCAGCCCCATGCGGGTGCTGCAGAGTCGGCCCAAGCATTGCTGGCAGTTGGCAGCATGGACACATGCTCTCTTGCTCCTTCGCGGCGGGTCATGAGGCCAAGGTTTGGACTGATGGCGAGTGGGGGCCTGTCCCGCGGGCCTCCCGCGTGTGCCCTGGTCCCTTGCACCTTTGCGCGCTGTGGACGGGGACTGCCCAGCGTACAGTGTGTACGCTGCGGTGGCCAATGCAAGGCCGAAGCCGAGCGCACAAGCAGCGGTGAGCGATGAGCAGCGGCCGCCCTGCGCGTGTGCTTGTTGTTTTGGTGGCCGCCTCGAAGCGAAGGAAGCAGTCGAGCACCCAGCCCTCTCGTCATTGTTTCACCAGCTACCACACCCGTCGTCCGAATCCTCCTCGTCTTCTTGTCATTTTACACAAACGTCCCATCTCTCTCTCAACCGCACACACAACGCTGACCACCACCACCCACCCTCCCAAACAGAGGTCGACCGCGTAGCCGAGCACCACCACCGCCAGCAGCTGCTGCGTCAATACCGGGACCCGCGCGACTACTACGAGCGATACGCAAGTTCGTCCAGCGGCGGTCACTCGAGTTACGATCACGGCAGCGACGGGCCCACCTCGTCGTCGGCGTATGGGAACAACACCAGCTCTTCACTCCCCCGCTCCCGCACGCGCTCAGCGTTTGGCTCTTCCATACCCACTTCTTCTTCTGCCAACTGGGACGACCAGCCGTTGCCCTCTGCGTACGCCCAGGCATCAGCGTATCGGACCACCAGCACTGCAGCAGCCGCAGCCGCTACCAGTGGCAACGGGTACGCTACAGCTGTGAACAACGGCTACGGCTACGCCGCGCCCAGCAGCTCCAACGGCCACGGCGACTCTGCATACTACTATTCATACAGCCCGTCCTCGACACCGCTCGATTCATCACCCACGCGCACATCGCGCCCCATCACCCCATTGTCGGCGGCCGCAACACCGCGCGCCATCCCGCACTCGTACTCTACGCCCAACACGAGCGCTCTTCTCGCACGCGAAGACTCGGGAGACTCTGGCGAGTCGTACGGTTCTGCACGTTCGCGACAGGACTCGCGAGACTACTCGCACACCGGTCGCCCAGAGACACCCCGCTCGCGCATCCCCACACGGCCCCGAGCGTACTCGGCGTCGGCGGCCAGTGCCGACTACCACTATCAAGAGACACTTGCCGACTACCCGCCGCCAGTGCCCCCTCTCCCTTCAGGCCCATCACAATCGTTCCCCCAACCCCCACCTTCCCCTTCGCAATCGTCGCTCGCCATGTCTGTCTCGTCACGTGCGCCCGACCCACCACACCGTTTAGCGACAGCCGGCGGCGCAGGCGCCGCCGGCGCTGCCTCGTCTGGCATCCCCGTGCTCAAGACGCGCGGGCGCAGTACTGCCCGAGCGCCGTCGCCCGATCTCCCGCGCGGCGAGATGCTCGCCGATGAGAAACCGCCGTTCCGCGTCGACCTCGATGCGGCGCTCGCAGAAATCGAGGACGAGCTCGAAGTCCGTGCTATCCAGAGGTTTGCCCAGGCCCGGCCCAGTGCCAACAACCCAGGCGCGAACCGCCAACCGCGCAAAATGCCCGCGCGCGCAGCCACCACGCCGAGTCCCAGCCGCAGCGGTCCCCTTGCCACCAGCACCAGCAGCAGCGGCAGTGGCAGCACACCATCAGCGGGGCCCTCGACGCCGTCGGCGCTCCCAATATCCCAGCGTGGCGTGCGCGCCAAGTCGCGCAGCAACGCTTCAAAATCCATCTCCCACAGGAACAACTCCATCTCGGGCCTGCCCCGTACCCCCAACAGTACGCTTGGGCGGGCGGCGACGCTCGACCGCGGGCCACCGTCCGCCGTCGACACGCCGCCGACGACGGCACCGTCGACGCTCAACGGGCGCAAGCGCCACGGCTCCGACTCTACACATAACACGACCCCAGCTGTCCGCCAGCGAAAACAGTCCACCACCACAACACCGCGCGCGGCGCGTGCCGTCAACGGCCGGGCAAACCTCTCGGCGTCCGCATCGCCCGCCAGCGGAATCCCCACGCTCAGCGCGTCGCTCAATTCGCGCGGCACCACGCCACACCTCGGCGTCGCAGCGCACTTTGTGCCGCCCGAAAACGACTTTGCGCCGCCAAAGGGCGCCGACTGGGACGATGTTGTGCTCCCGACCGTGGCCAAGAAGCTCGGTATACAGGTCGTCACTGCTGGAGCACAAGGGTCCGACGAGGAGGCGCACTCGGGAGACGACGACCTCGCCATCGAGTGGGACAAGGACGGCACACCCATCAGGTGGGAGAAGCGCGCGCAGCGCTCCACGCCCGGCGGTCTGTCCAGTGCGGATTTCGCGGCCAACTCGCGTCGCAACGATTTCGGGCCCGGCACAGCGCCCTATCCCGACGACGACGAGGACTGGAACGCCGCCAACCAGCAGCCGTCGCCCACGCGCGCCCCGCTCGGCACCGGTCTCGAGCCCGCACCCCTGCGCACGAGCACCGCGCAGCCGACGAGCTGGGCCGAGCAGCCCGCTACCACCACCACTACCGCCCCGGTTCCCATCCGCCCGGCCCAGCAGAACGCCGCGCTGTTCGTCCCCCAGGGCCCACCGCGCGCCGCTCCTCTGCCCCCCGCAGCCAACCACCCCCGCCCCGCGGCACAAGACTCGTTCGCGCCGTCGCCCATGTTTCAGTCGCCCGCTCTGGCACCAGGAAGCAAGGGCGGCAAGGCCAAGCGCGCCGACCACGACGACGAGGTCAAGGGCGGCTGTGGCTGTCTGATCATGTAATGAGCGAGACAAGAGGCGTGAGATGAGACCACGAGACCATGTACCACCACCACCACTACCACCACTACCACCCTCACTACTACTACTACGACCACCCGTCGTCCCGACAGACAGCGACTGAGGGACGGCTCCCAGCACCATAGCAGCACACCGCACACACACATTGCACACCGCACCACACACATCCCCGACATTATTTTAATTTTAGGACAGTCACCCCCCCACACGCTCTCTCTTTTATTTATTTTTTGCCTGCCTGCCTGCTACCCATGATGAATTGTTGCACAAATCCAGGTCACATACATACATACGGTGTGTGTGCACGCCGGTACGCCGCGCCGAGACGCGAGACACCTGGCGCACACCACGTATTGTAGGGGCAAGGCTGGTGGAGGAGGGGGTAGTCACCCGCAGGGTGGAGGAGGATGGAGGGGGGAGGTGCCATGTCGCGTCGTACCAACTGACGGTGTTGTGTGGGCGTAAACAAACCCACAGGCAGCGATAAACAACAGGCCAGCAGGACGGGGGCATACACACGCAGACCCCCCGGGTCCAGAGGTGTGGTACACCCCCCCCACCTGAGGAACGGGAGGAACGACGCAGAGCCTAAAAACAAACAACCGCAGTGTGCCAGTGTGGTGTTTGGCTGGAAGCGTGGGGAGGGTCTGCGTACACCAGTACGTCCCAGTACAGCAGCCAGCGTGTGTGCGTTTTTCTCTCCCTTTGAACCTATTTGTGAGACGTGTCCGTCTCTGTTCTCTGTTCTCTGTTCTGTGCACGTCAGAATCGGCAAACGGATAGCGAGCAGATGGCGAGCATATAGTGAGCAGGTTTGTACACGCGTGGCAACGCCTCGCCCAGTCAGTACCCATCCGCATGGCACCCGCCTCACCCCGCCTCACCTCACCTCAACTCAACTCACCTCACCTCACCTCAACTCACCTCGCGGTAGGAACAGGAACCCGTCAAACGAGGGGGGGGGACACATCACCATCGCCACGCCTGCCACTTGGCCACTAAACTGGCTGCAACCAGTCCCTGACCTCTGCGTGTTTGCACCTCTCCTCTTGCCCAACATTCAGCCAGACCGCTCGCGACCCAGGCGTCTCGCACTCCCAACATCAAAGGCGATTTAGCTCAGTTGGTTAGAGCGTGTGCTTAACACTAGGATCCTCTGTAGATCAAGCGTTGCGCACAAGGTCGGCGGTTCGACCCCGTCAAACGTCATTTTTGGCCTCCTGGACCATGGGGAGGAGGCCGAGGAGGACGTTTGGAACGTGCGCATGGCTGTGAATGACCAGGAAACGAGTACTGAGCGTGTGTTGCGAGTGGAGGATCGGCGGATCGGCGTACAGTCCGCCACATTGACACTATAATGATGCTAGCACCGGACAAGCATGCGTTAGTGCCACATCTGTGCACGTCTGGAATTCTGGAACACGCTGCATCTCCAGTCCCGCGCTCGTGCGCGGGATGTGGCCTGCGTGGGTGTCTTTTTTGTCTTTTGTCTTGGCACGCGCGCCGGGCCCGAAAAGGAGCGCGGTGAAACCACCGCCACGGGCCACGGGTCCGTCGGGTGAGGTCGGGGGTCGTCGGGTCGTCGGGTCGTCGGGGCCAGTGGCCAGTGGCCAGTGGGCCAGTGGGTCCAATGTGGGTGGGGCATTTGGTCAAACGGATGCACAGACAAGAGTCACCGTGGCATGCATGGTCGTGCCGTGGCAGTCACTTGCGCGTGGTGTGTACTGCAGTGACAGGCTGGAGTCAGGTCAGTAGCCACTGGATGCGACTGGCGATACAGCCAGCGGCCAGGTTACTCCAGCACGTACTCGTGCCCCCTTCCTGCTCCTTCTCCCGCTCCTTCTCCCTCTCCTGCTGCCCCGCGCTTTCGCGCTCGCGCTCGCGCTCGGTTTCCTTAAGAATCCATCTATCAACATGGTCGAATGAATATACACTGGGCGGCACAAAGCCCCTATAACGATACTGTGCCGTCCACTCTCGTCTGGGGCATTCCCGAAAATCCGTAACTAGCTCTCTCCCTCGTCAATCCCTAGCACAAGCACAAGCACAAGCTCTATGCCTGGGCCTGCAGCGCCAGCGCGGCCGCCCGCGCCGCCTCGCCCTCTGCCTGCAGCTCCTTTTCGCGCTGCTTCCTCTGGACCTCGATCTCTTCCAGGATCTCGCCGGCGCCGAGGGTACGCAGCTGGCGGGCGACGTCCTCGCCCCACCGCTCGGCCTCCTGGTACGACGACACGACGACGGGTCCAGGCTCGTACAGGACGTGGCGCGAGCCGTCGGGCGACGTGACGCACGCCTTGAGGTCGAGCGCGGCGCGGCGCGCGCGCAGGGCCGGCATGCCGCTGGCCGGGATGGGTTCCGAGGTGACGCCCGAAAAGTGCAAGGTAGCAGACGACGTGGTGAGCGGCGCAAACGTGCCGGCGGGGTAGTGCGGTGCGGTGGCGGCGTCGACTTCGGTGAGCTCGGTCTCGACGCCGACGGGGACGCTGCAGCCGCCCTCGAGGACGCGGAGGAGGCCGCGCTCGGCGCCGACGCGCCACTCGCTTGGCCAGTGGCCCAGGGGGGCGAGGGCGGCGCGCGCCTTGGCGTCGCCCGTACGGATCTCAACGGCGAGCGCGCCCTGGCCGACGGCGTGCATGAGTGCAGGCGCGCCGAGCGGCGAGGTGATGCGGTCCTGCATGCCGACGCGGGTCATGCCGGACACGGCGAGGATGAGGGCCGCAAACGGAGAGTCCTCGGCGTCGAGCTTGCCGAGACGGGTGTTGAGGTTGCCGCGCTGGAGAGGGGTCAGCTTAAGAGGTCATGGTGGTACGACAGGTGGGTCGGTTGGCATGGTGGGATGAGGTCGCATTGTGCGACCTCTTGCACCACCCGTGTTGGTGGGTGGCTTTCGAAATGCAACCTCCGGCATTGGTTGAGCCGGAAGGCACGCGAGAATCTTGCCCACACACACGCCCTCCTCCCCCCGTGCGTGTCGACTCGGCGACGACTCACCATGTCGGCAAACTTGAGGTGCGGGTACGCGCGGCTCAACTGAGCGACACGCCTGACGGATCCAGTGCCCACGACGGCGCCGGCGGGCAGCTCGTCAATGGTCTTGTAGTGCAGGCCAGCCTTGACCACAAAGGCGTCGCGGGGGTCATGGCGCTCGAGGAGGGCGCCGATCTCGCATCCCTGGCGGATAGTGGTGGGGACGTCCTTGCACGAGTGGACGAGCAGGTCCATGCGGCCGTCGAGCAGCGCGCTCTCGAGCTCGTCGGTCCACAGCGACTTGGCCGGGGTGGTCGAGTTGTAAGGCGAGAGGAGGTGCAAGGGGGTGGTCTGGTTACGGTCGCCCGCAGTGGTCATGTCCACGACGGGGAACGCGGTGCCCTCGTTGGCGGATGCGAGGGCGTCGGCGACCATGTGGGTCTGGATGAGGGCAAGGTTGGACTTGCGCGTGCCGACGACGAGGGTGTTGGGGGTGGACATGGTGTGTGGGAGGGAAGGATGAGGGATGAGCCCTGGTGGAAGACGAGTGGCCAGATGGATGGGGGGGTGGTATGGGCGGGGGTGCCGTTTTTTTTTCTGTTCGTTTGCGACAAGCGAGTGGGACAATGGGTGATGTGTACGCGTCGAGATGGGGCGAGCGATGGACGAGATGTAAACAGAGGAGGGGAGCGGGAGGGCTAGACGGTGTTGGGTGTTAGAGAAGAGTGCGGGATGGAGTGACACAGGGGTAAAGCAAACGTCCAACAAACCAGAAAAGTCGGGCCATACAGCGGGCAGTCGTTTTGGGTGGGCCGTGTGGGCCTTCGGGACAGAGCGGCAAACGGGGCAAGCGAAGCGAGCAAGGGGGTAGGCCGGGATTTGCACCGTGGGAAAGTGACACGACACGTGGGTTGGGCGTGGGGGATCTTCCGATGCGGAGTCCATACTCCCATCGTCCATCGGCCATCGCCGTATGCATGTGCGCATGGGCATGCATGTGCATCTGGTGGTCGACATGCTCTCATGCATGAGTGGAATTGCTCTACGTCATGTCGCGCAGCTTGCAAGCGACTGGGAAGGTTGGTCGACAGGGTGGCATCGCACATCCCCGCGGCGTTGCCGCGGGCTGCGCGTCCCAACGATGACAATCTCTTCTGGAAGTGCCGAGCCGGTCGGTGTGTGTGGGATGCTCGATTCGATCATGACACACCCTCTTCACCTTCGTGGTATCTTCTTGCCCACCAGCAATCAGGTGACATAACCCTACACGTCTCTCGCTTATAGAGTCACCACGGTTCGACCTCTTGCTCCCACTTGCTCCTCTTGTCTTCACACATTAATCAACCCCACAACGACAAAACAAAATGACCACCTCATCCGCTCCCACAAAGGAGCAGCTCGCCCAGTTCGACGCCGAGGACACGCTCAAGTGGACTCGCGACGAGTTTGAGATTCCCGACGCCAGGGCGTGTGGTGGAGAGGTCGGTGAGTAGGCGCAAGCTGGGCATCCCGGGTGGACACACAGCTTGCTGACATGGGCTCCAGACGGAAAGGCGGTCTACTTGTGCGGCAACTCGCTCGGTCTCCTCTCGAAGCGCGCTAGGAAGCATGTGCTCGAGGAGCTGGACACTTGGTCTAGGACGTGAGTGTTTGTGAGAGGCTGGGGAGCGCAGCGCTCTGGCCGGGTGTCTCGTGCTCGATAGCTGTCACCCGGCGTCGCTGTTGTTCTTGTCTGGCGTTGTGGCCTGTGGCTGCAGTGCTACAATACGGCGCACTTGGATGGCTTGGGGGCCTGTCGATGAAGCTGGACGCCTGAATTGCGTCGGCCCAGCTGCTACGGACTCTGTCCTCTCGACCCGTCTTTCGCTCCTCCTCCTTCGCCCCCTCCTTCTCTCTCTCCTTCTCTCCCCTCCTTCTCCCCTTCCTTCTCCCCAGCGGCTTCGCTACGAACGCCTTGCTAACCGACAGCGCTGTGACCGGCCACTTCAAGCACGTCTACGACCGCCCATGGAAGTACGTCGACCGGCCAATCACCCCTCTGCTCGCCAACATCCTTGGCGCCAAAGAGTCCGAGGTGGCCCACCACGGCACGCTCACTGGCAACATGCACAACCTCCTGACGACGTTTTACAAGCCTACCAAGGAGAGGTACCGCATCGTCATTGAGAAGGGCTCGTTCCCCACCGACTGGGTGAGTGGTGTTGTTTCGTTGTATGACTCTCTAACCACCACAGTACGCGATCCACTCGCACCCGCACCTCCACGACGCGGTGCTGTCGCCGGAGCAGGTTGACAATGCCGTCATTGCCCTCGAGCCCCGTGAGGGCGAGGACACGCTCCGCACCGAGGACATTCTCAACACGCTCGAGCAGCACCGCGACGAGATTGCCCTGGTCTGGCTGCCCCTGGTCCAGTACTACACCGGCCAGCTGTTTGACGCCCCCGTGCTGTGCAAGAAGACGCACGACATTGGCGCGCTCTTTGGTCTCGACATGGCGCACGGCGTCGGCAACGTCGAGGTCAAGCTCGACGACTGGGGAGTCGACCTTGCCGTCTGGTGCACGTACAAGTACCTCAACGCCGGTCCCGGTGCCGTGGGCGGGTTCTTTGTCCGGGACGGCCTGAACGACAACGGCCGCCGCCTGGCCGGTTGGTGGGGTAACAACCCCGACACGCGGTTTGAGATGAAGCCCGAGTTTGACGCCACCCCGGGAGCCAAGGGATACCAGCACAGCTGCACCAACGTCCTCGGCTCGATCCCCTTGCTGGGCACACTGGAAATCATCGACAAGGCCGGGTTCAAGGCCATGCGCGCCAAGGCCGACCGTCTCACAGGCGCGCTCGAGGCCCTGCTCAAGCAGTCCAAGTACTACCTCCCAGCAGACCCCAAGGACAATGGCGCAACAGTCGGGTTTGGCATCCTCACCCCCGAGGCACCGTGGCGCGGCACCCAGATCTCGGTCGCCATCTACGGCAAGCCGGGCGCCATGCCCCGCGTCTTTGACCGCATGCTCAAGCGCGGCGTCGTCGGCGACGAGCGTCTCCCCGTCGTCATCCGTCTCTCGCCTGTGGTGCTCTACAACACTTTCACCGAGGTTGGAACGGCCGTCGACGTCCTCGAGGAGGCACTGGCCGAGGAGAAGTGAGACGACAGGTTGGCCAAGATAGTACGTAGTGAGCAGCTGTGATGCACGATTAGGAAACACACAGAGCACAGAGTGTTATTCGAGGACCAGGGGACCAGGCGCGCAGAGCTGGGTGGAGACACGAGGTCAAACCAGCGGATTCCCATAAGCTGCCTTGAGCTCAGCGCCCGCCACCCCAGTGCATTCATCTAGCGTATAGGAAGTGACACAGGAGAGAGCTCCTCAGTGTAAACTGACTTTGCTCGGCCGAGCGTTATGCCTAACCCTTTCCAAAGTTTTGAGCCGAGACCACATCGCGCGACCAGCAAACCCCGCCCGCGACAATGGGGCACGGCCAGATCATGGATTGTACTACTCTGCGTCGTACACATGTGTGTGTTGGCCAGCTGACTGACTTTTCAAGTGATTTTCGCATTTCCATCTCGACGTTCTCGACGACAACACTGCGAAGCGTCTGGCAGCAAGCGTCCAGCAGTGTCCGGGACGCATACCCATCGAGCATCGACGAGTGCAGAGACGTCTACAGTCGTCATGACGTGCGTCCGGTGCCACTTGGCCGTGTTGCCGGCTGTGCCTTCCGCCTCGCCAACCTGCCTCGCTAACCTGGGCAAAGGCTATGGGCAGTTTACCGCTTCTACCTTGCCACGAGGCCGCGAGTGCGTCGAGCCATCAAGCTCGAAACATGACTGAGGTCGTCGCCCCTCTCCACGGCCGCCGCCTCGTGGTCTCTGCGAGTGGCATGACGGTGTGGGCATGTG